ATAATCGTAGTCCTAGTGTTTTAGTAAGGCCTCGATACCTCGTTCCTTCTTAAATAATACTATAAACTTCTTATATACTAATAGTATATCCTTTATTAGTAGACCCTTATCTTAGTATCTAAGCTCTTCCTTAGAAGTAGTACTAACCTCTCGAATACTTACTACTTTTATTCCCGGTAGATAACAGTAGTCTTAGTAATAACTAAACTTAAGCTTTCCTATCTACTAATTAATAACAGGGTTATACTTTTCTATCTATAGTAATCCTAAGATAATATTATACCTTCTAATCCTAATAATATTAAATTAGATTATTTCAGAGTATCTAGCGATACTTATATAAACTAGAGCGGTCTAGACCTCGATCAGTCTATTAGAGGCGACCTTACTATCCGCTAGTACTAGATAGTATCCCTTATCCTTTACTTTAGTTAATAGGTAATACTTAAGTATAATAGTAAGAGATATAAAGTTCCCTTATACCTTAGAGTCTACTATCGCCTAAAGCTTAACTCCCTTAATTTTAACCTCTAATATAAGATATTTATCTCTAATAGTAGTAAGTTACCGTATATAGAAATATTCCTAATATACACTATAGTCGAGGACACTTTCCTATACCCTTCGATTACTATAGCTTAAGCTAACCTTATATACGAGCCCTATTCTAAGTTTAGTGTATATTACTAGGTTATATATCTTATAATAGTACTAGCCGTTATTATTAATATGGACCCATATCCTATTATATCAGTTCTTAGCTATGATTTCCTATTCCTTGCCTACCTCTAGTAGCGCGCTAGTGTTAAGGATAGCGGTATTCTAGAGTAGTAAGTGCTATATAAAAGTTGTTAGTCCTTCTTAGCTACTAGCTATTCTCTATCCGATACGCTTATAGTCTTAGTAGACTACTTCGTACCTTGCCCCCTATAGTAGACTCCCTAAGCTAATAAGGCCTAGTTCTTAATAAGTAACCCTAGTAGCTATATTAGTCTAGTAGCAAGTGTTATAGCTAACTTAATACAGGCTCTCTTCTCTTTAAGTAACTTCCTAAGTTTCACCTACTCTTAGTCCTGAGAGTTCAGGTTAGAGTAGCTCTAGTTCTAGAGCCTACTCGGGTTCTTAGGCCTTCTCCTCGCTATTACTTAGTATTAGCTCTATATCGTTATCTAGCCTAAAGCTATCGTTATCTTAATACATATAGTCCTTAAGGGGCGTGCTAATAATAGTCTACTCGAGCTAATCTATAATACTCACGGAATCTCGCTTACTATTATCAGAATCGCCTAATTAAGTATAAATATAATTCTCCTCGAGCTCGTCTATAGTTATATATTAATACGTCACAGCGAGTTATTATATTAGTTTATTATAAGAGCTACGTCCTATTACATTAGTATATTTCTTATTTATCCACGACTTCTTTTATTAATAAGAGCTAGCTATATAACTAGGGAGGCTACACTCGAAGCACAGCTTCTTTTCTTATCGCTTACTTATAACTTTCTTAGATAGCCCGCTGTTACGCGACTTTCCTTAATAACTTAGCTTCCGGAATATTATATTAAGTTCTATTTCCTAAGGGTAGAATAGTTTCTTATTATTACCTCCTCTTCCTTAGTATATATACGTTCCGGAGCGGTATTAGCCTTTCTTCTTAAGTGCTCTCTTATAGTTTCAGTTATTAATCTTAATAGCTATTTTAATAAGTTCTTATAAGTCGGTAAGCGCGTCCGATCTTACTATCTTATCTTTCACTCTATCTTTCAACTCTTTATAGTACTATACCCGAAGAGTATTATTATTCTAGCTAGTCTGATTCACGAATTACTAGAAAGCGGCAGTATATATAGTTACTAACCTGATCTACTTTAGGTTCTGGATATTCTGTTTAGTAGTATAATTCTAATTAATATCGCTGAAGACACAGTTAATCCTATACTCGAAACCTTCGAAAGTTATAAAGATCTTCTAGGATTCCTTAGTTATTACTATAGAGACTCTCCTATCCTTAGTTCAGTTCTAAATATAATCCGAGAGAAAAGTCTTAATCTAGTTAAAAGCAGATCCCTAGAGAAAGAACAAAGCCTAAAGGACTTTATCAGTCTCTATAGCGAACTAGTAACTATTAAAGCCCGTATAGAGCTTAACCTACGTAAGGTATACTCTAAGCTTAGATCGGTCTCTGTTATAAAGATCCAGGGTAGCGATCTTAGGTATATTCTTTAAGTCGAAGACCTTAGCGAGAGCCGAGTAGTCGTTTAATAATCCTTTAATAGAGGATATATTATCTTCATGAGTTAGTACCTCTAACGAGAAGGTGCTTAAAGTGTAATAGTCTAGTATTTACTCACTATAAATACAGAAGGCTATAGTTAATCTCTAATAATCAAGAGGTAGATATATCACGTAGATAGGAAGACAGTTACTAAGTATTAGAATACTATTTAAAGTTAAGTATAAAGCTCCTATCTAATAATAGATATGCTAGTCTTATATAGAACCTTTATTCGCCTTAGATCCCTATAGGTCCTATGATCCTAAGCTCCAGGAACCTTAGATCCTATAGTTCCAAAAGCTCTATACTATCACGTGATATATAGTCCCGTGATTTCGTTCCTAGTTCTTAGCTTCTCTATGCAGCAATACTACCGAGCCTCAGGGCTAAGACACACGTGATACTCCTTCTGAGTACGTTCATAACATTCCCTTAAACTTTTGAAGTATTCTTAGGAAGTCAATTTGAAATATCACCTATTCTTTAAACCTGAAATACGCACTCGATAGATTTTTGATTTAAAAACGTAAAATCGTTCTAATTAGGTCTCTTATGAAGACCTACTTTACAGCTTATTAATAAGTGTTGTAGTTGTAAAACAGTCAAGAGGTTTCCGGTTAAATCAAGAGGTTTTCTTTAGAAATATTACCTACTTCTTTATCCTGAAATGCGCACTTAACGGATTTTTAATCTGTAAACGTGAGATTGTTCTAATTAGGTCTCTTATAGACAGATAGTTTATTATTTATTAATAAGAGTTGTAGTTGTAAAATAATAAAGACGTTTCCGGTTAGACTTTTACTAAGTGCAGGTAAGAAATCGATACCTTAGTCTTAGCACGTGTACTTCGATATTAAGGAAATCGATACAGGTGAAAATAAATATATTAATTGATAGAAAAATAAATTATCTACTGTCTATAGTGTACCCGAAGTTATATAAATAGTTATGTGTTGAGTTATTAAAAAGTAACTGAAGAATTAAAGTCGGCTCGAAATCAATCTCCATACAAATTGGCACTATTTTCCCTCAGACGCTTCGCAGCCTTCAAACGTGGACGCACTGACTAAGCAGCCTAAAGCGGTTAGATAGGGAGTCCACGTAGAGAAGGCAAGCGAAAGTGTCTGTCTGAGATAAGGCTCGGGCTACCTAGCAGCATCACTAGTCAGGAACATTCAAGATGAAGTAGCCAAAAACAGCAAAGAGTGACAATGCAACTCTAAATTGTTTCTCTCAAGGATCGTTCCCTGCTGCGGTGGTGTCTCTCGCGTTTGCTTTCGTGAACTCTCGTTCCCACTGGAAAATCGGAACTCAGACAAAGTAAATTTAATATGGTGGTAGAGTTTGAGCATTTTGGTAAGTGGTTAGCATTATTCTTCTCCTATTTGCTGCACAGCTTCAGCCTTGTCTGCTCAGCTCCGACGCCTTGCACGCCTTACGCGGAGAATACCACGCTGCCCGTCCTGTGGCTGCCTGCACTCTGCACCGTCCGATGGGAGCAGCGACTTTCAATAACAGAAGGTGACCGATGAGTGGTTTCAGCGCGTAACGGTGCTTCCGGCTCACCCACAGGCTGCTGTACCGAGTGTACCCAGCCCCAGTTCTCGGTTAGTCGGGGTTATTTTGGCACGCACCAGGAACCAGATCCTCCTAGCAATATGGCTGGCGGTGATCGGGCGCCCTGAGCAAGCATCACAGATGACGCCAACAGAAGTTAAGACGGACGACTTTTGCAATGAACCCACAGAAAAGCACGAAGAGGCCAATGCTATGCAGCTCATTTCGATGCCTATTGCCAGCCGGCGCAATCTCAATTTCATCCGTCGATGACGCTGGAGTCAGAAGCAGGAAGATGGTATCAAGAAGTCTTTGTCTTGCGTGCTGGCCAGGCCAGTCAAGGTTGCGGCTTTGGCAGGTCGCGAATCTCCCTTTTGGGACACGACTCGGTGAGAGCGAGGCAAGTTGAAGTGAAGTGAAGTGAAGTGAAGTGATGTGATGTGATGTGATGTGATGTGACCTGCCCGTCCTCAGTGGAAACATGGGATCTCGTCTCGCTTCTTCTGTTGGAGGCAGTGCAGTGCATAAAATATCAGCACTAAATCGCTCACAAACGGCGGTTCTTGTGCATTATTACAGTACTGTATTATTGCATTCTGCCGGCACAGAGTTCATCGCGTCCAGGCCCCAGTCCCCAGTCCCCAGTCCTGGCTCAGCCCAGCCCAGCCCACTTCTCCGTCCATTCCCATTCCAGGTTCCACGACCATTATTATTTCCATTGCGCGCTCAGCCCGCTCCCACCCCCTGTCATTGTCATTCCGCCCAAAGCTCATTTCCTCCCCGCAGGACACCCGCTCCACGCCAGGAGCTTGCAGCGAATCACGCCCCCAGCATCGCCCCCTAAAATCTCTTAAATTCCCTAACTCTCCTGTGCCGCATCGCTCTGCTCAGAATATCCGCGATGCCTGCCAGTTGTCGGCATTATTATTAGCTAGGTAAATTTACGCTGGGCCTTGGCCTGGCAGGGGAAGGGAGGGCGCCTTGTTGTTTGGAACCGCCAGGCCCTTATATAACTTTGCTTCCCACTCTAAAGTATCGCACGCTTCCCCCCGTTTTACCTTACTTCAGAAGTTCAGACAGCATAATATTTCCACCATCTCCAAACTTGTATCCTTTGATACGTGACACTCTTTAGATCTTCTCTCTACGTTTCAGTAATTCCAAGATGCAATACTCATTCGTTGCCGCTGCCGTTCTGGCATTCACCTCCTCTGTTTTCGCGCAGACTGCTGGATTTGCTGCCCTCACAGTCCCAACCCAGGACCAGAATGTCGAGGCTGGCTCAGTCCTGGACATCACATGGCAACCATCCACCGAGCACCCAGGTCCTATCACCATCCAGCTCCTCCAGGGTGCCAGCCCTTCCACTCTTGAGATTGGAGCAACCGTCGCTCGTTCGTGTACCCGCTTCCCCTTGATGTAGAACATAACTGACACGTACTTTAGAGAGCATCGACCAGGCCACCGGCAAGTTCGCGTGGACTGTGCCCAAGGATCTCAAGAGCTTCGCGACCTACGGATTCAAGCTCACACTCGACTCCACCAAGTCCGATGCTAACCCAATCTTCCAATTCAGTTTCCCATTCCACGTTACTGGATTGAGCAGCTCTTCTTCCTCCTCTGCCTCTGTCACCGGCGGAACCACCACCGTTCACATCTCTACCGGTCCATCATACACCGCTAAGCCAACATCTTCCAGCTACAGCGCCTCTTCCGTCTCCGTGAACAGCACCTCCACATACGTCCCATCCACCCACTCTGCATCTGCCTCTGCACCAGTAGTGGTCTACCCAACCGCCAACATCACTCTTTCCACCACCCGTACCCCAACCGTCGCCCCAACAGGCACCGGCAGCTCCCCAAGCTCCACGGGAAGCAGCCCATCGACCGTCACTGGCAACTCTGCATCGACCATGGCTCGCGGCGGACTTGCTGTCGCTGCTGGTGTGGTCCTCGCATTTGCTCTGTAAACAAGTCATCAATTTCACGCATCAGGATCCGGCACGGAAAATGGGAGAGAACAATGGCATGGCAGGGACGGACGCATAATAGAGGGTGGACAGCAATGGCGGCTGCGCGAGTGGCTATCCGAGCATTTGCATCCACACAATCATGAGGCGAGGCGTTCTGCGATGTAAATGGTACAACCTGCTTTAGTCAATCTGATATCATCTGCTTTTCGACCTCGTTTTTACTTTTTTGAATGGCCATCTGTGAGGAAGGTGGAATGGTATTTAATCTGTGCTTGTGCTAACTGTCAATCCGAGTCGCAACTTTCACCAACTAGTAAGTCTACTTTTCAGTTTCGTTTCTCACACATTTGAAGGTTCCATTTCCAAAAATTTCCTCGCTTCCCTCGTGCATTGCTATTGGAGATCTCATTCAACTGTACACCACTCTTTTCATGTCATCCCATAGTCAAGCACAAAGCATCTCCATCTGAACTCTTCTCGCATTATCGACTCATCCATCACACCTCCATTATTGGGGCACAGCACGGGGTTGGTGTTTCGGCCCCGTAAGTTTCACGTTGCCCGTTTCAGCCACTGAGAAGATCAGACGTTCGGATGCATCTCGAATAGGCTCTCGACCCATTGCTCGGTCCGTTCCTTGGCAAGCTGTTTGGCGAGTTGGTGAAGACGTTCTTGCTCGGCTTCGGAGATCGTGAGGTCGGCTTTTCGTGAGAGTTGTGCCACGGGCGCGACGGGCTTTTGCTGGATAGGTGGTGGAGGTGCTGAGAAGGTTTGTTTGCGGCGGGTTTGGAGTCGTGTTCCGTATTGGAAGTGTGGTGGTTGTTGTGGGTGGTGAGGCTTCTGAGGTTGGGGTTGGAAGGTATGGAACTGGTGCTGAGGGTTAATGATGCTTCTGATATGAAGAAGGGGTGAGACTCGTACGCATGGGTTGAAATGAGCGTTGCCGAAGCCTGATGGGCGGCTTGGTCTTGGTGGTGGACTCATGTTGGTGTATTTTGTGTTTGTACTTGTCGTTGTGTTCGTGTTCGTTGGACTGTCACTCTTTCTGCGTGTCGCATTGGAGTCGAGCGACTCGGGCTTGCTGTTCTGATATTCCATTGTACTTCTCAAATTCTATTGTCTTTTGCAACTGTGTCGTTGAGAGTCCTCCAGTGACAGGAGGGGATTGCCAGAGGTCATGGTTTTGAGAAGCCCGCAGTGTGGGCTACGAAGTAAATCCCTAAGAATTCACAGGTCCGCCTTGCAATCTGTATTCCCTCATGATTGGAGCATGTTTGAGTTGCATTCCACTATTGTTATTTTGGACTGACAACCTTTGCGAATTTTGGTTACCTATGATATTTTGGGATTAGGGACGCTATTTAGTGCAGTTCCCTCCCAACGTCACTGGCCTAATTCCTACGACCATTCAAGATTGTATCAGCGCTTTCATTATAGAATCAGGAAATGAAGTTAGCATTTTCTGAGATTTCCTGTCTCTACATTGCGACGACTTGAGCTGGTGTCATCAATTGGGGTGTACGTGACGTAACTCCGAAGTATCAATCAGCCGCAGCTGTGTTGAAGTTCGGAATGTGTGACTTTAATCTTAGCTACAAAATTGGGACCTTACATCACCTCTTATTGTCGCGCGTCTGTAGTACAACGACTAGATCCAGAGCCTCATCTAGACTTCTTGCTGTGCGGGGATCATCTTCCCTAGAGACATGTCAGACACACTCAACCTCAAGGGGTAAATTTTACCTCACGTTGTGTCTTGGTAGATTAATCTGTGTCACAATGCATGTTTTCATATTGTTTCGAATATGCTTACTGCAGCACTCCTTTCGAATGTCCATCCTGTTCTTGTCTAGGAACGTCTGGCGCTGGTAGTTTCCGGGTTGAGCTGGCATTCGTTAACTTCACCGGCAACATCACCCTCCATGGTCCAGCATGCCACAAATCATCCTTTAAGAGATGCAGATAATTAAATCCACATACAGGAGTGCCAATTCAGGCTGCAGGATCGTGCCGGAAGTTAATTCGTTACGATTGGTTTTGTTGCAGATCGGAAGGAATGATCGATCCGTATCCACCACCTCATTGAAGATGTACCGACACAGTCAGTGCACATGAAAAAATAACCCCAACAACGGCCTATCATCCCAGTGATGGTATTGCGCCAGTTACTTCTTTCTTATACCGAGCGCAGACGTTATCACTCAATTACATAAACAGTGAAAGCTTTTCTGACCCAACGCAGCGGCAAGCCGCGGTACAATTCTCAGGTTTACACTGTGAATCATGGCAAGTTAAACGGATTGTGTATCTTTATCGTGGTGAAGTCCTAAAGCTGCATTCCTTTTTCTGATTGTTGTGGGGTCAGGGTCTGGGAGACTCACAGGGCAACCAAGGGATTAGGCCTGGGAGTAGCTGCAAGGATTCGACGAACGTGGTTTGTACATTTGTGAATTCAAGCCTGAGGAGGGGTTTAAATCTTCGCTGGATATTGTACTATGCTCGCTGGAGTAAAACTCTCTGCTCTAGGAGATGAAGAGCTGGTTTAACCTAGTTTGCTCTAGGCCACTCCAAATTACTGTCAAGACAGTCGATCAGAAAGTTCTATTGCAAACTCAAGCTTCAGGCACTGCTCTGCTAATATCTATCCATGATCGATCAAGAAGACAGACAAAACAGCGAGACTGTTTCAAGGTAAACGTTGGTATTGCTACCCGCATCGTGTGGGCACAAGTCCAGAGGCCTAGGGCGCAGAATACGGATCAGTGGCAATGCTATCTCATATGTACCTTTCACTACTAGAGGTAATATATCATTGATTCGAACACAGATTATATCACACCTAGTGCTATCAGGATGAAGTGTTGTGGCAGACATTCGCTTAGTTGCCCTATTTTCTTTGGTTGTCAGAGTCCATTTCGTTAAATAAGATCAAAACACGATATGTGGATTATCCTCTATGAATATGGGCTAAATATCGCAGGCGAGTCAGCTTTACAAGCATTGCGTTCTCTTCATTTATCAGCGAGCACGAGTATTCCGGTATTGACTGGAAAATCTCAATGCTAATCACCTGGTATGCGTGAGTCGAAGTGTACCCTGTGAATATTTCTGGATTGGCTGGATGATTATTCTGAAGCTAAAAAATGCATGCATTAGGAACACCCAATCTGCTTTGTCCTTTGATAAGGCATTTTGGTGTTGCATGTATTTCGCGACGCAAGCGATGTTGATCAGGCTAGGGACTGTTGGAGGGAACAATACCCAGTTGCGACTCACGAGTAGGTTTTGCTAGCTATTCGGATATACCAATTGGTATGTAAAGATGAGCAAGAGGCGAGGGCCGGCGCGATCCTTGGATTGAGGAAAATGTACTCTTGTTCCGTTGGGATGAGGAGGGAAGCAGCTAATCTCGGGAATTGAAACGTACAATCGGAAGCGGAAATTCTAAGGGATCCTGTCATAATTCGACTTTGTTTCCTCGAGAGTCAATTTCATACTAGGAAGTAGAGTTCCTGACAAGCAATGCAATGCTCTCTCTTTGATCTAAGCCGCTTGTCATCTCTACAGAGTGTCTATCATGCTCTTTCCATGGTGTTTTGGCGGGAACCTTCCGAAACGTCTTTTCCAGCAGCTAGTTGATCTGTCCCGAGCAGTGATACAGTGAGTATTGCGTCATGGGCCGCGATACTGGTAGGGTGGTAGGAATATTGCTGACGAAGGTTGGCTACAATTTCAAAGATTACATTTGGGAGAGAACCGGCAGGAGAAATTCGAAAGACTACAGCAACGAGGTAAGAAAGGACGTTGTTGAGCGGAGTCACTCCTTCTAAGTCATCAGATTGACTCTGTCCTGATTCGGACCGTAGTTGGAATCTATTTGGCATCGTAGAGATGGTTGGGCGGCTGAGGTCAGGTCACGACAGCCAAAGTTCGGGCTTGATGGAGGTCTTCGAGATATGACTACCGTCGATCATGACCAAATCCAAGCCGCGGAGATGGAAGACTCTATGAAGTACTAGAAGTTGATGTGAATTGCCTCTGCTTATCTCTAGGGCGGAGACCCGGAAAAGCTAGACCTCCCGTTCGGGATTCGTCAAAGATAAGGGGCCAACCTTGTCCGGACAACCTCAACTGTGGCGTACCAAAAAAACAACAACCATCACGGTCTAGCCAAAGAAGAGATCTTCCAGGGGTGATAATAGTGACGAGGTGGCATGTCGATTGGCAGCCGCATCGTCTCTTTTTCGCGTTTGCAGATAAGCTCGTCGGTGGTGCGTTCTCCAGTTAGAGTCCACAGAGGGCTTTGAGAACTCAAGTTGGGGACCATATTCTAAGCTCAGCGCTGATCTATCCTGAAATTCTACGATTCATTGCTGCATCGCGCAACATAGAGCTATCATGTCAGAAGCTGCTGTTTATTTTTCGGTTTTGTTGCGCTTTGTTTGAGGCATAGAACAAGCCTTCTCACCGAGCCGTTCCGCGACACAAGCCTTTCCAAGAGAGCAAGCATCAGACGCCTCATTACAGGCTTGTGATGTGAATTGTATTTCGACTAACCAGTTCATTGCTGTACATCAACGCAAAATATCCAGAAATTTGGGCCCTAGTTGACATGCAAGCTACTGTTCTAGAACCGCAACGGCTGATTGATCATACTCACCCGGGAGATTGAAAGGCAGTTTCAAGATCTCCTAGGCCCCATCATCGATTCTGGGAAGCGTAGGGTCTTATCAAAGGGTGGCTCGACATTGGCTTTCTCGTATGCATTGGGCTTGTAGTCTCCACAATCATCGCTCTATCGATCTGATGGCTTCATTCGCCCGATCAGCCACAGCTGGCAACCCAAGGACCCCCATAGGGACCGTCCCGCGAATTTACTCCTTGGCTCACAAGCACGTCTACTCTAGCTGGTCGTCCGGAGATGTTGTGATTACGGGCTGATGTCGGTTATCTTTGTGTATGCTATAAGTGCACTGACTCTTTCATCACTTCGCAACCACGATACCAGCATGACCGGACACTGCTCAAGATACCCGAAATTTTGTTTACATCTTGGACAAATTGAAGTCAAAGTTATCCTTTTATAGAATTCTAGCACTCCTCCCCAGTAACATCTAATTGGCACAACCGACACGCCTTCTCAAATTCGGTTCAAGATGGGATCCAGAATTACTACACTGTGGCAGGCACCAGAAATCAATCCCATAAACGGAAAAGCTCGCTCTGTTCCTGTCCTAAACCCATTCAATAAGTACGGTCGAGTCTTCTTCTTCGCTTGGTTTGGCTTCAGTAAGTTCCTTTTTCATGTCCAAGTTGAGATCCATCAAGCCAGGGCTGAACACAATAATGGTCATGATTGTGGTATATAAAACAGTTGCTGATTAGTATATAGTGATCGCATTCCTCTCGTGGTATGCGTTTCCACCTTTGTTGCCACACACAATCAAGAAAGATCTCCAGCTTAGCCAAAATGAAATCGCCAATTCCAATATCATTGCCCTCACTGCTACGTAGGCAACATACCAACTTCTACAATATTGCACCGTCTGACATGCCATTTAGTCTCATCGTGCGTCTTGTAGCTGGACCAGCTTGCGACCATTTCGGACCGAGAGTCACCTTTGCTGCTTGTCTTTTGCTCGGTGCACTACCAACGGCTTTGGCAGGCACAATCTCGGGTCCTGCTGGTTTATATGTCCTTCGATTCTTCATCGGTATTCTGGGAGGCTCATTTGTTCCTTGCCAAGTGTGGTCTACAGGATTCTTTGACAAGAATGTCGTTGGGACTTCAAACGCACTCACCGCGGGGTGGGGAAATGCTGGAGGCGGTCAGTCAATTTCCACTCTACTCCCCATGTACCTGATGCACTTTGTATTTACTACGAAATGGTAACTGACTATCATGTTCTTTGAATAGGTATAACTTACTTTGTAATGCCGGCAATATATGACTCTCTTGTCAACGAGAGACACCTCACTCCACACGTCGCTTGGAGAGTTTCTTTCATTGTCCCATTCATTCTCATCACTTCAGTAGCCATCGGACTTTTCCTTCTTTGCCAAGATACGCCAACTGGGAAGTGGGCTGAAAGGCACATGGCTGTCCAGCACAATCTCCAGGCTCACGGAGCTCGTGCGAGTGGGGATATTGTTCCCATACCTGGCGCCATCACTGATAAGAAGGCGGCCGACAATGACTCCCCAATGATGTCTCCCGATGACAAACGTCTGGATGAAGAGGCAGGCATTGCCCATGCCAAGCATGGATCATTGAGCGGGCCTGAATCCAAAATGGATGAACAAGCAATGATTGAGACTGCTCGAGGCGAGACCGTGGTCAAACCATCCTTGAGAGAAGCACTGGCTGTTATTTTCAGCCCTCAGACCGCAGTCGTCGCGTTTTGCTACTTCTGCTCTTTCGGTGCTGAACTTGCAATCAACTCGATTCTTGGAACTTAGTAAGTCGAACCTCCTCAATCTACAATTACATAAGAGCGCCTCATATTGCTTTACTAACCGGAAATTCTAGCTACCTGAAGAACTTCCCACAACTTGGCCAGACTGGTACCGGGCGATGGGCAGCTATGTTCGGGCTTCTCAATGTCGTTTTTAGGCCTTTGGGTGGCATGGTAGCCGACGTTCTGTTTCTTCGAACAAACCGCAGCGTGTGGAGCAAGAAGATCTGGCTTCATTCTCTTGGTCTAGTTACTGGCGCATTTTTGATCGCCATCGGCGTCCTGGACTCCAAGTCAAAACCCACGATGATGGGTCTCATCGCAGGCATGGCTTTCTTCTTAGAAGCAGGGAATGGGGCCAACTTTGCTCTCGTTCCCCACGTCCATCCTCACGCGAACGGTATCATCTCCGGAGTTACGGGGGCGTGTGGAAATCTTGGTGGCATTGTCTTTGCTATTATCTTCCGATACCAAGGAAAAGATTTCGGCAAGACTTTTTGGGTTATTGGAATCATGACAATCGGTATACACTTGCTGTTGTGTTGGATCAAACCCATCCCCAAAGAGCAAATCGGTGGGCGTTGAGTCTTGCAATTTGGGAATTGGAGATTTCGAGTTTTGTTGGTACCATGCCTAAGATCGGATTGAAAGGTCGACTTCTGTGAAGATGCCTTCTGCAGATAGACCAGCAAAATCCAGGAAAGAAGATGTCTCTTAATCATATTCAACGGTGAATCTAATAGCAGAACAGGGAGCAACAAGTGTGATATGCGTGTTGGACATTGTATACTCTTGTAAAATTGAGAAATCTAGAAACAATGCCATCTTGACTTAGAATGTTGCAATAGCAGCTTCGCTTGTAGTCCTACTTCAGTAATCGTGTCATTAATTTGAGCTTAAACAAACCTCTTGATTGATCTGAATGATCTCAACATTAAATATGGTGAGAGAATGCTACTTGTCCGGATTACGGATGCTTGCATAATCTTGGTGAGGGAGGTCGCATTGCAGGACAAGCTGCGGCGCCCTACCTTCCTCAAGACACAGCGGGTCCCAAATTTTCATGAAGAATTGAATTGAGCTGAAGATTGCTTATTCCAGAGGAGAAAATGTGCATCAGGAGGACGATTATGACCCATCTCTTCCATCCAGTCTTCTGGTGAGGAGCTGGATAAGTTCAGAGCTAGGGCGGCGGTCATCAACGAGGCAACGGCGCCAACCCACGTGATCTCCAGTTCTAAGATTCACAGCTGTGCGCGTCGACGCGAAGGATACTTTGGCCGCCACCAAAAAGTCAATAACAACACCACGAAAGCCTTACGGAGCAGCTACAACGGCCATAGACCATACAAATGGACTTAATCAGACATGAAATCTGCTCACAGTCCCTATGACTCGGCATAATCTTGAGAGTCATATTTCTTGGTTGTTATCGCGCAAAGTCAAACCGGCATCAGGCGTGAACGCCGGAGTCCAGACCTATTCTACTGGACATGAATCTGTGAATGCGAACGCCGTAGAAGAGGAAGCAGACCTGGATATCCCGAGAGCAGCACCGAGTCCGCCTCAGCACCAGAGGCCTGCACATGTTGTCAATGTCGTTGAAACTTTCGCCAGGCCAGCCCTCCCCGCATCGGTGACAGCAAAATCACACCTACAAGACTCCAGACAGGTTTCGACGAACGAGTCAATGGGTAGACTATCTTCAACAACAAGGCCATCGCGGCCTAGTCTTATGAGCCAGCATCAATTGGCGACTCCAGCATCTACAACTTCATCCACAGCAGCTTCATGTACTTCGCTAAGCTCAAGTTATATGAATCTTTTGAAAGGACAAGGTTCGTTGGGAGACCCAATACTTCTTACCAACACTGACATCTGTAGACTCTCCTACCTCGAGACAATCGGCGAGCCGCTCCTTACCACCAAAGATCCAGAAATCCCTACAGACACAAACACATACTCCACGAACCCCTCGGCAAACTCCCCGCCCAAAGCCGGGATCGAGGCTCGACACAATCGATTCCGTAGACCTAACAAATGACGAAGATGGCGGAAATCGTGCACCTGGATCTAGCAGCTCGGTCGAAGTGTTTGGAGACCCTATACGTCTATGGCGTGAAGACTCGGCCTCCAGAGCTGAGCCTTTGCCCAGGTCGTCTAGGAAGCGCAAAAGCCTTGAAATGTCCCCAAGACGATCCAAAAGAACCGACAGCTATGAACGACAATATGTGAAGACTGTGCGGGGCCAGTACTCGAATGCTAATGACTTTGTGGACATCGACGATGTGCTTCCATCGCAATCAACGCGCCCGCTGTTCCAGCCGTCCTGCAGCAAAGCTGCAAAGCCCAGTGTCGATTCTCTAATGGAGCAAAACGATATTGAAGAGGTACAAGTGACTGAGACTATCAGTAGAATTGAGACTCGGACGCGAAAGAGTGCCAGTCGAGTCTCGTCTACTGTTGATGATCCATCAACTCGGCCACAGTTAGGAGATTCAAGTTATCTTCCTACCTCTGCACAGGCATCGCCAGTAATGAGCCCACTTGCAAAGGTGCAGGTTGCTGCTTCGCCATTGAGAAGAGTGAAGTCCCCCACACTCTCTTCGCCACATACACCACATAAGACTCCGAAACGTCGAACTCGGACGATCATTCGAGACTCTGAGGACGACGAATACTCTGATGTTGAGAAACGAATTAGCTCCTCTCCCCGGATCGCAATCAAGAACAGCCCTCGTTTGACCGGGTCGCAAGCAAACTCTAAGATGGAACGTGTCCCAGCATCTGAGCAGAACGACCCCAGACTGAGGGACTACAAGAACGTGAAGCCAAGGACCGGCAGTCCTCTACGTCCAATCTCACGGAACCTCTCAGTGAGATCAGAGAATAGACAGTCTCCTTTTCAGCGGGACTCGCCAACAAAAGTGGCGTTTGCAAAACATGTTCCACCCCCATCTGACCAACAAATGCCACGCTCGTCTCTAGGTGTGGATGATCGGAAGTTAGTTATGTTCTATCTAACTCGACCATCAGCAATAGACCTATACCATCAACGAGTTCAGAATTTGCTCGCTCAAAATGCAATCGCGTCGATGTCGTTCGTGGACAAGGGAGACGTTGCACCTATGCAATTGAAATCTGAACGCATAGCTTTGCTAGATATGGGGAAGGCCTACTCTTCGCTGGCCGAACTCCAAGCGGGATGGCAGATTTTGATGCATGAGAAGAAGAAGTTGGCAAAACAGGTCTACGAGCTTCTTGAGCGTAATGCTGACACAAGCCATCAAGAAGAGAGGCAAGCTTCGGTCAATCAGGAGATCAAGAGGACTGAGCTAGACGTGGCTAGGTTCTTGCATGAATCGGGGGCCATAAGGGATGGCTTTGGGACAGAATCAAACCAAGAGGCTTCTACTCAGTCCGGTGAGGCCAAGCGGAAAGCAAACATTGGGCCGCTACCCTCGGGATCCAGTACTATCGGGAGTGCTCAGATCATCATGCAAACTCAATTTCCGTCAATTCAACTCAGCTCGACAGCTACTTCCAATCCTCATTTCCCGAAGGAAATGCCCACACAGTCTACTTTGGGACTTCATTCTGCAATTTCATCAAATGTTTGCTTACCGCCGCCGTCTCCGTCCCCGACCCGACAGTCTGTGCAGTACACATCGCTCGCGGAGTCCCAGCCGACAAATTTCAAGAAAGTGTGGCCATCCCCGGAGAAAGTAAAGCAGCCAAACTTCTATCAAGAAACCCCGCCCTTCAATTTCGATGATTTCAATGATGATGAGCTTGACGAGTTTCTGGCGGATGAACCAGAGCATGATGGCCACGTCAGAGCTCAAGAAGAGGTGCCATATGGCATTGAGGACGATTACGGCGACAGTGAGGATGACAATGATTTTGTTGAGATGGCTCAGGAGGTCGAGAAGCGTCAATCTCTGCCGAGCACATTGCCAAAGCAGTCAAGGTACACTGTGCTTTCCGAACCTGCTCCAACGATGTCTTCCAAACCCAGCAGTACGGCAGATGGAAAGACCATGTACTCGCATGTCGATGAGGATCAAAGCAACATGTTCGACCACCCATGGTCAGAGGAAGTCAAAAAGGTGTTGAGGGAACGTTTCAAGCTGAAGGGTTTTCGTCGACATCAATTAGATGCTATAAATGCCACTCTGAGCGGGCAAGATGCATTTGTTCTGATGCCCACAGGAGGAGGAAAATCACTGTGCTACCAGCTACCAGCTGTTGTCAAGACTGGGACGACATGCGGAGTAACGATTGTGATTTCGCCACTTCTGAGTCTCATGAACGATCAAGTACAACATCTACGTGCGGTCAACGTTCAAGCTGCAACTCTGAACAGCGATACTCCCGACCCCGATAAAAGACAGATCTACAACTTTCTCAGGGAGGAACGCCCAGAACATTACATCCAGCTTCTTTACATTACTCCAGAGCTGATCAACAAAAGTACAGCCATGATTAATGCATTGACACGTCTTTATAAGAAGCGCAAGCTTGCTCGCTTTGTTATCGATGAAGCACATTGTGTCAGTCAATGGGGACATGACTTCAGACCTGATTACGTGGCTCTTGGAAATGTGCGAACACAGTTCCCCAAGGTCCCATTGATGGCTCTGACAGCTACTGCAACCGGCAATGTCAAGTTGGACATCATGGAGAATCTGAAGATGCGCAAATGCCCCATTTTCGTGCAAAGTTTCAACAGGCCAAATCTACATTATGAAGTACGATTGAAGAAGGGCAAGGGCGTTATGAGCAAAATGGTCATAGAAATCGCAGATCTTGTCAAAAACAAGTACAAAAAGCAAACTGGAATTATTTATGCCCTGTCACAGCGGGGTTGCGAAGAACTTGCAGAAAAGCTAGTCAAAGAGCACCAGATTAGGGCGCACCACTTTCATGCAGGTATGACGCGCGAGGAAAAATCAAGCGTCTTAGACGAGTGGCAGACTGGTAAGATTCAAGTGGTTGTCGCTACAATTGCATTCGGAATGGGCATTGACAAACCCGATGTCCGATTTGTGGTTCACTCGTCTGTTCCCAAAAGTCTGGAAGGATACTATCAAGAGACGGGCCGAGCAGGAAGAGACGGAAAGAAATCCGGATGCTATCTTTACTTTGGCTATCAGGATGTCTCCATGCTGAAGGGCTTCATTGACAAAAGTGAAGGCAGCGAAGAGCAAAAGCAGCGTCAGAGATCGATGCTTCAACAAATGATCCAGTACTGCGAAAATCGGTCAGATTGTCGCAGATCACAAGTTCTAGCTTATTTTGGGGAGAAGTTTGTGAAGAAAGACTGCCATCGTACCTGCGACAACTGCTGCTCTGACGCCGTCTTCGATATAGTAGATTTCACGGACTATGCCAAAGCCGCTATGAGGGTTGTCAAACAAGTTCAGCTCTACTCCTTCACAATGCTCAATTGCGTAGAAGTCCTGCGTGGTACTGGTGGAGCCAACGCAAAGCTACGCCGGATGGAAGGCAGCATCGCAGAGTTCGGTGTCGCAAGTAAAGTGGCTCGGAGCGAAATCGAGCGGCTCTTTTACAGGCTCCTCTTGGAAAGGGCTATCATGGAAGACAGCGTTATGAATAAGAGCGGGTTCGCATCTGATTATGTCAAGGTAAGAACGAATTCCTTTGTCCGAATGCTCTCTTGTATAATGCTAAGGGATGTATAGCTTGGACCAAATTGTCGTGACTACATGACGGGAAAGCAGAAAATCTATCTTACTGTGGAAGTTCCAGGATCATCTCTTGCAAATCAGAAGTCTCAAGGTGTTCCAAAATATCCTACATCAACGATGCTAACATCCCCAATTTCTGCCGCTGCATGGAAATCAAAAGCGAATAATCCGGCAAGTAAAGGCGCGGGCTACGAGCGCGACGATTTCGTTGTCTCGGATGACGAAAGCGACACCGAGGAAGATGCATTTGAGTCAATGAAAGGAACTAGATGTCAAGCATTGAATACTCCAGTCAACAGCTTCGCTAGCCCAATCACAATAGATCAGCGTATGGCGGGCTTGCATGAGATCCATCGTGCTGTGGTCCATGAGTTTGTACCAAAAGCAAAATCTCTTGAAGAGAAACTGCGAAATAAGGCAGGCGCCAGGAGAGCTTTCTTCACGGAAAGCAACTTCCGAGATATGGCGATCAGCTTCACAACGACTTTGGATGCAATGCGCCAAATTCCTGGCATCAATGTTGAAAGGGTGGATACATATGGGAAACATTTCACTTCTTTGATCAAGCAATTCCAAACCGGCTATGAGGAGGCCATGGGAGGTGCCAAGCAGCAGGACCAAGATGAAGATATGGATACGAATCACCAGAATGTGATAGATCTTGTCACAGATGATGAAGGTGTGGACGACGAAGATCAGGGTATAGACGAGGAGGATGACGATTTTGAAGTCGATGAAGAAACTGAAGCTGCTATGCAGCTGGCTGAAAGATCACGATATTTTGAGGAGTCCAGTAACGGCCCATTTTCGAGAAACGGCTCCACAAATTCTGCGTCAACAGGGCAAAGCCGTGCTGGCAGTACTTATCGGGGTCGAGGTAAGAGTAGAGGGGGAAAGAGATACAAGCCAAGGACAAGCACTGGTTCTGCGTCTGGTCAAAGCACTTCTGGAGTGAGGAAGAAAAGCTGGCCTGGGCAGAGGAAATCTCGAGCCAGGAAGACGAGTGGTCTGAAATTTGCTCAGCAGAGCGGAAGGGCTGGTGGTAGTGGAGGGATGAGTATTGGGATGATGCCGACATGAAATGCCTGGTTACTGGAGTCGCCATTTGAAAGACTTATTTTTCTTGCTTGAGATAATTGGTATACGGGCTACAAGGAGTTATCTGTCATAGCACAGGGGCTAGGATTTTGGGTTTCGGGAGCTCTGAGCAGCGGGTTTTGGTCATGCTGTGTCACACCATTCATGGTATTGGTAGCTTCTTCTTGGGTGCTACTATGCTCATGCATCATGAGAAGCAAGAATTTCGAAGTACATTGTCATTTTTATTGAAGTACTAGCTTCTTGAGATAAGCCTAACTGCTTCTGAGCACAGAATTAAGACACTTTCAGCACCATTCTGTGCTCTTATCAAGCACTGCTGTGCGCCCTAAGCAATGTAAGGACCTGACGGTGGATGTCTAGGAGCTATTCAGCCAGGGCAAAGCTCCAACGTATTAGACGAAAATAAAGATATGATTTGGTACAACATCCTGCCTAGTGGGTTTGGTACTTTCCTCTATGACAGATGCAAGTGCAGGTGCCCAACATGCTTCGCTAGGAAGCTACCAGCTCTCGAACCACATCTCTCGAAGTAGCCCAGAAGTTCAGAAGCTAGCAGCTGATTGCGTAGAAACCAGTTTCTAAAAATGATCATAGACTTATATGACACGTCATCGAGTTCTCATCCTCGAGATCAAACCCTTTGTTGCCAACCCTTCCAGCATATTTGAGTTTTCATTTACCCCAATGGCGAGTTGTTTCATCTCTTCTCGTGCTGAAAATAGCGCTAGAAGCTTCGAACTTCTCTGCCCAAGTCTTTGCACCCCGTCCAGATGATCCATCATTCTCCCCCATAGCCTGTCGGTCTCGTGGAGCCATGTGTGCTAGTAGATGCCTTGGTTCGTGAACTAGGTATGACATATCGGCAGGCCAGCGAAGTACTATGGAAATTCAATGTTATAATTATTACCAATTAAATCTGAAGCTTGGGAGCATTCATCTCGCATGGTGATAGACTTCCTAAGTTTATTTCCAATATAGTCGACTCACCTTGATTGAGCAGAAATCCGGACGCAACGTCATTCTTAGCTGGGATTTTGATACCAACAACGCGCTGGAGAGTTTGTTCACTGGTAGCAAGCTCCCACGTAGCCAAATTCATAGCGATGAACTCGAAACCAAGGGAGATTGGCCATTTCCCCTGTTCTTCGATTGATCTGAGGTGTATTATGCCAAATCGTATCCTTGAACCAGTTTTCCTTGTGCCAAACTTGAGAACTTTTTCTAGCATGCCAGAGTGGTACTCGTCGACAGGCTTTCGAAGTTGTACGGTACAGGCAACCGTGGTTCCATCTTGGGAGATTCTCTGCTGTACCCTGAAGAGGCACAAGCAGCCGTTGAAATATAATTCTCCTTCAGCCCAGTCTCCATTGTATTTGTAAGTCTGTCTCCTCCCATTATCTGGTGGTGTTGCCGGTCCCAGCGAGAACATGCCAATTCTTTTTGTTGTGAAACTTGGATTGTAGGTCTCAAAGCCCCCCGTGGGTCCGGTGGGCTGTAGACAATCACGTAGTTACCTTCCAGACTCTCCTGGGCCTGTGTCCTTGTCAGTTGCCTATGTCAGGAACCATGATAGGCAGAGACACACTGACATGGATATAGCGCAGGTCATGGAAATAGGCCTCTCCAACGAAATCCGGCTCACGCCCGGATTGCTGCTCTATGCTGACATTGGGCAAGGCATAAGAGAGTGTATCTTTGACAGACATAGCACCACGGCCTGTGCCAATACCCCGATACATTCGAGCTGACTCAGCGGCTTGTTCCTCTCCATGGTCTTCATCTTGGTGGGACGTCTCAACGATCGGAAATTCTGGTGAGTGTTCAGATGTTGGAGTGGCCGCATGAATTTTGTGATTCAGTGACGATCTTGAAAGTCTCGTATCACCAATACCAGGCTGATTACTCTCGGCAGTTTGGTCTGACTTTGTTGATTGGATTGGCAGATGTGTTGCATCATGGTTTTTGAGAGATTCAATCGATCCTCAGTCATTGTCCTTGATTCTGAACTCATCCCGCTATCTTCACTAGTCTTGTATTCCATGTCAAAAGGGCTTCCAGCCTCGTGGTTGGGCAGATTCTGACATTGTTGAGAAGCGAAGCTTCTCGTTGGATTGCGGAGATTGGAGCTGACTCTGAAGATATGTCAGTATCGCTACTCCGCATGATATCTGTGTCGTTCCTCTGTTTTATTGCTTGTATCTTTGCGTTGTACGAACGTTGATTGACGCGTTCGCCACTGTTGTCGTCGTCAATCAACTTGACTGTTTGCCTGGAAGATGATTGCCTGGGAACTAATCTCGTAAATTCTTATTAGTTCTCAGAGCCTTCGTCAACGGGTCCAGGGTGGCAATGTTTCAACTTACAATCGCTCGGATTATTTCAAACTGCAGTTTTCATCTTCTTTATAGTGTTGGGGTTTGCTTGGGATACGTTCAGCTTCGCCTGATATATACAGAAAACTAGATAAGCGAGGTTAGCTTGAGATGTCCTCACCGTCATAACTTCACTACTACTGCGCCAAGAAGTGGGTGAATATATTTTATGTAGCTACTGTGAAGTCCTGCATGATTTCAAGCAAAGCGGCGTGCAAAGTCGATGACATGTGCTCTTCTTCATGTCGCATCTGAGACCAATGGAACCGTCTGCCTAGGGATAGCAAAGAGCATTAGGGTATCACATAATTAAGTAACACTCGATACTATGAGAAGGAGCGATGCAAGGTTACTGATTCAATCTCTATGATGTGCAAATATACCCTACACGCCAATGGCCTCCTTATCCCAGTGCTGCTGGTACAAAACTCCTCCACACGATAAAACTGGCCCCTCTTGCACCCCTCTGGAGCCAAATACATTATGAACAATAACGGCTGCTCCCAAAGTTGAAGCAATCTAACAAGTCATGGAGTACGGCCTTGCGTAGCTTTACCGGGTGTCATGAACAAGATGGTTGTTTGACGCTAGTTAGAGCAGAGCATGACATCAAATTAGCTACAACCTAAGAAACAATTCGAAACTGTGATTATGGAAGGGGCACATATGTAATGCCTGAGCAAACATAATGAAGGCTGTGAGAAGACTACGAGAGACCTTGCCAGCCAAGAGACGTTTGCTCAGATATTGATAAATTATATAATAGCAACCTTAAGCAACAGCCGACTGCTTTTCGGTGCAAAGTAAGGCATTTATAAATGCGTGATATCAGAATTCAAATTTGAGGCAGAAGGGACACTTGCCTGCAATGCTTAGACGATCTCAAGTGGAAGAGACAGGTGAGATGAAGGATACAATTTCGACGTCCCACAAAACGTAGAGCTGCACGACATTGATAATGAAGAAGTCTCGCTCCTGTGCCAATGTATCCAATTCCCAGCATGGCTTGGAACGTGTTGAGGCTTTGGCCTGGAGACCATGATCCTTCAGAATCCTGCCGCGTGTCTTATCCCCCAGCTTCAACAGCAGAAAGCATCAAAATAAAACAAAGAATGAATAACAAGCAGTAGAATCAGTCTGCGGCCCAAATAAGCAAGTTTCCAAGGGTTGACCTATCCTCCATACTTATCCAATGTTTGGAGAGAGCAGCTGGCTTTGGCTTTATTGATTGACCGTTGACCAAATCCATGATTATTGAGTTCGTATGGAAGGGTAAGAGCTTCCCCACAGGCTTGCCTAAATACTCACAGGGCACAAACTATTCTCTCTAGGTAGTTTTACAACGGTCCAAGTCGTTTTATTCATTACCTAGACACTCCTAATTCAAGTATGATATCTTGGCACAGCCGCTAAAAATAGATCCGGAAATGTGGTGAGGAGTTGAAAACCGCTTTCTAGGGTGTAGTCAGAAGCCTCTTAGAAGATTGAGTTACCGTAAGAGATATTTCTCAAAGCTACTTAGGTATCGTTTTCTTCGTGTGGTGAACTTCTATCGCTGCCTTGGATTGTCAGTGAGTGTTTCGTTTCGGACGCTGCCCCTGTCAGGACTCAGGAGTCGTTCGAACGGCGCTAGCTCGAAGGGTGCTTTTAAGTGGGACCTTCAAGTCCAGGTGTTGTTCGTGAAGAGGAAGACACCTGGAACCATCAACGCACTCCACATTACCTAGATCTCACCCTTCACATCACCACGTTCAGCATCCCAGACATTAATGGGAGCTTCGATAACGACGCACATCTACTTCTCCTTACATCATATTCGACTTGCTGAGCTTTGAGCACAGTCGCGGGTCCACGGCGCCCCTCGCGCAGCGCAAACAATAAAGATGGCGCCTGCTTTGCCCATCAGATTCACGGAGCTCCTCCAGGTGAGCAACAAGCTCAAATCCAGCTGCGTTCAAATGTGAAGACTACTAATATCTGCCTGCAGTTAACCAGCTCTTCAGTTGGTGTAGACGTAAGTTGACCTGAGTTGGAGGTCTCTGCGGTCATGGGCGAGGCGCCCAGGCAGCTCCTTTTGGCAATCTTAAACTGACATCTACATCTATAGCAAGCATCAATTGGATTCAACTCATGTGTAAGTATTCCGAACTTCGCGGGCGATATTCAGAGCTGAGCTGACCCCTTACTCAAAGACCCTCGAATCCGATTCCTTCATCTGCGTCCGCGAACAGAAAGCGGGAGCCGCATCCCCTGAAGTCGTAATCATCGAACTCAAGAATGGCAGCAATGTCATCCGCAGACCCATCAAGGCCGATAGTGCCATCATGCACTGGACCAAGAATATCATTGCCTTGAAGGCTCAATCCCGGACGCTCCAGATCTTCGACCTCGGTCAGAAGCAAAAGCTGAAGTCGGCTACGATGAATGAGGATGTTGTGTTCTGGAAGTGGTTCAGCGAAACAACATTGGGTTTGGTCACAGATACCGCAGTCTACCACTGGGATGTCTTCGATCCAAACCAGGCATCTCCAGTTGAGGTCTTCAAGAGAAATCAGAACTTGACCGTAAGCAACAGCCCTGGCAGATAACCGTCGTCAATTCTAATCTATTTCTAGGGATGCCAAATCATCAACTACCGAGTTAGCGATGATGGAAAATGGATGGTGGTCGTTGGTATCACGCAGCAGCAAGGACGAGTTGTTGGTGCTATGCAACTATACTCTCGAGATCGTGCTATCAGTCAAGCTATCGAGGGTCATGCGGCGGCCTTCGGAACATTAAGACTCGAAGGTGCTCCCGCGGATACTAAGGTCTTCACATTCTCTGTTCGGACAGCCACAGGTGCCAAGCTGCACATTGTCGAGGTCGACCACCAGGCATCGAACCCGGTTTTCCCAAAGAAGGCTGTCGATGTGTACTTTCCGACAGAGGCTGTTAACGATTTCCCAGTTGCTATGCAAGTCTCGCAAAAGTACAGCATCATTTACCTGGTTACAAAGTATGGCTTCATCCACCTTTACGACTTGGAGAGTGGTACATGTATTTTCATGAACCGGATATCGAGTGAGACTATCTTCATCACAGCTTCGGATGCCGAGTCAGCTGGTATCGTGGTATGTATCACCTCTTCAGGTCTATGTCGTTATTATGCTGTTTTTCCTTTTGCACTATATGTCCTGTCATATCCTCAGAAAATGAACTTTCCCTTCACTGCACGTGAGAGGATAATTAGCTAATTTGATGACCAGGGAGTAAATCGTAAGGGCCAGGTCCTATCTGTTGCAGTTGATGAGACCACCATCATTCCATACCTTCTTCAGAATCCTGGCAACTCGGGTCTTGCAGTCAAGCTTGCATCAAGAGCTGGCCTACCTGGTGCGGACAATTTGTATGCACAACAGTTCGATCAATTGCTCAGCGCCGGAAACTACAACGAAGCTGCTAAGATTGCCGCCAACTCCCCTCGAGGCTTTCTTCGCACCCCTCAAACCATTGAGCGCTTCAAGAGCTTGCCAGCTGTTCCTGGACAATTATCTGTCATCCTTCAGTACTTCGGCATGCTTCTGGACAAGGGAACCCTGAACAAGCACGAAACCCTCGAGCTCGTTAGACCCGTTCTTGCCCAGAACCGAAAGCATCTGCTGGAGAAGTGGATGAAGGAGAATAAACTTGATTGCTCTGAGGAGTTGGGTGATGTTGTGAGACCACATGATTTGAACTTGGCCCTTAGCATTTACTTGCGTGCAAATGTTCCTCCCAAGGTTGTGGCTGCGTTTGCGGAAACCGGCCAATTCGATAAGATTCTCCCATACGCCACACAAGTGGGTTACCAGCCTGACTACGTTGTGCTTCTTCAGAATATCGTAAGTTGCTCTTACCATGACCCGAGTACACGTTTCTAACCCCATGGTAGGTACGAATTAACCCAGACAAAGCCACTGAGTTTGCTACCCAACTTGCAAACAGCGAAGGTGGTTCATTGGTTGATATTGAGCGAGTTGTCGATGTCTTCCAATCACAGGGCATGGTCCAGCCCGCCACGGCTTTTCTTCTAGATGCTCTCAAGGACAACAAGCCTGAGCAAGGCCATCTTCAGACACGTCTTCTTGAGATGAACCTTGTCAATGCTCCTCAAGTCGCTGATGCGATTTTGGGTAATGACATGTTCTCTCATTACGATAGAGCCCGCATTGCAGCTCTTTGCGAGCAAGCTGGCCTCTCTCAGCGTGCCTTGGAGCATTACGATGACCCGGAGGCTGTCAAGCGTGTGATTGTCAACATCGTAGCAACACCGAACTTCAACCAAGAATGGCTCAACGGGTTCTTTGGTCGATTGTCACTCGAGCAATCACTGGACTGCTTGGATGCCATGTTGAAGAGCAACATCCGGCAAAATCTCGGAGCTGTGGTACAAATCGCAACGAAATATTCGGATCTTCTAGGCCCAACTAGACTGATTGATTTATTCGAGAAGTACAAGACGTCTGAGGGACTTTTCTACTATCTCGGTAGCATCGTCAATCTTAGCGAGGACCAAGATGTTAACTTCAAGTACATCGAGGCTGCTACTAAGATGGGTCAATTTGCTGAGGTCGAGCGCATTTGTCGTGACAGTAACTACTACAACGCTGAAAAAGTTAAGAACTTCTTAAAAGAAGCCAAGCTGACTGAGCAACTGCCTCTGATCATCGTTTGCGACCGCTTCAACTTCATTCACGACTTGGTCCTTTATCTTTACCAGAACCAACAGTTTAAGTCTATTGAGGTCTACGTCCAGCGAGTGAACCCAGCCAGAACCCCGGCTGTCGTTGGTGGCTTGTTGGATGTTGATTGTGACGAGTCGATCATCAAGGGCCTTCTCCAAACTGTCAACCCGGCTTCGATTCCCATTGATGAACTTGTCTCCGAGGTTGAATCCCGGAATCGCCTCAAGATTCTCCTTCCCTTCTTGGAGGCTACATTGGCCGCTGGTAACCAGCAGCAAGCTGTTTACAATGCTCTTGCCAAGATCTATATTGACAGGTATGTTACATTTCTGCTTGTGGGTGATTGACTGCTATCAAACCTTGCGACGTCATCTAAGTAGTTGCTAACCCTGCTTCGCAAATAGCAACAATAACCCTGAGCGCTTCTTGAAGGAGAATGATCAATACGACACTCTGATCGTCGGTATGTGATCCATGGCATTGAACTGCATGTGTCAACAGTCTGCTTACACTTTCTCTCAGGAAAATATTGTGAGAAGCGTGATCCTAATCTTGCGGTAAAGTCCCCCCTCTAACTTCTTTCCATGCATTACCACATTCCTCCAGAATATTCAGCAATTCCCATGCTAATTATCCATCAGTACATTGCCTATAGCAAAGGCAACAATGACTTAGAACTCGTCAGCATCACAAACGACAACTCCATGTTCAAAGCGCAAGCGCGGTACCTTCTGGAGAGAGCTGATAATGAGCTGTGGTCGTTCGTCCTAAGTGCGAACAACATCCATCGTCGGTCTGTCGTCGATCAAGTAATTTCGACTGCCGTTCCCGAGTCCACGGAGCCCGACAAGGTCTCTGTTGCCGTTGCTTCTTTCTTGGCAGCAGATCTTCCCGTGGAGCTGATTGAGCTGTTGGAGAAGATCGTGCTTGAACCATCACCATTCAGGCACGTTTTCCATACTCTACCTGACAGATACAAACTAATCCATATTTGCAGTGATAATGAGAACCTCCAAAACCTCTTGATCTTGACCGCGACGAAAGCAGATAAAGGCCGTGTCATGGACTACATCCACCGACTAGACGCCTACAATGCCCCGGATATTGCCACGATTTGCGTCGAAGTTGGTCTTTTCGAGGAAGCCTTTGAGGTCTACAAGAAGATCAACGATCATAAAAGTGCAGCCAACGTCCTTGTCGAGCACGTTGTTAGTATCGATCGTGCCCAAGAGTACGCTGAGCGTGTTGAGCTTCCAGAGGTATGGAGCCGAGTTGCCAAGGCCCAGTTAGATGGTCTCCGTGTCAGCGATGGTATTACTTCATACATCCGCGCTGATGACCCAAGCAACTACAACGAAGTCATTGAGATTGCTACCCATGCAGGCAAGGATGATGACTTGATCAAGTATCTTCGAATGGCCCGCAAGACCCTCCGGGAACCACCCATCGATACTGCCTTGGCTTTCGCCTATGCCCGTACCGACCAACTCAGCGAATTGGAAGACTTCCTCAGAGGTACAAACGTCGCTGACGTCGAGGAGTCTGGTGACAAGGCCTATGCCGAAGGCTACCACCAAGCTGCCAAGATCTTCTTCACGAGCATCTCGAACTGGGCTAAGCTGGCAACAACTCTTGTTCATCTCGAAGACTACCAGGCTGCTGTTGAGTGTGCCCGCAAGGCAAATAACATCAAGGTCTGGAAGCAAGTCAACGCGGCATGTGTCGAGAAGAAGGAGTTCCGACTTGCTCAGATTTGCGGCTTGAACTTGATTGTTGATGCCGAGGAATTGCAGGATCTGGTCAAGCAATATGAGCATAATGGCTATTTCGACGAGCTGATCACTCTCCTCGAGCAAGGCTTGGGTCTAGGTACGTTCGTTCCTTCCTTATGTTTTGATTCTCTCCACCCCCTTGCCCCTTCCCATTTAGCATTGCTCCTTCTGTATCATTCCCGGACGCAACAAGAAGCACAAGGACGGACCCAACCACCTCAAGATGGTTGCTGCTGCTCAAGCAGCTGAGACTGGCTCTTATCCGGTCTCACACCACTACAACTCGACTTTTTGGAGAATCGGGAGCCCCGATTCGGACGCATTCTTAGCTTCTCAAAAGTTCTTATCGACGGCGTCCATTAGCATGACTACACTTGGACTGTCGCTATCTCAGAAGTACTTTCGGACGCTGTCTGACCTCACTGGACCACGATTCGAACTTCTGGACTTTCCTTGTCACTAACATCCAACATCATCGCTATCACTGTCGCCTCCTGTTTCACTACTAACGATTTATCTCTAGAACGCTGTCATATGGGAATTTTTACGGAACTAGGCATCGCCTTGTCCAAATACCACCCAGATCGTGTGATGGAGCACTTGAAGCTTTTCTGGAGTCGTATCAACATTCCGAAGATGCTTCGCGCCACCGAGGATGCTCATCTCTGGCCAGAGTTGGTTTTTCTGTACTGCCACTACGACGAATGGGACAATGCAGCTCTTGCCATGATGGAACGCGCTACTGATGCCTGGGAGCACCACTCCTTCAAAGACATTGTCGTCAAAGTTGCAAATTTGGAGATCTACTATCGAGCTCTCAACTTCTATCTTCAAGAGCAGCCTTCTCTCCTGACCGATCTGCTTCAAGCTTTGACACCCCGCATTGACGTCAACCGCGTTGTGAAGATGTTCGAGAAGTCGGACAATATTCCTCTTATCAAGCCATTCCTCCTCAATGTTCAATCTCAGAACAAGAAGATTGTCAATAGCGCCATCAATGACTTATTGATCGAGGAAGAGGACTACAAGACCCTGCGTGATTCTGTTGAGAATTATGACAATTACGACCCTGTCGAGTTGGCTCAACGTCTCGAGCGTCATGACTTGGTATTCTTCCGCCAGATTGCTGCCAACATCTACCGGAAGAATAAGCGTTGGGAGAAGTCAATTGCCCTTTCTAAGCAAGACAAGCTGTTCAAGGATGCCATTGAAACCGCTGCTATGTCTGGCAAGTCAGACGTTGTTGAGGAATTGTTGAGATATGTACGTACACCGGAGACAGAAAGATAAGACCCCTCGCTAACCTAGAACACAGTTCGTCGATATTGGAAGCCGTGAGTGCTACGTCGGCATGCTCTATGCTTGCTACGATCTCATCCCGATTCACGTCGTCCTGGAAATCTCATGGCGTCATGGTCTTACTGACTACACGATGCCCTTCATGATCAACTATCTTGCTCAACAGAGTTCGACTATCGAGATCTTGAAGAAGGACAACGAGGAACGCAAGTTGCGTGAGAAATCACAAGAGAAGGAGGAGAGCAATGCTCCTATCCTTGGAGGTAATCGACTTATGATCACTGCTGGCTCAGCAGGCGGACGTCAGTCACCAGCTCCCTTCGCCCAGACAAACGGATTTGCGCCACAACCAACTGGCTATGGTGGATTTTAAGGTTGGGGGATGACAGGTACAAATTTACATAATGACGGAGCATCTGGGGGTGTACCTTTTCTGGTTTTGACAGCGGGGGTTATTCTTGGGGTTCATGTCTCATATTTCCCATCATGACTGTAGTTGTATGGCCTCCGTGCATTGGGTGGTTTCCTGACAAGGTCCACCGGATGGGGCACACCTGTAACTGATAGGAGCGTTCGTACTTTGCGTTTTCTAGATTCTCTGATGTATTCTGAAAAGCCCTTTTTCACACATGTCCAGCATACTTTTGCACGATTGCCCTTTCGACATGTGAGTAGCAGGTTTACGACAGGGTCACTCGACTCAGAGAAACCTTCCAGTCATGCTAGATCCACCAGCGAGCGTGATAAATATTCACATGGCTTACACTTGCTCGCCTGCTTCAGACCTGACTCCATTGAGGTATTTCTTTCGAGCGGCTATAGTCGGTAGCAAATGGATGCACGGCGGAAATACATGTGTTAGTAGTGCTCCAATCTGCTCGCATCATCTCAGCCTCGCTCGTCTCATCCTTGCAGAGTGCTGCCGAACTCGGCGCCTGGTGGAGAAATTTGCACACGGCTGTTATGCTTCACATGAGGTAACAGGAAAAAATATCTCGAGGCTTGCTTCCAACAGCTTAGCTCTTGGCTGTGACCCTTGGCGTGTGACTCCATTCGATAACTGCACCGACAAAGAAACTTCTGCCAGGAACATGATTGACCATCAGTACAGTACTGTAGGTTAGTACCTAGTCTTCCACGACAGTCTACTCGCCCATCCAGTTTTCGGCAACCCTCCGATGTAATTTTCCCCCTTTAGTTTCTTTTCATCTCGCAGATGTAAAAAGTTTTTGCAGCATCAATTTCTGGATTTGCGCGGACTTCTTTTGTTCGTGGATATGATCACCGGATAGTTACATCTGCCTCAGCACTGACAGATACACACTTGAACGGATAGCAGCAGATCAGTTATAATGAAATACTTGGAATACTTGGCAGTAGATCTCCAAGTCTCCACTGTGCTGTATCAGCTGTGTCTATCTATATCTCTGTTTTGTTTGACTGTGAGCCCGCCGAGCATTGTGCTCCAACACATATGTCATAGCTTCAGAAGCTTATCGCGGGAGGGGGGGGAGTTCCACTGAGTGCCATTATCGCCAGCCAGGGCCAGGAGGTCCCCGCCTGTTGCAGCGATCCCCGGCAATGAAACTCAATTACAGCATACTGCAGATGCACGGAAACTTCAGATCTGCGTGCGACTCGCCAGATCTTGCATACCTACTGTATTGCCATATCGGGCGACTGTGATTGGCTCCGGGCCAAAGAAGTGTCATATTGTGAGTAGCTAGGTATGCGGGTAGCGTGGGCGTGGGACTCGGGAGTGGGAGTGGGAGTGGGTGGAGAATGCCTAACGAAGTAAGATACAGTAGGAACCTTGAAAGCAAAGCCAGGGGCGGCCAGCAGGGCTCGACAGGGCAAGTAAATACAGTAAGGTAAGGTAAATTTATGTCAGTAATCAGGGCACGGGCACGGGCACGGGCACGAGCACGAGCACCGTACAGCAACCCCACCGACTGACTAGGTAGGGTAGCTCGGTACAGTAGGTACCTTACCTCACCTTCCATACCCTACCTACAACCAAGCCTACCTTCCTACCTATTGTACGACCCAGCCCACGCCCAAGACCAAGGCTGGCCAAACCAAAACACAGCTTCCATACGGAGGTACCACGAAACTAATCCTACCTCAAGGTAGGTAATTACTGACGCCGAGCGAACGGCAGGCAAGGTTTGGTTGAGAGACAGGACACACCAAGATCAGATCAGACAAGCTAGGACTCGACTAGGACCAGAGGCAGGAGCAGGACAGCACTGCACTGCACTGCACAGGATAAAATAGATAAAACTCCCAGGTCCCCCTCCAGCTTGAACCATTTCCTCGTCCTTGTATCATTCTCGTTCTCGTTCTCGTTCTCATTCTCATCAACTCGAGCTGCCCCTCCTCCATCGCCATACAATTACTCCCTACCTGCACCCTGTCAACACCGCTTATCCGGGTTGGGTTGAGTTGATCCCAACCAGCTACTTGGTAGCGTTGCTGGAGAAGCTCTGTTCGAATCAGCTCAATCTAATCCAATCCAATTGACCCCTCATCCATTCCTCCCCACCCACCACGGTGTCCGGTTGAGCTCGGCTCTTCGCTCCCTATTGCAGCGCAGCCGGCGCCCGCATAGCTTGCCTTGGTTGCATTGTCAACACCCAAGCTCCGTTCATTGTTCACTGCTCGTTCCTTTCCTCCTGTCCCCAAAACACCACTGCAATCATGACGGACAACCACGATCCCAATGGCGCTTACAGCGAGGTCTTTGAGGAGGGCAAGGACTCGCAGCAATCGCAAAACATTCACCGCATCCGCGCCAATTCTAGTATCATGCAACTGAAGAAGATCCTCGGTGAGTACAGGTCCGGGCCAGCTCTTGGCTTGTTGTAGAAGCTCTTCCTGCGAAATCCATTGTGCTAACCTGGAGTCTTGGGACGTTACAGTGGCCAATCGAGGAGAAATCCGTAAGTACATCCTTTTCCCATATCTGCTGTGCGAGGGTACGAGGCTGACTCTGTGTAGCTATTCGTGTATGTGCCCTGCTTTGCGGGGTAGCCATGAGCAAGTTGCTAATCTCTGCGTTTGATTCTCTAGATCTTCCGTACTGTAAGTGCCAGCTCTGACCGCCTCTTTTGGAGCTTTGTGAGCTTTTCTGCAGCTGCTGACTCGCAATCAGGCCCACGAACTTTCACTCCAGACCGTCGCAGTCTTCAGGTACCAATTGGAAAGTTGGCGATGCATACGCGGGGCTAACGGGTTGGCAGTTATGAGGACCGACTTAGCATGCACAGACAGAGTCAGTAAACCCTCCTACAATCAACCTCTACGATCAATTGCTAATTGTGTTTCTTCGTGCAGAAGCCGATGAAGCTTATGTTATCGGAAAGCGCGGACAATATACTCCAGTTGGTGCTTACCTGGCGGGGGACGAGATCATCAAGATTGCCCTGCAACATGGAGTCCAGATGATTCATCCTGGTATGGAATCTATACCTCCCTACCAGTGTATATTCTAACCTTCCACCCAGGTTACGGATTCCTGTCCGAAAATGCAGAATTTGCTCGAAATGTTGAGAAGGCTGGCCTCATCGTATGTTACTTTTACATGTGATTCCTTTTGGCTTCTTGCTAACGTTTGCTTGCAGTTTGTCGGACCTTCCCCGGAAGTTATCGATTCGCTTGGCGACAAGGTCTCTGCGAGAACCCTTGCTATCAAGGCCGGCGTGCCAGTCGTTCCTGGAACCGAGGGAGCAGTCGACAAATTCGAAGATGTGAAGAAGTTTACTGATGAATATGGATTCCCGATTATTATCAAGGCAGCATATGGAGGCGGTGGACGTGGTATGAGAGTTGTCCGAGAGCAGAAGGACTTGGAAGATTCCTTCCAGAGAGCCACCTCTGAGGCCAAATCTGCTTTTGGCAATGGCACTGTCTTTGTGGAGCGATTCCTCGACAAGCCCAAGCACATCGAGGTTCAACTTCTGGGAGACAACCATGGAAACATCGTTCATTTGTATGAGCGTGATTGTTCCGTCCAGCGAAGACATCAAAAGGTGGTCGAACTTGCCCCCGCCAAGGATCTCCCGGCCGATGTCAGAGACAACCTCTTAAAAGATGCTGTAAAGCTCGCCAAGTCAGTCAACTACCGTAATGCTGGAACTGCGGAGTTCTTGGTTGACCAAAAGAACCGCTACTACTTCATCGAGATCAACCCTCGTATCCAGGTCGAGCACACCATCACTGAGGAGATCACTGGCATTGATCTTATTGCCGCTCAGATCCAAATCGCTGCAGGCGCCACATTGGCTCAGCTTGGACTTACCCAGGACCGAATCTCTACCCGAGGTTTTGCTATCCAGTGCCGTATCACGACGGAAGACCCTGCAAAGGGTTTCTCGCCAGATACCGGAAAGATTGAGGTTTACAGATCGGCTGGTGGTAATGGTGTCAGATTGGATGGTGGAAATGGATTTGCAGGTGCAATCATTACTCGTGAGTCTTCCTTGATTTAGCTACCGTGTACGGACTGTTCGTCGACGATCATGCTCTGTTATGAGAGTTCTGAGAGACTTTTGTGATATCTGTTGGCTTCATTTCATGCTCGGATACCTAGCCGGTCTTTCTTCATTTGCTAACATGCAGACTAGCCCACTACGACTCTATGCTTGTGAAATGCACTTGCCATGGTTCTACCTATGAAATCGCTCGCCGCAAGATGCTTCGTGCATTGGTCGAATTCCGCATCCGTGGTGTCAAAACCAATATACCTTTCTTGGCATCTCTTCTCACCCATCCAACATTCATCGAAGGCACTTGCTGGACTACTTTTATTGACGATACGCCTGAGCTTTTCGATCTTGTTGGCAGTCAAAACCGTGCCCAGAAGCTAGTAAGTCTCACATTTTCCCCAGCCGCGAACCAAACCGTTGTTCGGTAAATGCTCATAAGATCAGTTGCTAACCCGATGGCCAGCTCGCGTATCTTGGTGATGTTGCCGTCAATGGTAGCAGTATTAAGGGACAGATCGGTGAGCCCAAATTCAAGGGCGACATCATCATGCCTGAGCTCTTCGATGATGCTGGAAAGAAGATCGATACCAGTGTTCCATGCCAGAAGGGATGGAGAAACATTATTGTTGAGGAGGGCCCAGAGGCTTTCGCGAAGGCTGTCCGAAAGAATAAGGGATGCCTACTCATGGATACGACTTGGCGTGATGCTCACCAGTCGCTTCTCGCTACGCGTGTGAGAACAGTTGACCTGTTGAACATCGCTAAGGAAACCAGCCATGCTTACAGCAACCTCTACAGTCTCGAGTGCTGGGGTGGTGCCACTTTCGATGTTGCCATGCGTTTCCTCTATGAAGATCCATGGGACAGACTCCGGAAGATGCGAAAGTTGATTCCCAACATCCCCTTCCAAATGTTGCTCCGTGGCGCCAATGGAGTGGCGTACTCATCGCTACCAGACAATGCAATCTTCCACTTCTGTGAGCAAGCAAAGAAGCAGTAAGTAGCGTTCCCAATCCAAGCGAGTTCTTCTACTTAGATGCGCCCGATACTGACCTCGGCTAGCGGAGTGGATATTTTCAGAATTTTCGATGCCTTGAATGATATTGCACAACTTGAGGTTGGTATCAAGGCTGTGCACAAGGCCGGCGGTGTTGTTGAAGGAACGGTGTGCTTCAGTGGCGACATGCTTGTGAGTTTATAGGGTTTCTATTCACATTTCCCCCAGACTTTCGAAGTACTAGTGTACATTTGTGCGCCGAGCGTAAAAGGTATGATATCCAACTCCAATGTCAGGACTTCATTTCAGGACATTTTGGGACCTCTCTGGAAATAGCAGGACCTTGTTGAGCCCGGCTCAGACAACTCCTTGCTCATGTGGCCGCCTCAGTAGCCATGGCAGGGCTCTTTCCATCTCGACTGGATGTACCTTCCTCTGAAGGTGGGCAAGCATTTAGGGGCATTTCCCTCATCTTGCACCCTCATTCATCCTCAACTTACATCATCGGCCTCAATCTCTTCACCACCAGAGCATCAAAAGCCCAGGGCAATTGAGCTTCTGCCACCTACAGCATCCGTCTACAGCACTCAACTCAGAGTCGTCAGCCCAGGTCAACTGAGTTTCGGTCTCTGTATACAGCACACAGCTCATTGTCAGATGCTCAGGGCAATTGAAAATGGCGCCCTCTACTACCGATATCATTGTCTTCATGGTTTGGCTCTGCTGGAGATGTCTATCACTCTCTCCGGCTAATCGGAAGAACCCAACCTTTGCTTCGATCATTCCAACTCAAGAAGTGCTTCACGAGCTTTTCGGACGGCGTATGATCAGCTTCGCCCCCGATCTACTCCGAGTCGTTCAGTCCACGACGCCACCTAGCATTTTGTTCTTCAAGAGCTTGCCGTCCAACTTCACCAAGATCTGGGGTGTATATGTACTTGTGCTGGAAAAAGTGGGCCATCGACCTCTGCTCTACATTGGCTGTGGAACCGAGAAGCGCAGCGGTGTCATCACGCGCATGGGACAGTGCAATTGCGGAGAGAACTTTCCGAGCAACGTGAAGCGTGCTGTTGATGAGGGATATGTCATAACCCACAAAGGCCTTCTCTGCTGGATGCCACTCCCACCTGCGTCTCTAAGAGTTCCGCTTCGCGCCTTATTTCTCCTCCTCGAAGCTTCATTCACACTCTTCTTCTGGTCAATGAGAAACCGAAGCAAGACCTACAAAGGGTACCCTAATCTCTGTCCGTGGGCTGCAGAGACTCTGGAATATGATGGATTGTGTGGACATCTCTCTCTGCTGGAACAGATTCACGAGTCTGATCAGATTCTCACTGCTGAGGAAATCGATGCAATCGAGGCAGAGCGAAAGCTTCGTAACAGTCGTCGAGATGCTGCAACTCGCGGTCCAGAGCGGATTGCCCTTGACAATAAAAACAAAAGAGAAAAAGCATTGGCTGAGGAGAAATTCAAATGCAACATCTGCAACGTCAAGTTTGGCGCAGGAAATCAACTGAGAAATCACAAAGGCACCCAAGGTCACAAGAACAAGGCTGCTGGTATCGTCAAGGTTGTCAAGAATCCAGCGGCTAAAGAGCGTCACAACAATAATTCTCACTACGAAGAGATATCATTGTGCGACATGTGACTACACAGGAAAGACTCAACAGAAACTCAACTATCATCTTGGTACGGCAAAGCATGCAAACGCGGCTGCTTTGGCCGAGTCGGGCTCTTAGCTCGACTTTCCCGTACAATGATTCAAGTTTTGGAGTGATCAGACGCCGTCTGATAGCCATTCTTACCATGGGAATATTTGAGCCGGGCTCAGTAACCTACCGCTTGGACTCTGTTGCACTCGCTTGCCCGGGGCAGCTGAACTTGCGAATAATCGATAGTCATCTCATTGTGTCATTACAGGATCATCTTTCATGTACTAATTACCCGCCCAGAATCCCAACAAGAAGTACAACCTTGAGTACTACTTGAACCTGGTCGATGAACTTGTTGCCCTCAAGATCCACATTCTTGGAATCAAGGACATGGCTGGCGTTTGTAAGTTCACCCTGAAAACCGGATAATGTGATTACTGACTCTTGTGTCAGTGAAACCAAAAGCTGCGACTCTCCTCATTGGCGCCATTCGCAAGAAGTATCCAGATCTTCCCATTCATGTTCACACCCATGATTCCGCTGGAACAGGTGTTGCCTCGATGGTTGCATGTGCAAACGCTGGTGCCGATGCTGTTGACACTGCAACTGATTCCATGAGCGGAATGACCAGTCAGCCATCTGTTGGTGCAGTCTTGGCTTCTCTGGAAGGTTCCGATCTCTATCCGGGCCTCAACGTTCATCATGTCCGCGCGATTGACACCTACTGGGCTCAGTTGCGTTTGCTCTACTCGCCTTTTGAAGCTGGCCTCAGTACGTAGAACCTTTCTCATAAAGTGCTTCTTGACTAACATTCTCTCAGATGGACCCGACCCAGAAGTGTACGAACACGAGATCCCTGGAGGTCAATTGACGAATATGATGTTCCAAGCCTCTCAACTTGGTCTTGGTGCTCAATGGGCTGAGACCAAGAAGGCCTACGAACAAGCAAATGACTTACTGGGCGACATCGTCAAAGTTACTCCAACATCGAAGGTAGTTGGCGATTTAGCTCAGTTCATGGTCTCCAACAAGCTTAACTTCGATGACGTTCAAAAGAAGGCTGGCGAGCTTGATTTCCCAGGATCAGTTCTCGAGTTCTTCGAAGGTCTCATGGGCCAGCCATACGGAGGATTCCCCGAACCCCTCAGAACAAATGCCCTTCGTGGTAGACGCAAGCTTGATAAGCGACCTGGTCTGACCTTGGAGCCTCTCGATCTTGCAAAGATCAAGAAGGATATTTACAACAAGTACGGAAGTGTTACCGAATGTGATGTCGCCAGCTACGCCATGTACCCCAAGGTGTTCGAAGATTACCGCACTTTTATCCAAAAGTATGGTGATCTGAGTGTCCTACCAACTAGATACTTCTTGTCAAAGCCAGAGATTGGAGAGGAATTCCACGTTGAGCTTGAGAAGGGCAAGGTCCTCATCTTAAAGCTTCTTGCCGTTGGTCCTTTGTCGGATACCACTGGCCAGAGAGAGGTTTTCTACGAGATGAATGGTAACTATGCCATCTCGATTGTCAGAATGAGTGCTAACGATTTGTAGGCGAGGTTCGTCAAGTCACAGTCGATGATAATAACGCTGCTGTTGAGAATACCAGCAGACCCAAGGCCGATCCTGGAGACAGCAGCCAAGTTGGAGCACCTATGTCTGGTGTTGTTGTTGAGATTCGTGTCAAGGACGGTGGCGAGGTCAAGAAGGGTGATCCAATTGCTGTCCTGAGCGCAATGAAGATGGTGAGTTTGCCCTATGTCTTGGAAATGCGGAATGCTAATACAATGGACAGGAAATGGTTATCTCCGCGCCCCACGCTGGCAAGGTCGGTTCCATCCAGATCAAGGAGGGTGACTCGGTCGGAGGATCAGATCTTATCTGTAAGATTGTCAAGCCAGGTGACAAGTAGATATTTTGAGCGTCTTTTGGAGCATGGGGAAATGGGCTGAAGGAAACGAAGTGGATGATGATGAATAGACGATACGAGCAGCAGTCTTAAGGATTTGCTTGTTGATTGGAAGGTTATAACACGTTCTTACTTGACCTAGTCATGATTACTCGCGCACCCATTCAGTCTGTCAATGAATGATATCAATAACTTTCTCTATATACTGTATCGAAAAACTGCTTTTTTTTCAGCATCAAATGTGGTCTCGGGAGCATCTATAATTGAACGACACTCGGGAGGACACAACAAGCATCTCACACAGCACAGCAATGAATTTAAATGGATCTCGGAACTCCAGTCACGGCCCCTTCTGGGAATGCAAGAAAGTTTTGTTGCAAGTCGCAGGCCGCCCTCTTTGTCGCCCTTTTCGGACTTCTCTACCGCCCTCTCGCCGTCCACCAATCATCTTCTGGCAACGCGCATGAGGGCGGTCTTTGTTGCACGCCGCGGAGGTGAGTTGGCCTCCCACATTCCTCACCCCGCCTCTGGAAAGCTCGTTTCTCGAAAATTTGGAGGTGAAGATGAGGTGGTGTTGACTTGAAATTGTGGGTCAGGGGAGATGATCGAGCGCTAGAGGTTTCCATCGAAGGAGAAACCGTTTCAGCGAAATTTGCGGGTTTGAGGGCGGGTTTTGACAGTTTGAATGATGAAAAACAGATGTAGAGAAGTGAGCCTTTGGAAAGGCTTATGCTCGGTACTGCCTGGTGTGGGAGGGCGAGATTTACGGGTTGTGATTGGATGATCTGAGAACATCAAGAGCATGTACTCGAGTACAGTACTTACGTCCCCAGTGCCCCACAAGCATCATAGACAATTTAGCATTTCTTCGTCACAATCCAAGAGCTGACAAGCTGTTGGACAATGTATTTTCATAGTCAGCAAAGTCACGAATTCCTAACAAATCTCACGTGTACGATTTCCCAAAGTCAGCAAGATCTACACATCCAAAGGACGAGACCCCGCGATCGCACTAACACGGGAAGCTCCTCAACTACTCGTCATGACTTGCTCACCGTGGAAAGGCTCTTTGTTTCACAGACCCTCGTCACGCAAGGAGCATGTGCCCTTCAAATTCCGAGAGTTTGATTGGGCTTTCGAGCTCGATTACTGTGGACGATCTGAATCGGAAGTCTTGTCCTTCTAAGGGTCTGGGGGAGGTGTGGAGGGGTAGGTTTTTGCCGGTTTGGGTATGGACCGAAGGGTTTTGGTTGGTTAAGAAGAAGGGATCATGCCATTTGTGAGGGGTAAGTTCTACCTCTATGTACGAGGCTGAGTGTATTGGATGCGCGATGATGGGCAGGCGAGATGGATGAGTAGGCCGGTTGATCAACGTCATTATTAATGCTTTTCATGGATTGGGATTGGAGTGGATTGCAAGAACGCTATTGTGAGGCATGGCCTCCTCCGGTATGTACTGGGAGGGGAAAGATAGGTGATATATGAGTGACCTCCCCTCACTTTTCTGATCTATGTGTATTCTACACACCCTCTACAATTTTCATACCAATTCCATATCTATCTTCAGCGTTCACACAAGAATTCATCAGTTCGAATCAATCTCAATCTTCAATATGGCCTCATCAGGAAAGACTACTGCTGTCACTGGAGGAACTGGTATCGAGTCCACACCAGCCAATAACGTTGGAGGTACCGATACCGCCAGAAGGGTCAGTGCAATCAGCATTTTTTTTTACCAAATACTTCCAAGTCCCATGTGCAAGATCCGAGCCTGACATGTCCTCTGTTCAGAACTCGAACACTCTCTTTTCAGGTCTCATGAACCAGAAGCGAAATAGCCAAGATGCCAACGCCCAAGCACGACGAGAGAGCTTCAATGATATGAAGCCTGCTACAGGAGTGATTGGGAAGATGTGGAACAGGTACGACCATTGAATACATCTAATTACAAAAGGTTATCAGGCTGACATGTGTTACCTTAGCTTCACCTCCGGATCATCACCAAAGTAGACTTTCCGAGCTTTCATGGAAGGGGATAGGGACAGAACGGAGATGATTGTACGATTCTATTATGTTTCGATAATGAAGTCCAGCAAATGAGCGTGCTGGACGGCGTGGATGGCGCTGTGGGAATGTGATGCATATATCTGTACCCGTATTTTGAAATCTATTACGATTACATAATTGCTATGACCAATTTGCCGTCCAATATCAGTACTTTTTACCAGTCGGAAGTAAACCATCTTAATGTGAATTTCGGATGCACAAACAGTGTGATCAGGGTGTCCAGGAGATGTAACGCCCTGTCGATCGAAAATGCCAGAAAGCTTGAGATCTGGAGCAGGATTGCACTAGCGACCATGGTGCATTCTTCCAGTCCTAGCGCTGTCCTCAGGAACAAATTTAGAGACCCTTAATTCAAGATGACGCTTCGATGTCCGCCGCTTTGTTAGGTGAGAAACATGAATAGCCAGTTAGATTGAGACAAAGGTTGATTATCTAAAGTAGGGAAGATGGTAGATGTAAAATGATCATGGTACCTGGAAGTTTTTCCCATCTGAATGATTATAATTCTTTTTTCACTTAAGAGAGTTGTTCTGTTATATATCACTATCCTACTCTTGAAAGCACGACCTCAATAACAAAACCGAAGATGTCCAACTCAGCAAATTCCGCAGATCAGACAGGCGAGAAGTCTTTCCTCTCAAATCTTATTTCTGGCAAGACGCCAGGAGTCAAGAATATTGAGGCGGCATATAGTCGCGCGGGAGCGTCGAACAACCACACGCCAGGAGTTGCAAGTCAGTTAGGCAGTCAGGATCAGAGGAGTGGTGCGAGCGAGCACCAGGGAGTAGGAAGTGCAAAGTTCAAGGAAGGATTCAGTGACCAGAGACAAGAGGTATGTTTTCTGTTTAGAGTTGATCGTTATGATTGATCAAGAGTCGGGTGCTGATGAAATGATCTGGTAGCCTTCGATTATTGGAAAGATGTTCAATAATGTTATAAATGGGACGGACTCGACAAAGTGAGGAGGTTTTGATCTTTCACCGAATTATGTATAGGACTTATTGTGGAGTAAACCATAGACAGAACCGGGCATTGACGAGGGGTGTTGGGATACAGCCACTTAAGACAGGCACTTGACATAAAATCTCTTCTTGTACGATAGATCAGTAATCTGAAGGTTTCGGGTTTGATATGTTCATTGGCTATGTAATCCATGTGCCAGTGATCACATCTTCCACGGTCCAAGTCTGCAGTGTGACATATTTCCTCGCACACGGGAGAGAATCGTGAAAACTCCCAACTCCAAGTATAAAATTCACGAGATAAAAAGAAATGGTGTAGACTGCTACAAGCCGGTATGGGAGCCGGTCGGGCTTTTGGCCGTAGCTTCTCCATTGGAGTGCTGGTGTTGATGAGCTGCTTGTTTTGTGGCTGTCATTCAAAGTACATGCAAATGTCCGAGATCAAACCAGCACGCCCCATCCCAACCCAGTCATGCAATATCTACCACTTTTGAGTTCAGCCCGTTTATCTGACAATTCCCTCGAATCTGTTCTTGAACCACTTGACGGTCTCCTCACGCTTGATCTTGTGAGCAGATCCAACGTGAGTCTTGCAGCGGCGGCGCTTGGCAACACGCTCACCAGGACGGGTCCTACAATCTTGTCAATGGCGGTCCAGTATCCTTCCAGATTGTCCAGATACTCACATGCAGCAGAAGAAGTCCATTCCGTAGATACCGATCGCAGGGTCGTACTTGATACCGAGATCGATGTGTTCGCTGATACCGAAACCGAAGTTACCAGTCTCGGAGAAGTTGCGCTTGCGGAGCTCGTACTCCTTGACCTTCAATCCACGCTCCAAGATCTCCTCAGCCTTTGGTCCGCGGACAGTGACGTGAACGGCGATCTTCTCGTTACGACGGATACCGAAAGTTCGGACAGTGTAACGGGCCTTGCCTATGGGAATTGGGTCAGAACTTGCGCGCGGAGATCGTGGAGAAGAGGGTCATACTGTAGACTGGGGTTTGACCGCTCAGCTGCTCAAGAACTTTAGCTGCCCGGGTAAGTCTCTATATATAATGTCAGTATGAGCTCTGTGCAGACTCCTTGTGGCTGATGATTGAAGATATCCAATGTTCGTAATCTTGGCGGGGATTTTCATGGCGCGAAAAGACGTACATCACCAGACTCTCCAACTGAGATGTTAAGAACGAGCTTCTGGATGCGGAGCTCCTTCATGGGGTTGCCGCTCTTCTCTCCGGATTCAGCCATTATGATTGATGCTGAGGGGTTGTCGTGAAGGTGTGTTTGTCGTCGTGGAGTTGGATTGTAAAAGTTCGATGATTCCCAAATTCAACCTGTGTGGTCGGCCGCATCGCTTAAAATAAAATACGTTAAACCTTTTTTGAACTAGCGCAACAATTTTGGAGGCTCTTGACAACTGCCCCAGAATGCTCTCAGGAACACCAGGTCTCAACTCCATAAGCTTGTCCAAGCCCAAGAGAAAGACTGAAGTCATAGTACTTCAAATCATATTCTTTGAAACCCCAGAGAAGCCCTTGTCGTGCATCTCAAAATCATCATGGCGAACAAGCAAGGAAAGATGGTAAGTTAGACTTCCTCCTCCTCCAGCTCTTCAAGCTCTATGTTGACATTGTAGGCTGACTTCTATCCTCTGTCTAGGCCGGCCTCGTACGTTACATCCTGTGCGCAAGCTCTTGAAGCTCTCACGATTAACAATCTGGCGGAACGCGTACTGATATGTTTTTAGATCAATTACCGGATGAGGGTGACCATGAATGATGGACGGCAAATGGTTGGACAGATGTTGGCTTTCGACAAGGTGCGATCTTCATGTACTGGAAAAATCTTGGGCAATTGCTTACTTTTGGAATAGCACATGAACTTGGTGCTCGCGGATACCGAGGAATTCAGACGTGTCAAGCGCAAGGCAAACAAGTCTGCCGCTCCAGGCGCCAGCGGCAGCTCAGCAGCGATGGTCGAGAACGAAGAGAAACGTACACTGGGTCTTACGATCGTCCGTGGGGCACATATTATCTCCCTCTCAGTCGAGTCTCCTCCCCCAGCAGATCCATCCGCGAGGTTAGGAGCTAGTGCACCAGGTGGAATCTCAAGTACATTGGCTGCTGGTGCTGGAATTGCGAGACCTGCTGGACGAGGCGCACCTGTTGGATTGGCCGTACGTGTATATCCTTGATATGGTTCTTTTGGATGTGTGCTAACAGTGACTAGGGCCCAGCGGCTGGTGTTGGTGGTCCTCCATCAGGTTTCCCAGGTGGCTTCCCAGGCGCACCTCCGTTTGGCAGAGGAGGTAAGATATCCTTGCTCTGAAGTAGAGGATTGCAAGAACTAACTTGCTACAGCACCACCCCCCGGATTTGCTGGCGGATTCCCACCAGCAGGTGGACCAGGTGGATTCGGACAAGGACCACCTCCGGGATTTCCTCCGGGAGGCTTTGCTCCTCCCCCAAGAAGATAGTCAGAGCGTTGTTTATGAATGAAGGCACTGTTTATGAGGAAATTGGGCACAGGCGGACAAAAATCCTGCACAAGAATGGCGTTGATGGGGAGTTTGGCTTTACATACCAAAACTGCAGATTTGTAGCATAGACAGCCACCACAAATCAAGTGAACGTTGATGTCTACTTATACTTCTACTTCGTGATCAGAACATTTAAAACGAAACAGAATTTGCATGGATTACAGAAGCTTGCTTTGGGAGGGGTATTTGATCGCACGTGACCGTTCCTACTATTTCGGAGGGAGCTGCTTCGGCGGATAATTGCGATGAATCCCAACATATCAAGAACTCGTTCTCACCACCGACACTCTCCACTCCACCACATTACCTCTCATAATGGCGGCCTTTATCAAAGCAGTGAACGCGAAGATTCGCTCAAACCCGACCACCAACTACCTCTGTTCCACACGTACGTGCTCTCTTTAACTCCTCGAAAAATGTTGGCAATCAGTCATTCCGACTTTGCGATTCGGCGTTGAGCAGCTGTCCCGGGACCTGCTCGCCATACGAACGAGAGATATTGTAAAGGACTGGAATTGGACTCTGCTGATTACGTTTGGGATACAGATTTCTGGGGTCCGGCTTCAAATTTTGGTATTCCCGTTGCTGCTGTGATGGATACGCAAAAGAGTCCCGAACTGTAAGCTACTCCTACAGCTTCTCATCCTGACCAAAACCCATTGCTCTCCGAGCCAAACCTCCCTTCCCGATATGAACATATGCTAACTCTGCTTCCACAGGATCTCCGGCCAAATGACTGGCGCCCTCACCATCTACTCCGCAACTTTCATGCGCTATGCACTCGCTGTCCAACCCAAGAACTACCTCCTCTTCCTCTGCCACTTTGTCAATGAGGGCGCGCAGCTCACACAGGGATACCGGTGGATGCAGTACCACAAGTGGGGAGGTAAGGAGGAGGCTGCGAAGCAACAGGCGGCGAGCGGGGTCAAGGCTGTTGTTGGGAAGGTAGAGGCTGAGGCGGGAAAGTTGGCGGAGAAGGCGAAGGGTGTTGTGGGAAAGTAGGAAGTTGAGGTTGATAATGTGATGGGATAATAAGGAAATTGTGGGAGATGGACGTGGCTGGGAACTCGCTGCGGGTATCAATGTTGCTGAGGCTGGAAGATGCATGAGCTTGATCTACAGATTCATGCTGTGTACACTATGAAAGTGCTGCTGATATGGCTTTATCGAATGCAGCAATACGATGAGTTCATCAAACCACTCGTGGCTTTCGATATTTGTAAGTACAGGAGGGCAATCTGATCACGGCAGAATCCTGCAAGCTTTGTCTTGTTGTCAGAGCTCCCCGAACATGAGAGGCTTGTCGATCTTCCTTTCAGGTCAGATCCCAAACGTGGAACAGTACCGGAAGGATTTGTAGTCGGTTCTTGTTGACTTAGTCCGGTGATGTTTACTCTGACCCAGGCCCCTCGGTTGACAGCTTTGACCAGTCCAGTCTGCTCTAGCTCTCTTTTCTGTAAGCTATGCACATTCACCTATCTATCCTTTCACTTACAGAAAGATTGGTATCTAGACAACGAGATATATGGTCTCAACTTGCAGATGTAGGCTCACTTGAAACGTATCGTTGGGAGGCGAGGTGAACCCGTCCTGAATACGAGATAGATCTTACTCAGCCTACTTCGGTGCAGTCATTGGGAATACCAATTGGATAAAGCCGCATACTTTACTTTTAAGAGATAATGTATCTCCAGCGCTGATACGAGCCAACATATCCCGGTTGATAGACCACTCCTCGTGCCAGATCACAATGCTTCAGACAAGGACGAGCCTCAGAGTTGGCCTATCGACCGAGACCTGGTGGACCTAATTCTCGCCTCCCGATACCCGACAGCTGCTTATAACTCCACTCATCTGCTTGTCTTACGTTCCCAGTATTTTACATAGCATGCTTACGATCAAGTGGTTCGGGTTGGGATTTGAGATCTTAACACGGCATCCTCTACTTTCACTTCTCCCATATCTGAGCTTAAGGGTAGTCGAGCAGGATATTAGATCGTCGTGATCGGCTGCCATGTGGTGGCGTTTTCATGCCTCTAACATGAGAGGCATAAAGTCCACTTTCTCGGCTTGAAGGCGGAGAAACGCGTCCGTTGAGTCCAAGCTTGTTGGTTCAGTGTTCCATGATGTAAGAAGAACAGTTTATATAATCCTGGACAGGTTGGAGATGGATTTAGTATCACAGTCAAGATAGAGAGATGAAAATAGAAGTGATATGATAGCTATCGATATCAATCCATATATTTGATCCATATTAACAGCTAGTAGACGTCCAGCGAGTGTGACATACAATTCTTTCATTTGCACCTTCCCCAAATTTCCGTTCCAAAACATATTGATATATCCCAAAACTCCATACACACAAAAAGGGTTTATTTGGTCTCCCAACTGGAAAAAGGGCTGTGCCTTCAGGCTCTCAAGAAATGAATACAACTGTCTTCCAACACCTCAACAGACAATTTTCCCTGTTCAATTCCACCCTCTTGGAGATCCAGGAGGGCTCTCGATCCTCCTGTCGCTCGTAATTGCCTCTCCGACACTTCCGAATCTGCGGTGTTGTGGTTGTGCGAGACCGGGGCTCGTCAAAGGGCTCGCGTAGGCGCCGGGAATTGGAACAGCGGCGTATTGTTGCTCACCTGGTGCGGCGGCTGCGTGCTCGATAACTCTCTCCTTTGGCTTTGGCGCTGGTGCGTCGAAGCCGTTCTGAGGAGTCTTTGGAGTGGCGTTGTGGATCTTGATGGGTGGCGGTTGAAGAGCGAAGGGCTTCGCGGCGATGGTGTGCTCTGGTTTGGCTTCTACGAAGCGTGTTCCAGGTCCAGCGAAGCCTTCTTCGGCGATGCTGGAGTTGTTGTAGGCGGATGGTGGGAAGCGAGGCGATTTCATGTGCTGGGAGAAGGACGGTGACATTGGGCCAAAGCCTGGAGTGTTCGGTGCTGATTGCGAGCGGAGTTGCGCGAGGTAGAGATCGGAGCGGGCGCGGTCACGGACATCCATAGACTTGCGTAGGCGTTGCTTGGAGTAGTATCTATAAAAGACAACTGCGTAGAGGAGAATCGTAATGCTCTCAAGGACAATCTCAATGATGCAGCAAACAAGTGCCCAGTTCTGAAGTGACTGTTAGTAATGGATCTTGACTGGGGCAAAATTCTTAAACTTACGTTCAATCTGCAAATAAGCTCGTAGTCAACTTCTTCCTGGAAGAGCTGCTTCCTCTTGTTGTCGACGCATGACCAACCCCAGATATCCTTGTTATTGCTGTTTGATTTCGAGCCCTGAAGAATTCCGGCTGCAATACCCCACATGACAACGCTGAAGATGAAGAATGCCACAGCGAAGAGAGTGTAATAGACCGCAACCTTTTCTGCTCGCTTGTGTCCGCCTCGGAAGTAGTTCCAGAAAACAACCAAGCAGAGAGCCAGAGAAATGCATGCTACAATGAGGATGACCAGTTGTGGCCATGTTTGAGTATTCTTTGCCCAAGGTGGGAGATTGTTTCGTGGTGCCAGATGCCTCGTAGCGTTGAATATTTGGAATGTCGTCGCGATCATAGCAAGAACGATAAGACTGCAACTGAAATTGACGCCCCGTAGCACAAACTTGGCCATCCGGACTCGTATCTTGATTTTCTACGAAGATGTTAGCGAAGCAAGGTTGATAAACTGTCAAATCCAAACATACCAGATCCTTCGCTTGCTCCTTTTCCGTGACTTCCTCTTGCTTCTCCAACATCTGCTCTTCTCTGAATGTTGGACTCAATGGATTGTCGATCCGTCTTCCTGGAGTACCTGGCACCTTCATGGCACTCTTCAATGGCGAGCCAGGTGTGAGTGGGACCTCAACGGTCTGCCGCGATGGGTCATTTTGTGAGATGTAGCCGAAGCCAATATCTGATGGCTGTGATTGCGCCATATAGGACTGTGTTTTGGTGGCGGGTGGATCTGCGAAAGGAGACCGGCTGTCTTCACTGGCCTCTATTGGAGAATATACCGTCGTTGCTTCAGCAAACCGCGGCGTTCGAGGGACCTTCAGGGATTGGTCCGAGGAGCTCGATGATGTTCGTTCTCGTGTTAATGGTTCGGGTCGTTTCTTTTCGTTTGGTACTGGGTCGGGTGTAAGTTGCTTGTATGGCCAACTTTGAGGCAGGGAGGACTGACTGGACATATTTGGATAGGAAGAAATCTATGGAAAAGAAAAAATAACGGTTGCAAGTCCGCACACGAAGGGGAGGTCGAATACCAGAGCGACGATGATATGCTGTGATGTGACAGGATACAGATGATGCCTTGAAGAACAAAGATTACAGATAGAGACCAGCTATCGAGGGAAGACAAGACGGGGTCTTCAACTCGTGGGCAGGTAGAGGGTTTTGTTCGAGGCGCGCGCGCCCGCGAGTTCTAATTTGAGACAGACTTTGAGGCTACTACGCACCATCAGTAAGTGGATGGGAGGGGGGAATGGGGAGCAGATATGGCAGCCGGCGGGATACAGACCAGGGAGGAAGAGCAGTATTGGTAGAATCAGATGTCAAGCGTCGTGGCTCTTGGCCCTGATAGGGTACCAGGGACGTCGTTGGCAGCACACGGGGGAATTGCGTCGAAAATAGACGCCTAGTCGTGTTCTAGTGCTTGCATGTACGGTGCTGATCCGGTTTGGTTTGGGGCCGAGAAAGAGGTCTCTGAGTTTTGGAGAAGGGCGGCTTTCAACTGTGGTATATCAACGAGGCTGAGGGGCGAATCCTTTAGCCCAGGTACAACAAAGGAAGATATACATCAGCTAGCGCTGCTGCGCAAGAAGCAGACACAACTGAGCAAAAGAACACACAAAGATCTCAAAATTCGCTTTCTTTGAGGAGAGATAGACCTACGCAGCGTAGACTCAGACATCGAGGGCAGACAATGGGGAGGGAGAACAAGCCCATTGTGCCGTTGGCGCCCTCGAGTCCTCTGGACGGTCGTCGGCGGGGGGTAAGGATGGCCATGTTCCAATGAAGCTGGTCAGCTTCGCGCCTGCATTCTGCACTGCACTGTGCAGAGAAAGCATCCTGCATGTCCAATTGGCCGGCTGATGAGGACCCCAGGTTGGTCTTGAGAGTGTTGGAGGAGAACCTGGCGCGCTGGTTGGGCGGCACGAGGAGAGTGGAAGCTTGGGAAGAGAGGGGCGGACAGGCTTAGTAGTGGAGGGAAAAGTGGAATAATCTGCTCGGGACCTTGTGCTTAGCTGCGGGCAGATTGGTGTCCCCTGTCTACCCGCTGTGATAGGGCCTGGCTCACGAAAGGCTCTCGCTGGACACCCTCGCTTGTGCGCAGCCGACGAATGATTTGCATCGCAGATCCAGCCACCCCGGACGTGCATTGGGCTTGCAAGGGCGTTCGGCGGTAAAGAAACAAACGAGGCCACTCAGGGCTGCTGGTGTTCTGGTGTTCTGGTGTTCTGGGCAAAGTGTGGGAGAGAGAGAACCCAAGGTCATGAGCCAGCTGCTCGAAACGACCACAATAATGGGGAATTCCCAGCCGTGGGACGTAGGACGCCATGCCCTGACGGCAGGCATTTCAAAGCAGTGATCCGGGTTGCATATCGGGCCTGCGCTTTGGTTTGCGATTCAGTCCATCTCACTTTGCGGTGGCGAGTGATAATCTGGATGATTGTACCCCGAAATGGTGCCAGTTCTTACTCAGACGCTGCAGGATACGGCATTATTTACCTCGAGTACTGTAAGTTGAATGCATGCATGCCTTAGCGCTGATGCTCGAGATTTCTCCTGGGGTGGCGGGTGAATGCTGAGCTGTCAAGCCAGACTACTCGGCGAAGCGAGTCCTATCAAGGCGTTGGTCGGCCGCACCACTCTATTTAAAGAAAACCATGTTTCTATTGGAAGAATATAAGAAGAGATCTGGAAGCACTCCCAAGAGCAGCGGACTATTTCTGGCTTGGGTGCTTGGACCGATGCATGCGTGCGTGCTATGGCGAAGATACCCGTTGGTACCGCACCTTCTCCATATTGGATCCCCAGCCAACGGGAGGCCGTGAGGTCTCAGGACAAGCTTCCTCGAACCAATAACTAAGCCTTGACAAAGTTCAGATACCTGATACCATTCTTTGTGTGGACATGTGTATGCTTTCGTGCCTTGCAGGAAACAAGCAAGTTCTGGATGGTATCAACCACCAATCTAAGCGGGTCGGATGAGTTCCATAGAGCCGTTCCCGATCATAGACCCAAGCCCGGCGAAGAGTGCAGATTAAAGGTGTATCACGTCTAGTATCTGGTGGGTAAGTTTACTAGGTGGCTTGGGAAACAATGATCGATAATTCAACGCCCAACTGCCGCCGCACCAGGTACAATGTCTTTATGAATTCTTGGACGAAACATTATCCTTTGCCATCAAAATGTGCCAAGTATCAGAACAACCAAAGCTTATCTCTCGTAGTAGAATGACGGCTATGTTGAATATTGGTATCCTATCTCCACTGATCAGACTGATCAACACCCTGCTAAGCGAGGCGATTAATAGATCTAAAGGGTCGAGGAGGTGGAAACCACGTCTATTTTGGTTGTTTTAGACAATCATCCTAGAATAGCACGGCATATTAGCTATCAAGAACTTGTCGGAATATCAAAAAGTGGGCTTTAGGGCCTTGGCCAGGATATTCCGGTCTTTTTGTCAGAATAATTCTATGTACCTATTTTGGCATCCTGCCAGGCGTGAAATGAACGGGCCGAACAGGCTTTGCTACCGCCGTCATTTTCCACAATTCGCAACAATTTCCTGCTATCAAGCGACCAAAATTACCAGGAGCCGAACGCGGAGAGCTTGGCAATACAATTCTTACCAGTTGCTGAATTCAGGCGCTTCGATGCAGTCACTTGACAGCACTCAAATCAACATCAAATGGCGAGGGAGACGATCAGAACTACCAGGCAGCTAGAGAATTGCAGCACAAGTACCAAACCTTACTGGGGCATGTCTTCCAATCAACTATCATCATGGAACGAGCCTTTTTAGGCATTTCCTGAATCTTTGGCTTCGCTTGCGAAAACCACAGAACTTACGATAGTACAGGAAATGGAAGCGACAAGAACAGAAGCGTTTCATCAGAATCGAAGCCCAGAAGTTCGGTATGTATCATGGCAAGCCCAGAGTTTTCGCATTCACTCGGAATGCAAACTTGCTCTGGCTTGCAGAGCGAATAAGCGCCCAGTTGATTGATCAGGCAGCACTTGCTGAGGGTCGCGGAAAGCTGGTAACAACAAGCGCATATCAACTATAGGAAAGTGCTACTTGTGCGTCAAATATTCTCTCGCAATTCTTTCCTGTCCTATCCTGACTTACGGAAATCTATTTGGGGTATCTATTCTGGTCTCCCCATTTTGTCCTACCACTGCATCTATCTCACAGGGCTTCTCTAATGGTGGAACAGGCGAATGCTCTGCTCGACGAAAGTGATTCCCAACTTCTCTGCAGTGTCAAAGACAGCCGTGTCGTTTTGGCTTCCAATTGGAGCAGCTATGTACTTGACTCCTGATCGTCCTGCTCTGTAGACGTTGTCGATGAAGGGGAACTATCGGTGTTAGCCTATTTCCAGGATAGCATTCAGAAACCTACAAATGCATCACTGGACACCGCGACCTCACCGAGCTTTCCAAGCCACTCCAAGCGCTCTTGCTCTGTGAAAGAAGCTGGAACTTCCTCGAAGAAGGCTTCGTAGCCCTCTCTCTCGGCGCCCTCCTTGGGAAGTTGACCACTGACAAGCAAGTCAATGGCATTGCTCTTGTCTGCGCGCTTAGTGCCCTTCTTCCAAGTGATACCGAGAACTCGTGGATTAAATCGCAACCACCAGTTGTCTGCCTTGTCACCCGCCAAGCGAGTGCAGTGAATACGTGACTGCTGTCCAGCTCCGAGCCCAATGACCTGACCATTGAGTGCATAGCAGACAGAGTTGCTTTGGGTGTACTTGAGAGCGATTGTAGCAACGGTCAAGTCTCGAAGAGCAGAATCTGGCAATGGTGCTGACTCCTTTGGTGTGATGATGGAAGTGAACGACTTAGGAGACACTTGGATATCGTTTCGGTGTTGAGTCAAGGTGACGCCGTAAACAGTTCTTGACTCTTGAGAAGAAGGGTTGTACTCAGGGTCCATTTGGAGTACCAAGTACTTACCACCCTTCTTTTTCTTCAAGATTTCGAGAGCAGCATCCTCATAACCGGGAGCAATGACACCATCCGAAACCTCTCTTGAGATGATCTTGGCGGTGGGAACATCAACGATATCGCTCAGGGCAATCATGTCTCCGAAGCTGCTCATGCGATCAGCACCACGGGCACGAGCGTAAGCTTGGGCGAGTGCCGAATTTTCCAGACCCTCGATGTCATCAACCATATAAACTTTTCTCTCATCAGCGGTAAGAGGAACACCGATAGCAGCTCCTGCGGGTGAGACATGCTTGAAGCTTGCAGCAGCAGGGTGGCCAAGGGCAGCCTTCAACTCCTTGACCAATGGCCAAGCATTGAGAGCATCAAGGAGATTAATGTACCCAGGAGATCCAGACAGGACCTTATATGGAAGAGATCCGAGCCTCATGAAGGCAGCAGCTGGCTTCTGATGGGGGTTCGCTCCATATCGAAGAGCCATTTGCTGAACTCCCTCTCCAGCATATTGCTTGCGGAAGAAATCTGAGATAGACGCATCGTAGTCCGCGGTATGCTCGAAAGCCTTGAGGGCATAAAGGTTTCTGCTCCGCTCACTGACCTCTCCATTCTCGATCTCTTGCAGAAACTCTGGGTAGTCAGATGGATCGCTCAAGATTGTCACTCTGCCGTGGTTCTTAGCAGCTGCACGGATCAAGGTGACCCCTCCGACATCAATCTCTTCCACGGCTTCTTGGATTGTGACATTGATCTTTGCAATCGTGTCCTTGAATGGGTAGAGGTTGCAGATGACGTAGTCCACCTTGTTGATATTCTGCTCAGCCAAATCTTTCTCGTCAGAGGCAAGGTCGCGTGCGAGGATACCGGCATGTACGGCAGGGTGAAGGGTCTTGACTCGACCTGCCAGCATTTCTGGGGCGTGGGTAATGGCAGATACATCTCTAAACGTGATATCAGTGAAATGTTTCTGGAAGTCCTTTTGGGGCAAGTATACTTACTCCACAGAAAAGCCAGACTCTCTGATCATCTTAGCAGTTCCTCCAGATGCCAGGAGACGAACATTATGCTTGATCAGGCCTTTGGCAAGGTCCAATAACCCCGTCTTATCATAGACGGAGATAATTGCTGCAATTTTGTCACATTAGAAAACATCTCCCTTCATTCTGCCTCTTCATGACTCGTACCTGTTTTTTGACCGGCAGACATTTTGCTCTTTGGTTCTGGGGACAACTAATCAGTATCCGTTGTGAGGGATACCGTCAATCGTAGGTTGGTCACGGACAAGATTTTCGAAATGTTGTGATCGCGAAAATAAATTGCCTGGCGAAAAGCAACTCAATGAGGGGTTAGTCCAACCACCGATAGCGCGGGGTTAATCAAACCAATCAAGGCGCTAACGAGCTTTAAGCCTTAGCGTTGTCGCTTCTCGAAAAGCCGCTAGCATGGAAAATTCATTATATATTGCTCGAATCTGTTGGTGTTCCTTTTTCTCTCTTCAACAACTCCGAAAGGAGTTCAACGCAATATACACAACTGCTTCAAAAAGCACTGGCTGTGAGAGACCCGTCGCTCACGTGGCGATGTGAGGTTTCCATGACCTAAGTTGGCCGTCAGCAGATTGGAGAAGAACTGGAGAATCTTGGGTGCGATCCCGTCTTTTCAATGGACTTGGTTGCAGTGATTAGCCGCACATCACCTCAACCTTGAGTAGAATGTCTCAAGCAAGTGACACTCTTGAGTAAGGGCTTTCCACAGTCCCTGTACTACTGCATGAGTATTACGATGCCTGGAGTTCGTGCCACCCTCGAACCCTTCGTCACATGGAGGACGCATGCCTGAACCAGTGATTTTCGTCAATTATGGGTCCGACTCATCGTTACCACATTGTTTCGATGGGTGATTGCTATCTTATGATGCGTTTGGATGGTAACTTTAGGCCTTTCAATGCTAGAATCGTGAGGTCTGACTGATCCCTAGGATCCATGACGTGCTGCTTGTTACGAACCTTCGAACTCCAAAGGCAGTTCCAAACCCATTTTACCTCTGAAGCTCTGCCCCTTGGATGGTATAGTTCCATAGCATTGCAGGTGATTTCCGGCTTTTAACTGTGACTTCTACAAGACTCAATAAGAACAACATGTCAACGAAGATCGCCATACCAGTCCCCCAAGACGATGGATAGACCCCTTGGCAAGAAGCCACTTACCGACTCAGGGTCTACATTCATTCTGGCTCCCTGGCCTATGACGGCTTTTCGAGAAGCTTAAAGCTACAAATGTACCGAAAGCATTTTATGTAAATGACGACTCACAAGTCGCAAAAATACATGAATTGTTCATATGCCAAGTACTCATCCTATTGTGATGCGTAACAGCTATCTGTTCTCGCTTTTCATATTGCTATTTAGATCGTTTCGCGACCTGCTTGTTAACACGATTCATCCACGTACGAAGCAGGGGGCCCTGTTCTGCCTTCATACTACCAGTGCTGGTGACACGGCACAAAACAGCAGTAGGTATTACCAATATAGTGTCACAGAACTCACGTGGTTGAGTCGTTATAACGTAGGTATGTTCCTGAAGAAAGATCGAATAGAAAGTGAATCCCCTTCGATGAGAATGTCTTGTCCCTTTGTCTCGAGTGCGCAATAGATTACCTGAATTCCAAGCGGTAATTATGATATTGTGTAGATATTGAATATACATAGAGTCGGACGCGTATGTTGTCGATTTCGAGATGGTCCGATCTGGGTGGTGAGGGGCTTTCCAACATTCGTTAACAAATCATCCGACCCTGGTCCAAAAGAGTAATTGTAAATCAATAACAGAAATCTAAGAAGGATCTTACCACTGGCAAAATCCTTTGGAAGATTGGGCTCATCCAACGGCATTGGCGTCCTTCGCATGTTTGCAGCTGCGTAGTCAAGTCATCGCCCTAGCTCCTGCTTTATTTGGGTTCAATATCAATGATCGCCTCAAGCCGCTTCAAAGCAATCTTGATAATGCAGCTTGCGTAGGCGCATGCCAGTATCTCCCAGTGAATTCCACCAATGAATGCAACAGTACAGAGGTGATAAACAGGGAAGTGGTTCAGGATCGTGCCGCAAACCTCTGTATGGCCAAGGTCTAGATGCAGGTACCAGGAACCGTTTCACGAATGTTATCCGGTTGTAGAAGCTAAACAGCTATGCATTTAAACCGAAAGATAAGCTTGCAACCCATATCTTAGAAACCAGAAGGGATTACCCGTCAATCGGTATAAATCAAATATCATTCAAATAGATCGTATGCTCATTCATTGACGAGTTCTTGGATCTAGTGTTAAATATCTTGTTAGAAGTCGAACACTTGTGCTAAATCGTGACCTTTTGCAAGGTGATAGATTATCAAAAGGCAGTACAAGGATCCTGCAATTAGACATGTGGCGTGATTTCCACGAGGTCCCAATGATTCGGCTGTGTTCGAGGAGATTGTGGCTAGGATGGACGGCGAGTATCGAGGGCGGGTGAATATGAAAGGGACTATTCATCTCCGTCAATGGATAACAGGATGAGGAGCTGCCCATAGTTATTCAATAGGTAACGTTGCCAGATGTTGTCATAGCCGACTTGACGCGAGTACATATATTGTGCTCGCCTTGTTCCTGACCCAACTTCCTCCTTCATCTACGACTACCCACACTCATTTGACCCACTTAATCTTCGATTCGTCACCTTCAACCACTCAAATTACCCCTCCCAACACTTTAATTCGCTTCTTCTAAAGAAAAACAACAACAAAACCCAGCCGGCATCAAAATGCAATTCAACTTCGTCGCCACTGTTATGGCTATGGCATCTGTCGCTCTCGCTGCCGAGTAAGCAGGCTCAAGTCAGCGGATCAATTTTGCTAACACGCAGTAGGACTGTCACGGTCACGGTCTGTGGGTGTACCTCAACCTCGTCACTCTCTACCTACAATGGAGGTGCGTCGTCCACTGCTGCGCCAGTTGCGTCCACCGGTGTTGTAAGTGATCTCAACAACCTTCCCAGGGTAGCTAGAGGATCTTGGGACTGACAGTAAGGAAAGGTAACGGCTCCAACTGCCACTGGCAGCCCCATCACTTACGCCACTGGCGCAGCTTCTCTTAACGGAGTTTCTGCCCTTGGTATGATCTTTGCTGGAGGTATCGCCTTCGTAAGTAGAACCCTCGGTGGACTTTTTAATCAGTACTAATAGCCTTACAGTTCTTGTAAAGATCTCGACCTCAGCTTTGAGCGTTCGACGTCATCACAAAGCGCTCAACGCTTTAATTCGACTCATGATCCTTTGGATTTGTTGATGGTTACGAGATACCTTAACGTCGCTGAGCTTGGAATATCGAGGAAGCACAGCTGTTGTGGAGTGCATAATGGGCTTTGGCATCTGCGTTTTCTTGTACATAAGAGACCACTGCAGAAAACAGAAACGATAGATAAATTCTCGGATACATGAATGTGATTCCTTACAAACACGCAATTGTGAAATGATATGGGTTAAACTAACACAATAGAAGATATGGTTGAAAGTGAAGGCAAGTATAGATCAGACAGACGAAGCAACATTGAGATAACCGGATGTATGACTTCAACTTGTAGCAAGCAAGAGCCTCGTAAGAAACAGAGATTTGTTAGATGAATTCTAAGCAATGCAAGGACTTTCACAAGCCAATAGGACGACCAGTAATGAAGCTCTACATGGTTCGACTAATCGTCCCGCGTTGAAAGTCGCAGAGCGCTACCAGGAGTATCTTAAGCTCCTGTAAGAGTCCATATTACGCCTCAGCGCTTTGCTCAACGGACTTTCTTTGTGAATTGTCGTGTCGAAAAAGGATGAAATTTCGGGGTGGAATTTTAGGTGGGACGGAATTACTGATCAGATCGCATCGCTTGTTGCCTTCTGGACGGCGCGCCAAGCCAAAGCCCTTCCTCTGCTTTGTTTAACCCCTCCATGCCCAAACCACGACCAGAACCAGACACCACACTCCGACTACCACGCGAAATCCAAGATGTCGAAAACGGTCCAGATTGCTTCGCCGAAGCAGTTCAGTGATTTACTCCAATCCTCGCAGATCGTGGTTACAGACTGTGAATTGCCCCGCCACTCCTCTGACAAATGTTCCTTCATCAGCTGTCTCGATGGCACCAGAGCTCTAGAGCTTGTACTGACCTCAAGTAGTCTATGCAGATTGGTGCGGACCATGCAAGACAATTGCTCCCCTCTACGAACAGCTCTCAGCCTCTCTCTCACGCTCAAACCACATCACATTCGTTAAGGTTAATGTTGATACCCAGAAGGAGATAGCCTCGAAGTATGCGGTAACTGCGTGAGTATACTACAGATAGTAGAGATCAGCGATGGACAGACCTAGGACACTGCTGACAAGCTTCATAGTATGCCCACATTCATGATCTTCAAGTCTGGTCAAGTCGTTGAGAAAGTCAAGGGTGCAGATCCCCGCAAGTTGCAAGAAGTTGTCAAGAAGCTTGCCGCAGAAGCCGAAGGAGGTCCAAGTTCATCTGGGTTTGGAGGAGCAACTGGTAGTGGCAGTAGCTGGCGTGTGGGAGACCTTCCAAGAGGCTACAATGATGTGACAGATCAGGTGGATATCAAGGGCTTGGAGCTTCTGAACGCAGACAGCGATTTTGGCACAGTCAGGACTTTGGTCGACAGTGGCAAGCCAACTGGCTTACAGAAGGGCAAAGCTTCAGCGACATCTGGTAAGGACTGGGTTGAAAGTGATACTGATGAACAGCTTATGCTATTCATGCCATTTCAGTGTACACTGAAAGTGCACACACTTCAGGCAAGGCTCTTCGATGCTTCCTCAAGACGCCACTAACCGTGGACAGATTACCTCCCTTCCCCCAGCAGCGGATGACAACGACGAAGTACCGGTGAGACCAAGGACTGTACAGATCTACTCGAATCGAGCACACATACTGGGCTTTGAGGAGGCAGATGATGTTCCAGCAACACAAAGCATCACACTTGAGGCCAAGGACTGGGATGAGACCGGTACTGCGACCATCTCTCTACGCTTCGTCAAGTTCCAGAACATTTCAAGTCTGGTTCTCTTCATTGTAGATGGCGATGGAGATGGTGACAAGGTCCGCTTGGACAGAATCAGAATTATTGGAGAGACTGGGGAGAAGCGCGAGCTTGGGAAGTTGGAGAAGATTGGTGACGAACACGGAGAGTAATGACCCTGAATAGCATATGATATACGGATGATGGCGTTGGCAGATATGCATTGCGTTTCGTCTCTTTGAAAATGAAGAATTGCATTTCTTCGCAGACGCAAATCTAGAGGAGTTTTTAGGTATAACCGCGTGGATACCAAGCTCGATTGCACTGCTTTATACCCTGGATTTCTCTATTTGTGACGAATGCCGCATAGCTTCTGAATTTTGATCTCCCGCATCTGTGTGTCCTTCCCATCCACTATCCCATATTCCACCCACCTTCATATGACCAGTCTTCCCCTTCCCAAGATGTAGTATGTTCAAGCTCTGATCCAGCACCAAGCCCGGCAACCTATGAGCCCGTTAAGACAAATCGATAGGCGCGAACTCGACTCAGCGCGGCGGATAGAGGGATCGATTGCAATTGGTTTTCTCTGTGTTTCGACTGACGCTCGAATAAGTTTGACTACACACCATGGACCAGAACCATCGAAGATCCAAAGATCCAGAGGCTTGGGGATGTTTGAGCAACTGGGGAAAGGTCAAAACGCCGCACAATTTTTTTTCTAGAAGTTCGAAAGAGCCTTTCAGCTTTCGTAACAATTTTTTGCCTCGCTTAGTTTTGAGACTATCACAAGTTTAGCCTAGTGAAAATACGTAATCTTCCAACATGCCCCAAACTGCGTTGGTGGCCTCCAGAACTGGTTTTCATGGGACTACTTTTTGGCACAGTAGTTGACGTCTACCTGTCTAATTGCTTCCCAAGTCCTGGACTCTTATAAGGACTTGAAAGCAATCTTGATCTGTTGGGAATAATCTATGCCTGGTTCTTTGCGTGGTAACCGGCATTGTTTACCTCGCCTAGTACCAAGAAGAATATCTGCACTAAGAACCTGCACGAGGATAACTCACCAATACGGAACAGTACTTTGAGATAATTCAAAGTTAATTTGTCAGCATTGAAAACAGGCCAATCTCACTACTTACAAAGCTCGAAAGGGTCGGCTTTCATGTCACTTCCTGCTGCTCGGACGAAGCTAAGGGCAATAGTAGATCAAAGCTCTCTCTCGAAACCCAGGAGACTGGATCCGGATGATCGATGTAGTCAAATCCCGGATTGAGGCAGTGCCAAATGGGGGTGTGTGTGTGTGTAATTCCAGTTTATTGTCCTTTTTAACTAGCTTTCGCTGCTATGTAAGACAGTCTACTACTCTTGAATGCGACTTTACAGTAAATAGGTTTGTAGCCTTTACTCCCTTGCTACAGCGTGCTATCCTCGTATATCGACAAGATCGACCCCTATTTAGGTATACCTTCCGACAGATATATTACTCGTGGTTTATACTCCACGACTGAGGAAAAACTTCAAAAACCTCAGCTAGCTGATCCTTATACTCAGCAACTGCGCTCTCCGAAGGGGAGGACTCTCTTGAAACTGTGACACGCATAACCTTTCGCTAGAGTCCACGATACCTCTAACTACCTAACTCGTATAACTCTCCTCGACTTAACAGGCTACCTACACTCCCTTGATCTCTTCCGTAGAATACAAACGAACCTCTCTCAATCGATACAAACGAGGCGGAGAGGTACGCTTATTACACGAGTTATTAGTAGAAGAAATAGAAGTAACTCCTTGTTACGCGACTGTATCCGGGAACCCTCCTCTAAGTCCTGCCTTTCCTCCCCCCTTACTATGACCGTAGGATAGAACCTATTCCTACCCCTCCTTGTTATAGCCTTGTTCTAAGGTCGACCTTTTACGAAGCGCTCTTCGGAGGTTGTGTTTCGTATCTGTATTGTCTCGATCGTCGGTATGCTGTATGCAAGAGGATAGCAGGTCGTTTGACTCAATCTTAGCCTCCCAAAGGAGTTGATAGCCTGCACCACGTAGAGGTGTTGAGTCGTCGCAGGCCTGCCAAATAGGGGTTAATCTCGGGGAATTTTTCTCGCACAGTACGATTCGATGTCGAACTCTGTATGGTGCGTAAAGTTAAATCCGCGCAGTTGGCGTGACGCTTCATTAATATTCCGAGCCCATTGAGTCAGAACATCGTGGACTGCCACAGCCTCAAAAAGAATGTGTAGCTACTGAAGAATTTCTAGATCAGATAAAGGACTTTGACCCAAACAATTACATGCGGTTAACGAAGTTGCGACATATGTCAATACTTCCAATATTGTCCACGACGAAATACACGCTCCAGTCTCTGTACAATACACGAGCATGTCAGTGCTAAGGATCACTCGTCCCTCTTGAGCAAAGAAACAGCTGTGTACAATTATCCGTACCAGAAGCAAAATCATGCTACCAAGTATCGCTGCTATCTGGCCGAGTTGATATGTTCGAGAATTTCCAACCCGGTCTCTGGCACAACAAGATGTTCAGCAGAGGATTGTCCAATATTCGGCGGTATAAATGAACAAAATATGGTTCCAATCTTTGTTTGCAGCGTTCATAAAGCAGTCGGGACCTTTCAGAGCACTACAGCCCATCAACATAACTTAGAATGAGCCCTTTTGCCGTGAAGTTCCACGGACTTCGTACCTCCGAACTTATCACCCAGGGAGTCTTCGGGCTGGCTGTCCAAGGAATTGCCGATGGAGATCGTAACCCAGCGACGAGGCTCAGTGTTCCTCAATTGACAACGTTTGCTTTAGGGGAAACCAGTTTTGTGTGTCTTGACATAGCTGTAGATCGCTATTGTCTCCTATGAAATCATGGCCTTCATAGGCTTTGTGCTTAGATGGTGACAGACTGGCCCCTCCCCTGCTGCGGGAGTACCTGCATTTTGAACAGGGGCAATCCTCGGCTAAATTAGCTATGCCATAATGTCTTCAAAACCCCCAGGAACATTAAATAAGATCTACGACGCAGTGCCGGCAAACCTCTCCGTTCTTTTTTTTCATGAGAGGGAGTAAAAGGGTGTCTGACAACGCTTTGAGAGTTTGAGACTCATGTGAGATGAAAGGCCCCCAACCGTTTTGCCGGTTTACAAGTGAGATAGTGGCGGTCATGGGGACGGACACTAATCTGTATGGGGCACGCAGCCGGTATGATACAGTAGAGGAGAAAGAACGGTGAGGCAATGTGATCGAGCTGGGGTAGCAGCTTGAAGCCAAAGAAAGGAAAGGAAAGAAGATAGATACCTAGCTGCGTAGAAGATATTCTCCTGAACCAGGAGGAGGAATCATCCAGGCTGGTTCCAACGGACAAACCCAGGCACCCAATGCCTAAAGACTGTGAGTTGCCAACGGTCAAGCTCAAAATCCGGGTCTGGATATATCACAACAAAGCAGAAACAGTTGCCCACCCTCTTTGACTCTAAACTGGTCATCCTGTTCATTCATCCTTTCGCATTGTGAGCCGTCTCCACAATCAACACAGCCCGATGTACTGTCGTCTACTCTCCGATGCCAACCAGTGAACAAGGAGAAGCCGCTCAGTGTTCACTGCGGGCTGCAGGGGCTTTTGAAGGATGTGCAGCGAGGACCAGCTCAGCTGCGGGCACACTGCACAGGAGCCTTTGAAATATGCTTCAACTGCTGCAGCCTCCTCCCTTTGCAAGTTCTTTCGTCTTTCTTCTTTCGTTTCGCAGTGAGTCTGTCCCCGACGCGCTTTGCGTTCCTCTCTGCTTCTTCCTACCTTACCTACTGCTTCTCGCAGCCATTCATTCATTCTTTTAGCCCAACCGTCACCGCAGCCGTCGTTCAAGGCCCTCCCTACCTTACCTAGGTCCTTCACGTTTGTCGCGTCCTCTGCTCCTACATAATTACCGTAATTACCGTCTCACGCGATCACGAATTACGAAGCCATCTGTTTGCAAATACAATAATTCCCTGGCGACTAAAGAATTGGTAAGCGTCGTCCACAAGCTCACTTGTCGGAGAGAAATTGCCAATCTGGTGCTTTGCATCATTCGCTAGCCCCCTGGTCAACGGCCCAACGACCAACTCGCAAACACAACAACTCCACCCGCGCTTTTCAATGTCAACACGACGCTCTCTAGCAAGACCGCGACCCTCGATCCTCAACGGCATAAACTCCACGTCAACCCCAAATCTCGGGGCGGTCTACACTTCGCACAAGCAACCCTCCTCAGGCGCGTCTCTGGGCCCGAGTGCCAGGCCGCACGCGCTTCTGCGAAAGCAATCCCTGAACGCCCTGACTCCTTCCGCCCTTTCAAGTATCCCGGATGAGAGCTTAGGATACGGCTTGAGCACAGTGTTGGATGACGATTCTATACCCGGCAAGATGCCGCCATTTACACCTTCCCGTGCGGGAGGTGGAGAGGATCTTGAGGTTGGAGACCTCGTAGATGTTCCGGGAAGCATGTACGGAACCGTAAAGTTCGTCGGGACGGTACAAGGGAAGAAGGGAACATTTGCAGGGGTGGAGTTGAGTGAAGAGTTCGCAACTCGGGGGAAGAACAATGGCGATGTTGACGGGTAAGACATACAAACGCTAGATGATGGCCAGGAGTGCTGACACGCCACAAAGGGTATCGTACTTTAATACCACGATTCCAGGAGCTGGTATATTTCTCCCAATAAATAGAGCGATCAGACGAGGCTCTCCTTCGTCCCAAGAAGGCTCGTTTCCACTCACACCAACCACACCTTCGATAGGTGGGAATTTCAGAGTAGCTGGCCAAGGAAGTTCAAGGGCATATACACCGCCGACTCCATCCGTACCCAAATTCAGTCAGTCTGTCGGACCAGGACGAGCTCCAAGTCCCCAAGTCAAGAAGTCGCGTCCCTCTCTGCCCCGACCCGAATCACCTCTGCGAAAGCCACAATTAAGCGCAAGACCATCAATCGGAACGCCATCATCGAAAACACCTGCACGATATGGAAGCCCTGCTCCTGGAAAGTTTGGACAGAGCGTTCGGGGCACACAAGATTCTAGAGATCCAAGCAAGAAACCAGGGTTTGCGCCTAAGAATGGACTGAAAGCCAATGTTGGACCACGGAGTGCTTCTGCTCTGGGTCAGATTCCTATGAACTATAGCGATGATGAGCTTACGCCTGTTGGAGTCTCTCGGGCGACTACCAACGGAAGTCTTGGCTCTGTCTCTTCATTCAATACGAAAATGCGCCCCGCCTCGCGGTCTGCCTCGAGAGCGAATAACGACGACGAGCTCGATAGATTACGAGGGCAACTGGAAGAGCGGGACAAGCAACTGAAGGAGCAGGCGTCAAGTTTGGCCGAGATGGAAAGTAGCTTGGTCGAAGTCCAGGCATTGATGAATTCTCCAGAAGTTGGGAGCAGGCAAAACAGGGGGAGCATGGAGGATAAAGACTCAGCTCAATTACGGGCCATATTACGCGAAAGAAATGAGAAGATTGCGATGTTGACTGCAGAATTCGATGCCCACCGAGCTGATTTTAGAAGTACGATCGATACTTTAGAATTGGCCAGCACCGAGACGGAACGAGTCTACGAGAAGAGGGTAGAAGATTTACTGCAAGAGGTCAGGGAACTCGCGGAACGAGGCGAAGATGTCGACAGTGTCGCCAGACAACTGAAGCAGTTGGAAGAGCTTGTACAAGAGCTCGAAGAAGGACTGGAGGATGCGAGACGTGGCGAAGCCGAAGCTCGAGGGGAAGTTGAGTTCCTGCGAGGCGAAGTGGAGCGAACGAGATCTGAATTACGACGGGAAAGAGAGAAGGCAGCAGCTGCCATGAACGTGGGTCCCAACGGAGAGTCCGGGTCCTTGTCCAAGGAGCTCGAGCAGCGCGACGACGAGATACGAGGCTTGAAGGCTATCATACACTCATTGAGCCGGGATGCCGTTCCTGACATGGGAAGTCCAAATGGGGATCTCCAGAAGACGCCAACCAACCGACAGGAGGCATCACGTCGAAAGCCGAGCAATGGTGGGACAGACTCGATCGACGATCGCCTCGCTCGTGAGCAGCTGGAGCGAGAAGTCGCAGAATTACGAGCAACTGTCGAATCAAAAGTCAACAGAGAGGATGAGCTCGAGCGTGAGGTAGAGCGTTTGAGGCGAGGAAGTGCCAGCAACGGCACTAACCAAAGGGCGAGTGCAATGAGCATTGGAACTGTGACCCAAGATCGCTCCTCGATTCGAGATTCCAAGGGAACAGTAGTCAGCTGGCGTGATCGAGATACGCGAGCATCGCCCGAGAATCACCGTAGAGGAAACACCCTCGAGACCATGCCAGAGAGTGATACCTACTCCTCTGCCAATGAGAGCTTTTGTGAGCTTTGCGAGACTTCTGGTCATGATATCCTTACGTGTACGAACATGTTTAGTCCTAACAGCGGAGCAACCCGAGAAGCCAATCACCTTCGAACTGGAAAGGACGTGGTCAAGGCCGGCTTATCACCAAAGCCGTCCCAAGACGAATACAAGCCTGCCCCTCTGTCGCCCATGAAGAACAAGGCCTCATTCTCCTCCCTCCACCAACCTAGCCCACCCGTTAGGATCATCCCTAATCCTATGGAATCCGGTCCTGTGGCAGGAAAGGAAAGCGGCGTCGTCAACATGGATAAGTGGTGCGGCGTTTGTGAGCGTGAAGGACACGATAGCATTGATTGTCCATTTGAAGATGCATTCTGAAAGCTCATACAGCACGTCTCACCCCTCTGCATCGAATATCTCTCCTCCACACGGACTTGCAACACACAAACATTCGCTCCACAATTTCGCAGACGATCACATGCCTTCGTACATTCATTCGTACAATCCGATTTTTGTTTTCTAAGCACTACGGGGAGCATTGCGCGGATGTCGGAATTTCCCATTTTCCCTTTCGAGTACAGCGATGATACCATTCTCTTTTATAGGCGATCCTTGTTTATTCCTGTTTTTAAACATCATTGAATGGAGTGGAATGGACTCGATGTCGATGGAATTCAGTGGATGACTGACTCACACTCTCTCACTCTCTCACGCACCCACTCAATCTGGTCTGGTCCCTGGTGAAGCTCAACCGGCACAAGGTCTATGACAGTGTCATGCTTGGATTGGAATTGGATTGGCAGGGTCATGAATAATGTGGATGTAATAATACTTAATGAATCATGCCTGGAGTGATGAAACTACTGATCCTTCATCTCTGTATTATTTTGCAGTGTGCTAGCTTTATCGGGTGCAAAAATTCTCGAGTTCCTTGAATACTTACTCAACATGCGCTGATTTCCATGGGCTGGTACGCGAGCAATTATGCAGTCGATGTCAACCGCGGTTCAGACTCTGGCATTTATATGTATGTAGGTAAGTTACGTTTATTTCACGACCAAGCCTGTATTCTATAATCCAGCTGTCCTGTAGCACACCAAACCAACCCAGTTGCACACTTCCATGATCTCAAGACTTAAAATATTACCATGAGAATAGCTTCGCAAAACTTGGAGAGCACACGTGCGGCAATGCATCTATTGTAGTAACGACGTCTGGCATCAGTCGGCGTTTATTGACATTCCATCCGAGACTTAAGCGAAGACAGTGGCCCGCACCTGTAACACGACGAGTTCGGTCAATCCCGTATACATCTGGTGTTGATGATGTGACTGGCATGTTTGCCACTTACGTCCTCCTCGTTGCTGAAGCTTCGACGTATTTAGCTAGGTCTAGAGCATCAAGACTCTCTTCACTCTTAGCAACTTCTTCAGTGGTTTCGCTGAAACCGAGTTTTGTCCTCGGTGGTTTTTTCTCTATGTCGGGGAACAGCGCTTTAGCTCTGGGCCTCCAATGATCTCTTATTTATTCCTTTGTAGGTCGAATCAATCGAGAAGCTGATTGTGTCGAAACTTGCTTCAAGATCGTCTTGTTCGTATATGGAGACGGCGGTGCAATGTCAATGCGTAGATTGCGTTCTCCTTCAGAAACTATGTTGGCAATATGAGAGCTTTGGGACTCCGATGCTTCAGTGGAGTGGTTGGAAGACGGTTTGGTTGAGTCGCTGCAGCCCTTCCCCGACTGAAGTTGGCCGAAGTTCGAGTTGTGATCAAGACATTGCTCATCACGGTTCTCTGGTTCTTCTGTGCAACCACTATCTCTTCGTTGTTTAACATGTTTTGCAGCTGGTTGGTCAATAATATGCTCAGCGCTGTGCCCTTTCTCTATATGAAATCGGGATGCTTCTGAGGATTCGGTCGCTTCCCTATCTTTCGGAGGCGACCTTGAGCGCTCCTTGTATGACACTGTGTAGCCTTGTTTACCATCCAGCATCGAAACCATGTTCGTCTCTGAGCCACTCAATAAGCCGGACGAGCTCGAGGATCCTCGCCCCCTTGAATTCTGCGTCGCAAACGTGATTTTTTTGGTCCGATCTGTAAGATCTGCACGAGATGGATTGCTGACTGAAGTCGAGATATTTTGCGGATTACTCGTAGTTCGCCTTGATCTTTTCTGGGGGGATCCAATGCCTGTGTTATCTGAGGAGGACAGATCTGCTTCTCGTGTTTCTTGTTGCCTCTCCTTCCTATAAAGCACAAGTGAGCCCCAGAGTACACGTCGATAGCTCCTGGAGACCGACCTTCCAGGCTTCATTGGCATGATTCCTGACGAATCGATCTCAGGATCTAAGACGAGCCTCATGTATTCGATTGAGCCTGCGAATTCCCCAACACTTTCCTCTACTTTGCTGCGAGAAACGTCTCCTCCAATATAGCGGACTGGCATTGAATGCTGACTTGGTCTCGAGCGCTTCTCTCTTTCCACCTTGGAAGCAATCGTCGTCTTGCATTTAGTGGCAAGAGGCGGCTTTTTTGGGGACATAGCATGACGTTTTATCTGACTCTCGTCATCGTCGGTGTATTCGTGGGGGCTGTAGATGAAGAAGCTGTCGAGATAGCTGGCGGCGCTGCTTTGTGCTTCAAGTTTTGTGATTGAGCATTTTGGGTCCTGCACCTCAAAAGCTGGGGGGATTTCGCACCCCGTTGCTTTTTGGTGGAGTCGAAACACCTCCTTTCGTCGAGAGCTGACATAAATCAGCTGTGATTTTCAGAACCGTGTCATTATCTTACAGTCGATCCCACTTGGCTGCTCTTCTTGCTTCCACCGCAACTCTGAATCTATTGTCTGTGTGGATCGGGCTCGTAGCATTCATAGCGAAAGCTGATTTTTGCGTCTGATTTAGGGAGATAGCATGAGAACTGAGTGGCATAATCGCGTCTGGAAAGCGTCTGTATCTCGTCAAGCAATAAGCGAGATTCGTAGACGTGCTAATACTGGAATGAGATAACAATTTGTGACAGATGTGTTGAAAGTATGTTTACTTCAGCTCCTCAAGCAGTGTACCGGTATTAGAGGATACACAGCTTGAGCTGATGCTAAAAGAGAAACGACGATGACGGGAAGAGCTAAAGTGGAGCACTCTCGAATGCAGACGGAAGTAAGTACGTCTCTCGCTCCTTCTCAACACACTCAAATCTGGTCAACATCCCAATCTGGTTCAACCTGGAGCCACCTGAACCGTAAGCCCATCTCGTGAGCAAAGTGAAAACCCCGCCGTCGAAGGTTGGACACTGGCTTGTAAATTTGCAAATATAGCTTCGATCTCTGATTTCGTGATTAATCATTTCACCACAGCCACATCTCGTATTGAAATCAAGAGATGAGTTCATATGTTCATTAATTATCTTCTTTGTAATACCTATCCTTGCCAGTTTTCCCATTCTAAATACACAAAGCCAGTCGTAGTTTCATCATCATTACCAAGTATCGCCAAAACCGGCAGCAGCCTCCAAATCATCCACATTGATCAAATCCACTCCCTCTGTCCTGAATTGTCTCCACAACCCGTTCCTCGTACTAATAGGCCAGCCAGGCTGATCCCAATACCTAACCTTGATACCCTTCCCATGTGCCGTCGCCACTTGCCCTCTGAGGATTTCAAGTTGCGTGTCGTTCAAGCCAGTGCCAAGAACGGTACTGCCGAGAGCAGCGCTTACGCTGGAGGAAGCTATGGGTGAGACGAGAGAGGTGATGTTGGAGAATGTGGTGTTGAGAGTTGGGAGGGGCCCGTCCCAGAAATAGTCTCTCTCCTCGATCGGCTGGACGAGTGAGAGTGGTGTGTTTCCGGTGCCGATCACGGTGACGGGACGGCTGGTAAAGTGGGTGCCATTTGTGGAGGAGAGATATCCAGCAGCGCGTCTAATTGTGTCAGCCGAGGTATTGAATGTTAAATGCAATGTATCAAGGCTTCAATGAAGAGAAATGTTTGATATCACGTGGAGGAATTGGGGAAAAGAGTCAAAAACTTACAGTGGTTCCAATGCCTTGATAACAACAGGCCATGTACTCGCTCCACTGGTCTTCAGATCCACAAACAGATACAGCGTCTGCCCGGAACTTGTGTCAAAAACACCGTTGAGGGTCTTCTCATTCACAAACGGCGTTGACGGGTTTTGGCGCTTGATCACATCCAAGATAGGATTGATGTACAGTGACTCAAAGGTACGTTGCTTGGTGAGAGCACTAATCTCATGTCCGACGAAGAGCGTATCGTTGTACAGCCATACGTCTGCTTCGATGGAGATAGCTCCCACTGACAATGCACTGTAGAGTGGTACATCTCGCCAGTCTAAGTCTCGAGCGTTAGTAAACACACCAATATCCGGGGCATGACGGACTTACAGTCATTATGAGAATGTATGCCTTTCTAACCACGATTATATTAGCAACTGATTTGGCAGTTTGATAGATATGAGGGCTCGGAAGTCAGAAATGTACACACCGGTATAATTCCCTGCGTGAGACTTGTTGGATAAGTATACAACGGGCCCTTATGCGCCTTGTCCAGAATATCTTGCAAACTCGGCGACACATCCGGAGTACCAGGAACCTCAGCACCAACAGTACTCAGACTCGAGAAGCCCAGGAAGGCATAAGCCAGCATAAGGCAAGTCGAGAGGGACGCCATAGCGAGCAGTAGGGTGAGGCTTAGCGAGTGGAAGGTTCGGCGCGTCGAGAAGAAGAGGTTTAAACGATTGACTTGTGAACTTCGCCTAGTTGAATAAGGAAGCAACATAACACGAGGGAGGAAATGGAACTTGTATTTATACGTTTATAAGAATGAGAGGGGTAGACTGACGCCGAATGCACACTCCCGTAGTGCGTGTGTTCGGGTAGTCGGTTGCTGGCTTGAAGTTGCTGTTGAGGGATCGTCAGCCCCCAGTTTTTACTCCAGGTACCTTGCAGCCGGCTCTCTCTAAGACCAATGGAATAGGAGCTACCCACACGTGCGCTTAACATTCTGCAGGTAGCCAACGTCAAAGACGTCAACTGCAGCTTTTATCACTCCTCCTTCCTTGATATTTGTAGAGTGCAATCAGATGAGTTGATGATTCCTGAGTCCAAAAGTGGGAGGAGGTTGTTGATTCGTGAGGAAGTCAATTGATGCTACACGTGCATTCCAGGACTTTCATATTCCAACCTTGGAAAAGGCACCCAATCAACCAGGACCATCCCTTTGGACGTCACGGCAGCAGGTGCTAATTTTTGAAGACAAGAAAGATACTTTAGGTCATCAATCATGGTCAACATTATTTTTTTGATAGTACACGTTTATCACACATCCCAGCCCATCCCAAAAGCGCCTGAAATGCTAGTCATAACACATTTCTCATGCAAGTCCGATAATGCCCAAGTTTTCAGCAGCCCAAAACGCCATGCGATGCTCAAAGATCATAAATCATTTGGCGTGAGCTACTATTTCGGCGTAAACATCGTCAGGGATCTTCTTGATTAAAGACAACGTAACAGCTTTGATAGTCTCGGCCTGAAGAGGCGGAAACGACCGCAGGATCTTCGTGGGACTTGAAATCGTATTAGCTTTTCAATGCATTTTAAAACTCATAGGGTTGAAATACCTAGGAGAACTCAAAATAGAAGTCCTGAGAATAACAAGTTGCGCCACAATGCATAAGATATTGAGATGAGCCCCGTAAGCAAACAAAAAGTCCCAGAGGCGCAAAACTTCCGGCAGGGGAGGCGTACAGGCACAAAGTGTCAGAACCGAAGGAAAAGCGTAGAGCTCTGCGTTCATACCCTTACCAATCAAGTAGAGGCTTAGTTTGGGATCAACGATAGCCAGAACTTTGTCCACCAGGGCGAGTCCCTTGTGCACTCCGTCCATAGCTCCACGCACATAGCCAGGACACTCCACGGTGATGAATCGGTGGAAAGCAACAAAAGCTTCAGCCTCACTCCGGGCCGCATATAAGAATGGAGCAGCCAGTACGTTCATACCCTGAACATATGTACCTGGCTCCGACGTACCCACATCAGAGCCCGCTGTTGTCAAAGTAAGAGCTCGAGCTCTAGACTTCATAGCAGGTGTCGCATTTTGTAATTCTGGGCTACCATGTGCATTTGCTGTATGCGTGAGCTTATTACTTGACTTGGAAAGAGTGTCTGCCCGCTCCTCTTTCGCGTCATGGAGCTTCCATGCTACTGCATTTAGTAGCCGGATGAGACTTGCTTCGCTGACTCGTCTACGGAAGAGGGGGTCGGTGGCTAGGGTTCGGAAGGTATCGTTACGGATTTTGGAATAGGCGGGTGAAGCTCCACGGTGGATGAGGGCAAGGTAGGCGTCGGTTTCGAGGATGGGGGCATTAAGCAGGATGAGCCATATGTATATTCTGAGGGATGACTATGGAGCTATGAGCAAGATTTTCTTGGGTAGCAGAAGCGAAGAATCCTTACCATGCCGTCTGTATCACTCTTTATTCCTTGATCCAGTATCTTCAACCTCACTGTTTCCAATGCGCCAATTACATCTCCATCTGGAGGTCCTTCTCTCACCAGTCGGTCGAGAGACAGCGTATCTGCAGCTATTGGTTTCTTCGAATGAACTGGCCGCCTGCCGGCAGAGCCTGGGTTGGGAATCGACATGTTTGTCGCATCACTATTCGACCGTCCTCGACTGTGATGGGAGACTGAGGTGCTGTTCGCGGGCGAATGGGTCCTCTGCAGGACTTGCTTATGTTGCTGCGATATCAGTGAAGGCTGATTGTTCGATTGGCCTAGTGTATGCGCTGATTGTAGTCGCCTGAGTGCGCGTGAGCGAGGTGTGGGTGGAGGGTTGAGGAGAGAAGGTGCAAGATGGGGCGGGGGAAGGTTGGGGATGCTCTGTTTTGTAGGTGAGGTTGACATGATGAATATGAAGTTGTACTAGCACCGTTCCATTTGTATTAAATTTGAGCTGAAGATATGTTTGACAAGTGTTAACAATGATTGAGTAGTATTGGGCCGTATGAAGTTCTCACATGGTCCTCTTGTATGCTGAGGCTGAAGTCAGTGTGATGTTGTTTTACGCGACGCGCGACGATTCGCCTGGCCCCGCCAACACGAGTACCGAGGTTTTATAGACAATCAGTTGACAGGGCCCGAACTTATCTTCAGTATAAACTCAGCATGGCCATGACTAGCAGTGGTTTTCTGGTCAGGCAATGACCGCCCGAGCATTCATGGAGGTGCCCTAGGACTTTTGTGTTGGCACGTGATGCGCACGTGAAAGTACTCCAGGCTTAGAACGCTACCTACCTTACCTTGCCTGCCGGGTAGTCCGTGTTGAGACATAAAGAAAGAAACAAATGGATCTCGTCAAGCTTCGGAGACACGTGAGGATTTCCTTCCACCAGTGGCATTACGTTGAAGGTGCTGTCTACCTGCCTGGATGGTCCAACCAGGACAGTCTGCTCGCGGTGCGACTCAGCTTGAATAGTTTCTGCTTCAAGCGGATCACTTTCTATCCACTATTCCAGGAGCTAAGACAGAGTATTTTACAGCACCAAGTGTGGTTGGGATTACACCAAGTTCCAAATGCTACAATGAACAACGGGCTTCCAAGATCGGCTAAGTCCAGGGTAGCAATCGAGGATGTGACACAAAAGACAAGCTTGAGGCATCTCTTGGAGCTGTCTTGGAATGCTTGATTTGTGCACCCAAGACGGCACAATTTTGGAAATGTTTCAATATCAATTTCAGATTCAGTAAAATCCTCGAAACAGTGGTCAACTTTCCCCTCCAAGGCTGAGGCCCCATGACAGCGGAGGGCGAACAGACAATGGGCAGACGACAGTTGGCAATTGATAATGAAAATAACTGGCGATGAAAATGGCGTTGTCCAATACAAATTCTAAATGGAACAAAGGCAAAGGGCGAAAGAGGCGAGACAGAAACATTTCATTTCTGTCATGTCCAAGTCAAAGTCCTTTCTTGATCAAGCGAGCGGTCGAGTTGCCGACGTTGCTTATCGCCAGCCTCTCCAGGGCCATGATGCAAATGATGTGCTTTTGGGGCGTTTATCCCTGGTATCACATCATGGGCGTCGCTGCTGATTGGCTGGAGTGACCGCACGCAACCTTTTTCACCAGGGCGAGCAGGGCTCGATCTTGCCAAGCCATGCAAGGCTGTGTGGCGGCTGGCCCGCTCTCTACAGATGCGTATGGGCAGACCACCAACATTTGATATGAGAGAGAATAATATGAGACAGAGAGCGAGGAGATGATATTGGATATTATTGGATTGGATGCTGAGTTTATGCGATTGAGACCCTCAGGGCCTCAACTGCCCCTTTTGCTGCAGTATCATGTATCCAGTGTACAGTGTCCAGCATCCAGCATCCAGCATGTCCTTTAAGCTTAGGTAAGCTTGGCTTTGGGATTCAGGTGCCCCGGTCCCGGTCCCGGTCTCTGCGTGGAACCAGACCGTAAGCTACCCTCTATTTACTTTCTACTCTGCGAGTCTGTCCTCGTCAACATGGTCCTACTGTAAGAGTAAGACGTGGAGGTGGCCACATCCGTCCGTCCATCTTGCTCGCTCGCTTGCCCGCTCCCTTTCCTCCTTTTCACTACCCTCAGCCTCGTCAGTAGTCGTCTCCGTAAGGTACAGTATTGTAAGCTAGAGAATGGCGTGCTTGACAAGTAGTGCTCCTGTGGCCCACGCGTGCAAATTCCAACGCCCTGGTGCGCCCCTCTCCCGCAACGCTGATCGGACATCATTCGTCCTGAGCATGTGCGCTCCATCTTTTCTGCTGGGCCCCCTCGGCCCCCTAGTCATGGTATGGTGTATGTTCATTTGTTCACCATTCATTCCGGCGGCGATCTCGACGGAGCTAGCCACCTTCCAGGCATGGCTGCCGATGATACCATCGGTACAAGACCATCATCAAAACTCAGAGAGGTCGGGGCAGGACACTTTCAGAAGATTTCAGAAGTCTGCGCTGTCTGCCTGTCTATCTGTCGAATTGCTTTTCGTACGACCAGACCTTATTTTATTGCCGATTATCTACTAGCGCTCCTCTTTGTACCTCCCAAGTTACATCCGCTCGGTCTGTCTCGTTCTTAGTGCAGTTGCTCTTCTCTCTTCAACATATTTATTTACACGGGGCAAACGTCACCATTTCGGTACTGGACTGCCAAAGTCCCAACCCGCCTATATCACCTAGCTATTTCATCTCGAGTGGTACACTTGCAGATCTTGTTCACGCCTTTTGATCCTCCTCTTTGCCATCCTCAGATCAAGCTCGACCTTCAGCTAGTCCTTCATCGCCAGAGTCAGTCAGAACGTTATTGGAGCTTCCTTTCCTCAGCCCGAGCCTGTAGTCTGGAAGTCACGAATCACATCTGCCCAGGAAGCACGCAATCTATTGGTGGCGCTGCGCAACCCTCCAGCGAGTGCCTTTTTGATATCACGTCGACCTCGGCCGCCTCGTCTGGACCCTGAGTTGTCCGTAATTTGTTTTTCATCTGCGTAAAAACTTTGAGTCAGGCAAGCCTGAGACCCCTTGGGCACGAGGTCCTCTCATCTAGGCCTTCCGTCCCCACGGTTCTGGCTCCATTCCCAGCAACGGAGTCTCAGCCCTGGTCTCCCGCTGTGCCTCAGATAATTCTGGCAGGCATCCTGCACCTTACCCCCACACTAGCTTATTTCCTCGGACCCATCACAGATCTTTGTATAAGATCCCTTCTCTTGTCCTTCTGCCACCCGTCTTGGACTCATCTTGGTTCTCTTGGTAGTTGAGTTCCAAGCTTCACTACTCTCCGCCCAACACCAACGGCTCCCGGCTCATACACCACGATGTCTGCGACCAAAGTCGGACATGCCTTGGCCAAAGGCCTCGGTATCAAGCTCAACTATCGAAATGAATTGGACGACGAAATTCGTCGCGGAGAATCTGTTTTCTCGAGTCAAACCGCAGACACCTATGTCGAACAAGAACCCCACGCGATTGACTGGGTGAAAGATGTCACACCAAATGGACGAGATGTTCGCCAATATTTTTGGTCACTATTCCCCTTCCTCCATTGGATCACGCGATACAACGCCCAATGGTTTGCTGGTGACATGGTTGCTGGTAAGCAGATCTGTAACATAACAGTATGATATGAACTAATTCCCTCATAGGTATCACCATCGGTGCTGTTGTCGTCCCCCAGGGGATGGCATATGCTGTCCTGGCTGAGTTACCGCCGCAATATGGTCTGTACACATCCTTCATGGGTGTTCTGATCTATTGGTTTTTTGCTACTTCTAAGGATATTACCATCGGCGTAAGTTTCTTCAATCAAATTCTAAAACTCCAACTAACCTGAACAGCCTGTCGCCGTCATGTCTACTCTCGTGGGTAAAATCGTCAAGCATGCCGCCAAAACCAATCCCGAAGTTCCAGGACCTGTCATCGCAACAGCTTTGTCCATCATCTGCGGAGCTATCATTGTCTTCATTGGCTTGATTCGAGCTGGCTGGATCGTCGACCTTATTCCTCTGGTGTCCATCTCCGCATTCATGACGGGTTCGGCAATCAACATCGCTGTTGGCCAAGTTCCAACCATGATGGGATATTCGAAGAAATTCGATACCAGAGCCGAAACATTCAGGGTCATCATAAACTCCTTCAAGCACCTTCCGGACACGACGCTGGATGCCGCGATGGGACTCACAGCTCTTTTCCTCCTATATGCCATTAGAGCAGGATGCAGTCTTGCTGCAAAGAAGTGGCCGACGAGGCAGAAAACATTCTTCTTCATCGCCACTCTTCGAACTGCATTCGTCATTCTCCTGTACACTATGATCAGTTGGCTTGTGAACAGACACCACCGCAAGAAGCCACTGTTCAAGATTCTCCAGAAGGTTCCAAGAGGTTTCACAGCAGCTGCTGTCCCCACCGTGAATACAAAAATAATCAGCATCTTCGCTGGCGAGCTGCCCTCGGCTGTCATTGTCCTGTTGATTGAGCACATCGCTATTTCGAAGTCCTTCGGACGGATCAACAACTACATCATCAACCCATCCCAAGAAATGGTTGCCATTGGTGTTACCAACCTCCTTGGACCTTTCCTCGGAGCCTACCCAGCCACCGGGTCATTCTCTCGAACTGCTATCAAGTCAAAAGCCGGCGTCAGAACCCCATTTGCGGGTGTGATCACTGCAATCGTCGTCCTCTTAGCTATCTATGCCCTTCCCGCCGTTTTCTTCTATATTCCGAGTGCCAGTTTGTCAGCAGTCATCATTCACGCTGTAGGAGATCTTATCACTCCTCCTAATACTGTCTACCAATTCTGGCGGGTTTCACCACTCGAGGTGCCGATCTTCTTCGCTGGAGTGTTCGTCACAATCTTCTCCTCCATCGAGAACGGCATCTACACAACAATCTGCGTGTCTCTTGCCCTTCTTCTTTATCGAGTATTGAAAGCCAAGGGGAGATTTCTCGGTAAGGTCAAGGTCCACTCCCTCGTTGGCGAATCCATTGTCGGCAACGAGAGCAAGCCTTTCCTCCCAAACAACGGCACCTTCACCACATCCGGAGGAGCCCACGAAGACTCTTCAAGCAGAAACATCTTTCTGCCCCTCGATCATGGTGATGGCTCCAACCCGGATATTGAAGTTCAAGTTCCATATCCAGGAGTCTTTATATACCGCTTTTCTGAGGGCTTCAACTATCCAAATGCCAATCATTACTTGGATCAGTTGACCAACCACGTCTTTGCCACCACCCGCCGAACAAACCTCGACCACTACCCTCGCCCTGGTGATCGCCCTTGGTACGTTCCGCCATTACCCAAATCTTTCAGAATATTCATTAACAAATCTATAGGAATGACCCTGGCCCACGCCGCGGCAAGGCCCCAGAAGTCCACGCCGACCGCCCAACCCTTAAAGCCATCATCCTAGACCTCTCCTCCGTCAACAACGTCGACATCACTTCCGTACAACAACTAATTGACGTCCGCAACCAACTCGACAAATACGCTTCTCCCTCTACGGTCGACTGGCACTTCGCTTCCATCAACAATCGCTGGACCAAGCGTGCCCTCGTCTCCGCAGGCTTTGGCTACCCAACTCCCGACTCGACATCCACACACCGCTGGAAGCCCATTTTCAGTGTCGCCGAGCTCGGCGGTTCAGACTCTGCTGCTCAAGCTGCTGAGCGGACGGCAAACGAGAAGGAACTCGAGGAGACACGAACAAGAGAGGCCAACCGCCCGTCAAACGGTGATGGTATCAATGCAGATTCCGACAGCGGACTTTCGAGCAACGATCTTAAGAATGTGGCGATTAGGACTGCGGGACGGGCGGCTGTGGTGAATGGGCTGAACAGACCGTTGTTCCATATCGACCTGACTAGTGCGCTGCAGAGCGCTATTGCAAATGTGGAGGCGAAGGAGGCGTATGAGAGTCAGGGTGGCAATGGGATCGGTCAGCTGCCTTGATTTATAGGTTGGGGAGGTTGTGTGAATAGATATTTGTTTTGGTGGCGGTTGAAACATATGATACCTTTTGAGCTTAGTGTTTAGTGTTTGGTTTGGAGACTGGACAATGAATCGGTCACTGTGAAAGGAATAATCCATTCGCTTTAGTTTCCACACATCTGAAGTTGTGCTCAATAGATTGTGACTTGGGCTGCCGGTGTATAGTATGTCCAAATGACTGTTAAGATGTGATTAAAAGCAGAGAGTAAAGACGGGTAAATCAAATTCTGCGACCCGCAGTCAAAAAAAGGGGGCTGAGGTTTTATTTCCATGACTTTGATGAGAAGAGACTGTAAAATTCTTCAATTGGTATCTCGACACTATGTAACTCCGTCAGGATGCGGAAGCGAGTGACCAACTGTGCCTTTAGACAGCTGATCGTCTTTCCGTCTGGCATACCATTTATCTATGATGGCATTGATTGATGACCACGATGCTTGCAGAATGAGGCATTGAATAGACCTCCCATCCTGCCCTTCCGCCCTAACTCCATGCTTGCTTACTAGCAGAAGAAAATCAATAAAAACTCCTGTGACATAAGCACAATTCCCAGTGCATGTCATGCAATATCTCCAATTTTTTCTTCCCATATCCCGTCCGTGTGCAGTTGGACGAATCAAAATCACTTCCATTCCATCATTCCCTAGGCAACTTCCGTAACAAATCATGTTTCCTCTTCCATTTCACTTCGCAGCCTTCGCTTATCTGGGAACTCCTCCGATCCATGCTTCGGCTGGCAGGGCTGCCTATTGAATGTTAGTCAAAATACCAGGGTTGACTATGGTAGGAGAAGGAGTGTTGGCCTACCTTGTTCGCAGTGAAGGCAGCGAAGGCCTTCTCAAGGTCCCATCCGGTCTCGTTCAAGCACATAGCCGAATATTCTAGAGTCATTCCAGTCTTCTCCGTTAGTTGGGTTGCAATAGCCTCTTGTTGTTGAAGGACTTGTTGCTCTGGAGTAAGTGCTTGTTGTTGTAGCGTTTGCGTTGAGATGGGGTGCGGCAGGGGTGCCCATCCTCGGAGAGAAAGCATATCACTGACGACTCGGATCTGTGGACCACCAGGAGCGCCAGGACCCAGTACGAAGTTGCGTGTGAAGCTGCGGAGTGACTTTTCGGCGTTGTTCGGTGCTTGGTCTTCGAATTCGCCATGGATGGTGATCATAAGTCCGTCAACACCATGGGCAGCTTGGCCGGTAAGGTCTGGAAGACCAGAGACTGGACAGCATTCGATCATGTACTTATCTCCCTGCGTGTGTAGATCTGGGTGTCGAGTCCCTGGTAAGGTGGCCCAGACTGTTTGAATATCCTGCACCCCTTTGTATTGACGATTCATTCTGGCGTTCAGATGGTTGATCTTGAGAAGGTTCCGAGAGTGCTTGGTGTATTCCGACCAAGGCTGAACGGGAACCGAGACTTCTGTACTTCTTGGAGCCGTCATGTTTATCGCAAGAGAAAACTTGGAGTGGGCGTCGTAGAATTGACCAAGAAAGCCGGTACGATTGGTGTCGTAGAGTGCAAAGAACTGTGTGACGAAGTTTGCGCCAACGCCACCGACGTCTTGGAATTGAGGTCCAAGAACTGGGAATGGATTTCTCGCAGCTTCGTCAGCCGCGACTTTGATGGCAACTTCCTCTGGTGTTCTGACTTTGATGTTGTTCAGCGTGTGAAGCTTTGGGTAGCGCTTCATGATCTCGTCCTTAAGTGTTGCTAGCTGGGCCTCAATTGGATTACCAACGAGGATAAGGTGCTCCATATTGCGGAACTTCTTTTGCCATGCGTCAATAGAGCTCAAGTCTGTGAGGTTGTTTCGAGATAGGTCGATGTTCTTGATGTCGGGGAACATCTCGGCAAGGAGGTTAACTTCGTCAACCTTGCTTAGGCCATTGTCTGCGAGAGTGACACTGGTGATGGCTTCTCTCTTCTCTCTTCTGGTCTTGAAAAGCTCATCGCATACAATCATCAAAGCTGGGAAGATCTTTGATGTATTGGTACTTCCGTTGAACATACCCATCGAGTTCAGTCCGGGGTCCGCAACAAGGGCGGACAGGTTCAAGAGCTTCAGGCCAGTATCGTATCTAGCAGCTAGGACTCCCCGTAACTGGTCTTTGACCTCTGACGTCGAAGCAGAAGTTTCAGACTCCTTTCCAGCTGCATCAAGGGATCTGATTTTCAAGATTGCTCCAGCGAAGTTGAAGTTGTTCAGCTTCAGAATGGTAGCCATGTCGTCTGGACTGGCAGTGATGAAGACGGAGTCACCGACCATGGATGACTATTTTGTTGTTAGCAAGGCATAAGGACCTTGGAAGCGATTGCAGGTAACGGTTCGGTATGAACGGGGATGTCCATCGTTCCTCGACTCGATATTGGTGGGTGTGATCAAGAACGAGTGTAAAGAGACGGGCGACGCGTAGAATTCTACCTCCACACCATCAATGTAGTAGACATACCTTCTTGATCTTAACAGTTCTATTTGACTTCGAATCTAGTCCGTTGGCCTTGCGCTCCAGGAAAGAAAGTAGTGCCTCAAGACCTCCATCGTGGTTTTTGGCGGCTTTGCTGTCTTTCAGGCCACTAATTTGAAGTTTCGGTCCTCCTCCTGTAATACGTGACTCAAGAACGTTCGCCTGTGATCCTCCTAGGCCACGGATGATATTTTGCTTGGCCCGGTCGGAAACATGATTTCCTCTTCCACCAGAGCGCGAGGCTGGACCTTGTGAACGCCCTGTACGGCCAGGCGAGATCTTGCCTCTGCCACTCCCTAACCTAGGCTTATCAGCAGTCGTAGCAGCCGCATCCATGACCAGGTCACCATCTTTATCAACTCTCGTCGTTGCGCCGCCAGCTCTGCGCTTTTGTACACCACCTCGTCCTCTGCCACGAACCTGTGGGGAGGAGCCTCGGGGCCCTCGAGGGGGGGGGTTGCTGAGCATTTTCTTGTTGTGGGGTTCTTGTAACTGAGGAGGTCGTTTGTGAATGCGAGTATGGCGATTATGCTGGTGGTGGTTTGTTCTTGGTTCGATCCGTAATCGCTGGTGTTGCTTGGTGGGATGACGGTGTTTCGTGGTAGCTGTCGCAGATTTCGTTGCGGGTGTTTTTCTGGTAAAAGACTGTGACGGAGAAGGTATCTCCAAGAAGGTCGAAATGAAGAAGAAAAGAATGTGTTGTATTGGCGAGCAAAGACGTCGGTGTTGGAGTAGCAAAGTGGCGGTGGTGGTGGATTGAGACAAAGGAAAGCTCAGTTGTATGAAAGAAGAATAGGAAGCCGTGAGGGCAAGGCTGAAGCCGAAGATTCTGGGCGCGGGAGGGTGGGCGTGCGATGACTCAGCACCCCCCGTCCCCGTGATATGGCTTGGCTTCCAGGTCCCTAGGTAGGTTGCCATTGAAGTCACCCCAGTCACAGCCACGACTTTTTACTTACCTTACCTTGGGTAGGTAGGCAAATCGTCAAGTCATGATCGAGTGAATCATACCTACCAAAACTTGACTCCCATATCTTGCACCGGGCCAGGTCTCTTTTCTTTGATACTCGATCGTCAAATGTTGCGAACGAGAGGCTCCCGAACAAGGCACCAGCACGATGCCTGTGTAAAGTGCTGACTGCCGAGACATCTTCAACGTTTTCTCATCTGAGGACGGTTCAAAGCCAGTGAAGTGCATGTCAATTAATGACTTCCCAGTAACAGGGGTGATGAGAATTGCTTGGTTCACAGCTACCTTCATTCAGCTATCATGTCGAGTTAGTACAGTAACAATTCCAATTCGACTTTGAAAATCCGCCAGCGTGCACTTCCTTCAAGAGCCTCGAGTCTCGAGCCTTGGAGGACCCCCACATGCCATGCAGTTTAAGAGTTTAAGTACCTTATCCGGCTGTCCCTGGTCCTGCGGCGCGACAGGGCAGCAGCAGCAATACAGTACAGTACAGTAGCAGCAGGGGTGCACGAACCTAGTGCGAACGAGGTAAAGTTCATGATCTGGCCTCAGTGAATTGATCCCCCCAAGGACACGCAAGACCTCGAGATAACTGTTCGGCGCAACAAGTAACTCGCGAGACTCCGCATCGACGCTTCTTTCACTTCATGTTTCCAGCTAATTGATTGGTATTTCCCTTGATTTATGCATCTTTAAGTGCACTGGTGCCACCACCGCCGCGAGGCTTCACAGCCAGATCCCCTCCATTTCCTTGCGATCTTCAAGAAGTAGTATGCCTGCGAAGTCAAGATTTACGAGGCTAGATGCCTTCACCAAAACGGTCGATGAAGCCCGAGTCCGCACGACTTCGGGAGGAATTGTTACGATAGCTTCACTGCTGATCGTTCTGTATTTGGCGCTGGGAGAATGGGCAGATTACAGGCGTATAGTTGTCCACCCGGAGCTGATTGTGGACAAGGGAAGAAGTACGGACACACACGCCATGGTAGAAAGAGGCTTTACTGACTCTGCCAGGTGAAAAAATGGAGATACATCTCAATATCACTTTCCCGAGAATACCTTGCGAGCTCTTGACACTGGATGTGATGGACGTTTCTGGAGAGCAGCAGACAGGTATCATGCATGGTGTGCACAAAGTGAGACTTGCGCCAGAAGCAGAGGGTGGTGCGGCAATTGATATCAAATTACTGGAGTTGTGAGTTCCAGACACATTTTAGACAAATCGGCCTACTAATCGTATCCAGGCACAATGCCGACGACCAAGCTACCCATTTGGACCCCGACTACTGCGGTGGATGTTATGGCGCAAATCCTCCCCCGAACGCTCAGAAACCTGGCTGCTGTAACACCTGCGAGGAAGTTCGAGAGGCTTACGCGAGTGTTTCGTGGGCATTTGGACGAGGTGAAAACGTTGAGCAATGCGAGCGGGAGCACTACGGAGAGCGATTGGATGAGCAGAGAAAAGAAGGATGTCGGATTGAAGGAGGTCTTCGGGTGAACAAGGTCGTTGGAAACTTCCACATAGCGCCAGGAAGGAGTTTCAGCAATGGCAACATGCACGTTCACGATCTAAACAACTACTTCGATACCCCAATTGCTGGAGGACATGTTTTTTCGCATCACATCCACGCTCTTAGATTCGGACCACAACTTCCCGATAGTGTCACAAAGAAATTGGGAAGCAAGCAGATGCCATGGACAAATCATCACATCAACCCATTGGACGATACCGAGCAAGTCACCTCTGAATCTGCATACAACTTCATGTACTTCGTGAAAGTTGTTCCAACCTCGTATCTGCCTCTCGGATGGGACAGCTCATCCGCCAACATCCCTGGCGACCATGTTGGAATCGGACAGTATGGTCATCTGGACGATGGCAGCGTTGAAACTCATCAATATTCCGTCACAAGCCACAGGAGAAGCCTGAGCGGTGGTGATGATTCCGCAACAGGTCACAAGGAGAAGCTACACGCTCGTGGCGGTATTCCCGGAGTCTTTTTCTCATATGTATGTTCTTCCACAGCAATTGCTATGATATCTACTAACACTAATTAGGACATCTCCCCAATGAAAGTTATCAACCGCGAAGAGCGAACCAAGAGCCTGGCTGGTTTCTTGACTGGACTGTGTGCTATCATAGGAGGAACCTTGACAGTAGCAGCAGCAGTGGACCGGGGAGTGTACGAGGGAACGACGAGGCTGAAGAAAATGCAATCGAAGAATCTCTGAAGAAATTGGCGTGAAGAGCATATGGGTTTGGCATGGGTCTGGCGTTTGGAGATCTTGGATCTTAAATATGAACCTTTTTTGCTATTCACACCCCCTCTACATTATTACCGCCTATCGTGAGCTCTAATGATGGCTTTTGGACTAACTACATGTTGTTAACCCTATTTTGACATGCAATAAGTCCAGGAACAGCTCTACTAGAGAATCAAAACCTTGGTAACCCCACTGTATGCTCAAGTTCCGTGCTCAAATCAATTCTTCGATGGTTGACGTTAAACTTGCAGAAGCCGTGACTTTAGAATCCGATTCACACGTTGTATCTTCTCTGAAACAACATTTGGAGGTGTACCGAGTTCCTATACATCTTGAAGTGAGTTGACTTCAAATGCTACAAAGTACAAGACATGGTTCGCGTTTGCGCAGCATCACCGTAAGATTACACCTACGATAACCCGACTCTTGGAAACTTAGTATCACGTTTTCGCTCGACGACGGGCACCCACCCCTAGGTACACATCCCACCACTCTTCACGGCCGCTCTACCTACACCCTCGCTTATATCAGGAAGTCGACATATCTCACCACAGACCAAGTGGCTCTCTCCCCATACGCATCTGACGCTCATAATAAGGCCCATAGTGCTGCGGGAAGGGTCGGCCATAGCCCAGTAGGGGCCAGCGGACTTTGTCTCTACACCTTAGCAGCTTTGCTCGCCATGTGCTGTACAATGCAAACAATTCCTCTCTTTCCTTTTGCGACAGAGCAGCAGGGTCTCCACCGGGTTCAGCTCCTTCAAACCTAGTTCGTGGGGATTCGTAGCTTACTTTCTCATATTTCCGACTAAAACAGGGATGCAGACCACGAGACGTGAGTGACGGAATGTCCTCATCTACGGGAGACAGACCTGTGCCGATGTCCTGCCATTTGAGAATACGAAGAACTACGCCTTGGCCTTTGAGTCGCTCAAGACTAACATTAAACTCTGTTGGGCAGAAATCACAACGATAGTCCATGATGTGCTCCTGCTGATCTTCTGACAAGCTTTTGAGAATTCTGACCCATCGGTGCAAGCGATTGGTGACGATGCTATTACCAGGTGACCATCTACAAGTGTGCGGACACTTCAGCAGATTTCTGTCAAACAGATATTCTTGATTGGATACCTGAGCATAAGGTACTACGTATGTCGTTTGCGAACGCATCAATAGGCTACCGTTGGCGATTCTCGGTTCTGCAATAAACTGTTTGACTTGAGCGTCTTCGATTGTAGCTTTGCCGCGGTAAGTGAGTAGCTCCAGCAGGTGTCGTTGGTCTTGCCCTTGACGGTGCTGTTTCATAATGATACGAAATATCAGCAAGTCGAAATTTGGATGAATGTAATCTGCCACGCGAAGTTTTCGGTCTCCTGTCCTGCACTTTGACCATGATTCGGGATGAGCCAATACGTCGGTGATAGGATGTAGCTTCTTGCAATTGTAACATTCCAGATGGCCAGGATGGCCTAGCTCTAAAACCTCCCAACAAGGTGTGTGACGCTGTAAGGCGGGAGTAAATGCCATCGGAGGCATGATGGCTGTTTTTTTCTTCTTTTTGTAAACTGTACAGGTTGAGATCGTATCGATGAAAGGCTTAGGACGTCTGTAAGAAGGATTCAGAGAATAAAGACTTCATTGGAATCTTCTTCCACGACAGCTCCGGAAATGATTTTTGGTAGATCCTTTGGCAACTTGAGCTTAAGTCGGAGTACTATATTAACAATAAGTTAGAAGACTTTGAAGTGTGGGAGAATAATTCATAACGGTGGGGGCTAATACTTAGTACGACGAAAGACTGGCACTAAGGTCGACCAAGAGCCAGCTCCTATCCTCACTGAACTGGTAACATAACCAAAACTTAAGACTCCATGGTCCGTCTGACCTCCCACTTTAAAATCAGTGATAACAGGCTGGTGTGACCTGATTAATTGCAGCCTAGGAATATTTACCGCCTTAGATCTACTTGAATGCCAGGATGGCAGAGGCATGAAAAGGCAGAAAGTCCCGAAAGATATATCTGATGATAGGCTCATGTTCCCTTAGTAACTTTGGAGCAGACATAGAAGCCACAAAGATACAACATACGAGTGTGGAGAAGGAGACTGCGAAGAACTAAATCTGGATTTTTGGTCCTAGACGAGGCTCACGAGGCATCAAAGGCCACTTCCTGGTGAATGTGAATATAAGCTCCAGAAAAGGCGCTTGAAGAGTACACGGACTTGGCGTTCAGACATTCTTAGATATGAACCTTGATTGCTACAAAAATTCTCTCGATTTCATTTTCATTCTATAAATACATGTGATGATCTTAACTCGGATCGCCCCAGTAGTGGAACGGCGGTAGCGGCTTCGCTTGGGTTGACCCGGATGACTTGTCTGCTATGCTTCAATTAGAATCTCCCAAGCCAGGAGACTTCGTCAAGAAAGACACCAAGTATTATTGAATCGCAAGTCTATAGCACTTTGCATGCGAAAGGCTACGTTAGACAAAGTCAAGATCCGCCGAGAGGGAATCAACCCCGCGTCTTACATAACAATCATATCACCCAACCTCTCAACGCTTGACCTTCCGAGGAAAATACAATGTCGCTGACCTCCATCTCATACTTCCCGAGTCAAATATTCAAGCGTCCTACTTTGAGACCAAAGCTATCACATCTAGATTTCAAAAGCCCAAGATCACGGAAAATGTCCTCAATGGTTCCAGAAATACGACTTGCGGTTCTCCACCAAGCTATCGAACTACCACTTATAAATGGTATCAGAAAGCCTATGAAGCCAGGAGGTAGGTTAAAATCTCGTGGTTTTCTTGATGCTTTTGATTTTTATGTGCTCAATGCTTTTCATTTCCTCCCAGTCATTCCATTTCTTGGTTCGTTATTAATGGCTTGTATCTCCGAGTTTAGAGTTACAGGTTAGCATATGTGAGCTCAATTAAATTGTCGTAACCGAAATTATCTACTACACTTTGTTTCATTTCAATATACCTCTTCCAGGCTTTGCACTAAGCGTGTATCCAGGATACCAAGACTCCAGCGCCGACATCGCCTACACACTCTCTAAGTCCCTTTCTGAGCAGCCCAGCATCGAAATCCACACCCCCATCCTCTCTCCCTCACCTACTAACCAAACCCACTGGTCTTTCCCCGACACCACATCAGGAATCTTCTCTGCCCTCCGAAATGGCACCACCACCCACCTCTGGGCGAACACAATCCTCTTCTCTGCACACCCGCTCCAGAACCTGCCTGCTTTAGACGCCTACCAAGATAGTCTTCGAATCATTGCTCAACCGCCCAAGTTGGTGGAGACTGGTGACGATAAAGCGAAGGTTAATGATTTCCTAAGGTCTTACTCCACAAACTCGAGTAAAGAATGTGGGAAGTTTACGTTACCGCAAGGATGGACAATAGATACTTCTCCAGAATTGGACATCTATACTACGTTGAAAGAACTGTATTTGCCGTATCCAGTAGTCGGCAAGCCAATCCGCGGCAGAGGCAGTTTTGGTGTAAAAGTCTGTCACGATACAGACTCCCTAGCAGCACACTTCTCTTTACTATTCAAGGACTCATCAAGCGTGATGATCGAAGAATATCTCAGCGGCGAAGAAGCCACAGTGACGGTCATGCCGCCTTCGCCATCACATGCAACTCATTGGGCATTACCTATCGTAACGAGGTTTGGGCATGAGCAGGGCGTGGCGCCGTATAATGGCATTGTAGCCGTGACTGCTAACTCGAGGGTTGTCACTCAGGAAGAGTGTGAGGCGGGTGTAACTTATGGGGAGGTGATGAAGGAGTGTGAGGGCGTTGCAAAATTGCTCGGTGCAACGGCGCCCATCAGAGTTGACGTGCGGAGATTTGGGAAGGCAAAGGAGAATGGGGAGAGGTTTGCGTTGTTCGATGTTAACATGAAGCCAGTGAGTACTTCTCCAGAAACCTTGATTTTGAAGGAAAAAAATGTATATTATGTGGTTTTGGGACATTGGCTCAAACAGTTTGCAGAATATGACCGGCCCTGGAAGACCGGGACGAGATGATCAGGCAAGCTTAACGGCTATAGCTGCGAAGGGTCTAGGATGGGACTATAAGAGGCTGCTAAGGGAAATGATTGAGAGTGCGCCTACACTGAGGGCTCTGAGGGAAGTGGAGTTGCTGTTGTAGCTTTTCCAAGATTATGGACTTGGGCACTGTTGGTGGAAACTGGGTATTCTGATGCAGACTCAGAATTCCGAGTCAATTAACTATCCCGACGCGCTGCTCCATGGCTCTTCCGGGTCTAGGTAAGCAGAAAGACTTGTTCAAGGACGCTTGACTCCGGCAGCTCGATACCTCATGCAGTGAATAAGTGGGGAACAGCTCACCGCAACTAAACAACATCCTTAACGCTAAGCGCACCAGTCAAAGCACAGAAAATCAACGCAGTTGACAGTAGACTGAAGTCACGGCTTTATGACTAGAATAATGCTCAGATCCATTATTTGGTGCTGCTGCTCATAGAGCCAAAATTATCATCTTGCTATCCATCCTGCCAGTCGAGGCAACCCTTTTTGCGACGCCCGCATCGATACTTTCAAAAGAGGGGAGAAAATTTGTTATCACGAGATCCACCGCACGATATTCTCTTCGTAGCCTGTACCATTGCCAATAGACAGACCTTTTTAGGTAGACCAGGGACAAGGATAGTGACTGAGATGCGTCCGAACGGGGAGGTTGTTTGTTGACTCAACTAGCTGTGCCAAAGAAGGTAGTCTTAACATGAATTCTTTCTATCTATCCTGACCTGATTCTAGATCTAGATGCATACTTACAACTTGTTGGGTGCCGTTTGCGTGGTTGGCCATTGGTATCCAGCTGCATCAGAGAATTTGTAGCCGTATGAAGAAGTGAAGTCGTCCAGAACTGCAGGTCCACGCGATCCTAGATCGAAAATTAGCGTTCTATGTGCAAAGAGATTCCTAGCCAAGTTAACATACCGTACGGGTATTCCATGGGAATAATTTCCTTGTTATCTTCAAGGTAGTGCAGAAGAGGTGTAAAGACTCTCCAACTAGCATCTAATTCATCATCACGGACGAAGTTAGAGTGGTCGCCTTTAAGAGCATCGAGAATAAGCGATTCGTAGGCTTCTGGGATCTTCAAGTCTGAGAATCGGCGTCTGTAGGTCAAGTCGAGTTCTGTGACAACAGTTTGCATGCTCAGACCGGGAAGCTTGGAATTCATCTTGATATAAACACTCTCGTTAGGCTGGATCCGCATAACAAGTTCGTTTCGTGGAATATCCTTGAAAATGCCAGAAGTAACGTCCTTGAACTGGATTCTGATCTCGGTTTTCTGCTCATTGAGAGCTTTTCCGGCCTTCAGGATGAAAGGCACACCGTCCCATCTCTCGTTCTTGATGAAAGCAACCATTGCGCAGAATGTAGGACATCTGGAATCCTTTGGCACGGTATCATCTTCCTTGTATGAAGGCTTGTTTCCGTCAAGAGACTTGCCGTATTGACCGATGATAACGTTCTTTGGCTCGATCGCTGGGATACCTCGCAAAACGCGGACCTTCTCATCCCGAACATCTTCCGCGGAGAAGGAAATTGGTCTCTCCATAGCCAAGAGAGTCAAGACTTGGAGCAGATGGTTCTGCATGACATCTCTAATGATACCGAACTCATCAAAGTATCCGCCACGTCCCTCGGTGCCGAATGGCTCCTTGAAAGAGATCTGAACGTTATCGATGTGGTTTCGGTTCCAGGTTGCGCCGAAGAATTCGTTACCGAATCTCAAGATCAGAATGTTCTTGACCATCTCCTTCCCCAGATAATGGTCAATACGGAAGATCTCCTCCTCCTTCCAGTTTGGCTCCAGAGCCTTCTGCAATTCTCTCGAACTAGCAAGATCCTTTCCGAATGGCTTCTCGACCTGTAATTGTAAAATTAGCCTTTGGGGTCGAAGCTCTGTAAAGCAATAACCTACGATAATTCTTGCAATTCCATTCTTGGGATAGCAGCATTTCTTCAGGTGCTGGGAAACTGTGGTGAAAACGCTGGGTGGGAGTGCCATGTAAAAAACGCGGTTGGTCTCCTCGCGTCCATTTTCGATCTCTACAAGATGTTTTTCCAACTGCTCAAATGATTCATCCTTGTCATACTGTCCAGAAACATAAGTACAGATATCGCAGAAATCCTGAAGCTGCTGTTCCATATCCTTCGTAGGCGTCTTGATGTATGATTTGACCCGCTTGAGGTATTCCTCATGGTCCATCTTCGTCCGCGCATATCCAACGATCCGAATGTCTTTTGGAAGAAATTGGTTGCGGTACTGTCATGTTGCACGTCAGTGGATTACAAGATGGAAAGGACGGGCAACAAACAAGACCGAAAAGGGCCGGGAACTAATTGTATTAACGTTAGCATCTCTTCACAATGTCCTTGATCTGCAGATAAATACGGTCTTCTTCTTTGCCAAATCACCAGATGCACCCAGGACAACAACGACGGTGTTGTCTTTCAGCTCAATTGACCTAGTGGGGTAAAATACGATTAGTAACCGCGATTTGAAAGACAAACATAATTGAAAATGCAAAAATAAGACAGTCAAGTGCTCGAACAGCCTGCAGCTCTGCAGAGATTCTCCAGGTATTCCGAATGTTGGGGTCGAGATGCCACAGATCTTTGTTGATTCCTGACTTCAAGTGACGTAGAGCGACCAGTGGGGGAAAGTTGAAGCAACTCACCCAGCATTGTGCGGTTCTTCGGGCTTGATCAAGGTGTCCGCCATCTTGACTATGTCTGAGACCTACTCGAAGGGCTGTAGAGGATTGGAAAGGTGTCCGAGTTGCAGGAGGAAGGAAAAGGGCAGTCTTGAGGAGGAAGTCGAGGATGTGGAGGAAAATGTTGAGTTCGGAGGATGGATCAAATTCGAGCGAGGGAGCTACCGCTATGTACAGCACAGCGGGGTCGAACGGCGGCTGGAACGGAGTTATTCCAACCTCACTGCTAGTGCCACTGTCAGCTATCCAGAGCCCACCACAGCGCTACGACTCGCGGTACAGACGCACTGCGCGTTTCTTGGAAGTCACCGAAGGTGCTGGGACTAATTACCGGACTGTTAGGAGGCGGAGTGGATATGGAGGGTGCGCGACCGGAGACAAGAGACAGTGCAAAGGCTCGCCAGATGGACTCGAGCTGTTGAGGGGGTTGGCAACCAGAGATATCCAAATCTATTTATCTATGATCCGAGTACACTGGGACCACTTCACTCTGGAATATGCATCATTCCAGTGCCTTTGCTCCCTTTCGTCTTTATACACATCATTCTGCGGCAGAAGTGGAGGTCCAAGTCCTCACGTCTGGCTGGATTGTTTATAAGCAGGTCGCATTAAAACTGGTTCTCAGCCTTGCTTATGGGACCTCCGGAAGTTTTTACGGAGGTTCAAGTCTCTGCTGTGACTAACGTCGATTTTGAAGTTGTGGAATATAGACCTGGCAGAACGAGCCTACCTATGGATTCGACACAAAGTGGATGTCGCAACTGCTCGTAAAGCCAAGATTTCCTTCTCAGGACGAGTTTCTTTCCCGTTTTTGACCATCCGGGATGAATATCATACCAAAGTCGCTAATTCCAACTCCATCAATCACCACACTTAGCAATGAATGAGTAGTCAAGCAAGGACAAGCGGATGCCCGCAAGCTTGAAGTCCGAAATGGCTGGACTACAATCTCGATGAATTATAACCCATTGAAGTTAATGACGGTTGATGATTTCTCCAGGGATGGTCGGGATTGCTAGTGGTGCAGGTGTGCAAGTCTGCTAGTGGTTGGAAGATTGCCCTATCTGGGCACCATCCAGAATGGCATCCTGTGTGGCCAATGGGTCTGCTGGACAATATTGAGGATTTATAACTCGATCTTTGCATTGAGTTTCAGTTGACAATGGAGGCTGTATTTGGACGATTCCACTAACTTATTCAAATTATTTGGAGTGCTTTTGCATCATGTTGATAATGGAAGGGGAGAGAAGCTTCAGCTCTTGGGCTTCAAAGATTCTCAGATGCTCAGCAAATCAACAATCAAAAGGTAGTGACGAAGCAGCAACTTGAAATTTCCTGAAGAGTGACACAACCAAGATCTTGAATTTTCTTCTCGTAGCTGAACACTTACTTCAAACTTGGGAAGGATGGATATTCGTGACCAATCACGTGATACGGCTTTCTGCAAGGCCCACCGGCGGCTCGCTTAGATCCACGCCGCCCACACTCAGATTGCGAAACTGCTTTCTGAATTTGAAGGTCAACGACAACTCGACGCCAAACACGCCCAACGAAGTCTTTCTCGCCAGGACGTGTCGTTGACAACATTTCCGTCACCTCTCGAATCTAGAAATAGTACGAGAGATTTCAGCAAAGATGCCTTCAGAAGCCGGACACCGCCGTAAGTTTACTTCCTCATTTCTCCCACCGTACGGTTTCCAAGATCTATTCAATGGACCAGGATAATTGTTATCGCTCCACGGATTCTGAACAAAAAATGCTGACTTCTGCCTCCAGTCTATGTGAAGTGAGTTATAACCACCGAATACACTCGCGCGTCAGCACTGCAGCTTGGAGGAACGAGAAGCAATTGAAGGAATGGGCATTGGGACACGATACAGAATGAGAATGGAAGTACCGGAGCTGACATGGATATCGTAGGGGCCGTCACATCAGCTACCAGCGTGGCAAGCGCAACACCACCCCAGGTACCAGCTTGATCCAAATCGAGGGTGTCTCTGATACCAAGGGAGCCAAGTACGTTGGATTCAAGATCTCAGTACTGAAGGAAAACTTACTTTTTTAGCTTCTACCTCGGAAAGAAGGTTGCTTTCGTTTACCGCGCGTCGAAGGAGGTCAGAGGATCAAAGATCAGAGTTATCTGGGGCACAATCAGCAGAACACACGGTAGGCCGCGAGCGGATGGGGATATGGAAAGCTGGCTAATGAAGGGTTCAAGGCAACTCCGGTATGGTACGAGCCAAGTTCAGAAACAACCTCCCTCCTAAGTCTTTCGGTGCCTCGGTCAGAATCATGTTGTACCCATCTTCGATATAAGAGGATTGGTTTGGAGTTGGACGCATGGGAAGTTGATTGATGAACTGCGGCATTCAGTCACTGGATTGGGACGGGCAAAATGAGCATAAGCGCACGGCCTTGCTGGTAGAATCCGAATAAAGCAAATACAATCACAAAAGGGCTCTGGATGGTGACCATGAAGTTGAGTGTTACTAGGTGATGGCTGTTTCGATCGATAGGGAGTGCTCAGGCGTCATACTTATGCGAAAAGCGCTATATAGAAGCTTTGCTGTACTCTTGCAGTGTGTCAAATTCTACTTCGACCGTGGACTTGGGTTTGTCACTGGTGTCCGAGCCGTTCCTTCTGCTCAAGTGGCGGTATCGCAAATTAGAGCTTGAGCCAGGCAAGCAAACTGGTCAAGCGCCTGCTTTGGAAGATATTTAATTGATCGTCTGGTCTATGCCACTGCGCTCAGAACTTACGAGTACGGCCATGCTTCTTCACTACACCGAAACCAAAATGGCAACACTATGATGGGGCTCGGCTCAATCGCTCTACAGCAACAGATATCTATGAATGCCAGTGACTGGGTCTGGACGCCGAGGTAAGAGAACCACTGGGAACAAGCCCTGGGACTTTCATGCAAGGCTGGTACTTATTGACTGCCAGCCATGTCTCTTCATTAAGAACCCTAGGACTCAAAGTAACTCCTCAAGCCCCATGCGGCCATATACCTTGGGCTTGATTGTCAGGCAAAGTCACCCACGATTCAATTCACGGGCCGCAACGAATTTGAATAACACGACAATTTAGCACAACTGTTTCTCGTTTTGGCTATGTGTCTTTGCAGCGAAAGCCCAATTCACATCCTCTGTTTCAAGTTTCGGCCCAGTTTCTTATATACTTTTAGTAGAACTGTGATGGGAGTCAATCAAAAAGACTCTCTAGACCTGCCCTCCTACCACGCACGATCAAAATGTCTTGACTTGTATGATGTGAAACGCTGTACGAGATTTGCTAAAGCAGGATTCCGAAATTTTGGGGTTCTAACAATTGAACCCACTTCCGACCGGCATTTTTCAGATCCATCTCTTTCCTATGTAATCGTGTCTCTTCCTCGTTTAGGTTGACTTCAAAACAAAACACGCAAGCGACGGTTGTCGGACTTCTAGGATAGAACGATGCCGAGTCGAGTTGTCCCCACTCGATTCTCCATACCTTACAGTATTGAGACCCCTGGCAAAAAGTAGTTACTGCTCCTGGCAACGTCATCTCGAAATGCAAAATACTGGAAGCCTGCAATTTCCCTACTTGTCGGTCAAATCAGATTGTTTAAGAGAATACATGACATTGCAAAGATCCAAAGCAACTTGGAGAACTACCTACGCTGTGGGTAAGCTAGGGAAGCCGGGCAGTGTAGTCTAATACTAAGGTAAATAAAGGTCCGTTCGGAAGAACCTGACCCTTCCCCTTCTCACCTTGCCGAGCACTTGCCAGTCGGCAAGGCAACCAATCAACTTTATCCAGTCAATAACGAGCGATATGGGATTCCCATATCCGAGGGATCCGGATCAAGGCCGGTACGACCCCCAGCCTTCCATTGCCGTTATTCCCGATGGAAAAACGAGATACAGCCACCCTTTAAAGCCACCAAAACAAAGTAATACCAACAACAGGTTTTTGGGCGCCATTTGCACAGAATCTTACGAGAAGGAGCTGATGGAGGGCTGGCTGCATTATTCCTGCAGATAATCGGTAGCTGTCTGTTTCGTGTGTTACCTGGTGCCAAGTCAGTAATGCCATTTGATACAGGATCTTCGCCGAAAAGCAGGCGGGGCTGCGCCAGAGGGACAAATTCCAAAGTTACCTTAGTTGGCAGTTCGTGCTCACTAGAGACCCCCTCTAGAAGTTGGTAGAGGCATATTATGAATCCCAAAATATCAAATCGTGGCGAGGGGACTGCTTAGAGTTCCGCCGGTGGCTAGCTAGCTCAGCTTGCGCGTTCTCGCGTACTGTAGTGTTCGGGTCTCTGGGGGCTTGATGCCCAGGGACTTCGAACTTCGTGGTGTCTACCAATAATGTACCCTGAAAGTCTGTTGCAAAAAAACTTTATGCCCGTATTCAGGGCTAGAGTGCGCGCGCAGGAGGCGACGATGAGGACGAGCCAGTGACAACAGCTTGTACCAGGGCAAGTGCATCCAATCCATAGGTACGAATATCGTTCCCAACCCGCACGGCACCGCCTCCCCATCTCTCGTCATATGTCCCCATCCTCATCCCCATCCCCAGACTTGTGATTTCTTGTCAGAGCAGAGCCCACCCTCTTTCATTTCCACCATCCACTTCTCCATCTAATACTTACTCAACACATCAATCGTTATCTTTTCCTTATTGCATCCTTTGAATCAATCACAACCGCTACGAATACGCACTCTTGACTCCATACTGCATCATTCGCTATCGGCTTTTGGAGCTAGACCAGGCGGTTCACCTAATTTTCCTCACTCGCTGAAATAACTGCCTGCACACTCGCAGCCTCAACATATTTCCTGGCCAGTAAAACAGCACACGCCTTCCCACAATCCAAGAGAAAACAGAATTATTCCAGACGGCCGAGGGGTTTCTTTATTTCAATACCTACCCAGCCCAGCCTCCACAGTTTTGACGTTGCGTCGTCTGAGACGTAGGGTCCACCATCGCCATCCTTCAGCATTCGGTCCCCACATTGATACCGGGAAACGGATCGCAATTACAGCTATCGCAGTTATCGACAGACCCACAAACAGCTCTGAGACCAAGAGTGGCGCGCGGTTCCAGCTTCAAGATGTCTTCTTCAAAGAATCACCCTTTACCCGTTCCGCCAGGACAACAGCGACCTCGAGCAAAGTCGAACTTCAGCTTTCGCTCAACCCATTCCCGCAAAAGTAGCAGCAGCAGTCATAACAAGATTGATCTCCACGAGTCGCACGCAGAGAAGGAATCCAAACGTCTTCAAACGAAAGCAGGTCCGTCTTCAACAACTTTCTTTCAATGTATTTCACAGGATCCTGCTAACATTACCACAGATCCTCAGATGGCACTGAACGAAGCTGAGCCTTGTGAGTAACTACAATAATATACACGACAATCTACAAAGGCTGATTCATAATAGCTGTGGTTGCAAGGGAAAAGGCATCACTGGCACCTATTCGAGCAATTCAACACAGAGACAATCAAGGAAACCCTATAGGTTCGTTTGATACTGCTATATTTTGAATGTGAGCTTCAACTAATAGCAAATTCTTACCAGCCGACCCTGACCGATCGAATCCTACTCGAAGCCGCTGGGAGAGACCTCTCGATACCATACGATCTTTTGAGGCGGCGATTGACGGAAACTATTCACGTAAATCATACATTCGCACAGGTCAGACTGCTTTTGCTTCAATGCGGAAGACGCATTGTCGGTGGGAATAACGCTGACCGGAATTATGTTACAGAATCCGACGGACAATCGACTTATAACCGCCAAAGCAGCTATTTTGGAGGTATGTCAATGATTTTTCTATAACTATCCTCTGTCTTGCTGGGTCATCAATGAGCTTGGAATTGCTGTCCTCGTCATGTTCCGCTACACATATCTTCAGTTTGAAGAATATGTGACTATTCAAAGCTCGGATGTCAAAGTGCAAGCATTCGCACCTCCTTGGAAGTGGTGTTGCGCTTTGGTAAAGTCAAACTTCGCTCCTCATAGCACATTCTCTAGTGACTAGCGAATGCAACTCCCTGCCTCCTTCTTTTTTGATTGCGGAACGCCTCAGCCCAGCTTAATTAGCATCAAATTTTGAAACAGAAGCTAATGCTCTTCAGGAACACAAGTCACAACAGATGAACGGCCCCGAGGTCCGAATGGTTACTATGGTGGACGTTCGCAGTCGTACAGACCTGATAGTTATGCGGATGGCAGAGCCAATGGGATGACAAGACCAGATAGTTACTACAATGACCACTCAAATGGTTACCACCCAAATCGTGCTCGATATCCCCGGACGGCATCTGAACCGCATTTCAACGGAAGTCAAGGAGTGTATCCTATGCCCGGCAACCAGTCATCCTATGAGACCGTAGCAACTGCGTCTGGAAGTGGCAGCTCAGACCCCGCAGGTTATCAGACTCCCCTAAGCGAGAACAGCTCGGTGGATCGTGTTGCACCTCTACCTCCGATGAAAGAGCCTGGAGAAAGTTATGGATTTACAGGATTCGGTGGAGGCCCGCAATATGCCCCCCCTGGAAGCAACCTGCAAGAACAGCAGCACTACGGTGGTAATAGCCAGACACGACAAGCAAACGGATACCCGACTCAAGTTCCTCAGGTTCCTAGGAAGGAATCTGCGTCCCGAGTCCCTATCAAGCTTGGAAAGTCCAACGGTTATGCAGGTCCACCACAAAATGAGTCCCAGCGACCGGCGGCAGGAGAGAAGAGGAAATCTTGGTTTGGAAAAAGGTTCAGCAGATCATAGGGGATCAGCTGAGTTGAAATTGATGGTAGAGGACAATATGGATCTTTGGTGTCTTTCGGAGTTCAGGTAATCGGGGATGGACTACCAAGCCTTGATCAGGTTATAATCGGCCGTAGGTCGGATGGTTTGGATGTGGGCATGGTGAGCCTTGTCTCTCCACCTTAGGATTGACGGACTTGATGTCGTGATACCAGACCCGACATTGTGTGTACTCTGGCTTGCCGAATGGCGTTGTGGATATATAAGCTGGATGGCTGCAATTATGATGACTTTAATGACATTGCAAATGGGCAAATCTACAAATTGAATACCCTTTTGCCCTCCTGCTATCGCAACCAAACTCCGAAGCCAATTCTCGACGGTAAATATCACATGATTAAATCCCTTTCTTCGATTCCTTCCCCTTTTGCGCAGCCTCTAACGCCTCTGTCTGATCCTCGTTGAAAGCCACAAGCACATAGCCTATCAATACCACATTCGCGATGACCGCTGCTGTAGCTCCTGCCCATGTTGAGTTGCCTGGTCCGTATTAGCTTCTCTCGCATCCACCTGGAACCGAAAATCAACCTCTGAAAATAGTGTTCAGTGTAAGGAAGTAAGATCCAATAGGACAAACCACCATAGCGAACGTGAATCCCAGGAGCTTGAAGATCACATGTCTAGGTCATGGTTATAACAAGGCTCATGTGACCATTTATTCAACGAGGAGGAGCTCACCCGGGGACTGCAGGCGTAATGATGCTCTTTTCTCCGAGGTTTTGAGACAATTCCTTCTCGAGGGGAGTCTTCTCACCCGGTACGTTCCTTCTAGTAGCCATCCTGGTGAGCTGGTGGTTATGAAAGGACCTCCTGTGGCGTTCGTTTGGGAAGTCTGGTTGTTGGTGTTGAAGGTTTGATGGTACCTAGACGAGGCTTTTGGGCTGGTGATTTCGCGTTGGAGTCGCTTGCTTCGGCCAAGACAAAAATGACCTTGTCAGGAAGGAGGTTTGGCATGAGAACGCGAATGTGGAGAAATATGAAAGTTGTGTGCTGGTAAGTAGTGATACTATTTCCTGATTTTGCTTTCCTTCAACTTGGACGCGTCAATATGTAGGCATCCTTGTGATTCAAAATTCATTCTGCAGCTGGCTGTTCACTTTCCAAAGTCGCTTACCTATCCTACCTAGACCGCGACGACGTGCATCGCGTGCGCCCGCGTTAAGTATTTTTTGATCTTCACGATTCCTGTTCGCCCTCTTCCCCTCTTTTTACCCACGCAGACTGCCCCTTCACAACATTTTTTCTTTTTGGCTATTGTACGCTTGCATACAATCTTGAGAAAAACCAGTCTCCCGATCCTCATAATTTCTGCGTGCTTGGGAGGCAGCCCGTAGTGGTGGATAGAAGGCTCTGCTACGCTCACCTTGCATACCCTCAACTTGAACACAGACTTCGATCTCGATATCTCGCTTCTTCCACGTATCTCCGACACATTATACTCGTACATAGTCCACAATATGGCTTCTGTGGATGCTGCGACCGCACCAAGCGGAGGAGATGCGAAGAGGCAAAGGACGGCAAATGGGTACAAGTCTGCTTCCAATTCGGAGCACAATACCAATGCCTACAATTCCGACAATGACAGCGGCGATGATCTGTTTGCACATTATGTCCCCGATACACCGACCAATAATACCTACCAAACTCAGCCCACACAGATTGTTGACCGCCCATCACTCGCACAGTCTGCTTCAAGCCCACCTGGGACGCCCCAGAATATCGTTCAGGTTCCAGCTTCCTCTCCATTCACTGGACGAGACTCAGAGGGGTCACGGTCTGTGTACTTTGGCGGAAGCTCGCAGCTTGAGAAGCCTCCTCCTTTACCGAGACCGAACTTGGCTCAGGGTATGGCGCCTGCTGGTACGGTTTACAAAGCCCCTACTGGCATAGTCACGAAAGCTCCTCCAAAGAAGACAGTCATTACAATAGACGACGACGACGATGACGGACCAAAGTTCCAGGGAGCTAGCTCCGACGACGATGTATCAATGCAGAGTGCGAACATTAAACCCACTACATTTGTGTCGAACAGCACTCACAGCTCCTTTGGCAATTCCGCTCCCAACGGGCATCCGAAGACTGCAAATAGAACTGCCAGTTTCCAAGATGTTATTAGGAATTCTGGTTACCAGCCTCTTATCCCAGGAAGAAAAGCTCAAACACAGACGCGACCTGACCGAGCAAGACCTGTCCAGGACATGACTGCAGAGATGATTGAGGCGAATCTTCGAGCGTCTATAGTCAGACTGCGCAATATGTTCCCTGATTTGTCTATCTTAAATGCACACAATCTGTTGGTTAGGGCCAAAGGCAACCTCAATGATGCTGCGGATCTACACGTAGGCGAAAAACAGGAACGAACGCCCAAGCGTACAACCATCTCCATTTCGGACGATGAGATTGAGAGCCCTCAACAGGCAGAGCCTCAATTCAAGAGGACTCTTGCTGCACCTACACAATCTCTCAGAGATAAGTACTCCTCGACACAGGCTATGCCACAGAGAAGCCCTGCTACTATTGCAACCCCTCCACCAAAGCCAAAGAGAAAACTTGTGAAGGGTCGCCGAAATGCATCTTCTCCCGCCGTGGCTCCTATGTCATCGCCTCTCAAACAACAACAGTCTCCTGCTCTAGCTGAATTTGATGACTACGACTCAGATTCTGGTGTTGCTTCTGAGTCAGAGGAGGATCCGGAACTCGAAGGCCGGGTGTTGAAATATTTCAATAATTGCAAAGCAACCGATCTTGTAGAGCTTACCAGCATTACCAAAGAGATTGCCGAGGTCATGCTTGCTGCTCGCCCCTTCAAGACTCTCAATGCTGCTAGGACTGTTGAGAACACGAAAGCAACGAAGAGCGGGAAGAAGAGTAATCGGGCCCCTGTCGGCGAAAAAATCGTTCAAACCGCACTCGAGATGTTTCAGGGGTATGAAGCTATTGACACGCTGGTTGCGAGATGCGGAGACTTGGGCAAGCCTTTGGCGGAGGAGATGTCAAGGTGGGGATTTGATGTTTTTGGTGCCTCGAAAACGGGGGAGCTCGAGATGACTTCGCTTGAAGATGATGCAGAATCTCAACGTGATTCCGGAATTGGTTCTCCAAGCAGTGCAGCTGCATCTAACAATGGAGATGATGATATCAAGATTGTTAGTAGCACACGAAAGCGAGGCAACGTCCAGTTTCTGAAGAAGCCAGAGATGATGGCTGAGGATTGCGTACTGAAAGACTATCAGGTTGTAGGGCTCAACTGGTTGGCTTTGATGTATAGACACAAGTTGAGCTGCATTTTGGCTGATGAGATGGGTCTGGGAAAGACGTGTCAAGTCATCGCATTTTTGACGCATCTTGTTGAGACTGGTCATCCTGGGCCCCATTTGGTTGTTTGCCCTGGTTCAACTTTGGAGAACTGGCTGCGAGAGTTCCAGAGATTCTCCCCACAACTGGCCATCGAACCCTACCACGGTACGTTCGATGAATCCCTTGAATAGATTTACAGCTAATATTATATAGGTCCTCAAAAGGAACGGACAGAGATGGCAATGCAGATTCTAGACAACCGGGACACCATTAACGTTGTCGTTACGACATATGATATGGCAGCCAAGAAGGAAGACAACAAGTTCATGAAAAGACTGCGACCAGACGTATGTGTACTCTGCAAGCCCGAACAGAGCCGAAAGCTAACTCAAACCAGGTCTGTGTATACGACGAAGGACACATGCTGAAGAATGTCAAATCTCAGAGATACCAAGGACTTGTCAAAATTCCTGCGAATTTCAGACTGCTCCTCACTGGAACCCCTCTACAAAACAATCTCCAGGAACTGGCCGCCCTTCTTGCATTCATCCTCCCAGACGTTTTCAAAGAACTGGAAGAAGATTTGAATTATATCTTTAAGGCAAAGGCTAGTACGTCTGATGCAGATCACGCAGCTCTGCTTTCCGCACAACGAATTGCCAGAGCCAGATCTATGCTCACGCCCTTCGTCCTCCGCCGCAAGAAGGCACAGGTATTGAAGCATCTTCCTGCAAAGCTTTGCCGCGTTCAGTATTGCGAGTTACATGAGTCCCAGAAGGGTGTCTACAATGGCCACATCGATGCTGCTCGTGAGCGTGCCCGGGCTCGTCTCGAAGGTGTCAAGGCACCAAAGACCGAGGAGAACAACCCTTTGATGCAGCTTCGCAAAGCAGCAATTCATCCATTGCTTTTTCGTCGCCATTTCACAGACGAGAAGATTGAAAAGATGGCTGATATTCTGCGGAAGAAGGACCCAGTCAACTTTCCATCCTCCCACAAGCGAGCTCATTTGATTGATGAGATGCACAAGGGTTCTGATTTCTGGCTCCACCAATGGTGTTTGGACTACCCATGCATTCGATCATTTGATATTCCAAACTTGGCGTGGATGGATTCTGGCAAGGTTGAGACTATGATTGAGCTAGTCAAGGGCTATAAGAAGAATGGGGATCGGGTCCTCATCTTCTCACAGTTTGCGCTTGTTCTGGATATCCTTGAGGCGGTCATGAACACGTCATCAATCGTGTACACCCGTATAGATGGAAGCACCAAGATTGAGGAGCGTCAGCCGCTCATCGATGCATTCAAAGAGGACGAGAGTATCACTGCCTTCCTACTTACCACGAAGGCTGGCGGTACAGGTATCAACTTGATGTACGCCAACAAGGTCATTATCTTCGATGGCAGCTTCAATCCCCAGGATGATCGCCAAGCCGAAAATAGAGCTCATCGCGTCGGGCAAGTGAGAGAGGTTGAAGTGGTTCGACTGGTCACAAGGGGCACTGTCGAAGAAGCTATCTATGCTTTAGGACAGAGCAAGCTGACTCTTGATGGCCGTGTCGCTGGTGATAGTGAGGACGGCAGCAAAGCCGAAGAGGCTGGTGAGAAGGCTGTAGCAAGAATGCTTCTCGAGGGTACTGGCACAGGAACTAGCGAGGAAGAAATCAAAAAGGTGCAGGGGGTGGAGCCGAAGGTCAAGAAGGACGAGAAACTTCCGCAGAGGAAAAAGTCGTCTATAATGGACATGTTGACTAAAGCCGGCGGAAAGGGCGGTGCAGAGGAGAGTAAAAGAGGGTCTCAGAAGAAGACTGAGAATATTCTGGAGGACGAGGAAGAAATACTTCTTTGAGTGGTTCATCAGCCTTTTGCTCACTTTTGAAGCTTACCTGGGTAGCAAGGAAGGATACAAAGGAACGAGAGTCGATATTCATGCTACGGATGTAAATAATGGTTATGATTGATGGACAGACGAAATGTGGTTCCCTTGGTGCTACATAGGATTGTTAAATTTTATTGTCCATAGAACTGAAACGACATAGACAGGCAAACAAAGATGGATGGTTCTGAATACAATTGCCTTAGAACTCGAAAATAGCATACCCAGAACTTGTGAATTGGCAAGAGTGCAATGATACCCAAAGAAGACGTTATGACAATTTATCCAGTCATATCTTGGTTACATGTGTAGCGAACTTCGTGATTGCAGGTGTTGAGGTGTTCTTTTACGCTTGAATACCAATCCTCACGGACTATATTGAAAGCTAGCGACAATAACACATTCATGCAATTTACAACCACGTAGAGCTACGTAGGTAATGGGACACTCAAGGCGTGCACTTAAAAGCCATGAGCCATTTCACGTTAAGGAGGTGTCACTTAAGTGCATATATTCTCCATTCAACTCGTTACTTGCCTCGACAATCAAATAATCCACATTTATAGCATTAAAAGCAGCCCCAGAAAGTTCACTTCAACTCTACAGTAAACAAAAACACCTTCAATATGTCTATACCTCCAGCATACACCAGCCAGCCACCCATGATACCCACAAGCCTGCCATCAAATGCAAGCCAACGCTCCTTGAACAGCAGTCTTCCACCATACTCGAGCCAGCTTCCGCCTGATCACATACTTATCCCTGCTGCTACAGTTGCAGCTTTGATTCCAACAAACAGACCGCCGCCATCCCAGTCAATCCCAACAATCCAACCGCACCCACAGCCACAACAGCAGGTAACACAGCATGTCCCTCCTCCTCAAGCTGTCATGCCCTAGGGTATCAATCCGCAAATCACACAACCGCAGCCGCAAGCACAACCAGAATTTGCGCAGCCACCCTCTTACACTATACCTTGCTACCTCATAGCAGACATGCCCAAACCCACCCTCCCTGCCGGCCCATACTTCGGCCCCATCCCTTACCAATACCCTCTCTACCAACCACATTTACTCCCTGGTCCTACCCAGCCTGTTCTTCCCTACATCCCCACGTGCCCTCCTTACCACGTACAGATCCACGTCCAGCCGCAGCCCCAGCAGCCATTGATAACGCACCAGGGAATGCTTTTTCAGGAAGATGGGTATCCGGGTCCAGGTTCGCTACCCCCTGGTGGAAGGTGGGCGGTGACGATGGAGAGGGATGGGAGGAGGACGTTGTGGACTATTATGCCTGGGGAGACGAGACCTTCGGGTTGGGCGTATGAATAGGAGAGAGATTGGGAACTTCCCTTTAGATTGTATGCCAGGTTTTAGTCGGTTTGGGTACGTAGGAAGGTCGAGACTGTTTGAAGTGAAATGAAATGGCGACTAAAGCTTTCGTTGTGAATGATTTGGCTGACTGTCTACTTGCTTAACGAATCCGGAAATCGTGAGCTTAATAACAACATAAGAGATAGACAATACAGCCGACGGATGAGGCCTTCCAAGTATAGCACCTAGATTGAACTGCTCAGGAGCTGTCCAAAGTACTTTAGTCTGCTCATAACTCCTCGAAGTGTAACAGAATATCAAAAAGAAGACAATCGCCAAAATGCCAGACTCACCACTCCCACAACCAAATCCATATTTCTCCACAACTCCTGCTTCCACACCCAACCCCAAACCTCCTCCCACGCTACCGTCCCCACCACACCTCCATAGCCACACCATCCGGAAGCCTCTACTGCACACTCGATCCACTCGCTTCTCGCTCCATGATATCGCTCTCAACACTTTCCTCACTTTTCGCAGCTTCTTCACCATACCCGTGTAAGCCAACCATCGAGTCCTCCCTTGATGAAGAGACGATGCCAAGGGCCTGTGAGCATGTCCCTTTGCCAGTGTAAATCTGAGATGTACTGGGGCAGTGTATCGAGGCCTGGTTTGAGGCTTCGATTGTTGGTACTGGTGCCGTGGGGAGGAGAGGATAGAGGATCGTGCCAGGGATGGACTTTTGGGGGGTGTAAGGATGTGAAGGTGTGCTGAGATAAGGGCTGGTCAGGGGATTGGAAGGGTTCTGATGTCCCGCACAGCAATAATCATCTGTGGTTCAGAATCGTGTAGAAACTGTATAAATCGGTTTCAATGTCACAAGACAACCCAGAGCACTCAATGTCAATAAAACTCTCGCTAGCTTTAGCCCGAGGATTGAGCAAGTGGTAAATGACATCCAAAGTCTCCATCCCAGGAACTTCCAAGGTGAGTGGAAAGAATCATTCAAGTGGGTTTACACTGCTTCTGGTATGTACATCAAGTGAACAAAACTGCCGTAACTGCTCCGTCCTTAGTCGACCTAGTCGTCACAGAGTATTTCCTTAGGCCTTCTCCTGCTTTGGGGGAGCGGCTCCTCCTGTGGTAGGAAGGCCCATGAATATCTTGAAATAGTCCTGCGGGAAGTGTTAGCTGAAAAGTGTTTAGAATCAAAGCAGGTTTACGCACGTAGATCATCCACTGTAGACCAGTGAGCGTGCCAATCATGACAATCCTGACAGGCAGACCGTTCCAGAGACCTGAGAATCCGATGTCCTTGTAAATTCTTCCCATAGCAGCGCCTATAAGGTCAATTAGTGGTGTATCCCTTGACGCAAGCGATTCAAAGTAGGAAGTAGGATATGATACTTACCGAAAGCTTCTCCAGGTTGACGATTCGCGTTCAGTTTGGAAACCATGACATCAGCAGGATGACTGACAATAGCGCAAAGAATACCAGCAAGGTAACCACCTGTGAAGGAAACAGCAGTCTGAGCTCCCTTGCCGTAGTCGGATTTTTGAGCGGGGAGGCGATCGTAGATCATCTCGACGATGGTTTCAAAGGAGGCGAACTTCATCATAGTATAGGGAATTTGGCGACCCCATAGCGGGTACAATCCCTTGTAGAGTCCGGCGAACCCCTCCTTACCAGTGACTGTGCTGATTCCATCAAATGTACCTTTGGCGAATGGCGGGATAGTTGTTTGCATGCGGACTTTGACAGCCTCGAAGGGGCATAGAGCAACATCGGCAATGAACTCAGCAGAGGCACTTGCTGAGAGATAAAGAGCCGTCTTGTACTTCGCCGCATTCTCTGCCCCAGCTAGATCAGAGTAGTACTTCTTGAAAAACTCGTAGCCTCCATATTTGAAGGCTCCTTGGAAGCTATAGCCTGCAAAGGTGGGCGACCATCCGGTGAAGACACCACGGAACCCTTCCGCTCGATAGATCTTTCCCCAAGCCTATGACACAGAGTGAGTGTGTGATTACAGGACATGAAATTTGAATCTAATCAATACCTACCTGGAAATTGCCAGAGTACATCTTTGAGTCGACCTGTCGACGACATTTGACCAGATCAAGAGGTGTGACGGCAGTATGTGTAAGACCGCAGGCCAACAATCCGCCAAAAGTACAGGCAGCATAGTATTTCGCGGAGTAGAGCTCGATGGTTCCAGCTTTCGCTTGTGCCTTTGCGCTCGCCTTCTCAAACTCCTTCGCCGCCTCTGCACTCAAAGCATTTGCCTTGTTCTTGGCATCGTCGATGGCACTCCATGTAGGATAGAGTTCAGCACGCGCCTCGAGAGGAGTTCGCTTGTGAGGAAGAGCACTTGCGAAGCAGGTTTCTCGACGATCAAAAGGTAGGGCGGGATGAAAGACATCGTGTAGGGTACCTTGGGTGGGGAAGAGGAGAGGCATGTTGACTGGTTCTAGGAGAATAACACGTCAGTTCCACAGAAGTGCCAAAATCATCATGTGTCTCAAGATGGGAAGAGCAGGAACACAGGTACAGATTTATTTCAGATCGAAGCGACATAAATTCGACTGTCTAGGAAATGCAGGTACGAGAATTCCGTACAATTGAGCTTATCCGCAAGTACTGGCTGCTCAAGGTCTGACTGGGGATGCCAATTGGCCGCAGATTGAAAACAGTTGAGACGTGGCTCGTAAGTAACCAAGGACGAAAGAGTACAGGCACAAGATCAATTGATTGTGACCAGCGCGAAGCACTTCTCGAAATCGAGGTGTTGTGGATGAAGGGAGATAGGAGTTTACCTCGCCGCATAAAGCGGAGAAGGACAGGGGAGCTTGGACCATCCTGAAAGTTGCGGTGCGGCCGGGTGACGTAGCGGGACCGAAGAATAGACGGAGGGGCTGAAGAAAAGCAGTACCTAAGTACCACACATACATGGTAGAAGATGAACTGCGTGAAAGTAAACAATGAAAGAAATGTCAAGCGACTTAGCATTTACCTAAGACTAAGCGTATATTATGTCTGGCAAGTGTCTGTTGAAAAAGTAAGTATTCACAGGCCAAGTCTTCTTTCATTCACCAATCACACAACGGTTGATCCTGAGGCTTTCAGAACTTTTCTGCCCCTCCAAGTGTACCTTTCTCAAAAAGTCAACAACGAAGGTCATACCCCAACATAATTAACTCCCAAATTATGGCAACCATGGAGAATAGTATTCCAGGACAAAGCAATAATGCGGTATCAAAAATGGCCGAAACAACCACAACATCCCAACCTCTAACCTCAAAATACTCGTCAAGATACAGAGGGGTAGGTTTCAGCAGCTCAGTTAACATCCGTTTTTTATATAGAAGAAGCAGAGGTCTAACACTTAGTAGGCAACGGTAGAAGACCTTGATCCTCCCTCCGCCCTCTCCTGCAACCCTACAGACCGAATATCCCATGCCCTCCTTTCCGCCTTTGAGCGAGACTACACACACCTTACAGTCGTATCTGCCACCAACCGAGCCCTGCTAGGCTACCTCTCTATCCCACATCTACAAATCCTCCTTAAGGCTGGCAAGGTACAAGAGGCAGATGAGGTGTCCAAGGCAATGGTCAAGTTTCGGAGGAAGGGTAGGGTGTATAAGGTCATTACGATGGATACACCGCTCGAAGAGCTAGAGCTGTTCTTCAACGGAGGAGAGAATGGGGAAGCTGGAAAACAAGAGTTTGCCGTAGTAACGGATGAGAGGAGACGATTCGTGTTAGGTGTAGCGACGAGGACGGATTTGGAGGAATTTGCTAGGAGGAGACCAGCTTGAGAGAAACATGGTGCATGGTGGGCGAGGGATTAGATTGCATGCCTAAAGCGGAATTCAAGGTTGCAAACGAGAATGTGTTGCTCTACTGAAATATACAGATCAGTAGATCCAGAGTTCTTCGCAGGTGGTTCAGCTTTCGAATTTGCCAGCGGGAGTGACTCCATGCTATCAAGCTAAGTAAAATATTCTGGGTTCTTTGTCGGTTTCATTGTGTCAATTAGATCGGATCTTTTTCCTTCAATCGGTCTTGCGGTGCTTATACTCGGACGTCAATTCTTGATACTGACAATCCTAGCTGTCAGGTATTGACTTTCCAAGTTGATCATGTATTCCCAGTCGTTCATCCTCTTGAATGCTCTTGGTCAGGAATTCGTTGTTTATTTGAAACCGAAGAACTCATCTCACAAACTCCACCCTCCTCCTTCCGAGCACAGACTTCTGAGAACGCACCATGATGTTCGTTCTTATTGGTAGGACTATTGAAAGGTACCTTCGCGCTGATAAAAGGATACTCGCTTAACTACCAGCGTGTGATTGGACTATTTCCAAACAAACACTATAGAAAGATGAATGCGCGACATAGTTTAATGACTCGTTCGAAATTTCAGGAACAAGAAGCCCACCTTTCTACTTCTGTAGCTCAAATCTTAGACAGCTTTACAGGGTGGCTGGGGCGAGTGTTGAATCAGGCTGAAGGTGCAATATGGCCTATCATCGGAGGCACTGATAAGGATTTACCATACGATTACGCTACGAAAACATTGACGAAAAAAGTGCGACATGCAACAGAAATCTAGCATTGCTAAAGATCGGCGCCAGTCCCAATGAAATCAAGCTTAAAGGGATGCATGTCAAAGTGCAAAAAGTTCTAGAAGAGTTCAAGCAAGTCCGCTTAAAGTGGTGTCAGCCTACCAGAATCCCGAGAGATAAGAAGACCGGGCAGCTTATCTTTACCAATGACACAGGGCGGTCTTGTTGACTACCTATCATAGCTTCGATTCTTCGCCCTGTGGTTGCTGATAGATTTCGAGTCTCTTTTATTTGCTACTGGTACCTGACAGGCCCGATTTTGTCCTAAGTGATGCCGATGCGTCATCGTAGCTGAGTCGCAAGCAGATGTGCCGTGAAATAGTAACAATATTGAGCCTTATATTCCCCATCTCATAATCAAGAGGTCCCCCTTCCATCAGCTTGCTTTCTTTCCATCTGCTAAGCTTCACCCCTCCGTTCACCCCAGCTCTGCCTTGCACATGTAGGTATACATCTTCACATCATCAGATGATAACTTGCTTTTGCCTCTAGTTCAACATTCTTTTGACACATCTCAACAGTCACCCCCAATTTCTAAACATACATCAGGGTACGTGCCAACCACCAGTAATGGACCTGGTACTTCTACTTGCTTCCCCAGCTGCTCGGAACGCCTGCAGGCGTCCCGCACCACAGGGGGCCTTGATGACGGGCCTGCCATAAACTCAGCGGGCTGGGAAAGGGCAAATAATAATACCTCAGAGCCATGCCAAGAAAGCCACTTTCTCTGCTCTTGCTCTCATGATCCCCGAACTTCCCTGACCTGATCTGCCGCCTATATTTGCTCATCTCTCAGACCTGCAAACTTGCTCCTTCTGACACTCTACATGTAGAGATATCCCTCCGACTTGACTATCTACGTCCCGTACTAGACCGAGAAGAGACCGAATATCAGCCCTCGCCAATATGAGCACCAAAAACAGTGTGGAGGTCAGCCATGGCCGTGGAGGTACGTTATTTCCTGCGATCTGAAATTCATGGCAGCTAACATATGTCCCGTAGGAGCTGGAAACATTGGTCCAGACTCGACTCAGTATGCCTTTGGTACAACAACTGTCGCTACGAGCTGACGGTGTTCTAGGTACACCGATGGTGAAATCGTTCGCGAGGGTGTTGTTGGCGAGCACGGCGATGGAGCATTCAGCACTGGCCGGGGTGGAGCAGCCAACATTGGTTCGCCCGGAATGAAAGCTACAAAGAGGAAGGACGATATGGCGATTCCGGATGTTGCTCTGCGACCCAGCATGGAGGACCAGACATTTCACACTGGACGAGGCGGCGGAGGCAACGTCCACAAGCCAGACCCTCCAGCTGGCCCCAAACACCCCATCGGCTTCGCTGATAAGTTGAAGAATAAGCTGTTCAAGAAGAAGGTAGTGGAGAAGGGCCCAGCTGCAGAGACCACTGCTTAAGTGCACCTTCTTTGAGCAGTCGCTGGTGATAATGGATGCGACAGCAATGACCGGAGAAGCAACCGTGAGGGAGTTTGGAGGGGATTTTTTTTTTGATACCAATTTTCTCAAGCCGATTTCCCCCTAATCTTGATATGGAATCAATACACACGTACTTTGAACCAGTCTTAAGTCTGCTGAATTTGTCGCTTGATTCTGTTTGCCATTTTATCTTTCACGGGATCCTGGTGATGAACTTTCTGTTCTGGAATTCTCGCTGACTGCATACCAAGTCGACGTGCTCAGGAATGACTTCTAGAGTAGAATTGGAGGCCATTTAAAACTAGAGAGTTTGGCGTCAAGTTCAAAATAGAGCTTCATATCTTATTCCAAGGGCGAAAGATTCACAGAATCTGTTCATTGCAGATCCAGATCTGACGAGCAAGTGCCAAGGCGGGCTTTATTCTTAGCCTAGCGTACTTTCTTCGCGTGGAGGAGCTACAGTAAAGTCAACCTCGGAGCGCGTTGATCCCACCTCTTCTGCAGAAGCAGAACTGCTCGCCCTCGAGTGTGCGACCCTCTTGGCCTCCTTCTCCAACCAATTCTACAATTACAATCGCATTGTCTGGCTCTATCATTACTCTCACGTTGAGTGCGCGCCGCGACACTCCCATCTTATTTAACCGCTATCATCTTCGTCAAGAAGACAGCGAGTGACGGCTTGCTTCACACACTCACTACCCACGGCGTTTTGCCAGAACGAATTTACAGTAGTCCACTATTACCAAGACTCTGGTCTGAATCGCGTTCGCTTCATCCGTGCAGACACTCTCCCTCGAACTTCACGAGCAGTAACGATGGCTCCCAAACATGGTCTGCCAGCAGAAGAGGGGCTTGCCAAACGGGCAAAGAATTCTACTACATCTCGCTCTGCGACTCCCGCCGACACGAGTGCCAAAGTCCCCTTCAAGGTCGAATACCCTATCATGAACAGCGCCGGCACACTCAGCCCAAAGCAACAAGCACTTGCGGAAATTGCTGAGTTGCAAATCAGCCCATTCGTAGCAAAGGGTGCCCGGGTAGAGGGAGAGTTGGATCAGTACTATGCAGTTACGCCAAATCAGGAATGGGACAGCATGAAAAAGTACAACAATTTCATCAGTACGTAAATTTTGCTGAATTCAACAGCCCAATCTAACGATTGCTGCAGTCCAAGGAGAGGTCTATAAGAACAACCAGTTCGTATTTGTAAGGGGTGAGGACACACCACCGGATAAGGATAATACAGAGGGAAGGCCCAAAGACTTTTGGGTTGCGAGGATCTTGCAAGTTAGGGCCAAAAATGCCCAACATGTTTATGCGCTGGTACCTCTATCCCCCACGTCTTCCTGAGATATAGCTAATTGTGAAGATTACTTGGATGTACTGGGCTGAAGAAATTCCCGCGCCTCCTGTCAAAGCCGCAGATCAAGTCAGCAAAGACTCAGGAAGGCGCACTTACCATGGAAGCCACGAGTTGATTGCGTCAAACTATATGGAGGTTCTAGATGTTCTCTCATTCGCCGGCAAAGCTGATGTGTATCACTGGCCTGAGGAGGATGACAATGTGCAATCGAAGTTATTTTGGCGGCAGACATACAACAGGAAAAACCAAGAGCTTTCGGTAAGTTGTTGTGAGCAATGATATGATTTCATTAACTAACAATTTGACTAGCAATTGCGGCAACATTGTCTCTGCGGTGGCTATTTCAACCCCGAAGTTACCATGTATATCTGCGACAATCCAGCCTGCAAAGTCTGGTTCCATGAGAATCATTTAATTGACGATTACCTTGTCAAAACATACAAGCGCGTTGTTGGAGAAGGCACCAACGGCGTTGCAAAATCAACGAACAAGAAAGCGAAAAATCCAATATATAAAGGAACTTTGAAAGCAATGATTCAGGAAGACAGTGATGGCATCCCAATGATTGCTGTAACAGATCTGCGGCCTGGTGCAGATCCAGAGACATGGAAGGAGCGGATCCTATGTCCAAAATGCGACACACCTTTTGAATAATTCAAGCCGCAGATCCTCTTCTTGTATATAAACCGGATTCATCTCCTATGGTCTACACCTACGTTGTCCGCGGTCATTATTCTTAAGAGACCCCGCCACTTCGTGCTTCAGCACCACAAATGCAAACAACAAGGTGGCCATTTGAGCTTGGAAAGAAAGACATGGTTTCGAAAGTGGCTGCCATCCATGCGTTGGGTCAGATATCTTTCTATGGGCGTTTTGGAGTCAGAATTAGGAGTGGTTGTCAGCGCTTTTCTGTTTTGATTAGTGTTATTTGTTTCTCTGCACATAGGATCCCTTCTTCTTGCTATACCAGGTTATGTCCGACAGTACAGAAGTTTCTAATGCCTGGGGGCCACTCGTGCCGAGAGAAACTAGTTTGCCGTGGGCTTGAAAATGTTTGAGGACTTGCGTTATACCCTTCTTCTGGAGCGAGGAGCGCAGAGCCTGACTTTGTATGAACCGGCAAGGAAGTGTCACTGCCATGCAGTTACGATATATGAAATGGAAATGGAAATAAAGTCCAACAACCTACGAGCGCCATCTGAAATATTTCTATTGACGCACTAGCGAGCGTCTTGCTATTGCTCGGTTACTTATGTACTTGGGATGAGTTGTAAGCAGCAAAGGAATGATTTCACAGGAGATTGAAGCCGAATCTCTTGGCCAATATTCGACAAAATTCGCAGATTCCTCATCGCGTGGAGGTCCCCGAGAGTACCTTGTCGCAGCCTTGCCGTGCGGAGACGCTTCTCTCCAGTCTCTTGAAGCGAGTCTCGTCCAAGACGCTTCGGCACCCTTTCCAGAGTGCTTGTTGAGCCAACATGAGCTACCGCAACCCAATCACTCCTTCCGCCCTTAGCTCTGCAATCCACTTACAAGCCAAATCACAATGCGCATTGTGCAGACACCGATAAGCCTCTACTCTTCCATGCCTTTTCTCTTTCAGATAAAAGGCTATCTGCGGCTCAAATCCCGATGCTTTCGCTTCTCCCAGTCTATGAAGCAGAAAAATTCATTTATACCCCGTTTTTCTTCCCTCTTGCCCCACCTCGAATGTGGAATCTGGTTGGTGCAAGGGTGGGGTAGATCAAGAAAATATTACTAAAGCCCAATTTTGCCTCAGACTTTGGCCAGTATATTCTTAACTGTATTATTGGGGGGGTTTGGTTTGGATCGCTCATCTAGGCTGGCCGACGATGGTCGACATAAACGATCATCCTCGCTTGGCTGTTATTGACTCGGAAAAGGGGCTTGTTGGCGAGGAAAATGTCGCAATTCAAGGAAGCGACAACTCCGGTGCCGCAGCACCGCTTTCGATTAGCGATCACGAAACTTCAGAGCTTGATAATGAGAGGAATCAAGGGACGAGTAAAGGCTTGGTCTTCGGGAGTTGTGCGAAATTTCTAGGTCTGGCGTTCAAGAAATCTCACTTGGAACCTCTCAACAATGACCAACCACCGGATGGAGGGATCAAAGCCTGGACTGTTGTTTTCTTCGCACATCAAACTGGTTTCAATACCTTTGGCTTCTTGAATGCATATGGAGTACTACAGAATCATTATGTCGCAGCACTGCACCTTCCTCCATCGACAATCTCATGTAAGGCATATATCTCAATTCAACGGCATTTCCTGACTTTCCATACTCTCTTCATACTGCGATAGAACTTTGCTAATACCTCAAATAGGGATCGGTTCGTTGAACGCCTTTCTCATGCTAGTCCTTGGAGCGTTCTCAGGACGTCTCTCAGACGCGGGATACTTCCATCAACTTTTGTTCCTGGGGACATCTCTCCAAATCATTGGCTTTTTTACCGCCGCCATATCAACCACATATTGGCAAATCCTGCTTTCTCACAGTTTATGTCTGGGAATTGGAGGAGGACTTATTTTCGTCCCGACAATGAGCATTGCAGGTACTTACTTCTCGAAGAAGCGGCCTTTCGCCCTCGCCATCGTCGCTCTTGGGAACTCAGTTGGAGGTCTTGTGTTTGCGGCAATCTTGCAGAACGTTCTTCCAAGCTTAGGTTATTCGTGGGCTATGCGCATCTGTGGTTTCGTGGTGATGGCCACCAGTCTTCCCGCCAATTTTGTGCTTAAGCCGATGAAGTTGAGGAGAGCGAAAGGGCCGATCATCGAATTGGGGGCCTTTAAAGAGCTGGAGTACAGTCTATTTTGTACTGCTATGTTTTTAACGTTCATGGGGATGTGGGTGCCGGTGTTCTATGTGAGTCACCATTCTTAATGAAGCACGCGAGAACCTAGAACTAACTTTGATTAAGCTTGGCTCGTTTGGGAGAAACATCATTGGAATCGATGACAAAGCTGCGGCTTCTTTGATTCTGATCATCAATGGCGTCGGAGTAGCAGGACGACTTATTCCCGCAATCCTCGCATCTAAAGTTGGGCCTCTAAATCTCATGATTCCGCTCACTTTTCTGCCAGGCCTCATTCTCTTCTGCTGGGCTTCAGTACATACTCAAGCCTCGCTCTTGCTCTTTGACACATTCTATGGATTCCTCATGGCATCAGGCCAGGGCATGCTTCCTCCTTCTCTGGGAAGTCTGACGAAAGATCCGTCCAAGATGGGAGTTAGGTTCGGAATGGTGTTTTCGATATGCGGATTTGCACTGTTGGTTGGACAGCCACTCGCTGGTGCTTTGATTGAAGCTCATGGGGGTGGTTACTTGTATGCGCAGATGTATGCAGGGGCTGGTATGATGATGGGGGTGATATTTATGATTGCGGCAAGGATGAAGATTGTTGGCTGGGTTTGGAAAGTCAAAATATAAGCCAAGGTCAAGGTAAGTAGATAAATTTAGAGTAAGAAGCATAATCCAGCCAAGAGATCCATGAAATGAAGAGAACAAATCGGACAATTGCCAAGACAGCCGAACAACCTGGGTCCCACGAGCACTAACTAACTCTTATTGGTTTCGATGAATTTGCGATCGGGCTTCCCGATTGGGAACTCCGTGTCCCCGCTCAACAAGGGATCCGACTCCGACGCTGGACGTCACCCTTCACAGGTCGGGAGTGCTGAGAGCTGAAATATCTCGGCCAAACACATTCAGCCAGTCGTGGATGGCGTGAAATGTTACCGCTAGAACACTTTTCTCGGCACGGCTTCTGGACCGGAGTTCAAAGTTCACCATTACATAAAGAAAGACCTTGTCGGCGGCCTCCTTCATCTGCAAACCTCCGCTCTCCAACATGGTGCCCCTCCAAGACCTTGCGGAGGACATTATCGCATGATGGCGGCCGTGTTCAAGTTCGTCTCCTCGGATCAGACTGGTCCCAAAAGGTTACAAACGAGCAAAGCTTGTGATTACTGCCGTCGGCGAAAGAAACGATGCACCCATGGAGAAAATGCGAATGGCCAACCTGTTTCTACGCCTGTAGGTCGCGACAACACTGCATTGGTCAATCAGCAAAGCGCTATAGATAATCAGACTTCGGTTCCGGATGAGCCTAGATTAGTTGAAGCACCTCAGATAGTGGACAGGCAACTCACAGGCGGAGTTTCTCAACTGCATGACCCAGATGAGGAAGTTGGAAACAACTCGTCTACTACCCGCAATGCACGCTTTATCGGGGATCTCAATCCAGAGGGCATTTTCTTAGCAGCAACGAGTCCTGATGCCACGCGAGGGGCCTCATTAGATGACAGTATCGGGGTCTGGTAAGTTCTCCCTGTCTACAACTGCGTTCGTCCAATCTCCAGCTTTTGCAGCATTCGTACATTCCTTCTCACCCTGTAACAATTCAGATGTTACCAAAAATTCGTGTAACATTGATGAGATCACATCTTAACATTGCCATTAGGCTGAACTCCTCATTGAACCATGGGTCTCAGAAGACATCCCAGGTTTTACAATCTCCATCGAACCTGTTCTATCGATCTGGATCATTGATACAGAAAGTTCTCATTCCCTTACTAGAACAGGAGTGTCTGTCTACGATGCCCCCACCTGATGGATTTCAAGCTCTATCACAGATATATTTCGATAAGGTTTTTCCAATTTTTCCCGTGGTCAACCAGAGCACAATCCAAAGTTCACAGATATCGAAGCCAGACAGTACAATTTTGCAGCAAGGCATCTGCCTAGCCGCCTCTAAGAATCAGGCTGCTGGGCCATATCTCATTCTTGGTGATGCGAGCTTGAGCTGTAGGGAGTTTGGTGAGAAGATTTCCGGAGCTATGAGAATGACGATTGAGATGGGTCTCGTAAAGAACAAGATCGTGCTCATCCAGGCCTTAGCTTTGCTATCGCAATTCAGTGATGATCCCCCGGGTGAAGACCTTTCTTCTCAGTGAGTGGTGTCCTATACCAGCGCCTGTTTATACCAAACCATTAGTTATGTACTGCCTGGTTTCCGCAGTTTTGGGCTGAATTTGGATACATTCGGCTAACTTGAACAAGGTTCTGTATGAGAGCAGTGCATCAAGTTCAATCGCTGGGACTACATGTCAAAGGACAAGAAGAGCACGCAGATCAGGGTAATACGACCCTATTATGCTGTATCTGGGCAATGGACAGGATGAATGCAGCATTCAATGGACGCCCAGTCTCAATGCACGAGAGAGATCTTCGAAAAGATTTAGATCAATGCTTCCAGCATCAGCAACCATCTTTCCGTTTATTCCTCGAAGTAATAACACTGCTGGATAAAGTCATTGAGCTCTACCGTCCGGTCGCTGTTTCTGGGGATACCCCAGTTTTGAGCTGGGACTTTCCCGCCTTTGAAGATATGGTCTTGAAATGTGGCAGTTCTCACATCGGAACTACAGCTCTAGGTTTGTGGCCTTTGTCGCGGTGTCATAATAGGCTCAATAGCTAAGAGTATCCCTACTCACAAATAACAGCATCTATCGAAGTTCTCTATCACGCTGTTGCAATCCTCTCTTGCCGCACGAAATTATGGGTCGACCCTGGGCGTTCATCCACGGCTTTCCTCAGACAAAGCTTATCTACTTCTATCCTCAGCTCAACTTTCAGTCGGGCACCTCAAGATCAACTGGTGCTCTTCCCGTTTGTACCCTATGCAATGTCTCTATCCATGAGCATCTCATATCGAGAAATAAGATACGGCAAGCTCCCTGCCCATCGAGCACGATCTCGTGGCCATTTTCAAACACTATGTGATGCTTTGTCGGCACTTGAGGGTGTTTTTTGGTCAGCTGCTGCAACAGCAGAGATGGGAAGAAAATTGTTAAAAGAAATGGACCGAGTCTTTTCTACGGTGTCGACCTCGGAGACTATGAGATCGCATCAACCACATACAAGGAGCAATTCTCATACTCGTGCAAATAGTCAACATCCAGGGCCTGGAAGTACTTCTCAGAGTGGTAAGATAATATCTACTTCTAGTAGTGATCAGACCACTAACTATTTGTAGCAGTAATGACGAATGCCGATACACAGCACTCTGATATTTCTATGCAAGATTTTGACCCGTCAATATTCGACTCCATAACAGACATCGACTTGTTTGGCATGTTTGATCCTGCTTTTGATCTCGATGGATTTGATGCATGTCTGGAAGGAAATCTCAATCCTGGTTTTCCTTCAGGGTTACAATGAACGTTGGAGGGCGATTTGGGTCTTTTTATCAGTCAGCACATGAGCTTTTCGTGTGGAGGGGACACTGCCAATTTCCGGCAACCGAGAACACCTAAATAAATTCACTTCCCTTGGGACTTTATACACTTCGTGAGACGTCAACCTTCCATTGGAAAAACCAGAAACTTATAATTACATCCTTCTTGATCGTCCTTGTTACAATCTATGACTCTCGGATCAACTGTTTGTAAGACTGTCAACGATTAGGTGGAAATGCGATTTTGCCAAAAAGAATTCGGCAGCTTCCAAGTCACCACGTAGGGCATGCCTTCAATGAGTTGCATCGCTTTTGCGCCGCAAGGAGCTGGCCTGCCTGTTACGTGCGTCCGTTAAGGTGACCCGGAACTATTCAGACGAATCACAGCGCCCTGTTTTGGCATCTTGAGCAAAATCGATGATGCAAAACAAATGCTCGCTTAACGGCGGACGGATAATCCGCCCACCCCGTCTGATCAAATTGAGATGTGATAACAGGTCCGCTGGGCTCGACTTTTAAGCCTCAGGTAAATTAGTAGACAGTAATACTGCTGGAGGCCTCAAACCACGTCATGAAAGACTAGGCCAACCTAGTCTCAGTCGCCACTGTGATATTTTTTGGCAAAAGTCGGAGTCGCCAAATCAAGTATAGTACCCGCTGCGGGGTCCGCCATATTCGTGCACCTGTCTTGAGGAATGGAATAGCTCCGCGATTTCGAAATACTTTATAGGATTTCTGAAAGGATCTGCTCTCTCGAATCGTGTTTTGGTACCGAAACAAAACTCTGCGTCAACTCTACCTGAGCCTCCAAACTATCGACGAAGTCATCCTCTACCATTCCATCGAAGAGCCAGAACAACCTCATCATGTTTTGCGTAGCGAAATCCGCCCTGAAGCCAACAGGCCTTCTCTCAAAATCACCCAGACTTACTCGCCATGTTGCAAGTCAATCAGTCTCACAGCCAAAAGCAGAAGGTGACATATCTGCTGTGTTTCCTTCCCTTTCGGGTGTTGTTATGGAGCCTTTACCTCAACGATTTACCGACATCAAACGTCAATTGATCCGAGGAAATGAAGAAAGGCTGACAGAAAGTTGGCAACGGCTTTTGAAGCAATTGGCAACTGAGAACGAAATTGTCCGACAGCGAGGTCCCGACATTATTCCACAAATAGAATTCGAGGACCTGAGAAATGCTCCTTCGACTTTCGTCAATGAGACCAAGAAACGAGGAGTAGCAGTCATCAAAGGTGTCATTCCAGAAAATGAAGCTCGAGGTTACAAGAATGAAGTTGAGGATTACGTGAAGCGAAATCCTTCCACCAAAGGTATGTTCTTCGCCAGAAATATCCACTTACTCGGAAAGTCCTAACACGCCATGGCGCAGCATTTCCACCTGACAATCCCCAGATCTTTGAATTATACTGGTCCCCAGCACAAATGAAAGCTCGACTCCATCCAAATTTGATTTTGGCACAGACTTCGCTCATGAATATGTGGCACACAAACGATAAAGATGCTCTCATATCGACATCCTTACCACTCACGTACGCGGATCGGATTCGTATCAGACAGCCAGGCGACAACCAATTTGCTTTAGGACCGCATGTTGATGGTGGAAGTGTGGAACGCTGGGAACCCAATGGATACGGTCTCGGCGGTGTCTACGACAAAGTCTTCCAAGGTCGATGGGAAGAATACGATCCGTGGGAGTCAAGTGCGAGAATTCCTGCCGTTACCGATCTCTACCAGGGTCCAGGTGGATGCTCCATGTACAGAATGTTTCAAGGCTGGTTGGGACTTTCCCATACCTCGCCACGAGAAGGTACTCTCTTGGTGAACCCTCTTCTACAACTGGCAACTGCATACTTTCTCCTCAGACCATTGTTCGACCCTGTGCGATCACCTGGGGGCTTCGCTGCAGGTGATTCGTCACAGTATTTGAGCTCAGAGAACTGGAAGCTCAAGAGTGCCAAAGAGATGGATTCAACTCTTCATGGAGCCAATCCCGGTTCTAGTCAAGAGTTCAATGACGATTTACATCCCCACCTCAACTTGAAGCACAGCATGGTACATGTCCCTACAATCAAGCCTGGCGACTTCGTGGTATGGCACTGTGATAGTAAGTTTAGCCAACTCTATTCGTATGTGATCAAGACTGACTTTATTTTTGTAGCGATTCATGCAGTAGACCAAGTACACACTGGTAAAACAGATTCAAGCGTCATGTACATTCCAGTATGCCCAGCCACCGAACTGAACGCGAAGTATTTGGCTCAACAGCGAGAGACGTTCGCAGCTGGAGTACCTGCACCAGACTTCCCTGGAGGAAAGGGCGAGTCGGAGCACATTGGCAGAGCCACTATTGAGTCCCTATCTGGTGAAGCAAAGGAGTTTGGTTTGAGTTCAATGGGTCTGTCGAAGCTGAGTGAGCCAGCAGGGGAGGGATTACCAGGTGCTCAGAAAATGATTCAGCGAGCGAACCAGCTCCTGGGATTTTCATGAGCTCTTCAAAATGTAAAAACTAAATATGCGTCTGGCGAAGCTTTCCTTGGTTTGGATCCCTGCAATCAGTATTTAGCGTTTCAACTGTACTTTCACCCAGATTTAAGTTGGTTAGTTGATCGTTCACCCGCTTTGACCATGCGAATGGCAATGAAAAATCCAGTACGGTTACTACTTGTAATTTGTCAAACCTATCCTCACATTATTTCCCACAGCTTCAGAGTGAACATCGAGAGGAAGCTATGCCAGGATCAAATTACTTTATTAGAAGTACTCGCGCATGATTCCGTGCCATTCATGAGGATGAGAGGCATAGAATGTGTCTTAGTCATGAACGTATGTCAGGTCAAGACAAGCCAGAGAGCCCCGAGTCGTTTTCGATACGGAGTTCCCGGAGCCATGCCTAAAAGATGTGCTCCGAAGAGATTGTTTGTCTGAATATAATGCCAAGTTCAGGCGGAGTTTGTCGCAGTTTCCTCTTTCGGCGGGACAGCCAGAGAAGTCTGAGCACTGGGAGAGTATTTCCAGCGAATCATGCAGTCCAAAACCCTGCCTCAGTCAGTGCTGCCGCATCCCTTGATCTTATCATTCGAGCTGAATGTCGGGATCGTGGGGATGTGGAGATATGTGGACTGTACCTCCGCCTTTCCCCAGATCCGTATCTGGAGCAATCCCGTGTCCATCGCAAGGGAACACCTTGATCGTCCCCGTCAAGAAGTCTATAAGATGAGAGCTTCATCCTCTTTTCCGACTTATTCAATTCATCTGCTCGTCAAAATCCTGTCCTAGACCATCTTCTGCAATTTTAAATTTTCATCATGGGCTTCTTCAACCTCCATCACGATGCTGAGGGGTCATCCCTTCCAGCAATCTTTATGGGGGCCTTCATAGCATTTGGTGGCATTCTTTTTGGATATGACACCGGAACTATCGGTGGGATTCTGGCTATGGGTAAATGCGCTTCACCCTTAACTTTGATGACTTAGGACTAAGCTTTTTTTTCCTCGCAGATTATTGGGTCGAGCTCTTTGCAACTACTACGAACGCCGCAGGTGACAAATATATTTCTTCGAGTCAGCAAGCATTGATCGTGTCAATGCTTTCCGTTGGAACACTTGTTGGTGCACTTTTCGGAGCCAGCATTGGAGATAGAATCGGTAGAAAGATGGGCTTGATAAGTACGTGCGATATCAAATCTTCACGACAAGCTCAGACAAGCTGTAGTTGCATGTGTCGTGTTCAATATTGGAGTTACTCTGCAAACAATCGCTACAGCAATTCCACTTTCCATTGCAGGACGAACTATCGCCGGAGCTGGAGTTGGTAAGCTTTTACAGGTTACGTTTCTTGGCTGTTTCTCTCGTGGCTAATTGTCTGCTAGGCGTTGTCTCGGTGCTCATCCCACTGTACCAATCCGAATCTGCTCCAAAATGGATTAGAGGGACATTGATCTCCACGTAAGGCTTCAAGTTCTATCTCTTGCATAGACATGATCTGACTTTACTAGCTACCAATTGGCGCTGACCACAGGCCTGCTCCTGGCATCGATTGTCAACAACGCAACCCAAAATCGAAACAATAGTGGCAGCTACCGAATTTCAGTCGCGATCCAAGCATTATGGGCCCTTATACATGCAGGAGGGCTGCTTTATCTGCCAGAAACACCTCGATACTTTGTCAAGAAAGGGGACGAGGCAAAGGCTCTAGCTTCTCTTGGTCGTCTTCGACGCCTTCCAGTCACTTCACCAACTCTCCGTGAGGAGCTCGATGAGATCATCGCCAATCATCAATATGAACTTACACTCGGTAGCTCATCTTGGCTTCAATGCTTCTCAAAGGGTGGTTCGCAACGCAAGCGTCTCTTTACTGGATGTGCGATCATGGGGCTCTCTCAACTTACTGGAATTAACTTCATTTTCTACTATGGAACTCAATTCTTCAAGCACAGCGGTATCTCCAACCCTTTTACCATCTCACTTATCACCAACTTGGTCAACGTATTCTCTACCATACCAGGCCAAGTTCTTGTGGAGAAATGGGGCCGCCGGCCATTGCTTCTTTTCGGAGCAATCGGAATGTGCTTCTGCGAATTCATCGTGGCAATTGTCGGCGTCACCGCAGACTCAGAAGTTGCTAACAAGGTGCTCATTGCGTTTGTCTGCTTCTACATATTTTTCTTTGCCTGCTCCTGGGGCCCTGTCGGTTGGGTCGTTGTGGTAAGTTTGCCCCAAACATTCTTGCTTAAGCTGTCACTAAAAGGGCAAAAATAAAGGGGGAGATTTTCCCGCTCCGTCTCCGCGCCAAATCAGTTGCGCTATGAATTGGTCGCAACTGGTTGCTAAACTGGGCTATCGCTTATGCCACACCATACCTTGTTGACGAAGGACCAGGCAATGCCGGTCTTGGCGCCAAAGTGTTCTCCGTTTGGGGAACATGCTGCTTTGTTTGTGCTCTGTTTGTCTACTTCTTCGTGTACGAAACCAAGAATATGACTTTGGAGCAAGTTGACGAGTGAGTTTTTCTCAATGAACTTTCATAAATTTTTACACCTGAGACTTGGCTGATCAATAATAGACTGTACGACACCATCGGTAGCGCAAGGAAGTCTGCTGGCTTCGTGCCGACCATGCAGTACTCTCATGGAACTGAGGCGGAAGAAAAGTCTGGGTCTGGCATCAGCATCGCTCAAGTGGAAGGAAAAGTGGATGCTTAGATTTTGGAGGAACAAACATATATGCAAAACCCAAATTCAAAACAGAAGATCAGAAATGCTGCAGAGGATTCCGAAGCATGAAATAGAAGAGGCTTCCTTGTTATGTCCATGGATTTAACATTAGATTATGACATTAAAATCGCATAATGCTTATGTTTCCCAAGCTATAGGCTCAAACGAACAGAAAATATATCCCACCACTACAAACATCGAAATGACCCTGTTCGCACATCACGATCTCAGCACGTTCCCAAAGTTCTTGTCCTCGTCCAAGTAAACCCTGAGACTTCTCATCCTCCTCTTTTTCTCGTCGAACCCTCCTTCGGTACCAAACTGAACTTTCGTGGCATGATCAAGCCCATAGAATAGCATGGCCAGCGCACTACCTTTCCACAGCTCGGTCCCGTTGCGAGTCGTACTCATCATCGCCAACACCAGAAAGACGGCAGTGGCACCAACGACAAACAGCGGGAGTATAATCCAGATCCATTGAACGTACACATATGTTTGTGTGCTCGTCGATTCTCCGTAAATAGATACCGACTTGAAAGAACGGAAGGCTACTGTCATTGCTGTTGCCAACTCTTTCATCGCTTGAGGTATTCCGTCATTATACTCGTAGTAGTCCCAGTAGAATGTCTGGATTATGTCAGTATCAAAGTAGGTTGTGCCACTTGAGATTCCAACAGTGAGATTGACGACGACTAGGGCGTCTGGGTCGAGTGATTGGAAGTCTGAATTCCGAGATGCTGATCCGTTTGAGAACAGTGTCGTGAACCAAGATTGAATTCCAAGAGCCGCTGGCTCGCTGATGAAGACGGAGGTATTATCTGGGGTCATGATGACTATTTCAGCTTTACCCATGCTGTTAGATGTATCAACCACTGTCGTATTGCGAATCTCAGAGGTCACATTCTCTGTCAATTTGCCGTTGACTACTTTGGAGTTGATGATCTGAGCACAGTATTCAAGCGTGCATTGAGTTGCCCAGGGTTGCAGATCCCCAGCGGTTCCATTCCTGGATTCGGTCCCCATGAAGACAAACTTCATGATATTGGAATGAGGCATATTTCCGGACTTGGATGGTATGAATGTAGTCATGCTGAATGCATCGTTAGAGCTCTGCAATTTGGCCCCTATTGCCTGCCATCCACAATTGGAGGCGTCAGCTTCGTCTTCAGCACAATACTGCATCATCACAGATCGGATGTCTACGCAGGTGCTACAAGTAGCGAGAGTTGTAAGAGGTGGATATGTACAATTTCCTGTAGGGCAGACTGGCTTTGGTTGTGCTAAACCCGACTCGCTGAAAAGTCCATGGAAGACAGCCGATTTCATTGGCAGAATGGGAACAAATCCAGCTATTTCATATCAATTGAATGTGGATATATTGATTCAGGATTCTTACTTGAGCCAGAATTTCCTGGAAGCGCTGGTGTATAGTTGAGCGCCGCTGGGACACTAGCCAGTTGATTGGAAACTACTTCTCTGGTCGGATATGTCGCAACTTGTTGGGAGAAGGGGCCTAGGAAGAGCGCAGCAATTGTAATGAAAGCACCGAACAGTCCGATGTACCTAATGTCTTTAGTTTCTTTTACGCTTTGGTTGGAATGAAGTTGCTTACCCCCCACGACCCGAAGAGAGCAGTCTAATAGCTCCCCAAGAACCACGACTTGCTTCATCAAACAGTTCCATATCGGTCAGGGGCGAAGCCTTCCGCTTGAACCAGTTCCATTTCAGTTGGCCCAATCCACTGGCCAAAGGTACTGCCAAGGAGGCATTGGTGATGGCAGAGATAAGCGCGATTAGTGTGTTTAAGGTGATTCCAACGGGCCATTGCGGGAGTGGATTATCATGAAAGACTGCAAGAAGAGCAACATTTGCTCCGAAAGACAAGGCTCCTATCAATAAGCACAGAATTTCAAGAAACCAGGATTCGTTTGAGATGAATCTAGACCTCGTCTTTTCCGCCACAAGGTGATCTGTATCCTCAAAATCGTCACCGGTCACGGTAACTCTGGTGCTGCTGCTCCAGTTCCTTGAATGGGACTTTGAATGAGTCGACCCAAACACGTCGTTGATGAGAGGAGAAGGGAGAGATTTCCTGTAGCCTGGCGATGTAACTCTATAGAAAGTTAGAATGGTTCAGATGCTCTGGGCTGATGTGGGAACATGCGGTGTCAAAGGGACATCCTCATCAAATCTTTGGCCCCTGGGGCTCGCTGGGGCAAAATACCCAGGAGACATTTCTATTTCTTTTGGAATCTTCAGGTTGCTGACCTCAGCTCGCAACAGACGGTAATGGAATTGTGCAGCTACTTATCTGCCGTTCCCCATAAGGCTCTCGACATGTCACCATGCACAAGAGGCAGCAGAACCAGCCAACAACACTGGTGTGCCCACACCCATCCTTCAAAAGCGGAATCTCGAAGTATTGGGGGTACACCATGATTGGAGATGTGTACAGCTCTTATCATCTGGCGGCACAGCGCTGCATGAAGTCTCACGCAACAGCCAGTTGAAATGGGTGCCAAGACATCCAGAAAGCTGCCGTCGTCATGTCGCTCAGCTCCATGAGAGCCAAGGCGGCTGAAGTGTAAGGGAAGAGTGCCATCCAGGCTCTCGGTGCAGAGCACGCCACTTTGCTTCTTTTGTTTCTTCCCAAACACGGTCTACCTCTGTAGTCAATGTTCTCCAAAGAGAAAGAGTGTCCTCGCAAGGCAGATTTCACTTGTTTCCGGACCGAGGATAACACAAGTGTCCCGTCAAAATGGGGCGCAGATAGCAGAAGGTATACCAAACTCTTGATCCTGCGCATGTAATAAATACAAGAGGAGGCATTGTTTAACCAACAAAAAGCGAGGTGGGGTCACCCTGACAGCAAGCCTGCGCTCTTGGAGGCTGGTAGAGCAAGACTCTGCAGTCGACGACGCCCCTCCCCTGGTCCTCGCTTGCAGCGCGGCACAAATTAGCGAAACAAAGCCTGGAGATGATGTCAGAACCCTCCCACGACTTTGCGTTCCGGACAAATATGAAAAAGGAGCGAGAATGGGCCCAAGCAAGGACCCCATGAGCTTCTTATATCTGAACTTGAGAGCTAGGTTTTGGGTTAAAATTAGGTAAAACTTGGAACAAACAAAGTGCCTCTTGTTTGGTGACCTGCAAAGTATTTAGTCAACACCGAGTAGACAGATACAGAGCGGTTCTAATACAGGAATAGGATTAGTATCGTCAAAATACAGGCTCTTTACTGTCACTTCAATAAATTGGAAAATTCTCCTGTGAGAGCGAAAGCCAAGGAATGGACTCTTTGCCATCAGTGCTCTAAATTGTCTTCGTTCATACCAACCTACGAGCAGCGTACCAATTTATGAACCTCTCTTGCACATCTTATGTCACAGCACAAAGACAGACACTTGAATGGTAGAACTGAGATGAATGTTGACCTTTAATATCCCATTATGCTCCTTAATGCTAGACTGCTCATCTTTAAGCATTCACCCCGACCGCCTCGCTTCGCTCGTCCACAATCCTTGCTTCGCCCTCGCTTAAACCGATATATCAAAACATTCATCCCTTCTCATGTCTCTCCCTGTCTTTGAGCTTTAATTCTCCACAAAAAAGTCTTACACCATCTTCAAAACCAGAGAGTTAATCCCAGAAGAGCGACAACGAGCCCTGATGAACTTCCCATCTCGGTGATCCTGTTGGCGGCTGCGGCGCCAGTAAAAGCAACAAAACCACTATCGCCGGTCCGGGTCGCTGATGCAGGTCTGGTAGCATCGGCAGGCGATATGTCATCTGGTGTCACATTATTTCCAACTGGAGCAGTAAATTGGGGTGTCATTCCGTCTGTGTCGACAGTAAGAGCTGCGACTTGAGTGGCAGCCTCTGTCGGAATTACTAAGGCCAGGCTTATTCGGATGGTAGACGTACTCGTGGTCGTTAATCGAGCTCGTGTAGGTGAAGCAATTAAAGCTGACGTATTAGAGAAAGTGAAAGCGTGCAGTGCAGTGGCAGGGGCGAGAGAGAAAGATGAAGGAAGCGTAAAATTGAGACGAGCTGCGCAGGTTTCGGGATCTTCGCCCTGGGGTTGTCGTTAGGTTGTGGAGTAGTAGCAGAATGGAGCGAAGACCTACATTCGTGCAACAGTATCCGGCAACAGGAGCACAGAAATCGCCCGCTACGCAGTAGCCATTGTCCATTTCACAGCAAGTCTATCTGGATGTCAGATACGGTGATAGTGTTTGATCGAGCACAACTTACTTCTCCCAGGGTAGGATCATAGCAGAACAAGCTATCCTGACCTCCACAATCTACAGAGCCGCCGCCGTAAGTCTCGAGACATGTAAGCAAAGCTCTCTTGGGCTTGGCTGCGTTCATCCGGCTGTGATTAGTCACTGATGCCAAAGTGAGATTAATTAGTGAGGCGGTAAAGCCGATGTTGATAAAGGTCTTCATGTTCAATGACTGTGGTTGTGAGAGAAACGTGATGTGCAAAGAGTGTGGGATGAAAGAAATACTGAATGAAATGTGATGAAAGTGTTCGATGTAGCCTATAAATGAGAGAAAAAGGCAGATCTCTTATAGAAGATGATTCTGAGCGGGTTCAGAAGGTAGGGACAGTTGAGACTTTGAATTCTTCATATGTCAATACATTTGCTTGCTGGAGAATGTATATCCATGACAATAGGTAACAACTGCAAACCCTCGCTAAGGATATGAACGATCCATGAGGCTATAATGAGTCTTGCTGCTCGTCTATTGGCTGTCTTACTGAAGACAGTCTCAATGTGGGGGCAAAGTCAAGGGAGGGGTGGCTTCAAGGATCGCCCTGTACTCTCCCTTCATTTACGAAAACCTCCAAAGACAAGCTAAAACAGTCAAAGACGGGCCCCTATCTACACCAGTAAGTGTCTAAAGACAGACTAGTGAAGACGGCAATTTCAATATTTTAGTGCAATATCCCGTGACTTCAATTCAAATTCACATTCATTATGCAGGATGATGAAGTTTCGCATCTGAGGGGTGCCTAAGCCTGCAGCTAGCATTAATAGAGAGATTCCGGAAAGCTGATGACATCCTTGAGCTCTGCATATTGTTGTTCATACGTTACCTTCAACCTGAGAACAAGATCAAAACTTCTAGACTTACATTGCCTGGTTACCCATCAACCTAGTCATTCAGACCAAGTACTTTGGTAGCTGCCCAAAGTTTCATTTCAAGAGCGTAATACAAGCTGAATCTCCTCTGTCATAGCAGAATGACGTAGCATAAACATACAGGTGAGCAGCCATTCGCAACAACTTTTTCGTTACAATGACATCTCACAACCTCAATCGTACCATCAATTCAACAACCACAAATATGCGCGACTCTGTCAATTACCACAGCTAAGAAAAATCCTTGACTGCAGGTATCGGCTCACCAGCCGAGTCCATTTACCCATATTAACCAGACCACCTCGCTATGAACATGCTAACTTAAGCAGGGACTTCTCATCAGCCACCACATTTTCCCTCGGGTCCAACACCCGGATAGAGCGTTCCTTATCGCCCGACAGATATTCCTGGGGCAGAGCTATCGCGCCTCAATATTCCAAGGCAGCGTTCGCGGGTCGAATAGCCGCGTCCCGGTTACGAGACATCGTTGTTCAACGACCGATACGGAGACTGTGAGGAGGCTCAGATCTATCTGTCTGCAGTGGCTTCAGGAAACGAGCTCCAATTGGGTGCTATGGCTTGATTCGACTGTGGCAGAGAGTGCTTGGGTCCTCAAACGGGATGCCGTTGACAAGCAGACGACCAAGCGAGCATCCATCTCCGAGGTTGACGTTCGGCAATCAAGTACGAAAATCAACAAACGCATCTAAGAACTTCACTTCAAGCGACGTGTCATAAGGTCATGTACTCGTGGACAACTTCTCTAGGAGAATAGATGTGGCTAAACAGCTAAGTACGATATGCAACAGAAGCGCAACACTAAAAATATATCACTTCACGTTCTCTTGCCTCTCTGCCCGCTTCTGCTTGCACCTGTTCTCGTCTCGGCCCGCCTCGCAGGAAGCAAGCAAAGCAGAGTCAAAACCATGCAGGCAGGCTAAAGTCCAATCTGGAGACGATGTTCACCATAGCTGGCTGAAAGTGGATAACTGTGAACCAAAGTGGTATACTGGCGTGAGCAGGTAGCTGCAAGCAAGAAGGCGAGGACTGTGGGTAAAGAGGCGAGTGCGTGCTTTTAATGGAATTGAGATTGGCCGTATGCGGCTTCCTTGCTTCTTAATGGGAGGCGCGTGGTTATAGCTGAGAGGCGATATGCAACAGAGAGAACGAGAGCGGTGCAAGAGAGGATAGAAGAAGCTTTGACCGTTTCTAGAAGAAGTCTGTCGAGCAGTGGAAGAACAGGTGGAAGGGTAGGTGGGTAGCTATACCCCGGAAGTTGACACAAAAGAGGGAAAGACGTGGTAGTAGGAGGAACCATATGCATAGCATTGGAAGTCCAAGCATTGATTGATCCTTAACAGCCAACAGCCAAGAACTAACTATAGCTTTGTAAATCTCAACATTAAAAAAGAGCTCGACCATTTGTACATTTCTCTGTGACATCATCCAAGTATCACATTATTGATATCCAAACCAGATGCTCCGACACCGTCGCCATGCCCAAAACAAACCCCATGTAAAACATGTGAACAAAAATCAGTATAGCCCACACCCATTGTCGGCTCTAGCAAAAGCACCTGTGAAGAACTCTTGCATGGCCATATAGTGGAACAGAATACCTCCCAGGACAGCAAAATGCCACAGGTTGTGACTACCTCCGATGTAATCGAAGGCACCTGGACACCACCTCTCTGGGATCTGACTGGCATAGACAACAGCTCCAACAAGGTAGACTGTAATGCTCTTCGCTATTGGGGCGTAAAACTCCCACGCCCAAGCTCCACCACGATCGAGGTTAAGTTGCAATACAGGAGCAAAGCCCGTCGCACCAAGAGTAACGTAGAAGGCTACTCGTGCCCACGCCATATCAGCGCGGTTGAAGGTCGGATGCCAGGGAAGAATGACACCACCGATACCTAGTGTCGCTGTGAGAGTCATGTAGATCCACCGGCTCACAGGCTCGCAATAAAAAGCGGTGTATTCAGTCGTCATGATCGAAGCAGCGATCAGCAGCGAGATTCCAGTATAATCAACACAAGCAAATCGTTCCATGAGTGTTTGGTCTGCAACACTGTTCATGGTGTGCCACATGGTGCTGCAAACGAGGCATTTGCAGGCCGCGAAGAAAAATACCGCGGCGATGCAAACGTCGGTCTTCGTACTGACGGAGAAATTGACACTGGTAGGGTAGAAGTAGAAAGCAATTGCCAGCACAATAAACAGTCCGATTGCGTGTGACCAGATGTTAACCAATTCGTTCGAGAGACCGAACATAGATCGTACACAATCGACTTTTGATTCCGTGAATCGGTACCCCTTTACAATATGAGGATTGACCCGCCATGGCACAGGCAAATCCTCATATCTGATGAGACCATGCTCTCGCGCTCGAACGATGGCGTTTTGAATATGTTCCTCCATAGTCTCCGCCGCTTTGCGAGCCCTCTCAATACCCTCATCGACGACTTCTCTCGCTCGTTCGATCCCCTCATCCACCACTCTCCGTCCCTCGTCCATCAGAGTACCAGCTGCGCCTACAAAGCCCTGCTCCCTCATCTTGTATGCCCGAGCTTCGAATTCCGAGAGTATAGCTTCCAGCAATCCGATCCCTGTGTGTATTTTCTCACCCATGGTCTCCTTGGCAGCCAGCGCATCCTGATACCTTGACTCCACCGTCTCAACCATAACCCTCGCCCTGCGTCTCCCGGCCCCAATTACCTCTCCCGAGGCTTGAGAGCACCGAGCTCGCACGGCCTGTAGTGTAGCATACGCTCGTGAGATCCCAGCATCGAAATTGAGGTTTCCGTAGTTCTCCAGGAAGTCCAGGCGTCGTTCTAGTTCAGAGAGGAAGATGTCGACCTTTTACAACGTCAATGCGCGAACGCTGCGTAGGGAAATATGATGGGCGTATACCTTGAGCAGTAATCTATCATCGCCATCCATACCGTACTCGGTGCTTTTCCTCCGCGGGTGAAATGAGGAGTGCCGTCTCCTATAAATGGGCTTGTCGTCTCGGTCGTCTTTCCCAGTCGCAACCGCACCATCGCTCTCCTCATACGACTCCACAGTCAGCGAAGGACTTGTGCAAACCATCGTGAAATTCTTCCGGCACGGTAATGGGTGAAGGCGTCTTTATAAAGTTGAAGTGGTGGGGGTGTCAGAGGCGGGGATTCCGTCGTTGTTGTGCTCGCTCAGGAGTTGTGGTGTGAAATCGCGCTCTTGAATTCGTACGTGCGGCAAGAATGAAGCTGAATGGCGTTGTTAAAAGGAGTGGAAGTTGCTCTCAAGCAGTCGCAGTTGCACGGGAACGAAGAAGGACTGGCAATTCGTCGAGTTCCAAGTTGTTCGACCTTTCGAGAAGTCGGGGGCGATCCTTGGTATGATCTTGTGGATCCACTCTTTTGTTGAGTCGGTAATCTTTCGGGCGGTTGTAGTGCTTGGGGTGCTGGGCAATCATGGCACAACTGACGAATGGATCTAGAAAATGCTCAAGTGGTTTCAAGCAGTACTAGCGATGAATGTCGAGGTTATCTCAGGTTCGGTATTGAAAGTTTGGAGGCTCGAAAGTATGAAAAGCCCATCCGTCATCCCTCTGGAATTTGGAGAGCCTTCCGAGCGTTCTAAAACTCTGTGTACACTGAACCCTGGCCTGGCATGTGTTCCTCGGCAAGGCAAAAGCTAAAGCTGCACCAGACTGGCCAAGTCTTATGACGCTCAACACCAATCACATCTCCTGCCAGTGCTCGGATAATTCTTGTCACTTGGAAAGGAAGGTATCAGTATCAATATATTCTTTCAACGTTCATGTAGAATTCGATAATACAATGCAGCAGCTCAAAGGCCGAAGATCCGTCCACGGACTTCGCCAGAGCCACCTATTACTATATTTATTGTATCCCCACCCAGAGACGCCTGACTATGCACATCAAACTCATTACCGGGGCCATCAAACTTTCGCCTACTCTCTTTTCTCCCACGCAATCATTGCCGGCGCCAAAGGTCTCGAGAATAAACTCGTGTAATCTGTTTCGACGACGTTCTGGCTGTTGTCGATATTTTTGAACTTGAAGTAACGTACCATCACAGCGGTGATGGTTACCAGTTGCACGTTGGCGAACTGCTCTCCAATACACCTATGTCTTCCTGCACCGAATGGAAGATATGGGCTCTTGGCACCCTTGCTGATGAGACCGTAACCATAATCGAATTTCTCTTCCTCAACATCGGTACCCAAGACGCCACCGGACTCAGGGTCCCATCGGTGAGGATCCCATTTCATCGGATCAGGGAAGTATGTGCTGTCACGACTTGAGCAGCCAGCAGATGCAAGGAGTACATGGGAGGTAGGAATGACGTATTTTGTCCCTGGGACTGGCATAGGAGACTTGACCTTTCGCATAATCGAGTGGATAGGAGTGTGAAGTCTCAGAACCTCCTTCAAAACGTTCTGGTGCTTGGTGAGTTTGGCCAGATCTTCGTATTGCAGAGCTGGGAGATCGGAACCTAGAACTTCGATTTGTTCTTGGTACAGCTCCTCCATGATGTCTGGTCTAGAGGCAAGGCGCAGCATGATCCAGGAACTCGAGGAAGAAGACGAATGTTGTCCAGCCATGAGAAGGGCAATCATCATGTGTGCGATTTCCATGTCTGGAACCTGAACGCCATTCTTATAGCTTGAACGCATGAGCTGAGACATGATATCCAAGTTATCGAGGCTCTTCTTATCCTTTCGGCGCGCCTCCATGATTTCCATATAAGTCTTTGCAACAGTCTGCTGGGCATGGTCGCGTGCGCGGTTGTGAGGAAGAGGAGCCCAGTGAAGCATGAAGTTGATTGGGCTGAAGCCCATGTCGAGAGCGTGATAGAGCTCAGCAAATGAAGAATCGAATCTGTCTCGGCAATCCTTTCCTTGGAGGGAGTGAGAGGCGGTATAGATAGTGATTTCGGCCATCTGCGCAGGAATATTGACAGAGCCCTTGCTTCCCTTGAACGCTGCGGAGCGCTTGATGAAAGTCTCGACTTCGTCCTGGATAATAGGGACATACGACCGAAAAGCCTCTGTTGTGAGACCAATTTTCATGAACTGGTAAACAACAGTCAGTATCTATTGCGCCTTTCTCCGTTATAGCTCCAACACACCTTCTTCTGCTCCATCAATTTCGAGTTGGGGCAATCATAGACCACATCTTTTCCAAAAACCGGGGTCGTTAAAACTGTGTAGATCTCCTCGGCGTTGACATCCTTTATCTTTCCATTCAAAATGAACTCGTTCCCATCCGTCCCAAGATACACAGTTGTCTTCTTCCCTAGCAGAATAAAAGTAAAGATATCGCCATACTATAAATCAATTAGTACTAAGTCCCCAACAGAATCCGTCACGGGGTAACTGACCTTTGCCTTGTTGTCGAAGAAGAACCTGTAAGGGTCCATACCGTACGTAACGGTACTCCCAATGATAGGGAAGAAATGGAAAACCACAGGCGGCTCATTTGGGTTCTTGAAAAGTATCTGGCTCAGCACATTGAGAACGACAGACGCGACCAAGAAAGCTGCGAAACCCGCAGCGACCACAATGCCCAATCCGCGCTGCGAGACCTGTTCGCCCAGTGGCACCGTGATGATTTCGAGGATTCCCATCGCTGCGAATACAAAACAGTACCGTTCGTGTGCGGGGGATGTGAAGTCGAGGTAAAGAGCGTGGTGCGTTGAAGATCGTTGAGGGTTGGAAGGCGGTCTCCTTAATACGTGTATTTTTTTAATCCGAGTCGATGCGCAATCTGCCGCTGATTGGCTGCCCCTGGATTTCTAGATTTAGTGCTGACCAGCGTGATCTTGGCTGCGCATTGCTTCAACTCGCCGCTCAGAAACCTCACCTACCAAGACTGTCTGTCTTACGAGCAGTGGACATATGCTACGGCCCATTACTACTAGTTTTGGCCTGATTTGCTTCACCATGAACTCTGAGATAGCTTCTTGTTCGTTCTCGTGTTCGGCTTCTTCAAGCCTCAAGAATGACTACAGGGTTTAGACGAAAGCGGGTCGAGGGAAAGGGGAAGTCGTCTGATGAGAGAAGAAACATGACATAAACGAGACGACAAATGGTTTGTTGATTCTCGTGGGATGATTGTGCAGGAGTTTGGGGAGCAGTAAGGCTGACCTGGAAGAGCTAGGAGGTAGTTTTCAGTTCGACCGCCTCGGAGCCTCATTCATTCTCGGGGGGGGGGGGGGGGGGGGGCGGGGGGGCAGCTCTTCTTGTGACAGCTGTGTTCACTACGTAGCTATGCTGAAGACGCTGTGGAGAGCTCAAGACGATAATCTGTTTTATGTTCTGGAATACTCCAGGGCCCGGGATCGCTGCCGCTGAACTTTTACGACAATAGGTCTGGCCTCACCCAATGAAGCTGCTAATGATGTCGAACCTCATGACGGCTGATTCAGTATGTACATAAGAAAAAACCCGAGCAAACGAGTCCTGATGTACAAATGCTTTCCTGTACAGAGTTCCCCCCGCACCGATACCAGACTACCCCCAGACTCCATTCCAACCCGCCATGCAGCCATTCCGAATCCTAAAAAACCATTCCGGGTCATCCCTTTATACGGGTCAATACTTTTAACAACGTTCCCTGCTTGTATTACACAATTGCGCCCTCGAAAATATCATTTACTCCACAATAGAGAGCTCCTCCTTGCGGTCCTTGGCAAAGGTGTCTTTCCACGTGTGCCAGATAGTCTCGAGTTCCTGGATGTACTCCTCATGAACGCGATCAATCTCTTCCTGGCTTGGCTGTGAACTCTGCATCACTCTGATCGGTCTTCCAACCACAATATTGAGCGGTCTTCGATAGGGCATGAGACCAACATCGTAGTTAAAGATACCCCGAGCATGGAAAAGAGGGATGGTGAAACCTAAGAGCTTCTTAACAAAAAGTTGGAACTTGTGGATCTTGGGATGCGAGTCAGGCTGTAGCTGGTCATAGAGATCATTCTCGCCAAATGCCAATACTGGGACCAAGTCGGCTCCTGTTCGTATTGCCATCTTGACGAATCCCTTGCGACGCTTGAGGACGAGTCGTAACTGGTGTGGCTGAGCATCCAAAGACTCTCTAGCTCCCCCGATGACGATGGTGATACCTCGCCCCATACCCTCCTGTCAACAAGGTCAGCATAGCCACCAATGTCAGCGAAATTGCTTGTGACCTTGAAACTTACCTTATTTGCACCGCCTTTTGAAAGTAGATTCTCACATGACTCTCTGGAGACGGACGCTATGCCCATGGCCAGAGCGTAATCCCTGTATATTGGGATTCGGAAGTTGGAATCAAGAGTGAGAAGGGTGTTCTTGATGCCAGGGAATAGTTGTCCGAATCCAAGAGATTCAGTGGCAAAAGCCGCAAAGGCACCCAAGGATATGATGCCATGGGGATGGTATCCAAAAATATACTTTCTGGTCGGAGGAAGTTCCTGAGTGCGGTGAAGCCTAGCAGGGAAATAAGATGCAAAAAGTGACCAGATGGGCAATGAGCGTAGAAATTCCGATCGATGGCTCAGTGTCCCAGAAGTCGATGCAGTAGATGCCATGCAGTAAATCATGTATGGAATCAGGAGTGGCCAAAACAAAGGTATGGCGCAAAGAAAGAAGAATGTCGACACGCAGAGAGCGATGCAGAGCGTATGCCAAAGCACAACTAAGGTCTGGAGTCTCCTCTGTAGAGGCACGTTCAAGGGGGCCCAGCGAATGGCACTTCTCTCCCACCTCTGGCCGGCTTTTCGGCCACTTGCAAGTCCATCTTCTTTACGTCGCTCGAAGGTGTCTTTGTGACTTTCGTGTGTATGCTTTTCAAAGCTGAGAGCTGGCTTGACGCTCACAAGTTTGGTTCCATTTTTCTCTTCCTTGAACTTTTCGAATACAACTGTATTGTCTTTGTCGTCCTTCACTTTGCTTTCCTTCCCAGAATGATCCCCGTTGACTTTGACTTTTTCAATTGAAGACCCAATAGAGCTATTGCTGCTTTTCGATCCAGCTTTGCGATGTTTATTACGAGGCGGAGTTCGAGGGGTATCATCAAGGCCCTTGGGCACTATTTAGTGACATGTTACGATTAAGGATGCTCCGAACATACAGTAGCAGTGTATTCCTGCTTAGACTCTTGCCTCTCTATTGCAGGCCTTTCTCCTTCTTTTTCCTTCACATCCTTCTTCTCCGGCGCGCCAGTGTCAACAATCCTCAAAACCGAAGCTGTGTGCTTCCCACTTCTTGCGCCACTCACGCCATTCACGCCATTGTTTCCGCTTGCGCCATTTACTCCATTCATAATCTTTGATCCATTTGTGGCAGCTGTAGGGGCTTCGTCTTCAACAGCATCGGCGTAGCTCTTGGGTGGGAGGTCGTTGTCTTTGCGTTCCTCAGGGTTCGCAGGCTCAGAATTGAGCGGTGCACTCACAAGGGTGGCCATCGCATCAAATACGAGATCTCCCAGTAGTCTGCGGTAGACTGCACAGGACTATCTATTCAGGGAATCTGGTTGCACATGAAAGTCCTGCAAAAGTTGTGGAGGATAAGGGAGGTTGCTCAAACTCGGGATTGATGAGGCATGGAGCTTGGACCCGCCTCTATGACGTCCACACGCTATCTAGCGGCTCCAAAGGGAGGCCCGTTCTGAAACATGCCTAGGTACCTTCCTGCCTTCGTACATGAGGTCTTTATGTAGATATCACATGTTAATTATCATACATTGCGAATAAGCTGCATCTACCTCTCCCTACTGTACGATGAGGTCTACGAAGTACTATTTTCTGGGCTAGAGCTTGGTGATTTTGAGTTGTTGAGAGCACATGGGAGGTCTGGACTTTGATCATGCAATTAATTACCACCTTACACTCCTGCGTATATGCGGTGCAGAATGAATGCTAACGAATTGAAGAGACTGCACATGAGCCTGGCTCGAATCGACTCCAAGCTTCAAAAGCAGTCAAATCAAGTGATGGAACACTAACTTGGCCTGACAGTCAAGTACTAGCTAGGTTATCACCAGGACTTCACACTGGTCCTCGCTTAGCTGACCTGCAATCAAAACATTTGCAGATGGAAGTCTTTATTGAACAGAAAAGATATGAAGAAATGTAATTTTCTCGTATCACGTAACCAGAGCAACTGCTAGGAATATGTGAACAAGTTATAGTACAAGCTTGATGTCTCCCGTCCCAAACCTAAGTGCCCCTACCCTGCCCCCTCCCCTGTAAAATTTTCCCATCCCACCTGTAACAAATGAAAGCAATTGAATCATAGCAGGCAGCGAGAGAAAGCCATATGTCTCTAAGAACGGTAAGGGTGCTTTTGCAACGATCCGATTCACATAATCTCCCCAACGCCTCCACCAACTTTCCTTCCATGCAAAAATATTGCAAACAGAATCTGATGTCTATCTTACATCGAATCTCGCTAGCCCACGCCACCCAGAAACGACTGTACGCCAAAATGTTGACTTAGAACACTCTCGTGTACCTGTGTCCTATCGATATTATTGTTATGAGTGCCCCTGGAGAGGTGGCTGCTGTGGGGCATTCTGTCCGTTCACTTGTCTTCGAAGAGACATGACCTCCTCCAAAAGGTGATTGTACTTGTCTTCCTGGCTCTTTTCCGCATTTTCCATGGCTTGGACTTTCTCCGAGAGCTGCTTGACTTTGTCCTCTAATTGTTGGACGTAGTTCCACACTCCTCGGTCTCCAGATGCAAAGAGGTTGTTGCTGCTGTCACCACTTCCCGTACCTTGATGACTTGGGCTGCTTGGATATCCTCGCCCGGAGGTAGGTCCACCTTGTGGCTGATACATAGCACTTGGGGAAGTAGAACCTGGGCCAGGTTGACCACCATGGTTACCGTTGGCGGGCAACGGTTGATTTGATGACTGACTTGGCAATGTATACCTTTGATCAGGTGGAGCTAAACCTGCCAGAGCAGGAAGTTTAGGAACGAGAGATGTGCCATGGGGAGAGGGGAGGGACATTCCAGGAGACATTGCCGGAGGGGAAGACCGGCCTGACTGTCGTCGACCAAAGTGCTGTTGTTGAAATTGTGTAGTGAGGCTTGGCGATCTCTGTCTGTTTATTGACGACGGATCGTGGCCAAGTTGATGCGAATGCATGCCTCCAGGACTAAGAGGTTTCGGACTTTCTGTCATACCGCTTTGTGAAAACATGGAATTCCCTCCAGTGCTCAGCGGAATCGAGGAAATGCTTGTGTTGGGAGTGTGACCGACTATACTGTTTTGCATACTAGGAGAGGTCGATGCCGAAGATCCGCCTCGGTCAGCATTTGGAGGGTATAGCCCTCCAGAGGATTGGCCAGGTCGGGGACCTGCCGGTGGGTATGTACTTGGCGTTCGCGAATGGCTAGAGTAACTGTCTCCACTACCAGGGCCAGATACATGTTGAGCCTTGATACTGGGTAGGCTGTACCGGCGTCGCTCCTCCTCCGTCATTTCGCTCTCATTGGGGTGTGGTGTTCCATTCGCATACAGAACACCATCCATCATACTCTCATCGCCGTCCCCGGCATTTGAGCCCTCATAATCGTCATCTCCTCCAAAACTTCCCATGCTAGCTCTTCTCCCAGCACAGCCGCCCTGCCCTTTGCTGTGACGAGCTAGTGCGTCCCCACGGGCGAATTTGCGATCACATTTTGGACAGATATGCGGTCGTTCGCCAGTATGGAGCTTCATGTGGCGCTTGAGATCATGCAGACGTCGGAACCTCATTTGGCAAGTTTGACAGACATAAGGCTTTTCTTGACTGTGGGTCAAAAGATGACTTTTGAGGTTGTGATGTCGTGTAAACTCGGTCTCACAATAGGGACACTTGTGTTTCTTCTGTGACGGAGACCTTGGTGCCAACTGTTGTCCTGGCATTGGCAAACTTAAACCCCTGGCAGGCACTCGCGGATCTTGTTGGCCAAGCAAGTTTCCCGGAAAAGATAGGGCACGATTAGGTTGTTGCTCATCACTAGGTGTTTGGAGCATGTTGTTGCTGCTTGGTCTTGGTTCTCGAACTTCTGCATCGATAGCACTCGTCATTGCTGCTGGACTGGCGACGAGAGTTGAGCTTGCGGTTGCAGTTTGCGCCGAGCTGCCTAAACTTGCGAGGCTTGTCACACTGGCCGGGCTGGTTTCTTGTGGAGAAGTCTCGAAGTGCATAGGGCTAGGAATAGAGATTGCATTTGCAGCCGTTGACAGCCCTTCGCTCAATGTGGTTGTTGCGAGAGGCGCATCTTGAGGTTTACTCATTCCAGTCCCGCCACCAGCCATAAGTGACGACAGAGCCTTGTGGCCGGGATTCTCACTCATGGCAGGCTCTTGTTGTCTTCGCTGGTTCTCCTCGAGCCTCCTCCGCTCGTCGGCCAAGGCTGCTTCGCCAGTCAAAGGCACAGGAACGAATCCTGGAGAGAAAGTCCCTTTGAAGCGTGGTGATTTCGGGGACGGAGAGCCGGCAAGCCCAGCATGCGCAATGGATGTCAAGTTTGCGGGTACTTGATCTGAGCGGCCTCGCTTTAGGGATTTGGATCGCGCGGGATCAGGATCAGTGGTGGTTATAGGTTCGGACAAGGTCGTACTGAACAGAGGAGCTGATACTCCTGGGTTCTCTGATGCCATGAGGGATATGTTTCAAGGTACAAAAAGTATAGAGTCTCTAGCCAACCTGCCTGTATGTTTCTGCGAAAGAGGGGTCGAGACCCAGGGTGATAACGCCGTGATGTCCAAGTCACATTCGTCTGGCGTCAGAATTGCATCTCAGGTCCTGCGGACTGGTATTCGAGGAGGGGCAAAAGGTTGAAATCGAATCGCAAGGCTGCTTTCTCTTGGAATTAGCCAAGGCCACAACATTGCAATGTAACATCACTGTACTAACCAGATCGCACTTTGAAAGACTTGTGTCTGGAGAAGTTGCGCGCAGCTGTGAATGTTTGTACAGAAATTCCGTGTTGCTCTTTGCGACCTCGCTGGACATAACTCGGTACGACGGAAGCTCTAACAGCCCAGCCAGTAGTACGGGAGAAGACTCAATCGGTAGGACGGGCTGAAGGTCGAAGTTCAGAAAGGCATCGTTGCGCAAAGCCGTGAGGGAGGGGGACGTAAATCGAGTCGAAGACAGGTTTTCAGGTGGATGCAGATGGCAAGGTAAGGTCAAGTAAGGCAAGTAGGAAGTTGGGTTGGGTAAGAGTAGGTACAATGGAAACACAAGAAAGCTGAGGGCTGACTACGGCAGTGGTGCGAGGTGGTTGAGAGGCACGCTGTTGCGGGTTTGGTCTACCTAGGCACGCAAGGAAGGGAAGGCTTCGGCGTCGTAGTGTGGTGTGGTGCGGGTGTGGGTGTGGTGAATGACGGCGGCGGAGCCAGTTGACTTGACTTGACTTGACTGACTACCTGACTACCTACTGCCTGGGAGCGTGAGGTGAGTGCCTGTGTGAGAGTGAGAGTGAGCGTAGAGTGTGAGTGTGAGTGTGAGTGTGAGTGTGAGTGTGAGTGTGGCTATGTCGAAAAGAGCGGGACCCCGTCGTCGAACCATGCCGGCCGCCGGCGCGAGCACTAGCCCACATTAGGGCTGGCTGATCAGGAGAAGCCTCCCATTGGAAGGCCTTGGCCACTGTCAACTGCCCTGCGAGCCTGCCTCCTGCCTCGCCTGCCTGCACGAACCCTTCGACCTCACCTCACAGCTCCGACAAGCACCTGCAGGCAAGACAAGACCAAGACGAGAGAGACGGGGAGCATCAGCTCCATGATCCATGAGTGAGCTCCAGCTGCCTCAGCGCCAGCCCAGCCCCCAGCCCCCAGGCCAGCTCCAGCTCCAGCTCCAGCTCCAGCTTTCCCTTCACCAAGTTATTGCCTCCGAGATCAAACAACTGCAAATTAAGCAGGGTACCTAAGTAAGGTATTTACAGAGGTAGAGCGAGTAAAACTTTCAAATTTGGGTACCACCACGGACAGTGCCCTGGTATCCTCAAGCGGCCCTGTCTGCCGAACTGGGTACGATCTTGTACATCTCTAACCATTGGTTCTGGCTACTACTGCGGTGCGGCTACAGCAATTTCTGCTAGGTCTACAAGTTTCTACTGTATCGTTGATCTTACCGGCCATATGGGTGTGGCTGCACTACTGGACTGCTGCTGGAAAGGTAGGAAAGCTGTCTTTTTGCCACATGGCCTGCTCTGCCTTCCATGGCACAGTGTTCCTGATGCGGCTTTCCTCTCCACGACGGTGCCAGATCGAGCCAAAACGCTGTGGAGCTGCCATCTGACGTGCGTCTGCCAATACTCCGTCCGTACTGATCGGCTCTTGTACGCTTTTGACAAGCTCGCACCTCCAAGTTTGTAGCTAGACATGCTACTTCCATGCAAACATACAGTTCGCAAGATCAGCCACAACATCAGGAAGATGGATGGCGGGTGTAATTTATCATCCGATAGAGTTGAATATCAAATCTAACAGTACCGGCTCTCTGTCCCTGGCCAGTACCGTTTGCCGGAGCCCCATGAATTCAATCACTAGCCGGTTGTTGGGATAATGCCGTCGGCCATGCTTGCAGCCTCGAAGAGATCAGCAAAAGTCAGGTAGATCCCTACTCTTTCATGAAAGGATGCAAGAGTCGCCTCCTGATCAATTTGTTCGCCTCGTCACAGCACTTTCATGCGCCACATCGCCTCTATCCAGCCCAGCCTCCCAGCTAGGTCGGAGCGGGCAAGGATTCGGGATCTCCTGGGTAGCATCAAATCGCTGCCGTTGACATCGAATCAACCAAGACTCGCAGAAGTCTGCGTCAGCATCAAGGAGGTAATATTTTCTCTCCGTACCTATCCTGAGCTATCGCCATCCAACGACCAACGACCTGACCTGGAAAGCCAGAAGTGCCACACGGAACTTCCAGATGCCGACTACACTCCAGCATACCCAGCCATTGGACAGGATCTACGCCGCCTCTCCAAGCCACATCCTTCACCAAGCCACGGACTAACAATACTGGACGATACCTTGAACCACTCAAACGTTAGTCTCTTCAATCCAAAACCACTCAGCCTTATTAAACGGGACGAACCTCGCTGCATATGACATAATTTCGATTCGCCTCCTTCAACATCTTTGCCACTAGGAATTTCCGAGATCGCGGTACGTAACATGGATCGGGAATCATCGCGGCATATTCCCATCGGCGGCGGGACCTCGAAGCGGTCCGAGTACAAACCAACCCTGGCCAGCCAGCCTCGCCGGCCTCATCAACTCTCAAGTTGTATTAGACATTATTGCCAACTTCCCACTTGAGTCACGAATAAGTCTTGTAACATGCTCAGCTGTTGCTTCCAGGCAGCAAAGTCAACAGTCAAGAAGTCGACTGGTTTTCAGCCTCAACAGCTGGGTGGCTTCTTCAGCGTGGGGCTTGGGGACGGCTGATGTTTCAGCCGCCAAGCTCTCATATTACTCGTGTCACGGGGTTGCCGATATAAGAGTGTGCCTGAATCAATGTGCCTTCCTACGCAGTTAAATTTCAGAATCATATACACCAGTCAGAACTCTGTGCCTCGTCTTGTTTGGAGTTAGCATGCGCGAGGAAGCCTCGAGGGCTGGGTATCACACGCCATGTGACGACGTCGAGTCTTGTTCAAACTGAAAGTTATGCTAACTGATCTATGGGTCCATTTTGCCAGTTCTATCCCTTAGCCCAAAATGAGCAGCTACAATGTTCAGATGTGAGGAAGGAATGCCTTCCAAAGGTGGGCCTGCAGTGGCAGAACGTTCAGCTGTTTATGATGGGTTCTCGCTGACCACTTCTTCTGGTTCCGGCTTCTCTGGAGCATAGTCACCATCGTTCAGTTCAAAGACTCCTTTTTCACTCTTTCCAAGGCCTCCACCCTTTGTCTGTATGGAGTGTCAGCACAAATGGCGCTTTCAAGCAGTGTTGGGCAGCCTGGCTTATCACGAGAGCCAGTGAGTCGGACGAACCTCTGTAAGCTCCCACTCAACAAGGCGAGGTATATCGCCTTCATCTTCTTCTCCGAAATTGAAGATTCTGTAGTCAGCGTTGTCGAATCTCCTGGAGCAAAGACTTGTCCTCAAAAACCCAGCATGGGACACGACTGCGATGATCTTTTCTGGTCTGTTTCGCAAGAAGTTTCTTGCTGCAATGCCGCGCCGTGTCAACCCTTTTCTGGAGCACTCGTACAAGCCATCAGTTGCAGGATATCTGGGATCCACAGTTGACCACTAGATGATTTGATCAGTACCAAGGATAGAGATCGGATGCGCAATGATGTCTACTTACGTCGAATTGTGGCCATTCTCTCTCCATCTCTGGAATCGGAGATCCAGTGTCACATGGCTTAGCAGAGTTCTCTTGGAACTCTGCACGCAGGATGACTGGTACACCTTTCTTCATCAGCCAGCCAAGTGCTTGCTACAAGAATGTCAGCATATCCACACCCGTAAAGTCTCTCTCGGCATACCACCGAGCAGAGATATTGCGGTCCAAGGTAGGGTGTGACATCGTCGAAGCGAAAAGAAAGTTTGCTTACTTGAGCTGTCTGAAGTGTTCTTCTCATTGGACTGACAACGATGAGTTCTATCTCATGTGCCAACGGGAGCTCATTTTCTAAATGCTTTGCAAGTTCGTCACATTGTTCTCCGAAGCCAAGCTCTGTGAGAGCAGGGTCAGGTATGTTGTAGTCCCGTGAGAAAAGTTAGCTTCCAGAACGATCTATTGTCGTGGTCCAGATAGGCATCTGGACTTACGATGGCCGTGGAGAGACTTATTGGTGGCATCTGCGTTTCCTATTAGTTTGGAATTTCAAAGCCGTTTTTGTGTATTTGAGATTACGTACTGTGACGAGCTTCAGCATGTCTGATGAAGATGACAGTAGGTGCCATCTTGCTTTCTTGCAAGAGTCTGGAAGTTGTTGAAGGTGGTGGAAGCAAAAGTTGAAGAAGTGCCTATTATATGTGCAGCGCCCGTCAGTACGCCCGCCAGTACGCCCGATGATGCATCACCGGGTGAAGTGTACACAAGAAAGCGTCAGGCCCCACTAACAAAAATAAGGTAGCCCCGAGCAAAACAGGAGGTGGGCCGGCTAGTAGCTGGCGGGGCGTCATTGGAAAGGCTGACGGCATTCAAGCTGGCACTAATCACGATAGCGATAAGGTAGAGTGGGCTCCCGATTCTAAACAACAGCACCCCTTGTTTCCCCAAACATCTTCTTCTAACCACAAGTCATTTGGGGCGCACGAGGAGCGATGAGCTTCAAATTTTCAGCTGCACACTCAAGTCGGATAAAGAAACCCACCAAGCCACCAGCGTTCAAACGAAACTCTTCCAGCTCGTCATCCTTCTCTGCCTTGCCTCGGCGAAAGCCAGTGCAGAGGTCCACCTCGAAATCCGAAACCAAGGATGATGAAGATGAGGATATGTTCGGGGACAGGCTGGATGATGTGGGACTTGTCAAGAGTTTAGCTACCGATCTGACGTTGAGAGATGTCTCACAGGCAGTTATGTATGTGCGAGGCAGGATGTGGAGTGCCATTCCTCAGGACAGGACGGGCATGAACTCGACGCGCATTGCAGAAGTTTTGAACTTCCGAGCTTTACTACCGCCTATTGTCACGGTCTCACATATCCAAGCGCTACTAAATTCGCCAACGAGTGTGGAGAGGGAGATAGCGGAGCTGATACGTGGAGGGGCAATACGGAAGATTGTAGTTGGAGGGAGGGGCAGTATGGGGGAAGCATTGATTATGGTTCAAGATTTGGACGAGATAATTGCGAAGAGTGGCGTGGAAGAGGAAATCAGAGAAAAGTTCGTGAAGCTCTTGCATGAATTTCCGACTGCGATGAAGGTATCGAGATCGCAGCTTTTAGAGGAAGAAGCGAAGGCGCTGATGCTCGCTGGGTTTCTGACCACGGCAACGCCGGGCTGGACTTCGAATGATAAGTACTCAAGACCTGGAGATGGTATGCGGGGGACCATGACGTCTCTGAATAGCATCTCAAAAGCTGCCTCTGGATCTTTAGCTGCAGTCGGCGGCGAGGGCGCTGTTCACGCAGCTGGAGGGAGCGGGGGAGGGGTAAAAGGGCCAGGATTTGGAGACTACTCTATCGCCCTCCCCACAACTGGACCCTTTCTCAAACTCCTAGCAAACGCACGAGCGCATATGCTGTCACTGCTATCGAAATCCAAGTTCCGAGAGGCACCCGAATCGCTGCTGCGTCAACGCTGGGACGGAGGAATCGCAGCAGACGATCCGGCAAGCGCAGCACGGCATAATCGAGGAGAGTTCGGCGTGCTACCGGGCAGGACGAGGAAGTGGAAACAGTTCCATGGGATGTCTTTTGAGTGGATTCTGGGTGAGTGTGTCGGCGCTGGAATGCTAGAGGTTTTTGATACCAGGAGTATCGGACGAGGCGTCCGTGCTTTGTAAAATGGACTCTGGGGTGGGGGAATGGTGTTTAGAAGCGAAGGATCATACACGGCTTAGTGTTTGAGGAACGGATCTTCGAAGTGGGTGGCCGAAACTGGCAGGTAATGAGACAAAGATGTGATAATGATGATAGGGAGGGAAGGAAGTGAGAAAGAGTTCTGGGTGCAATGCATATGTATATAATCTGCAATAGCATTAACAATTGAACACAGAAAAACAAACACCACCAAACATAACCGATACCAACAACACCTCACTGGGCAAGCGAGATCAGTGCGAAAAGAAAATGTGGAGATGTCAATGTCAAGCCACACTGTCAGTGTCAGAACCTGAACAGATCAAACTAATAAAACGAAAACCGTCCGAACATTGCTTTATCGATAGTACTGTATGATTTCGGAGATTGGTTGAGCCTCAAACCAGGCTTGGGACGAGAAGGTCTCATCTGAAGGTCCGTGAACAATATAATCTTCGATGATCGCCGTCGCGTTGTTGCAGTGCCAGGTCTGTGTCACTATCCCCGATCGTCAAATTCCTCACTGACCGGGATTTGTCATTTTCCAGCTGTGCTGCCGGAAAATAAAAATAAAATAAAACACAAGACAGTTGGTAAACAGTCTCCAAACGATGTTGCATCAGGTGAACAGCCACACCACCAGGGTGTCAGGGGTTATCCAGTCATTTCATGGAGTAGAAACTAAGCAAGCCACTATCACCTTCCGCAAATCTTGAGAACCCTTCTCCCACGAGGGAATGGTCGAATCTCCCCTAGCTTTTGTGATCAATCTCTTCTTAACTTGCGTCTGTCATCATGGGGAAACCCAATGAAGTGATAGAAGTAGCTGTTGCATAAAATAAGCTCTTGTCGTAGGTCTGATGAGGATTGTGAGAGTCGTCCTATGATATCTGTGGAGCAGCCTGTTGTTTTTACGGTGGAGTAGCGACGTTCGTTGCATGTGCCACGAGAAACATCTCGAACCGGGCTTTATTCGTCGTCCCGAACCTTTTACCCTTTTCTTCACATCTGGTCGAGGTCTGTGGTCCAATTGTTTACCATGGAGTCGGACCCCTAGGCTGTTGATCAACACTATGCCACCAGCGCGTTTGTCGCCAGCGGGCGCAAGCAGTGAATGACTGGTGGTCCGTCCGTGGAATGAGCTAGAGAATAATAGAGATGAAGCTGGCAGATCATTGTGAAGCAGCTATTTTGAGGGGGAAAGGAGAGCAAATGGAGAGCAAGTCGTGAGACTCTTGACGGCCCTTCTGTCGCTGCCCAACCGTACCGAGGCAGCTTCTGGCTGCGAGCTTGTGGTACAGTCGCAGTCAGTTGAACTGGCACTTGCCGTTCCTGTCGAGCAGTAATTTTATAGAGTTGGTGGTGGGAGAAAGGGGAGCTCTCAGAGAAGTAAAGATATGCTTGTTCTGCAGTTGCAACACCGACTTGGGTGACATCTTGGAGACAGGACAGGCCGGCCAGGGCAGGGATCTAGGTAGGGAAGAGATCAGCCACGCGCAAAGGAGTTGAAAACACACCACTACGAGTACGTACCAGCACCACCACCAGGGCCCACCACCAAAATACTTGTACACCACTTACGCGGGGGGGGGGGGGGGGGGGGGGCACTCAGGGGTTTAAGCTCTGTCGAGTGACTCGAGTCCCAATCGGAAGCGCAATCTTAACCTACATAACCTCCGCCCGGCACTAAAAAGAGCCAAAAAAGGCACCAAGTCCGCTCTTGGAAAGGCCGCCTCCAACTACTACTGCCCCTTTCCCATCCTCCCATCCTTCTCGGCAGCGCAGGAAGCAGTAAGTCAGTAGTAGTACAAGTACGCAGCGTAAATTTACAGTAGTGCAGCGCAGCGCTGCAGCAGGAGCCAGCCAGCCAGCCTCCAGGCCAGGCCAGGCCCCAGGGGCACATCGTGCGCGGACTCGACCTAATTCGTAAATTTCGCTGCCACTACTGCGAGCTTGTCGACCGTCTGGCCCGGTAGCGCAGCTATTCGCCTGCTAGGTACAGATTCCGCTACTGTACAGTACTCGTACGTACTGTACACTCTTGCGTCGTTCTGTTTCTGAATATTCCAGTTCTCTTCACCACCACCACTACTTTCATCGACGCTTGACTATCTGCCTATCTGCCTATCTGTCTGTCTGTCGTTTCTGCCACGCCGGCATAAGCTGCAATACTATAAACCTCCCCACTCTTTTTCATCTCGGCGCAGGTCCACCGTCACAGTACTAGTCCCACGCATCGCATCGTACATATCCGCACTGCATCCACATCCACGCACTGTCGCCGCGTCCAATCCGAATCCCCGCCTGCCACTACTCCTGGCGCCTCAACTCAACTGCACCGATTAACCAACTCCGGCCCGTGTAGGGGTGTATCTTCCAGCACGGAACATGCATGCTTCCATCTGCACTGCACTGCTGCAGCTGCAATCGCCATCGCCGTGAACCTCTATCCTTTTTTCTCTCCAAGTCTAATTTCTCTCCGCCTTTGCATTTTCGACGCGATTTCCACTCTCTGAAAGATCACGCATTCGTTGTCAGCAGTAGGACGACCTTCACGCGCTGTCGCCTCGAAACACAGACCCCTCCCGTCCGACCTTCTCCCTCCTGTCAATCGTTCGAAACCACCAGTCGTCGGCTCGCGGCATCGAATAACCGTGCTGCAGGTTCCCTTCTCTTGTCACTTACACCAAAACCACCTCGAGTCCGAAACATATATCAGGCGTATTATCCAGCTACAAAAATCTCCTTAGCCTAGGACGACGAATCTACAGCCGGCTGACGATCGAAATCGAAACGACGGCTTGTCCATCTCCCGCGCCAATTCCTTATCTGGGGATATAACACGATTGAGGAACATTGAGTCCACGAAAGTTGTCGCATAATTCAAGAGAATCAACATTTTGGGGACAATTAACTCCGACAAAGCGTACCTCAATTCAAATACTCGCAACAGGACTGATTCATTTTTCTTTGTTGGCATTGAGAGTTTGGACCAGCTCTTCCCTGCGGACCTGCCAACGGCTGTCAGTACAAGGGTGCCGGGAAAATATACTTAAGCACCCGCGACTTCAGGACCATTCACCAATCGGGCTGCTGCATAATTTTGAAAGGAAGTGCATGCCACAAGCTGGGTTGGGTACACGTCGCCGATAACGAGACCTTTGTGCGATCCAAAGACCGTACGTAAGTTGTGACTTCAATCCCCCCCACTTTGATCTGCTTTCAAGAAGTTGGGCTTGCCAGAAAAGCTTCCATTAACGATCTCGTCTCCTTCTTGAGAATTTAACGAAACGATCTTCGAGGACATTTTCAGATGCAAGCGCACTGACGCCTCAGCTATCAAACAGCCTGGCATTTGCTCAGGCATATTGAGGTGCATATTATAACGTTTCACCTTTCCACGCAGCGGGGTTTGTTCTGAACAGCTCCTTTTACTGGATCATCGAGACGTTTATTGGACGGCATTTGCTTATTTTCCGGCAACTCCATTCTAACACCCTGTTCCAGATATCAAAGATTTAAAGTTTTGGGTCTTGCAGCCCCAAGTTTCATGGAGGGCTAGGGATCTACGGCTTGGTAGACCACTGAAGGACGACAGCCTCCTGTATATTATCGTTCAGTCCTCATCTGCACATATTTTGTCCTGCAACTCCTTTATTCACGATGCAAGCCTCCATACCGCGGCCGTCAAGGCCGTCTTATGGGCCACCAACAACCGCTTTACCGGCATTGCCTGTGTCTAAGACGCGCAAGAGCACGGGAAACATTTCCTCCATCTCCGATTTGAAATCTGGATCGTTAACACCAAATGTACCGAAAAGCGGTCTCCGCGCCCCTTCGTCGTCGCATCTCCCAAATCCAACCACCCCTGGAGGAAATGGAGGATCATCAACACTCCCAAAATCGAAAGCGACTCCCGGAGTAAATGGCGCCGGCAAGACGATAAGAAAGACCATTAGTATAAACGCATTTCCACAGCCGCCTCGGGGCATTCGAACTACAAGTCTGCCACCGAGTCCGTTATCTGGAGGAGCTGTTCCAGGAGGGCCAATATCCAGTGTAGTCGGAAGTAGAAGGGAATCCACAGATACGAGTCCTGCCGGCACCAAAGCTCGCAAACGAAAGACCGGATCGAGTCCAAAGAGTCAGAGCCAAAGCTACGTTGGCAATGTTACTCCCAGTCTACTCAATGGTAGCGGAGACAGCAGATCGATATCTAGTGGGCCAGGGGCACGAGGATCAGATGGTCTGTTAAGCCTCCCTTCGCCACCACAGAGTCGTAGCTCATCTGCGCAAGATTCTTATTCGACCTCAGCAACGACTTTTGAGGATAACGGAGATGGACCTCGAGGGAGAGAACTCTCGGCAGATGCTACGGACGATCACAGAATGTCAAAGCCGGCCGAGGGAAAGGGGAATGTCATAGTCAGCGTTCGAGTCCGCCCAGATGCTGGAACCAATGGACAGCCTGTGAAAACGGACGGCGAGTGGATGGTAGACGGAAGGAGGTCACTGGTTGCATACCGAGGAAAGGAAGGGGGAGACTACTATTATGGTATGTTAACAATCGTATTTTTGTTTGCCAGAGCTAATAGCAGCAGATAACGTTTTCGCAACTCATGACAATAATGCCAAAGTTTATGATTCTTCGGCGAAACGACTAGTTCGACGAGTAATGGAAGGATATCATGGGACAGTCTTTGCGTACGGTATGACTGGAACAGGAAAGACATTCTCTATGCAGGGAACTGCCACTTCTCCAGGTGTCATCCCACTTGCCATCACAGACATCTTCTCATACATTCGCGAAACTCCTTCTCGAGAATTTTTACTTCGGGTCAGTTACCTGGAAATTTACAACGAGAAGATTCATGATTTGTTGAGCGCCCCACCAGCTGGCACAATCCCTGGACCAGGTGTACCTCAGCAGGAAGAAATCAAGCTGAGGGAGGACAGCAAACGAGGTGTCTATGCGAGTCCTTTGAAGGAGGAGATCGTACAAAGCCCCACGCAACTGTTGAGAGTGATTGCCAGAGGTGATCACGCTCGAAGGACATCAAGTACGCAGTTCAATGCCAGAAGTTCTCGGAGTCATGCAGTCGTCCAGATTGTCGTCGAAAGCAGGGAACGGATTCCAGGAGGAGCGGCAATGAGTGATAACAAGCGATCTGGTCTTCTTCCAGGAGGCGTACGTGTCTCAACATTGAGTTTAATCGATTTGGCTGGGTCCGAGAGAGCTGCCGAGACCAAGGAACGAAGGACCGAAGGTTCCCATATTAACAAGAGTTTGTTGACTCTTGGTACGGTCATTGCTCGTTTATCTGGAGACAAGGACAAGGACGGCAAACCTACGGACAAGGATGGGAAGCATCTTCCCTACAGAGATAGTAAACTCACTCGACTTTTGCAAGGAGCTTTGTCGGGAGATTCGCTTGTCAGTATTCTTTGCACGATCCAAATCGGGTCAGCTGGCAGTGCTTCTGCACAGAACACGCACACTGGCGAGACGCTCAATACCTTGAAGTTTGCATCGAGGGCAAAGAACAACATTGTCAGCCACGCCAAGAAGGCCGAAGAGGCATTGGGAGCAGGCGGAGATGGCGGTGCAAGAGTACTTCTCGAACGATATCGAATGGAGATTCTCGAACTTCGGGGTCAACTTGATGGTCAAGCAAAAGCGAAAGATGAGGATGACGAGCGAGAGCGCGAGAAGGAAGCTGAACAGCGTCATGAGGAGCAGATGCTCGAGATGCAACTTGCCCGAACGGCGCTGAAGGAGCGTATCGAGCATCTCAATCGTCTTATTCTCAGTTCGAAGTCAACAGGTGTCAACGCAAGTGGCTCGTATTCCTCACTGGGTATGCATCCAAGGCTGTCAGCCATGACATCAAATGGTCATTTGTCTCAGATGTCCATGCGCTCTTCTATGGCAGCTTCGACTGCCGGAAGGAACTCGCTGGAGCGTACGGCTTCGGTGAACTCGGTATCCACTGTTGGTGCACTACCAAATGGTCAACGACTTTCTGGGGAACGGTTATCGGGTGGGTCTGCCGAGGATGAGGACTCGATAGGGGAATTTGGTGATGGTACCGCATCCTTACAAGCCCAAAATCGTGCGCTACAAGCAGACCTTGCCGATAAGACTCGATACTGTCAAACTCTCGAAAAGCGCCTGATTCAAGCTAGGAGGTCAAGTCATTCCAGAACCTCGGTTGGATTCTCAAATGCCAAGAATGGCGTTATGGTCGGCGAGGATCACGGTGTTGCAGCGTTGCTCAAGGAGAAGGATTCCGAAATCGCTGATCTCCGAGCTCGACTGGATGACAAAGATCGGATGTTGGCTGCATTAAGAAGCGCCGCAAGGTCGCGAGATACGGCTGAAGGTCCACGAGCATCCCAAACCTTGCATATGCTGGAGAATGGTCCTCTGAGTCCAGTCTCTGCACGTGCGTCACAGCTACTTGACAACGGTCCGCTATCTCCTGTTCTGGCAGCAGGTCCGGTTGGTCTTCTATCGCCGAAAACTCGCAAGCGAACGAAGAGTGTTGACGAGATGAGCAAGATGCTCGACGAAATGATTCAGGATCGTGTGGAGAGCGGACACTTGGTAAAGGGTGCTCGAGGCAGCGTTCGGATAGCCAGCGAGCGGAAACGTGATACCCTCGCCGAGTCCCTGTTGGGTGCTGAAGCAAAGGCCCCATTGGTAATATCTGCCGAGCCACCAGCGGTCGCCTCGGAGGTATGAATGAGATCAGCAATGATCTGTGTAAGAGTGTATGTTTGGCGGTGGGGTGAACATATTTTGATTTTCGGCGTTTGGGCGAACGAGTGGCATCTCACACTGCCTCAGTTCTAATTCTGCTTCCTCTATACCCCATTTTGCAGTCCGTCGTTATCCCCATAGCGCATCTTGATCCCTTTGTCGATTTTTGGTTTTGGTTTGCAGCACAAAGAACGGAGGAAGAAAGTATTCGATTCGCGTTCAATTTCTTTAGATAGGGAGAAAGAAAGAGGGATGTGGCTCGCTGCCACATGTAATATATGTTATTGGGCACGCACAAGATTGAGTGGTGGGGATCGATGGACTTTGAATATTTTACACTCGGCGTTCTGAGCGTTAATGGAAATGGATGGTGATGGATCAGATGGAATGGAAATGGATGGGCCGGATGGACGATTGTGTAGATACCATGATCGATAGAGGTGGATGTGGTTGATAGATGATAATGGATTCATCGAGCGAGCGAGGAAAGGAGAAGGGAGAAAGTAGCGAGCGATTGAGCGACTAGCGGATAATGAGATGCATTATGTGATGAAATAACCCCCCTCCCTTTTCTCCTTGATTTGTACAGTATGCAAGAGATTCTGTTTGTGATACGAGGCTGAGGCTGAATCGGTTCTGTCTGTTTGCTTCTTTTTCTTGTCGTATACGCGTAGCTGGCTTGGGGGAGAGATGACAGATGTTAATCGTATGAGTCCCGAGGGAAAAGAAACGACAAGAAGTGGTAGGAGAGAATACGGAGGCATTCTACTGGTGGGTTATCATGGGTGATGACGATTCTTTGCGGGATGTGATGGGTGGGATGGTTGTGAGAAGTGAGATGCGAGTGGTTGAAGTGAAGACCCTTGTCCTTGTTGCTGTAAATGGCTGTTTACTTGTTTATGACCTTTTGGAACAACTGAAATTATATTGATATGTATTGGTGTACTGCATATGTAATGGTAAGATAGCGCAGGCGAATAGAGAGCAATATGGCTTGATATTGCTTATAGATAGCATAGCGCTACGGAAAGATGTTTAGAACTTTCGAACGGACTGACAGGCTGCGTTCGGTTTAACCAACCGACATGTTTCGTCAACAAACATGCCGTTTGGCAGTCCCATATTCTTTCTTACCATGAACTAACAGTCTTTGGACAACCCCAGTGGAATAACCGGTTTCATCAAACACGGAGGATTCTGTTTGTACGCTGGTTGGGTGTACCGGAGCTATATTTGGGACATCTCGTTTGGTACAGCGTTAAATTCAAGATAAGTGGTTGGTGGCGGTACGCGGGCAAGAAATACTAAGAGAAGAGGAATGATGGGAAGGATTGATACGAACTCGAGTTATGATAGCACCATTAAATGAATTATTCGGAGATGCTGACGGCTGACTGCAGGTGTGTGGTATTATGTAAATAGCTTCTGGATATTCGAGTCTTGTGGTCAGAAGAAGTCGGTGACAGCTCGCTTGAGATTTACCCCTTTCTTCACGTCTTCTTGAGCTGAGGCACAGATTCGGATGCATAAACATATCTGCACATTTATGAAGATCGTGAGAAACACATAAAGTAATCCGAACATGCGGCTTTCATCTCAAAGCCTGCTCCCTCCCAAATGCTTGAAATCTCCATCTTGCAACTCTTCGCGTTTGAGGCTAGACCTGAAGGAGGGGATACATGATGTTGGTCGGATCTGAATCATCTGATCACGTTGGCTCTGATATGTGCCCCATTATTGGCTGGGAGGTAGGCGGAGTTTTGTGCGTTAGACTGTTTCAGAGTTGCATGGGATCATGGGATGGGCGTGGAGCGAGGAAGGCGACAGTAGTTGATCGCCCCGAGCCGAGGATGCTAATTGGAATTCGGTGTTGGTGTTTCGGTAGGCTGGCTTTGACTTTTTGCAGTCGATCATGAGGGGAAGGGGAAGGGGAAGGGGAAGGGGAAGAGGGAGAAGAATCGAGAGAGGAAGAGGCAGAGAAAGGGAGGAAAAGCAATAGTTGTGTCCATGTGTGATAGAAAACAAACATCCTGCACCGGATTTATACATACAAGTACATTCATCCTACCTATGATTCCTATCCTATCCTATCCTATCCTATCCTATCCCAACCCATCGCCTCCAAAACCGAATCGTGCATATGCAGTTTTCCCTGGAGGTCCTGGTGGTCCCAAAACTCAACCATCCACGTTGCTCCCTTCGACGCCTCTTCCACGCCGCCTTCCACGCCGCCTTCCACGCAATCCCTGCCCTGCCCTGCCCTGCCCTGCCCTGCCCTGCCCTGCCCTGCTCCCCTCTCCCCTGCCCTGTGCGGACCCGCCAAACGGGTGCGGGCTCGCTCCTTCCCACGGACACTCCCCTCCCTCCTCCCTCCACGCAACGCAACGCAACGCAACGCACTGTTATCCATCGTGTATCAAGTCGGTTTCTGCTGCCCCGTCGTGTCTGTCCTCTCCTCTCCTTCTCCTTCTGACAAGCAATCCAGGATGAGATGACCATTTTTCTCCCCTTCCTTTCGGAAACTCGTCATCATCTCTTCCCATTCCTCCCTTGCCGTCACTCACTTTCACTTCATTCGACAAACTCGATCAACCCGGCCTGTTCATTTGTTGGTTGTTTCTCTTCCTGTCTGCCGCGGCTGCATGTAGATCCTGAACAGGCTCGACAGGGACGGAGCGAGGATTTGCATCGCATTGGACAGACAGATTTACTTCACTTGGACTGGTCTGGTCTGGTTTCTATTCTTCAACGACCGACCACGTTGCTGTCCTGCTTCCTTCTTCTTCTCCTCCTCCAACTCATTTGGTTCTTGATTCACCAGTGCCTCATTTGGACGTCTCCTCCACCCGCAATCTATCTCGCGCCCTGGTGGACTTCTCCACAGTCCAGATTCGGTTGCCAAGCACTATCCAACAACAGCTTTTTAATCTGTCTCCGACACTTCGATAGGTGGGCCGTAGGTTCCGTGGTTCTGTTTGTTCCTGAAATCTTTGGCCTGTTCGGTGCCGGTTCTCGTTGGCTCACCGCGGTGTGGCTTCGGTACCTATTCAATCAATAAAACAGCCTTGCGTCCCTGTCTTCACTCCCTTTCGTCGTCCGGCTCTGGTCTCGACCTCGAATTTCTGGATTCAATGTCTTGATGTCCCTTCCCTAATTTATTCTTCCTGTGCAGGCACAATAGCACTTTCATAGACCCATTCAACGGTCGATCTTCTTTGCACGACGTACGAGTTCTTCGATTCATTTTCTCAAATACCAAAAGTACTTGCTACGCTCCTTCAGTTATTCAAACAGTACGATTTCTGCGATTCGGTTCAGAAACGCCCCCTTCACTTTGGCTGCGCCATTTATTTTCAAATGCCACCTCGCCTTGACTTGAAGAAAACCTATACACACGCAGATATGATTCTCTCGTCACGGAAGTCTCCTCGGCTGAGCTTACGACCAGGGAAATACGATGGCTCGGATCGAGGTCCCACATCCTCGACTTCTTCTCGGTTCAGCTTCCAACATCTGATTGTCTCACCACCTCCTTCTCCTGGACTTCCAGCTTCAGTGCCCAGGCATGGGAAGCCAACACCTACCCATACACCGAGGAGATGTCTGAGGGCAGCGTGCTGGGTGGTTGGTGTATTGACGATGTTATACGTGGGACTACGATTCATGAGATTACAGTTAGATCAAGTTAGGCGGCCTGTGGGTTGGAGTACACACTCTGGGGAGGAGTTTGAGATTGTTGGAGAAGATGAATTGCCAGATTTCCCAACCCCGGTTGTGGTTACAGACAAACGGGGGAGATCCAAGTGGACCGTTTCAATTCCTCCGGATCACGAATTCCCTCTACAACCCAAGCAATATGCAGAGATATGTCAGCAGAACATGGAGGTTGCGAATCATGTTGCAGATTTACATGCTCATATTCATAAGCAGCATTTCCATCACAATTACTACCACGTGGACCAGAATTTCATGGATGTAGCTGAGGCGGAATTCTATGGATTGCTCCCTGGACCCAAAGCAAAGACGACGATGAAGGAAGGGGGGTCGCTGGTAGGAGAGAATACGGATGGGTTGATCGACTCGAAGGAATGCGAGAAGACTTTGATTTTCGTGATGGAGACATCGGATGCCGGATTGGGAAAGACTTTGATGATGATGTGGACTGCCTACGGATTGGCGCAGAAGGAAGGAAGGGATTTCTTTGTCGATGACTCGAGATGGTATGGGAATTAAACATCTTCATTGACGGTATACTAACATTATATAGGGCATACGGCAGCTATACCAACTACTTTCGTTCTCCGCCAAATCCAGGCTGCAGACCCCCACCAAGACACGAGATGCTTCCTTGTCCACATCATGCCCGCCATCTGGTGGTATCAGCTGGAACAGCTCCCTGGACGCTAGGAGGATCATTCAATGAAGAGTTCGAAGACCCCCGCAAGATGGAGGTCTATCGCCAGAAGCCAATTTATGCGTTAGCTCGTGCTGGCTATGAGGCACTTTTCAAGCTTAACGATGGGGATCAGAAATATGTTGAGGACCGCATCTCCGTTCTCCTAGATAAGACTGTTCGGCCCCCACCAGAAACAGAGAATGGCATCATCATTGGCGTCCACGTTCGTCATGGTGACAGACACCCTTACGAGTTCCAGTACAAGGATGCATATGTTCCACTCGATCGGTACGGCGATAAGGCACGAGGGATCCTTTACGATACTTTCAACAGCTCAGGGCCGGGTGGAGAAGAGAACTTGATGGCTGAGATGCACAGTATCTTCGTCGTAGCATCCGACGACCCAGACGTTTACGATTCGGACGAATTCTCTCATGCAGTAAGAGCTCAAGAACTCATTCGCCTGGCCTCGAAGAAAAGTGTCGACTCTGCCAAGCCAACTGGCGGCGCAATCCGCAAATTTGTCGATGAGAATGTGGGCTGGGAAGGTGGCTTCTTCGCCGGCATGTTCTGGAGCTTGGGAAAGCCGACCAGTGTCCCAGCTACAGCTGTTGAGACGCCTGATACGAATCTACCACCTACAAACGAAGCTCTGCGACTACGACAGCTTGTCGGACGAGCATACCTGATGGATCTCGCGGTTCTAGGGAAGGCTAGTGATCGTCTTGTGTGCACAGTTAGTAGTATGGGCTGCAAGATACTGGCTGTTATGATGGGATGGGAGGCGGCTATTGATCAGGGCAAGTGGGTCAATATCGATGGCGATTTCGAGTGGAGGGGTGTGTCTTGGTGATTTTGGAATGCCATTCTTCCTGGTCATTGACGAAACGCAAATCCTTTTGCTGGTCTGATAGCGATTTCTTCTGGGTGCGTATGTGTATATGTGTTTCTTTCTATGATGGGGTCTAGGGTTTGATTGAGAGGCATTTCTGCATGTCTTGCGTTGCATTGCATGGTTTGGCGTTGGTGGGTTGTGGATTGCTCGTGTGAAGTCGATACACTCACTTTTTTATTCCCTCGAAATAGAGGTTTTCATTGGAGAATTTCGGGTGATAGGAGAGTAGAGAGGAGAGGAGAGGAGAGAGGATATGCATTTGTACATAGTAATACCACAGCAGAAGCGTGCTTGGAAGGAGGTTTCGGGGGGGGGCAGTGGGAGGTAGTGGATGATAAAAAGCCTGGGGCTTAATTGAGATGAAAAGAAATCAGAAAACAATTACATTCATGTGATGTAATGCTTGTAAAGAGGCAATGCCGATTTTGGACATTGACTTTGAGGTGGACTAGGTGGAAAGTGAAGAGAGGAGAGATGAGAGTGAGACGACTACGAGTGACGAAAGGAGAGAGTGAAGAGTTAATGAGGCGAAAGTGAATCGAGGCTTGAACAGGGGAATGTTCTGTTTGTTGCATTGTTGATTTCGCTTCGGTAGCGAGGCGCGTTGGGCGACTCAGAGCGATACCAGCGATACCAGCGATACATTTGGAGTCTCCTGATATTGAATTCTCGCCCTCGGCTTATAATAGGTGTCTACGAAATGAAGCACAAATGGCGCTCGACCGGCTTATTTCTACTATATTATCGCGAACTTGATTTTGTCTACGATCCCATCCCTTTCCTTTACATTCATTGCTAGCAAATATTCTTCCATTCGCAAATCGTTTCAAAGCTTCGTCGTGTCTACCACAACCTTCAGCACCAAATTTCCCTCATCATCCTTCACGCGACCGGCCATAGCAAATGCATTGGGGATGTCGTCGAAACCTTTGAAAGTCTGCGTGATAAGTTTTGAGAGATCGGGAAGAAGAGAGTTGTTGCTCGAGACGAGCTTGATAGCTTCGTCGTAGGTGTTGGCGTAGCGGAAGACGCCTACGAGGTCGATCTCGCGGAGAGCAGTGGCGGATATGGGGAGCGTTTGGATGGGTGAGCCCATTCCGATGAGCATGATCCTGCCACCGGGGCGGGTAGACTGTTTATTGATGGTGGTTAGCGAGATATTCTCAAATCATGTCGGGGGAAAAGAAGGAAAGGGGAGAAGTACATAAATAGAAGCTTGCAAACAGCTCTCCACGCCTGTGCACTCAAATACAGCATCCACTTCCTTCCCACCAACTGTCGCTTTAACTAACTCCGCCACCTCCTTCGCGAACGCCAATTTCTCCTCGATCGCTTGCGGCCTCTTCATCGGCACCACAACCTTCTGGTCAGCAAACTTGTTCTGCACGGCAAACTCGACGCGCTCGGCTTGGATATCGGCGATGATTACGGTGGAGGCGCCGTAAACTTTGCACATTGCTGCGCAGAGGAGGCCGACTGCTCCAGCGCCGAAGATGAGGACCGTACTTCCTTTGGGGAGGGAGGCGCGGCGCATGCCGTGGATGGCTACACCGAGCGGTTCGAGGATTGCGCCGGTGGAGAGGGAGACGTTTTGTGGCAGTCTTTGGGCTGTGTTAGCTTTTACATGCTCTTATTTTCTCGTTTTACGATCTTCCTCTCATGCCTTGGGTAAAGGTTTGACATTTCAAGTTTTGAGGAGATCTGGGATCTGGGACATACTTATGGCAATACACCGCAGGGTGGTTAATCTTCGCCTGCAAAGTCCCCTGGAAATGGGGAAATGACTTCGCAGAACTCCTGAACCGCAATTCCTTGCAGATGTTGTAGCGTCCAGACGTACACAGCTCGCACTCGAGACATGGCAGTCCGACTTCGAGGGCGACTCTGTCGCCGACTTGGAGAGATGTGACGGAGCTGCCGACTGCTGTTACGACGCCGGACGATTCGTGGCCGAGTGTCAAAGGCTCTCGCACGATAATGTCGCCATTGCGGTAGTGGTTGAAGTAGTGGAGATCGGAACCGCAGAGACCGGTGGATTGGACGGCGACTTGGACTTCGGATGAGGCTGGTGTTGGGAGATCGCGATGTTCCTGGAGGTTGGAAGTTAGCAGGTATATCTTCATCGCAACGACAACTTGGGCTCTGTCCATAATGTGAGACTCACTATCTTCAAATCTTTTACTCCGTGGAGTACTGAAGCTACGACTTTCTCAGTTTTTGTCGCTGTAGCCATCTTGAAGGTTTCCTATTCAATTCGCAAAATTCTTGTTTCGAAAGTGTTCAATAAGGGGTTTCCGGATGCTTCAATTGAGATAGTTGAACAAGAAGGATAATCTCTCATGTACAATAAAGTGCAAGGAAATTCTGTAGGTAAGGAAATAAGTCTTACGCCGTCCAGCAGGTGTGAAAGTCGGCTATTCAAGATGGCAATCCATCCCATCCCATCCCACTTGTACTTGTCCTGTAACAGCGAAATCGCGAGGTCGGCTTCTGACGGCATGCAGCTTCGGTGGAAGGTGCCAGGGATGATGCCCTCCACTGTGCCCCGCCGTGGACCCCTCACGCGGGGTGCCCAGCTGGTGCCCAGTGGCTTTGTGGCTGGAACGCCCTCTGGAAACGGCAATTTTCCCCACTGGGAGCTGCACACTAGCAGTGTCGTGCCCGCGTTTCGGAGGGACATTGTAGCGGAGGAGGGGTTCTCGGAGGTCTGGCCTGCACCAGAATTGTTGATTTCATTTGCCGGTGCCGACAAACTCTCTGACGTTATTTCTTCCGTCTTTCTGTTGCTTCACTTGATATACTTCTTTACAACGATCAATCGGATTCACTGAGAAAGAATAGAACAGAAAAAACAAGATGGCTGCTTCACAAACTCTGGCAATGTTCTCGTTGGAGGGGCAGACTGCTCTTGTCACAGGTGGAACGAGGGGTATTGGACAAGCTGCAGCTGTTGCTCTGGCTGAGTGCGGTGCAGATGTCATTTTGATACAGGTGTAGTTTCTCCCACTCTCCACTAATAGCAATTCTCAATTTCGACTTCCAAATTCTAACGTTCTGACAGCGCGACCGATCAAACACTGCTACGCAACAAGCAATTGAAGCCCTAGGACGAAAGGCTACTATCTACACAGCAGATCTCTCCTCGCAAGCTGACGTCAAGGCACTCACGCCTGCAATCTTGAAGGATGGGCATAAGATCCGGATCCTGGTGAACTGTGCTGGTATCCAGCGGAGACATCCATGTGCTGAGTTTCCGGACAACGATTGGAATGAGGTATGCCTTTCCCAGCTCTCAGCTTGTCTCAAGTTCTATTTTGAGGAGAAGATAAGGCACGAGCAAAAGTCTAACATAAACAGGTCATCCAAGTCAACCTCACCACAGTCTTCACCCTCTGCCGTGACATTGGCGCACACATGCTCTCCCTTGAGCCCTCTTCCACCGGCCGTCGAGGCAGTATCATCAACTTCGCATCCCTCCTAACCTTCCAAGGTGGACTTACCGTCCCAGCATACGCCGCATCCAAAGGAGCTGTAGCACAACTCACCAAGTCCCTTGCCAATGAATGGTCCTCGAAAGGTGTCACGGTCAATGCTATTGCCCCGGGATACATCGCTACGGAGATGAACACCGCGTTATTGGCAGATGCGAATCGCTTGAAGAGTATTAGTGAGAGAATTCCGGCGGGTAGATGGGGCGTACCAGAGGATTTCAAGGGGAGCGTGGTTTATTTGGCAAGTGGTGCTAGTAGTTATGTGAGTGGACATGTTTTGGTTGTTGATGGTGGATGGATGGGAAGGTAGGGAGGGGGTTTGTTGTAGATTTTCGGGGCAGTCGTATGATCTGCTAAGGACGTTTAAAGACTTCATATAATAGCCGCTGAAAAGCAATTGTGCTTCTGGCTGCCTACAATTGAGTTCGCCTGGGCCATTTCTGCCAAACTTGCTATTTCGTTGCCTGTTTCATTGCGAAGAATGGCTGGACTGGGCCAAAATGATGTCAAAAGAGCTGCGAATCGTACAAGCGAGACATGTGAAAAGGTGTAAACACATCCCCGAAACACTTCCAGGCAGTCTATGTTAGACTACGAGGCCCTACTATTCTCTCTCAAACGATGATAGTATTTTCCAGTAGCTACCCTCGATTTTACCACAAGCGGAGGTCATGTCCACCTCGCAGCTTTAATGCTCCATACAATGCACCAAACAACCTGCCGCTCGTCGATATCATCAGTGGATGAAAGCGGGGAATAATAATCTGACCTCGCAGCTGTACCACGTCTCTTCACACAATTTGAGTGACCATTGATTACCTCGGCAGCAAACTCGTAAAGTCAACGAGAAAGTTATTTCAACATCACGTGGTCAGCCACTTTTCAGAAGGTTTGGAGGCTGTTTTTGTGGCTTTCTGGGGAGCCGTCGATAGAGGCGTGAAATATGATCTGCTATTCAACGAGTAAGAGAAGTACTCAGCCGAGGCAAAAGCTAGCATCCATAGCACAGATCAATCGTTCGTGCAAAGAGAATATCGAAACACGAATAAATCGTAACGAGGCACGAGGCATGGTACTGTTGGCTGGCCAGATTGACATTCCTTGCAATATCGATTCCAAATTTGGATCATCAAACAGACCTCGCGAAAGTGCCACGACTCACCGTTTAGCCACCAATGCAAGTTGATACTTTGGCCGGCGTGCTCATTTCTCAGGAACGCGTTCGGTTGCCCGGAGCACGAGATTAATGGCTTAAAGGGAGCAGAAGCCTTGAATATTCCAATTCTATTTCTGTGCTGTAATGTGAACAGTAAGGTATCAAGATCTTGTATGATTATTTTCAGCTTCCTCTTACAAACTCAGTCTCTTGACACGTCGAAAGCCTCGAAGGGTTCTAGAAGTTTATGCCTGTTGATTAAAATCAATAACACGGTGGGTTATCGCTGCACTCATTCCGTTTCAAAGCGGACGCGATACTGGACCTCACCCCTGTCGCCCCCTCCTATTTGGAACAGCCCGACCTCCAGCCATAATTTCGAATCGAACATCCACTCGTACACGGAGACGTTGTGTATCACGAACTTCCACAGCAACCGGCCTTTTTCTTGCAAATCGTTTATCAACACTGCAAGGCCACTGCAGGGCGGTGTCCAAGGCAGTTCGCATCTTACTACGCGTGCCCTAATTACAAGTACTTGCTAGTAACTCCTTTCAGAGCCTCAGGAACAATCAAATCGAGCAATAACAGATCAAACGCAGCATAATCAATCAGTCTTTCGAAAGCACGGACTGTACACAAATCATGGCGACTACACAACCCCTCAGAGCGAAGCCTTCCTTTCGCAGAGAATCCCCTTCGCCTTCCACATCTCCTACCCCAGCTATTGGAGCTTGCCCTGAGCTCTCGCGGAGTGTCTCCCTGGGCTCGACGGGTTCTTTGTACTCCGGCGACGCAAGCTCAATGGGAAGAGATTCTCTAGGCAGCAACAGTTCTGGGACTTCAGTATCGCGGTCGTCATCTGCGAGCTACTCGAATCGACAGTCAACAGGTGGACTGGAGAAACCAAAGAGACGTGGCTATGTGAGGCCACAGGGAACAAATTTCGCTGCCTCGGCACAATCGAGAGAGAGCGTCTTAAGTCTGGGCAGCATTGCACATCTACAATATTACTTTGCGCGGACAGGGCTACTGGATGGAAAAGGAGGCAGACTGGCGAAGAAGAAGGATACTCGAGGCACGCTGGATTTGTCGGCTTTGGACACTTCGTTCCTGACTCCAAGGGTGCTAGGATCAGATGTGGACTCGTCATATGCGTCCATGGGAAGTAGTCCCGAGCTTCATGCTCAGGGACTGGGAGGCATGCTCGTGGAAAGTCCTACACAGGAGGATTACGATTATTTCAGTGGCGAGGAGGAGGAAGACCCAGATCATCCACATATGCTCCCTCCAACAGTTAGCACATACAATCACCGCGAGAAGAAGATTCCACACCCGCCAACTCTCGAAGAACTCAAGGACGACCTACAGAAGTGCCTGGATGATGCTGTGAAGCTACTCGAAGACGCCAAACAAAATCCGACATCAGCACCACCATCTCCCCAAAAACCTGGCAGTGAGCCACAGAGTCCCGCAGCAGACGATAATCGAGGCTGGCACGAGCTGCAGGGCATGCACATTCTAGATATAATGACACTTGCCATTCGAGCTGCGAAAATGTACTACACAGCACACAACCAGCCTCAGCGACTTGCAGCAATCAAGTCCGAACGCAAGATCCGAGCCGAGCTGCTTTCAGTCATGGAGGTTCTCAAGCGCATGGCGACGAGGAATTTCGCTGCTGGAATGCGAACTGAGGAGCGGTTGACAATGGAGAAGTGGGTAGTGAGCGTCTACGACCTGTTGAGCCAGGAGGAAGCTATGGAGGAGGCAGAGAGGAAGCAACGGGCGAGCTGGACTTGGCTCGATGATTCCTGGGAGGGTAGAAATGTTGAGCGGGAATACGCTTTCATCAAATCCATGGATCCAGAAGCGGAGACACTTCCGGAATTCCAGTCTAGTGACGAGGTCGCTGACGAGGCTCTACCAACCAAATTCCTGGATGATATGAGAACTGGAATGAGATTGGTCAAATTACATAATGCGGTTGTGAGGAAGAGCAAGCGCCCATTCGGAGCTATTGACAAGTGGCACACGGATTTCGGCAAGCCGTATCGCTGTGCGGAGAACTTGCGGTATTGGATCAAAGCTGCCGAGTTGAGATGGGAAGTCGTACTTAAAGTGGATGTAATGGGCGTTGTAAGTGGTACAGACAGGACGGCACTAAAGGGATTCGAGGAGGCTATTTGGAAGTGGTGTGCGAAAGTGAGAGAGGAGATCAGTGTTGAGTTGAAAGTTTGACAGACGGTGTGAGGTGGGAAGATTGAAGGCCATGATGCCGTGTCATGGTTTATGACTTTAATGTTTATGGTAAAGGAGTGTCTGGGCTCGTTAGGGTTTCAATACTTTACTTGCTCGGCACGGCACTTGATACAGTTGGTGTTCTGTATGTACATAGTTTGACGGAGGTGGTCGGCATCGACCATGTCACGGGGGTTCTCTTGCTTCCTACTTATACCCACTTTAGTCTTTGAGAATTCTTCTATTTACTCCACACTTCACTTTTGCGTCACATGTTCTAAGTTTTGTCATTCATCCAAATTGAAACTGTGATGGTGGTTACATTTGATTATATTCATCCCTCCATAAGACGAGCCAAGTTGCTAGCTGGATTTGCAATCTTCTCCATGCTGGAATACGCTCCAAGAACACCTCCCCTACCCCTCCCTTTCCAGCTTATACATCTTCCTAACCCTCTCCCCCTTCTTCTCGGCCCTCCACCTCTCCAAACCCTCATGCAACCCCTTCCAATTCCTCATCAAATTTCCAATCCCTTGAATCAACTCACTGTTCCCTTTGTGCGACGGATCCTGAATTAACTCCAGCAAGTCGGCTCCAAACTCCGCTTCAGTTTTGTCCGCGTCGGTGAAGGGATCAATGCTGACATTGAGATGGAGATTGTGAGTGGATCTTGATTTGTCTGGTGAAGCAGGAGGCGAAGGAAGTCGAGGTACTATGAGGCAGGATGCGAAGAGTGAGAGCGATTCGGCGAGACGGCTGAATTCTTGGATGTCGGCACTGTTTGCTTGGATGGACTCAGGGTCTTTGAACAGCCCGGGTTCGGTGTCGGCCTCTGTTTCTCTCCCCCATCGTCGGATGAAGAGATGTCTTGCTCGGTGAAATTGAGGTTCTTGAGATCGTCTTCTGCGGTCGTTGAATGAGAGGGACTGGTGGGTTTCGAGTCAATAATTTCTTGAGATGATTGCGAATTGGTATCGTCGTGCTCGTTGTCGCTGTGAGTTCTCGCTGGGGAGACTGGTAGTTCTTGTCCGAAAGACATCTTGCTTTGGATTGTCACGAGAGTGATCTCCTTTGAAGTTTAGTGTATGGAGCTGCTTGCTTGACAATTCTGTTACTATGTACCTTGCATTAATTTACATACTTTATTCTACAAGGACTCATGGACGCTACTTATGTATTCACTCGTAGGGGGAGCCTTTGTTGACTTCTTACTTCCCTTTGTTGAATTCATTTCTTTGAGAAGACTGTCAAAGGAGATATCGTTCTGTGTTAATTATTCAAAGAAACCAGGCCATTTAATAAAGATTAATCCTGTTCGGAGGGAAGAACAGGTTAGGAAGTGGTAGGTGACCGTGAGTTTGTTGAGTAGGATCTGACTTGATGTTTGGCCTAAGCGAGACTTGGTATGGGATGCTTGCCTCGAGGTCTTGGTAGGCTGGACTTGTGTTAGGAATTATCAAGATTCCGTCTACATTGTTTTATCTTTGATCTGAAGCGACTCCATTCCACGCTCTCTTTAGTGGAGCGAGAATCGAATAACAGAGTGGGAAGGATCCATGGTAGCGAAACGGCCCGCTTCGCTCCTACCATCATAGTAAATCCACACTTCCGTCACTATACCAAGCTTTTATCATTCCAACGCAAAACCGCCATTGTTGACCGGAATGTCCCATTCTGCTTGATTTTTAGTGCCTACGCTTAGCATGAGCTAGCCATGATTTGACGCTCACTCCCACGTACAGTGTACGTCCCTCCAACGGTTCTAAGGTAACTATTGTTTACACAAGAGGGAGGAAGAGTGAATATGCGATTCCGGTATCACTTAAAGGAATACAAAATAGCGTTACCACCTCGACACTCTTTCTAGGTCGCAGCAGATTCCGACGCCCGGTTTACTGCCTCTGGTTTTTAAGATCCAGACATCCCTGAAATCCTCACGAAGGCCTTCTCCAAAACCAGGACCTCAACAGCCTGACCTCTCTCGAAATGCCACACCCTCAATCAACCATGCACTTCCTCTCAGCCGGCGCACCTCTCAACATCACCAACACTACCGTCTCCTCAGCCATACGAGCTCAAGCCCCAAGCGACCTCACCGCAACCCCCTCCCAGGGTATGAGCTTCATTACACTCCAAAGCACCAAGATCGAAGCCTGGCTCCAGGACCATCAACCTCACATTGGGGGCTTGGTATTCATCTCCATTTTCCTATTGGTTCTAAGCGGGCTTTGGCGTTCGAGGAGAGATATGCTACAGTGGTATTTCCAGAGGTGTACGGAGCAGGAGAGGAGGGAATGGGTAGCGAAGGAGAGGGCCAAGAGGAGGAATGTGGTTGTGATTGTGGGGATCTTGAGGGGTGGAAGGACTTTGAGGAGTGGAGATGGGGTTGGGGATGGGAATGGTGACGGGAGGAGAGTGAAGAGGGTAAGGTTTTTGGGGGTGGATGAGGTGGATGGTGAGAGAGGGGTGGGGATAGCTGGTGAGGGGAGGGTGGAGGTTCTGGTCGACATCTTGGAGGATGGGAGGGTTTCAGGAGAAGTGTTCTGATGACCAGGGCTTCGTAGATTGAACAAGTCGTTTTGGTTGGTGTATCCTGACTTCTGTGAATTTTGTTCAACGTGTGGGGAGGTCTCTGGCACGCTAGCAGGAAGCGTACTGGCGCAGGGAATTTCTGGGATATGTTGATATCTCTGCTACCTAGAAAGACTATCTGCGTGGGGCCTATCAATAATGCTCTCCGAATAAGATATGTGATACTTGCGGAAATCAGAGCGCTAGCTATATGTAATTTGTCGTGTATGTGGAGCCAACCTAATACTCCATTTCCTCCTCGAGCTCCTCTCGCATCTGTTTTTCTGTATACAGTAAGTCTCCATGATCTCAACTTTTGAACGAGTCATACCCCATAGTCTCGTCGCGGACGCAGAGATCGTGTTCGCTTTGGTTATGAGCTTTTCGCGGTATTTGGCCTCCTCCACAGGTGGAAGCTTCGATTTCTTTGGCTGTGCCTGCATCATCTTCACTTAGCACCTCTGTAATAAATGCGTGTTGAAGTGTTCACCTGGAGCAAGACAGGCCAGATATCCTTGACATCTGCAGCAGCTATAGCTGCGACTGTTTTGAATCCGTTTTCCCAGAAGACTCGAGCTGTTCGGCTTTTTATGTAGGTGATTTCTGCTAGTGCTAGGAGATCTGCTTTGGCTCCTGAAAACTGTTAGCTACAATCATTTGGATTCCTTTGCTGAGAATTTAGATATGGCAGACATAACATACCAGCTCTCAATCTGTCAGAAAAATGATCAAGTACAGCTGCTAGAGCTCCCCAGTTCATCCGCTCGCAGAACTTGATCATCCCAGCTGCGAAGCCATGACATGTCTGTGCTAGGTTCTGGACTATTCCTCGTGGAATATCGTATTTACGAGCTACGGTGTGGATGGGAACCTCGTTGCATAGATCGCGGAGTTGTAGAGCGAAGTAGAAACGTCTGTAAATACGGGCCGTTTCAATCTCTTGAGGGGTGGTCTCTTTCATTGTGCCGCCGTGAGCCCTTCAATCTGTTAGTCTAGCTCCTCACTCGCACCAGAGGAGTTTAAGTGCTTGCATCTTGTTAATGATAGAGGGTTTCAGTCCGACGAAATCCATGGCTCTCAGATTACTCTCGTCAAATCCGTCCATCTCCTTCCGAAAAATTCGCCAATTGATATTTGTCACCGCAGCTTGAACTGGGGTAAAAGAGTAGAGAACATGCATTTCCCCGTCCATGACGAACGCTTGTAGAGCCTTGCGGAGCTCTCGGTGGATGAAAAGCCCGTCTTCTGGTGTTAAAGAGGATGCTACTATAGCTTCACCCAGGAGAGTAGCTTTGAAGCCGGATTCATTAGTCCGTTGGACCAGTTGATCTCCCTCTAGATCCTGCATTGTTGATTCCACCATTTTAGCTAATTCTTCGTGGTCCATTGAGTGATATAAGAGTGTCTTTTTCATGTAGTCGTCAATGGATTCATCATCCGAAGCTAGTTTCGTGGCAATAACTTCTAATAAGGCTCTGTCAATGCAATCAGTGGTATCCACAGAGGCTTTCAAGGCATGTTATAGGCGTACCTCTTGATGCCCCTTTTATCGGGAACAAGACAGCTCTCCACACTTGGGAGCTCGGCTTCCATGAGCTCGGCGACATCCTCCAGATCGCTTTTTTGACAGCAGAGATAGGTTTCCCCAATCTCATCTTTACCTTTCCGCCCAGCTCTCCCTCTCATTTGTCTGCTTCATGGAAATTAGTATTGTGAATCTGTGAAGGTTGGTAATGCTTACAGCATAGATGGTCCCACCAAATCAGCACCCATCCGAGCGCCGTGAAGAATGACCCTTCTCGCTGGAAGATTAATTCCTGCTGCCAAACTACACGTTGCAACAATGACCTTGATGATACCCTGATCGTACGCCGTTGCAATAAGATCGCGTTCTTCAGTTGTCAGGCCGGCATCTATCCATTATCAGCGACAGAAAAATCCATCTTCTTCTAAAACTACCCACGATGAAATGCAACCCCGACTGGCACCGTTCTCTCCAGCACCTGGTCCAGACCAGTAGGCGTACTTCTCAGATCATTGAGAAGTTCTGTTCGACGGTCCATTATCAGTGTATCAACCTCATAGGGCTGTGGTAAAGCCATACTGATCAGCTCGGCATCTCTTTCACAGCCTGTCCGACTACTGCAGAATACTAATGCACCGTATCCTGACCTTGCGGTCTCATTTGCAAGCGAAATGACCGAATTGATCAAAGGATTTAAAAGTTCTTTGTTTTCCGATTGCTGTATAATTCTCCAAGGTTCTGGTTTTGCTTGTGTCGATAGTTGAGTCTGGCCTTCGGCTTGTGTCTGAGCATTCAGCTGGGTGGCTGTTTTGAAGAATCTTGTTGAGCTCGAAGCCGGGTAAATTGCATTGTCAAACACAAGATGCTCTTCAACTGGAACAGGACGATATCTGGAGATATAGAACTTCGCATTGTCAAGCCACTTTGCGAGCAATTCCGCATTCTGTCCAAACATTAGGAATAGATACCAACAACTTTGGAAAACGTGCCTACATTCAGAGTAGCGCTCATTCCAATCAGCTGAACATTTTGGCTAAGGCTCAAGAGCTTTGTAGCCATTAGTTCGAGGATGTAACCCCGGCCCTCATCATCGAGCATATGAAGTTCATCCATGACAACCACGCCAAGATTCTTGATGTTGTGTTCATCAATGGCAGTATTCACCAGCGAATTTGCCTATTCTGTATGAGTTAGAGGACTCCAAAGAGAATTTGGTGGCGCACCTTTTCAATCGTGCAAACAGCAATGTCCATATCATGCCATGTAGTTTTCGTCTTGCTTCCACCAAAGAACCCGACAACCTTCACTAAATTTTCGTCGCCACGAGTCCGGTAGAGAGTTGGTCGTTGATTGTTATCAGAGTTTTCTGTCAATTTAGACAAACTCTCTACAACTTTCCTCAACCATCTCAGCTTCTCCTGGACAAGTGCAACATAGGGCAGAACCAACAAGGCCTTCTTTTCAGGATGCTCGATAATCTTTTTCAGCATCAATACATCAGCAACGAGGGATTTTCCACCTCCAGTCGGGGCAGTATAAACAAGGTTTATTTCCCCGTCCAGGGCGCCACTTCTCAAAAGACATTCGGATTGCCATGGGTAGATTGACTTTATGCCAAGCAAAGCAAGGTTTTGGGTCAACTGTGTTGGCAAACCGTAGGCTGGATGAGATAGATCCAGTAACGGGTTTGACTTCGCCGACGGAGTGAGTGCGAGAGTTCTCCGTTGTGAGTATTCCGAGGGACCTTGAGGATCAATAACATCACGAATTTCGCCCGCTTTCAAGAGCTTGGGACCATTGGTAGGGAGCGCGGGCCGACGAAACTCCGATCTGTTCGTGATATCGCCAAGAACGCTCTTACCACCGCTCTGTTTTTCTTGAAACTCATCAATGGTTCTCTTTATTCCGGCTCGGGAAATGCTGGTGTGGGCATTTATTGTTGTGCTGTGACACGTTGTGGCATTCCTGGGAAAGGTCTTGTTGACATTCATATTGCAGGCGCTAAGCGAGGAGGCGTCTGCAGCTTGCCGCACGCGTCCGGATCCATGAAGCCAAACAATGCAGGGAGGCAGAATCGTTGTGAGCAATCAAGGGAGAGGTGGTCTAGCGAGGCAGAGTTACCGAAGGGAAGGGCGGGAAGCAATGAAAAAGAGAAGCGGGTGATGTTGTCGCGTCTGCTGTTGTGTTTTGTGTTTGGTATTTTGTGTTGTGCTGTGTTGTGTTGTGTTGTGCTGACATTGAAGCTGCGAAGTCGAAATAACGCTGGGCGGCAGAAAAGCCGTCCCGGCTGGTGTCGGCCGTTGGCAGCGCAAGGGCAGGTCTCACGTGCCCAGGTGGAGCTGGTTTGGGACGTTGGAGCGGAGGGCGGGCGGATGAGATTCGGGGGCCCACCTGCAGCCTGAGCCAGAGACTCAGAGAGGCCAGCCTGAGGCCCTGAGCCCATGTACTGGATCGCTCTAGTCCGATATGGTCTAGTGTCTCAACCCCTGCCCCCCGTCACAGAACCTCACCTTCCCATCACCGTATCACAGGCGGCCGTGGAGGAAACTGCTGGCACCTCTCCACAGAGTCCACACTCTGCCACCGCGCTTCGCTTCATGAGAACCGCGGTATCCAATTCATCTGGTGGCCATGGTGGCCAGCTCTAATGAAGCTCATGCATTTCAGCATCTCCACGCCGTGATCACCAGTCTCGACAGGTTTACAGGCTACACTAACTACACTGACACTGGCGCAAGAGTCGTGGAAAATCTGGCCTATCAGATTTTCGACCATAGCAAGGAAGACCATTTTCGGGAAGCATTCTCTCCCCTTCTCGGCCAAGGATGTGGAAAGCTCAGCCTTTTTATGAGCTGGTAAGAAGCAATACTGTTTCGACCTGGCAGCACACCCAGCACACCCAGCACTGCTTGAAGGATGCCCTCGGATTTCGAGTTCCAGATCGTCAACTCACTAATATTACCAGCTGCTAGACTGGTAGAAAGGAGTGCAAAACTCATCGAAACGTCCATGCTATCCACCGTAGCATGAGAAACACCTTTGGGGGCCGAGCAAATCATTACTCCGAAGGAACGGTCTTAAATGATGATTCGCCACTCATGATCCGATACTCTACATTGTAGGCACTACACCGTAGTATGCACCAAAAGTTACATCATCGCGTCTGTATAATAATTTTGGACCCGTTGTGAGATTCAGGCTCCCTGCCGTACAGATTTCCTTCTCAAGTGGTAAATGCTGTTGCGCGCCTGTGCCTGTCCAAAATGTCTTAGAGCTTACGGACGACTACCCCGATAAACCAAAAAGGGGTGGAGAGCAGCAGGTGGGAACTTGCTAGAAGCGACCCGAATCGCAAATGAAGTGTAGAGCATACTGCTCGTTGGTACACTGGAAAATATTCTTGAAGCCATATTCTGAAAAGGGGAGAGAGCAAGGCAATTGCTTAGGAGACATGGGTAGGGTTGGGCTGACTACCTCCCACGGGAATAGATGAATTGCTCTTTCAGACTACCTTATGCTCTGTCCCACTAGATGCGCTTCTTCGTGCGTGACTCAGACTCGTATGTCTTCAAAACCTATCTTGTGAGAACATTATACAAAGTTATTGGACCCTGGCAAAAGTGCAACATAGCCAAGTCGAGGAGGTGATTCAAGGGTCCCCCTCAAGATTCAGGCTCTGTGCTTTATTAGTGATGATAAGTTCCTGCTGTGCTGGTAGTATTCGAAGTTAGGCGGCACGCCAGCTGGGATTGATCTTGTGTAAAATACTATGCTTTATTGGGGCATGTAAGGTGATGTTGCTTGGTGGTCGTCTCCCCTGCCCGAGGGATGGGACTGGATGCCCTGCCTCTACCTAGCGCAACATACATCCGTCCTTCCACCATCAACTTTCCTTCCCGAACATCTACTTCCCCCCCAAACCGTAAAATCCACGACAACTCCCCACACGAGGCGCCTCACTCATTTCCAGTACTGCGAGACATAAACGGATTTCTCAATACACCTGCCAGGTACTTCTTGCGACAAGCCTATTCCATGCATGGCATAGCCTTGTCTCCTGCCATTTCCAGCATCATTGGCGTAGATCTAGTCCACAGGACGTATACCATTGCACGCACCGCAACGCGATTTTTCTCTGGATATTTCACTCTACGCTTCGCACAGTCGATCCAACACGGACTTTCACTCTGATGGGTCGCAGTCTTGTTGCCCTCGTTCGATAGCCTCGTACTTCAGCGCTTCTCGCCCGTTGATCTTGCGGGAAGCGCTTCCTTTCCACTCAATAGGAGAGTGGCAGCGCCAGAGCTGCCTATAGAAATTCCGCGATGGCCAAAGATGGTTCACGTCGCTCGAGTATCGCAGTATCAACACATGCCAGTTCACCACATGAGAACAATGACGACGTTCTAGCACAAGATCCGAATTCGAATGAGACTGGCGAAGCCGCGCCCGACGTTCCTCAGCCAGCTGTCTCGAAGACAGACACGGTCAAATCATCCGCTGCAAATGGAACGATTTCTCGAGCGGCAGAATCGCAGCCAATGACCGCATCTAATTCCAACTCCTCAAACCCCTCTACGAAGGATGCGGCATCAAGTGGTACAGGTCCTGCAATCCCTTACGGTACACGGTCGCGCAACAGGACTGGGAATTCTCGACCAAATTATGCTGAGGATAAAGAACTGGATGCAGAATTCGAAGTAGCGCCGCCTCTGAAAGAGAGCACTGGGCGCAAAGCAACAAGGACAGTGGAAGCGATGTCTACCACAGAGGCTGGGCAAACGCAAAATGCCACTAGAATTTCGAACGGAACTATACAAGACAATGCCCCTACAATTCCAATACACCACAAAGATCCTATACCAGGGACATCTACGTTTTCTGCCAATCCAACAGCTAACGGCGGTCATTCGAAGAAAAGAAAGGCAGCAACACAGGCACCCCTACAACAACCCCAGCTTCAAGTCCCACCACAGAACACGTCTCAAGCGGTGACCCGAAGATCCAGTATCGCCCTGTACACAGGAAATAGCCTCGAAGATTCGAATATGCTGAGTTTTGAAAATTGTGGGGGGCGCCTGAAGAATAAAAAGCTTGTAGCTGATGATGGAACCGTTCTAGAAGTCAATGGTAAGTACATGATTGCAATCCTTTCTTCGCAGTCATAACAAGAATCAATGACTGATATTATTAGATCACGCGTATCTTGTCTGTGAGCCTCCTGGGGAACCGTATTATCTGGGTCGCATCATGGAGTTCCTCCACATTAACAACGACGCTACCCAGCCTATTGATGCTTTGCGCCTGAACTGGTATTATCGAGCCAAAGATATTGGGCGCAAAGTGAACGACACTCGGCAGGTGTTTGCATCTATGCACTCTGATGTGAGCCCTTTGACAGCACTTAGAGGAAAATGTCAAATCAAGCACAAGTCCGAAGTTGAGAAGCTGGACGAGCTTAGAAAATCGAAAGATTCGTTCTGGTACGAAAAGCTTTACGACCGCTACATTCACCGTTACTACGATGTCATCCCAACGAGTCAAGTCATAAATGTGCCTGCCGAAGTTAAAAAAGTTCTTGACGAAAGATGGAAATTTATAGTCGTTGAGCCGGGACGTGGCAAAGAGTTGACAAGTGCTGTTAAATCTTGCAAACGGTGCAGCAAGTACTGTGCAAGGTTTGTTGCCCCCATCAAACAATGTGAAATCAACTAACAGATATCAAGCAATGACTCAGTGGACTGTGCAGTGTGTCACAATACATATCACATGAGTTGCGTGAATCCTCCTTTACTGAAGAAGCCATCCCGTGGATTTGCTTGGGCTTGTGGGCCATGTAGCAAAGCGCAGGAGAAAAAACTCGAAGCCCGCAATACCCCAAATGTCAATGACCCAACCGAAGATGATGAGAATATTGACGATGATGACGAAGCTCACGAAGCCGCTGGCGATGATCCCGATACTGGTCGGACAAGCCCAGTGTCCAGTGAAGTCGATGTTTCGTTCCACCCTGGCACAGCGGAACAGATACACCAGGCCAGCCTGTGGCTTTTCAGATATCTTGGCATTCATTGCAAAGTTGAGGACGCATTAGATTACGATGACCGGATTTATCCAAGAGCGAGCTCACGTCTTGGCCCTCGGCATCAAGCTATTGTTCCGATCTGGCCTGGTAGGCCTGTGGAGTATGTCAAACCTGCTGAGATTAAAAGGAAATATGTGAAAGGAGGTGGTCACAAGAAAGATACCAAGCTGCACAAGGATACGATAGCCGCTTTGGAGGCCGACAAGATCGCGCGAGAGAAGCGTCCGAAGTGGGTGATGGATGAACCTCCCGGCTATGTCCATAGAGGAGAAGATTACGAAGATGGCGACCCGAACAGCACTGCAACTTTGCTCTACAAGCTGCCTGAAGCCATAGAGGTCCCTGGAAGAACTGTCACAGGTTTCGATCCGGAAGGGCACCCAATACCGGCCAGAGAACAAATGATTTTTGATTACATGGGCCGTGCTGCGCAGCTTGCAAGGCATCTTGGACTTCCTGACCTGTCGACAAATCTACTAGATGTCGCACTTCATACCTTGCATCTCAATGGTTATGATGTTGAACAAGCCCTCCATGTCTTATCACAGACAGACAAGAGAACTTTCAAGGAGCCCGATCTTAGTCCGCAGGAACTCAAAAAGTTCGAAGACGGCGTCACGAAGTTTGGATCAGAATGGCACAGCCTCAAGAAACACGTCAAAACAGTCAGCGCCGCAAACATTGTTCGATTCTATTATACCTGGAAGAAGACGGAGCGTGGAAAGCATATCTGGGGAAGCTACAGCGGTCGGAAAGGGAAGAAGGAGGCGAAGAGAGCGGAGGCCACCACTGGAAAATTACAAGACGATGTCGCTGACGAAAATGACGATTCTGCTTTCGACAACGAGAAAGCTCGTGATAGGAAAAGATCGTTTCAATGCAAGTTTTGCACGACGAGGGAGTCCCGACAATGGCGGCGTGCTCCAAATACGCCAGCTGGTACCATGATATCCGATAATCCGGCTGGTGGCAAGCCTGTTGGGAAAGATAAGGGCAACCAATTCATGGTTGCCTTATGTAGGAGATGCGCTGAACTGTGGCGACGTTATGGTATCCAGTGGGAAGATATAGACGAGGTCAAGAAAGCGACGCAGGCTAGCGGTCGAGCTTGGAAGAGGAAGATCGATGAGGAGCTCTTGAAGGAGCTAGCTGCAGCCAACGAAGTTACCAACGAAGCAGTGAACGTTACCCCAGTTGCACCTCTGTCCACAAACGGGACGCCAGCACCAGCTTTGGCTAATTTACCGGTGGGACCTGAGCCGCCACGGAAAAAGCAAAAAGCCGCTCCTGAGAGAGATACCATCGAACCTGGTGTGGATGTGGCTGTAGTACCTGCAGCGAGGAAGAAACTGGTAGCTGAGAAACCTGCCGGTCCTCCACCACCACCAGAGCCGCCAAAAGCTAAGATACTTCCTTGTGCAATTTGCGGACAGATGGACCCCATGGGTGACCAGCATCTATCTTGCAAAGAATGCCGAATGACTGTCCATCGCAACTGTTATGGTGTAGTGGGAGAAAATCGAAGCCCAAGCAAATGGATTTGCGATATGTGCTCCAATGACAAGAACCCTCAGGTTTCGATCGTAAGTACACGGTGGCAATTCACGGCCATTCATTACTGACAGCCTCTAGCAATACAAGTGCACCCTTTGCCCAATAGAATATACAGAGCACGACTTTGTTGAGCCACCAAAAGTCACCCACAAGAAGAAAACAGAGAAAGAACGTGAGCGAGAGCGAATCGAACGAGAAGCTAATCAAAAGGCGGCCGACTATTTTCGCAAAAAGCAAGAAGAGCAGAACAGACCCGTCAATCCTCGAGAACCATTGAAACGTACCGCGAATAACAACTGGGTCCATGTCACTTGTGCTGTTTTTACCCCTGAAGTCAAGTTTGGTAACGCAAAAGCTCTTGAGCCTTCGGAGGGCATTCCTTCAATCCCCACAGCTAGATATGACGAGACCTGCAAGGTATGCAAAAAGAACAAGGGTGCATGTGTCAGTTGCCAATGTTGCAAAACACCAGGTATGTTTTCCGCTCTTAAAAGATGAGCGTCTAAGCCTGACATACTTAGTACACGTTGGGTGTGCCCACCAAGCAGGGTATCTCCTTGGCTTTGATATATCCCCCATTAAGCAAGGTCGACGTGATCAACCGAATATAGCTGTCAACATAGGCCAAAATGTAGGCACGATGACAGCGGGCATATGGTGCAAGGACCATGTCCCTACGAAAACTGTTCACCGAATGCATGACATTGCTGATCCAGAGACGGGGCTGAATGCTTTGCAGCTCTACGTTCAAAATTTCAAGCAGGCTGATTTGACATTGACTGGTACAGTCCGCAAGGCTACGCTCGTTAACCAGTCAACGAAGGTCTTGAATCCTCAAGCAACTCCCGCACAAGTTCCTAACCGACGAAGCTCGACAACTACTGGCACGAATGGGAATGCATCAACTGGGAAAGGATCGGTTTCTAATGTGAAGACGGAAGACTCGTACCGGGACTTGAATTCAGTTGCCAAGAACAGTACATCGAAGATATGCGTCACTTGCGACGTTGATGTCAGCCCCAAATGGTGGCCGTTCCCACCAGATGCACCAACGCAAACTTCTGAGCCTGCTGCCGATGTACCTATGATGATAGACAGCGAGCAAGCTCCAATAAGAGAGTTACCATTGACCAATGGCCACGCTGCGAACGGCTCTCCTGAAGACACTGGTGGCACCAATGTGGCTTTGGCAGCAGCAGCCTTGCACCAAAATCCTGCCAAGCTCATCACTCCTACTGAATTTCAATGTCATCAGTGCCATTGGAAGAAGATTCGGAAAGAGCCTACTCCACCGCCTCCACCCACGTCAACCACTCGAGAACCATCGCGTCCACCTCTCGATTTCAGCCAACCACCTCGGATTGCCACCCCCGAGCCAGAAATGGGCCAACCACCGCCAGCACCATTTGTCTGGCCTCCTCCTCCTCCGTCTTACCCGCCTAATGGCCCTTCATACAACTGGCCACGACACTCTCCTGGGGCCCAGACTGGGCCCCTGGTAAACCACATGAATGGCAGCCACTCTCCTCGACGTAACTCTGGATCCATGCAGTCACATAATGGCCAACCTCAAATGCGGCAACCAATACATGGCGTACCGCACTCTCCGCGCCAAAATGGTCAGATACCACAAGGTCCGACTGGCTTTCATCCGCCTTCACCGCATCGTAGCATGGGTTCTCCAGCAGATTATATGCAAAACGGCACATATCCATCGTACGCTTCTACGCGACCGCCTCCTCAACACTTGACCAACGGGGGGCCACCTCCAAGGGCTCCTGAGCATCCATTCTCTCACTCCCATGCTCCAATGCATCCCCGCCATCCGTTTGGACCACCACATGGTAGCCCGCCTTTACTCCGCGAATCGCATCCTCAGAGCAGAGAATCTATGAATCCTCCCAATAGCAATGCTCGACCAAATGATGGTCGTGTTAATGGCGGGGCGAGTGCATCTCCTTCTCTGCGAAACCTACTCTCTTAAAACAATCTGTATTATTCCAGCATATAAATTCTTGGTCTTTGTCTTGCATGTATGAAACAAAGGTGGGGGTCATGGTGGCTGGGTTTAGGATCTATCATGGCGGAGGGATTTTCAAGCGTGGCGTTCAATGGGACGTGAAGATGTATGAATAGATTCATCATGAGCAGGAAAGCGCAATAGCCTGCTCTATGTACTCGGTGGGAAATGATAGATACCTTCCAAATTATTACGGCTCCTTTGCTCACAGCCTTATCCATGTCCAGTAGACACAGAAGTCGGCTTTTCCTCCAAGGCTCTTACAGACCCCTTGACTCTGCAGATTACTGGTACCTACATCGGCATGATATATTCTTTCTGGTCCAAAGTCGGAAGCTTTTGTACAAAACAAGTTCCTCGCAATTGCTTTAGCCAGACCCTGGCCACGATAATTCTCCTTTGAAACTTTTTTTAATGTATATCGAAGTCAAGGAGAAGAATTCAAACTCACCTCGACATGTAAACTGGTCAACGAAGCATCCGGGCCTATTACTTGTCAGTAAAGCATCATGGCGAAGAGATGTCCTTCGTCACCTAAGAAGCCCCAAGCAATTGGCGCATTGTTGAAAAAGACGGCCAAGCTCGGCAGAAGTACCATAGGCCTCCTATTTCCCCATCAGCAAGGCGGCGATAGCATTGGAAATGCCACTACACACTCTTTCCTGGGTATTTCAGTCCGAGACAGAACGAGTGGGACATCGCTTCTTCGGATCTCCGAATACACCAAATCCTCACTGTGAAGCGCCACATCTGGAGGTAAATTTCCCGCCTCAAAGATAAATTTGAAGTGAGGACCAGTTGCCTGCTTTACCCTCTGCTGCTCCTCTAGAAGATTGAGAACCTTCTCATTTAGGCTTCCTGTCAGAACTATCCCAGGAGTTGCTCTCGCACCATTCACTTGCACATAAGGGCCTTCAATATCCTTCACTCGTCTGAGGATTTCAAGAACCTGTTCTTGACACTTCGTTTCGATCTGGCTTCCTTCTAATTTTTCCATAGATGAATAGAGCCACATTTCGGTTTCTGTTCCACGGGAAAAAATCAAGATACGCAACTGTGAAGATGTCGGGAGACTCAAAGATTGTAAAGACATGGCTATTGGGTGTTTTCCCGCCTTTCATGTTCATGAACTGTAGGCGGCGGAGAAGAGCGATGGAGTGAGGGAGGTGGTTTGACAGTGCCGTGAAAGTTGTTTTTGAGACGCCATCCGAACTCTCTTCTGGTTCAGGCATCGTTTGGCTATTAGATTACTGACAATTTTGGTGTGAGGAAGAGTAGAGAGAGTAAATACTTGAGGCAGTTGTCTGCAAGCACCATGAATCACCTGCCAGGAAAATGGCGTCGGCACATTAACCCCACTCCTGAGCGCATTTCGACACTTACTGCATTAATGAAAAGTATTCTGGATCCTAACTTGATAGAGTCTCTCCAATTAGGAATCTAAACATAATTTTGGACTGTACGGTTTTCAATATAATTCTATCTGATGAAGAAGATTGAAATGTCATGCCGAGCAGACTAAGAGCTCGGCCGGCTCGGGATGCAAATGAAAGCGGGTGATTCGGCTGAAACCCGGCTGGGCTGGGATTCGTCCAAAAATGACGACGAGTCTCGGCACCTTCTGTGGGAATTATTCTAGACCACCACTGTACAATTGCCCGCGATATCCTTTCTGCCTCTCATTCTATCTACTTTACTTGTACAGGTCGGCTTCAACCTTCTCCTCCATAATATTTACAGTTGAATCACTTCGTCCTACCTACCTTTAACCATGGCATCCGACGAACCCAGCATCCGGGTCGATTTTGGCACCCCGATCGTCTTCTTCGATTCCCACCCGGACGAGCAGGAGGGTCTTATATACTCCTACTGGTCCGGACTCAAATCCACACTGAAGATCGCATGGACAGGAGAAGTCCCCAAGTTCCACGAGACAGGCGTTCTGCGCATTTACTTCTGGACGCATGATGGCACTCAGGGATTGAAGGACTACGAGCTTCGTGAATACCAGACCGTAAAGGAGGATTGGCAGAAGCTTTTAGATCTGCCGGAAGTTAGGAGAGCGGTTGTCATGGGCTATTCGGGCCAGAACCCATACACGCTGGGCAATAATCCTTGGGTGGAGAAGTTCAAAAGGGACGCGAAGAGGGCTGCGAAGGCGGAAGAGGAGAGGAAGGCTCTCGGGCTGAAGGCGGCGGAGAGGAAGAGAGATAACAATGCTGGGGGAATGATCGACTTCGATGAGCTGATTGAACAGACTGAGCAGGCGGAGTATGAGAAGGAGCTTAAGGAACGGGAGCGGGAGCTGGAACGTTCCGGATCGTCTGAGCATGATCGACTACTCGATGTCTGAGGTGGGAAAGAGTGTGACATGGATTACAAAAACTTGTGCAATGAATCCTCCGATCCAGGCAGATAGCCACTCAATAAGACGAAAGGACAAGCTATGTCTTCTGTGGAGGGCAGAAACAGCAGCAAATAGCTGTTGCTTCTGGGGAAGGAGGACGTGGAGAGTGTTGAAAAGGGCTGGACGCTCGAATATAGAGCTGTAGGCTCGGCAATCTGGGATTTAGATTTGATGTGTTGCTTGTGTGTAATATAACTGCTAGCCGGATGTATTCTTTTCATCCTCGGGGGATCTGGCGAGGAAGTATTGGCACCGAGAGCAGGTGCCTCATATGTACGCAAAAAGCACGCAGGCTTGAGAATAGTCTCAGAACCTCCAGTTGACCGCAGAGACTATCGATGAACGTGAGATTGCGTTCAAATACATCTTCATCCGAGGTTTTCGTAGCTGAATTCCGATCACGTGATCATGAACTGTAAAGTTTCGGACCGTCCACCTTGGCGTCGCTGACATCTTCAGGCATCGCGAGCCAATTCCGGCAAGGACATTGATCAACAACTTACAATATCCATGATGAGCGGTCCGCTACGTAGCAAGCAAGGCTGTTGGACCTGTCGGCTCCGTCGCAAGAAATGTGACGAGAGACGTGACATATGCTTGATCTGTGAATCCCTCAGTATCACATGTTACGGCTATGGTCCCAAGCCAGAATGGATGGATGGTGGAGAAAGAGAAAGAGCTATGGCAAACAACATAAAGCAAATCGTTAAACACACTTCCCGGAAGAAAGGTCGTTTGGGGACAACGCTGTCAAGATTTCGCAAATCTCCCGGGAACGAGGAAAAGGGGGGAGGAACCATTCTAGCTCCTAAATCGGGCAATAAAGTCGCAGACAACGGTTCCGCAGGTAATATGCTGGAGCCTACTGGCTCGGAAACTTCACCTGTAAGTCATTCTTCAAGTCATTCGGTATTGGTGGTCTGATATGAGCAGGCGGCTTCAACGGACGCTGCGACCAAGTCATCTGTATCCGATAGAAATCAGTCTTCTTCGCCCGCAGCTAATCAGGAATGCCCTAACTTTCCACCTGTTGAGATGATTGCTGTCTCAAAAAATGAGACAGTCCTGCTCATGCACTTCCTTGATCATGTATTTCCTTTACAGCATCCAATGTAGTAAGTACTGTTCTTCATCCCATCATCTGGAGCTTGCTTACCGGACAAGCATTGGAAATGACAAATCTGACACCATTTGACTTTGTAGCAAGCCGCAAATTGCAGAAGGTGGCCGTAGTTGGCTTCTTTCTTTACTGTTGCGAACGAAACCGCTGTACCATGCGAGCTTGGCGCTAAGCGCCTACCATAGGGGAAGTATTCTTTTGGCCAGTCAGCGATGTGTTGCTCACCACTCGATGGTGGAACAAGAAAAGCATCTTTCTATATGCTTGGAAGAGTTTCAGGAGGCAATCAAGAACGTTGACCACTGGATTGTGTTCAAAGCTTGTCCCAGGGACAATCTTGGGCTAATGGCGGCTGTCGTGCAGCTCATATACTTCGAGGTTTGATCTATGTCATTATTTTACTTTCGATTGCGCTAATGGAATATTAGCTATTTGCCGGCCACGGAACTGCTTGGAAGATCCACTTACGTGCAGCTACAACGACCACGCTGCAAGGATATTGGAGCCAGTCAACTGAGCTTGGGACACTTGAACCCACCGCAGCCAGCTTGTTCCCGCCTGTATGGGAGGGACAACCAAATGAGAAAGTCACGTCTTTCAAGTTTTTATCTGGGGTAATCATCTGGCTTGATATACTCGATTGCATCACATCTGGGAAGGCACCTAGCCTCCTTCCGCTACATTCACATGCACTTAGTCCTCGTTCACATATCAGGCTGGAAACCATCATTGGGTCAAGTAATTGGGCCATCCTCCAAATTGTAAGTGCTACGACCATGGCCGCTATCTCATTGACGCATTCAAAGCTAATCCGTCGTACCTTGCTCAGGGTCGTATTGCTGCACTGTATGAAAATAAAGTCCAACTACTCCAGACTGGCTGTATGGGAAGTGAAAATGGAAGCACTCCATTCGACCGGAAAGTCGACGACATCAGGCATGAATTACAACGCGGGTTGACCGAGCAAGCTCTTCTTTGTCTCCAAGTACACTCGAAGCCAGCTGCCCCAGCGGACACATCGTTACACAACCAGGCCTGTGTCACACGTCTGTTTGCCCTTGCTGCTTCGATTTACCTGTACTTGGTTGTTCAAGGATCTCGCCAAGAGACGTGCCCTCTGGCAGAAGAAGCGATGATGATTCTTCGAACTCAGATGCCTCGCGACATAATGCACGTCATAATCTTTCCCCGTGAGTGAAATATGCTTCTTGATGTTCTTTCCTTCTTGGGCTGGGGTTGATCACTTTGCCCTGCTGCTTGAAGAATGACTGCTGCAATGCTCGTACAATGGTTAGAAAATCTGTTAAAGACAAACGCTGACACATAACTTACACATAGTATACATTATCGGATATGTCGCAAGTCCAGAAGATCAATCATTCTTCAGATGTGTCTTTTCTGCTACGCCAGTATTGGAACCTTCCCTCGAACATCGAAGCAAGATCCTTCCTCTCCTGGAAGAAGCCTGGCTTGCGAGAGATGATGCCTTCGATGGAGGAGGATGGCAGAGGTGCCTGAAACGACTCTCTGAGAGCAACATTTTGCTATTGTAAGTCTCCAAGGCTGCGTGAGGACGACTCGACAATGTCGGCATTCTGCTTTGTAAAGATAATTTGCAAGTTGGCTTTGTCGAAAGTTCAGCACAAGCCACGACAACTGATGACAAACCACTGGAGGTTTAATTCTCGGACTCATTGTCACTGACAACCTCCGGAATTGTAATGAATTGCGGTTCTGCCTCTGATTGGTCGAGCCGTGCGCTTCTTTGGTTGCGGTCCTCGCGCGGAAAATCTGCGGCAACAGACGTGAAGCGAAGTTCCGAGGACGACTCCGCACCATGTCTGCGCTTCCTCATTCTATTGGCTGTTTGCTGCGGCAAAACAAACAACTTCAAGCCTCTAGTCTGGTAGTCGCAACCACGCTTCCAGATTTGGAGAGAGCAGTTCGATAAGCTTTTCCGTTCATCGTTTGACAATTCGTCTCATTACCTGATCAAGGACGGTGGATACTGTGGTTTACCAAGCATTAAAATTGCGAAAGCTTCAACCATAATTCCGGGCCCATGGACTTTTCGATATAACTCTGGAGAACGCCCGAGGCGTGAAAGTTCGTCAGATCTTCTATCCTTCAGCCACATACTTAAAATCAACTTCAGAATCTTTCCAAGGTCTTATCACTTCTAATCGAGAAATCGCATCTCTCACAGCACAATGAAGACGGTTTTGATTCTTGGTGGTTCTTTCGGGGGCGTGGGTACGGCACACAAGCTTCTCAAACAGGCACCCAAAACAGGAGCGGTCAAGGTCATTCTTGTATCCAAATCAACGCATCTTTACTTCAATCTTGCTACTCCTCGAGCCATCATCCCCGGGCAATTCGCCGACGAAAAATTCTTCCAGGAGCTTGCGCCAGGCTTCAAACAATACGGCAACAAATTTGAATTGATAATTGGTACTGCGGAGAAATTGGATGTTGCAGCTAAGACCGTCGTTGTCTCGGGAGCTGATGGAGAGAAAGTCATCAGCTATGATGATCTAATCCTTGCCACTGGCTCAAGTACGAGAGGAGACGTACCATGGTGAGTTGTGTGCATGCAAACATCTGCCATCGATGGTGGAAATAGGGATGTACAGCAATGTCGCTAATTCATTGTTCCTGGATTTTAGGAAGGCACGCGGATCTTACGAAGCAACACGCGATGCGCTACATGACTTCCAAGCCAAGGTCAAGAAAGCTACGTCGATTGTCGTTGGTGGTGCAGGTCCGACAGGAGTAGAGACGGCTGGAGAGCTGGGATTTGAATATGGGAAAGTTAAGAAGATCACACTGATCGCGAGTGGTGCTCAAGTTCTCGAGGGTACACCACCAAACGTCTCCAAAACGGCGACAAAGCAACTCAAAGCCGTGAATGTTACCATTACACCCTCAACAAAAATCCTAGGCTCCGCCACGACCCCTGATGGCCGTACTGAACTTACCCTCTCGGACGGACAAAAGATCACTACCGATCTCTATTTGCCAACTGCCGGCCTGATCCCTAATTCATCTTATGTGCCTCAGGAATTCCTTAACCAGAACGGCTACGTCGTTGTCGACGAGTTTTTACAGGTCAAAGGCACGAAGAACGTATGGGCTGTGGGGGATATCTCTGCCGTGCAAAGGGCACAAGCGATGCTCACTGGGAAGCAAGCAGAGCACGTGGCCAAGAACATTGGTCTGTCTCACCAAGGAAAGCCTCTGCTTCCCTACAAGAAGGACGAAAAGCGTAAGTGGCTCCTCTCGTCTCGGCTTTCCGGAACTGTATTAACGATTTGGTTTAGTCATTCTTATGGTTCCTGTTGGCAGGAAAGCTGGAACTGGACACATGGGCAATATGAAGTTTCCAAGTTTCTTGGTCAGTATGACCAAAGGAAAGACTTACTTCACGCAAACTCTGGGCCCTCTGGTTGATGGATCTGCCTAGTATTACTACTCTATTTTCTTCTTCTACTGTCTCGAACTTCCTAATATGCAAATATCTTATCTTTGTAGTCATGTGTTGGATGGTGGGACACTCTGTCTGAGCTTTAACATTAGTCCTCGATTACGCAATATACCACATTTCCTTGAATGGTCAGCACTATCATAACCCTTTTCCGAAGACACTCAAACATGAAGTGCAAAGTTTGAGAGAGAGCTAGTTGAACTTTCGTGTCTGTTTCTGCAGAAGAACTTGGATGGTATTACTAGGAAGTCTCGACGACAGGGATTGAGGTCTAATATTGACCCTGATTGCAAGCTTACAATCAACTTGTTCCGTATCAAGTAGTTTACAGCTTGTCATACCACGCTTTTTTTCATGCATTGATATCGGCGCCATGCTTAAGTAGGAGTACAGTTGATGAGTCCGACCGGCTCTTAACAGCAACATGAAGTGCAGTCTCGCCCATAATATCTTGGTAAATGACATCAATAGCAGAATTCAAAAGTGGCTTGGTTACAGCATCATTAACAACCTGAACAGCAGAGAATATTGCTGTCTTCCCTAAAGAATCTTTCACATTGCAATTCGTGCTTTCCAGAAGAAGTTTTACTATGCATTCCAGACCACTCTCAACCGCTACATGCAGCACTGTTAGACCGTTGAAGTCTATTTTACCGAGGTCAGCTCCTCTATCAAGAAGTAGTCGAATCATGGACTCATTTTTATTCAAGACTGCTTTGTGGAGTGCGTCACGGCCTGTGATAACTTCGGGAAATTAGCCTTCAGCGAGAATGGAGGGCCCAACCGAGGGAACGGAGCCATCCTACAGTTCATAAGTCAGTTGCGAAAAGCTCTTGTGGAAAGCTGTCATAAAAAATTTAAAATAAGATAACCAAATTCAAAGTGACATATTCAAGCTGGAACATTGAAGCTGCAATATCGTTCTCTTGAGAGTGTAGAATGATAACCGCACAATCAAGTATAACGGCAAGTATTACCTATGAAACTATATGACGCGAGATCTGAAGCGAAACATACGGACAAAAGATTTACCACTGCTATTAGGAAGGATATAAAGTATTACCAAGCCCTTCGAGAGAGAACAAGCGAAAAAGCTTCAGAGTGATGTCTGCACAGAAATGGATCAAAACGCCACTAATCCCTAAGCGGACAATAAACGCCCCACACCAGCTACCCCGGATTCCATCTCTAGCTTCGAGTTTGAGTCTGCAATCTCACGCAACCACTCCTTAATAGGTTAACAAACAACATCAGACCACCTAATATGTCAGAACCACCAATTCCAACTCCTGATCCAGACCCAGCGAATGCTCCTCTCTTTCGTCCTTCCAAAAAGCGCAAGATCTACCGCCAGCGCGCTCCAGCAGACGACGAATCAGCTCCTCCAACAACCCTCTCTCCACCACCCCAAGCAGCAATCAGAGATGCGGCAGCTATACCCGCAGCCCAAAGCCTCGACGAGCTGATCTCAACTGCCAGTGTTCCCTCTCCTCAAAATGACGAAGCAACAACTGAGAGCGACGCCGTATCCATGGCCGAGATCCTACGCCTACGGAAAAAGCACAAGGCTCGCTCAGGCGTGGAGTTCAAAGCTAGCGGGCACGTAGCTAGGGACGAGGAAGGGGAGTTGATCCTACGGCCTGAAGATGAGAAGGGAGGAGATACGGTAGGACTCAGTAGTGGTGTGCCGAGGAAGTTTGCGCCGCAGACGGGTACCGTAGGGGATGTGAATAGGCATATGTGAGTCTTTCCCTTTTGGTTTCCTATAAATTGGACTCGGATTTGTGTTGTGGCATTGGATTGTGACTGATAGAGGAAGGATGGCTTATATAGATTCGGAATTAGCTAAACGTCGTGCCGCTGACGGCCCGCAAGCTGTAGCAACGGATAAGGATTCGGGAGCAGCTATATCTACATCTACGCCCACAACTGCTGTCTCTGTATCTGTCACTACATTACCCAACCATGCAAGAAATAAGGACCCAACACAGCGCCAACCCGCAACGATCGGCAAACTCCAAGAGATAGATCTCGGCGACGAAGCGCGCAACCGTAATATCGAGCGCACGAACAACGCGCGGAGGAGGATGGACGGCGAGATTGTGGAAGAGCCTGTGCAAGGGGGAAGGAAGAAGAAAGTCAGATTGAATAGGGATGGGACGGTGTGGGTCCCAAGGAAGAGGAGGGGCAGTGAGGATATCAAGCGGGACCAGCTGGTTGAAGCTGTCTTGAGAGAGAATAGATGTACGTTGCCTATCCGCTCGACTCTGTCTAGCATTTCCGCCACCCTATAAATGTCATACATCGGCCATGTGCTAACTATACCATAGTGGAAATCTACGAGGAGCCTGCCCCCGAACCAGAGAGGATCAACGATGATCAAGCAGCGGACGACAGGATCGCAGAGGAGTTCAGGAGGGACTTTTTAGATCAGGTTTCTGCGAGACAGAGGAAGAAGGCGGCACCTGCGCAGCCGGCTGCTAGAGGGCCAGGCGGGAAGAAGGAAGAGGAGCTTATGAAGGGGCCGAAGCTGGGTGGTAGTAGGAGTGCGAGAGCTGCTATGAGGGAAGCGATGTTGAAGGAGAAGAAATGATTACCACTAGTCCTAGAGTCTCAACCAAGCACAAGTGATTGACAGCATCTTACCAAGTGAAGAGCCATTTCAATCACGATAGGGGGTTGGGGAAAATAGAGAATGTCGACTCTGAGTGATCCAATTACACATTTTATGAAGTTCCGACTTCTTATCTTACAAACTCATTCTGCTATCTAATTCTGATAGCTTTTCGCAAACCTCTGGGGTATATCTCATCGTATGGTATCGTATCGGTTTTCTATGAAGTAGAAAGGCGCCAGGCAGCCACCCACGCTCGCTCGCTCTGCCATTCCCAATCCGAAAAGCAAAATTTAAACGCCGCTTGCTATGCTAGGAAAGATGTCGTGTCATTCGTCACCAATTTTGGTACGCCAAGTGGAAAGCAAAAATACCAATCCATATGTCCAAGGAGACATCTTTCAAAAAGACAAAAAGGAGAAAAAGCTCGTAGACTTGAGGTAGATGCTAGATGTCCAGTGGGAACAAGTAGCAAAGCTGTAGCTCATATGGTCTTCAAAAAAAGATCATGCAGTTGTAGTGCGTGCGAATCGGTGTTCACATGCTGCGGACTGTTGCTGGTGGTGAGATTGGGTAGCCGATGGGTGTCGTGCTAGCGTCCAATCGCATTTCCGATTCCACAGGGGAAGGTTCTGGCTGAGGGACTTGGACATGGCAAGGAAGTCTGTCGACGTTGACTTTGTGTTCGGAATCAACAGGCGACGGCTCGGGTTGAGGGACTTTGACTTGGGCAATAAGGCGGCTGAGCTTGACTTTCTTCTCAGACTCATCATCCTCTCCAGGACCAAGGCTCACGTGGTTCGACAAGCGGATGTCTTCTCCGACAGCCAGCACGACAGCTTGAGTACCGGATCTCTTGCTGGAAACTCTTGGACACCGAGGTCTGATCACGCTTTCCACCTCCTCGCGCTCGAACTTCTGAACCACGATCTTCTTGTTGGCCAAGCCCTTGAGTTCCTTCTCGCCATCATGAGCACTGATCCAGACCTTAGCACAGAGCCCTTGAGCGATACGTTGACCACCTGGAAGACCGCTACATATATTCCCTCCAAGGTACCAGACGTTCTGGATGCGATCGAAGCAGTGAAGGAGAGCTGTAAGAGGCAGCGCTTGTTGCTCAATGAGATGGGTTGTAGCGTAGCGTTCGACGGTCTTGTATGTGCAGCCATGTGGTGCGTGAATAACTGACAGTGCTTGATCATCACATGTACTTGAGAAACTTTGTGACTTTGGTGTAGCGGGAGGTGTCATCTCGAAGGAGGGTTCGATATTGTGTGGAGGTCGGTAGGTGATGCCAATGGCTGTATGGACTCGTGTGATATCCGGCTTTTGCGCGAGGCAGGTAACTGTGACTTCGCCTGAGCGGCCATTGGACGACGTGGAAGGAATTGGGATTCGGTAGATGTTTGAAGGCTTGCCAGATCGAGGGTCTTCGAACTTGGGGAGTGTGATAACCTTCTCCGGAGCAAAGTGCTTCCAGCTTCGGATGACTTTGGCAGCGGACGGTTCAGCCAGAATGAGGGTCTTTCCACCACTCCTGGGTAATTGTGTGAGGGTCTCCTTGTGGCAGTGGTCGCTCTTGTCCTGGGATATAACGACGAGATCGATTTCGGAAAGTTGATTCAGGGACGAAATACATGATTCGGCCTTGTGTCTTGAGATCGAGAACTTGGAATGCAAGAACTTTGAAGGGCCGGCCAGCCAGGGATCGAGAACGACAGTGAAGGTGGTTGGTGTCTGGCCAGGTGGAGGAGGGAATGAAGGGACTGGTTGAAAGGTAAGGAGGAACGAGGCATCTGAATTGAGATGCTTGACTGTCAACGACATATTCGCGAATTTATTCATGTGGTGAGGGAGATTGTTGCGTATGTTGATATTGTAGAGACGCTGTAGGTCATAGTCCGCTGAAGTGCAAAAGCAAGCTGAGATCGAATTGAATTGTTGTGTGTAACCCTGGTCGGTGTAGAGGTCGGCGAAAAGAGGGGATCTTCTTTCTTGTACAAGTCCGGAGCTGAGGTTGTTACACTGACCACGTCCTTGTGCTCGTCGGGAGCATGTTCGGGTGGTGCAAGCGCATGGAGTCTCAGTACTTAAAGGATGAGTGTGCGGGGAAAAGAGGGGATGAGTGGAGAATTGTATTCCTGGAAGTCGCCGTGAATGTGAAAAGTGAGTACTGTAGAGGAAGAAAAAGAACGTGAGCGAAAGGTGAGGTCGTACCAGCGAAAGCATGGAAGAAGCGTGGTTGGGTTAGTTGGGATCTCCAGCCGGGGGGTGCGGCACGCACGAGGCAGGTCGACACGATAAACAGAAACACTAGAGTTTATCGGGCCAACCCTCTGTCTTTCAAACACATCAGCTCGATCTGATCTGATCTGATCTTCTGCTTTGTCACTTCCCTTCCTCTTCCCCTCACGGCTGAGAGTGGACGCGAGGCGGATGGGTTGGGCTTCCTTTTCTTTCACTTCGAAGCATCGATATCACTATCAGCGTCAACATCAGCGTCAACATCAGCGTCAACATCAGCGTCAACATCAGCGTCGTCTGCCCATCGAGCACGCACCAAGCCCAGCCCAAGCCCAGGCCTGGTATCCATTTCCTCTCCTCTCCTCTCCTCTGGCCTGGCCTGGCCTGGTTCTCTGCTCTGCCATGGAACTGGAATTGCAAAACGCGAAGCGAAGGAGAGGTTCTTGGACAAGCCGGACCTGCCAGAGCCGGATTCCAGTCAAAACGCCATTCGGCTCTGGATGTCTGTTTCTGTCGTGCCCCATCGAGCCCATGACGTCCGGCACTTCGCTGATCGACTTATGCAGGGGAAGGGAAGGAAGGGCAGCTGCCGTCTCTCAGGGCAGCCGCAGACGAGGGGGCGCAGTAAATTTACTTGGCATGGAGTGAGTGGACTCCAGAGTCGAGAGTCGAGACCCCCCATGCATTCCAATGCGGAAAGGCCGTGGGCAAGGGCAAGGGCAAGGTGAAGCGGGCAGTATTTACCGAAACTTAAACCTCACACTGGCCCTGTCTACCTGTTTGTCAAGAGGAGGAGGATGCTACAGTACTTTCCAAGTTGTACCTCTTCTCTTTCTATGTCCTCACCATTTATCGATGCTCGGACTTGGTTCAAGTTGACCGAGCCTCTTCTACAATCCGAACCCTCGCTGTCACCGCCTTATGTGACCCGTTCATTCCGCATCCTGTGGGGATGATGTTTCTGATGGCGCGGGGGAAATGGCTTGGGGACTTGGTGAGGTCTCAAACGTAAACAGCCAATTCTTGGACTTGGACTGTGCCAGTTTTGGCAGGAGAAGATGTTACGACGACTTTTCTTCGATTGATATGCCGAGTAGAAGCATCAGAGGCGATCAGCTTGTATGGCCTTTCTTTTGGATTTTGTATCTTGGTTTGTTGTGAGGCTTTGGGTTGGAAATCAATTCATTTCTTTGGCCAGGATGCAGACAAGGAAGACAACATCAGAGCGCCGCGCCCAAGTTCACAGGACCGAGCTGAGTCTTGTTCTTGCAACATTTTAACAAACATGTCCTTGGATTCATATTGATTTTTGGCTTGGTCGTGCATTATATCTCCTTTAATAACTTTTGCTATTTCCTTCTTCGTTACTTTCTCGCCTAAAGATCCTCGCAATTTCTCACAGTTTCACCCACCTGCCCACCAACTCCTCTTCCATTCACAAACTCCATAGGGCTAGACATCCCAAGAGCTTCACATTAACCTGAAATTCCATGTCTCAACCAGCACCGGTGCTTCAAACCGACAGCCAAGCCGGCAGCTACCACTCTGTCAGCAATTATTTGAAAGCACCCCGGATCTGGACTATCCGGTTCATGCGGCCACCTTGGGTGTAAGCACAAAACACGAAGAGCCGCACGCACGCACGCCTCACTCAAGAGGATAAGACCGAACCTCGTCTCTTCAACTGAGGGAATCCCTCCAAAATCTCGTCCCATGATACATTGTATTTCTTGTATGCGAGTCACCAATAGGCTGTGAATATCGCATGCAACTACCCAAATTTGCTTCTAACCTCAAAGAAATGGCCGATACGAGTTGACAATATGATATTCTTAGGGTTTTGCCCAAACAATTCCAGAGCAGCATCTGACGGGGCCATCGAGTCTTGAAGGGGCAAAATCCAAGTCGGATGCTTCTTGTCGAAGTACAATTGCGAGACAGACACCGACCTTGTTTAAGGGCCAACACAAGCGGTTTTGCAAAGTCCTTTCCCACAATAACCTCTTCAGCGAGTTTCAATGTCAAGATCGTGAGAATGAGTTTGAGGAAATTGAGAACAGTGATACTTAACAAATTGAGGACGTCAAGGCATGCGCTCATCTCGGAATGGTTATGACTACTGACTCCGAGAGATGTCTCTAAAGAGTTACTTCATATTCGGCTTCTCAGGTAACGTCTATATGCTCGGAAACTGAGAATTACGTGAGTGTACGTTATTTGACAACTGAAAGCTCTGATCTTGGTTGTCACGTTTTTCTTTGGTCAAATAATTGCCTATGGCGAACTCCTTGATGGCTGCTTTAACATGGCTTAGGCGTCCTCGGTTACCAGGCCTTGGTTACCAATGATTCAATAGCTGTAAGACTATTAATGCTTTTCATTTTGGTCTCTTTTGACTATAGACATCGGCCAACCGTGCCTATCGTGCATCCACGCATACCTAAAGCTACCGTATGTACGTGTATGCAAACTCTCAAGTCTCATCCAGGACTGTATCCCTCCCATGCAACCCAAGACTAGACCCTACCCAATTAACAAGCAATCCCAAAAAAAGACAAGAGAAAATTCATGTTGAATGTCAATAGAACGCCAGCCGTAATCCAGTCTCAAAACGCCTCTCTATGATACCCAATCCGTACTCATACCCAAGACCCGTACCCAGAACCGATCCCTATACCTGAAAGGTGCGAGTGAAAGAAAGTAGAATAAGAATGATTATCATCTAATGTCCAATTGGAAAGGCTTAAACCTTCCACCGATGGTAGCACATCTAGGACATTTCCGCCTGGCCCCTTGCTCAGCCATGAGAACGTCTACACAAGCTTGACAGATCCCGCATATGCACTCTGTACAGGCGTATGACTCTTTGAGCAACGAAATACCTTGGCATGCAGCACAGTATATCTGTATGCTTTGAGGAGAGAAACTTGGCGACGAGTCAGAGAGCCCACGGGATTCGATGTGAAAGTTGTCACCGCTCTCTCCGCTTTCAACTGATGGAAAGGGCTCTGGTGCATCAGGAATGTTGGATGGCGGGGTGAGAGCTTGCTGAAGTGGCGATGCTTGATAGCCTTGGTAGTGGTTCGCTGAGAACGGCGGCATTGAAGCTCGATTTACGGACACCGGAGATGGTGGGACCTGGACCTGTGAGCCTGTGCTCGAAATCTTTACAGAAAGACTTACAGGGGTTCGATCGTCGTCAACGTCTTCTGTTGCTGATGTTGCAGCGTCGATGAGATCCTCCCATCGTTTTCCGTATACAGCTGATAATGCACTTGATGGTTCGGCGGAGAAGGCCTTTCGATCGTAGCTCATTCGCCTCAGATGTGCATTCTCTCTTGACTTTTGTCTCCTGTGTTGTGGCTCCCGAGCACGCTTAGATACGGATTGTTTTCGTGGACGGTTTGGACCCGGGTTCCGTTGAATTGGGGGTAAAGTGGACGAACGGCCAGGTGGAGATGTAGATAGAATGGAAGGGAGAAGTTCTCTTCTTCGATGTGCGTTGAGGTGGGAAAAGGGGTCGCTTGTAGGTTCCAAATGGTGGTTCCCATGGAGCGGGGGTAGCTCTATTGAGGATCGCATTGCTTGTTTGTGTGCTTCAGTGTCTGACATCCAGTCCTACATGGTTGTCAATAATCAGGGATTCTTCTGTCTTGAAAAATAGAGTTCACGCACCCCTTCCGACTCCCAATCATTCTCGAGTTTGTGGTTATGTAGCTGTGCAAGAGCTGCCGCGGCACTAGCGGCTGGCAACATATTGCCAGACTGGTATTCGTCCAGGTTTCGGGGCGTGTTTGGGGTACTTGAATCTTCGCCATAATAGCTATGTCGGTCGTTGCCGTAGCCTTTGTCGCTGTTAGCACACTGTCACGATGTGCAGAAGTGGTACACACCATGGGGAGCCAAATTGGAGCTTGTAGGTGGAGGTGGTCGCTCGGATGGCGGGGTATTAATCATGAGCTGGAAGCTCTCCTCGGTCGCAGGCAGCTTAGAAATGTAATGTTCGGGATGCGCTCGTCTTATGTGCTCTTGCATGGAGCGATATCGTTTTTCCTGCGCCCCAAAACCTCCGTTACTATGGTTGTTCAAGACAAAGCGTACAGAGCTTCATGAGGGGTGCAGCAGACACAGCAGAGTAGAGCACTCACGCCGAGGCAACGCTTGCGACAGCTGGAGCCATCCTGGTTGCGCAATGGACAGACAACTTCATTGTTAGCATCCGAAACGGAGAAGGACGACGTCAACGAGGATCGAGGCGGCATCGTCTTCGTGGCTGCGAGCATGCCCAAGTGTGGTGAGGGGGAAGGAGGGGTGGAGAGATTAGATAGTCCTATCGCGACGGGTCGAGAGCTTCAATTGTCGATAACGATAGCTGGGCTGAGCAGAGCTGAGCTGAGCTGAGCTGTGCGTTATCCGGGCGACGATGCAGCAGGAGCTCGACTTGCACTGCGATGAGGTTGTGATGGGTTGTAGACAAGGACGGGAGCAGTGTGGGAAGGAGAGCAACTATTGGGGGGTTGAGCTATTCCTTGGACCATACGCCTGACAATTGGTGTTCCAGATTTGAGTGTAGTAGTGAGTGAATCGAGGGGCAGCGCTGTGTGGTGGGTTTGGGGACTGCGCTCGGCTAAGCTGGAGCTCCAGCGAGGAGGCGAGGGGTGCACAGCGAGAGGGACCAATCGTTGCGCTGGAGAGCTGGAGCTGAGAGCTTAGGTCGTGAGCTTGGAAGTGACAAATTCTGCTCAGAACACCACTTCCTCTGGGCCGCGTCAATACTATTCAGATGTCTTCCTGGAGAGCAAAAAAGCTGCTTTGTTCTGTTCTGCTCTACTCTGGCTCTGCTCGACTCTGGCTCTGCTCGACTCTGGCTCTGCTCGACTCTGGCTCTGCTCGACTCTGGCTCTGCTCGGCCTACCTTGGTGCTAGCTCTAACCCGTGCACGGCTGTGAGACGACTCGTCGGCAGTCAGGCCCTGAGTCGCAATCACAGCAGCGGTGAAAAGGACGGCAATTCGAAGCAAGGCAAGCAAGACTCTGCCTCTGCCTCTGCCTTTCCCAGCTGCTGGTGTGGCCTGGTCTCGTCTTGTTATTAATGCGTTCGCGGACTATGGATCGACCTGTGTTCCTCGTCCAATCTCAAGCTCGGAATTTGTTGATGTGGCCAGTGGGGAACGTCTTCGACGACCAGCTCAGCCCATCAGCGCCCAATCAACCCCACCAGAGAAAAGGTTCAAGGATGGCAGCCCGAATTGCAATCAATGGAGGACAGGTTCAGGATTGCTGGGCTGCGCAAAAAAAAAAAAAGAGAAGGGAACCGCTGGGCCAGCTGCGAGTGAGCTTCCTGAATTGCAGTCATATCCCGTTCTGTTTTTGCGGTCATCGTCGATCTGTCAACTTGATCATCGGGAGAGATATGAATGACATACATCCTCCATGTTGAATACAGCCTCCGGACAGCATTCCCGAGACCTGCACGCCAAAAGCCGACCAAAGTCAGAGATTGGTTCCAAAAGGAGCCATGTTCCGACGAATGGTTCGTGAAGCTCCGGAAATACGGTAGCATGAAATTCAAGCTTCCTTCTGATCGCCACGTGACCCTTCATATTGATGGGGTGCCTACCTACCTACTAGGTAGGTCCCTACCTTCTTGTACTTATAGGTGGATCTTGCTGAGGGCAGATGATGAATATGAATTTGATACTGCACAGGGTGATGAACTTCAAAAACTTAGGAAAATGGTGGTGACAGAAACCTACATTCTTTGAAGATGGCGTTCGCCAACAAACATGTTGGAAACCGTAACGTTTGCAGAGCTTCAATAATTCCGACATGTTGTAATGGACCTGGTAACATATCTAGGGAGTTGACTCGACCACATTCTGACCAGTGTTGTAACGTAGTAGCAAAGTTGAATTATGGGAAGGATTCTGACTGGCAAAGTACTTGAAGGTGCATTTTAAAAATCAAGGATAGGTGCCGAAGAAGGGAGGAGACTATAAAGAGAACGAAATGTAAATTTGGATTCGACAGTCAGAGCCTAGAGTCTAGTTTGATGAAAAAGACTATTGAATTGACAAGGCCATTCTTCTGGACTAGATGAAACGGGAGAGAAGGAGCAGGCAGACGGGACTTTTCGCGCCAGTCACGTGGTTATACAATGTTCTCCTTAAGGTACCAAAGCTCTACGTGAAAGAGAGCTTGAGCTTCCGGCTAGGGCCATATTTGCAGTGCCTCCTAAAAGATAAATCAAATCAGGAAATACCGAATCGAGATATCCCATTCATATAGACGAGATTGCATGAACGTCTTTAAGTAAACCCAAATACATCCAAGTCCAAAGCCTTCTCTCCACGAAATAGCCTCGTCAATCCCCTTGGTCTGTGCGCTCAGCCTTCCGACCTCAACTGGACATCGTGGAACCCCAATTCCAGCCTACATCAAGCCCAACCCAAACCACCTCTCCCAAATCTCCACGCCAGCACATATCAAAGGCAAAACCGCAAAGATGATGTTCTTTGCATTCGGGAATCTGATCTACAGTTCGTACACCACATTTCTATTTTACACTGTTGGAAAAATGCCTTGCGCGGAGGGATATCTGTCAAGAAGATGCTCTGAACACACTGCGCTGCGCATATAACTAATTTTTCCCCTTCTACTATCCACAAATGCTGACTATATGTGCAAATAGTCTCTGTACTCCTCGTGAACGCCATAGCGATCCTTTCAGAAGACCGTTTCCTCGCGCGCGGTAAATAACCCCGATTCCTGCCCACGCAGTTACGCAACCGCAACCCTTTTCGACCTAACGACAAGAGAATTATACAAACCTGTACTGATGAGATAACTAGTGGGATGGTCGAATAGTGTTTCAGAACCGGCGTTTGGGACGGGTAGTGGCGGCGATGCGAGCGTGAAGAGCAAACTGATAAACCTGATGACGAGTGTGCGGACGCTGATGAGGAGTATGATTTCTTCTTCTTTCACCTAGTCCCCTATTTCCTTGCGTGGGTTTTCCTATGTAGAACATGGTTCTAGAAGAGGTGTAGAGAGCCAATTGGAAGAGATGAGATAGGATCCAGTATAGACGGAGAACTGACATTGAGATAGTACCCCTGATATTGATTAACACTGTGATAATCGTATACGAGCTTTTCCTGGGATGAGAAGCTTTGCCGGAAAGAAGGAACGTGGTGGCGACGACGAATCTATGGTCAGGATCCCGCTATGTTTGTTATTGGCGAAGTAAGAGGGAATGAACGGCTAAGAGACTTTTGGCGAGGAGTCACTGAGCCGGCTTTTGCGCGAGGAGATAGAGCGAGGTCATGAAAGGAAGGCATTGGCAAGGCGTTTGGGGGTTGGAATGATTGTCATCTGTATGTGAGTCGTGCTGGCTGGGCTGCGCTGTGGGACTACAGTTGCAGCTTTGAAAACAAACAGAGGCATATCAAGCATATCATAATTGAAAGCAAAATTCTCAAGTCATGCACTACCATTCCTTGGGTCGAGATATTGTTCGAGATATTATTCGAGATATTATTCCACTGAGTAGATTTCTGACTGTAGTATCACGGTAAAAGAGAAGCAGTTACACAGAAGAAATGCCGTCGAATTTCATTACTAGTCATCTCACTCCATTATATCCAGACACAACGCTGCTACGAACTGTGCGAGCGCGTGCTATACAATCCATCATTTCCCCAAATATGCCTTCAATGCCTTCAAACACAATTATAGCTCCAAGAAACTCCCGTTGGATCCCATCGGTATCCAACGCAGACATTACATGCCAAGAATAGTATCTCCCATGTCTTTCAGCACCAATCCAACTCATCCAAAGTAATGTCCATCCATCTTCTCTTTTCTTCAGAAAATGAACCAATTCGCCCACATGATATTTTCAGGGTATTTTAAGTTTCAACAGGTCCGTGCCATATGCTCATCCAAATATACAATTCCGGCGTGCTGCGCTAAACAACATTATTGGTTCAAGTTGCTCTTTTTCTTCCCGAAACCAAAGCTGGTCCTAGTTTTCGATGGTTTCGAATTCTTTTCTGGCGTTGGAGGACCCGATTCTCCATCCACCGCTGTGTATGAGTCGTCACCTGTAGAGGTCCGCTCGCCGCTCTTCCCACCAAGGAAACCAAAACTTTTCCGACTCATGCTCTTGCTCCCCTTGTGGGTTCGACTCAGGCTACCGAGTCCGAATTTATCGTGGCCATTTTCCTTTGGCGGTTCAGAACCACTGGCCGCTGCTTCTTTACGCCTCTTTTCTTCGTCTTCCAAGGCGCTTTGCTTGCTGGCTGCCATGGCCTTCTTGAACTCTTCGGCCTGGACTTTCCTGGCATTTTCCAGGTCTTTCCTTCTTTTTTCTTCGGCTTTTATTCGCTCCTTTTCGGCCGCTTTCTCGGCAACCTTGCGAGCTTTTTCTGCCTCCTTGAGATCTTTCTTCTCGCGTTCCTTGTCTTCTTTCGTCCTGGTCTTTGATGCATCGATGTTTGGAAGTGACGGCGATGCCACTGGGTTAGTCTGAGTCCTGACTGGGACATGGGGCGATATAGGCAGAGGAGCGGTGACGGCATGGTTCAGTGATACAAAGTCCGAGCTATCTTCGACTGGAGTATTCGGGATGGAAACGGCCTTGGATACCGAAGACGGGTGAGTGCCGTTGGGTTGTGGGTGTCCCAGGGCAATGTCAGCCTCAACCGATGCAAGTGCCACCTCGGCCAAACCTTCAGCTTCCTGCTCTTTCCGCATGGCTTCTACGGTCGTTTCTTGGTAAAACAAAACATAGGCACATGCCATTCCAGGCTTGTCGCCAAAGAAGTTCCGTACGTAGTGCTTGTCGACTGGTTCCACCATCTCGTCATCGAATAGTAACCAGCCTCGATCCTGTGTCTTAATGACCGATACGTAGTGGCCATGATAGGCATTTCCACCGATATGGACCACAACGGCGTAGAGCTCGTACAGACGGTCTGGATCCTCGGCATCATCTGTCGTGTTGAACATCCGAAGGTGGTAAGGATAGACGACTCTGTGAAACAACTTCTGTAACCTTGTCATATCCTCCGTGTACTTGAATCTCTTGAGATGCAGAGCCAAAATCTTAGGCAAACGTTTGATTTTCATCCGCTTCTCAGCTTCTTGTAAACCGCCACAATTATCGCAGTGGAACTTGTTCCTTTCGCAAAGCATCTCCTCTGCCGAGAATTTCCGTAAACAAGAAGTGACGGATGAATGTTGTTCCAAGTCGATAGAAAGATCCAAAAAAGTCTCGTCCCTCTGTGACGCCGTTTCGCACGTCAAACATTTGGTCTCTGATGTCAAGACTCCCTCGAAAATTTCGTGTACCCATCCTGTTCCAGGTGATCTTGTGCCACCTCCTAGGCCCATCGCGTATGCTGCTGATGTAACTGCTTCAGTCATAGAGTGAACCAATCCTTCTTCGTTTTTCGGAGATGCAAGTTCTTTTATTCGTTGTGCATTTGCTTCAACGTTTGAAATAACCGCATTCAGGACCAGTCCGTAGAATTCATGTGCATCCTGATGCATTGATGTCCGAAACATCTCATTGTCGCGCTTGAAGATCTCCAGAAATCTCTGAGGGCTCAGAACACCAGTCCGGGAGTTATTTGCAATCAGAGCCATGAAAATGTCCTTCAGCGCTGTGAAAGTCGATTCTTCCATGCCGTAAGAACTCGCATTTTCGTACGTAAGCTCCAAAATAGGCCCTGCAAGCATGGCATGCTTCTTCTTATATTCCGGAGAATCTGGCTTATCTTCTGGCCGCTGTCCGGGGCTCGCAGGCACTGGTTGTCCTGCATTTATCGCTGCCCTCCGCTTCATGGCTTCCGCCGCCGTCAGACCCTTTGGCTTGTTGGCAGGCGAAACAGCACCCCCATTTTGTATCGCTGCCCTTACTGGAGTAACAATTTTTGCATGTCCGTTCGGTGTATCTAGTGGCGAATGGGGAGGATATCGTACGACGTGTTCCCTGAACGGTACTGAGTAGTATAAGGCTTGAACTATAGAATTGCAATAACTAAGAACCATTAGTTTCTAAGCGCCAACAAATCTGCCTTTTGACTCTGACCATGTATTTCCAAACTGTTTTGATGTTAGTATATATTCAATAAGGGTTCGCATCCAGAACATACATTCTCTAATCCAAAGAACTTGTCACTTCCATCATTACGAATAGGTCCTGCATGCTGCAGCATCTTGACCAGAGGTGTAATTTCTGGTTCTGGTTCGACATCTTTCTTGTTCTTGTAGGAAGTGGACGTTACGCCTGGACTCGGGGCTCCCTAGAAAGCGCCAGCATTAGTTAAAATCTTCAAGGCTTGCGCTGCGTAGATCAGAAGCCATTGTAAGGTCTATAACCCAAGGATAGACAGAAACAGTGACAAGGATAGGTACTGACAGATGTCCCCTTGAGCTTGCTGAATAGGCCAGCCATCTTGTCGTAGGTAGGTTAGTTGTCCGTGAGGTGGGATGTGCTCTGCCTCGCAGTGCCGCAAGGCGGCGACGCAATTAAGGATGACGGTGGGTTATATTGTGCACATTCGCTAGATGTCGTCGAGTCTAATGCACTTAGGTGTCTGAAGCCTCATCCGCAGATTTACCCAGTCGAAGATAAGATACAATCTCGACGGGGTCTCGTCGTCCTCAGTACGCACTGGTGCGGCGTAGCGCGGGGTGGGGGAAGCCTCGTGTCCAAGTGGAAGCCTTTCCGTGGCGACTCGAGTGATTTTCCCAATAACTCTGAAGTTCAGTTGATCGATTGATGTTTGCAGAAGATCAGTGAGATAGAAGAAGGACTAGGAAATGCTTGGAGTCGAGAGAATGCGGGAGGAGGTTATGCGGGTTGGGGCGCGGCTCGAGACTTGTGTGGTTGCTTGCCTGCTTGCTTGCGCAGCGGACTTGACCCTGCACTGCACTGCACTTGGGGCGGCGTCGGGTCTGGTGGTGGAGTGGAGGGACCTTGACCCAGTCTGGACGTTTTTCCTTGCCAACTGCAGAAACTGGGGCGTTTTGAGGGGGTCCGAAGAATGGAATGGAATAATGGGGTCCACGCCAGCTGCGGAGACAGGACGGATGGGCGCAGTCCAAGTAGAAGTTGAGGTTGAAGTTGAAATTGAAGTTGAAATTGAAGTTGAAGTGTAAGTGTTGCATTGGAAGAAGTCGAGCTTTCTCGTCCTGTCCCAGTCTCGGGTTCTCAGATTTAGGGAGTTTCACTCTGGCCCGCCCCGGATTTCCATGCCTGCCCTAAGGTAAGGAAGGTAGAGAATGGAAGCTGGACAGAACGTTGGTCACAGTCACAGGTCGGCTACCTACCTATCTTCCAGACAATCAGAGCATCCCACATACAATACAAGACAATATGTACTGCAGATTTGATGGTTATCGTGGCAGACGATTCCCCTCTGACCTGTCAGATCATAGGTGGAAATAAAAAGGAAAAAGAAAGCGATGCAGCATCGTCCTATCGTCTCTTCGTGTACTAGTTAGTACCTTACCTGCTACCGAGCCCTCCCCTGGATGCCACCAAAAAGGCAAGGTACATACATGTAAATGTAAACACGCAGAGCAAGCAAAGATCAGGTAACCATACAGATCATCATCCTCGCGCCGACATCTCTGTCCCAGTCCCAGTCCCAGTCCCAGCAAGAGGTATCTGCAGATGCCTGTCTAGTGACCTGTCAAGCATGAAAGGACAAAGGCAAAACATCCCAACTTGCAAATCTTCCCACTAGACTTTCTCCAACGGTCCTCCATCGTCAACCCATCCATCAACCCTCCCTCGCCTCCCCGCCATGCCGCCATCCCAATTTACCCTGCCAATAATCGATAGCAGACCCTGCCAATCACGCCCCACGCCCGCCGCCTGCAAAAGATTTACTGCTTGACCTGCGCCTCACGAATGAGCTGATGCTATGATCCAAAGATGGATGGGCTTAATTGGCAGGGGGCCCATCGTCAAAGACGAGGTTCAGGTCATGCAGCGAGCGATTCAGGCTCACGAGCGTGCGTCCCAGAGCCAGTCCCCGTCCCCGTAACCACGAACGGTGCTCCTTGGGCCAAAGTGTGGGGTAGAAAGTGAGTGCGCCGTTGGTTTTCTGGGATGGCCAGGCCAGGCCTGCAGCCCATCGCGACTGCTGCAGGCTACTGTATAGCCGCTGTGATATTGCCTGCCATATCCAGATATGATATGAAATGACCCTGTTCTTTCTGCCGTTGGGACTCTTCATTATTGCCTTTTCCCAACGCAGGACTTGCGAGCATGTACCTCCTACAGTAGTTAACAAGCCGACCAGGTCGACAATTCGACAGTTCGACTCGAACGTTTCTCGCTCCCTACTATGACGAAAGTTGCTGCAGAGACGGGAAGCCAAGCAGATATTACCCTATCAAGAGAGTAGCTCTGGCTGCAGCTTCAGGAAGGCTGCATCTTCGGTCCGTGAAGGCCTTGACGAACGAAGTCATGGACGAGAACAGAAGAATATTGGCCGGTGACGGCGGTGGAAAAGCGACTCGGTCAACATACCGAATCCGACAAGGGGCCCGTGGCTATGACTCCACTCTCTCGATCGATGCTGAGATGCTCCCACATGATTTGCATCGGATCAGACAGGCCTCGTTTCCGAACCATCACCTGCTTCGATGTTGGTGCTGGGGACTCTACTGTAGTACTGTTATTCTACACGAGGTGGCCATCTCGCCGTTAGCTGGATCTGCCTTCCGTAGCTAGCACCAATTGAAGGACCTTCCAGAATGTCCCCTCCATGCATGAATTCGAGGCTTCGGTGGGATGACGCCGAACCAAGTCTGAATAGACTATGATCAGCACATCGAACCAAGACCCGTTCTTGACAATGCTCAACGAATCACAGCTCGCGAATAATCGCTCATGCAATTTTTCCAGATCCCGTAGTTGTTGGATCTAGGAAAAATGTGCATATCTTTTCCACGGTGAGCTCTCACTACCTATCGCCTGGTTAAAGGCGACAATCACCCCACTTCTGGCGCTCGGGACTAATCCTCCGGAACCGATGGCTTGGGACCACACAGCCTTTTCCAATGCAAAAACGAGAACTTGAGAACGTTGAAGCTGGGACGCTTCTACACAGCCTAGATAGTCAACTGGTCTTACGACACATACACTGATTTTCCTTATCGGACTTCTTGGTGATTCATGACCGCAGTGGACTATGACAGGAGTAATACATTTAAACCACGTGGCCGACACGAAACCGCCCGACGAGACTTCCAACATCCTGGCTCTCGGATCCGCCTGTAGAAGCTAGCTGCTAGGACCTGTGGGGTAAAATAAGTAATTGGAGCTACAGGATTTGCATACACCGGAGACTTTTTGACAGCCATTGAATTCTGATCAGTTTTAGGGCTTCTAGCCGAACCTGAGCATGTAGCTTGGAGTAGGAATGGAAGCGGAGTGTCTCCGATAAACAACATGGATCTTCTGCTCTTCTCGAAACTTGGCAAAGCCAGGGTAGGACCAGATGCTGTTCAGGCCATGAAGTTTCTCAAGCGAGGGCAGCCTCTGATGCATGCATTGCTCACCAACAAGGATGCATACGAATCATCCGAACTGAGTACTTCGGAACAATGTCTTGCGGGTAATGCTCTCGCATCTCTTGTTGTCGAAGTGCCGTCCCTCGCTTATTTTTGGCGCAAACCCCCTTTTTCGTTTAAGCGAATAACAGTCTGGTTAGCTGGTGAGTGACTGATAGATTGATAGACTGGCTGACTGGCCGATTGACTGACTGACTGACTGACTGATGACTGACTGAGGTGCGATCTGCAACAAAGTTCGGAGGTACAATTTCGGCCAATGAGATGAGACCTTCAAACTGCGATTCGTCCTAGACGCAGTGGGGTCTTTGAACAAAATAGAAGGGCTTCTTCATGGCCTTGGACCCCCAGCATTTCATTCGCAGATTTCCTATCATCGCGTTCCAGCTTGAAAACTTTAGCACGCCAGCATCCTGTAGCAATGAGATCTCAAAGCCTGTTCGTCACCACTTAATGTCAGTGGTCTCACTCACTCAACCTCACGGCAATTGAATATCAACGAATCCAGTCAGTCTAGCAAGAACGCCTCGCGATCTATCCATCTAAAGTACATCGTGCAACAATCAAACACAAATGCTCCAAATATGTCATACAAGAAACATGAAACTCTTTCGATGCCCAAATTGCTCTAAACTTTCAATCGCTTGCTCGCTCGCTTACTCTTTGCACACTCTGGCGACCTCTATACGTCGTTTCAAGAGGTTTATTGATACACCGCTTCTTTCTCGCTGTTGGCTTTACAGCTTCTCATACCCCCCTCTATGTAATGCTCTCAATCTCTTGGTAGCAAACGCCGCACCGACGGTGCTAATGGCACCAATGAACAAGCAAACCGCAATCGCGTTCGGGCCATCCGTGCTGTGGTGCTCGCTGGGATCCGCATCATGCGCCAACTCCGGACTCTTGCCCGGCTCTAGAATGCTGAAGACAATCATGCTGATGAACGTACTGATGAATTGTGGTATCACAGCGTATATGTTGAGAATGCCGAAGTAAAGACCTGAGAGCTCACCAGAAGAAGCTGCGTCGGGTGAGGAGCCGCCTTTCTCTAAGGCGGCGAGTTCGATAGGTGAGGATGACGAGAGGCGTCGTGAGGGACTGTTGCTCAGGCGGTTGACTTCGATTCCCATGAATGTGTTAGGTGCCCAGGAAGCAAATACCCAAGGTACTCCGCATAAAGTGACGAGAAAAGTAGCGAAGCGGAAGGAGTGTGCCATTGGGGCGAGGATCATGGCGCTGCTGAAGAGGAGGTGGCCGTAGATCCAAGCTGTGAGAAGATCTGGCTTGTATTTGTTGACTTTTGTGACGACATTTGCAATAGCTGCTGGAGGTCTGGCAGTGAAGGACTCTTCATCGGGCGACTTGACGAATAGTGGAATGACAAGTGCCCCTATGAATGTGACGAGGGAGAAAAGCACAAGTGAGAAGCTGCCTATCCGGCCAATCTCTCCAAGGGCGTCTTTGGACTGTTTGAAGTCCCGCGGAGCATCATATCTGAAGTATATCTCGCCAACAAAGGTCGTGCTGTAGAACATGAATGGGAACCATCCAATTCCAGACCACAGCTGGATGTTGCATATGGCTTGGATCCGAGGGGGTAGGGTGGTCGCTGCTTTGAAGATATGGCTGACAATTTGAGTCAAACCTTTGGACGGGGCATGGTCGTCTCTTCCTGATACCAAGACTTTCTCCGTGACAGCCCATGATGTGACAGCAACTGTGAATACCAATGCAAATGCAGCTAGCAATATCAGCTTCTTGAATTGGGTATCTCCGTATGAAGGACCAAAAATCCCAACAAGGTCAACGGTTCCAATTATATAGCCTACGAGATGGCCAATAGCAACCATTCTGCTGGCCTTGTTCTGTTAGCCTTATACTCCCACAAAGTCTGGCAAGGAGTCGTACCCAAGCACTCCCTGCTTGCTGTTTTGGAGCAGGAAGTGTGTCTGCAATCAAACTCCTGCAACTCCCTTGAACAGCATTGATAGCAAAGTCAATCGCATAAATCGAGAAAACAGCCAATGTGACTGTACACTCCTTTCTGAAGTCCCCTTCCTTCACAAAATGTGCCACGATCTCCTTCGTCCACCCCAATACCATCAGACAAGCCCCTACTACAAATGACCCTACGACCATGAACGGTCTCCGTCTGCCATATTTCGATTTCGACTGATCTGCTATCACCCCCACGATGGGTTGCATTATCAACCCGGAAATCGGTCCTGCGATCCAGACGAGGGAGGTTTTCGACTTTGTGAGCCCAAGGGAGAGAAGGTATGGTGTGCAATCTGGGGTTCCAATTAGTACTGCTCTTTAAACAGGAGATATCCTATGAATTCTTACAAGTCATTTCAATACCCCAAGTAAATCTAGACAGCATCATCAGCAAATCCCCTTGCCAATTGACAGCGGTCACCTACTGTAATCCAACGAGCGAGAAGGTTAACAGGGCCATCCGCATCGTCTCCGTAGAGCCCTTGACGGAAGGTCGGCCCTGCCATGTTGACATCTTCTCCCGTAGATCTGTTATGGCACCTATCCTTCTGTGTCCTGCCTCGCGCGTGCTCTTGATTCTGTTGACTTGTGCTACAGCCCTGTCCTCAGCCTTATCACCTCGCGTCGCAGAATGGCAAGAAACTGTTGAGCATTTGTATTAGCCTTGAATTAATTGAAGTTTCAAACTGAAATATGCACGTACAATCGAAATTGAAAGGTTCGCATCTCAGTGAGTAGAGAGAATGATCTAGCTGGATTGTTGAAGGTGGCCTTGGTTGGGGATCACTTCCAAGGGGTTGTAGAGGCTCGGCATCTGGACAGGTTTCTGGACGGGATTCGTTGGTGACGAGTTCGCAGGGCTGAGAGACGACGATCCCTGAACTAAAGTAGCAACTTAGCACGAGACTAGATAAAGAATTGTTAATGAATTGCAATGCAATGTAATGCAATAAAATTTGTTTGATTGAAAAATCTCTGGGTATCTAGTAGAGTAATCACTTCGTGATGCTTAGTTTTTACATTTGCTCCATCTTCTGCTCCAATTCCTTGACCCAGCCCTCAACAGCTTTCATATTCCCATTCATCGTAGTTTCCCCTTGCTTCAATGCTTCCTCGACTTTCTCAAGCCCTTCCCTCCATTTCTTGATGTCCGCCGCCATTTCAGTCTGCTGCGTTTCTACTCTGTGTAGATTATCGCTAGCTGTAGCAGCATCTGTATGGATCGCTCTCAGAGAGCGTAACCGATCCAACAGCGATGGGAGAAGAGGTGCCAAGTTCTCTATAGTTGACAATGTACCATATAGAGCGTTGATTTTAGCCACCTGTTCCGAATCTTCGCCATCTTCAGAAGTAACGTCTCCACCTGCTGCCCTCAATGCATCCTGAGCGACCTTTGCCGCTTTTCGTGAGTCTTCCATCCTCTCGGCCTCCTGTGTCAGAGCTCTAACCCTCCGACTGATACTATCCAGTGATGACGGCGTAGATTCTGAGATAACAGAGATTTGACGTTGCAGCGTGTCGAGAGTTGGCAGTATAGGCCTCGGTACTCCATTCGCTGTCGAAGACGGTAATTCTGCAGCACTTATTCCAAGAGCCTTCTCGATTAATGCCAATCTCCCGTCGAAATCTGCTGCTTTGGCAAGAGCATGGCTCTGCTGATACGTTGGCGCATATGTGATTGTGTAGGTAGCAGAATCGCCATTGGCTTGTGATGTTTGCGGCGGACCATTGGCCTTGATACCTGTCCCCAAGTCCTTTGCGAACTTCGCGCCTGCATTCGTGCTGCCTGTTCCTTTCTGGAGTGACATGCCTTCCAGCATTCTGTTCAGATCTGTCACATCCTGGCCGAAATCAATGGTTTCATCTGCACCCGTGTCCTCTGTTACAGCTTGCCTCCTTCCGTATTCCTCCTTCACCTCCTCGATTTCTCTTTTTAACCTTGCCAGCTTCCTCTCTAAGCTCTCTCCATCCTCGTCATCACTGAAGTCACCATATTCTTCAGTACCATCCTGTCGTTTCCGCTGTCTTCTGGTGGAAGCTTTGTAGGATTTCCGCTTTGCAGTAACTCGATCGGAGAAATCTACATCACGAGCATCGATTTGTGCGGGAGAGAAAAGCGTACGGGCCTCGTCGGGATGAAGACGCGAGCGGGAGATTCCAGGGGCGTCATTCTCTTCGTCATCAAAGTCTTTGTATGATGAAGATGTGGAATCAGATCGTGCTCTGCCCGTCTGTCCTGTGTAAGTATCTGCTTAGAGGGGCAAAGGAGTCCACATACTGGAGCTGTGGAGTTGTCATCGGTCAGCTCAGGAGTTTCATAGATATCCGGCGCAGAGTCCTTTGGCACGTTGTTAGCATAATTTTTCCTGCATATTTCAAGCTACACACCAGATCCGGAAGTGCTGCATATTTTCTGTTCAACGCCATCTTCGTCGCTAAGTGCTGAACGGGGAGATGTTGACCTGAAGTTACGAGGACAATTGCGTCCCATACGGTTCGCTCAGGAACCAAACTGCTCGGCACAGGAGCTTGGACCATTCGACGTTCCAGCCTCGCGATTCAGTATCGACTTCATGTAGCCATTTCAAAGGTACCGTGCTGATTGTTCCGGATTTGTTCACGTTCGAATTAAAATTGAGACCTTATTTGATGGTTATTCAGACTGCCGCATACCGCAGCACAATACCAATCCGGCCGAATATCAACAACACCGAGACTGCCCCACTGCAGCAGTGCTTCGGGAATGTCCATTTCTTGACGCGACGACGCGTTCTTTCTCAATGACAATACCGACAGGTAAACTTCACCTTGAATCTACCCAGCAACGGCGTGTTGGGTTGACTCGCAGTGGTTATACACACGCTCCTCTGTTGCAAAGTATCAATGCTGCAAATGCTTCAACAAACAACTCTCCAGCTCCGATGGCTCCCAAAACTGCTGCAAAATGGCCCACGGAAGAAATGAAGAAAGCACCTACGGAGGAGGAGCGGGAGGATACATTTCGTGAGCCAGAAAGTTCTTCTGATGATGGAAAAGACGACATAATAGAAGGCCAATATATACGTGGATCTGCCAACTTAGGGGACTCAATATCAAACAGCAAGTCAACTCCACCGAGGACACAATATGTAGCCGCCAAAAAAGCAACAGAAACAGATCGTTCATTTGGCACTCGGAAGGAAACCAGGGGCAGCAAGTTACCCTCGAGCTCCAGCAGTTCTTCGATTGGCTCAAACGGCAGTACAAAGAGGAATGGTGTTGAGCAAATCTACAAGCTTGAGGAATGGAAAACGGACGATTTCGGATCTGTGCGGCGTAGAAAGAAAGTAAAGACAAAATACGGCTCAAAATCACAGGTCAAGATTCTTGTATCAAAGAAGAAACCAAAAGGTGCTAGTCCAGTGTTTTCCCTTCATACAAATGGTGCTAATGACGAAAAGATAAGTTCAAGGTTTATGGCCAGATGAAAGACAGCCCGCTGAAGTCGGAAACATCAAAGCACCTCAAAGTTGTCTCCGACATTGAAACGTCCCCGGAATCTACTCCCAAACGAAGGAAATACAAGCCCTCCTCTGATGTAGACAGTCCGAGACCAACAAAAACCGAGCAAAAATCGTTGAAGATTTATGATATGGACGATCTCAGCGACTCAGACGAGGGTTCAGCTGAACGAGCTACGAAAAAGCTTCGTATACCTCAACTGCATGAATCCCCCGCGAAGCAAAAAGAAGGACTTAAGGATTACGCGATCGGCTTGGAACCTGACTTGATCTCAAAAGCAAAATCACTTATAGACAAAGACCAAGATGAGCTGGATCCAGGATCACAAAGTATGGAAGATTATGACTTTTCTACCATGACACAGCAAGCACGTTGCCCAATGTGCGGCGCAACTGTTGATCCCGAGGATATCAGGGCATACAGCAAGAATGGCGTCATGAACATCCGAACCCAAGAGAAATTCTGTAGGGAACACAAGACCAGAACTGCCCAGGATGATTGGGAAATCAAGAGTTATCCAACCATCGACTGGGATAGCCTAGATTCTCGGATTTCGAAGCATCATGCGTTCATCAAGAAATTGATCAATGGGCAACATTCGTACTACAGGGAGCTCATGGACGACACTGTCCTTGGCGGGAAAGATCGAAACCTCATGAAAATGACGTCCAATTTGACACCTGGATACTATGGGGCCCGTGGTTTGCGGATTTTCTCAGAGAATATTATGCGCAAGTTCACTCCGCTTTTAAAGGAGAGGTTACCACATGATCCAGTGATGTCTGCGAGAGGTTTTACAGCCTATGTACAGTCTGTTTTGGTCCCAGAAGTTGTCGTACGACTGATCATGGAGGATATGGATGTTGATGTCGAGAAGGGCAGAGAGATACTTGCTGATAGTGTAAATGTCGGAGAACTCCTCAGCGAGGAGATCAAAGATGTGGTGACGAAAAGGGTAGTTGACAGTGAGGGTGAAGACGAATCGGATTAAGCATTTTCACTGGCGCTGGAACACTGGCTGGAGTTATAGGCACATCTGGATGGAGTCCTTGTGTGACAGGCAGTATTTTTTGTACAAAATCGGATAGACCTTGTGTCGACAAGAGCAATTGATAGCTCTATTCTGCCTTTCTAGGTTTTCCCCCTTTCCTTATGTGTCAGAATTTCAATATTACACTGACAGCGAGCTGCCCCAGTCGCGCCTGCATAGGATGAAGCACTTGCGGTATGGTCAGTTGCGCGATGGATCTGATTCCATGGTCTTCCTATTCCGTGATAGAACCCCAGCTGAAGTTTTAGATCCTTCTTGGCAATATTTGCGTGCTCGGCAGGGCTGATTCAGGCTGGGCAGACCAGTAAATCCTCTGGAAATAGTAGCCAAGTCGCTGTCCATCAAATAGGAATAGCAGAGCGCGCAACTGCATATTCTCGACCCGCGATTTGTCTTGATGTTACTTAAGTGGCTTGATTTGAATGCATTCCTAGCTGTCCGTATAACTCATTAGCAGAGCCTTTCACTCCGCTTTTGACTACCAACAAGTCATCAAATGTTTAAGGTGCCGGCAATAATGAAGACTCCTTTTGAGAGCACTTCTTTGGTTTCTGGACAAGTCATACCGCCTGTCAAACGTGGTCATCGACTATGGCGCAAATCACTTCTCACTTGCGTATTTCTGGCAGCCATTATTCTGATCGTCAATCTCAGCCTCGTGGGTTGGGCAAGCCATCTTGAAATGACAGAAGATGGGAGCTACATTGCTATGCGAGGAAGCTGCAACAATGTCAGCAAAGCTAGTTTGTCCTCACACTTGGTCATTAACATCCTCTCCACTCTGCTGCTCGGCGCCTCAAATTACTGCATGCAAATCGCCATTGCCCCTTCAAGGAACGACCTCGATGAAGCTCATAGCAAAGGCCGCTGGTTTGATATTGGTGTTCCGTCGATCCGAAATCTTCGATGTGTTTCCAAATGGCGAAAGCTAGTTTGGATACTACTATGTCTCAGCTCACTTCCGCTGCATCTGTTCTACAACAGTATCGTGTTTACCAGCCAAGTCACCACCGAATACATTGTGTCTGAGCTGGACGGATCTTTCCTCTTCACAAGGGCTGACACTAATCTCACCAACCTTTCCATTTCAAACGCCGAAGGAGCTCGCCCAGGGCTCGATAGATCCAGGGTAGAAGATATCTTCGGCCGGATGTTGACCGAATCAGCAACTCAATGGGACAATTTGAGCTCGGCAGATTGTGCCCATCTGTACACGAACACTATGATGACTACCCACCGCACCTTGGTACTTGTGGCTCCAACTTCAACAGACTACGACAGACTGCCCGGTAAGTGGCGTCTGACTGGAAACTATGTCTGGATGTGTGATCAGCCAGGGAAGAAATATCACGAAAAAGACAAAAACGATGCAAATGGAGTAGCTGAAAATATATGTCGTCCGTCCAAAGCGAAGTTCGGACTGCGAGACAGTTCAATCCCACCAGCAGAAACAGAGTACTGCCTCGCGGAGCCATTCTTAGAAGACTGCAAACTTGAAATTAGTGTGACCATTCTGGCTGTGGTGATTGTTGCAAACGCAGTCAAAGTAGCCGCTATGATTACGCTATTTTTCCAAGTCGGAAAGCCATCCCTGATCACAATTGGAGACGCCATTGCCTCTTTCCTCGAACGGCATGATGGCCATACTCGAAACCTCAGCACACGCGACTTTTCTTTCTTCAAGAAGCCTTGGCCAGCGCTCGATCAACGATGTCCGGTCCCATGGTCTAGACGCCACCACCGACGCAAGGATGCAATCAGCACTCGTCGCTTCATAAATTCCTACGCCCTATTCACACTCGCTATTTGTATCGTTATTCTCCTCCTCACAATGGCACTGCGAGCCGACGCCGCTCGTGGAACACCGATCTTCACAAGCCTACTTTCCAAAAATCATTTTGCGATTATCGGCTTCGAGTCTCTCGCCGGAGCCTCCCTCCTAGATATCGTCCTGCTAGTCAACACACCCCAACTGATTGTCTCAATGTTATACTTCCTCTTCAACTCAATGATCACAGCATACGTCCAAGCTGCAGAATGGAACGCTATCTCTCGAGCACCTCAAAAGCTCCGCGTCAGTAAGCCCATTGGGTCGCAAGTCTCAACGTACTGGCTCTCTCTTCCTCCTGTTTACGGAGTTCCAATGTTGATATTCAGTGCTATGCTGCACTGGCTCATTTCACAGGCTATCTTCCTCTCTAAGATCGAGTTCCAGGACTTCAATGGTGGGCGAAGCGAGAGATTCGGTGGCGCGGGGTATGGAAATATGTATGGAGACCATCCAGGCAAGATGTTGGCCGCGGGATACTCATCGTTAGGCATACTGTTGGCGTTGATACTAGGCGCAGTGGGAATTTTGGCGCTGACTGCAGTTGGATGCCTAAGGTTGAAAGGGGACATGGTCCTCGTGGGGAGCTGCTCAGCAGCAATTGCTGCTAGCTGTCGGGAGGTGGGGTATGGGGTGGATTATGCAGAGTCTATTTGGACGAGTGAGATATCATGGGGCGAGCTCGACCACCATAGACTGAAGATGCTGGGGTTCAGCAGCGACGGACACCTCAGGCCTCCACGGAATGGTCAGGAGTATTCGTGACCAGCATTTATGAGTAACTTTACACATCTTCATGGCAGTATCTTACGTGTGAATGCTTCACAGGTGGCTCAGTTATTCATTCCAGAGTCCTAGAAGTCTAGCCTCAATCCTCCACAAGAGCCATGCAGCATTCCCTGAACCCAAATAAGAGGACGAATGTCCAGTCGCCTATGAAATCGAACGCAACACTGTACTCGGAACTTGTCTTCTTCAAATGTCTATAGTCGGAGATGACCTGTATATAGATGTGTAGCTGAGACGAAACACGACGCTCTCCCAGATTTCTCGCTTAGCAGCGGGAAATCAAAACACGGCATTCGAGCCCCTGAGCCTTCCGCATCACAGAGATTCCTCAGCCCCAAAATAATTACAGAAGTCTCACACCAGCTCAGTATGGGATATACTAGATCAAAGCTTCACAAAAGTGACTAGAACTTCATTCAGTCCTCCGCCAACTTCTGTTGGGACGCGAGGAAGTATGCTTCACTATCCGCTGGGCTGCTGCCAGGGTTGACTTGCGCACGTGATCGCGCTGAGACCGCTGAAAACAAAGCCCATTGGAAGCCTGAAGCGAAATGTCAACCCTAGCAACAGCCCAGCTGATAGGGCTCCCATTTATACCTGATCGATCTGTGTCGCATCTTGACGAAACATTACTTGTCGTTCACAATTGCGATAACAGCTGCTTCTCATGATGACACATAAGTGAGAGTGTCTTTGATTGTCTAGATTCCTACACGCTTATCCATACGTGCTATCCAAGTCGCCCACCCGAAAGTCCTAGGAAAGCAGACCTACAAGAAACTTAACCTAACTTCATATCTCTTCTACGGCAAAAGTCCCAGAAGAAATCATCCAAATAAAGCTCCTACGAATAGATCATATAATCCCACAACTCATTCGAAAACCTCCTCTTTATGTCCTCCAGCCCCCAGCCCTGCCCCTCTCCAATCTCTTTCAACGTCTCCCTGAACAGCGGAATAGCATCCTTGTACGCATCCTCCTTCAAATATTGCCTCGCCGGCTTGCCCCGCATATTAATACTCTCCCACTCCTTCGCCCAATGCGGGCGGACATTCAGCAGCACACCATGAGCATCGCGGTACGACATCCATAGATCTGCAACCCGTTGCAGGAAAGGGATCCATTCGTTGTCGGTGACAGCGTCGGGGATGCTGATGACTTCGATGGAGGCAGTACCGAAGGTGTTACCGTTTTGGGGCGCCATGATGATGTTGGAGTCGCCCATGATGCGGAGTTCAAGAGTGAGACGCATGGGGGTGTCGTCATCTTCGTAGCAAAGGTTGATAATGTCCCACCAGGCGCGTTGCACGATACTGTAGTCTGGCTGGGTTGGGTCGGAGGCGAGGGCAGGGATGGGGATTTGGAACTCCATGTCGCGGACGATGGAGTTTTGGATCTGTTCTTGAGGTCAGTACTGAATACTTTTCCACTACTGAACTGGTCTGCTGAATGATGTGATAGAAATAAAGAAAGGAAGGAAAACTCACTCCACGTCTGAAATGCAACGCATTCGGCATACTCGTCTTAATCGTCTCCGTCTTTCCCTGCGCAAACCCAACAAATTCAAACGGTGGCAAAGCAACCATACCAAACGTCGACAGAATCGCCGCCTGCCATCTACCAGGGATTGCCTGGAAGATAGGATTCTCCGTAATAACACCTCCCAGCCAGCCTTCAATCCACTGAACGAACGTCATGAATGGGCTAGGATACTCTACCGCACCTTCTTTCTCATCCGTGGCATTCCACGTATTGACCCACGCCTGCTGCGAGCGCGTGAACCAGAACCACTCGCTATAGTAGTCCTCTTGGGCACGCTTCTTGAACTCTACTAAGGCGGCGGCGTACTGAGCGTCTGTGAAAGTTTTGCGGAGCGCAATGGGGATATCGTTGCGGGAGAGAGGTGGAATGGCGAGCCCAATGTCGGGTTTGTAGGGCTCCATGATAGCATAACTCATCTTGTCCAAGGCAAAAGTGATGTGTGTTACTATGCCCAAAAGACCAAAACATCCCGCTGCGGCTTTCAAGTGTGCTGGATCGGAGATGGTGCGGTGCTCGCCGTTGGCATCGACATATTCAACAGCTCGGACGTAGTCGTTGATGGTTTGATGGCGGCGACCTGCGCCATGGCATATGGGACCGTTTACGCCCCCAAATGTGACCCTGGGTCTGATTAGTGATGATTCTGTGGGCGACAGAGAGGAAACTTACTCGACAAGAATGACATCCACAGGTAATGTCCACTTGTCATTCGCAACTGCCCATCGTCTGAACTGCTCGTTAGTGACAGACACCCCCACTCGGACCAGAGCCTTATCAGCTCCTGCGGAAGCTGTGCTCTCAGGAGCAGCGAGTTGGATGACCTTCAATTCATTATCCGGATCGATGTGTTCGGCTGTAATACTCATGACATCCGGGATGGTGGTTACTTGCTCGAGGTTGAGTAGCGAGACCAAGATCTGTTTATCTTCAGAAAAAGTAGAACTCCAGGAATGTCTGTAACCGCTACATCTCACACGGAAGTCGTTGGTCTTTGCCCACTTGACGAGGTTCTGAAGACCAAGGATCGTCTTGGGAACGAATGTCCATTTCGGAGTGTTAGAGACGCTCTTGCCCCAGTTGCGGAAGTCCGTGTTTCCATGTACCTGTAGATGGTCAGTTCCTGATACCCAATGCTTCACAAATCTCGAAAGCAATTCTGCAGAGCAAGCGACTTCGCTAACCGCCCGCCAGCTACAGTAAACAACCAAGTCCTTAATTCCAGAGCTTTTTGGCACCATAGGAACATTGCGTTAAATGAAAGTGGCAAGTCTTACCTCCATAGTCTTAGTCTCGGCCGCATCCTCAAAAATCCTTGGGTAACCCTTGGTACTAGCTTCCACCCCCAACTTTTGCACAACCTCACCCTCCTTAGCCTTATGCTCGGGGTGGAACAGCTCGTGGATGTCCTCCTTCAAATCCTCCACAAGCTTGCGGAAGTGGTGTTTAACAGGGGGACTCGGAGGCAGAACGAACGCCTCTCCCGTCCTGCCTCCGGCACTTAGAACCTCTTTCTCACTCTTGCCGTCCATGAAAGCCTTGATGCGCAACTTCATGCCTTCATCGAGCTGTTCAAAAGCGTCTTTGAAGACCTCAGTATTCTTGAAGACATGGAGAAATCCGCGAAGGTGAATCTCAGGGTCGACATTCTTGTTGCGAATGTCCCAAAGGTGCTGTTTGAGAGTCGCAATTTGGACGAGTGGGAAGTCATCCTTGATTAGGTCAATTTGGTCGATGATTTCACCAAGGACAAAGTGGGTGTTGAGGTTTTCTCGAGGGGGTTTGGGGAGTAGCTCGTCGAGCATCTTGCTCTTCTCGAGAAGTTTCTCGGCCAGAGCCATGGTTGCAAACGAGGCTGAAGTATGATTCTGATGTATTTCGAAGATCAACACGTCCCACACTCAAAAGACAGACGACAATGTGGCTTGTAGAGAATGGGAGAGCAAGTATTGACAAAGCTCAATAGTGGATAAATAACATGAGGAATTGAGAGAAAGAGAGATATTATAAATACTCCAGGCATCTCTAGGGGTACACAGCCGCGGAATCGGGTGGTACATATTCAGCCCCCAGCCCGCCAAGGGTGTGCGTGGTGCCCTCACGTCAGCAACGAATACTCTCTCCCCCCCCTAAACAAACGTTAAACCTCATGAAAACTGGGCCTCGTGTGGGTAGTCAGCTAGGGTGTTATACCAATGATTCTGCTGATACCTAGCCTTAAGCAGGGCTTCAAGTGTATTTTGAACCTTCTAAAGCTACCCTCGCCTTTACAGTTGACCAGAATCTAGCTCGTGCTTCGAGCCTGTCCAGGGGAGGAGGTAACCAGTCAGAAAAGGCCTACCAGGACTACAGCCCACAAAAGTCCACGTTTAACGTTTGTTTAGGGGGGGGAGAGTAGCAGCGCTTCTCAACTTGAGAGCCACAAATGAGTGAGATGATTGTTCTGGGATATCATTGGAGAGGTCCCATTCAGCTTCTATGTTGATAGGCGGGCGGTTCAGTATCGTTCCTGCGGCCGCTCGCGAGGCTGAGCTGAACCAACATGTGCTCCGGGAAGCATGTTCATAGTCGCCCGGGTTTGCAGGGTTGGCTGGCAAGATGACACCATTGAACGAGAGGGATAGACCGCCTAACGGTCAGCTTTTGACTGAAGCTGGGAAATATTTGTGGTGGAATGAATCCACCGTCCATCGGTGAGCCTTTAAGGAGTTTCACCAGATCGCCGCCTAGGATGAGTTGAACAACCCCCGCAGGCGCCAAACGGCAGTTTCCGAAAAGAATTACTCATTCAGGGCTGAGAAGAGTATACTTCTTCCGATTGGCATTTGGCTGCTTGCATTGGATGTCTTGCATACAGGAGATTATCGTCCACCCATGCTTGGCTGGTTGGAAATATGCATCAACGTCACATGGCTTCAACCTTTGTGGCGAGTATGACTTGATTCAGAAAACAGACAGTGCTTCCTGTTGGCCGGAGATTTATATAGCCGATTGAGGCACCATAAAAACACAAAAACCAATCGATTAAACACTCCATTATTTTATTTACAACTATGTAAAAGAAACACCGTTTTGAAGCAACTTTTAGAAATAGCTAATGGACATATCTATGTCCTAGATTTATTTCAGTACATCTGGTGTAACGATTTATTTCACGGATTTGTAGTAAAATAATTGAGCGCCTCGATCGGCTACTATTTTCTTCTCTCCACCCAACAGGCGTCCACAGAAACTTCATATTATTTTTCAAGGCGGAGAAGACTGGCATCCTCGATGCAAGCACCCAGCTCGGGTCCTAGCTGGTCAAGAAACAACGAATCAATAACAGAGGCTCAAACAAGCAATTCAGACCAAGTTTGGGTATCGTATTATGTCTATGGATATTTCCTAGATCATCCACGCAAGGGTAACAAACATCGCAAAATAGGACATACGGGCAATGTAAAAATGCAAATATGTGACCGTGTGGTTGAAGCAAAACTATCTCTGTTTAAGAATCTCGCTCAGGAACTCCTCACTTTGCACTATTAGCCACATACTTTCCACGAGGAGGATTTCGGGAAGCGTCTTACAATGACAGTTGAATGAAACCATCTCTGTCCTCGTCATATTTCTTGAAAACGTCAGTCATCCTCTTCAAGCTAATGCAGCTCTGAACGAAGAGATCGAAGCTGATCGCCCCATCGCGCCTCTTGTCGAATGTCCTGAACAACGTCTCCACGAACTGCGGACTAAGTCTATATCCAAACGCGACCAGCGCATTCGTGTACTCATCCAGGCTGATATTTCCACTTCTATCGGCATCGAATCTGTCAAAGAGTGATCGCCAAGCAGCCAGGAAGCCCCAGAGCCCGCAGAACTCCTCAAAGCCGATTGTACCTGAGCGATCGCTGTCGAACATGCGAATCATCATCTTCACAGTATGTGGGTCGAAGGAGGACCAGTCGCCATTCACGAGTGCTGCGCGCAGCTCTTTCTCTGTTAGATGGCCGGTTCCTGAGCGGGCAGATGTCAGTGTCTGCATCTATGGTGTTCGAGGAGGGATAAGTATACCGTCTTTGTCAACTGCTTTGAAAAGGGGCCACAGGGCAGGGTCTGCACCGTTGGGAGGAGCGGGGGATGGGGGAGGTCTGGAGACTGGTGGTGGTCTGTTCTGAACAGGAGCTGGTCTTTGGCCGTAGCCGCCAGGAGGGGATCCGTAGCCATGGGTTTGCTGAGGAGGGCCGTAGCCGTAGTTCGAAGGTTGCATGCCGGGTGAGTGTCCTGGTGAGTGTCCAGGAGCGCCGTGCTGATTTGGGAGGGGAGGGGCAGGCTTCGCGTACTGTTGTTGTTGTTGCTGCTGCTGTTGCTGCTGTTGTTGAAGTGCTGCGTAGCTTGTAGGATGAGGTTGTTGAGGTTGCGCCTGCTGGCTATAGGAAGGCGAGTTCCTCTGTATCGGCTATTAGCACCGCGTCATCGTCCCAAGTGTTGGTGAATGGATATTACCCTCTCGGGTTCTGCGAATCTAGGATCGAGGTTCAGCTGGATTTATTATACTAAGGCGGGGGCACAGCAGCTTGACTTACGCAGGTAGTGAGTCTGGATTGAAGGTGCGATTGTAGGCCATCTTGAGGTTCCTGTAGGTAATAGAATCGAGGGAGAACTTGTGATGTGTTGATCAGCGGGGAGAGGAGTTGTCAAGTTGCACAGAAGGGGAGGGCAGGAGCAGGAGCAGGAGCAGGAGCAGGAGCAGGAGCAGGAGCAGGAGCCTTTGCCAGCCTCGAGAGCTGGTGTTCGTGATTGAGCCCTGTCGCTGGACGTGGCTTGGGCGGCGGGAGTCCACAGCCCAGATCGAGACAGTGCAGTGCGGCGCAGGACGAGCCGGGAAGGATTGGACTCTCTCTGGACGGAATCGCTGCACAGCTTAGCTTCGAGTCCAAAGAATTCAAAGTCTGGGGATTTGACAACTCCAGCAGTTTGTGATTGTTCTTTGATAGCGAGGCCATGCTTTGACTGGACAACGGCCCAGAACATTGGCTCGGCACCAGCTCAGTGGAACTCCTCCACTGAATTACGTAGTTTTAATTTCAACTTCCCACACTTTTCTTCAGCCCTTCCATCTTCACACCTTCATCATGTCTGCTGACTCGGGAGTGTCAGAGTCCGAATTCTGGTTATTTGGTTACGGGTAAGCCATTCGTCCGGGGAGTTCTGGGCTTCGAGTCTGACAGACATGCCATTTCAGGAGTTTGATATGGAAACCTCCACCGCATTTCGGTGAGACTGCTGAACCACTGCATACCGAGATCCTGTCATTCATCACAATGTAGACCGACGTATACCAGGTTTTGTAACTGGATATGTTCGCCGATTCTGGCAGGTTTGTATTTCTGTTAATGGACACAGGTCGAGGGCTTATGGATGAATCAGGCAAGGTATGGAGCATTCCTACTATCCAACGCTCTTTACTGACATTGAAGCAGTCAAGATCATCGAGGAACGCCTGAGGCACCAGGAAGAGTAGTTACTCTTATCGAACGCTCGTTTTGGGAGACGTTGGACGACCCTCATCCTTCCGGATCCGAAAAGGTCTGGGGAGTGGCGTACCGAATCGAAGCCTCGAAAGTCGCAGAAGTTCGCGAATACCTGGACATCAGAGAGATCAATGGATACACCATCCACTACACTCCATTCTACCCTAGCGATGGCTCTCCAACAATACGGACACTTGTTTATATCGGCACACCAGACAATGACCAGTTTATGGGACCGCAAGATCCAGACAGACTAGCGAAGCATATCAACACAAGCATTGGCCCGAGTGGGTTAAACAAGGATTATCTTCTGCACTTGGATGTGGCTCTGGATAGTTTGAGTGCAGAGAGTGGAGATGAGCACATCAAAGACCTTGCCGAAAGAGTCAGGAAGCTCGAGCATGCGGCGAATCTTGATGGAAGTCAGGCCACAGCAGAGGCACTCGGCCGTGGACTTGAGAAGGTCAGTAGCACAGACGAGCAAGAAGAGACGGAGAAGTAGTTTCGGAGAAGCCTTTTCATTTCCCAATTTGGGCAAGTACCGCCATAGACAGATCAGACCTGCAGTAAGTGCAGTCGTCAGAAATAACCCGCAATGACCCTCGATCAGAATGATCTTGGTCGAAATTTCGAAGCTCAGCGTGTGAATTTGTGAGACAATAACAGGTAGGAAATCCCCCCAAACGCCGAGCAGAGCGTAAGGCTCGCCAAGGAACCGCATCCATAGACCACGCAGGCTGACCATCGATGACCATCTATACGATGATCCTCAAGTTTCGCACCACACAATTAACTTTCGCTGCTACCCCAGCGGACTTTTCTTGTCCTCAAAACGTACGTACCGACGCAAGCAAGGTCCGAGAGAATATCATGGCCGACATCTTTTACCAGCGGCCACCACCTTGTTGTTGATCTCCACCTCCATATCCGCCGCCGCCTCCAGAGTAACCACCTTTATCTCGCAATGTTAGTAAGAGCTCACGCAACATGTATGTCGACGGAAGTCGACCGGAATAACTCACCTCCGCCGGAGTATCCACCACCTTGTCCACCATATCCGCCGCCGCCACCCTGTTGTCCGCCATATCCTCCGCCCTGTTGTCTATCTCCGTAGCCTCCACCGCCGCCTGTAACCATCTGTCAGTGATTGCCCAATTATAGTTGATGGTTGCGTTATTAGGATCCATTCTCAGCATTCAAGATGAGCGAGGAACCTCAACATCGACCAATGACCTTGGATAATGATAATGCAGTAGCAGGAAAGGCACGTACCACCATATCCACCGCCTCCGCGTCCGTAACCACCACCTATAGGTTCGTTAGCCTTGAACAAGTCTAAGCCTAATGATGCTTCAAGCTCTGGTAGCGTGAAAGCAGTCAAGTGCGGCACGTACCACCACGTCCACCTCCAAATCCACCGCCTATGAAATATTAGCTGTGGTTACACAAGATGTCTGCAGAAGCACATACCACCACCGCCGCCTCCAGAGCCACGCTCGGAAGCCTTGTCAACACGAATGGTGCGGCCATCGAACTCGGTGTTGTTCATGGCGGTAATGGCAGCCTCGGCATCGGCATCGGATCCATAGCGAACGAAGCCGAAACCACGGCTACGACCAGTATCACGGTCCTTTACGACGACCTATTGATCAATTGTGATTAGAGTTAATAATGCCACGGACGGATATGGAGTACTTACAGCCTCCTCAACGGCGCCGAATTCCTCAAACTTCTGGCGAAGCGCAATCTCATCTGTCTGCCATGCAAGGCCACTATATCGGTTGTGAGCTCTTGTTGGACTGATAGGGTGGAAGCGCAAATGCGCAATCGTGAACTTACCCAATAAAGAGCTTGGACATTTTTGGGATGTTGTTGGAGTAACCTGAATTCAAAGTCTCAATTTCCGCGCGCATCCAGACACAATAGAGCGCGTCATGGCGGTGGTGGCTGTGAAGAGACGGGGACGGAGGGGACGCGGATCACGCAAAGAAAGTACATCGAGGCAGAACATAGCCCCCGCTCACGCGGAGTAGTAAGGGAGTTGTGTGATATGACATGTGGGAGGTAAATTGAGATGAGGTGAGGAGATCGAGGAGGAGCAGGAAGGTCAGCGCATAGCAAGCAGAAGAATCAGACGAACTGTGAGAGAGAGTGGTGCCGTCGTGGGTGGGATGGGTGATCGAGGTCGAAGATGAAGTTGATGGATGTTGTTGGTTGAGATGACCGACAATCTTGGTGGACGACTGAAAGGACAGTACGCACGTTTGATTGAAGAAGGAGAAGGAGGGAGAAAGTTGCGATTCTGGGGGGATCGCAAGTAGAGGATGTAGTGGAGAGAAGAAGAGTTGGTTGTTGGAGGAGAGGAGAGGAGAGGAGAGGGAAAGCAAGGTGGTGCAGTGCAGTAGCGGGGGAATATGAAGGCTCTGACCTGCCCCTCGTCTCGCCTAATCCACTAGCGCTGAGGTCGCAATAGCGCGCGCGCGCTGTTTCTTTCACTTTTACCTTCACTTCAATGCAGGTTGCGTTGCTCTGCGGTGCTTTACTTTACTTTGACTTGCCCAGCTTGACTTGACTTGACTTGACTTTGCGCTTTCCAGGCTCACTCTTTGAGCTTGTTCGCATTCCAGGCAGACCAAGACCAGACAGGCTAGACCAAACCAAGCCTGAGCCTGAGCCTGAGCTTTTCACTATTGCACATTTACTCTGAAGCTACCTACATTCACTGCGCTTCACTGTTACGGCTCGCCGTCGTTGGAATTTGGTTGACCGGTTGGTTTTCTCTATGCTTGCTGCTGCTGCCCAAGCTTGCGAGTTCCTGCCTGCACCTGCCTGCACCTGCCTGCACCTGCCTGCACCTGCCTGCACCTGCCTGCACCTGCCTGCACCTGCCTGCACCTGCCTGCATGCAGCGCAGCCTGACAGGGGCAGTCAAGAATTGACTGATGTCTTGATGGCTTTTGCATGAGGTGCGTTTACGAAACTGAGCAGCTGGCAAGTGAGGACTTCAGGTTCCAATTGGGAAGCATCCAAGTGGGGTGGAGACCGGGGTTAGTGTGGTGTGGCAGCAAGGTTGCTCCTCCAATCCAGTGTGCTCGCCACACCCACACCCACACCCACACCCACACCCACACCACAACCTCACGCCGCGTAGAGCCCGGTCAGACAAAGGTCGAGCACACCAGGAAAACTAGAGCATCGCATGGCGGCTCATAGCATTGGCCGCGGCCAAAGCCATCCATGGCAGTGGTTGCGGCAAGCCGAGCCAGAAATCATTGTGAGGGAGACGGTCCACCATAATTATACAGTACCAAGCTGAGGTCAAGTCGATGTCAACTCTACTCTGAGGTCGAAGGTGTAATGCAATGTAATGCAGCCAGTTGGGCTGTGGCGCCGGATTGGAGCGCATTTTGGCCTGTGCATCCAACGTCCTCTGCCTGCGCATGGCATGGCATGGTATGGCATAGCATAGCATAGCCTGTTCAAGTAGATAAAGCAAAGCTGCAGCTTCATGTGTGTACAAGGGCAAAAATCTGGCATCGGATGCATGTTGGCTTCTTTCACTCTACGGAGTTAGGAATATTTGTCCTTCCAGGCATATAGTAATGGCAGTATATGTTATCGACAGCAATCTACACATCCTGTACGGCTCCGGATCTGGGGAGAGCAACATGTCGATGATACCCAGGTCATGCTATAGCCCACGGCCAACGATTGAAAAACAGTTGATGCCCCAATACTCACCCGATGAGGTGATGATCCCGTATCGAGGCGGGCCAGAGAAGCATTCCGACATCAAGCCTCAATATGCGGGCTGGCCGTGTTAGTCAGAATCCAGAGCCTGCGAGGATATTTCCATGAAGGAAGAAGATGTAATGCAAAATGCACTGCAGCTTTGTCGGCGAACAGGTTCTGTATGCGTTTGACGTGCTGCTTTTTAATCGTCTGCTCCGGCAGGCGGTGGCAAGGATGAGTTGCATGTGGATGTGGATGTGGATGTGGATGTGGATGTGGATGTGGATGTGGATGTGGATGTGGATGTGTTGGGATAGGCTCACAGATGTCGAGCCCTCGTCCCCGTCTTGGATGAAATATGATGATGTGATGTGATTGAGGACCGAGTGGGATGAGATAGGTTGAAGGTGATTTTCTAGCGGGGTGTGCACACCAGGCGAGGCATGGACGAGCCGAGGATGGGAGAAGGGGGATGGGAGAAGGGGGATGGGAGAAGAGGGATGGGGTGAATAGCTGGATGACATACCGTACTCGTACCTGGTCGAGATTCTGCTTGAAAAAGAAATAATTGGGAGCATTCGAATGCAAGCAATGGAGAGCCGAACACCTAAGGAGTACAGTTGGTAGTTTTCTGCTTTTCTCTTCTCTTCTCCTTGCACCCGTGCCATGTCTTGTCCTGTGCTGTTTCCTGGCTCAGAAGCTTTCTTCCATTCTGTCTACTTCCATGTGAAACCTGGATCAACCGTTTCCACTCAGGGTCCTACTGTATGGGCATAGGCATGGCCAAGGGTCCAACCTGGTGGATATGATATGGAGGGCGGAGCTGAGTGGAGTCCATGATTCCAGCATTGGAATAATTCTACTGTACAGTAGAGTAGGTAGGAAGGTTGAGGGCAGACAGGCAGGCGGGCAGGGAGGCTTGCCCCTCTTATCGATAAGAAGACGCTACCTACCCAACAGTACTGTAGCTACCCCCCCCCCCCCCCTCTCCTGCGGACCCCTCTACCCTTACCCTACCTTAGTGTGACCCTTGCTTTTTGAGTTTGCTGTGACTTCTGCTGGGCTCGCTGGGCTCGCTGGGCTCAAATGGAATCCATTCGAGAGCCATCACCAGACATGAGCAGGTGGGAAAAAATAAATAAATAAAAATAAAAGAAAGGTAAGAAAGGTAGAGGTAAATTTACTTACTTTGCTTGGGTCGGAAAGAATGGAGCCTTCTCCCATACACACACCACACAGCTCCTGCATCGGCATCGGCACATCTACCTTAGCTCGTGGCTGTCTGGTCCCATCGCGGACACGCAGCTTACGAACTCTACCTATACTACAACACTGCTGGTCTGCTTTGGGCTCTTTAGCAAAGAATTCGTTCTATTCCAGACACCAAAGCTACTGTACAGTATTATTCCCATCCGCTTGTGTGCGGCAGTGAACTTTCTTAAGAAGTACCTGATCACCCTGGTATCTACAATGACGCAGCAGGATCCTCGGAGCTATATGGATATTGAGAGAGATATATAAGTCGACGGGGCATTGGCTGAGAGCTCCAGCAAATCGAATTACTGATCGCATCATAAGTCATCCTTTCCGTGAGTCGTGTGCGGACCTCTTCTCAAGGCGGCTAGCTCATTGTTCATCCAACTTTTGACCTACCTACTACCAACTGCACCTCCTCCTGTCCTCTGCCCGATGCCAAGCTCAGATGCTGAGTGGTCATCTCGAGCGTCATCTCGAGCCTTTTAATACACCCTGACACCATTAAGACAGCGAACATGCTCTCATGTTGAGGTAGGGCTATCCAAGAAAGCGGGACGAACAGCAATCCGATCTTGCGTCGCGATGAGGCGATCCAATCCACTGTGCTCGATTCTCAGCTACCTCTAGACGGCATTTCTCGCATGAGCTGCACTTCATGTGACAACCTCACAAAGAAAAGAGTGCTTGCAGGCAAGGATTCGACTCGTCATATTACAGTTCCTAAAAGAGACTGCGAGTGTAGACAAAAGACCAAAACTCCCAGGGCTGCATATTCGATCGCTGGAAAACTCATAGGGCTGTAGTCGATCCACACCGCTTTTTAACTTCGCTGCCGTCAACTTCGGTCCTTAGCCATCTCACTGCACCATAACATACCTACAGTACCTACCCTCGCTACCGTGTGTGCCAGGCCAGCCAGGCCAAAGGACGCTAGGTTCCGACCTCTCCCACGGCCAGCTCTCATGCAGGGACGCCGCAAAAATCTAAGGCCTCCTAAGCGGTGATGTTTCGTTTGGTAATGTTTAGTCTCGATCCCAGAACGATGAACTGGAGAGAGTTCAACCGCCGCCAAATACTTTACAGACTTGGTGTCGGTTCAACACAAGAAGAAATCTATCTCTAGACCTTGCCAGATACGGATTGCTCTGGTGCGGATTGGAAGTTCGAATGACACTTGCTGCCTGACCCTACCTAGTTGGGCAGGCACGATATGGATATGGCACGCACGATTTGCGTAACTGCCTACAATGGCGGAGGTAGCGCCTCGAAACTTCCCATCTGAGTCTGAATCATGGTCAGACTTGACCTCAACTCTTTTCTGGAAATCCAGGGAGCAGAGCACGACGATACTTCGACCGAGTGTTCCAGCTATCAATAGAAGTTCTGACAAAACAATACCACGTCACTGAGATTCACATTCACAACCCGGTTGGCACCACGGAGACTCGATACCGAACAGGAGGATGCAGTGGCGAGTTACAAACCATGCCCAAACTCTCCAAGAACCGTCATAGACGGGAGTATCACCGCAACTCGGAAGATCCAGACCGTCGAGTTCACAAGGATGCCTCAAGAGCGAAAGCTCATCCGAAGCCTCCTCCTGCGAAGCTGCCCAAAGAGAGTCTGAGTATTGACTTGAGAGAAGATGACCATTATGTGCGAAGATGGCTCGAACAAACCGAAACCAATACCGATCAAGACGATGCCTTGGTAACGGGGGAAGCCCTGTTCAGTGAGTAAATGTCCATTCCAGAGACGAACCCCTCTTGCTGACATCCCGCGTCTAAGAGAAAGAAGCAAAGAGAGCAGCACAAGCTGAAGTCCCTCCCGTTCGTGCCCCCCTAGAGTCGGCACATGGTTCTGGACCTTCGAAAAGAAGGAAGGGACACGACTCATCATCAGATAGCTCGGTTCTGGAGGTCCAAGTCAAATCCATGTCGCATCAGTCAACACGGGACGAAACCCAGCATGTGATTCTAAATCAATCTAAGATGTACTCACCTCCACCTCGGAAGAAGCAGAGGGTCGCCTCGTCAGAATCTGGACTGCCCAGTCACTCTTCGACGCCGAATCATCCTAAGGAGACATTTGAAAAGAGGCCGCGCCACAAGACACGTGAAGATATATATGAACCTAAAAAGAAGAACAAGAAGCGAAAGAGGGCCAGCGGAGAAAGGTCGAGTAGGAAGAAGCGAGAGAGAAGGGGGGGCAGCAAGAACGCAGCCAATACAGCCGGGGATGAGCTGATCCAGAACTTCCGTTCTAAAAATATTTCCCAAGATCGCCTAACTGTGAGTCCTCATGTATTCGGACATAGCAGCCGATTGACAGGTCTAGATTCGACCCTCCAATGGTCTAGGTTTATTCAACAACGGCCGGGCTTCATCCCCCGCAAGACGTCGAGGGCGTGAGTATTCTCTACGATACAGGAGCAATTCATATTGATCTATCATAGTACCCGATCTCGCTTTTTCCGAAATGGAGTTTCTGCAACATTCAAGAGCGCGTCCGCAGAGCGACAAGGAGAATATGGTCAAGTCAAGGTCTCGTGAAAAAGAGAGGGAGAAGTCATCGAGGATGCAAGATGAGATATCGACATTTTTCAGGCCAACCAGGGCACACTTACAGGCTGTTTCGCCCAATTGTAGTGGTGCAGCGCAAGATGTTTTCAGGAAAGAGCCGAACTTATACTCCAAGCGACTGGACCCTGAAGGGGATAGAGATAAGTACAGAGACTCAGAGCCTCTTGATCTTCGATCTGAGCCAAGCAGAGACTTCGAAGTTGCCGGGCCGTTTTTCGAGAAATACCAAGTAAGCCACGATTACAATGCTTCTCAAAGAGTCGATCATTCCACCAATCCTCCCGACTCTTCAAGCAGAGTCTCGGGAAAAGCTACTACGTACGTGTCCTGGTCTGAAAGCCAGAGGTCTCCTGTTTCCACGTCACGACACGGCAGCTTTGATCAAAGAAACATCAGTCTCACCCTTGATTCCGTTCGTCGTTCAATAGAGAAGACTCGCATTTTCAGAGGTACAGGCATTGAAAATACCCTCACCGTGGACTTGAATCAGACGAATGGATCACCGGAAATTTGCGAAAGACATAATTTAAGACCTGATGAAGACGTTCAACGCGATAAGTCAACTGACCAATTATCCACAGAAAGTAACAGCTCCTCAAAAGTTCGGAATGACACGACCAACGAGCTTCAGCAAGATAGAGTCATGGGATTGCCAGAGTTTCCAATGCGCAAGACGCAAGCCACTCTGCCAGAGCGACAAGAGCGAACCGGAAAGGCTCTCTCCACAGACCAGACTGAGCAGATAGACATAATTGATCAGCGTGGTCCGAGCCGAAAGCGCGTTGTCATTGAGTATTTTGATCCTACACTGGGCTGGCGTGAGGGTGCATGTGCTGGCGAACATAGCCAGCGGACAGGCGCCGGAGGCCAAAGGCTAAATGATTCTCAGGTATCCAAGGCTAAGCCACTCACCCGCGATGAAATCGCAAAGAAAGCCCGTGTCAAAGTACCCAAGCGATCATCAACAACAGTACCTCTTCTACGAGAAACAAGTAATGAGAAGCAGCTACCGGTCGAGAACCAAACGAATCGCAGGATGCCGTTCCTGAAGACTGACAGCGGACGTCTCCTAAACGAGGATATGCACCAAGTTACAAGCTTGAGAGTAGTAGTCAATTCAAATCAAAGACCATTACTTAGCAGGGTCTCAAATCCATCTCTTCCGACTATATACGAAGACTCTGATGAACAATCTTTGGGCCATGGCGAAGCACCTTTGTTGGAAAATCAAGTGGCCTCACCAATTGTCTCTCAGACAAGCCAATCTCGCTTAAATATCGAGTTGAACAACAATCCAACCCATTTTGAAAGTCAATTTCAACAACAAGGGGAATCAAGTTACCATGCGGAACAGGACGCCAGTCAGGAAGATGATGTGAGCAGCAGAAATGTGACGTATCTCGGGCTGCCTACGACCGGGGGGTGGCTGGGTACTTCTCTAAGTAGCACCACCTTTGGCAATGCCAGTCTGCCACCCTTAGCTGGGGCCCAGTCACTATATGTACGGCAGATGCAGCGACAATCCAATTTTTATCACGTCGAATATGATGGCTCGAATAACGCTATTGGTGAGGTATCTTGGAAGTCCTCAAGTCCCGCGTCGCCTGCTTATAATGCGAGAGTTACTTACGAGAATCAGCAACATGGCCATGATTTGGCCGAGACGGCTTACTGTATTGATCATGGCAACAGTAGGGAAATGTACCAAGCATATGAGCAAGGTCTTAGTAATGCGAATGAGGAGTATTACGATGAGCTCGGCAACTCGAATGCCGAATCAAACGGTGCCAATCAGGGTTTTCATGAAATAGGAGGCCAGAGTCATGGATGTCATGAATCCGAACAGACGACCTCAGAGCATTTCCCAATACCACATCCAGAGTCATCCCATGGTTATCAACATGATGAGTATAAGCTCCGGGCAGATATTCACCAAAGTGGATTTTGGCAGCCTCATCATTTCTGGTAGAGATACCGTTGACTCGAAGCGACATAATATGCCATTGAGCATGTGTACTTTTAGATACTAGCCAGTACTTGGTGCAGAACAATACCTACATAACTTTACACAAGCATCACCATCTAAAGACAGATGAAGACCAAAGCTGCGTATATGAGGAGTTTGGCTGGAGAGTCGGTGTTCTGTGGCTCATAATGAAAGCCAGTCTGTTCACACATCTCTTCGTACCCAGACTCTCTACTCTGGTTCCTGGCCCTTCCACTTCTCCCTCAACTCCTTCACATCAAATCCACACCTCTCCGCCCTACCCACGACACTCCTCGCCTTCCTTACAACTGGCACATCAATCATCTTCCCATCTAGCGTCCAGGCCCCCCTGCCCCCTTTGTCCGCTTTCTCGTCCGCAATAACAACCCTAACAGCCCACTCTACCTCCTCCTTCCCCGGCGCAAACTCCCTCTGCACCACCTCCAACTGACTCGGATGTATACACTGCTTTCCATTAAATCCCAACCCGCGTCCCTGCACACACTCTTCTTGCAATCTCTTGACCCCCTCATCACCTCTGAAACTGGTGCAGACTAAATCTATCGTCGATGGTAAGGAGTACGCCCGCGCAGCCGTCACGATTGCAGAGCGTGCGTACAGAAATTCAGTGAGCGAGGGCGTCCGCGTGAGAGAGAGATCGAGCGCGAAGTCTTCCGCGGCGAAGATCAGACCGCTGAGGTAAGGAGATGACGCGCAAATAGACGAGAGGTTCATTATTGCCTCAGCGCTTTCAATCAATGCTATGATCTTGACTGGTTCTTGTTCCTGTTCACCCTTCGCTTTTCCATCTCCAGGATGTCGAGACGGCAATTGATGTCTTAAGACATCCGTTACGAAATGCAGATCTGACGCTTTGTTTACCTTCGGTACGACGATGGCATCGACATGTTTCGCTTTCAGGACTGTCGTGAGGTCGTCGAGAGCCAATCCTGATGAGACAGCGTTTATGCGGACGGAGAGCTCGTTTATATTTGAGGGTCGAGTTGGGGAGGAGAGGAATTCTAGGAGGGCTTTTCGAGCGGTGGGTTTTTGGGTGGGTGTTACGCTGTCTTCGAGGTCATAGGAGACGGTGTCGAGGGGTGGGAGGGTTAAGGATTTTTGGAGGAATTTGGGAGAGGATGCGGGAACTAAGGGGATGTATTAGTGCATGTGCTTCCGCATTGTTGTGGGCATGTTGGAAGAGGGTGGAATAATTGCTGTTGTCTTCGAGGTCGGGGAGGAGAGCTTCCATATTGAGGGGTAGGCACCATATAAGAGAGCACGGCGGAGGATACTGGACGTGGACATATTGCAAACATCAAGTAGGTATCATGAAGGAGCTTCAAACCCTTCGAAGAGAACCAATTTGTGATTGAAGGATGTAGATTGAAGATTTATTATTATCATGAAGTCAATCCCTCGTCGGAAGTAAAGATAAGCTCGGTACATCGCGGTAAGGCTACCGATCAGCCTTCTCCATAGCCGTCTTGGCAAACAGGGGGTCAAGCTACTGTAGCTTCTTCGAGTCAAGACAAGCAGCAGTACGCGGCTCTTCACTTCAATATCCCTCGCATTCAACAAGTCAACAACGACCAACGATGGAAGCAAATCAAGAGCCGCAGGGCTCGCTGAGCTGGAGATTATCCTCACATCCTATTACGCTACTGTGTTTCCTCGGGTTCCGGATCTGTGAGTTCTCGGGGTTGATGTGGCCTGAAAGTAATCAATCAAGCAACTAACACAAGGTCTTTGCAGCGAGTTTACTGGTGTATTTGTTTGGACTGCTCTTCACCAAGAACTTGTACGTTTTGACTATCTTCTCTGGCACTTCTGGGAAGCTTGCGACCAGACTCGAGGCGCAAGAACAGCGAGTACCTCCAATTATGAAATTGCTAACACTCGCAAAACAGCGTCCTAATCTTCATTATCACCATTCTCCTCCTCGCAGCCGACTTCTATTACCTCAAGAACATCGCTGGGCGGCGCCTCGTCGGCCTTCGGTGGTGGAACGAAGTCGATGCGCAGACGGGGGATTCGCATTGGGTATTCGAGTCGTCGGACCCTTCAGTCAAAGTTATAAATGCAACCGATAGCCGCTTCTTCTGGATCGCACTGTACTCGCAGCCGTTGCTTTGGGTGGCGCTGGCGTTCGTGGCTATTTTCAGCTTTGAATTTATTTGGTTGACGTTGGTTGGTATGTTGACTCCTAATCAGTGGGTGGAATTGAGAGGCCATAACTGACAGATTGATAGCTATTGCGCTCAGTTTGACAATCACAAATACCCTGGCTTTCTCGAGATGTGACAAGTTCGGCCAGGCATCGAATATGGCTGGTAGTGCCATGTATTCTGGAGGAATTGCTGGGAATTTGGCGAGTGGCATGATTGGAAGGTTCTTTTCCAGGTGATTTCTTGATGATGAGAGTTTGAGCAATGGGAAGGAGGGTGTATGATACTTGTGACAACAGGCGAGTGTACTTCCAAGGAATCGGTCGGGTTCTTAGAGTTAAGTTCAACAACGGGTATGCGAGCTCTTTTTTTATGATACCGAAGGACTGCAGTCTTCAAATTAAGCATCACTTGAATGTCAATACACTGCTGCGTGCTGTTGAGCTCGTGTTTTTCACAAATCCACCGCTATAGTGACTCTATCCCGCTCCAGTGAGTCGGTGGGCTGCAAAACTACTCTAGAGACCATTTAAAGTCACTTTACCACCGAATGAGAGATCCTACAGCTCGACTGTGTTAGCTCGTGAATGGCAAGAATCTCATTGACGCTGCAAGCCTGATTCGATAGCAAGAGTTACAAGACCGAGTGAACATGAACATGCCCTTGCCATGATTTCGCACTCAATGGTCGTAGTTCATCGTAAAGCAGGTTTCAGCAAGTCGAACGGATGTTGGAACTCCATGTCAGCAAAAACTGCATAGTAATAGGCAGGAGAGAGAACATGAGAAGTCCTGTTGAGCATATCTACTCTTGAAGTTCACGGATCAACGCCGAGTCACTCGATGTCACTCGTACCTAAAGCATCTTCCTGTTGGTTAACGGATGCATGAAAATGAAGAGAGTAGGCCACAAGTGTAGCCCCCTTTTCTTTTTTCTTCTTTTTTTTCATAAGCAATGCACTCACTTCCAGAAATCCCTTCCAGAAACGCTACCAGAGCATCATAGCCGAAGCACAAGTCAAGGAAGGAGAGACGATGCCGCTTGACTTTTTGTTCAATCAAACTGTATGCTGCCTACAGAGAGTCCGAGTTGCTCACTTCAAAATGATGCTCTGCTTTGCTTACATGACAGCTTGGATTGAAGCCCTGCTCGTTACAGCATTCTCGGCAAACAGATAACCCCAATCACATCTAGTTGAATCAGTGTATGCTCAATCTTGCTCGGTGCCAAACAGCTCTTTTCCCACTTATACTTCCAGCAACACATCCTTGTCCGATTGTGCCATTTTGAAAGTATCTCTCTCTATTGGGACGGAATCTTCGATAGGTGTATCCCAAGAACGCACCTCGTTTTCTCAACTCCAGAACCTTTGGTGCCGTATCCTTGTCTCTCAGCAAACGATCTCTGGGTCGTTTCTTCTCCTTTCTTCCATAATGTTTAACGAACGCCTTGAGGTATTCCTTTTGCTCATCACACATTGCGAATGCATCTATCTCCCGCTCAACCTTTCTCATCTTTACCGAGTCGTGGGGCCGTTCGACAAAACTTTTTGCCAGAACCTGAATCTCTCTATTGAACGGCCTGAGAGCATCAGATATCTCGTCGGCGGTTGGGGGTGGCCCAGATATAGACTCAGAAAAGTCTGAGATTGGATCTTCCTCATCGAAGTAATGTGTGTCATCAACAGACTTGATACTAGGAACAAAGGGTGGCACCATCATGTGAAGTCGATCCCATTGGATATCTCTGAACCATTTATGGGCTTTGATCTCCTCGGCATCGTTAGGAAAGACATAACGGCCAGCATAATCCGTAACATGGTGCGATGTTGAAGGATGGTCCTTCATTCTGTACCGTCTGGAGCAAAGTCTGGTGCTTTTGTCTTGAATGATGCTTCGAATAAGATCTTGACATCGCTTACTAACGATCGGCTTGTGAGGAAAGTTAAATGTATTTTTGTGGTCCTGCATCGATCAGTGGGGAGCCAGAAAGCTGGTGAGAGGAATGAGTGGCTACCAAAATATTGAGCTTCGTTTGCTGCCTTCCACCTTCTTCAGCGAGGAACGGAGTATGGCCGTACAAGCACTGAGCTATGTTATTGCAGTGCTTGAAGGGCTTGAATGGTCACTTACCTCATACAATATTACTGCAACGCTCCACCAGTCGCACCGGGCATCATATAGATCCCCTCGCACCACTTCTGGAGCCATGTATTGACTGGTACCCACGACAGACCTCGCCAGTGACCTATTACCGTACCGATTTCGCCAGTTAAGGATTCCTTCGCTATCCGTACCATTGGATGATGTTCGCTCATGTCGTTTGTCCTTGCCAGTGGCTGAATTGTGGGCAAGCATTCTCCCCTCTTTAATGTCGATACTGTCGCCTTCCACGTTGATCCCCAACTTGGAAAGCAGAGAATACCGGTGATTGTTGAAGTATGCCTGGTCATGGGACCAGTGCCCATCGAATGCTAGGCCGAAATCTGAAATTTTTAGATGTCCGGACGCCGAAATAAGGAAATTGTCTGGTTTGACATCTCGATGGATCCAGCGAAGCGAATGCGCCTCCTCAATGCAGACAATCATCTCCGCCATATACCACTTGGTCACAGATTCGGAAAGTACGTTATCGCGAATCAGAAGTCCCAAGAAATCACCACCGGGCATATATTCCATCACAAGGTACAAATTGTTCAAATCCTGGAAGCTTGCAATGAGCGGTACGACCCTGTACTTGTAAGCCAACGTTTTCAGGCCAGGTACGAAGCACTGGTTAATGCCATGGGGTATTCAAGATCTTGGACTTACCAACGAGAGCCCTCTGCAGCAACCAGGAAATCCCGCTCTGCCCGAAGATGTCCTTCTTGACTGTTACGTAACATGTCAGACTTTCGAATGACTTTCATGGCGTATATTTCTCGTTTCTTTTCAGGATCGCATGGAGTGCTTTTATCAAGTTTTTCTCTGACGAGACGGACGACCCCGAAACTGCCCTTTCCTAGGACCTTTACGACTTCGTAGCGAGAACTCGTTATGTCTTTGCCGCTCAATGCATTTCCAGCCCGGACCTTCATGGCCCTCATTTCTCGAAGATGATCCTAGGTTGAGGGACGGTTAGCAAATGCTAGAAAACTAGTATGCCGTAGAGTGTACAGGGCATGAATCAACGTGATATCGCTGCGTCAATGTGTGACCACTTACGGTCTCGTCCTGAGCCCATGCTCGCCGCTTCTCATCTTGCTCCGCTAAGGACAAATTGGGCTCGTGATAAAGTGCACCTTCCAGTTGCCTTCTGCGAATAGAGCGTGGTGTCAACATCCCTGAGGTGGCATGATTATAGTGGGTTTCAAAGAATACTTTAGCTGCGGCAGCTCGTTCAACGGTGACAATAGCTGGTTCGGATGTTAGTACTCAGACCAAAGTGGATTCACGGAATTGTATTGGCGGAAGTACTTGGTACAGGCTCTGGTGTTTCTTGACTCTCCACAATGGGTGCCAAAATAGGTATTTCGTTTGGGAAATATTCACCAGCAGTTACTGGCTTCGTGGCCACCTTCCTGTTCTCAGACGAATGTTGCGAACCAATCTTTGACTTCGAAGAGATCTTCGAGTCGAGTGAGGTCTTGCCAGTTGACTCCCCGGGCCTAAGTAAAGATGATTTCCCACTGTTTCGGCTAGACTCTGCGCTGGTAGATGGCGAACCTTCTGGTGTTACCTCCAAAACGCCTCTGTCTAGAGATATCAGGCTTGGCCGGCTTTTAAATTGTGTTCGACGGACCACAGTTGGCTCTTCCTGTGCTTTAACAATCGCAGCAGCAGAAAATCTTCGACTTGGACTTATGGGAGGGGTTAATTCAGCAACTGAGGCAGCGGATACTGTTGTTCTCAGTCATTGGGACAGGCTTCGGAAGTGCTGAAGGGTATTTACCGCTATTCCTCAATGAACGTAAGGCTGTGATCAGCTTCGATCCATGTCTTCGAAGCTTCGAAGGTCGGTTATGGTCCTCAGGCGAACTTGGGGGAGTAAGCATCGCACAGTTGCTTGGGACCCTGTTGACTGTTCCATGCTCTGAAAGTGCTTCAGGTACCTCAATCTCTGGGCTTACAGAGCCTGGTCGGTCACCGCCAGTCTTGCTGTGTACTCTCTTCATGATGTAGTCCTAGAACACTATTGTTGCTTTTCGTCACGCAGTGGCAATGCAAGCAAGTACTGCTGTCGAGGGCAGAGATTGGCGTTTCCTGTTCCAATCCGAGAACTAATGATAGTGGGTAAATTATGTTGCTGACGATGGTGCGACGGTGTTGATGATGCTTAATCTGGCGGCCTGCTTGGAAATGAGGATGTACTTCCCTTGTTCTGGTCACAGTCTTAGCGTTCCTGTCATTTTCATAGATGGTCACTCACCGAGGCAGGTGCGAACTACACGCTCCTTCACGACTTCAAATAGCAGCATGGGGCACGATTGACTTGAATTTTATTTAGGTACTAATGACGCGGTCTCGGTCCGCAGATAAGAGACAATCAACTTTTGCCAGATACGCCTGTAATGCAAACCCCTTGACCCATATCGTATTCCTGCTTCCCATCCCAACAAGACAGTTCATCACAGAACCACGAAGGTCGGAGGTTTATGCAAAAGAACGGTATGGCGTAACACAGTGTAAGGAAATTAAACAGCCAAATCGCTGCATGAGAGGTGTATCGGGAGTTGTACAGCGGAGAGGAGTCGACAAGCAAAGCTTCCACCTCAGCATTCGCAAAAGGTCAACAGAAAACATGCGTAACAGGAACGAAGAGTCTGTTAGAATTTTACTTGATCTCCAACAACTTGACGTCGAAGACGAGGGTGCTGTTTCCAGGGATACCAGGGACGCCTTTGCTGCCATAGGCGAGGCTTGCGGGAATGGTGAGTCTACGCTCGCCACCCACTGACATACCAGCAACACCAATGTCCCATCCCTTGATCACCTCGCCAGATCCGAGCTTAAAGGAGAAAGGCTTGCCCTTCTTGTTCGCTGCCGAGGTTGTTAGTCTATAACCACCGTCAAGAGATGCAGAAAGACTTACAGTCAAAGACCTTTCCATCCTCGAACTTGCCGATGTAACGCATGCCGACCTTATTTCCCTTCTTGGCTGCTGGGCCAGTACCGAGCTTCTTGTCATCACACTTAACACCTTGCACCATCTTGACGCCCAAGGTAGCCTTGCCCTTGGCATCCGGCGCAGCCTTTGCCTTCTCAGCAGACCCAGTTGGGCCCTGCTCAAGGTTCTTTGCGAATTGAACCTTCTTGTCAGACTTGTCGGATTTAGCAGCAGGACTTTCCTTGATATCGACCTTCTTTGACTCGTCAGCCTTGACGGCAGCAGGCTCGCCATTGTTCTTCTTCAGCTTCTTAAGCTGCTTCTTGCTCAACTTCTGCTCATCAGCAGAATCAGGTTTCAGGCTCTTGGCCATGATATCGTCGAGCGAAGCACCCTCCTCGATCGCATCAGCGGAGCGCTTATTCTTGCCCTTCTTCTCAGCACTGACAAGCTTGGGAGCCTCCTCATCGTCAGAATTGACCTCAGTGACTCGGGGGTTCTCAAGGGTATCAAGATCATCGCTCTCGTCATCATCCATCTCAAGATCAAGCTCATCTTCATCAGGGGACAAGTCATAGTCCTCATCATCCTCCTCCTCATCAGAATCGTAGACTTCGTGGTGGTGGTTGTGCCCATCTTCTTGGGGAATAACATAGTTTCCCGTGAGGTAGACGGTGTGGGTGCCAGAAACTTTGAAGAAGACCCGCTCATGCTCACCAATGGTGATGTCGAGAGGTTGTTGGAAGTTCTAATGGAAGTTAGCATGGTAAGATTTCGAGCCCAGGCCAAGCAGCATACCTTGGTTGTGTCAAGCGTGCAGAGAACAAACTCCTCAACCTCGATATCCTCAGAATCATCGTCACTGTCATCGTCGCTTTCCTCCTCATCGTCGCTGGTGGCCTTGTTCTTTCCCTTCTTGCTGACTTTTCCGTCCGCACCATTGGGGGCATCCTCCATTTCCTCATCAGAAGCACCGCCGAGGGAGTCCATGAGTTGTTGAAGTGCGGCAGCCTTTCTAGCCTTCTTTGACTTTGCTGGATCGCTTGGGCCTCCATTCTCTTCCTCTTCCTCAGACTCGCTCTCTTCGGAATCACTCTCAGCAAGCAGAGCACGCATATACTCCTCAGAGTCCTCATCGTCCTCGGATCCATCAGGTTGGCGGATGAGCTTCAGGGTGGCACGGGGAGCAACGCCTTCGACACTTGCATCAGCATCTGCGGGTGCGCTGGGATCAATGGCAGCCATTGTGATGCGGAACTGTTTATAGTGAGGTTAGCTTTGATTTTTTTTGCAGCTCGAGTCCAGCTTTGGAAGTTTTTCGCACTGGAGAACCCTGGCAGACATTTTGGAGAAAAAGATATAGCAGAAGTTCTTACGGTAGCAGGGAAGTCAGCAATTGCCGGTATAATATTATCTCCAGGTGGGACCTGAAGGCCATAGGTGGCAACTGTTGTTCAAGTTAGTTCACCGTCATTAACAGGAGCATTGCAGCATGGCGAAGAGATGCATGCTGAGACCGATTTACCTGGTAGAAGAGACATTTTGTCTATTGTTGAATGACTGTTCTTGGAAATCAACGGGAAGAATCAAGTGTCTCTAATTGACAAAATGGCTCAAGGAATCCTGTGTGGGGAGCAGGATTTGGGTTGTTTGGGAAAGAAGAGGAGCGGTGTCTAACAGAATATTTCACGAGGCGAGCAAGCTTCAAGATCTCTTTTTTTCTCCAGCGGGCACTAACCACGCTAAGATAGCTACCTAATCGCCCCGCCGACCGTCACGTGTGGACAGGGTAATCAGGTAGGTATGTCAAATGGAATGCTTGAGGCTGACTACATCCATAGCAGTGAACTGCTTCATATACTTTCCATACTTTATCTATACTCAAAATAAATCCTGCGAGAGGAACTTGTTCTGGGAACTGGATAACAGCATCCTCATCCCAATTTTTCCCCCCGTTCCTTACAAGCTGATCCGATGACAGCACCAGTACAAAATGAGCATCCTAAACATCTTGCTCCAACGTAGTTTGAGTCCACAGGTCCATGTTCATCACAAAGCCTTCTTCTTCTTGGAACTAATCTTCCCCACCACCACAGCCTTGAGTATTTGCCACAGCCACCAAATAATGTCGCCAGACTTGCTTCTGGTATAATTGACACCTTTGTCCCCTACATCGGCCATTTCCAGGACTGCTTCCGCTGCTGGCCCAGGCAACTTTTCTCTGATATACGCTGCTATCATCTCCTGTCCATTCGTGATTCCTCCTGACGTAGTTGTTAGCACAGATCTAGGACGAATGGAATGGGTTTTATGGAGATTGGAAATGTATCCAAATGCGTACCGCTCGTCCAAATATTTCCGTCAGTCACCCATCTTTTCTCATCTACCCACTTCACATCAGGAAATTTCTTTTTCAGGGCAGGTACTAATGCCCTTGGACCACTGGCACTCTTTCCTCTCAGAATTCCGCTCTGACCTAGCATATATATGCCGGTACAAATGCACAACATGTCAACATACTCTCCATCTTTCCCCTTCCAGCCAGCATGAGCCCTTACAAAGTCCAAGATATCTTCCTCGAAGACTGAAGACGGATCTGGCCCTGGAATAAGGATTATGTCCAGTAGTCCTGGTTGAACTTCAGCATCTTTGATTGTTTTAGAGACCTTGAGAAATGCGTTTGCGGTCAATTCAACATGGGCTCCTGTCTGTGGCAGCGCGATGTAATGTATTACCGAGCGTGTCCCTAGGTTGACCAGAGGAGCAGGAAGCGTACATGCCGTGAGATATTTTGGACTCAGCATCGCGAAGAGATCGATAGGAGAGAGATCTAAGAGCTGTGCGCCGACGGGGACGAAGACCCCAATTCTTAACTTTCCGGGTTTCGCCATTGTCTTCAGGACCAGAGCATAAAATGTAGAAGCTGAGGTGCGTTTGCCAATTGAATTTTTTGGAATACCACGATCTTATAACCCGTACCCGCACGGGATCATGAGCAAAGCTGCGGAGTAACTAAACTGGCGGTTGTAACAAGCGGATCTAGTATATCCGCAGACGCGAGATCTCCACAACATGCTTGACGATCTTCCAGAACAAAGGTTTTGCTCCACGGAATCTTCTCGTTCAAACGCTTCTGGCACCATCTGTGATGTGATGCTGTGATCACCTCGGTGATGTCTGCTTGCTGTCGCTTGGGTGTGTGGCTGCGAGGAAGCATACGGAAGGCCCACTGCTACAGTAGACGAACGGGGCTGTCCTTGACACGATTCTTTTCTTTGGCATGCCGTCGTCTGGTTGCGGCAAGACATTACGAGCCAAACTACATTTTTGCTGACGGAAGATTTCAAATATTCACTGTGGTACATGTGTGTGCGTTTAGGTGAGATGTCCCATGCGTCAAGTAATTACTGCCGAAAATTCTTCGTATTTGCGATTGTAGCCGGTGCAGGCTTGTTTGCTGACAGCAGCGAGCTCCAACCAGCCACAATGACTGAATGTAGGTGCATTTGCTCTTTCATAGTTCAGCCAGCAATTCTCTTGGGAGTGTGAGCATGGAGGCGACTTAGGTGGGTGAAAGCAGTCTGCGGGACCAACCCCCGAGAGCTTGCGAAAGAGTTGCATAGTATGAGAATAAATTCGTTCCGCAGCACTTCTGGTTGTTAGCTGTATAGAAAGCACGGCCTCTTCACCGCAAGCAACCAACATGCTTCTTCACGTCTGACGAGAACTTGTCAGGGGGTGGTTCTTGGGAAAGTGCGGGCCCAAGGTAACCACAGTTTTATCTAGAGTTCAGCTCCGCTACGACAAGAACTTGGTTATTCCAGACTGTACTTTCTTCTCATTCAATATCATATTCCTTAACTCTGTTTCCCTGTTTTTGTTTTCCTTGACGAATTTGTTAAGCTCTCAATATTCCAATTATTTCAACAACCTGTTTTACTTCAGAATTCCTATTGCTCGACATCCCTCCTTTTTCAACTAAACGAAGTTCTCTAGTATCTCGGCCTTTTTCGTACCATTTGTCCTATGTCTGCTTCCATTTACACACGAAACACTGACGTTGTTTGTACGGGCTTGCATCCAATTACAGTCACCCGAACGGTAACGGTAACAGCACCTCCGTCGCACACCACTACATACAGTCCGCTGCCATATGTCACCACAGATCGAGGAACTGTCACCTCTGTGGATTATCATGGCTCCCGAGGCTCTATCTGGGCCTACCCTATTCGATGGCCAGTCCGTGACTGGGCAGTCGCCGTACGACACAACGTCTTTGTCGTTGTGATCATCGTGAACATCAACGTTGCAATCGTCGATAGACGAAGCAAGACTTTCATATCTACAGTCACAGACGCAAGAACCACCTGAAATCCAAAGTCTTCCCAGAAAGCTACGTACACTGCAAGAAACTCTACAATTTAGATGTCCACTCCTACCAAGATTCCACCATCCACTGGAAACAGCAGTCGTCATTTCGCTAGACCTTCGAGCAAGCCTTACTATACGGGAATCCAGGACACTAGTACCAATCTATTTCGTAGCTCCACCAGTAAGCCATATTCCACACGAAATGTCATTCCTAGTTCTCCCGAATACCGGACCACGGCCTCTGGTCCAGTTGTTCTACCCAAGCCGACAGACACCACTACTTGTTGTCAGATCAAGGGACGCAGAGCTACTCGGTGGTACGAAGAGAGGACGTTTGTATAACTGGAAGTGGGGTGAGGGGATACTAGGTGGTGACTGGATGTGATGGAAGGATTTAATGCAGGGGAATTTGTTTTGAGCATCGAGTACTGTTCCCGTTGAGCATTATAAAGGGCAAGTCTGGCCGCAATAAGCAGAAACATATGGTGCAACGGGCACGATCTAACCGATTGAATAGAAGTTACGTCTTACTGAAGACAGCTAAGTAGACATATGTTCTTGTATCTTTCCTTATCTCCTTCTCAAGTCAGCATCGATCCCCAAAATCAAGAGCCCGGACTATGTATACTGATTCGTGTTCTCAGGAACATGTATAGTTTTGCCCAAGCGAATAAACCCAGCTTGAACATGTCGACAAACAGCATGTACAAACGCAGCCTCATTGTCAAAAGTCCCCAAGTCCAACCCCTCAGCTTGCCAGTTGACAGTGATATTCATCGGTCCACCCCGGACACTCACAACATTGACTGACAGTGCAGCGCCACCATTCACGTCCGTCGGGCAACAGAATACCATCTCCTTGATATTACATTGACCAACCTTTCCCAAAGGCTGCAAACTCATCAAGTTACTGATCGCATACCAATCACCACGACGACTGCCAATCTTTGACAATGTCCAATTTCGTATACTGAATAAGTACCTTAGCAGAACAAGTGGCTGATCCTGGACTTCTCTTGCCCGGCTTGCAAGTCTTTCCGTGATAGCCCTGGCCAATTTCCAAGAAAAACTTCCATCCTCACCCCATGTGTCCTTTCGAAGAGGATGCATCTGGAAATCTCCCGATGCGAACACACCCATCTCATCATTTGAGATTCTGACCGTTGGCCGCATGTTGATGGCTGTACCAGCACCAAATCTGTCAAAACTATGAGGTCTGGGAAGACATTCTGAAAGTGCATCGAGAGCCAGCTGATGAAGCAAACCTGTGAGCTTTGCTCCATTCATGCGGCATAATTTCAGAGCATCATCCACTGTATCCCTGTCGATACTTATCAAGCTTACTCCAGTGCGATGAGTCTTTGCGTCATAGAAGATCGGTGTGCCAGTCCAGGTACTTGGTGTAACATCATTCAACTCTGAGCTGAAGTCAAAAAGTGAGGATATCCACTTCGGGAGGTATTGTCCAAGGAACGGGGACAAGAGATAAGACCATGAGATCGGTAGGTTCTCGGGTGTGTCGAATGCAGGACTGAGACGCTTGCGTGTCGGAGTACAGATCAAATCCGTCTCCAATTGTTGCTCTTGGAGAGCTTCAAGGAATGTTCGGTGAAATGCGCACCCTGACAAGCCATCACCTAAGGCATGGGAGTAGGCGAATGCTATGAAGAATCGTTTCCCCAAGAACGGCAGGACAACAATTTTCCAGGACGGAATCGTAGTCGTCAAAGGCTCATCAACAATATCAGGTAGAACTCTTTGTATCCTTGAGGACTCAAGCTCTCCATTCCCACCGCCATGCTGAAGAACTTAGATGTGCTGGCTCAAGTCAATGCGAGAGCAAAATTCGAAGTATGGTGAGTCGGTGTTATGCTTGGCAATGGTGGTGCTCATGCGTGGATGAGCGTCTATGCAACTCCTCAGAGCATGATTGTAGGTGGAGACAGACTTGATATCCACTGGTCTGAAGAACTCGTAGATTCCGCCGACAACGAGAGTGCGGTAAAATCCAGGAGATTCACGGGCAACACATCGGACTTCATTGGGACCTAGTTTGGGATGTCATTAGATCGTTTTGAGAATTATAGAGTTGTCATAGATACCAGCTGCTCTAAGAAAGGTTTCACCTGCCGGTGTCCTCGACCCAAGTGGCAACATCATCAGTCGCTGCCCACACTAGATTATTGAATGGTTCGTCTAATACTTTCGTAGAATACCTCTAAGGTACAGGGTTTTCTGTCAATGCTTGAAGAAATGGGATATGTGTTCCGAGAGTAAGAAGGTTGCGAAGGCCTGTGTAATAGTCTGTGATAGTCACCGATTGATAATCTGCGAAACTTGCTGTCACTACCAGATGCTGCTATACAAAAAGAGGGCAAGAAAACGAGACTGAGAGTCTGAAGTGATGGAGTTCTTGCTGTTATAACCTATTTGTGGTGGTAGAGCCCCTTGATATGGTACAGCACCGTCTTTCCTAAAAAGAAAACATACATCCGGTGGGGCTACAGCGGTTTTCTTACATGATCCTGGTCGTACTTAGCTTGACCAGTAAGCTTTGTTGGCATGGCTAAGTGTTCATTGATGTTGAGAATGTCTGTAAATGGTGTTTAATCATACTCTACTGAGACAGAATGAAGTTTCCCTTTGTAGTGGATGAAGAATAATTTAAACTCTGCTGAAAAGTTGACTTGAAGGAGAAAATCAGATAAGCCAACGGAAGTACCCAAAGTCGTTATGTACGTACTAACATTCAGCAAGAAGAATGTATCTGTGGCGAAAGTTCAATCTCTTTCTAATTCAAAGGATGTTCGTGCACAACCAAGTAAACATTTATTTATGTTTGCCTTCGCTTAGACAGAGGCGAGGTGGGGCGTCATCCCGAAAGACCTGGAAAGCCGTATACACTAGCCGGCCAAGGCCTGAAGTTTGTCAGTATTCAGGGTGCGACCAATCTACCTGATTTATTCTGATCAACAGTATCAAATCCGAAAGTCCCATAACTTGTGCTTGTTACAACTTACTATGCAGCTTTGCTCCCATCAACATTTCAACAAGCGGAAAGTATGTTGGTCAGGCTATCTAGCTTCAAATTAAAACTTTTTCACCAAAGAATTTACCTAGTAAATGATCCTAGAGTTTCCTCCTATGCCTGAACCCAAGATGTTGGTCTCGTGTCAATCTCATCATCATAGCAGATCATGGTCACGTGCAGCAAAGTTAATTTTCGATGCCAAAATAAGGTAGATTTCAGTTGACCTAAATACCCAGGCGGAGCTCGTCCACTCTTCGTCACTCATATCAATTTAGTCGCTAAGCGGCACTCGGAAAGGAAACAAACGCGGCTCGCATAGTTCATGTCAGAAGCAAGTGTCAAGATTTATACCGGTCGTATGATACGGCCGTTAGCGTCAGCTAAATTTCCACGATGTTTGTGAACACCTTGATGAGGGATTCATTAGTAAACTCTTTATTGTGTCATTGAACAAGAATATGGTATCTTTTCATATGCAGCTTTTAAAATTAACACTCAGCTCCGCCTGTTTTCACACAATCCGGTGACGCACATAGTAAGCTGGAGATATACTCGGAGCGAAGCAGACGAGTCGCGCCGGGATCTCACAATGTAGGTACAGCTCCAACTGTAACGGAAAATAATTTGGCAATACTTCTTCGTGGCCATCTGGACTACATTCGATTCGCACTTCTAATGTGTCAAGAACTCGCTATCGACAAAATACTGGCTTCGAAGTCAACAGCCTGGGGCCAAGGGACGCGGGCAAACCGCTAAGTTTGGAGGTCTCCGTACGCTGGAACGATGTATATTCCATTTATTTTTCCGTCAGCGAAACAAGGCTCCCAGTGAGACGATGCTCTTATGTTACTAATCTTGAATTTGGGGCCGTGGTTGATGCAACAATGAAGTCTGTGGTCTTGAGGTGCTTAGTGTACACCCTGCATGGTCCAAGCCCTGTCATCAACATGTGCTATGGAACGCATACTGATGGCATGTTCATTACTACTAACTCCGACCCCCAGCTTGATTAACTGTTCAGTACTGCCGTATTATCCGATACACTGGGCTACAAATAGCGGGGTCTTATTAGAACTGTGCTTCTTGAATGAGGATCTGACGTTCCCCTTGTGCCGAACTCCTATCCTTCCTTGATTTCTCACGGGAAACCCCTTTTACCATTTTGTAATAACTCACTTATGGTCTCTTCTTCCATTTACTAGTAGAAGATAATCGATTCCGAAACTATCACCAGTCAATCATGCCACTGCCTTCGCCGCATCAATCACCAAGCGGAAACAATTTCGATGCAACATCGACTTCCATGAAAGTCGATTCGAGCATTACAAAACCTGCCACCTTAAAACCTTTTCCTCAGCAAAATGCAGAAAATTTCCAAAATGATTCTCCGTCAAGCCCGCCTCTTCCGAAGCAATCAGTACTTCGCCGAGCATGGAGGAGAATCGGCATCACACCACAGGTTTTCATGATCATGGTCAAACCATCGATTTCTGCAGTCATTGCTATGGGCATTTACCAAAAACACTCGGTTGCAGTCAATTACTTGAACCTTGGATACCTTATTATCATCATATCCATCATTTCTGTTCCCATTCTACCTCGTGGGAAATATCTGATGAACTTGTTTCTGTGCCTGGTGAGTTTCATTCCCACTTGCAACATCCACTCACGGTGCCACTTTGCCAGATTGGTTCCTTCCATTTTATAACTCTAATCTGTGATTTTGATGTCAGTTCTTGACATGCTTCGCATGTGGAATGGTCTATTTAGGGATATGGGCGGGAGTCAAAGCTCGTCAGCACACTACTCCTCCAGATGCATCACCCTCGGTCGCTCTAGGTTACAACTCATCTGCCTCTGTGGTCAATGCAATATTCCTGATGGTCAACATGTTCGGAATAAACACGCTCCGAGCAAGCCGATTATCCCTCAAGATTCCTTCCATCCATTACACCATTTTCACATTGGTTGGCTTCACGTATGGCCCCCAACAGGCGACTGTTGAGCACGCCAGAAGGTTTACAAAGGAGCTTCTCTATGCTTTCCTTACTGGTTATGGCATTTCCGCAGGAGTTTCACGGTTCATTATTCCAGTTTCATCGAGGAAGGTGTTCTTCGGGGAGGTGATTGGTTTTCTGCAGAGCTGTCGGGGGCTGTTGAAGACCCAGCTTGACTTTGTTCAAGTCCTGGACCATTTGGAGATGTGTGATGGCACGCCAATGGACAGCTCCAATTCCGATAGAGCGAACAAAGGTGACATGAAAGAAGAGCGAAAAGCCGTGTTTGAGAAGAAACTTGGCGCTTTGAAGGCAGCATCGGGGAGTATTCTTGCTTTACAAGCCAAGCTTCGAGATGATGTGCTGTTTGCAGAGAGAGAAACTGCATACGGATATCTTACCGAAACAGATATCCGCAAGATATACGACCTATTACGAGATATCACGCTCCCAGTCTCAGGCCTATCAACAATTGGAGATATTGTGGAGAGAATGAGCGAAGCAAGTGAATTGCCTAAAACAGCTTCCGGAACCAGTTTTGGCGGCTTCTCCCAGGATGACCGGGAAGAGTGGCAAAACATGATCGAGGAAGTAAACGGATCATTCGACAGAATGATCACAGTTCTGGACGAAAGTATTCTTCACATCTTGATCTCCCTCAAGTTCATACCCCCACCAACAGCGACACCTGAGGATATCGAGAAAGGTCTTACAAATCCTCAACCAGGGCATATAGGGTTCGGCGATTTCCTACTACGGAGCACTGAAGAGTTTCGAGAGCAAAGATCCACCCATTTGCGTCTCTGGGCAGAACAGAGGGGTCTCAGCTCCGTTTTCCAGACGACAACAAAACATTACACAAGCCCATCGAAAGACCCCAAGAAAGATAGATCAGTGCTGAAAAGCGTTTCCAGTGAGGTGAGTACTTCTAAAAGATTACATGTAGTTCTGTACATGGAATACTTGCTCTACTCTGTCTGTATGGCTATTCTGAAGCTTGTACGATATGCCGAAGCGAAGGCTACAGACGGAACATTCAAGAAAAAGCGTATTATTGTGCCAAAACTCAAGACAATTATCCAATGGGTCAGGGGACTCATCACCGGAGAGGATGCAGACCCAACAGCGAATGTTGACCAATCTGCTGGCGTCGAAGCTGTGTACATCGGAGACTCATTCCGAGCATCAAAAGATCCTGAGCATCTTCCCCCGAAGACACTCTGGCAACGCTTTGGAAACTACTTTCGATACATACCAAAGTTCTTAGGCTCTGATGCTGTTAGGTTTGGTGTCAGAGTCACTATTGCCGTGATGAGTATCGCTGTCATGTGCTATGTTAGGCAGACCCATAAGTTCTTCATCAGACAAAGGGTGGTCTGGTGCTTGGTTATGATTGGAATTGGGATGAATTCTTCTTCAGGGAGTGCTATCTTCATTTTGCTGGGAAATCTGGTGGTAACCTTTATCGGCATGATCGGAGCCTACATCAACTGTACGTTGTTCGAGCAGTACCTGTCCCCTTCTTATGCAACAGAGCTACAACAGTGATTTTCTGCAACTAATCTTCCCAAAACAAATGGAAATAAGCGATTTCTAACTTGATGTTAAATCCAGGGTATATTGTGGATCAGAAGACAGCAGGGGTCATCGTGCTGTTCCTTTCTTCTTGATGTTTTATTTCTACTTTGTTGCAAAATTCCCAAGATTCTTGATTCCGATTGTGGCAGGCTGTCTTGCCCATGTGCTAGTTATTGGAAAGTCTCTCTTCTTTGTTACACACATCGCGCACCCTGCTGGCGATATCGACTAACAGGTGGATAGAATATGAGCTGCAAGTACGAGTCATCGGCCTTCGAGCGGCTACGGCAACTGGACAGCCTTTCTACCCTACATACAAGCTGGCCCCATACAGGCTCCTCACTGTCGGCGCAGGTGTCGTCGTGGCATATATCTTTACGATATTTCCAGTACCAATCACAGAAGCTTCAGTCCTTCGCCGTGATCTTGGCGGCTCTTTGTTTATCCTCGCTAAATATCTCAGCTCGGTTACCGCCATGGTTGACCTCAGGCTTAGCGACCAATGCGGTGATAAGGATTCAGCAACAGGCCATAGGAAAAGACTAGAAAAGCTGATGAGGAAATATGTGGACAAAGAAATTGCACTAGTGAATTCCATGAGACAAAACATTGGCTTCATCCCATGGGACATAAAAGTCGGAGGGGAATTTCCTATCAAAATCTACTCAGCTTTGGTGGAAGAGGTCCAGAAGTGAGTTTCTCCGACACCGAAGCCCTGCCCAAGTCATTTTGACTGGATCCAGCTAATGTTTTGGGATAGTGTCACAACTTATCTTACCATTATCGCATATGCATCCGAATCATTTCCTGCCGCGCATGCCCAGTTACCCTGGCTTGCACAGTTTGCTTCTCGACGCGATTCTAATGATCATGAATCACACAAAGTGACAACGCTTATTGCGCTAATCTCAGCATCTCTCACAAACGGCCAAGCACTTCCGCCGTATCTTCAAGCTCCTGCCGGCTTTCGCATCACGGATGAGTTTTTAGACCATAGTGACGGAGTTCTTAGTCTTAAAAACTTGAATGAACCTGGGTTTCGAAGTGTCGTTGTGATCGAAGTGGCGCAGAGGTGTGTAGAAGGAAGCACGCAGAGGATTGTGAACTTGGTGAGAGAATTGGTTGGGGATTTGGACTTCAGCTACTCCTTTACGACCCCCGTAGGTACATCGAGCTTGGAGGGAAATGGTGCAGGTGCCAAGCGGAGGTTGGATTGAACAACCGAGTACAAGAGTACGTCAGGATCGAGTAACAGACGTTGTCTGATAGGAAGCACTCAAAGAGCTTAAAATCCTGAGAAGTAAAGGATACATATATTCATGGAAAACCGAACTGTGCAGAACTTGGTTCTCTTCCATCACTTCACTGTTGCTTACTATCCTAAATTTCTCTTAGATTGCATCTGAATTCCCTGAACGGGCCAAAATGTCTCTCAGACAGTACTTGCATCTCCATACAGACCAAAGACAACCAACACAAGTCGTGACCTTCTGAAAAGAGAAAGGTCGAATACGACTAGAAAAGTTGCACTGATCATATTAGAATACATTCTTTCTGAACCTCTTTTCAAAGTTTGAAACGGCTATTGGTGAGGCCAGAGCATCCATGCACCGCAGGTCAGACATTGGGTCACAAGGGAAAATCGTCTATGAGGGTACCTACGGATGGACATATAAGGGCCATTTTGTAATTCTCAAAGGCTGAAGGAAATCCATCTCCCCAGTCGCAAAGTGCAACACAAAATCGCGAGGTGTAGCTATGTTCTGTTTCGAAAGGGGGCTCCTGGTGCTTTCTGGCTGAGTATATGCACATGACGGCTGTACGGAGTCTTGGTAGTTGTCGGTGGTGTCACAGTCTTCCAACTCCCCATGACATCCTGTGATCACTTCTCATCTCCTTTCCTAGTTCTTGGCTATCATTGGCTGACGCGGGTTTACAAAAGGAGGCGCCAGCCATGAAGTTAACAGACTCCATCGTGGCAAAGAAGAAATAATGTACAATTATTTATATATCGTTACAAGTCCCCAACCTGTGATTCCTAAACACAATGCATTCTGTTAGCAACCACTTCCGGCCTCTGGTTCTATTTGCTGAACGCATCTAAAGTCTATCTGGTTCGTGACAAGATTGATTTCCATTATTTCCACCTCGAACCTATCCCCAACTTCGAGGTCTTCTGGCTCAATGCTGGACGGTATGCTCATTTGCCCGCCAAGAAGTAATTTCGAAATCAATCCTCCAGCAACCCGAGTGTCGGGGTTTATACTTCGTACAGTAAATTCCAAAGGATCAGGTAGTTTGGCTTCGCCAAATTTCCAAGATCGAAGGACGAACTGAAGTAGCGTCCTCCGTTGTGCCTCAGCCGCCCTCTTAGCAATGAGTCTCTCTCGGCCTGCCATGTGTGGAAGCATTTCATCGAGCTGAGCTTGAGAGAATGGCAAATACTCGGCGTTTGATTTCCCAACAAGTGACTGGCCAGTTCTGGCTTCTTCTAATAGTGCAGCCTCGATCTGCCAATGAGCAAGAAGGTCGCCGAATCTGCGAAGAGGACTGGTAACCCTAGCAAACATGTCCAGACCAAGGGCGACATGAGGGCCAGGGATTGTCGATGGCTGTACTTTCCCAATAAGTGTGAAGTAATTACGCATAATCTCGGTAGTAAGTACTCCCTGCTCTTCTGCGGGCCGCAGAGTCTGTACGTAGTACTCCGTGGGGTTTTGCTTGTATGGGATGCGAGGAGTAATCCGATATGGTATTGGAATGCTACGCTCACTGCACCATCTTGCAGCCACCTCGCCAGTCAAGATCATGAGATTGCCCACAGTATCTATCTCATCACTAGCTACCAAGCTTCCAGTGGACTTCTGTATTCCGACACGGATTGTTGGATCGCCGAAGAAGTGGAGGCTGTCGGTAAGATTTTTCGGTTTGGTCCAGGGAAATCCGTTGAAAGACATGTGTATTAGTGGCCGGGGATTTCCCTTACTGATGCCGCCTCTAGCTCGTAACACTTCTTTCCGAGCTTCGCCAATGGTCTGGAGAATTCTCATGTTCTCTCGCTCCTCTCCAGATACCTCATCGCTTCGGAGTAATCGTCGAGTCGCCTTAGGTTTAGCCTTGGCGTTTCCCACGACATACATGTCATATTCAAGTGGATCGTGTCCCATTGTGATTTCTCGAAAGGTGTCTTTTGTCAGATACTTGACATTCCGAACAGTGCCAGGCGTGATCTTACTGTCAAGCAATTCACCTTGTAGGTTTATCTTGGTGCTGAACGTCAAGCAGGGTCTCCCGTGAGCAAGACTGAAGTGCTTCTGAGTATAGGCCGGTGGTAACATAGGCACAACTCGGTCGGGCAAATATACGGTTTCGGCCACCCTCTCAGCAAATTGACTCAGCTGGCCCCGGGGATCAAGGTGAGCTGCAGGATCGGCAACATGAACGTGGACCCAGTAAGTGCCTGATTCATCTGTCCGCTCCAAAGAGAAGCCATCGTCAATTTCGAGTGCATCTGCATCGTCAACACAATAAATGGGCGTGGTACCCCAATCTTGCCGCATAGCAGCTAGCTTATCTTCCGTCAAACCTCCAGCAAGGGACACTGGCGGGTGCAAACGATGCATAATTGCGTCTTGTCTTCCTGCGTAAGGAAGTCTGAGGTCGAAGGTTGATCTTCCTTCCCATGGGGGCAGGGCTCCAAGTTCCAGCAGGCAGGTCCATGCCGTCGCTACATTTAACTTCACATCTGGATAACGGTCAATCATTCGCAGAATAGCAGATCCTACTCCATGCAATGAAGATGATGGCGGAAAGCTTCGCAAGCACGCCCAAGACTCTAGAAACCTTACGAAGAACATATCAGTAACTGTGAAGCGTTCTCTAGACGTTCCAGTTCTAAAATTCTGGTCTGGCTCCAGCGTTATCAGGGAAGGTCCAATTGCCCCGTGTGGGGTAAATGAGCGATTGGCCCGGCTTAGATCGATGAGACGTTGAGCTGTTTTCACAAAATTCACGACTTCTGAATATCCGGAAGGAGCCTTCTCTCCTGCTGCATCTTGGCGAAGTAATGTATCCGTATATTCTCGAACCCATCCAACAACTCGACGAATGCATTCAACTTCACTGGATCCATTGATCTCGTATTGCGGAGTCGACCTCACGGCCGTGCTAGATGCCAGTGCCGAGAAGCCAATATCGTCTTTCAAAATTGAACGGTGGACAGCATAGAGGACCGGCCACTCGTACTTCCCATCCTCATTCTTTGGCACGCTCTTCGGGAGGACTCTTGCAGCGACTTCTTGAAGTGTGCAATACTTGTAATATGAGGTATCTGCCACCTTTTCATGTGCACCGTCCAGATTCATCGCAGCTCTTTGGTATGTGGAATCGGCTTTGTTCCAGAATTCGATCATTTTCCTTACAAGTGAGTGTCCGATACCGATAGGAACAGATTCATTGAAGCTTTGTAATCTGCCTTCCATGGTCGAGTCAACTGCCTCGCGAGGTAGGTATGGAATTAACTCATCGAGTTCCCGGGGGTGGACAAACCCAGGGACGAAGAAACTTATTCTCGCCGAGCTTCGCATTATCCAGCGACCGGACATAGTATAAAATTGGGCCTGATGATCTAAGTCCCGGATGTAGATGGCCAACTCCTGTCGCCGATTACCAACAGAACTTGTAGAATCAGCACTATAGTACAAGAGGCGAGGAACCGAACTCACGTAAGCTCAACAAGATCTCCAGGTAAGAAGAAGTTCCGCGAGTCACCAACATCGACCATATCGAAACTCTCCAAGTCCAAAGCTTGAGGCTGTTCATCGAGATTCGATATAGCTTGAACTTCGCCGCCAAAGTCATCGTAGCAAGCTCCTAGAACAGTATTGCCAACCTCCCCGGGTGCAGGCTGATCCTTCAATATGCCTATGTTGTGATGAGATGAGGCATTCTCTATCTCCCATTGTCGCAGGCGCTCGCGGATCGGTATCGGTGGCGGTTGAAAGGGTAAAGATGTATCTGTCTGGGATTCCAACGAAGAACGAGCCTAGAAAATCTATTAGAAAGTGGACATAATACTTGGAGTACTTCTTAATCTTACTACACGACCAGCATGGAACTGCCTCCAAAGTCCTCCAGGTCTTCCAATTTGTAAAGCTGTGGTCTGCGATGCCCCAAGAAGGCCTCGAGCAGTTGTGCTGAACCAACTGCGGTTGTGTTTTGCGAGACATCGAAAGCATACAAACGGCTGAGTGATCTGTTTTCGATTTTGGGAAGACCGAAGCATAATGAAGAAGAAATGGCAGCGAGAAATCACTTTGATTTACATGGGAACTACTTTCCTTCCTTCCAGCAGCTATGTCCCAAAAAATATCTGGACGACGCGACAGTCGTGACTATCGGCTGGCCCGTGCACATCAGACTTCTTCAAATTTTTCTTGAATTTCCCTTCGACAAATCCCACTTGTCCATCCCAGACAGACAACCGCAATTCGTCCATTTCCTGATAGGTATGTCAGTCTCTCTGTAACTCTCCTACACCTCACAAGTATGATGAACAAAATAGCATGTATTACCTGAACCAGCCAGTTTACTGGTCTCGATATGTGGTCAATATCACCAAGATCTCTGACTCTACTTAACATTTCTGAAACCCAACCGCCTACGTCGATAGCTGCATATGCTGACCAGCTGAAGATCATACTTTGAAGGTCGTTCAGTTCGTCATGTCGACCCCTGCGAAGGTGCCAGCAGGGCATTTTAAAATTCTGTACTTCGCATCCGCTGGTTCCTACACGGCGAAAGACTCCGAACATCTGCCAGCACCTCTTCCAATTACGAAACTCTTCGAGACGCTTGAAGAGAGATACAGTGGTATGAAGAGTAAGGTTCTCGAGAGCTGTCTCGTGACGGTCAATTTAGAGTATGTTGACGTGCCGGAGGACACCGATGCTGGGTGTGACTTCACAATCAAAGAGGGAGATGAGGTCGCTATCATACCTCCTGTGAGCTCTGGATAAGTAGTCGGGGAAGCCCGATACAATACAATTGCCATACCCTACATCAGATCAGTACTACAATGGAGCGTCGTGTCCAGGACCGGATAGATGGGAATACCGGGATCGTTGCATCTTGGTGTCACCAACTAGGACCACCAGGAGAGACAGATTCTCTCTGCCACATGGCAGAGTGAGGGTTGATATATAAAGAGCGAGGAGCCCTATCAGATCCCGAAAACCAACAATAGGTCGGCAATATATACAAGCATTGCCTACAACCACTTCCCTCTATTCAGCATCCAACAACGGCCTCTGCTCGTCCTCGACCTCCTGCTCTGAACTACTCCTCGCAACGTCAACCAACGCAACCCTCCACTGACTCCACCCTCTCCAGAATCGCCACCACTCCTCACCCCTGACTCTGCCCCTATCCAGCCAAGCTCGTCTCGCGTTTCTCCCAAGAAAGAATGTCGCGATCACCAACCCCATGACCACGAACGAAGCGAGAACACTCGCGACACACGTCAGAAAAGTGATGGTTGAGACGTGACACCCTAGGGCACTGGTCCGCAGTTCCCATCTCTCGTACCAGAGAGGACAGATATCTGGGTGAGAGAACGGAGCGAGGAGTTGGGGATGTGAGGGGTTGGGAATGCATGTCCCTGACTGTACGTCTGTCAGCCAGATGGCCATCGATGCTTCTCAAACCTCTCTGTCCATCCTCCTATTCAATGACGGCAGGCAGGGATAACATGTGGACTTGAAGGAGCAAATATGATAAGAGAGGTCCAGTAGGTAATCTTACAGCCGGACACCAACTACACCTCGCATGTCTTGTACCCAAACATCCACCACACTCCTGTCTTCTCCAGCAAATTCTTAACCACTGATCAAATGTATCATTCCCAATACTCGTATCAGATTGGTCGTCTGTATGAGGCTGAAGCCCAAGAACCATTTGGTTGGTTAAACCCTAATCCTGACGGGCGGTCAGGCGATAGTTACGTCTGATTGGCTTCCAAAGTTTGGTGAATGTCGGCGCTATTGGGGAGGAGAGCAGAGCAGCGAGTATTAAGAGGTGAGATGTGTGAGATGCTATATAGACATAGTTGAGTGATACAATATACCGACGCTGCAGATCTAGTCTCAATCCGTTGTCGGCTGAGCCAAGATATCGATTTGAGAAGATGCATCACATCACGTGGATCTCAAAATAGAATAACTCGGTACCTACAGACAAAGGACTTGCACATGCCTATTGTATATTTCTATGTCAGACTAAACGGATTGCGTGTTTTGTCTAGGTATGCAAGATTAATGAACCATTAAGTAGACTATTACACGAAATTCAGGGTTCGGAATCATCTATAGAATGGACCGCATAGTACTACCGATTTGTAGGTAACATCTGCACTCCACGAAACTGCTCAAATGCCCAGTCGAGGGCCCCATGCCACGAAATTCTGTCCACAGAAAAGCAAATCCACCCAATAACATACAAGAACCCTTGACCACTCTAATGCTCCAACAGTCTCAGTGAACCTTGAACGACAACGTTCTCGAGGATAGATCCGGGAGGAATATCAATTGTGCTGCCTTCTGTTGCTACGATGATGACGGTACCCTTCAGGGTGACGCCTCGGCCAAGGTTGACAGCTCCAGTGATGGTCAAGTGGTCGAGTTCAATGATCTTGGGGATGCTGCCAATGCGCTTCTGGAAGTCTGAGACCTTCTTGAAGTCGTTGCCGAGCTTGATAAGAGGAGCTGGGCCGAAACGGTTTGGATCAATTTGGAGTTGACCATGCTTCAATGAGTACAGATCCGACTTGACAAGCATAAGATCAGAGCAGGTTTTGACGGGCAAGAAGCGTCTACGTGGAACGTTGACACCGTGTGCGTTCTTGAAGTGGCGAATGGCAGCTCCAACGGCGGTCTCAAGCTGGACAATCGAGACATCAGACTCGCCCTTCTTGTCAGCTGGAATTGACTTGTTGTTGGGAATAATCTCCATCTCGAGCTCGTTGTTTTCTACGATGCGCTTGACGGCCTTCAAGTTCAGCCAGATGTTGTTCGTGTTGAAGTACTTGAACTTCTTAATGGATTTGAACTCGTTGGTATGCTCCTTTGGAACTTGAGCGATCTCGAGAAGACGAACAGACCCCTCGTAATCAATGATGGTTCCACCCTTGACATCTGCCTTGGTCTTGTCGGTCAACTCCATAATGTACTCGGCCTCAGTCTTGACCATGTGTTGCAGAATTCTCAAGTCAACAACGGCGCCCAAGTTGTCGACGTTGGAAAGGAAGAGGATCTCAACACCACGCTCAATGAGCTTATCGAGGATACCAGAATTGTACAGAGACTCGAAGACATCACCGTGTCCGGGTGGGTACCAATCAGAGATTGGCGAGTTGAATGACTTTGGTGCAGGGAGGAGGGAATCCTTCAAGATTCTGGGGTATCGGGATTGGTTGAAGGTCAAGATATCAATGTTGTGCCCTTCGTATTTCTTGATAATGTTCTGGGTATCATCGTCGGTGTTGAACGAGTTCATGAGAACGAAGGGAACATTGACGTCGTATGTACGGTTAAGATACTCGATTTGTCGAACTGAGAGGTCGAGGAAGGACATGCCGTCGCGGACCTCGATAACAGACTTTGGTCCAACACATCCCATGGACGTTCCGAGACCACCGTTGAGCTTGAGGACAGCGAGCTTGCTCAAGAAGCCGACAGATTCGGAGTTCGCAAGGTCATTGTAGTCAACAACCTGGTTTTCGGCAGGTGGTGCAATACGGTCCCAATCCCTGACTTCGATTAGCCTACGTAATCCATTCTCCAAATCGACGACTTACAAGGTGTTTCCTTTCGCCTTGTCGTTGAGGTATCTTCGGAATAGCGCAAAGAAGTTATCCATTTCCGTCTCGAAAAGCTGTGAATTCATTTAGCAAAGTCTTACGAAAGAATTGTGAATCAAACATACCTTCTTCTCTGTGGGATCGGTAACGGTATCTGCGAGGTTGTTGAGAGCATTTCGCATTTGACTGGCAGCCACTGACGTCGAAGTATTCTCGAAAGCCTGAGGATGGTTTGTTAGCAGTGCCGAAGCCATCATGGTTGGCGAGTAAGAAAAAGCAAGCGGAACAGCAGATCTTGCAGACTTGGGACCTCCAGATTGAAGTAAAGCGGGTTTTCTGGGAACGCAAGGCTTGTTGGGAACTCCGTGGGTAAGGAGATTGACAGGCTTATAACCTTCAGGAAGAGCAAAGCCAAGAGCAGGAGATCCTTGGAAGGATGATTCTGGACCAGCAGCGTTGAAAGACTTGTGGTCTCCAGGAGAAACTCCACGAGTAGTGCTTTGAGGTGGAGGATTGGCAGAAGCTGCCAAAGAAAGTAACCCAGGACCTGCAGACTTGGGACGTTGGTAGGTTGGCATATTTGGAGACGAAGGGTGAGGACGTCCAGGTTGAGCAGACAAAGCCGCTTCCATGAAGCTGTTTCTGAAAGCGCTGTTCTCCCAAACTTCTGCTGGAAGGGAGGAGAGCGGAGATATGCCTTCCTGAACTTGCGGGGCGATTCTTGATGTTTGGAGGGTTACCGATCTGGTAGGTCGCAAGGCTGGGTGCGTTTCCCAAAACTTGATCTCTGGCAATGGTACAATTGTCGTACCTGGTGCGAAAGCTATGGGCTGATAGTGAAGATCTTCGTTGCTTCCAGGAAATGCAGGACAGGCGTGGATACAGATTCCTGGGAGATATAAACAATGTTGGTGTCCTGTCTTCCACGTATCCACGTCGAGCTCTGGGAGACGGGGAATGTCGTCCATGATAGTGTCATTGATCCAGAAGCAATTCTTTCGAGGAGAGTTGTGTGATATTCGAGGTCCTGAAAGATCGTGCTAGACGACGAGTTCCATCTTCGAAGCTCTAGCAACTTCTCAGGAGTTGACCTTTGAGCCAGGCCTGATGTCTGCAGTTGTCTCCCAAGTCTGCAGTGAATCTACGGCTCCACTTAAGCAATGAAAGGAAATACCAACTCACCATATGCGATTGAGTCTTGCCATGATGCTTTTTGGCAAACTCAGCTTCCCCATTAGAGCCACCAAGAGCGGACTTCAGATGTCCTGGGAGGGCATTCTTCAAGGCAGCCATTCTAAGGATGTGAACGTATCGGGGTTTGATAGAGGTCGGAGGTAAGATTATAAAGAATTGGTGTGTGTTCTCTGTTGATTGAGGATAGAGGATAGGGGATGGAAAATGAGGAGGATAGACTAGCTTTTCTAGAGAGGAGAGGGGAAGCTGTTAGCGGAAGCTCGTGCTGGCGATCCTTCAGGGAAGGTACGTTGACGTAATTGGTAGAAGCTGCAGCTCTGAACAGGAAAAAAGATAGAGCGGCGGCAATGATTGGGATTGGCTTCAACAAAATGAGTGACTTACTGACAGCTGGTTCACGTACACCTGGAATGACGGGAAGACAGTAGAGTGGAGATGGAAGAGGTTCGAGGACAGACGGGATGGGATGGGATGGGATTCTTTGTTTATTATGTACCCGTGCCCGTGCCCGTGCCCGTATGCATACCTGCCAGCCTGCCTACCTACCAAACGTCGGTCCCTAGTAGTAGTAGTAGTAGTCTATGGAAATTAAATATTTTGTCTCAAAAGTGAAGTCCAAACCCGCCCAGCAGCCAGGCAGGGCACCCAGGCAGGTCGGCGCACGCCGCGGGGCCTGCTAGCCCAGAAGTGGCGGCAGCAGGGGGTGGATGTGCTCTTAATCTCGAGCTTTCCCTTGTTTGCCCTTGCCCTTGCCTGTGCCCGCCTGGCCTGCCCTGGCCTTGGTCCCTCTCCCTCCCAGGCTCCCAGGCTCCCAGCCAGCCAGTCCTGATCCGCAGCATTATTTTCGTGCTTTGCTTCGCTGCAACCTCCTGCTCAACGGCAACGGCAACGGCCCCACACAGTCACAGGCTACCTAGCCTAGCCTAGCCTAATTTATCATCATCCCTCGTCTTCTTCGTTCGTGCTGCAGAACTCATCCCACCAAGTGGCAAATCGCTGCATCTATCGCCCAATTCTCCGCGTTCCGTAGGGATCGGAGTTCTTGGACTGAAGTTTTTTGCCTGCAACATTCTATTTACAAGCCAAGCTGTCACTCCATGGCCGACAGCTGCGCTGCGCTGCGCTGCACTCCAGGTTGTCTAGCCAAATTCCCCACACACCAGAGATACAGTACAATAATGGTGGATTACCTACGGTGTTCGATGCCCCATCAGACCCAGAATTTGTCCAGCAGAAAAGGGGGTGGGATGTGGATGTGGACCTGGCTTTTGACGGCCCTTCACGGGAAGAGCTGCAGCGGCCCAAGTCCAGAATAAAAATAATCTCATAAGTAGCAAAACCCGAGACACCTGTCTAGAACGGAACCTACCTAAGGTAAATTTATCTACGGAGGTACAGCGGTTAAGTGTTGTCGGTGGAGCAGCAGGGGGGGTTCAGAGCTTAACTTAAAGGGGTAACATCACGGAAATGCGTCTTGCACGCGTTTCTATTGTAACTTATGTAGATTCTCATGACAACAACATCAATTAAATGCCTTTTGTATAATGGATTCTCTAATACTCTCTGTACCCTCAATACCTTCGGAGCAACCTTTGCCTTCGCCTTCGCCTTCGCCCTCAGCTCTGTCTTCGACTCAAAAAACTAAGGCTCTTGAGCTTACACGCGATCAACGCCGCGATATCGTTCTTCTTCGTTCAATTGGCTGGTCCTACTCTCGAATTCAAGCTTATTTACCTAATAATCCAACGATTCGTCAAATATACTACTCTTGCAATACTCGAGCTACCCCAAAGAAGAAGCCGGGTCGTCCGCCAGTACTAACACAAGCTCAAATCGAGGAATTAGTCGAATTTGTGTGTACTAGTCGAGAAAATCGTCAAATGAGCTATGCCCAACTTGCTCAGGCACTTGATTTTGGGGTTAAAAAGGACGCTATTCGTACTGCCCTTTTGAAAGAGGGCTTCCACCGACGCCTGGCAATGCGAAAACCACCGATTTCCGAAACAAATCGAAAGATCCGACTTGCCTGGGCTCAAGAGCATAAGGATTGGACAATGGAGCAGTAGTACCGGATACTTTGGACCGACGAGACTTGGATTACCGGAGGAAGGCATACACGTACCTAGGTTACTCGAAGAGCAGGAGAGGAGTGGGACGAGACCTGTATCGTAGAGCGGTATCAAAGAAAGAAAGGCTGGATGTTCTGGGGTTGCTTTCACGGGCATACCCAAGGCCCTGGGATCTTCTGGGAGAAGGATTGGGGCTCTATAAAACAAGAGTCCTACTGCCAACACACCGTACCCGTGATTCATGGATACATTAAGCTGAAAAGGAGAGAGGGAATAGACCTAGTCCTTATGCAAGACGGAGCACCTGGACACGCTGCCGGAGAGACAAAACAAGAGCTCGCTGAGAGAGGAATCATCGTTATCTTTTGGCCGGCATTCTCTCCTAACCTTAATCCAATCGAAAGAGTATAGCATATTATGAAGAATTACCTTCAAGATAATTACCCGGAAAATATGTCCTACGATCGCCTTCGAGTTGCAGTAAAGGATACGTAGGAAAAGGTTGGAGAGCATGCCTTTAGAGAGCTAATCGAGAGTATGCCAGATCGTTGCAAAGCAGTTATTGAGGCAGAAGGGAGATTTACTAAATATTAATCATTACTTTGATGCTTTTCCTATACAACTTTCAATAGAAGACGCATTTCCGTGATATTACCCCTTTAAGTTAAGCTCTGAACCCCCCCTGCTGCTCCACCGACAACACTTAACCGCTGTACCTCCGTATCCAGGAAGAAACATCTACGGGGTAAACCATACCTAGTTTTCGTCCAAGGTACAGCGCTACGGTATCAGAAAGGCTCAAGCTCCATATTCTTCAGCCGCAAAAAGAATGCTTATTTATTGTTTGGTGCTCCAAGCTTCATCTCCATCTGGTCTCCCGGATGGAACATTAGCAAGCCACTCAGCAACTCATCAAGCCGCCTTTTTGCCCTGTTAGTACAAGTTAACGGGCACGAAACCAAACACATTTGGGATCAATTTCAGGAGAGGCGTCAAATATCGATACGCCACAACTCTATCGACTTTCCTTTGTGGATTTAATGCAGCTCCCTTCGTAAGCCCAGCAATACCCTGAAACTTGTGCACGTGGGGGTTGTTCTCTGATCATCATGGAGATTGATGCCCAGTCGTGACAGCCACTGTGATGCAGAGGGACTGTAAGCAATATCTTGGCTTAGTGATCCGGCCAGAGGATCCGAGAGGGATCAATGCATCTAGCGATTTTCCCAATGTGGCAATTTGTATGCAAGAATCTTCGGTTTTGGGATGGCATCGGAATGTTCTCTAGTCACGTGATCAACAATCATTTCATCTGATTCCCAGCCTTCTTGCCCTCTCCTATTTTTGGGCGATCGGATCTGGATATTACTGATAGGAACTTCCACATAGCGAGTACCTACGAGGTTGCTGCGAGCTTTCGACTATCTACACGATGCTTGCTTTTCGCATGTCTTCTTTCTAAAGGGCATGAATGTAATTCACTTAAGCGATTATTGCAACTTTGGGATTGTCAAAGTATCTCTCAGTAAAGAGTGGAGTGACTGGATGGTGTTGGCTTCTTGTTTCTCATTTTGCACATCATTCAAGATTGACATTTACATCTCCAAATTTCATAACGGAGTCCGACTCTTGCCATTGTCTTCTAATCCTCAAATTGAGTGAGAGGACATTCCACGGTTGATAAAGGGTTTCTTCCCGCAGATATCGCTGTAACAGCCCAATTCAGATATGGTTACCGACATGCTCGATGTTCGCCCTCGAAGTTTATGTCCAAGTAGTTCCGACTACTATAGTACAAAGCCTAGTATCTTTGTATCTTATGGGAAAGGCTTGACGGCAGGAAGAAAATCAGTGTTCTCTATATTGTCGAAGGCAGTTACTGCCGAAGATGTACTTACTTTATGAAATGAATCCGGTCCTTGGGCAAAGGGACGAGTATTTTGGAAGAGAGCATCTTCAGTACCGTACTTTTTGTACCCCAGCCTTAAAACATATAGGTCAAGACGCTCAAAATTCGTCCCTCTTACCACAACGAGACCGCACTGCACTCCACTAATCTCAGCCCTACCTAGAAAAGGACACTCCAAGCAGGAAGAAGACCCTGTCCCCAAACAATTCCCCCATACCTCCCATAGCGGGCACCATCATCCATCCCCTCACTCCTCCCTCTCATCCAACACTTCTCGCCCGGCCACCCCTTGCACAATCAGCTTACTCCGCATTCTAACCACCACCGTGATCACTCACCACCAGAGCAACCAAACAAATCCAATAAAAGTTCTTCGAGGTGGTTTTGTTGCACGTCGAATCTCTTCGGCATGAAAACGTTCCGGTGCTGGATAGGACGGATTGTGCATGCCGCTCGTATACGTGCATTTGGCGGATGCAGATTGACCGCACCGTTGCTGGGCTCGGTTAGAGTTGCCCGCCTCACGTTGAACTTGTCTCGATACCCCGCCGCGGGGTTGTCCTCCATCCATCGAGAATTGGGGTCAAGCCTACGAACCTTGATCAAGGAATTTACTTGTTTTGGAAGAGACTGGGAGGGAAGGAGTAATTTGAGGTGGGAATTTAATTGCTTGTTCGTAGCAGTAGTAGTCTAATCGAGATGAGCTTAAAAAGATGGTGGTATCGAGCGAATGCATATGCAAGAAAAAACGCAGAACTTCAAAGCCACAGCAAGTGAACAGACTCCCGCAAATGATAACAGACTTCTTCCTCCAAAATCCGGCCCCAAAATCCGGCCCCAAAATCCAACTAAGCGCCGATATGCAATGAGACGAAAACAAGATGTGACCAAATAAGAAGCAGAATGCTAGTATCCAGCTCCATGCTGATGGACCGGGCATTGCCCAGGTCGATTGACGAACCACTCGCGGATACACTTCAGATGGAAACGACAAAAACACTCTAACCTGCCCATATCCTCTCCTACTTCAAATTCTTCCAGACAGATTGTGCATTCAGCGTCATCTATACAGTCTTTTTCTGTCGCTTTGTAGGGGAATACACCACTTCGTCGGACCGGACTGGTGCTACTGGATGCGAGGACTACAGCTGCATGAGCCCGTTCTCGAGCTGCCATGCGCGCTTCAGGTGTATTGGCGATGGGAGGGGCGATTATAGGTGTGACTCGCGCTGTGCGTGAGCTCTCTGCTTGACTACTTGGCATTTGTACGTTCCGAGGTGACTGAGTTGGGATGGTGATCGGAGCTGGAGCTGGAGGAGGAGAGGGAGATGTTGATGCTGAGGGACCCTGCATGGCGAGGGTAAGGCAGTTGTTTACGTGCTCAGCTCGTATGGTTTCCCAGTTGTCGAGATTTCGTGACGGCAGTTCCTTGTGGCAGATCCAGCATTCGTCTTCTTCTTTGATGACACGACGAGGTGTAGGAGATGGCCGGCTTGACGGTATCCGAGGTTGCTCGGAGCGACCTTGTTGTGCTGTCCACTGGCCAAGAGGAGACGAAGCATTCCCCTGCATTCATTAGTAAAGTTACAGCAAGTTATCCAGGAGTTTCTTACCATGCTAGATGGGTCTCGATTGGTACCGACCTGGGAGACAGTCAGAAATTGACAGAGTTATGAACAAAATAGGAACTACCGTGCTGCTTCGAGATCGACTTTGCAAGTCTTCAGGCCCCAAGCGAGTATTTCTCTCTGAGTACGAAGAGGTACTCGTGTTGTAGGAATTCATAATATCCCGTGGCCTTCTCTGTGAGTAATGCGACGAGGTTGACAGAGTGTGACCGGTATTTCTCGATTGAGTCGAAGTTACAACACTACTCACAGAGCGGGTATGGCCTTGTTGAGCGAGTCTAGGCTGGCTGGTTGTCGATTCAGGAACCTGTGGAGGAGCGATATTCGGATCAGGTACGCAAGGATTGCAAAGTCGCACTCGCTCTCCTCCACCAAGATTCTCAACCATTGGCGAACTTTCAGTACGTACAGGATCAAGCCTTGGCCGAGTAGGCGGAGCAGGCGGAGCAGGGGGAGCTTCCTGCGTCGGTGGCTGGACAATGTATTGGTAAGGGATTGTGATTCTATGAGGTGAACAGCTTCCACAAACTACACGCCCGCATTTTCTACGAAAGTCAGTAAGTAGTATTCCATGATAGGTAGATAGATATCTCGGTAGGCAATAATGTGGAACGTGTACCTGCAATGGTGCTTCCTCACGAAGAAGCCTATTCATCTGGTCAGTCACTGATAGTGAATATCTACAAATCACAGAAAGAATCTTACTGAATTGTGTTCTGCAAATTGGACACAACGTGACAGTTGCATCCGGCTGCCATTTAGGGATAGTGAACTGGGTCTGATCCGTACTCTGACCGCCATCAAGGGTGTGATGTCGGCTTCTAGTCCGGCTAACTGTATCCCGACGGAGGGCTGAATGTCCTGCCGAGTCTGATCCTGATGCATTCTCACTGTGAAGAGTGTTGCGAGTAGATCTAGGTACTCGGTCGCCACTGCGAACAATAGGAGGTGTCTGAGCAGGTCTGGCTGGGCGAACCGATGTTCTCGCCTGATTCTCCACGGTTGAGGATCCGTCCTCTCCAGAAACGTAGTTAGTTCTAGACGTGAATTCGTCCACACCTTGTGAGTTGCCCTCAGAGCCAGGGCCATCATATGGAGAAGCTCCGGCCACCCCTAATGATAATCTTTTGAGCCCAGCAGGTAGGTCCGCTGATGAGCGAGCCCCATGTTCTGAATCTTGCTGATTGCCTTCCGAATTCAGAGTTGACCTCTTACCAGCAATAGCTTCGGTATCAACATCTCCATATCTCTGTTGAGGACCGACAGAATATTCTCCTGGCGTCTCTCCACTTGCCACACTATCTGCATCTAAACTCGGGAGTGGAGGAAGAGGTCGATCATTTAAGACACTATTTGGAGTCGAAGCGCCAGCGGACACAGTTCCGGGATCCATCTTGAGCTTATATCGGCAGTATTAAAACCCCTAATTAGGTGTATGTTTCCAAACCGGAGAAGCTTGCAAGATCTGGGATGTCAGGCAGGATGCAATTCGACAGTTGCGCAGGTCTTGGATTTCGTCCCGGTAATGGAAAGCAGCGATTCTCAATTCGAAGAGTATTCCAGTGGAAGTTATATCTCGGTATCTAAAGTCTTGTATCATGCGCATTTGCTTCGCTTAGGTTGATAGGATTGCTTCGATTGATCGTTCTGGTGGAGAGCAAAACCGGCGGCGGGAGAGCTGGTGCGTAAGCTCAAGGAGCCGTAGGGGAATGACACATGCTAGATGCTATCAGCATTGCTATATGAATGTGCATAGGGAGGAAATAAACCTACCTATGCCAGTTTGCACAGGCTTTAACTCAATTATCCTGCATCTCTCCGTCCATGTGCGAGGGGCAATATACCGCCGCAGGGTGGTTGTTTGTAAGCTACAGTGGTGTCAAGGGCGGGGCGGATCCCCAGACTTTTAATCAAGAAAGGAGCAGATGGCAAGTATATCAGTTATAGACAGAGGTCCCGTAGACATTTGGGATGGGGTATGGAAGGGAGCTGCAAGACTGTTGACAGCACGCGATCGATGAGACAAGGCTCGAGTTATTTTGACTTCCCGTCGGTAGCCTAGCCGTCCCGCCTTATCAAAAATATCAGGGGTCTCGCTTGGCGGCCGATAAGAAAATAAACAGGTGCTCAAAGTCCTCGAGCGGTTTCGGAACTTCAGAGCTTTGAAATCTCTCAAATCTACCTCTTGCAAAGCAAATAGGCTGGTGTTTGGATTACACTGATGCGTTATAATACTTCCAATACTATGAGCCAGTCGGACGAATGGTGCTGACCATTATGAGACGAACTTCCCAAGTGCCTGGCTTTATGATATCCGTATCATATCACCGCCTACAAAGACTCGCTGGAATTAGTGGAGCGTAAAAGAGGCTTAAAGCATTGTCAGGGCTTCTGGAATACTTTTCGAGAAATCATGGCTCACTCGCAGAACGATGAGTATTCTACTTGGCAGCATGACAACGCCTCGTCAACTTGCTCATAACCAACAAGCCTGGCTTCCAGAAATGCTCTCAACACCAGGTCCTTTTAATTGGTTCAAGTATGAGACCCTCTAGCTTCTTATTTTGTAGGACTTTCTGAAGTAAAGCCGGAAAGGATAATACTGTCCCATTCCTTTTTGGATGGCAGAGCATGCCAGTCCGAAAAGGGCAAGTCGAGATCCATTGTCATCTTGGAGCTGGAATGGCTATTTGCCCTTGAGTAAACAATGGTTTAGAATTATGTCGCCGGTGTTTATACGTCAAGGTTGTTAAGGGAACATTGAAAAGTGTCTGTGAATTCTTCCTTTGGACAATCCGGGGGTTGCTAGTTCAGTCAATCTTCAAGTGATAACGTCAACCATCCCAGCAGGTAGATACAGGAGTTCTAATCAGAACTGGGAAGTGAGAACTGACAAAGTAGGGTAATTCTTTCCTACTCCAAAATGAACTCTCCTTTTTCTGATTATACAACAACTTTATAATTGAGCTTCTACGAGAATATGCCTGCATCGTGAAGCAGCACTGGAAGGTCCCAGGTAGTGGGCAGGGGAGCTCCTGAGCTGTCCACCGTGCACAGACATGTTCGTCGGCGCGCCACCACCTCTTGTGAGGAGTTCGCGAGCGCGGCCAACCTGAACAAAATAACCTCCGTCCCGATACTCGACGGCCGCACACCGACGACCTGGATTGGACTGGACTGGACGGACATGATGGACAACAATCTCCAGAGCCTCGATCCGAGACTGCGAGATGCGAACGCAAACCCAAACGCAAGTGCAAGCACCTACGGCCATCAGCAGCAGGCAGGCTCGACATTGCATACACCCCTTGCCCCAAACCCTTCCCGCTCACCAGCCGCCGCCTCTCCCTACCAAACATCGACGACTTTCAACACTCCGCCGTCCGCCGGAGGAAACCTCGGCCATAGTGGTGGAAGTGGCTCACAAGACGGTGGTAACGATGCGAACGATCCAAAGAGATCGCGAGCCTGCGAAGCCTGTCGAGGTCTGAAAGTTCGCTGCGAACCCAACTTCAATAATCCCGACGCACCATGTAAGAGATGTGCGAAGGCCAATCGCCAGTGCGTCATTACTGTTCCCAGTCGGAAGCGTCAAAAGAAGACTGATAGTCGGGTCGCGGAGCTGGAGAAAAAGATCAATGCTTTGACAGCTACTCTTCAGGCTCAAGGAGCTGGCACTGCCATTGCTACTGCGGTCGCTGCTCAAAGCCTCGACAATGGAATGCAAAGTCAAGCTCCACACAACCCATATCAACAGGTTACCAGCGGAGGATATTCGACACCATATACCCAGACCCGTTCAGAAGTCCGCGCAGATGAATGGCAATATCCGAGAGCGCCTGAAGGCGACAGAAAATCATCCGCGCCACCAATGGTTGTTGCCGGTCAGAAGAGAAAGCTCGATGCTCATTTGGGAACTTCAGAGTCCTCAACACCAGCTTCGACCGGCATACAGAAGCAGGCTGAAGTAACTGGATTCTTTCAAACAACAAATCCTGAAGCTCAGAAGTCAGCACCCGCTCATGAGTATATGGACATCATTGATAGAGGCCTCACAACAGCCGAGACTGCTTCCGTGATATTCAATCATTATGTCAAGAACATGGCTCCCCATATGCCTGCTGTTGTCTTTCCTGAAGGTACAACCGCAGCAGAAATTCGGAAGACCAAACCCATCCTCTTCTTGGCCATCCTTAGTGCTGGTGCAGGTTCATTATACCCGGACCTACAACGAACATTGACAAAGGAAGTCATGAGCATCTACGCAGAGCGGATCATTTGTAATGGAGACAAAACGATCGAGTTGATCCAAGCTTTGATCATATCATGCCTTTGGTATTGGCCACCAGAGCATTTTGAGGAACTGAAGTTCTATCAATTGATTCATATTGCTTCTGTCATGGCTATTGACATCGGCATGAACAAGAAGAGCAAATTGCAGAAGACTAAAGGTGCTGGCCTATTCAGAGATAATCCCTGGCGCAGAACTCCCTTCCCAGATGCTGAGAGTGCTGAATCAAGACGTACTTGGCTTGCTTGCTACTTTCTTTGCTGCAACGCATCTATGGGCCTCCGTCGACCGAACTTGATCCGCTGGACATCCTTCATGGAAGATTGCATTGATTTCCTGGAGACCTCACCAGATGCCCTTCCTTCAGATAAGGGTTTCTGCCACTGGATTCGTAGTCAGCATATCGCAGAGGATATTGGTACTCAATTCTCCATGGATGACCCAAGTGCTACCGTGAATATCTCTGACCCTAAGGTCCAATACGCCTTGAAAGGATTTGAGATCGAATTAGAAAAGTGGGCCAGCCAAATCCCTCAAGAGTCCAATTCCCGTAAGTCATCCGCTGCATGTTATTGCGAACATACTTCTCACCCTTGTGTAGCTGGCTTGCAGGTAACCGAGCACGTTATCAATCTCTATATGCACGAGGTTGCCATGCATGTTGACCACAATGTCGAGGAGTTCAAGCCACCATTTACAGATGCCCTCCTTCGAGATTCTGCCGCAAATGCTGAGCAGATGACTCTGACTGGTGCTCATATTGCAGCACTGTCTATCTGCTTGAAGTCAATCGATGGAATCTTCAATAACTTCTTGCAATTCGACGTCGATGTCATCCGCTGTCTTCCAGTGGCAAGCTTTGTTCGGGTCGCCTACGCTGTTGTGGTGCTCATCAAAATGTACTTTGCAGCAGCTACTCCAGGTAGTCATTTCGGCAAGGTGATTGATAAAGACAATATGAAGGTTGAGCAATACTTGGATGGTTTGGTCGACCTCTTCAGAAAGTCTGCCAAGGACGAGAAATCCAGACCCTCTGCAAAATTCCTCATGGTTCTGCTTATGCTCAAAACCTGGTTCCACCGTCAACGCGAGGAGAAGGGAGGAACTTTGAACGGGGCTAGCACGGCTGCTCCAGATATGTCTTCCGAAGCGCAAGCTGTGCCTGGTAGCATTCCTAACGGACAACGTCCTCAATCCAGCTACAGTCCATCCAACACACCTCTCCAACTTCTCAGCGAGGTCGCAACTGGCAATTCTGGAGCTCAGACTCGTTCTGGCAGCATCAGCAACTTCACTCCATCTAATGAATGGCAACAGATGCAGTTCGGTGGCTATGGAAACATGCCCCAAGCCTCCATGGCCCTAGGCTACGGAGGTTTGATTGACCCAAACCTCGTCGGTATGGATTTCAGCAACTATGCAATGGGCGATGGTTTGGAGCAGGCTATGGGCATGACTCTTGGCGTTGGAGAGTTTGGTAATTTGTTTGGCGGCGAAAACAACTTCTTCAGCGGAATGATGGGCGACATGGGCGAAAATATCGGCCAGGGGTTTGATGGTACCATATAAGTTTGCAAGTCCTCATTCTTTACTTGTGACGCACATTAGTCCTCTCGGGTATCATTCTTGCATTCACTGTATTACCACGTACACAGCCCAAAGGTAGTCTATCAATGCTCTGTATGATATATCGTAGTACCGTAGAGAAATCAATAGATAATGAAGCACCAACCATGCTCTAGTTCATGGTCTACGTTCGTACTGAAGTCTTGATAGCTCCTCAGACCTCGATTCGTTAAGTAAAAGAACACATTGCGAGAGAAACAACGAGCAGCAGTGTAGCACCAATCAGCCCCCACTCAATCATTGTCCAACACATAGTGATCATTTTCCAGAACACCAGATATCTGCAGAAAGTAAATGTACTTCATGGCACATGAAACTGTTAAAGGTTAGGATTGCGCCGATCACGAGATTCCTGGTTAGGCGGCTCGCCCATGTCGCCCAGCAGCATTTTAAAGTACTAGGGATTTGGTGCAAAGTATATCGACCGGGGTAAAGAGGATGAGAGCAAAGGGCATGGTGTAGTCAAGATGTGTGTATTACTGAGTCAGTATTAGAGAGGTATAGATTGGATGGAAGACTTACCGATGATAGGTGATACCGGAAACTGAGTACATTGTAAAGAATGAAGAGATTTCCAAAGGCGTGTGCGCTCAGGACCTGATAAATATTTGTAACTCTGTATACAATTCAGATCATCCATGAGTCAAAAAAGAACTCGGCATGGCACTACACGATGCGCCGACTTGACCACCACATTCTGAGAATATCTTCATGGAAAAGATTGGAAATCAAGTTTCATAAATCCTACAACTACATACATCTACTTGGCAAGAGAAGGAACTCCAAAGGAGCAAAACAATGAACCTCGCTTAGCGATGAAGGGACAACTAGTTCCTGTCAAAAGAAAGAATTTGTAGTGTCATTACACGCTCAAAAACCTTGAAAGACCTGAATGGAACCTCGAAATCTAGACCCAGCGGATATCACTAATAACAAGGAACCATTCATCCACCAACTATATCCTCAAAATTAACGGAGGACACCGAGAAGAGAATATGCCAGCCAAGCTGTCACTGTTGAAGAGGCTGCGAGTAAAAATCTGATGGCGCCCGCGGCCCGCCTATCGTATCGAATTCTCTTCGCAGCGTTCAGCAGACGCTACTGTACTGCACTGCAGTCGCTGGTGCTCTGCACGAGACAGGGATCGCATAACCGGACCCCGCTACAGTAGTGCGGACGCCTCTATCTCTTCCCGCCAGCCGCCCCGCTGTTTCTTTCAACACTTACTGTAGTTACTTTCCATTGTTATCAATAATCACTTATCTCTGGACAGAGGGCCTGGTGTTAGCTGCACATATATAGACAGACGATCCCATCGATTCTTTTTTTACTTTTTCTCATCTCATCTCACCTCATCTCATCTCAGGCTTTCGTCGGTTGTCCCGTTTTCGTGTACCAGCTGCCCATTTTTGCAAAGAGTCAATTGGCAGCGATCCCTTAACCGCTGACGCCATTAAACCACCTACCCCGCCATACAGTAGTGCCCAAGCTTTTTTTCTCCACAGGTCACTTGCTCATTTTGATCCCTCTGCGAGAAGCACCGCCGCTCCGAGGGGCCCGAGGGGCGCGAGGAGGAGTGACAGAGTATATATAAAGGATTCAGGAGTCAGGTCCTGCATCGAAGAAGTTGTTTTGGAGGTCAAGCAGTTATGTCGTTGTCGCAGAGAGTTTCTTCATTCGAGTCCCTTTCGCTTTACCCAGAGCGAGGTCGGTCTCTGTCGGATGGAGGATCGCCGTCATCGAGAGATCGCAAACTCTCGTTCAGCCCTCTTCCTGGAGCTTGGGATCCGCCGCCTGCTTTGGCGGAACATGTACATCCTATCGGAGCCTTTGAGGTTCCGCGATCAACCAGAATTCGTAAGTTCTCTTTGAAATCCAAATTTGGAGGTTCCGTTCACAATGTTTCTTGCTGCTTCCTCCCCGACGTTGGGAGTCCATCACTGACTCATGGGATCAATTAGTGCAAATCTTTATTGCTATCGTCTACTGTTTGTTTGCCGCCGGTATCGTGTTTGGCTACGCAGCCCTCAAGCCTGTCCTTATTCGCGAAGAAGTATATCGGGACCTATGTACAAAAGACGAAATCGACCGGGGAGCCAGGACTTGTTATGCTCAGGAATTACATCTTAATCTGATGTTTACTGTTGCGGCAGTAGGGACCAATGTGGCAGCTCTCCCCATAGGAGCTATTCTGGACACTTTCGGTCCAAGAATATGCGGACTGATAGGAAGCTTTCTGCTTGCAATTGGTGCTGTTCTTTTTGCATTCGCATGGCAATTGCCCTTTGATGGTTACATACCCGGTTATCTTTTTTTGGCTCTTGGTGGACCATTTGTCTTCATCTCTTCGTTTCAATTGTCGAATGCATTTCCCAAACACTCGGGCCTTATTTTGGCTTTGCTCACCGGAGCATTCGATTCATCTAGTGCGATTTTCCTCCTTTATCGCATATTATATCAGTGGAGCGATGGCACTTTCTGGCCGAAGAAGTTCTTTCTAGCATACCTGGTGGTACCTGCGTTTATTCTGATTGTTCAGCTGTTTCTTATGCCAAAGGCATCTTATAAAACTGTTGGAGAGTTGGTCAAGGAGGTGGAGGATACAGACGATGTATTCGAAGATCAAGTCGACGAAAACACGGCTCTCCTACGCGAGGAACGTCGTCAACATCGACAGTCGGTCGTTTCAGAGATCACCGATCTTATCGGTTCAAAGTCAGGTGCCAAGCATCTCAAGCAGGAAGAGCACAAGAACAAGATCTCTGGTGTTTGGGGAGCTATGCATAACAAGACCGTTCTACAGCAAGTTTTGTCTCCATGGTTTATCCTAATCACGCTTTTCACCATGATTCAAATGACCCGTATCAACTATTTCGTCGCCACAATTCGTCCGCAATACGAATACATCCTCGGATCCTACCAAAAAGCCGTGGAGATAAACACATATTTCGATGTAGCGCTCCCTCTCGGCGGTATCCTCTCAATCCCATTCATCGGCCTCGTTCTTGACAATACCAGCACCACGTTCGTCCTCTCCGCACTTGTCACCATTGCAACCACGATCGGCGTCCTAGGCTGCCTCCCTTACTCCTGGGCAGCTTACGCCAACGTCTCACTCTTCGTCCTTTACCGCCCTTTCTACTACACCACCGTTTCCGACTTTGCCGCAAAAGTCTTCGGATTCCGTACCTTCGGTACTGTTTACGGCCTCATCATTTGTCTTGCTGGCCTCTTCAACTTCAGCCAAAGTGGGCTTGATGCTTTGCTCCACAAAGTTTTTGATGGGAACCCGGTGCCTGTGAATTTGATCTTGCTTGGAAGTGCATTTACGGTTGGTACTGCACTTTGTGTATATGTTGGTGTGAGGTCGTATCAGATAAAACGAGAGGGATTGGAGATTGAGGCTGAGCATACCAGGGAGACGGTCATGCCTGGTGCTGCGAGTCCTGAGAGACTTTGAGAGATCATGAGATCTTGGAACAAGAAGCTTTTGGGTAGTGAATACGGATTTGAGCTTGAGAATTTGTCATCTTGGCATAGCATGGAGTTTTGTTGGAAGCACCGCTTGATCATCACTTGTCATATTCGTGCATACTTACTGGTCTTCAAGGCTCCTTATACATCTAGCTAGATTCCGATATCAGAATCAAGACGTGAGAAGGTTCTTGAGAAGGCTCTTGAGACATGAAATGCTTGTGACTGGCGCGAGCGATCTTTGCACAACACGGATGCCCCATTTAGGCGAGCGTCTGTATCTTGTCCGAGCCATGTTTTAACAAGCTCAATTATGCCAGGTCCCTTGAGCTAAGAGATATCTCCAACCCAAATCGATGTTCCCGATGATTGAATGACATACCCAGCATGATGACTTCCACTTCCTTCACACTAGCACGATCCCTAATCCTCTGACCTACGCTTAGATGTAGTACCTAAAACTCTTTTTCTCTTATCACTTTCAAATTCTAAATCCTATCCTTCCCCTCAATCCACTCATCCAACCTGCCTTGCAACGGAAACGGCACTTTCCTGACCCCTTCTATCTTCGCGCTTTCCCAAACTCTCCTCACCACCTCATCACTCTCCGGATCAGAATCAAGCGCCATCTCCACAGTCGGTGCGTTGGCGAATGTGACAGCGGTGGGTTTCGACAATGAGATCTTGATGCGGGGGTGGTTGTGAGGCTTGCTGGCTGAAGAAGAGGGGGGGAGATCGGAGGGGAGAGTGAGAGATGAGGGGGATGAAGAGTGATATTTGAATGATGAGTGCGGGACTAGGATGTATTTGATAATGCGGGTGATGAGGTGTTGGGCAAGTGCTTCGAGGGTTTGGAAGCTGGATTCTTCAGTGCTCTGTGGGTGTGTTAGTCTGAGATCCTAAAAGCTGTACAATACAAAAAAGATGCCCATCTCAAGGAGGCTGATATATGCAGACAACTCAAGCTGAGATGATTAAAACGGAGTGAGTGAGAGGAATTAGAACTTACTTTAACCACCACCTCCTCCAAAGCACAATATCCATCAACCATCCAATCCCACTTCTGCATCTCCACATCCACATACACCATCTGCTTCGCCAGCCTCTCATTCGCATTAACACCAACGACCGTCGGAATCCTCAACTCCTTCAACCTCAAAACCATTGAGTAGGCACTTGGTCCATCCTTTCCAACCTCATACCCAAAGCTCCCCTTCAGACTGACTCCACTACCCATAAGTGACGCTTTCGGTAGTAGAATCTCCAACTCAAAAAGCCTCATCGCCACATTCTTGAGAAGGGGCTCGATGACCGCATCGTTCTCCGCATCGTTCTTAGCATCACCATGACTTTTACCAGAAAGCCCCTCAACAACCTTCTCCTGACACGGAAACCTTGGTAGCGTATCCCTCCCAGTCAAGTAAAAATGCACAAATTGCACCAAAGCCCTTAGATGCATAGGCACGGGACACACATCATCATCACACAGATCCTTGAATTCCGCGCAGGCGGCAAGGATGGCTTTGGACAGGGTGCCGTAGTGGACTGTGGAGGGGGCGACGGTGTCGCTGGATGAGGCGCTTGTGAATGGGTGGAGGAGAGAGATGCGGGAGCTGAGGAGGAGTGGTTGCGTGATGTTGGGGCGGCCCCAGGCGTCGGTGGCGAGGGGCAGGGTGCTTTGCAGGTTAGAGACTGAGATGATAGTGTGAGGGTCACCGGTGAGGTTTGCAAGGGCGTGGGGGGTAAGAAGGGGTGGCATTCTGAAGGGATTGTGGGCGTTGTGGTGAAATTTGGAGGATTTTAAGCTTGGATATGAACTTCGAGATTTTATCTAGAGACCTTCAATATCATCCAGTTAAGTGGAACGAACAGGAGTTGACAGCTGTACTAGCGGAAGGAAGGAGGCGGGAGCCGAATAAACCTCGGATTAGGAGCAGAATTGTTATATGCAGAGTCTGGAGCGTGAGAGGTTCCAAGAGTGAGTGGTTGGATCAATGTTTAGGTTACGTTGGAGGGGTTTTCACTACCGTATTTTCATGTGCAACATGTCTGCGTTGCGTCACTCAAAGGTGGGCCATCGATATCCCGATGAAGTGAAACCATGGATCCAATAATAATTAGTTTTCTCGAGATGGTACTCATATTTTCTCATATTTGCGGCACGGAGATCGACCTCTAAAATTTTGATTGTGTTCTGGTTGTTGAGGGCAAGTAGGTACGTAACTAGGGACGTTCGGAGAGGTTGAGTAACTTCGGCTCATATATTATAGTGGATGATAAGTTAGCTGGGGCAATCCTTGGACAGTCATTTCTTTAAAGCTTTATACCGAGAGACTATCTGTATCGCAATTCAACTCTGAAAGGAGGTTGATTTTTCTACATCGCCTCTGACAGATGAGACGAAAAGTCCCAGGATGGACTGGTGGGGTAAAAGCGGCAGAAAATGAGGGGTTCGCCTAATATGGTTCCGCCTTCACACTACCATGAGATGTGATATCTAGACTCAAAAGATCGAATCAACGTTTTTTATTCATAATGCAAGATAGGACTCGTAAGCCTTCCTGGACTTGCTGCTGCATCCCGTGTTTCGTAAGAGATGCTTCGTAAATCCTCCCTGAATCCCAAACGCCACGCTAAAACAGACCATCCTGCCCAAACAACCTCACTGTCCCTGAGCTTTCCGTGCCTTTTCTGTGCAGACAGGGCATATCCAGATTCCGCTCGGCTCGCTTTTGAGACCTACGCAGCCCCAGTGAAACCATTCCAATGTGCAAGCCTCGTTGTCGCATGCCACCATGTCGCCGAAACTGACGCTCTGGCAGATACAGTATTTCTTGTCATCGGCTCCGTCTTCATCATCCAGCTCTCCCATTTCGTCATCTCCATCGGCATCTCTTCGAGGTGGCGTGGCGACCTCGTCGTCTTCATCTTCGGACCCGGAACCTCCCTCGCTGTCATCGTTCGTGGAAGGGGAGTTCTTATTGCCTGCTCGTTTGACGCGACCTAGGTTGGACTTCTTATTGATGGCTTTACGTGGTTGTCCACTCTGTCTGCTTCCTTGCGGTGCTGTCTTTTTGTGGCCCCCAGTCTTTATTGTTGCTCGTGGACCGGCACTTCCAGCTCTGACTCCAGCTGTTGCTGGTGTACCGCCTCGTCCTGGGGTACCAGGACCATTCGAAGAAGCGCGGTTTGCAAGATTGCTAGGCGGAAGAGGTCCCAGGCCGCCTGTCAACCGAGGACCCTTTCTCGCCGCAGCACCTAGGGATGATTCGCGGGCTCGCTGTTGTTGTGTGACGGAAGCTGGCGTCGCAGGAGCTGATGATGAGGTGTGGCTATTCGCATGTTGAGCCTGCAGATGTGGTGGGATCAAGGGTGCTTGTGGGTACTGGTTTGGGTGTCGCTGTCGTGGGACCACTGCAGCGTTATTGATCGGGGCTAGAGGCATGGTTGCGACACCAGTATCGGGGCGTGCGGCATGTCGAACAGCGGGTTGAGGTCGGAGGGTCGAGGGAAGATCTGGATCGTTCGGCATCTCTCCTCTGTCCTGTAAAGTCTTGATCTCGCGGTCTAGCCAGCGGAGATGTTTTGCCATCAATTCTTTTGACTTTTGCGACAGTGCCACCTTCTCAGCGGTCAAGATTTCAGCCTTGTCATAATTCGCCAATATGATCTTGCTCAGTTGTTCCTCCTTGGGGTTGGTAGTATGGCTTCCGTTCTGGCGAATCCATTTCTGGATTTGATTGTCGTGTTTAGTTATGATTGCCTGGCAGTCTGCTAGCTGCCTATCCTTGTGTTCGATCTCCTCCTGGAAATGCTGAATCTCGTTGGGGAGGTTGGCAGCTCGATTCGTCCATTCATCGAGAACCTGCGCGGCATCCATTTGCTCAATCTGAGCCATGTTGCCAGGTCCCCTGATGAAATCTATGGAGAGGTCGTCTCTGGGCATGATTGTTAATGGCGAAGGCTTACCACGATGCGCCAAATAGATGAAGACGTGGAGATGTCATGAATGGATGCATGAACGTCGTAAAGTCGTTGCTCACCTGCAGAAAAATTGCAATGCCTGTGCTATCCGCGCTTTCCTTCTTCGGACACGGTTATGAGGCTTTGGCCTGATCGGGGTGGTGGATGAAAATAGGGTGGCAGGGGGACAAGACGAGAGAGGAGACGAGGTTGATGGTGAAATGACGCCGAGCGGGCGGCGAGGCGAGAAGTTTACCTCCAATACTGGCTGACTGGGCCAGGGTTGACGCGCCAGCCTTACGCTAAGGCAGCTGACAAAGTAGCCGCACGCTAAGGTAGTGATGCATGAGGTTCTCGAAGGACTCCATGCAAGCGTCTGGACTGGACTCCAACTCAAGCCTCTTATTGTTCTAGAGAATCGAGACGTTATATCTTCATTTGCCCTGCAATATTCTCCACTCCCAGCTGTACCAGAATCCTCCCAAATCCATCCTAGAACATCCGACTGCACGTCTACATCTCCAACGTCTCCAGGAGATATCTGTCGCAAGCGACTGTCAGTCAACGGCAACCAGCAATCCATCGACTCTTACCACCTCAACTCGCCTTGAAAACCAGGACACAACTCTCGAGCTTTGCGCCTTCTCTATAAGCTGGTCTATCAGACACTCACGATTGAACATACATCTCCCTCGAAATCTGTGAACTCCGCCTCAAGTGCGCGATCTGTGAGAACGAGCTTCCGAAATAGCGATCAACCTCTTCAAATAAGCTTGGGCTCTCAGGGTAGTCAGGTTCTAGTTGGGGTGGTCCAAGGGCCGGAGCCAAAATGGTGGTCTCTTCGAATGGCATCGTTCAGGAATACTGGGAGCCACTAAGTCAACATGGAGACCGTCACAACGCAAATCTGCTCGCAAAAGTTCGACAGCAAATCGATGAGAATGGTATTGTGCGACCAAAAGGATATACAGTGTCATGGCATTCGAATCCGGAAATTGAGAAGCACCATTTCGGTCATGCCCATCCAATGAAGCCTTGGAGATTGACTCTGGCAAAGAGCTTGATCATGTCCTATGGAATGCACGCCGGTATGGATACATATGTTTCACGCCAAGCATCGAGGGAGGAGTTAGAGGATTTTCACAGCGAAGAGTATCTGGATTATCTCAAAACTGCCAAAGTGGTGTTGCCAGACGATGATACGCCGAAGGACTTCAACCTAGGTGGTTCGGACTGTCCAATTTTTGAGGGCCTGTTCAATTATTGTTCCATGTACTCTGGGGCATCTATCGATGCAGCACGGAAGCTTTGTAACAACGAATCTGATATTGCCATCAATTGGTCTGGTGGTTTACATCACGCCAAGAAGGCTGAAGCGTCTGGGTTTTGCTATGTAAACGACATCACGTTGGCCATTCTGCAGTTATTGCGAACATATCAGAGGGTGTTATACATCGATATTGATGTACATCATGGTGATGGTGTGGAGGAAGCATTCTGGTCAACCGATCGTGTCATGACCCTCTCAATCCACAAATACGACGGCATGAACTTCTTCCCTGGTACCGGCGACCTCGACAGAACCGGACCAACAGATGAGGGTAACCCAGGAGCTCACCACGCGATTAACGTCCCTCTTCTCGACGGGATCGATGATCAGCAGTACATTCATCTCTTCACAACCATTGTTTCGATGTGCAAGAATCATTTCAGACCCGAGGCTATTGTATTGCAGTGCGGTGCAGATTCGCTGGCTGGAGACCGCTTGGGTCGTTTCAATGTTCAGGTACAAGGTCACGGGGCTTGTATAGCATTTTGCAAGTCTTTGGGAATTCCTCTCCTATTAGTTGGCGGCGGAGGTTACACTCCCCGAAATGTGGCAAGAGCGTGGGCACACGAGACCAGTATCGCCATAGGTTGCGATGCAACGTTGAGCCCAATCATTCCTCAGCACACACCATACCGTTCACACTTCCGACATGATACCATATTCCCAACGCTTGAACAGATCCTTGGCGACCCTCGACCTAATAAGAACACCAAGAAGAAGGTAGAGGAGATCATCCAGTCTATCACAGAACAACTGAGACTCGTGGAACGTGCCCCTAGTGTTCAAAGCAAAGCCATCCCTCCCGATCTGGCAGGCATCAAAGACTATTACGACGACAAGATCAGGGAGGAGCAAGATGATCGAGATGACGCTCTAAGACGCGACCGGGAGGAAGGTTTGGGTGTTGCAATGGAATACTGAAGATTGGCTTGTCAAGACTATTTGAAGCGAGGCGTTCGGAGACTTCATCAGGGGAGGCGTTTTGAGCTACGGAGGTTCACTGGCAGAGACAGCTTACTGGTCTATGTTGGATTGTATTGTGGGCTGAAAGTAAATAGTCAAAACTTGTATTGTAGAATCATAATTCGCATATCGACTAATTATAAGCTCTAATAACGCTCCTTTCTAGTCTATCACCAAACTCCAAGTACCTATTCAATCATGTCCAGCTCCGCTCAAATTTTCTGACTCAATGGCACATCCCCATTCGTAATCTTCCTCACAAAGTCGGGATCCGGATCGTAAAGCATGACGTGGAAATGCTCAACAGTACCAATAGACTTCAAGCTCCGCCAATTTTTGAACCAGATAACCTGTTAATTATCAGCCCTCATCCATCCAAAGTAACAGGCCGTGGAAATCCAAACTTACATTCTCCGCACCCACCACATCCCTGAATGTCCTCTCCACAAACTCCTCAATCATCGCCCTCGATTCGTCCGTCAGATCATCTGTTTTTGGATCGTCTTCCAATTCGAACTTCGTCCATACCACGAGATGCACAATCTTGGCATCAATACCATATGGCCAGTCATTCCACAAGATCTTCAAATCGCTCTCCTTCTCAAATAGTTTAGCATCTGGTACAATAGGTTCAGTCCAATCCAGTCTCTCACGAAGCACGAAGTTCATCACACTGCCGTACTTCTCCTTCAGGTAGTGGTTGTAAGCCAGGTACCGCCGGAGATCGGACGGGATGCGCTGGAAAGCATCGAGGGCGTTGATGGCGATTGCTTGGCGAACTTCGCCCCAGGTTAAAATGTGGTAGTCGTTATCTGGAGTGCCGATAATGGCGTGCTCTTTGGGTTTGAGGTTTTGGAGGAAGAGTGGGCAGTCGACTTCCCGTTCGTTGGAAGGAACGTTGACTTGCCAGTATGGTAGTATGCCGGTATCTAGGTCATTCAAGCTGCCCATTGTTGGAGAAGCTCTTTCGATTTAGTATGTCTCAGTGGCGAATGCTTATTCCGAGTATTAATTGGGTTTGATATACCCTATCTGTTGGAACTTGGAAGCAAATATTGGGTGGCATTGAGGTGTCTCGCTCGCCGCTTTACGGTGTTTAGCCGATATCAAATAGGCAACAAATACATCTCCCTTGCTGCTTGAAGAGTCACTTGTGTTATCTTGTTGGGCTTTCCGTTTGCCTCGTTTTTTTGACCTGAAAACAGAATTCAAGGTGTGCAATACAATCTCGCAAGGAGTTCGTAAAGTTTGCCATGCACGGCCATATCAAGAAACCTGGAAAGCAAGCAACCACTAGCTCTCAAAGCGTTTAATCCTGACCCCTGGATGTTGCCTCCACGCGTTCTCCTATCCATACTAATCTAGACCTTTCTCTCCCTTGTTCAACCTCACTTGACGCATTTGCACCCACAACGGAGATTAGCAATTGTGGAGATGTTTGTGAAACTTCTTCATGGACATCCCACCTTCTCCCCAGTCTTCCACAGAATAGTATTCAAGCTCCAACGAAGTCATCTCGGCAACCCTGAATGCCAGCACAGCCTTGCCACGGCTCCTGCGCACAAGAATTGCAGCCGTCATTCTCATTCGCTGGACTTGCGTCCGCGCAGGTTTGTACCTGGCAGCTTGCAGGGTGAGGGACAATACCCACTGAACAGCCTTCAATCGATTGTGCATCATCCATCTGGATTGGGCAAACTTCAACCCCTCTCTCTACGATCAAGGATCCAGGATTTTCCTCCTTTCACCGTGCTGATGATAAAACTGGGGAGTTGTTGTTTTGTTTAAAGAAGCCGTGTGTTTCTTGTTTACATCTGCCATCTTTAAGCACTGCTTCACGGGTTTTGGTGTTTCGTTTCATAATTGCTCCTTTGCTCATTCGTTACTGCTCCTGAGAAAGGTCCAACCGACAGCTCCTACTCTCGTTGACATTCCAGCTGCACCTGCCTTCAATTTGGTTCATTCACTTGCCGTTTGATTTCCAAAATACGAAAACGTGGTCACAATCCATTGTTTGCTTGCATACGAGAACTGACAGCACCGATATAATCGCTTGCCACATAATTGTTCTCGCCGCAGCAAAACAAATTCACAAAGCAAAGAAGAAGCAAAATCGCAACAAATTTCCGACGAGCGGGATCGTGGTGTGACTTCGGTCGGTAAATTCAATCATCCTCGAGAGTTTTCCGCCCAGTGCATCTGCATGAGAATTTCCTCGAGAACTTTCTGTCGCTCCTCGACATCTGAAACTCAAAATCGCCACCATGGGCAAACCACGCAAGCAACCTCACGTTCCCCGGCCCTCACCGTTAAAACAGGTACACCTCACCCGTCCTATCTCGCAAGCTCCTCTATCTTCTGGATTGGTTAGGGATCCTATGTTCTGGAAACGCTTCTCGGTGGCGGTTCATGAGGCCGAAGTGGGCGATCTGGAGAGCGGACGGAGTGCATCTACGAGCACAATTGAAATGAAGAAAACTGGGTACGTCTAGATTGACTTTTTCTCGTACTGCTAGGTCAAGACTGGGGTTATGGATAATATAGCTTGGGCTAAGCTAATGCTTCACAGCGAGCGAGAGCAAGAAAACGATTGGCTGGCGCAACAACACAAGGAGAAGCGACGATGTCGAATTACCTGCCTAATCATCACCCTCCTGGTGGCTATCCTGATCACTGGCGGGGCTGTTGTCGGATGGTGGTTCACTCAGGGTCCAGGAAGTTAGGTTGGAAAAATTCCGACGGATTCATTGAAGAAAACGCTTTATGAACCACGAGATACTTAATGATATATGATGGAGGACGGCCGGGAATAGGCAATACATGCCATTTTGGGACGAATCATCAACGACATGGCTATTTGCAGCAGAGCTTGCACAGCTGAGCACATTTCATCGCCGGACGGAGGGTACAGGCCCATGTCAGAGGCCGAGAAAGAACCTAAAGCTCGGAGGAGTTCCAGGCTGGTCCGTTGCCTTTGGGAATGTGTATGAAGGGAGGGAACACGCTGCCCTGGTTTTGGCTGGCATTATAAAACATCCAAACGCACAGAATGAAAACAAGGAAAATACTCAAGCAAGCAACAAATTTCCATCCTCTCGATGATCGTAAGGTGAATATCCAGGCAAGTGGATAAATGTAGACCGCAAACACTTATAGAAAGGCCGGTAGAAGGACGTGTATAATTTCCCTCATCCCTGCAAGCCATTGAAGTACTTCCTTCGGGATGAAATCATCCAAAGAAGCTGTCAAATTTCTGAGAACACTTGATGTCATAATGTGTATTGCTGGAAGTGAAAGTTCTGGAGAATCGGCTGCGAACTTATTTGACATAGGGATAAATCTGAGATTCTTGAAAACCCTTCAAACCTTCGCTGCCTTATCTTCAATGGAGCTGGCAGCACGGATGTGATGTGACAAGATGCAAGCATCTTTGGGCTAACTTGTGACAAGTATTCCATACCGGCTTCAGGTGAGTATCCGACGTGTCTGAGGTACTGTAGTATCTAGATACCAGCCGAAAGCGTACAGTAGTGCACGTGCGGTGCCAAGGAATCACTTTCCAAGGTCCTTCCAGCAGCCAACGTCCCCCCGCGTTCTCCCGTGTAGGTGGTACAATATCCTGTCCATCCACTCCTCGCCTCAGACTTGGTCCGCTCAAGGTTCCTCCAGACTGAGTACTGTGCGGATGTGTTGCGACTACAGCACCGACTGCCACTCTCACGGCCTCGTGACAGCAAGCAGTGAAGGCGGTTGGCAATGTCCTCGCACTTTCTTGGTTGGCCCTACAGTAGCCTTCTCGAGCAAGTCCACACCGGCCCTAGACGTACGTCACAGGTTCCATGCACAAATCAATCCCACACCGATCTCAAAATAATAGTCTGTTTGCCTCTCCCAAATCGTGGAAGGTCTGCGGCTCTATATGGCAGCAGAGCCTTGCTGCCTGCGTTCACCGAAGCCACATCGTGGCGAAGTGTTGTGGCGAAGTTCAACGACATGTATCCAGGTCAATGGCAATTTCAAACCCTTCTGTCTCTTGCAAAGTTGCGCAGATACTTGAGCTTTACTTTTGTATTTGCTGCTCGTTCTAGAGAAAGAAAAGGGATGAGGAGCAGAGGTTGTCCTTTTGTAACATTTGGTCCCCTCAGCTCCTCGTCGTGAACACATACTCCGCCGTATTATGTGCGGTTTCTTCCAGCGGCGACATGCAGCCCTGTCAAGACACTATTTTCATTCTGTTCTATCGGTGAGCGTATAAAGGCAGGCGTCTGAACCTTCGTCTGCTATATCGAGTCTGATTCGTCCACAATTCGTTGTGCAATTCCTTGTGAATAGGTCTGCCCCGTGTATGCCCTCGCAGCCCTTTCCACGCCCTCGCCATCCCCTTTCCCACTTCAGGATATCCGGTCTGGGAATTTAGTTTCATTTTTGTCGAACTGTACAACGACCATGCTGTCGATGTCTCTTCTTCAAGCCCTTCTCCCCATTCTTCGTTTCAGTCCTTTCAACTGTCAACGGAACGTAACCCGGATCTCCACCAAGTGTTCCTCCATGGTGTGGTAGGAACTAAGTACGTCAATAGTCTCGAAATGTACAACAATACCGCAGCCTCATCTGATCCAAATGGCAAGCCCTCCCAATTTGGACCATCGCGCCGCACTATTGGCCGTCCAGGTCCCATGCAGGCATCCTCTTCCAACAAACAAAGGAGACTTTCAAATAGCTACATGGGAAATCCACCATTCCAACCTGAAGAGTATGCGACCGCCCAGATTCGCCTTGAGTCAAATGAAGCTTGGCCCTACCTTCCTGCACCTGAAAACTCAATCAACAATTATCCAAACTATGACCCTGGCCAAGTGAGTGTTTGCAGAACGAATAACCCGGTCATTGCATATCAGGTAAGTGGTAATGTCTTGTCAAACACAAATACCGTCACATCATCCACACAGTGATACAGCAATGCTGACTTCTCTGAATAGTCATCAGAAACCCCGGGCAGTTCTCAACTCATTCAATCATCTCTTCCCTACACTCGTAAGATTTCTCCCAGTACAAGCCAATCCATACAACTCACTTCTCGCCCATAGAAACCTTCCCTTGTCTTGCTGGCACTCCTGACACTGTATGTGTTTGCCAGACCTGCAGGATCAATACATCAAGTCAAGAACTTCTTGGTCCCATTGGTGTCGGGAACCAAATGGCTGCTGTATCCAGTCAACAACTCGGAATCGGCCCAGGCGCTGGATCCACCGGTCTACTCTTCCAGGGTTCAATACCTTCCCTTGAGACATCGCGGCCTTCCTCGTTTACTACATACAACCAAACCGATTCGGGCATCTCACAGTATGTCCCGTTGTCCAATTCACATTTACAAATTCCCTACGATAACTCTTCAACAACAAATTTCAACTCCTCATTAGCCAGCTTACCGAACGGGTACGGGTTCTGGGGCCCTTCAAATATCGATCAAAGCTTCTCATCGCTATTGACTGACAGGGGAGCTTACCAGCCCATGTCTATCATGCCACAAGCCCGAGATCTTATTATCCCACCAGAGCAGCAGAACACCCAGCAAGGATTCGGCTTTGGAAGCATCGTCTCACAAAAAGCAGAGAGACCCAGCTGTACGGACTTTCTTGAGGCTCAGCGTCGTCTAAATGCAGAATTCAAGAATGACTTGACGGCAACGCCAAAGGACGAGGAGAATTTCGCTGCTTCGATTGGTATATCAGCAGCACAATTGCAATTTTGTATCTCTGCCAGGCTTCAATTACTGCCTCGTATCGAGGACATGGTAGTCTCATCATACAAGCATGGTATCCCACCTGAATATACAGCAGAGTGTAAGACCCTCTCGCGCTGATGATACTTTTTGTTTGCTTTGCGTCTGAATTGTATCTGATTCCTCAAGGGGCTCATTGGAGGGCGGAAAGGAGCAGCTGCTGACTCGCAGATCATTACAGGGTACCGGGAAGTGCACTCAGCAAACCAACCCTCAAACAGAGGAGTTCACGATTCAGCTTATCAATCACGCCCAAGCACTTCCAAAAATCATTTCCAATCAAGGAAGAGGCAGAAAAGGCCGATCAAGAACGCCAATAGAGAGAAGCCTTATCAATGTACTCGTATCAAGTCAGATGGAACATATTGTTTGAAAGAAAACATACATCTCGCCGACTGTAAGTACCAAGTTGGCATCGCCAGGATCATTTCACCGTTCATTCCCATATCTTTCCAAGAATCTTCTAGCGAATCCAAAACTCCATTGATGCTAATTGTCTTCCATTCAGGGAAGCGACACGAAGAAACACACTGGCCCCAAAGACGATGGGAATGCATAATCAATGACTCAAATGGAAATGTGGCTTGTCATATTTGTGGCACACACATCGACTTGGCTGGACAGCATTCAAATTCCCACAACCTATGCTTAGGCAACGTTCTAAGAATTGGACATGATTTCCACCGCAAGGATAAGCTGATAGATCATGTTAGGCAAGCGCATGGATGCAATGCAAATGTCGAAGCATGGTACGTTGACGTCAACTCGGATTGGAAAAGACAGTGTGGCTTTTGTGGTGAAACCTTTATAAATTGGGACACCAGATGTGCACATGTCAGTCGACACTTCACCGCTGGAATGCGGATGATTCAAGACTGGAAAGACCCGTGGACAAAAGATCATGAGAACCAAGGTCAACCACCAGACGAGGGGAACGATGATGATGATGATGATAGTGGAAGTGATGGAAACGGCAATGGACCCAAACACGACTTGAACAGCAACAACAATAACAACATGAACAATTCTAGAACAGGCTACAATCCCCGGAATGGGCCAGGAAGTGGAAATGGGAAGAGATCAACACGCTCCCATGAAAGCACTAGTGGCCACGAGAAAGACACACAGAATGATGGTCAGGAGATGCACTATTCGAGTGATCTGGCTGATGGCGTAAAAAGTGAAGAAATAGAATCCACAGAGCAAAGCGAAGACAGAAATCCTTGCCCAGCAACCACAAAATCACTCACTGATCAAAAGACTACCTCTGGCTTTGAATTTGTCAGGAGGCTTGGATATGGCTCATTCGGTACAGTGGATGAGGTTCTTCACACAAGTACCAAAACCTACTTTGCCAGGAAGTCGATTCGGCCATCGCTTAATCAGTCCCCTGCCGCTTTATTCCAGGCCCAACGGGAGGTTGTAGCTCTTTGCAGCCTAAGACATGTTCACATCATTGGTGTTGTGGCATACTATACCTTTGGGGATCAGTTTTCTATTATCATGTCTCCAGTAGCCGAGGGAAACTTGTCGGAATATATGTTCAACGATTGTTCAGCACCTTTAATCAAAAGTTCGAACCTCTCGAAATGGATTGGATGTTTGATATCCGCTGTTTCCTATATGCATGAGAAGTCATGGCAGCATCTCGATATCAAGCCAAGCAATGTTCTTGTTACCGGAGGTCATGTAATGCTCTCAGACTTCGGTGGCGCTCTGCCCATGGAGGATCCGCGATCGGCTATCTTTGCGGAAAGCCGCTGTGCTGTCACTCTTATGTATTGTGCTCCCGAGCTGGCATTCAAGAGCCGAAAGCCCGTCAGAACTGGTGCCAGCGACATCTACTCCTTGGGTTGTGTCTTTCTTGAGATGGCAACCATTATACATCGCCAGAGTCTGAAGTCATTCGAGCAACTGAGAGCGTTCGATACGGGGAACGGTAGCTATCATATCAATCCCAGGAAGTCTTGGACTTGGATACACCATCTGTGGGATATTGACGAGGATCTAGGCTTAAATCGCCAACATGGTCTCCATGTCATCTCCAGCATGTTATCAGACGATCCAAGAAAGCGGCCAACAGCCCGATATATCGAGGACTCTTATCATTACTACAAATTCTTCACATCGCAACATGAAGACAAAGGCGTTGAGGAGGAAAATTACCTCATAATCACGACACCGGAGAGCAGTCGTCAAGGATTTGATCCCATGAACATCGCTCGTCGATGGCTTACAAATTGCTCTACGAACCACAAGAGTTGCTCCAGATCATCGAGAGACTTCTTCCCTTCCCGAATCTTGAACGTCGGCACTGATAGCAATTTCATACATCTGCAGTCGTCGAATGACTTCCCAAGCCCGTACGTGGCACTTAGCCACTGCTGGGGTGCTGGAAATATCCTTAAGACAACCTCAAAGACACTGAGGGCGATGACTCAAGGCATCGAAATATCGTCTTTATCGAATGCGTTTTCAGATGCTGTGCGTATCACTCGTGCTCTTGGGCTAAAGTACCTATGGATCGACGCACTTTGCATCCTACAAGATCGTATCGATGATTGGGTCTCTGAGTCATCTCAGATGCACATGATTTATTCCCATAGTAGCCTTACCATATGTCTTGCCAGTGATGGGAATTCTGGGTATGGCGGAAAACAACCACTTGCTGAAAAGCAGAAAGTGGACGAGTCGAGTCCCATGTGCTTGACTTGTTCTAAAGGCTACAATGAGTTTGAACATTTGTGCGAGGATACGCCTACCACGATGCTACTCGACTCACCTTGGTCCAAGCGCGCTTGGACGCTACAGGAACGAATTCTCTCTCCTCGGGTCTTGTATTATTCTTCGACAAGAATGGCGTGGGAATGTGGAGGCAACCGGACCACGCTCGACATCGTAAGCCGGATGCGGGAGAATTTGAAAACATTGTCTGTCAGCACAACAGTGACAACCAGCCGGAAAAGGTGCTGGGATACGCCTCTTACGAAGCCGTCTCAGGAGTTCAACAAACTGTGGCGAGATATTGTTAAAGAGTACACAAATCGACAATTAACTTTTCCCAAGGACAAGCTTCCAGCTCTCGCAGGAGTTGCTGCCGAAATTGCTTCACTGAGCGGTCAAAAATACCTCGCCGGTCTCTGGAGCGACGACCTCATCCATTCCATTCTTTGGTGTCGTGACTTCGCAACAACTCCCCTCCCACCACCCTCCCAATACCGTGCCCCAAGCTGGTCTTGGGCTGCCATCGACAGTCCGGTTACCTGGCCCAAAGCAATGCTTGAATTTCCAGATGACGAAGAAGCTAAAATAATTAGCTGGAAAGTCATACCACAGTGGGCAAGATCTCCTTTCGGGCAGGTATCGAGTGGAGGAAGTTTGGCGATTCAAGGATCGATGCAAAAAGTGCTGATTGAGAGGAGTCAGCCCCAAACTATATTGGACCTAGAAGCACGGATGCCGTTTGCATTTGCTCAGTGGGACTGCCTGGAACCTCAACACTACGAAAGATCTTGTCAGAATCGCCGCAAAGTTCTTGACGAACTTTGGTGCTTACGCATTTTGAGTGGGGCGGGGTTGTTGCTGAGGGAAATGAATAAGGGCGAGCCTGATACGTTTCAGAGGGTAGGCCTTTATCGTATTCATGACAACCTGGTTAAAGACGCCAGTTTGGGTAATATTCGACATGGAATTGTTCGCATTGCTTTGATTATATAAAAACCATATATGTTTCTTTTCTCTTCCCTTATTGTCAATTCTGGCAGGTGGGCTCACCTGAACCGAGGAGTTCTGCTTCATACTTGGCATTCGGCGAGGAATATGGAATTTGTCAAGGTGGGCAACGCCGCCCTTCATACACAAACACACATGAATACATATACTCCAGTGGTCCCTAAATTTTAGAGATATTGCCTTTGAAGTTTCCTAATAAGTTCATGATTTATATTTGTGTTTGTAGCTTTGTACTTGGGAGCGTTCGTGTTTTGTTTGGATTAAATAAAGTTTCTCGCTAAGCACTTCAATGCCTTGTCAAGGTTAGTAGGAGCTTTCTTGGATAGCAAATGTTTGGGCTTTGCTTTGATCCTTTCTAGAAAGCAGACTATAGGTAAGAACAGCTATAGAGAGATATTATCTGCATTTGTGTTTCTTATACATGTGGGCTAGGAGCAGCTCATAGGCTCAAACAACTTTGACTTCTGAAAACCAAATGTCATCTTTGCTCAAACCCAAGACGATAGTTTCCGATCGCCAGCGCACACATTATTTATCTCTTACTTCATTGAAATGAACATGAGAAGCCAAAGCCGTTTCTGTCCCTCAAGAACTCTTGGGTCACCAGAGTAGGACGTGGATACGGCACTTCAAAGGATACCCCCCAATTCTCATTTCCTGTTCCAGCATCCTTTCAATCATATGCATCCAATTCCTGAGCAAGAACATCTATCCCAATAAGCAGATCTGTACATCAACTCAAAGGGTTCTCAACGTAGTGGTTTATCACGTCCTCCGCATAACTTCATTCCAAGATAACTTGATTCCAACATCAAGACTTATTGGAAGGTTGCAGGTTCAATTGCCGCAGGGGCCCTTTGGTAAAATGTTGAAGTTTGTTCACTTGGACTTTGTTCTTTTTCATCATTTTGCTAATGGTTCTGCTAGCCACTGTACATTTTTAGCAGTTATGCCATATCGTTCTGTTGGTCTTGTTGTGGTGCTGAAAGAGGCTTGCGGCTGGCCACATCATGTCCGGTTTGAAGAATAGCCTGCTTTATATGCTACTCCTGTATGAGTTACTGTAGTACTGTAACCATTGTTCATCTCGTGCGGAAGAGAACGGACTCCATGACTGCGCATATCACGAGATATCGTCCAAGCTGTAGCTCCCTCAACAACGTGCCCCTTATTTAATTCCTCTCTTAACAGTCATATGTACTAGAAACAACTCAGAGCTTACATTTAATGCTGTTGGAGAGATATGTGGCGAGAACAGCTTGGGAAATACATGAAGCAATTCGTGATTCCTTGATACTTCCACAACCTGTTGCTTATTACATCGCATGGCTTGGAGATCTGAACACCAGAGGAGAGTTTCTAAGAAGATGGATTCTAAACTGCTTGTTACTAGCTCTTTTTGATTGGTTTTTATAGGTGTGGGAGTGGTATACCTCGTGTGAATTTTGGCTGGCTAACACAAACTGAGTATGCATTCGAAGAGGAGGAATCCCACCTTTCTTCAAATGATACAGTCTACCTTAGTTGATGTTTAAACCACTCCTAAAAAGTGATTAACCTTTCAAAAAACATCATACAGCGTCGAGGTTGGATTGAAAGGCTGCAAAATGCAAAGAGCAGCGTAATCTGGACCGCGAGCAACAGCATTTGGTCAAGCTGCAATGTGCTCTCTCCGACACTTTTGAACAACCTAGCATCCTAAAGGAGTCTGGGATTTCCTCCGCATGGTATTTCGGTCGAGTGCTCTAACCTCAGTTGAAATCATTACACTGGGGCATTGTCTACGCACCATGCTCGCTCGCTTAGTTAACTATGAAATGATAATTCTTTCCACAACACTTTCGAAAAACTTATGGTCCCATCAGTCTTTCGAAGTGCTAGAACATAAATCCAATCACCTACATGGGCCCACTAGGCTGGAATGATAATTCATTCGCCTAGCTGCACCCACGTGCCAAGGCCTGTCCCAGACAGCTGTGCATGTTTGTTTTCCTACCCTGCTGGTCGCTCCTTCCACACAACAAACACCATCAAGCGCGTAATCAACCACAACGCAGAGCGAAGATGTTGTCTTCGGTTGCTAGAGGTAAGATGAGAGCTACGATCAGGGAAAGACATATTGCATGGCCACCAGTCATCGTCCATCAAACACCAATGGGCTTCCACCGGGATGGTAAGCTCAAAGCTCCAACCCCACAAATTTACTGGCATGCAGGCTGAAAACAGGAGTCACTGCCAATAATTACGCCCGCGATATTGGTAGATCTTCCATCCTATCAAATGGAGAAGTTCTATTTCAGTAAGTAATCTCATCTCGCCTTGAGATCCTCCCCAGCCTCCTCCCATTATCGTCGGGGAGAATTCTGCAGAAGCTAGTTGGCAGCTTGCTTCACCGTTCTCAGCGAGAGATATGAGAAAATTGTACTAAATGTTTTCTACTTAGATTTGGAGACACCTTCTCCAAGGACAACGCTGGTCACTTTCTTGGCTTGACCGACAATACCTGTTCGATTGCTACCGATCCTACAAATCCGACCCTCTCCTCTTACAGACACCGTGATCCCTTGGGTGAAGATATCATCAAGCCATTTATCAAGCTTGAAGAAATTGAGATAAGACGGGGCGAAAATATTGTGAGTGTTCCCGGGGTTATTAAACCCAATTGCATATTTTAAAATCATCCCAACACTGCGTCTTCTCAAGACAACCTCCGATCTCCTTCCATTAATCCGCCACTTGAGATGTCTCTCCACAGATATGATGCTGACTCAAAATTCTCCTCAGTGGTCGTTTAGCGGCATAGTTGAGAGAGTCGACGACTGGGAGATTGAGAAGACGGAAGGCTTTGATACTAGACGCATCATAGGATGGACTTTTTTCGAAGTTCGCCAGAGAAATCCTACCGGAGGAATTCCAACGTACTGTTATACTGGTGTTGCCAAAGTTGTATATGACACGGAGCTCAAGCGATTCAAGACTTATCGGGACGGAGAATCTACAGGCAGTCACGTACTCTTTGGGGTAAGCCAGTGATTATTCTCAAAGCTTAGTGATAACATGCACGAATGATGAGAAGTACTGACATTCTAGCAGACCAATGAGCCTCGCTTCAGCATGTGTGCTGTTAATTCTGGTGAGCACATCTATCTATATGGTCAAAAGGCCAGTAATTCCGCTTGCACTCTCCATATTTGCGCGAAATATTGAAAAAGATCAGCGCTGACTTCCCTTGAAGGGTCAAGGAGTCTACAACGGCAAGGACATATACGTCGCACGAGTACACGTCAACTTCGCAAACCAACGCCACTTTTATGAATACTGGAACGGTACAAGATGGGACAGTAACGTGAGAAATTGTGTTACTATTATCCGGGACATGCAGCACGGCCAAATTTTCTGCACGAACATGTTCGGAGAAGGTCAGCCATATACGTGGGCTTTTATAGGCTGCAATGCACGGGGTGACAGCAAAGTTCAGATGGGAAGAGCCATGTCACCAGAAGGTCCATGTACGTGTTTTCGGGCAACAATTCTCCTTGATCAGGTGTCACCCGTGACCTGGGACATATATACGCCCAAAGAAACCCGACTTAGGCATAAAGAAGGTTGTACTGACTTGGTATAATCATAGGGGAAGTCAGAGAGACGACCGCCTCGCTGTATTGCCTCACGGATCCCCCACCAAACCCATACCAGTATTGTGTCTACCCACATCCCTGGGCTGACAAGACGGAAGAGACTGGGTAAGTCGAGATCCCGTGACGATATGGAGAACAAGAACTGACAGTCTGCAGGGATCTCACCATCTCTTGGTCGGAGGGAGGCCTGACCGGTGCTGTTCTTATGTCGAAAATTCGTTTCCAAATGCAAGATGTTCTTATCTAGTATGGACCCTTCTTGGAATACAGCACCTGGTAGTGGTACTGGAGAACTTTGGAACTTGATAGCACCAAAGGGTGATATCTGGAGTTGTGGTACTTTCAAGGAAGTGTATTCTCACTGCGAATGAAATGACTTGCAACTCTCATCATGAACAATGCGTCATTGAAACAGACCGCTGAGCCAGATCATCTCAGAATCTACTAAGCTTTTCTAGAATACTTGAAATTGATGTACCATAATCTCACTATAAGTGCTTAGGATAGCCGGTTGCCTTGGTGAGAAAGTCACTAGTTGTGCTACAACGCTCAAGATATGTGGAAGGGATAATGACTTGTCTCTAAAAACACAAGTATAGTGAGCTGTCCTTTAGACTTCTTGCACGCTCCTAACATGCTGAAAGAAGCAAGGAAGGGACAGACGCTAGCAGAACAAAAAATCACTACGAGTAGATACCCCAGCCAAAACACAACTGTTGCTTGTATATTGATTACCAAAGCAATACCAAAGTCAATAGAAACCAGACAGCAGTTCTCGAAGCATCCGCCACAAGTCCCAGACTTTAGTCATCCATACCTCGCTTCGCGGCGCCATCACAAATCTAGACTAGCTCTGGCGCTCCCGAGCTTCTCCAGATTGACATCTTGAGCTTTTTGCCTGCGAGCTGCGCTTCCCCAGAACATCCTCACAACACCTCAAGGAATCACCTCTAATCTCAGCAATCGATCCGCAGACCGAAGTGCAAACAATCCCGGCCAACAGCAAAAGTTTCCAGCAGAGCGCAACTCTCTATCAGCCTCGAGTCCGTCGCAAAGCATCGTCGCAACACACTTTCGAGTCAACACAACCTCCACAATGGCGAACTACCTCGCCAGTATCTTCGGTACCGAAGCAGACAAGGTCAACTGCTCCTTCTACTACAAGATTGGCGCGTGTCGGCACGGCGACCGCTGCTCGCGCAAGCACGTCAAGCCCTCCTACAGTCAAACTATCCTCCTCCCCAACCTCTACCAAAACCCAGCCTACGATCCAAAAAACAAGATGAATGCCAGCCAGCTGCAGAATCACTTTGATGCTTTCTACGAAGATTTCTGGTGCGAGATGTGCAAGTTTGGAGAGATTGAGGAGGTGGTTGTGTGTGACAATAATAATGATCGTACGTTTTACTTTTCCCCGTCACAGAAATATCATGCTAACTATGTCTTGCAGATCTCATTGGCAATGTCTACGCACGCTTCAAGTATGAAGATTCCGCGCAAAAGGCCTGCGACGCTCTCAACTCACGATGGTACGCCGCGCGTCCGATCTACTGCGAGTTATCACCCGTCACCGATTTCCGCGAAGCCTGCTGCAGACTGAATAGTGGGGAAGGATGTGTTCGTGGCGGTTTCTGCAATTTCATCCATAGAAAGAACCCGAGCCCGGAGCTGGATAGGGAGATTGAATTGAGCACGAAGAAGTGGTTGAGGCTTAGAGGCAGGGATGAGAGAAGTGCGAGCAGGAGTCCAAGTCCTGAGCCTACGAGGAAGAGATACTAGAGATTGGATGGATTGCAATCTGCTCCGAGAGAATACGGTTCAGGAGGAGAGATTATAGCACGGGGAGAGGAAGTTCTGGGTGGAAACTTGCGGAAGGAGATTTTTACGGAGTGGTTGACTGATACTGGGCGGCAGTATCTGGGCGTTCAGGTTCATTCACATCCACGATGTGGTTATTACACCAGCATTCGAGTCAACTTAAACGGGCATGTAAGGGAGAGAATGTATTGTACGATTTTCGCATCATAGGCCCTCATGTCTTCTCTATGGACATCGAATCAGATCAGGCCCTGTTGGCTGTCGACACGGGAAATAGACAGGGCTTCATTTGACCTCTTTGGTTCAGGTCTGCCGGATGATATTCTCTCTCCATATGTCGCTGTAGTCTTGGTCAGGCAAATGAGAAAGAATAAGAAAAGGAATAATCTGTGTACTACTTGGGAGAATGATTTCCAGAAACCAACAGAAATCAGCACCAAAAGCAGCATGGGAAAAGTTCAAATATCTCCCAGTCGTTTCTCCAGCAGTGACTACTTAGGATCTGCTTGCCAGACATCCACATCCCGAGTTTCTCATGCCATAAGCCTAAGAATGTCTCCTATCGCAATTTGGAGAATGAAACGCCGCAAACGCCTTCCGAAGAATCGACTTTGATGTGTACTCCAATGGGGGAATCTGAACTCAAGTGATAACTACTAGCTTGGTTAAGCATCAGGTACGTTGAGCACATAGGAATCCGAAACTAGGTCAGACTACCAGCCGAATCCTCCAACTTGTAATAGTAACTCGTAATAACACCAGTAACATTTTGCCACTAGTCCGGGATCAACAGACATTCAGTTCAGACCAAACCTCCTCATACTGATCAGCTGCATAGATATAGTTCGTGCCAAGGCCATGAGATAGCCTCGCTTCTCGCTCTTCGTTTAAATTCGGGTTCTGGCTCCTACTGTAGATGTTCCTCCGTACCTAAAGCTCCGATAATCTAATCTTTTGGAACTTGAACACTGCACACTACACTGTAACGAAATATACCTCTATATTCATGCTTAACGCGTGACTTATAATTTGTAATTATCATATATCGTACCTTCTTTGAAGCAGTACACAGGTTTCAGTTCGGAACTAGAACCGTAGGCCGGGGGGTAAAGAACAAGAAACATCTTGGCTGCCCTGCTTGGCAGAAACAAATGGCGGGGTTCCCTTACGCGGATACGCAGCCAGCCCTTGTGAGAAGCATTTTCTTCGTACAAAGTCGACTGGAGGGAGCCTAGAAAGCTTTTGTTTCGTAAAGAGGTACTTGAGATGAGATGAGATGAACGTGTAAAGCTTGGTTGATATCCTATCATCCTTCGCTTGTTGGACGAGTCGGCAATCTGGACCTGTCAGAGAGCAGGCAAGCCGTGGTATCTATTTCTACTCCATGTTGCAAGCCGTTGCTGTAAGATGTGACGTGACGTCTTGTCTTGAATTCTTGAATTTGGTTGCGCAGCTGACGGACAAAAAGGTTGGGTTGTTGGAAAGTGCATGTGCAGAGATGTACGGCGGACATCTCATGTCATTACTTTAATGTGAATGATGTGTAGCTGGTCTTGTGGGTTGGGTAGACGAGACGTGCAGAGTGATACATGCGTCTTCCAAGAGTACCAAGCTGGATAAAATGCGAAGACGCCTTGTGTATTTATTGCCCAAGAAAATCCCAAGATAAATTTCATCTTCAAAGAGCTGTGATAGCGATGACGGAGGCGTGCCAATAATAGCCAATAAAGATCTCCAACGCGGCCATTCAGGTTCAAGTTCCCATGCTGTTTTTACAGTACCCCACCAAACCAAACCAAACCACCCGCAGCTCCTCCTCCTCCACTACTACTCAGTTGACGGCCGAGCCCGGTGTGCCACACCCACGCCCACGCCCACGCCCACGCCCACGCCCGCGCCCACGCCCGCCCAACCAAACTCTGAGCTGATTTTGATCCCTCACCCCTCCCCTCCCGCTGTTCTCCTGCGTCATTTGCCTGCGTTTTCACTACCGGCCTCCGTCAAGTACAGTACAGTCAGTCCGTCAACCTAACCTGTACGTACCTCGCAACTCCAGGACACAGCCTCACTTATCAACACCCCCAAGACGAAGACGAAGAACAAGAAACAGCGCTCTCCCTGCAACCCACGAATTACAACTGCGAACAAGCACGAGGAATACACACAAGAGGCACCCGGCACACAGTTGGTGAGGATGGTCAGCTTGGGACATGCGCATCGCCGGGCCTCCGCGGCAAGTAGGTACTCTTCCAGGCTGCATGCTCAACGCTCCAAGTACTACCCAAGAGGGAGACAGCTGGGCATGTTGGCCAGACGTAGAGGCATTGTGCTAATGGTGACGTGGGAAGCAGGCGCGAGGTCTTCGGTCGATGAGTCGAGGTCGGATGGCCCGGAGGACGAGGTCGTGGAGCCCGATCAGGGAAATGGTGAGGCGTCCTACGTACTTCGACGACTTACACGAGGGGGGCATTTACTGATATGGGTTGGGAATAGTATTGTCGCATATCATCTCGCAGCTGAGGCCAGGCGCGGATCTGAGTCGAGTGGTGCTGCCGACTTTTATTCTGGAGCCTAGGAGTATGTTGGAGAGAATCACCAAGTGCGTGCTTATTCTATAAGGGAATTTGAGAAAAAAGAATACTGATGGGAAATAGCTTCATGGCACACCCGGAAACCCTTCTACCTATGCCTGATATCGAAGATCCGACGCAGAGATTCGTGTCGGTGGTTAAGTTCTACTTGAGTGGATGGCACATCAAACCTCCGTAAGTACTGCTTCGAGTCTATTACATTGGGAATGGGAGACATTGACGGTCATGTAGCGGAGTCAAGAAACCACTCAACCCAATTTTGGGAGAGACGTTTACTTGCTATTGGGACTTTCCAGACAACACCAAAGGATACTACATCTCCGAACAAACCTCCCACCACCCGCCTAAATCGAGCTACTTCTACATGGCACCCGAGCACCATATTCGAATCGACGGTTGTCTGAAGCCACGCAGTAAATTCTTAGGGAACTCGGCTGCTAGTATGATGGAAGGGATCGCTATCCTGCGGTTCCTAAATCGAGGAGAAGGTGGGAAGGGAGAGAGATACATCTTGACCCAGCCAAATATGTATGCGCGGGGTATTTTGTTTGGAAAGATGAAGTATGAGCTTGGAGATCACAGTTTTGTGCGGTGTCCAGAACTGGGACTAAGTGCTGATATCGAATTCAAAACAAAGGGGTACTTTGGTGGGACATACAATGCCATTGGAGGCGTAATCAAGAATGACCATACAGGTGAGATCCTGTATGAGTTATCGGGGATGTGGAGTGGAGAGATGTCCATGAAGGATGTAAAGGTTGGTCATTCGAATGTACCAGGTGGCTAATATACTGATTGGTTTCCAGACTGGGAAGAAGGAAGTTTTGTTCGATGCTACAAGAGCAAAGCATACGCCTCCAACTGTCCGGCCTCTCGAGGAGCAAGCGGAGCGCGAATCTCAGAAATTATGGTTCGCTACTGCCAAGGCTGTGAAAGAACGTAATCACGAGGTCGCGACAGACGAAAAGACTAAAATCGAGGACATGCAAAGAGATGAAGCGGCTAGGAGAGCTGAAGATGGGGTAGAGTGGCACCCAAGACTTTTTAGACCGGTGAAAGGCGGCCCTGGAGGTCCAGATGAGGGTGAAGAAGACTTGGATTGGATCTTGAACGCAAATATGTAAGTGGATTATCTTGTGCTTTTTATCATGATTCCAAGCTAAAAAGTTGCAGCGACGGAACTACGCCTCAGAAACAAGCAGAACAGATCTTAGCAGTAACACCCATCGTCCAAGGTCAAAAAAGCACCGAGAAGAACCCAATTCCACCTCATACCAGTAGCGACTCCTATACCTCAACCCATGCCGCTTCCGCTTCATCAGAAAACCAAGCTCCTCAACCGTCACACACCAATGACCTTATCGATTTCAGCCAAAGTGATGGCGCAACGCCAAACAATACCACAACTCCCGTTCCCACTTACCAGCCTCCAGCCGATCTCCAAGCCGCCCAAACAGTCAATGGTGGTCAGCAGCAGAAGGACCTAGAGAATACGCTCAGGTCTACGAGCAAAGAGCGGACGAATGGGAGCGCCCTGATCGATTTCAGTGATGATTTGAAGAGAGATCTACCGACTGTGGATGCGAATGGGAAGAAGCTTGCGCCGTTGAAGAGGGAGGATACTGATACCCAGAGTTTGGTGAGTTCATCCCACATTTATATGTTGTAACGACTTCCAGATACGGGTAGACATTGGCAATTCTACAATATGCGGAGGATCCAAGAGCTCATATGCTAATATCTAACACAGGATGAGTTCGTCGACGCTGAAGGATAAATTTCTCTGCATAGTTTGAATGCGTTTCTAGCTAGCATCTGCGTGCGAGACATTGTCATTTCCCTCTTATTTGAAGCGGGATGAAGCAACTGCAAGGAAGATCATAATGAATACATGTGACTACCACCTAGGTAGCTAGGATTTCTCTCCCATATATAGAAGGGGTGGGATGGATGAATGGGGCAGGGGAAGGGGAAGGGGAAGGGGAATGGGGCGTTGCGATTTGAGGGACATGACTTGGGATGGGAATAAATAAGTAATGTCAATGAACCTGGATTGTAATGGACTGATTGACTGCATCATACGTATGTGAGCTTTGACCATTCGTGTAGAAGTGTTGGATTTGATGTTTTCTGGCAGCATGATGCTATCTACTCATGGAATCTGGACGTCATCCAGAAAGACTATTCCATTCAGAACCGGCATTGTTTAAAATACGACTGTTCAACTGAAAACGCAGAAAAGATCTATAATTCAAGAAGGAGCAGTTCATAGTGATGTCGAGTATCAAACAGGAAGAAGTAGGAATTTCCAACTGCCATGTGGCTTTAGTAAGCGAAGGATGTGTCATCTCGCGTGAAAGTAAACAACTATTCGGCAACTGATTACCATTAGCAGAAAATCATATGGAAGGTGAAACTAGGAACTATATTTATTTGTGTTAATTTCGTAGAAGGTTAATTAGAGTCCCCTTCTCCGATGTGTCATAGCCGTTCATGATTGGTGTCTAACAGCTCAGGACAGCTTTGACTTGATGGAGCCTGTGTCCGACTTCTATTACTATCTCCCTCTTCAGTGTACATCCAAAGTCGATTGTGCTCAAACGAAGTCACAGCACTAAATGTCTGAATAGCACAGTCTACTCGACAACAAAGGACGTTTCACCAGATTTCAAGGATTTCAACGGCATTCAACAGACTTTTTATTTGGATATATCAACGCGTTCGCCATTCCGGGAGGATCTCCATGATCCATCCGCCCCTACCCCATCCACTCCAATTCCAAAAATTGTCTTTTGAAAAGACTGGAAGAAACAAAATTGGAAATGCAGAAGCATCTCGCTGTGGTATCGCCATCGCATAAAGAGAGGAAAAGAGGAAAAGAGGAAATGCTACAATTGCATACGTTCTGGCCCATCCAGATGCCTAGAGCTTGGAAAGGTTGTCTCCAACAAAGATTGTTCCATACGCCAGCTGGCTCTTAATATCAGTCTGTTCCTTCAGCAGCAGAACGCCATTGGTTACCCGCCCGTGAAGTGTTGGCCCGCTGAACCAGATTATGAAGGGGTGACCTCTCTGCTGGCTCGTCCCGTCTTGCCTAGAAGGCCTTTTCGCAGTCCTCCACTACTCGATCTTGGGCTGTTGTCTCCGTTCTCGATAACGGGATTGAGCACAAAGTTGCTCTTGAGAACGATCTGACCACTACCTGCCTTAACAGACTTCTCCAATCCAGTACCGGACTCGTCGACAAAGAAGAGGCCTTCCCCGAGGTCATCGTCGCTACCAAAGGTGTTGTGACCCTTTACTTTGATCTGGAATTGTGTATCCGCCGAACAAGCACACTTGAAGCTTTCCTTCTTGTCGTTGAATGTTACAGTGCCAGAAGCCGACTTGATATGGTCCGTCTTGTGGACTGTCTTGGCCTTCGGACCTAGTTGCTTCATGTAGACCATGACATTGGAGGATGGAGGATATCCACTTGCGGACATGATTGTGAAACTTGCTGTTACAATGTTAGCGCTGAAGCAACTGATGTTTTCTTTTAACTCGGAAGAAGACATCAGGTTCCCTCTCGTCTAGAGACACTTCTCTTGAATCCAAAATCATCAAGTCCCAACAGGACATGGACATCCATCAAGTCTAAGACAATTGTCCCAAGGGTACATATCCAATTGTTGTGAAACGAAATAGACAATCTTACCTGTTCCGGTAGGCGCGCTAGAGCCACCATGACTAGTACTGTGCATAGAAGATTGGCCAAAGCTCTTCGTGCGGTTGTGGCCGGGGATACCTAGAGCAGTTCCTGGAGGTGTGACGGGTGATTCGGGATTGGCTGATGGTGGTGGGAGGTTGCTGGCACGTCGAAGTCCAGTAGATCCACCACCATTGGCGAATTTGACATCTTCTGCCTCCATTTCAGCACCATTGGTCTCCTCCTCCTTCTTCTTGCTCTTAAAACCATGTCGGATGAAGGATGCGCCTTTGCCTACACCATGAGCTGCAAATCCAACTCCTTTGATTGGAGCTCCGGCGACTCCAGTCACAATTTTACCTGGTGTGGCAAATGTCCCAGAGAAGGTTGACGACCCTTGGCGTGATCTTGTGACATAGTCTGGTCTGAAAAGTAGGCGTAATCTTACAGATCCAGACTTGCCGTCCAGGGTGAGGTTGTACTCTTGTGCTTTGAAAGGATCCAATAACTCGAGATTGATGTCTGCATTACCTAGAATGTCGGCTTTGTCCGCGAAGTCCCAGTCGAATACCTTGCAAGTGAATTTAGCGGCAGTTCTGGAAGCAACATCGACCTCGAAGTATTCGTTCCAGGCCGGATGGAGAGTTTTCTTCTGAACCTTTGTCTTGAAAACATCCTTTCCGTTGAGCTCGAACAAACAATACGGATCACTGTAACCATTCCTATCCGCAGATGGGAGATCTGTGGCATCGAGCACGTCCACACGGAGTTTGCCCATATTGTTCATACTCTCACTTGGATCAAGCTGCATCTTGACTGGTATATACTTCAAGCTGACCTTGACGCTGCAAATTTGTCCTTGGTCGTCCTTGAGCTTGAGTACGGTCGGGTTATTCTACGTCACAGTTAGCTGGTGAGCCCTTATCTATTGAGCGACCAGGGCTTACAAGGCATTGCTTAAGCGTATCCAGAGTGTTGCCAGTGAGTTTAGCGATAATATCCTCCTTGTCTTTCTTCGCATCACCTTTCAGTTCACCCTTTTCTCGGACACGAAGCGTTATCCTTGAGAAGTCGAGCTCGCGAACAAAACTGTCTCCAATTTCGTCGATGGTCGTTTTTCTGGACTTTATTTTGGACGACGAATAGGACGGGAAGCTCATATCATCAACAAGCACTACACTAGGATTAGCAAAATGGAAAGCCAAAGGGGAGGGTTGACCACATACCGTCCACGTGGGTGTTGCTATGCGTTAGATCCACGTCCATGAGCTTGAAGATGATAAGTCCGGATTCGTACTTGAGAAGCTCTTCAGGTGTAAGATGGATCTTGGGCAGCTTCTTCTCCTCTTCAATTTCTGTCTGTTCTTTCTCGCCCTCAGCAAGAGTGTGCGCCAGAGAAGTATCGATTTTGCCGTTTTCAAGCGATTTGTTTGCAACTGCGACGGCATCTCCTCCTTTCGTGTCGCCAGATCTGCTACTTTCGATTGACGAACGACCTCTTGCCTCTTCTGCCGACTTCTTCCTTGCCGCAAGCTCTGCTTCATCTTCAGGATCCGCAACATTCAAGCAAGGATAGAAAGATGCGGTATAATTGAGGGTACCCCTTGGAGAGCCCTTCCCGTGTATGCGGAGTGCTCCTGCCTGCGGTTTCTTCGCGTCGTTGACAAGATATTCACCGTTCTCAGCCTGAGATATGTAGTCAGAGGCGAGGAGCTCAACTGAGCCCAGTGAACGATCGCTATTGATTGTCTCTTGATCCATGACCTCCAAAGTTAGTTTCTCACGTGTACTGTGAACAGGCACATAAATAACCTCGTCAAAGTCTGGGTTGAGGTTGTTCTGAAATGTGACAGTACGGCCTTTCTCGATCCCAGACAATAGGACTCGAACATACGGATCTGACTTTCCAAGAGTCTCCAGATTACGGAGGTCACGAGCATTCTTGAAATGGAATCTCATGACACCAATGGGTGTGACATATCCGCCAGTGCCGGCTCCAACGCCTGAGAGAGCTACGGGCTTCCACTGAAGTGTAAACTTGACACGGCCGGACTTTGCCCCCGCAAGGTTGTACCACTCTTGACCCTTCTCCATCAGTGTGAGCATGTCGTTGAGCTTGATCTGATAAGTGCCAAGGATAGGGTCAGCTGAGAGATCTCTGTCGTCTTTGATGACAAGTCCAAGCTTTGCAGTCTTGCGATCTGTGATGAGCACCTCTTTGGAACCGTTGTCCCAAATGGGGTTGTTTGTTCGCTTCAACTTTCTGGTAATATGAATCTCCTTGTTGTTGAGTAGTAGCACAGCATATGGATTGAGAGCTCCAAGAAGACTCCTCGTGCCATCCAAGTCTTTCGCCTGCTCAACGATGATCTTTGCAATACCAGTGTTTGACTCTGGAGGCGGCTCCTTCTTGCCATCTGGAAGATCCCGGCCTTCAAGCACAGGGAAGAATCGGATATCAGAAGATATAATCCCGCGGGCTTTTCCGTTGGCCATGACCTCGAGCTGCTCATTTTCGTGTTCCGTGACTTCCTGTATTCTCTCCAGAGGGAAAGTTGCAGTTCCCAGCTCCTTATCCTTCCGATATTCATTGTAATCAAATAGCTGGAGAGTGAGACTGTCGTTGAAGGATGTGACAATGACATATTTCGTTTCGTTCCATTTTGGATTAGCATTCTCCTTGATGATCTTTGTCTGCGCGAGGGCAGCTCCGTTATTGAACGACAATACCGTGTAAGGATCGGGAGTTCCAGCGAACTTGTCTGGGTTCTTCAGCCCCTGAGCTCCATGGAGAGTGATTGCCATGACACCAATAGCTTGGTCAACAGCCGAACCAGAAAGCATCTTCGCAACCTCGATCGGGAAGACGTTAGGAGCGTACATGATAGGACCAATGTTCGCATGGATTTGGTCCAAGATGAATGATTCCAAACCAGGGATGAAGTTAATATCAAAACCAAGCATCTCACCACCTAGTGGTTTACAAACATAGTCAATGGTGGGTTTTTCCAAGAATGAAATCTCAATCTTCTCCACGTGAGGGAACGGAATCTGGAGTTTGATCTTGACTCGCATAAGTCCTGAGAACGCCATGTCCTCTACTATAACCTAAAGGATGATGGGTTAGTAAATTAAATGTCCTGTAAAAATTTGAGTAATTCAATAACTCACGTCTAGCCCCTTACTGATCATGGCTTTACCGATTCTGATTTCGAGCACAATCTTCGGGTTAACCTTGTTCTTGATTTGGCGCGAAGTCATGTCCGCATGATCATTTGGCGTGAAACTGAATTTCCAGTCCATGAGCACAACGTCGTCTTCCGCTTTTGGATAAGTCTTGACGTGTTCCATTCGAGGAGGTTTGTTTCCAAGCGTGAAAGTCTTCATACGAAGACTATCCAGAAATGCCGGTGTTGAAGTACTCAGCACTTGATCAACGGAGTTGATAATAGTCTCTGCCAGCACAGGCTGGAAAATGGGCCAGAATTTGACCAAGAAGCTGTTGATCCACTCCAAACTCTCCGTGTCCGTCTCGAGCCTATTCTTTGCCAGCTCTCGATTAACATCGTCCCTGAAATTTCGTCGGACTCGGCGAAGAGATGTTCGGTAATATGTACCACAGATAGCCATAATCAGGAATACCCAAGCAAGTCCACCTCCCAAAACGGCTACAAACCAGGACGAAAGACAGGCGAATATAATCACTCCAGTATTATGGTACCAATCTGCCAGACGCCAATTAGAAGCCATAAGATTTGAAAAATCGGAGAACACTCACCACCGAAGAATTTGTCGTCTAGCTTTCCCTCAACCCAAGTTTGGTGGTCTGCTAGACTTTCCTCCTCGATTGATGCGCTCGACACACCGTTGCCAAATCTTGGCGCCCAGCCAGTTCTCTCCACCCATCTGTCATTTTCGTCGTCGTCGATGAATTGGCCACTGACACCGTTCGTTATGGGTTTTCCGCTCTTGTCTTTAGCAGGTGCGGTAGGTGCGAGAGCTCCAGCTGTAGAAGGTGGGGGAAGATCGTATGCCCCAGGTTTTCCATCATCTATATCTGTTGGAACTGCAACTCCTTTCGATTTGTGTTCGTGGTGGAACCCCTCTGGTATACGCTGCATAAGTCAGCAATTGGCACTGGAGCAGATAATAAGAGGGTGCATACAGCTCTGGCTTGGGCTGCCTTCTGCTCGGGCGTTGCATCTGGGTCGAAGGAAAAGGCAGCGACTCCAGCCTTCTTGCTCTCAGCCACAATTCTCTGTTCCGCATCTTCTGCAGTAATAGAGCTGTTTGGGTCTTGAGCTGCTTCCACGACGCCCTGCGTCTTTAGTTCTGCGGCATTGGAATTGACGTCCATTGTTGCTGAGTTGGCTGTCCGGATCCGAGAAGATGAAGCTTGTCGATAACCATGCAATGCAATTGACGTAACTGGACGTTTCCTGAGCTGCCTGGGGTAGATTGAGAGGAAGGAAGGAAGAAGGAAGGGAAAGAAGAGCAGGAGACGAGAAGATAGGAACTTCTGATCCAGGTGAAGGTCGGATTAGTCTGCTCGGGAGATAGCGAGCGCGCGGAGGTGGAGAGAACAGAAGACAGGAAGGTTGAGCTGGGCTGGAGACAGAGAGACAGAGAGAGGAAGAGACAGAGAGTCAATCGAGGCAGGTCTTGAGTGGAGTGGCTTGGGCTGCGGGCTAAGTTACTTGGTTGGCCAGCTTTGCTGGTACAGGGATCGATAGCTTGCTTGGAGCTGGGTTCGGTGGAGTGGTTCAGTGCAGCATCCCTGTCCAGCTGTCTCTGACGATTTACCCGCACGCACGGCCTGTGGTACGCTTGCGCTAATCGGGGAGCGGTGGTGGCTTCGAGCTTCCTTAAGCCTTCAGGCAGGTAACGAAGTAAGGTAAGGTCACTAAGTGAATGGTCCCTTCAACCACGCTGGCCCAGACCTGCGATGAAGCTGGAGCCGGAGCCGGGGCGGTAGCTGGCGCCGGAACTGGAACCGGAACTGAACCTGATGGGCAGGATATGTAGGTAGGTATGGTAGGTAGCTATGAGCGAGCAGAAGGGGGCAGGTGGGGTGTAACACAACTGGGCACACTTGCACGTAAGGTACCCTGGGTAGTGGAGGCTGGGGAAGGTAATTGGAAGTCTTTGACAATAAATACAGTACAGTAGTGAGAGGCCTTGGGCACAGTGACCCGAACCTAAGGTACCGGTACCTAATAAGATAGGACCAACAGGGCACTCCCACCGAGTGATTCAGTGATTCACGGTCGTGGCCGAAGGGTCAACAAGTATCCTTCCTCGCCTTTGTACCACAGCGCAGAACTCCCCTCAGAAATATTCTACTTCTGAAGCTCTTGCTCCGTCCAGCGTGCCATCAGCCTTTGGCAAATTCTTGCTGCAACGCCTGAGTTTTCATTTATTTTGAGTTTTGTATGCGGTAATTTACTGGTCCATGATTCTGGTTTGGGGAGAGCTCGAGATGGCAGGGATGAAGGCGATCAGCATCATGATCGTACAACCCCAGGCCCCATTGTCCAGTGTCCACCCATCACCATCCCATCCCATCCCATCCCATCCTATCTCATCCCCAACCTCACGAATTTCATGCTTGATGCATGTGCGCCCAGATCTTGCAGTGCCAAGCTACAACTTGTCATACCAGACATTGGAGCAACTGCTCATAATTCTTGCAGCTGGGATTTCGAATGTGAGGGGAGGGGTTAGTTTTCAGCAGCACAGGGTCCGGCTTGACTTCGCTCCCTTTTCCCTCCATTATCCCTCCCACCCTACCTCGTTTGCAGAGGGATGTGCCCTGGTGTCATACCGTACCACTAGCCATCTTCTTCATTCGTCGTGGCCACCATTTCTTGCTGTTCTGCATATAATATGCACTGCGCACTTTGACGACTAGGCTATGCTATGCTTTGCTACATCTGTACCTCTGGCGGGCACGAAGCCACCGTCGGAGCCTGCCCTTGAAAATGGTGCTTCTTCCTGGTCTCGCAGACGCCACACCCATCGTCTGTATTATCTCTGTCCGATCGCCGTTAGGAATCGACAGAAGTGGTTCGTAGCTCGCCACCACACATCGTTCTGTCGTGGGTTGCGATTGTTGTTAAGGTCATCTCTGTTGCTCCGCGGTGCGGTGTCTTCTGGCCAGTCTCGTCTAATAATCGGGCTCTTCGTTAGGTATCAAGTTGGCCATCCCCACAAGCGGGGGTAAATAAACAGTAAACAGCTGCACCAATCAATGCAGAACAGTGTCAGATATCCAGACATTGTGGCTTCACGTTGTCAATCGTTCCCTGGGCCTGGCGAAGAGTACCTTACTTCGTTACAGTACCTTAAAGACGGGACGCGAAGCTGGCCCTGAACCCGAAACCCCTGAACACAATAATACAGTAGAAGAAGGGAAGGGAACCTTGGAAGGCTGAGGCCGTCTGGACTCTGGGCCGTCCGCAGACTAATGCCAGCAGTCACATGGAGATAGCAGCCCGTTACTTTCGTTATCTCGAGGGGCTCCATGGCCCTTCGTTTCTGCTTTGGTCAAGCCAGTTGGTTGATACGAACCTTGAGGTGTGCATGAAACTTGACGTGGGTCTCAAATAACCCTTGTTGAGCTCTGAACAAATGATAACGCAGTTGTGGCATTCATACCTTCGGGCCAGACAGTCCCAATCACCAACAAGTCGATGCGCCCCCAACTGTTGTGACTGTTCCTCAATTGCGGCGTAAACATAGCTGCTGCCGCCGCAGACAACCCCTCGAGTCGTCTTTGTATGCGGGTCTCTACTCCTCATTAGCACAATCTGGTCTCCCGTTGATCGCGTGGCCATGGAAGCACATTCGAGCAGCCCCAAAGATGGCGAGAAGAAGCGAAATCGCTTCATGGGGAAGCTTTTCAAGGAGAAGAAAGAGTCCGCCAGCGTGGAGTCCCAATCCCAGAACGACGTTGACGACTTTCTACATGGCCCTTCAGACAAGTTGCACATGGTTGGGACGAGTCCTTCTTCTCCACCACCCTTGACACGCCTCGATACATCCAGCGCACGTCGATGGCCAGCAGCCTCAGATCTCCCGACTTCGAAGAGCACACGAGGTCGTTCAGCGAGCCCGAAACGAAACAGGAAAGGCCTTGTGGTACGATTTACAGATGAACAGCCGGAAGTGATTGGTGAGGGCGGTGATGAAGCTACTTCGCCAGTTGCTGAGATAGGATTGAGAAAGAGGGCTCATACACATCCCCAAGTAGGGCAGCCAAATCATGGCCAGACAAGAGATCGAAAGGTGACGATGACTGAAGGTTATGGACGAAGCTTCGCCGAGCGCGCTCAAAACATGGATGATTTTCGGCCTGGACCCATCAGACGCACACAAACAGGCTTCCAGTCAATACCCAACATTGAACCGAATTCCAACATTCCAAATGTCCCTAGTGGAAGTCGAGACGATGATTCATTCCAGCCGTTGGGTACTCGATCGGAGGGCGACAGGCGATCCTTTGCCGATATGGTGAAGGCAGAGATGAGATCTGGAGAAGGCAAGGCTCTCGTCCAGGCTCGTACTTCTGACCCTGATGAGCTATTCACTGGTGCCGAAACTGCAGGATCTTCTGCTCCTACACCTCAATTTGCGGAACTTCAGATCAACACGAGGAACAACATTCATATACCGCATTCACCTGGAATACCACCCAGTGCTTCGTCAAGTCGGCCAAGCTCAAGTCGTCCCATAACTCCGAATGATTCGCATCCACCTACACATTCAGCAGATAGCTATACAGGAATTTCTGGACCATCGCTGGCTGTACCAAGAAGCCTTCAACCATCTGTCCCTGTTAGCGGCAACCCTCCGACAGAGAATCCAGCAACACTCTCAAGAACTTCAACATTCTCTCTTCAGGATGCGGCTCAAGCTGTGGGAGATGATGCTCTTCACGAATTTCAGAGACGGACAGCGCATTTGTTCACTCTCTTTCGGCTTTCCACGGAAGCATCGAAGCCTCTGTCCCAATGTTCTTTGGAGGAACTTGTCAGAGTTGCTTTGTGGTGGTTTCTAAAGGGCAGGATGAATCTTGAGACTGCTGTCAGAGAACTTCCTAGTACACCTCAAACCCAACAAGCCAACTATATCATGCGAGCGCAAGCATATGCAGATTTAGCTAAGAGTCTGTGGATCATAGAGACCGTAACTTCTCAATATCCTGAGATTCAGACGCAAAAAAGCACACCTGATGCAAATAGAGATGTCTTAGAGTCTCGGCAAGCGGTGTTGTCGAGTCTGAGGAAGCTGACAATGTCAATGAAAAGAAATAATTTTCTCCCGCCTGATCCCAAGGATGCTCCACTGACCCAGGGCTTGGATCCCTCAATCTGGGTCAGAGGTGAAGGTGATCAGTCATTACTTTACAGTCAACGACTGACTTCGGTAAGATCTCTATCTGAAGCAATGCCTCTGGGAGATACAGGTCGCACATTCCATTTCGGGAGAATGTTTGTTGAGGGTACCCTGGTGGAAGCTTCTGCTCCTCAACAATATCACTCGGCGCTCTTGATATCCGTGGTTCGTGGTATGAAAGAAAGCTCTACTACCGCCATTATTGCGAGTCAAGATGGTACTCTGAATCTGATCATACAATCCGACAAATCTCGCGGCCTTACATGGGATGATGTTCGCTGGAGAGCGACTCAGCGAACCATTGAAGTTAGCCTTCCCCGGGGCTTTGTGCTTCTACTTCACTGTAACGAGTATGACTTTAGGACTCTATGGGGTATGCATGATTATGAGAAGAGAACACAATCTGTCATGGTTCAACGTACAGGCGAGGAGCTTGTTTTTGAAACCGTTTTGCAATCTTTCCAATACTTCGACCAAAGCCAACAACCGCCATTTCCTAAGGAACCTCAACCAGAGTGCCACTTCAAGTTGTTTGAGAAGACTGCAATCATCAAAGCCGCAACAGGCCCACGTACTTTGCACCGAGGGTTCCGTCTAGGCTTAAACACAAGTACAAGGTCTAAGCATCTCAGATGTATCGATCAAGACTTCCTGCCCAGCCAACCAGTCCAGTTCGGATTCTTGCGGGGAGATGGAGGCTCGCCTGCATTATCACTCAAGATCGACGATGGGAAATCAAAGTACACAATGGTCTGTACTTTCCAGGACATAAATGAACGGATCCGATTTCACACCCTCCTGACTGGAATTGCGCTGGGCCAAGGTGAAGATGTTATTGCCGAAGCGCCAATTACAGGTTTCTCCATAGCTGATCTTGACGGCGACTTAGCCTGCCTCCAACCACTTCAGTGGCAAAGCTTTAGAGTTATCAACTTCGATCATACAGATTTTCAGACTGACAAGACAGTCCTGTCGGAGAACTTGCGTGTTGCCATCGACTTCAAAGGAGGAAGTATCACAGATCGTATCAATGTCGAGCCCGGAGAACTCAAGGTACGATTGGACGTTAAATCACTCACCGAAGTCAAAGTCCTGCGTCAGCCTCAACAAGACATGACCGCATCGGTGGCCGAGTCTCAAGTGCCGAAAGAACTGCCACGCGAACTTGCAACGATACTTCTCGAGACTATCGCTAATTCCGAGTCGACTCGCAAATACTCCTTTCCTTCGCTCCAGGAACTCCACCTGTTCCAAGCTGCCTTGACCGGATTTGCAGTAGTGTTCGACGGCATTGCTTGTTCCTTCAATATATCACGCCGCAGAATGGTCGTTCCTATATATAAGAAGTGGGATGCAGCCACAACTCGAGTGCAGATAGTTCAAAAGGAGAAGGTCATTCAGCTACTGGCATTCTTCGAAAACTTTAGCCACGGCAAGGCCATGAATTTCACATTGAAATCCACAGATGTTTTCGAAACCTCTAGTAACAAGAAGACGTTCTCTCTACGAATTGTTGACGCCAAATTTTCTCTGCCAAAAGCTCAAAAGGGCTCTGAAGCTGGAATCGACCACGAGTTTGTGTGTCTAGACATGCCAGAGTACCCTGGTGAGCATGATGATGTGACAGTCGTTTTTGATACAGAAGCTGGTAAGTCTATGTAGTTACGCTCCAGCCTCATCTGCTGATTCAATGGCAGTCCGAGATTCGTTCGCAAAAGCATTACCGGCGCCTGCTAAAATCGCATCACGGATGCCATCTGTGAGGAGGTGAAATTTCTGCATGGTCTGTAGAAGGAGTCTATTTTGAGTCTATTCATGAGTTCATCTTGCAAAAAAGCATTGCATCTGAGCATTTCTGGAGGAGTGTTGTAGCATTTCGGGATGATATCCAACGGCGCTGTTTTGTTTACTGAATGAGTACATGTGGTATAGGAGGATGACTCCATGGGTGTGGTATGGGGTTGACGAAAGGGTGAGGGGGCAGGCAAAGATCGGTTTCCTACTCCAAATTGGAAGGTTACCAACGAGATTCCGCACTTTGGAGCTCGTAAGACCCGTATTGAAACCTCAGAGTAGATATGCTGTGTAAGGCAACACTCGGATGGAAGACAGACTACCTTAGGTACCTATTTCTTACTACACGTGATGGACTCCAGATTCCAATGAGAAGCTTCGCACAGGGGAACGTCGCAGTGCGGACATCGTCATCCCGTGTTCGAACTCCACCGGCTCACCACAGTTCCAAAAATAGCCAAAGCCTACCAATCACACGCCGTTGAGAAGGGTTGTCGTTACGAACGGCGCCACCTTTCTCCCACTGACACAAAGAAGCTTTTGTGGATCATCGCTGCAAACTTCCCATCTGGGTCCTGGGTTGGGATGCTGCTTGTATTTGGAAAACAAAAGTGCTCACAGCACTGAAGGGGTATGGGATTGTAAATTCGGCATGAATTTTCGCTTTTCCGGGCGTTGATTACGGTATTTGGGTCTGCTATTACTCGGCGCATCGCTGGTATCGTCGCCAATTTATTGGCAAGAGGCATGATCGTGGCTCAGTCCAGTCGGCGAAGCAGGGCAGGAAGGCAGGTAAAAATCTTGAACTTCTCTGAAAATCCCCGTCCCCATCGCCGTCCCCGCCCCCCTTCTCCCACTACTCTGAATAATACGAGCCCTCGCCCTGCCTGGAAATGCGCAAAGGGGCTAGAGCAATATAGGATCCTGTATAATGTATTGAAGTCTTTGCAGACTGGAGGGCTCCGCACCCAAACCTTGCCAACGTAATTCTAACTCCACTTCTCTGTCTGCTTCCAGACTCAGCAGACCCAACTAGATCCAGCTCCATCCTCCTCCCTCCCTCCTCCGTCCCTCCCTCGTGTGAGGCAATTCCCAAGAGTGGTTTTTTGTTTTCTCCATCCCTCGCTCAACAACGCTCTAAAGTGAAGTGTGGCGCAGGTTCAGAGACGGCTTCTGATCCCAACGCTGCACAGGCAAAGTACCTTTAAGAGTACCTTATTAGGCCTGGTTTGGCTGGCAAGCCGCGCCGTTTCACACTACGACCATCCGCGCCAGGCACGACCCAGAGAAGCCCGTCTAGCAATCATCCCGCACCAAGCAGCACAGCACCGCACTGCCCTTCACCCTGTCCCTCCGCGACCTGACATTTACCTTTTGGACCTCGAGAGACGCGCTCCACTTCATGATGGTTTCCTAAGCCAAGTGCCAAATTTACGAACCCAGCCTTCCAACGCTGCTGCACGCACTGCACGTGGAGCTCTGAACTCGCTCGTCGATGTTACGGCCCTGACGACCCAGTGCCATGGATAGTTCGAAAAGCTGCGACCAGGCCTTCATCCTACAACCGCAGGGCGACGATGGGTGGGACAGCGAACCTCAGGGAGCAATGACAATGTCTGCGGACTCGAGAGAATCCGGACCGGCTGCATGGGATGGGAATGACTTTGCAAACCCATCTTTCGGTGCCCGGGCAGCTGTCAGGTTGATACAGACGGGCAGACGGGAGAAGATGGGCTTTGAGGTGCGGAGGAGGGGTTCGATTGCCATGTTTCCATTTCTGCTGGTGCTGATTGCCAGCCTGTGGGTCGTGCCAGCATCTGCAGTCCTGGTCGACTTCCAAAATTGCCTGTCAGATGCTGCGAAGAGCAATCGGCCCCTCCAGTTGCAATTCGTTCCTCTGTTTGTCGATGCCAGATTCAATACCACCGATCCGAACCACCAACTCGCTATTACGGTATGGGGCAACATTACTGGTTCAACAGTCGGGGATGCGCCTCGACTTGTCCTCCCAGGAGCAAATGATACAGAATATTGGAACAGCAATTCGACTTTGAACGGAGGGAAGATTGTCGACAGCCCATATCCAGAGGCACAGTTTCCGAAGCTCACAACACTGTCAAATAAGGTCAATGTACTGACCTATGAGCCCTGGAGCCAGGATCTAGACTTCTGCAATTCGCTCATCAACGCATCTTGTCCCCTTGGCCCGAAATTCTTTGTCAATGAGTAAGTCTCATCTCATGTACTGCAAAGATATATCAGAGTGTCACTAATCCAGTCGTGTTATCAGGAGCGATCCTCAAAGCTATCCAGCTTTTCAATTGAAAAACAACTTCTTCTCAACATACTCGTTCACATCCATTGCTGCAACACTTCTGATTAAGTATGGAGATCAAGCCGCAACTCCAATCGGATGTACTTCTGCTGTCATTACACCAGATCTCGGGAACACTCTAAGCAATGTCCTCACATATATCCCCGCAGTCATCTTGATCATGGTTGCAATTGCAACTGCTTTTGCAGCAATTTTCAGCCCGTGGGGTACGACAGATACATTTCGCTGGACCACTAATTATGGCCGTGATGCAGACCTTCTCCGTTTGGTCACTCCTGGATTTGGAGACTGTTTGCAATATATCCAGTTCATTGTTCTTACAGGAGGTCTCACTCTTAGCTACCCCGGATTTTACCAGCCTATTGTCAGCAAGGCATCATGGTCAACCTTGATGTTTAACGAGAGTTTTGTCCGTAACACGACTTCCAATCATGGACTTGTTGACGGGATATATGTGGTGCATGGCGAATATGGTCTCGACAAACTCCGACAACTGGTGGGCTTGAGTGGGATCGATGATGTATGGGCTGGCATGACTATTTGGCTCCTAGTGATCCTTGCAGTGGTTCTAGTCTTGATACAAATCGGGTTTTTCATCCGATGGGCCTATCGACATCTTAGCAACACACCAGAAGAGGATCTCCGGGCGAAGAATATGCCCTTCTCCATTGGCAATGTTATCCGCATTGTCTTTAATTATTTTCTCCTACCTATCGTCGCACTATCGATGTTTCAACTGGTGGTGGCCAACAAGTCACCTGCATACACTGTTGCCCTTGCAGTTGTAATGCTGGTGCTCATCATTGGATTCGCAATCTGGCTCCTCTACATTATCGCCTCCACCCGACCAAAGTCATATCTTTTCGACGACCTCCCAACGGTCCTTCTTTATGGATCCTTGTACAATACATATTCGGACAATGCTGCGCCGTTTGCCCTTATTCCAATCACATTGACCTTCGTTCGGGGTGTCGTTATCGGTGCTGTTCAGCCCTCTGGAATTGCACAAATCGTGATTCTTGCTATCTGCGAGGTTATCACTATCCTTACACTCCACGCCTTCCGACCATTTCACTCACCAACTTCGATGAACGCTTTCCATACCGTTTTCTCTGCTGTGAGGTTCGCTACAATTCTTCTCATGGTTGCATTTGCTCCATCGCTCGGTGTTACGGAAGGACCCAAGGGGTGGATCGGCTATGCTATTTTGTTAATGCATGCACTTGTGCTGATATTTGGCTTCTTTCTTAATGCCGTACAAACTATAATTGAAGTTGCAGCCCGTATGGCAGGGGCTGGAGGAGACGAGAGTGGAGCGGCAAGAGGTGGTCTTGTCAAAGTGTTCGGTATGCGACAGCTGTCTAAACGTTTACCACGGCGTGATGCTGCATCCCGACAGAGCCAATTGTCAAGCGCAGCCATATTAGATATGGAGAATGAGAGGAAGTCATATGTGGTCGGCGATGGCAGAAATAGGAGCCAGTCGGCAGGCAGTACTATCTTACTCAACAGTCAGAATACTGGCCTTGAGTACAATGTCGAGCCGTTTGGCGCCATCCCACCCCAGCAGGTCAGTGGTAGTGGAGGAAATAGCTCCTACACTGCAACCACACCTCGAGAGGCAAGCACATATTCGTTCTTGCCATCAGCTGCAGCACCTTCAGGAAGACGACCAGTCCTCGGACTAGCTACAGCCGAAGCGTCCGATCCATACTACCGACCACCCAGATTACGTCGACCTACATTGGATGCGTATTCCCCGGGTGCCAGAAGCAGAGGCTCATGGGCGAGTGGAGACTGGGCAAACAAGACTTTTAGTTCTCCAGAGGCAGAGACCCCAGAGGCAGTTGATGAAGGCCCGTCAATATCGGGACGAAATACTCCAACTGCTCCTCCAGGGGCTGCGCTTGATGGCAGTCCAAGTGACCCAAGGAGGTCCAAAGCCGATTACACTACTCGAGAGGTGGATTTCTACTACGGAGTACGCGGTCCAGCTTTGAATGCTAACATTCCAAGTCGGAGAATCAAAACAGGTCCAGCAGATCCCACTGGAATTCCAGCCTCTGCTGCTGGATGGTTCAAAGGCTTATTTGGAGGCAAGACCAAAGAGAAGGGTAAAGGCTTCGAAGTTGTCCGAAGCTCAAGAATGCCTCCTGGGATGCAGGCTCGAAACGCTCCAGGTCAAGAGACTCCACCTGAGGGGATACCTGTTGCCACTGCTGGCGTCGTCAGAAGTGGACCAATCGATTCAGACGATGACGAGCCGGTCCGCGCCGGGCCTTCGAAATCAACACCCGCGCAGACTGAAGGCACGTTAGTGGAACCTCTTCGATCTGACGAGGAAACGGAAGAAGAAGAATCCGACGATGATTTTGAAATTACGAGGATATCGGACATACCACCAAATCTTTCAGGTCTGGACATTCCAGGAGGCGGCATCGAGCTTCCATCTAGATTCCCTTCGAAAGCCACGTCAAAGGCCAGTTCACGACGGACGAAAGTATCCAATGCGCCCATGGTTCCAGGCATGCCAACTCGGTTACCATCCAATAAGCCATCTGTACCAAGAAAGAGCTCAAGGAGGAAATCTCAGAGTGTCGACCTCACCCAACCGGGAGCAGAATTTCTCCACCAACACCGTACTCAGCAGTCCCTGGATATTGGAGGCAATAGCTCACGAACCCCGTTTGACCGCAGTAATTCAAACAAGCGTCACTCTGACATTTCCTCATTATCAAGCGTGACAGGACCGACAGCGTTTGGACACTCCCGGGAGGGCTCATCAGCACTGGGGAAATTCTCTGAAGATCTAAATGACGAAAGACCTACTAGTATGGGCTTCGTACATCAGCACAGTATCCGCACTGTGACTCCATCCGAGAATCAACAATATCTTGGAAGCTCGGCAGAAGTTGTTGATGGCCGACTCAGCGCCGCGTCGTCGATGGACCACCCTCGACAATGATAGCGCCATTGCATGATCTTTTTTAATCCAAACATCATGATTGCGACACAGCAACAACGAATTTTCTTTTCTTTCTCTGTTTGTTCAGTTTAGTAAGCACTGACGGAATGACAAAAAGTGGTTTGGCGTTTATATGATTGGGACCTTGGCCTACTTCTCTGCCAATCAGCCTCTCATCTCTTCAGACCGAAGGAATGAAGAGAAGGGCATCGCAGTCAGCGCTCTGTATGTACTGTAGAATGGGGGCTGGAGTAAATGGGTTTGGCCCTGGGAGGATGACTGAATTGCTTGCTTACTTGCTCGCTTTTTCTTTTGTTTAATTTTCCTTTCTATTTACTTAATGCTTGGCATTCGTGTCGATAGGGTCTGGGACAGACTGTGGGTGGAGGGAATTGAGATTGGCCTATGAGGGATCTGGATAGCGGATTGATCATTTTCTTGGTATCAAGAGTGGAGGATGTCCACTGCTGAAAATAGGGCTGTTGATGAGCAAATGAGAGGCTCGGTGCGTAGGCCTAGCTCGGTAATGGGCTACTGGAAGAAAGAGAGACCTTGTAAATAATAGTAGTCATACCTTCCTACACTGTAATAATCACAAAAACTGAGTACTAAAAACATATATTTCTACTGCCCTCAGTGCTCAACAACCTTTCAGTTGCGTATAGGATATTCCAGAAACCCATGAGCTTTGTGGCATATCTCTCCGTGGAAATCTTTTGCTCAAGTAGACAGATAATTAATCACTCAGCAAGTTTATGTGGTAATTATTGCCGAGTAACAAGAACGAGTGCGGCCAGAACGAGGTTGTGGTGGTACGATTCCATACCCTCTTCTCGTCTCGCTTAAGCCCGCGAGTTCAGTAAATAAAAGCGACTCGCGCAACGTGCAAACAACGACTGAATAAGAATAAGGACACCTAAGCAGTCTCGGTCATGCGGTACCAAGCTACTATTTGTGCCTTCTATATGATAGTTAAACACACATCTTCTACCTTTACCTAAGATAATAAATAACCAGTAAGACCAGTCCCAGCACATATCAAACCCACGCTCAAAATTATAGAGCGAAGGAGATATTTACAACCGCTACCCACCACTATGAAACGGCCAAGGACAGACCCATAAGGCCATGAAGGATGACCCACTTCGTGTGTACGACTCAAGCATGTGATGACGGAAGGTCAGTGGCAGGAGAGCTGCACAATATCAGACAGATTTCAAAGCCTAAGCATAAAGAAGCATTCATCAAGTGTTTATCATTATTGAAGAAACTACAATGAAGATGTTCACAACGGCCGCAAAACACAGCGCACTTCACACTCTAATTTCAGAATCAATCGGGTATATATGCACGCACTACATAACAACACACTTGCCCTCTTTCTTCTCCTTCTCCCCATAATTCCCAGGCATTCCCGATTCCCTCGAGACGTCAGTCCACCCAGCACTACTTGCTCCATCTCCAAACTTGTCCTTCTTCTCCTTTCGCATGCTAGCACGCCATCCCCTCTTCTTAGCATCCTTGATATTCTTGGCAGCACTCCTCTCGGCTCGGCTGGGCTGTCTTCCAACCATTGTTGACTTCTGGCCGAAGAACGGCGACGGCTCTCCGCGGTCTGACGTCTGGCTGTGAATAGTCTCCAGGCGTGGCATTGGGGGGCGTAAATTAGATGAATTACCTGAAGGACTGCGATTGTGGTTATTCCCGCTAGGCCGACGTGATGGTGACGATGAGTATGGACTGCCTTGTGGGGAAGGTCCTTGGCTATAGCGTTGTGGAGATGATCCATATGCGCCAGCCAGGCCTCGTGATGACTGGCCAGCATTGAATGCTTGTTCGGGCGTTAGTTTGGCGGGCGCATTGTGCGTAGATCCGCCAGAGGCAGTCCTGTTGTGAGAGCCCCCTGACGGACGTCGAGGATCACTGAGCCCCCTAGGTCGTCCTTTGCGACTGTTGAGACGAGCAACTTGATCGGCGCTTGGTAACACCAAGGACGGTGGGATGGCATTGCTATCTTGAGCTGTCACTGGCGCAGTCTCAGCTCTCCTCCAGATTGGCAATGGATTTGAATCCATATCTTGTGGGGGCGAAGCAGTGAGAGGAACGGTTTCGCTCCGTCTTGGAGGGCTTTGCCATGACTCGATGATTCTCTGCTGGGCGTGAGGTACCGGCGCTGGCGGAGGAAGCTCATTGAGGTGATGATTGTCATCAGGTCGTGGAGGGACTTGTTTATTGAGACTCTGCGCTTGACTTGAATCGCCTTCAGATCGTACCATCCCATGTCCTGTGTTTGCAGAAACGACTTCCATAAATGCTTGAGATCGAGCTCTTTCGTGACCTGTGGAGGCAGGTACGGCTTCCCTGTGTGCTAGATGGGCAGCTAGCTGATATTGTTTGGTTGTTGGGGCGCTGTGGCTGTCGCGATCAGATGTCATATCCGGAGGTTGTGGAGGTTGTGGAATAGGAGAAGCAGGCTGATTTAAAGTTGCTAGCATTACAGGCGGAGGGCTCGAAGGCGTCGATGGTGCAGGCAGGTTTGAAAGTACATTCGAGGGCGCACCTACAGGTCTTCTAGGTATTTGATTTATCGTGGCTGTTTGAGGACGGGGGGATGGCTGTGGGGACCCTTGAGGCGAAACATCGTACAGATCGTCAAATTCTTCCCTTGGGCTAGTCATGGGTCTGGGATCTTCCTCAAATGAAACGCGGTCCGAGTTCATGTTCGTGTCGTCGCTCATCGTTCTATGAAATTGAAATCGCTCTCGTCGAGATTCCGCTGTGCTGGAGGATGCCATAGTTGCGATCGTGTGAGATCGATGCAATGAGCTTGAGTCCAATCCCGGAAAGTCAAGGCTAGGAGCTCGATGGGTTCTTGAGCGCTCTAAAGTGGCAGCAGCAGCCTCTGCCAGTAGAGATCTTTGGATGTGTTCTGGCAGAGGAGGAAGAGGATCCCGAGTGTAAGGAGGAGGTGGTGGCACCCAGTTATCGGCATCACTCTCATGTGGATGCTCCTCTCTCCCATCAGCGCGACGATACTCGATATGTTCTTGACCAACCCGGGGATGGAATCTCCTGTTTACGGCAGCTGCAGTAGCAGCACGACGAAGAGTAGTGCCAGATCTCGGATTGGTATGAGAGTAAGGGTCATCAAAAGCATCGTGATCCTCGTCAAGAGAAGATGTCGTCTCCGATCTCTCAGTCGACGTTGTTTGCTGGCTAACTCTCCTCGCAATTGGATTTCGAGAGGAGAAAAGATCACCCATATCTTGGACTGGCATTGCCGGTGGATCAGAACGAGGAGAAAGAGGCTGCGTTGAAGCTGATCGGGAAACGTGGCTACGGTTCCCACGTCTCTGGGCGACCGTCCGTCTCCTAACGATTGCAACCTCTGCATCTAGATCTCTGTGCTCCTCCTCTAAGACCTCGGGTTCATTCATTCCAACCTCGATAGTAATAATGATTTTCTCGCCATCGGACGGGGCATAAGCAAAGTCTAAAATGGAAATTCGGCCCCCATCGACTGGATTCATGCCATCATCTTCAATTACGGTATCCAAGCCTCCCACGCCAGGAGCGACGGCGACCAGTCTCTCCACGTGGAAAGTGGAAGAGTCAGTATTGACCCATGCCAAAGCACTTACGCGATCAAGTGAACCAACCTTGCGGCCTTCAACAAAGGTATTTCTGAATTTATCACCAAGTAGCTGCCACTGTGGGGTTCTGCTGATGCTATCCCTGGTTCTGGAGACAGAACTCAACGATGGCGCACTATTGCGACGCCCAAGGTAACTGGCGGGTGTACTCACTCCACTCTCTGGGCTGTTGGTAAGACTATCCTTGGTGTTTGGTATTGCCTCTAAATCCTCTGGGACTCCGTAGAGCCAGATAGAACTTTGAAAACCCGAGGCGACTAGGTCTCCAGATTCGCTTGCTGCAGGTAATGTGCTTGGTAAAAGTCTTGAAGTGGACACAGACTCAGCAATCGGCCCAGTGAAGTATGTGGTTCCATTCCGCAGGTCATCGATGCGTACTGTACGGAAGGTTTCCAGAATTCGATCGTAAGTAAATGCCCACGTTACCTCTCCATCTGATGAACTAGGAAGCAGGACTGCGTGACTGCAATCCCGGCTGCCATTTGGGAAAAGGATCGATGTTGTCCAAAGTGAGCTTACACTATCTTCAGGTAAACTGCCGCTAGGGTCATAATAAGGTGCCGTGAGAATAACCGTACTTGGGTTGCGAGACTGCATTGTTGTACCAAGAAGCTGAGTTCCGTCTCTGGAGAAGGATAATGAATCTGCAGCATAGCACTTCACGGATCGTCTGTCGGTACTGGCATAAATTGGATCTAGAGATGACACCTCTACGCCAGAATCATACGCTGCAGCAAGAACAGATCCTGTTGGGGATAAAGCTATTGTCCGCGGAGTATGATCCAAAGCAACAGCACGAGTGTGCTTCGGATGCTCTCCGGACAAGTCGTATAAGTCAACTTGGAGGTCTGTTGACAAAACGGCGAGTGTAACACCATCGTCTGTTATGGTTGTCGATGCAGGCCTCCGTAGTATCTTAAGCTCCCTCTTCACTGCTATCTCGGGCCCTGTCACATCAAGGACGTGAATTCGAGAGGAACTATATGCCAAAATGTAGTGACCCCGCGGGGACAGGCTGAAGTGGAAAGCCTCCCCTCCTGGAGCTGAAGAAGAGCTTATCGATGTTGAAACTAATTGTATGATCGTCTCCGTAGGTCGCAGATATGCTTCGAATAAGTTTCGCTTTGTCTCTCGGGCAAACAGTCGACGAAGGTGTGGTAAACTCTTCTCATCCACCGAAATTGGACAGGATCGGTGTGCTGCTGCGTACGAAGGGCACCGAGACAAATGGTGGGCATAGAGATGGGCTTGCTGCGATACTGTTCGCCACTTTCGATTCAAAAGTATCAACGATGCAAAAACATTCGGGTTCGTAAGCTGCAGAATCCTAGGTGCAGGCTGTCAGCGCAAAGATTATGGAAGTTCAAGTCTCCAGTACTAACTGCTCGATTATCTCATCAGGGAGCTTTGAGAAAGCCGAACCCTGAATCGGCGCAGGCGAGACTATGGGCGGTTTGAAATCCTCTTTGGAGTACAGCACTCCATTGGCATTCATCTTTCGCAGCAGTCTTCTACGCTGGTCTTTTCCTATGGCATCCGGGACGAAGAAATGGACTAGAGATGGCGCATCTAGAATCGGGGAGGTACAAGCCAACGGCGCGAGTGATGGCAGATGATTTAGAGGTTACGCCAGCTTCGAATATGTCGCCAGGGGTTCGTAGAATATGGAAAAGCAAAATGAAACAGAGTTCCTTTCCTGGCGGCTGGAGCTACCCTCGTATCAGATTGCGCGGCGTCTCTCCTGTTTAGTTCTGGAAGCCCGCTAAAACAATGATGTTGACCTAGCCAGGGTGCAGAATGATCTTCTCAGGGTTCCTGGATCCAAAACCTTGCGCCTGAATCAGAGGGCAGCCAGTTGCAAAGAAGGGTTCGTTATCAGGTTGATCGTGGCACCAGCTCCTGATGGCGATAATGATTGGGCGCGTAAACTTCAACTTCATTCCACTTACATGTTTTAGTTGCCGCGGTTGGCTGTTGTGTAACCCTGGCTAAACACCAACGGACGCTGGCTCAGCAGTACCATGGGTCCCAGCAATAAACAGATATACAAAGGGAATCGCATTGTTAGAAGTCCCACGAACGATTACCTCCTGAGGTGCATCCAAAATGCAGAACATGAAGAGGCTTAAGGTTGTTAGAGGCCGGCCCCCAATTGGACGTCAGACGATTAGTGTAGCAAAGAGTTAGTCAATCATATGTCATAAAGTCAACACCAATATTGCTAACCCAAGTGTGAAAAATAAGCTTCTCAAATGTCAAAAATATCAATTTGTTCTATTAGACTGCTGTTTCAAACCAGATCATCAAGGAGAAGCCACTTTCGCCTGTCAAGTATCACTGCCACGCTCAGAAGACTAGCACAACTCTCAATAAACGCCGTCGCTAAAGCACACCTATCAAAACAATCCCCCCTCTCGTAACTCATTGCGTACCCTTATACTGCTGCATAAAAGTGATAGCTTGCTCCATGGGATATCCAATGAAAACAGGCCCTGTAAAAATCATCTGTGAAACTGTGGCCGCCTTTGCCGACTCGGGAGGTTGGAGGAAAGTTGGCTGATTATGAAAGACTGGCGCGGCCTGTGGAGTTGACTCTGCAGCGTGTTCCTCCTTCTTCTTGGCTGCAGCATGAGGAAATGGACATTTCCCAGCGGATGTCTCTTCCGTTATCGGTAGAGGTACCGTCTGCTCCTCAACCTTAGCACCATGTCCAAATGGACACTTTCCTACCGGTCGTTGTGTATGTTCAGCTGCGACAGGAGCTGGTGGGGGTGACACTGGTCTTTGACCCTCGGGTGGATCGAAGATAGGCACTGAGATACCCCAAGGTCGACTTGGTGACTCGCCAACCCGAATCTCTTTCAAGGGTCTGTCGAATCTGCTTTCGCGATCCTCTTCTTCATTATCCGGTACATCTTCCTCAGAATGAACCCCATCAGCACTGACCGCATGAGCCCAGTTCTCCACCCGTTCATTTGATGTTTTCTCCAGCTCCATGGCCTCCTCTTCCTCCTTCGTAGGCAACATAGGCTGATGTTTTTGACCGAGTCCCTGAATCATGCTGACCAAGTTTCCGTACTTTGCATCTAACTTCCTAATATCATCTTCGTTTCTTTGGTATCTTTTGACACAGACTTCGTGGCTTCGTGGGATTTCATGTTTGTGGCTTTCAAAGTATTGAGCAATCTCTTCTGGAGAGTGTTGGTCCATGTAACGTATTGGACATTTCGCAGCAGAGCCGCTGGCTGATGGGGGAGGGGAGTTCAAAGTCTCGGCATATAGAGCTGCACATATGGGGTCTGAAGAATGGTGACGCGTCGGGTCTCTCACTTCGGAAGGAGTCAATGGCTGGTCTGATTCATGGGTGCCAGACCCTGGAGACCTTTCGGCATTCATCGAGGCGTCGTTCGATCTAGCTGGACGGGAGAATGGACACAATAACGAGCTCTTCTTCCCTTGGACGGTGAAGTCTTGTTCCAACACAGTTGATAAAGAGGTCCTTCGCCCCGAGTATTTCACATTACTGCTTGTCCCGGATATACTTCTTCCGCTAACGGTAGATCCGGTCGACTTGCCTGCCAAGGCCACAAGACTTTGTGCCGCCCTTCGTCCGTCCCTTATAGCAACTGCTGTCTGTTGCTTAGAACCGATATGTGCCCGCTGCGGAAGTGGTACGACTCCGACACCGTCCGGTGTGGAGATTTGTAGATCCGGAGGAAGTTGCAGCTTTGCTAAAGTACTTGAGATCTCGGGATCCCCCGAAGCATACTTATCGGCGAGGTATTGATACTATTGTGCAGAGGTTGGTTAGCAATGCAGCAGCTGAAGCAATGAAGAGTGCTTTGATTAAAAGGTTGAAGAATCAGGATACATGGTGTTTGTCAGTCGTCGCTGCCTTTGGCAGCTCCAGATCTAGAGCTAATGTTTTTCATCATTTGACAGGTATGAGTGTTGTTGAAATGAAATATCATGTACTTACTTGCTCATGTGCAAAGCGCAACTTGTGCTCCAAAATCTGCTTGCGGTCAGACAGGAGCTGCACCTCATCTGCAAGAATATTAAAATTGTCTGTTAGTCTTTTGATGAGTTCGTCATAGTCAACGTCATTGAAGGGCATCATGCAGCGGCATGGACTGAAGAGACGAGGAGCCAGAAGCGCTCGTCGAGATCTTGGGTGGGATGTCGTGAGAGGTCTGCTTTGTGTCTGAAGGCTTTTGACTGGATGCTTAGCGCCACGTTAGCGTTTTCTGACAAAGCACCGAGATCACGTGTCTTTGTTGACTTCCATCCATTACCTACGCGGGCTTTCTACCTTAGTCATTCCACCGCAAGGTCGAAATAACTTGAAGAAGCAAACAACGGCAACTCTATATATGTATATATTTCCCAGATGAATTCAATATAGCCGTCACCTCATGATGCTGTGGTGGCGGCTGATGGAATTGCAATCTGATCATCACTCCAATATGTACAATCTTCACTAAGGTAGTAGTCGGAAGTTGTAATACGTGAACATGAGGAATAACAATCACTAGTTCCAAAAGCATCGCTGACTAGACAATTTTTACTGGTTTATTTATTCTTTCTATCTAGTCCAGTCATCGATTTGCGCTGGGTCCCTTTGGAGGATCACGCACAAGCAAGCGAACCTTTCCTGCTCCGATTTCGTGACCCTCGGAAAGTATGTCAACGGGTTCTTTATCAGCCTGCTCAGATGCCGTTACTGAAGCTACAACGCCATCTCTAGCCAGTGACTTGTCGAAGGACCTAGCATCGATGCCAAGAATGCCTCCAACGTTGTTTCGATCCCCTGGAACAGAGAACTCGCTGAATGCATAGCGCCACTCATTTAAGAAGTTTCGAATAGCTTTGCCGACCTTGTCTTTGCCATTCTTGCTGTGGTGTCCAGTACCGGTGATGGCATAAACAGGTCTTGTCTCCTTTTGGTTCTCTAAGAGAACTTTCTCGAGATATTCGACCGCTTCTTCTGGGTGAAGGCCATGGAGATCTACGTAAAGCTCAGAATGTGAGGAACTTCCTCTATTACGTTCTTCATAGAGTTCTCTAGCGGCCTCCCGATGTGCCTTACGCATGGCATCATTCTCGCTCTGGCCTCTAAGACTTAGAGCTTTTGCAGCACGAGCATCGTTGCGGTTCCAGGCTTGAGCAGCGCTATCTACTTGTTAGCGAATTCGTGGTCACCAGACATGACTTTCATACCTCTGCAGGAACTTGTTCCGCAAGCCTCCATGCTTGATAGCATCTTGTCTGGCTTTGAGGTATGCTTTGTTCGCTCTTTCGCCGGTCTCTAACCAAGGAACATGTTGAGGTGATGGAATGGCTTGTGCTGCGGTACTGTTCTCCCCATTGCGAATACTAGTGGAACTGCCATTTCGGCCTATCTTCTTTACATCCTGTCTTATCATACTTGGTCCAGGGGAAGGTGACATCTTGACAACCTAAATCCCAGGAAGCCAAAGTCAGTTTCTTTTGTCGCTCAACGTCCTAAGACAACACATGACATTCAATCTAGACATTCTAAGGAGGCTTGACTTACCTCGGCGAGAGAGCTAGGAGCAGTGTTCTCCTTGTGGCCATGCCCATGACCTCCTCTCTTTCCATGATGCTTCTTTCCACCTTTGATAGTGACTGCACCAAGGGATGGGAATGCTTCAGTGTCATCTAGAGCAGGGGCTGCGGGCATATTCTCCCGAGCTTGATGTCGAGAACTTGGCCGTGATCTTTGACTCGAACCATCGCTTGTATATCCCTGCATGCCCTTGAAACCAGGCGGTGGAGGAGTGAAGCTTGCTCCCTGGTAATTAGCAAAAGCATTTGCAGAGCTATAAGAATTGGGCCACTGGTCCTGCAGAGGCTGTAAGGAAGGGAATGCGTTGAAATCCTGGAATTGAAAGCTTGGATGAGCACTCTGGAGGGGGGGCGTGTTGCTTCCCTCCAGATTCATGCGACTCATGAAATGTGATGGATCATGTGAAAATATACAAGTGTCACCAGCGAGGCAGTTCCCTTCAACCCAGTATCTAATTTATAGTCAGTATTGCCGGTTCTCGTCAAGAGTCAGATCGCCAAGACGAGCTATGATGTATGCAGGACCATAGCCAAGGGTGTTTAATAGAAGCACGGAAGGAGAAGCCAGGCCACCTGGATACGAGATCACTTACTTGCAAATATGGTTACTGAGGTCATGGCTAAACCTGCAGTCGGCTCGGAGACATTGTCCAGTAGACAGCCAAAATCTGCAGACCACACCACTCTTTTGCTGTCCTGCAGGAGTAATAGGACGTGAAATACTTGAAGCCATTGACTTGCCAATCAAAATGGCATTTTTGACATCGTTGGCTTGGGCTATGTTGGAAGCATCCCCTGTCTGGCCCTCCATAAATGCCATGATAGTGGCACTTAGGTCATATCCATGCATTGCAAGGGCCGCCTCAATCTCTTCATCTGACTTTGAAGGACCAAGAATGCTGCGCAACATATCGTAAGGAGACATTTCCGTGTTTTGAGGAGAGATATACTCTGCGGCGGCGGCGTTGAGACCACTTTGCCCACCCGCTGAAGAAGATGTATTACTTCCACCATCATCATTTACCAACCAGTCAACATTATCACTACCATAGTCCCCGTATATGTCTTGTGTAGGGGATGTATCGGTGGGGAACTCATAAGCGTTCAGACTGGGACTATGAGGAATGGCCGGACTGGAGAAAGCAAGTCTAGGGGAAGGGCGGGGTGATGTGAAAGGAGAGGCTGTCGACGATTTCGCTCGCGTGAAGGGCTGTGGCACGAATCCAGGGGGAGCAAGAGGGCTCACACCGAGGCGAGGAGAAGACGATACTGGAGTACCACTGCTGCCACGAGGGATAGGCCATGGAGCTGGAGATGCTGCGCGCCGTAAAACAGTGTGTCGCATCGGCGGGGGTGAACTAGGGTTGGTCGAGGATTCTCGATATCGCCACAACACGTCCAGGACCGCGTTTTCTAGAGATCTGCCAACCAAGGTGGTTTCCTTCTTCAGGAATTCTTCCAGCTTGTCGGTCTTCTCTTCATCCTCAAGGCTCGCGTCCTGGAGTACGGGTAGGCAAAGCTCGTACGTCTCGTCGGACACCATCTCGGCGTTTGTATGGACGATCTGCGATGGGGGGATCGAATGTTGGGTAAATTGCTCAAATGTAGAAGAAGGCCGGGCGGGCGACGAAGGACACCTAGAGGTAGGAAGAAGGGGAGGCGGAGTGGTGCGCGAGGGTCGGGCTGAGGAAGGAGCGCGCTGAAGTGCAACGGGGCAGGCAGATAGGTGAGACCGCGCAGATGATAGACAGAGAGCAAGAGCAGAGCAGGGCGACAACGAAATGGCACCTGGCTCTTACATCGTCGACGCAAAACGGTCTGTAGATATCATGGGGAGCGACGGCGGGTGTGCTGCATAGCGGTGCGGTGCGGTGCGGTGCGGTGCGGGTAAATGAATATTATACTAGAAGGGGTACAAGGCGGGATTAGGTGAGGCTGGACTGGACTCTGGACTGAGGACTGAGTGAGTGAGTGGATGAGGATGCCAGACGGGATCTGGGGGAGAGCTTAGGGGTATTTGATTGGTCGGTCCTACTTATATTTAAAGGGCCGCTCCACGCCTGCTCTGGTCGTTGCAGGTGGTTCTGGCCTGAACATGGCAGCGCGAGCAAAGGCCTTCCCTTCTGGATACCTTTATCTCCAGAACGATGTACAATCTTGTGTACAAAGGTGTCGGAAAATAGATCACTTGTCTAGTGGAAGCCCTTGTCCTTTATTACTTTAGAAATTGACTTCGATGAAAGCTACCAAAGTCATGTGGAAGGTCGGAGTTTCGTATAATAACCGCCGCTGTGATACCTCCGTACTTAGCTGGAGATGGCTCTCTTTACGTCACCTAAGCTTGGGACAATGTACTCCGTACAGGCTCGTAGATTAATCTTGGAGAGATATCCTGTCGCACCTCTCTTTTGACAGTTATTTTGCAGGAACATCTCTCTTTATTTCACAGGAAAGACATACTGCTCCCCCAAAGCCCTTGCTTGTGTTTTGTAACTTCTCTCTCCAAGGGACAGTTTGTTTCAAGCATAGCCTCAGATCCACCCACCACTTCTTACTTCTCACTCCTCACTTCAAACCATAAACACCAACACCAGCACCCACGATTCCCTCAACTCCGGCTCTGTTCACAATTTCGATGATTCCCCAGATGTGATATTGAGTCACTGCCTGCACCCAAAAGTTCATTCCACCCTCTACAGCCCACTAAACCCCTCCACATCCGCTTCCTCAACAACCATCACCATGCCCGCCGATTACAGCAGTACGGCGAAAGCTCTCGCCCTCCCCATATCCCCAATCGGGTCGCCTTCACCGGAAAGACAGAACATCCGCCCGCCATGGTCGCGCCGTCTCTCCACTGGGCGCCACCGTGCGCACTCCTCCCCATACTCTCTCCGAAGCAACCAGAACCAGTCCTACCAAACCAAGATCCTCTCCTCCGCCTCCAAAGTCCAGCGTAAAGTCATCAAGACTTTTCTCGCGCTGTCAGTAGCCCAGCGGGTCGCCGCAGGGACAGCACTGCTCGTCATCAATGTCGGTCTCGTCCTCTTCATGATCTACAATGAGCGAATCTTTGGATACCTCGCCCCTGCTGCTAAGAAGTGGCATAACGTGCGTGGAGGGTGGACGATACTCTGGCTCTTGACGTTTACCAGCTCCTTTCCGCCTTTGATAGGCTACAGCACAACCATCACGATAGCGGGCTTTGTATATGGGTTTCCGAATGGCTGGTTCATTGTTGCGTCAGCTACAGTTGCTGGATCCACGGCTGCTTTCCTGGCTTCAAGGACCGTATTGTCGAAATACGTGAATAAGTTGGTAGGGCAGGATAAGCGGTTTGAGGCTCTGGCTCTCACGCTGAAACATGATGGGATAAAGATCCTCTGCATGATTAGGCTATGTCCTTTACCATACAGCTTGTCCAATGCGGCGATCTCGACGTTTCCAACAGTCCATCCGCTATCGTTCGCTCTCGCGACGGCAATTACGAGTCCCAAACTTCTTATCCATGTATTTATCGGTAGCAGATTAGCGAGCATTGCCGAGAATGGCGGCAAGATGGACGGAAAGACAAAGGCTATAAATTATGCCAGTATAGCATTTGGTGCTATTCTTGGTGCCACAGTAGGATTTATAATCTATCAAAGAACGATGGCTAGAGCGAAAGAATTGGAAATCGAGGCTTTAGAAGCTGGGACTGCAGAACGAGCATTGGTTGTGGGGAATAGCCAACGGGGTTACAGCGATCTGGATGGGATGGAAGATACAGATGCTGTTGCGTTGATGGGAGACGATGATATTAGCCTGTGGGAAAACGACGGAGAGAGAGATGGTGCATATCGTGATGATTTTACGGATGATGAGGATGTGTTCGCAAGTGGGGACATCGAAGAGGAGCCTAGGAGGCAGAGGCTTTCGAAAGATTAAACGGGTCAAGAATCGGGGTTTAGACTATTATCTGGTTCATGGAGTTCGGATGGGTGTATTTGGATGGTTAGCGTATGAGACATTCTTATTTGAGACAGGAGTATAGACTTCAAGACCTCGAAATGCATGATATGAACTGTTCTATAATTCAACACGAAATTTTCAAGAGTTCTGCACTGCTGTGATACTTTTACCCTCTCGTCTAACTTATACACAGGCACTCTGCGATGTCATCAGCATCATCGTGTAAAGTATCCAACACATTCAGAGAGACTTTTTCTTATTTTATCGAGCAACTTCATCCATGTCTTGTTTAGACATGTACAAGACCATCAGCAAATCCAGAGAATTTCTAGGGTGTTTCGCCAATGAGAGCATCTATTCCATCTTCAGCACTTCAAATTGCTTGATAGTCTCCTCGAAAGCCTTGGCTTCCGTCTCAAGATCTGCCAACTTCTTCAACTCAATATCCTGCAACTCCTTGCTAACCTTCTCCTTGTAACCCTCATCGTTCAAGATCTTCTTCTGCTTCTCGATACCGACCTTTGTCTTGTCGAGCTTTTTCGCAGCCTTGGCGATCTCGCCGTCGATGTCGACGCGGCCCTTGACGTGGAGGAACACGGCTGTAGTGGAAGATACAGAGAAGACGACACAGCCCGCAGGGCGGGAGTCGGTAGTTGAAAGGACGTCGATGGACGAAACACCTTTGCCGGAGAGTGATTTGATGGATTGAATTTGCGCGGTTATGGTGCTATGTGAGGTGGTATCATTCGATTGGATGTAGACTGGAATTACGTTAGCAAGCGATGTTGATTCAAGGGGCAATTAAGCGAACCTTTAGCTTCATCTTTGAGCGAGTACTCGGCCATCAGGGAACGAACACCGCGGGATATGTCGAGAACAAGCTCGTAGGCGGCTTCGGAATCAGGACGGTCCAGCGATTCGTCATAGACAGGGTATCTTGCCAAACCGATACTGGGAGTCTTGTCCTCTGGGCGGCGGGGAAGGCGTTGCCACAATTCCTCCGTCAAAAATGGCATGAATGGATGTATCATAGTCAGTGCACTCTCGAGAGTTGTGTACAGAGTATTGAGGGCTGAAAGCTTCTCTTCCTCGCTACCGTCCTGGAGAATGGCCTTTGAGTTCTCAATATAAACATCGCAAAGATGATTGTACCAGAACTGGTAGACAACAGAGGTAGATTTCTGGAATTCTCGGTCGTTAATCGCGACATTGATGTCCCTTGCGGCGATAGTCATCTTGTGCAGAATCCAAAGCTCAGCAAGAGACTCCTTGCCTGTCAGCTTTGCGGTCTTGTTGGGGACAAATTCTGCAGGTAATTTGCCCAGTACGAACTTAGTCGCTTGGTAAATCTTGTTGCAGAACTTGCGGTAGGCATGGATAACCTTGACATCGAAAAGAATATCACCGGACCCGGTGGAGTATGATACAAGTGCGAATCGCAAAGCATCTGTTCCGCACTGTGGAATTCCATCAGGGAAAGCAGTCTTCTGGTACTTTGTGGCTCTCTCTACCTCATTCGGCGCGAGATTGCCGCTCAAGAGCTTCTTATGCAAGTTCTCTAACGAGCAACCCTCAATGAAATCCTGGGGATCAATGACATTGCCTAGAGATTTTGACATCTTTCTGCCCTCCGAGTCACGCACAAGAGAGTGGCAGTAGACTTCCGTAAAAGGGACCTTGCCTGTGAGTTTGAGACTGAACATAATCATACGGGCGATCCAGAAGAACAAAATGTCCCATCCAGTCTCCAGAACTGATGTTGGGAAAAGAGTTTCCAGATCGTGCGTCTTGTTTGGCCAGCCCATAGTAGCGAAAGGCCACAATCCAGACGAAAACCATGTGTCTAGAACATCCTCGTCTCTCTTCAAGGTGAACTTCTTTCCAGGAAGGGCTTTGTTTGCCTTAGCTTGAGCTTCTTCCTCCGTACGCCCTGCGAACCAAAGACTGCCGTTTGCTTCATCGTGCTCCTCGCCCTCTATCTGTGCAAAGTACATCGGTGCTTGGTGTCCCCACCACAACTGTCTCGACAAGCACCAGTCATTCACATCTGTCATCCAGCGAATATAGCTCTTCTCGGCTGTTTCTGGCAGAATCTTGATCTCACCCGACTTCACAACCTCGAGAGCTGCAGCTGCCATATCTGTCATCTTCATCCACCATTGTGGCTTAAGAAGTGGCTCGATAACATCCTTCGACTTTTCGCAGAGTGGAACAGTCATGGCGTTGTCCTTCTTGTCCACATACAAGCCAGCTTTCTTCAGATCCTCCTGGATGGTATATCGAACATCAAATCGCTTCTGTCCAACATAAGGCCCAGCGTTCTCATTCATGAATCCATCATCAGTAAGAATATTGATGCGCTCTAGATTATGACGGGTACCTAGCGCAAAATCGTTTGGATCATGCGCAGGGGTAATCTTGACGGCACCTGTACCAAAGTCCTTCTCGACATAAGAATCAGCAACAATGGGCATTTTCCGACCTGGAATGAAAGGATGAATGGCGTTCTTGCCAACAAGATGTTTGTATCGTTCGTCATCGGGGTGTACGGCAACACCGGTATCTCCAAGCATGGTTTCTGGACGAGTTGTTGCTACTTCAATCTTTTCATCTGTACCTTCAATTTCATATTTGAAATGGACGATGATACCGAATTCGACCTTCTTATCGTAGCCGGGAACGTCAAGCAAGGTCCGCCCAGTGAGCTCCTTATTGCTGACTTCTAGATTGGAAAGAGAGGTGTTGAGCTTCGTACACCAATTTACGAGTCGATTCTCCCTGTAAATAATGCCTTCCTCATGAAGACTGACAAATGTCTCTGTAACAGCAGCTGAGAAATTCTCGTTCATGGTGAATGCTTCTCGAGTCCAGTCCATCGAACCACCCATTCTACGGAGAACGGTATTGATCTTCTGGTGGTACTCAGTCTTCCAGTCCCAAACAGTCTCCACAAATTTCGGTCTGCCCAGATCGTGACGAGTCTTGCCTTCACGGCGCCACAACATATTCTCAACAACATTCTGTGTGGAAATACCAGCGTGATCACAGCCAGGTAGCCACAATGTTGTCTTACCATGCATTCGGTTGAAGCGGATCATGACATCCTGGAGGGCATTTCCGAGCGCATGTCCCATATGGAGAGCACCAGTGACGTTTGGGGGTGGCTCGACGATAACAAACGAACCTTCCGGCTTGACTTTGCCATCGGCTGTGAACTCAGGCTTGAAAAATCCTTCCTTCTCCCACCACGAGTACCACGCTGACTCGACAGCCGTGGGGTTGTATGCTTTGTACTGTGGATCATCAAATGATTTGATGATCTTCTTCTCGCCGAATGGGGTGTCTTCGATATATGGAGGCAGCACGCCCTCGTCCGCCTTCTTGCTTGCATTGGCCTTCTTCTCCTTTGTCTTGCTGGTAGTTGGCGCCGCAGTTGCAGCTTTGGCTTTCTTCTGGTCAAATTTCGCCTGCTTTTCGGCCTTCTTTCGCTCCCGCTCAACTGCAGCAGAGATTAGCTTCGCCCATGGGATATAATCTTGCGGTTAACCTGGGCTTGCATACGCTCTTTTTCGCTCTTCACTTTAGTCCCAGCCTCCGCCATCCCAACTTTGCTGCCCGCATCTTGGCCTGCGACATGAGTGCCAATAGGGCTGGAATTTGTTGCATCTGCGAGAGCAGCTTTGGTCTTGCTGGATACGGGCAGAGGCTTTCCAGAAACAGGACCGGTCTCCTCACCGACTTTTTGAGCAGGCTGTTAGCAATTTGTCTCAAGTTGAAGACAATTGCGCTGTTACTTACTCGGGTTGTGAGACGCAGCGTTGGTGGCCATTCTGGCAAGAGGATAATTGAATGTAAATCTGTTTGGCGACCTGCGCACCCAGAGCGCTCTGGACAGAAGCTTAGACGTCGTGCTGGCGACTGGTCCAAACAATTGAGGAGGTCTGGTGTGTGGATCGAGAGCAGTGGAATTTCGCAGTTGGTGAGCGGGACTTCTTCGACTCCAACTTCTACTGCAGTTTAGTTTATTATTGTGACCCGACCTTTGTGAGTCAAGTCAACTGCCCGCCCAGTCACAGGCAGGCACTTGTTGGTTGGGCTGGCAGGGGTTGCTGGAGCGGTGCGGTTGCCAGCCTCGCCAAATAGCACTAGTCAGGGTCATTTCCCTTCGTTCCCTTTCCTTTCTCATTCCCTTCCCACGATTTCATCTTCCTTCTCAGCATTCACACCAAATTCTTCTATCATCTCTATCGTATTATCCAACACGGAGGAATTCATGGTCGAGAAAGTACAGCAAGCGCTTTAACCCACCCGATTACACTCATTGCCACTCCCGCGGCGTCCCGACTTGGGCTGGTTCAAACGACAGCCTCGCGGGGCATTCATGCAAGGCTGCGATCTGCTGCTGCTTCATCACCATCATCAACATCGGCTTCCTTGTCGATGTCGCTTCGTCACCATTTACTAGAGCTTCTTAGACTGCATTAGCAACCTGAGGGGCCTCTATTCGTCGTAATATGGCTATTACAGCGCTTCCGGATGCAACAGTCCACCTCCTTGGCTCAGCGCAAGCTCTCACTACCCCTACATCTCTTGTCAAAGAACTCATTGATAATGCTCTTGATGCGAAAGCTTCGTCTATCGATATTGTGATATCCCCAAACACCATTGATAAGATCGAAGTCCGAGACAATGGCCAGGGTATACCTCAAGAAGACCTTGATGCTCTCGGCAGGCGTGGACACACCAGCAAATTGAGGTCGTTCGAAGAACTTAAGTCCATTGGCGGCATTAGTTTGGGCTTCCGAGGAGAAGCTCTCGCAAGCGCTGTGCAATTAGGACTGGTTTCCGTGACTACTAGGACTGAAGGAGAGACTGTGGCGACTTCCGTCCAGTTGAAAGCTCCTGGTGGCATCGCAAGTCAGAGCCGGACATCTCATCCAGTCGGAACCAAAATCTCTGTTACAAAATTTCTTTACAATCTCCCTGTTCGAAGACAGACCGCCCTGAAAGACTCAGCGAAGACACTGAAAAGAATCAAAGAACTGCTGTATTCATATGCCTTTGCCCGTCCCCGAGTCAGGTTCTGTATGAGAGTAGCCAGTGGAGGAAAGGGTTCTTGGTCATTTACTCCTCGTCCTAATGATGGGATGAAAGAGGTAGCATCCAAAATTATTGGACGAGACGCGGCAGCTCAATGTATTGAGAAGTCCCTAGCATTTTCCGAGAAGACTTCAATAAGTCATACATCCAAGGATGCTTCCAAAGCAGCCCAGATTAGCAATTCCACGGAATCTGGATCAGATGAGTTCACCGTCGAAGTTTTCATGCCGAAACCAGAAGCTACTAGCATGGGCCATGGCCAGTACATCTCAGTTGACTCCAGGCCGGTAACACACGACAAAGGTACTATGAAGAAGCTCGTGAGCATCTTCAAATACTATGCTAAAGGATCTGGTCTGGAAGGCGAAGAGAAGCCCAAAGACCCCTTCCTTCGGCTGAACATAAAGTGCCCTATATCGAGCTACGATCCGAATGTCGAGCCTGCGAAAGACGATGTGATTTTTCAAGATGAGTCTCTTGTGCTGGAATCTGTCGAGCAATTGTTCAAGAACGTGTATGGTGTGCCCCTGGCCTCAACTATAACAGGCACACCAGAGAAACTCGCCGTAGGCACTAACAATTTCGAGCTCTTGATGTCTCGAAATCAGTCTTCGGGAAAGCATGGCAGCTCCAGCGAACACGTGCATGCTGTCGAGCCTCTTGAAATCATGGCTCCGCAGAACCTGACCCAGGATTTGGCATCCAAGATAGATGGGGAGCTTGTCCCTACTACTAATGAAACTGCAGAGTTGGAGAGGATTGAAGGGCAAAACTGGAGCGTTGACATGTCCCAGGACTTTAGCGAAGATGTTGAAGGTGGTCGGTGGTCTAATCGATCGTCTCAGAATCTTAGACGCCTGCCACAACCCAGTTCAGACGGTCCCGAAAGCCCTGGAAACTCCTTGAATCCATGGATCATTTCCAAAATGAATGCACCGATTCCGCCGAAGAACATTTACATTCCTCATAGCTCAGCAATTGCAGTCCTTGATGACACACCTCCCCAGCCCACGCTGACCTGTCTACCAACGCCTCAACATTCGTCGGATCCTGTAATTCCAGATGTAGAACCGACTTTCAAAACGCCTAGGCCTCACCAAATAGTAGACAGGGATGGTTCCCAGTCCTTTGATCTAGGACAGATATCTTCTTCATCTCAGGAGCCTCAGAGAGGACCAGAGGATATAGTCTTTGCTACGACATTCAAAATTCCAACAATAATTGATTCGGATGTCAGACTGCTGGGTGATGACGTGGGTGTCCTCAGTCGCAATACTGACTTCAACACTGCCAGGGATATCCTCAATGGCCCAAGTCAAAAGTTTCCGCAGCACAGTGGCTCAACGAAGCCAAAGAGAGTGAACAAACCTTTCGTTCCTCCTATGAGGGCGGCTGGTCATGATATGCAACAAGACGGTCTACGACAAACAGTCCTGACAGGTGGTACCATACGCTCTCCGTCAGCTCGAAGTGGCCATACGCCGAACAGCCTGGATCCCGATCAAAACGACGAACTTGCTTGGGCAATGGACTTCGAACATCGAAAGGAAGATGCTACACGTCAACGTCGGAAGGAAATTCTAGCTGCTCGTGCAGAAGCAGAAGCAGAAGTTTCTACTCCTGTTGTCAAACGGCGCCGACTTAATCTTCAAGATGAGGACTTGGAAGTCGATCTCGCGCATGAAATTGTCAGATCATCGCCACACAAGAATCGCTACAATGCTGCTATCGCCAACCTCGAAGCCGGCAAGAAAGTTGCTCCTAGAGATGATTTTGCGAAGCCATCCTTCAAGACAAGTTTACCAGATGGCGACCCGCGTGCATATCTGATGAGAAGGCGAAAATCAATGGAGCCATCTGTACCAGGCGGACCCATGAGACCGATGCGTGCCAAATCCACGCGTCTTCCTCTGGAGAAGATCCCAGATGCAGAGATGCTGCACAGGTTGGTGTTGAGGTATCCTGTAGATTTAAGTGCTGTCCAAAGTGCTCTAGACAAGTCGAAGGTCCACGACGTGTATGTGAATGAAGGGAGTCAGGCTGTAGGTCTGTCGATGGAATCTTGTGATGCAAAGTTAGTGGTGGAGAGAATTCAAGCAGCTGTTAAGAAATGGATGAAAAAATATCCTGGCAAGGCATATGACGCTGAATATACATTTGACGGCTTGGTCAATGTTAGGTAGCCTCGGAAAATTTAGTTTGGGAGGTGGCTGACGATGTATGACTGGACATATACGTTGGCTGAAAATTGGCGTTTGGCTGTGTTGCATTTGAAAGATACCCATTTGCGTTATATAGCTCAACATACAGATATATAGCATGGTCTCTCTCGACCGAGAGTATAAATAGATAAGTGCTCAATACCAAGCCAAGTCCTTGGATCTTAACTAGCAGAAGTGACTTGGGTGATGATATCATTGAAAGATATCATGGAGTAGCCAGATATTATGTAGCGAGGTGAGATTTCAGAATATCGAAGCTGTTGAAGTGGTCGTTATCACCAAAAGATTTCCCGATAGCTGGAGCTTTGAGATTAGCTACCATGATGTTGTCAATAGTGAGAAGCGAGATAAGTTAAGATCAACCATAAAATTGGGGGAGTGGCGGTATTGGCCCGGCCGGACGCTAACGAACTCCCCACACATGTCGCCAACAAGGCGCAATTGTAACTCCACTACAAATCTTCATTTTGATACATGATTTCAATCGTCTCCCATTGCTAATATTATAGTTCATTATCAAGTAAATTTAGCAACCGTTACGATGACGCCCCCAGCAGTAAATGGTCTCAGCTCGGAGAACAAGGAAGATCACCATACGGATCACGGACTCTCGAATCTCTCGCTGTCTTCCAAGACTATCCACGCAGATGACTACTTGAACCAGGGCTCTGATGTTGCTCCACCAATGCATGTCTCAACCACCTTCCGATATGACCGAAATCCAGATAAGTTGAAGTCGTGGGCAGAGCGTCAGGTAAGTTTAACTATTGCAAGTGAAAAGTGGGCAACCTGGCTAACAAAAAACATCACAGCCTGGAGAGATGTTCGAGGGCCATATCTACTCTCGATATACCACTCCAAACACCACTCGTTTTGAAGCCATTCTTTCAGACATCCTCAAAGGACCAACGCTGACATACGGTTCTGGTCTGAGCGCCTTCCACGCCCTATTGGTCTTCCTCAACCCCAAGCAAATCTCCATTGGAGATGGCTACCATGGCTGCCACGGCGTCATTGATATCCATCAGAAGCTCACGGGGCTTAAAAAGATTGCTCTAGACTGCCCGGCTGAAGATCTCCAACCTGGTGATATCGTGCATGTTGAGACGCCGCTGAATCCAACTGGTACGGCGTACAACTTGAAGGAGTTTGCCGAGAAGGCTCATGCAAGGGGCGCCTTCCTTACAGTCGACGCTACTTTCGGGCCGCCACCTCTGCAAGATCCCTTTCTTTGGGGGGCAGATATCGTTATGCATAGCGGAACCAAGTATGTTGGTGGTCACTCTGATATGCTGTGTGGTATTCTGGCGGTGAACCCAAAGCGAGAGGGCTGGTTTGAGAAATTGTTTGCTGAGAGGCAGTTCATCGGTAACGTAATGGGTAATATGGAGGGTTGGCTGGGTATCCGAAGTGTGCGCACTTTGGAGGTTCGGGTTGAGAGACAGGCTGCCAATACTGCGAAGTTGGTCGCTTGGTTGGATGATGCGCTACATCCTGAGAGGGATGGTGAATCGAAGGACGGCGAGATCATCAGGAAGGTCGTGGCTAAGATCGAACATGCTAGCTTACAAGCTGAGGATATCAAAGATGGGTGGTTGACGAAGCAGATGCCCAATGGATATGGGCCAGTCTTCTCTATTTACTTCAAGGAGATGAACCTCGCTCGCCACTTACCGAGCAAGCTGAAATTGTTCCATCACGCTACTAGTTTGGGTGGTGTTGAAAGCTTGATTGAGTGGCGTTCAATGACAGATTCCAAGGTCGATACGACACTTTTGAGAGTTAGTATTGGACTTGAAGGATGGGAGGATCTGAGAGATGATTTACTGCAAGGCTTTAAGTCTCTTGCTGAAGAGTATAAGTGAGCAGAAGAAGAATTCTCCATTGTATCCTTAGACTTTTTATACAACGAGATAGAAAAGCACGCTAGCATAGATATACCACTACCTGATTGACAACCTTTTCTTTACCAAGCACTAAGTAACAAAAGTTGCAAGCAAGGTCAAGGTGCTATCCTACCACGACACAGACACCATTGAAATTATTCACAAATCGGTCATTTGTTGTTAGATCTTCTCGGAATGTCAGGTAGTTCTCTATCCGGTGAATCATGGTGTCGCTATCCTGCTGGCCTACAAATCTACTATTACTAATAAAGGTCCCAAAACCTCGTTTTCTCTCAAATTAAATTGACCCATCCGCTCGATAGTCTCCATTAGATTTTCGAAAGACTGGCGTATATGCGGTAGAAGTTTGCTCGAAAAGGCATCAAGCACGTTATGTAAACAGCCCATCTCATACAGTATATCAGCAACCGTTGAATGAAACCCAGAGGTAATAGCGAAAGCTTTGAGCATTGATGACTCGTCAAAGGGAGCAGATGATGATGGATTGATCGAAGATGGTGTGTATGGTGAAGTTGGCGGATGCAGAGCTTTACTTTCCGAGATCACGGCGGTCAAATGATTTGTGGTACACAGCATGTGAAGAAAAACACCTGCGACTGAAAAGGTTTGGCTTCCACGGCGGAGATCGATCATCTGTCGAAGCCCGCTGAGGTGAGTCTCAACTTCCTCGGGTTCCCCGATGATACACTGGTCACGAAAGTCAAATCCAATTGCTTATTGCTGGTTTTGTTGACAATAGTTGGAGGTCGTGAGAAGTTACTCACAACAATATGAGTAAGGAGTAAGACAGCGGAAAGTGTCTCATCTGTAACTGCCTGAGAAGGATTTCGCAACGCTTCGTTCAACACTCGGATAGTTTGGGCTTTGTAGAAGAGTGACTCGACTGTGTCTTTGAAACCGTGGAGTCCCGCATCATGAACTGCTGCTACGTAGAGCGTCGTGTTGAAGAGTGTTGGATTGGATATCGCCGCTGAAAGCCATAATGGATTGGTGCAGTATTGTGAGTGTATCTGGGTTGGGAAAAGTGCTAGAGATGTGTTCCCTGCTCTCAATCTTAGCAGTGACATATGCTCCCAGACTGTTTTAAGACGTACAATGATGCATCAACGCATATACCCGTGGACTGCTCTTTGCAGGGAGCATTTGGAAGGGATCAATTCTGCCCGGCATGAGGATGGCATCCGAAATGACAGGGTTGCAATCGCTGCTGTTGGGCGATAGATTCGGATAATTGCCACATATCCTACATATACCAAACACTAAATCAAGTAGCATGTTCGTAAACTCTAAACCGGAAAACTTAGTTGTCGTCATTGAAAGCCCGTGGAGCTAGACAAACCAGGATAGTGGCAAGGACATTTGCAACACTTGGTCTGCGAGGCAGAATACCGGGAGCAAGTCAAAGTACGCTCTGCCTGTATGTTGCGATCGAAGAGTGCAAACTCCTTTGGTGATTTACTTGAGGCTAATTGTGGAGTATTCTTAGATAGTGGCACCTCCACCATCGTATGGGGTATAAATTGCGCTGTTACTCTAGGCTCCCTCATCTTGTTTCTCGAGGTTTCATAATCACACCTCGTGATATTCTTGAAATGTACCTGACACCTCTTGCATACAGGTTTCTGCTCATCGCACTGGACCTCATCAGCACATGGAAATCATAAACCAGACGCTGGGTGACTCTCCAACCTTCACTTTTCTGATTTTACAAGCTCGGCAACCACTAGTGGATTTTTTATGTGACCTCTGAGGTACCGGGTTAGAGTGGAAGTACATGATCTGATCCATCATGTGGTTCCTGGAGAAGAAATAAAATGGGTTGTTGTTCTTGCACTCGACAGGTGTTCGGGATCGGACATGTTATTATTATTCAAGTCGTCTATGCCAAGGCGACTTGAGGTGAGTGTTGTCAGCACTAATCCAGCAGAAGCGAGCGCTGAACAATGGGGCTGAACACGATCGTGGGTACATGATTGGGCCCATCGTGCAGTTTCTCGCATCAGTAGCTTCTTTAGAGATCCAAGTCTTGTCCCAAAGGAAATCCAGGCCCGAGACCTTCTTCCCCTATGGACGGTATAGATCATGCTTAGGCCTCCCGCTGAAAGAGTGCTCGGCTTCGGGTGCAGCAAGGATGCCAAGACTCGATTTGTTTAGTATACTGTAGTGCCGCTCAGCACTTGTATCTGAAGATCTTCATTCCCAAAGCTATAAATTCTGTTCTCCCTAGAGTTCACGTCTCTTCAGTCTGGCAAAAACACTCGCGCATCTTCGTTCGTTCTGTCATCGTCCAAGAATTTTTCATTGCAAAATCACTCAATATCAATCCTCCGGAATGCCTATGTCTAAGCCAACGATTGTCTTCTGCCATGGGGCTTGGCACAGCCCCAGCTTTTTCGACAAGGTCATCAGCATCCTTGAGCCACAGGGCTACAAGTGCGCCACTTTTTCTTTCCCAGGCACAGGAAATGTACCAGCAGTGAAATCACTTGATGAGGATATTGCTGCGGTCAGATCAGTAGTTCTGAAAGAAATCGACGCTGGATCTGATGTTATCGTTTCCGCCCATAGCTGGGGGGGTGTTCCTGCTTGCAGTGCTCTTGATGGATTGAGTAAGGCGGAACGACAGCGCGACGGAAAGCCAGGAGGAGTAACAAAGTTGGCCTTTGTTACATCGTTCATTCTTCCTGAAGAAACCAGCATTTCGGATGTTCTAGGTGGGCCGTTACCGGTCTGGGTCCCGGATGCTGTGAGAATTTATTTACATGTCTTTTCTGCGACGGCCATTGCTGACCAAAATTCACAGGACGGAAATCTCAAATTCCCAGACGAAGTAAACAAGGATGTTTTCTATCATGATCTTCCGTCTGCGGAGGCTGACGAGTGGGTGTCCAAACTAAGAGTTCAATCTCTCGCAACGTTCATGACCAAAACAAAGTCAGCAGCCTGGAAGAAAATTCCAACATCGTACCTGATGTGCGAGAACGACAAACCGCTCCCTCTCGAATTGCAAGAATCGATGATAGCAACAGTCAGGAAGGAGGGTGGAGAGATTGAGACGGAACGACTGTCCGTATCTCACGGTCCTCACCTGGTGATGCCTGAGAAGGTCGCGGGGTTTCTGAGAAGGGCAGCAGGCGAGAATTTGGAAGGCGACGTATGATCTCAGATTAACCCAACATGATAGCAAGCAGAAAAGACTCTAGATACTGGGTATGTGATAATAGAAGTGATGAAAGCATTTCCACGGGCTACACACAATTCCGTGACCTGTGTGCCCATTAGGAGGGCCTTGGCAATTTTTGGATTTTGACACTTGCGAGTCAAATGAACATGGGGATTTAGATTCTCCATGGAACCGATGCCACCGTTTGGATATTCAAATCAATGTGCACTTGATATGTGTCGTATTGATGTTGACGGTCATTGGAGGCTGGAAAGGGACGGTAAAGGATTCTACTGTATCATCTGCATCGAATTCCTGTACTAGCCACTTATTCACAATTGACAAAGCAGTGAGACCAAAACTTACTAATCCTCGAGAGACTGCTTTCGGGCTCAACGGGTCAAAGACATTGATGTGTCCCAAAACCAGCTACTCAAGCTTTGTTGCCGGGGGATTGATCGGCTTCTGGAGTAATTAAGACTCCACAACTTTGGAGAAGAAAGGAATCCATGACACAGGTCCAAGAGAATGAAATTGGTTCATTGATGATGCTAGAATTTTTGCAAAGGACATCTTCGTGTGTAAGTACCGCAATTGGTTTGAGCATGTGAACGATAGGCCTGGTATTTTCTCTAACATGTGGCCGGATCTATTCCTGATTAGCTATTATATTCCATGATACTGTGCGTGGGCGTTTGGTAGCTACATATACAGATCAATTCTTCGGTGTTTTAAGAATCACTGAAATGACTACATAAGATGTGGAAGAACCTGTCTCAAACGTTTTCCGCAGAAAGTAGAGGCTTTGTTGTTGGCGAGGTTGGCTCCCATCTAACGCACAAATTTCCGTTCATATTTGGCTTCTAAATTTAACAACTTTGCGCGCAATAGTGAGAGACGTGTACTGTACCATAATATTTCAAAAAATGAATGAAGGTGGAATGAACAAACAACGCTCTTTGTTTAATGAGTGCCGTCATCAATATATCGCATCTTCTCGTGTATGGATTTCCCAGGGCTGAACAAAGAGTGCAGTCTTACGTTCGCATTGATGCAAAATCTGCCATGGCTCTTTGTTTGTTTCTCGTTTGCTGCTTCACAAAAATAGCTTTGGGCATGGAGATTCGAGTTCGTGTTTTCTCGTCGGGCTTCCCTCTCTTGTCGAGCTTCCCTCACTCCAAATCCATGTTGGCTTTGGACCGCCAGTATGGTTTCACATACGGTATCGTTCCGACCTTTCTCATTTCAACTAGGTGATTCGACCAATTCGTTGTCACGACGAGACAGGGAAGATTTTATTTCTCCAGATGCAAGCCTGCCTCCATCTCGCCTCCCAAGCAATTCTGAAGGCAAAGATACACCAAGTGTTCCATATAAGAATCCACGAAGAAGTCAAAGATCGATTGATGGCCCCAAATCCCCGGAGAAGTTTGAAGAAGAAGTATCCGAGCCTGCGTCGCAAGCAGCTGGGAGCTCTAACAGGCAGCCAGCACCATCCCCCCGATCACCAACATTTCAACTGTCTCGATCACCACGTTCGTCTGCCTCTGGAACATCACAGACACCAACACTACCTATCACCAAATCTTCTCAGAAGAATCTTCATTTAACAGGCTTCGACCCAAGATCTGAGCCAGCTGTGCCGATGCAGGACCAACAGCTGTCACCCACCCAGAAAGCATGTCCCCCTCTCCCACTCTCGCTTATAAGAAGTATATCGTCAAATAGCTCAGGCAGTGTCTACAACCAAGCTGAACCTATTTTTCAATATGAGCAAGCCGGATCAACGAAGAACTCGAGCACGTCTATCGAGCAATCCTCATTTTCGGAAGGTGAATACCTGGCTTCACCCATCTACAATGATTCCGAACACAACTCGAAGGTCTCAAATATATCTAGACCAAATTTGAAGCCAAATTTGAGTGCCGACAAAACCATGCAACCGCCTCCGCTACCTCCATCAGAAGTAGGTCCTCAAACCCAAAATCAGCCAGAAAACGGATCGCTCCCACTACCTAGCTTTCCGACGAGTGTGTATTCAACAGACTCAAACGAGAGGACTACTCTTCCGGAGATCCTTTCCCAAGGAGAACTTCGATACGATGAAGAGCTTGGGAAAGACAGTTCAAGTGCCAACAAAAGAGCCAATCCAACAACACCAATTCTAGCCACCTCGCCACTCCGTTTGCTATCTACGCCAACTGCTCCAAATGCAAAACGACGGACGAAACCCAAAGACATCACCGTCACCTACGATAATGAACCATCACCCATCCTCACAGTGCAAGACACCCTAGAATGGGGCATTTACGACCCCAGCAGGATCAGCTCCTCGATCAAAAGCAAACGCACCACCACATCTGCAAGTCCCATGTTCAGCATGGAGAGCGACCACCTTACACTCCCTCCTCCTCTCGGTTCTCCTCTCCCCGAAATAAACGAATCTGTAAAGAGGAGAAGATCATTCGAAGCAGACGCCAAAAATCTTACGGAGAGTTCGCTCCCGTTACACGCCGGGCGAGGTGCTACTACTGAAGGAGATGAGGAGCGAGATTCCGTGCCGTCGCTACCAAAACCGGGCAATGTCAAGCGTAGTTGGTCGAACACTTTCAAACATTGGTCTCCGACTAGAAAGAAGCACATCATCACAAATAGTGCGAGAAGGGCTGATGGACCAGCTACGCCTATGCCACCGAAGTATGGCGTCATGGAGAGCATGATGAGGGGAAAGGAGGTGCTTGAGAAGGTGGGGAAGAGTTTTATTGGTCCGAGTAAAGAGGAGAAGAGGAGGGAGATGGAGCAAAAGACGAGAGAAGATAAGAAGAGGGAGAGTTTGAAGAAGAAAATTCAAGTTCTTGAGTTTGAGAATCAGGATCCTAGTAGGTTGCAGATACAATATTGAGAGATTAAGAAACCGACAATGCTGACTAGAATGGTGCAGGTGACAGACGCCCCGGATGGGTTTGAGCTGAAGACGAAGGCTAGTATGGCATAAAGAGGAGGGTTTCAGAGAAAAGATCGAGGACAGAGAAACGAACTTGCTTAGAGGGAACTCTATTTTTCATAGGCTACAGATTGTGTTTGTTAGTTATCGACGGTCATCTTCACTTTGGTACAATACAAATGCCATTTGTTTTCGACTTTCCCGAACCAATGATTTTGTACCTTAAAAGCTTCCCGCCCAGGGATTGTAATTCGAGCACCCATTCGCCAAAGTCGTCGACGCCGTGATCTCCTTCCCAACCCCACTACCTGTCGTAGTCCCCCCTCTCACAACACTAAACTTCGGTGCACCAGTTTGTCCATTGAAAGGCTGACTCCAATGATTGATCCCCGCGTTACCGTTATAAGTAGTCACCGGATTATTGCCAATCTGGACGTGAATTTCTCCTGGGGAGGTGAGCAGTGCGCTGAAGAACACACCATCTTCGACCACATCATTGGGGGAGAGTTCTTGTTGGCCTTGATCAGCATTGTTGCCGACTACACCACAGGTACTTCCTGCTGCAGCTGGGTGCGTACGATACCAGTACTGCATCTGGTCGCGGGTAATGTCAAATGGGTCTCCTTTGTACTTGGCGATGTAGTAAGGCAGGAAGTCAAGCCAGCTCTCATGCGATTGACCATCGACATACACTTCGGCACCTGAAGCAATTTCACTGCCGTATCGAACTGGACCGACGTACATAGACTCGCCAAAATCGTTCCAAGTAACGATCCTGTTTGTTTTTCCATTAGCGAGAAATTTCAGGTTTAGCGAGATGGGAGACGTACTGCACGAAGTCGGGATTGACTTGCAGGGTTTGAGCCCAACGATCTGCCCATAGATCATCGCCTCTCCAGACCCATTTCTTACCCCCGTTGGTAGAATGGAAGAACCATGGCGACACGCCCATCATGTAACTCTTACTCTGTATAGCACCTTTCCAGGCGAAGTCACTGTCTGTGGTCTTATTGCTGGCTCCGTTGGGCCACATTTCCCAGCTGAAGGCTCCTTGAACGTTGCTTAAGTGCGACGCGAAGTTCTGAGGTCCTAGACTTGACCAGTCGGGCACAAAATAGATCGCTCCTACTGCGGATCGAATCGGTCCACCTTCTGCCCATTGATTGACTACGGAAAGTCAAAGTCAGGCTCATCTCTGTCAAGACCAGATAGACTGTTGGGAGCATCAAGAAAAGAACTTACTATCGTCGACGCCTTCAAAAGTTGAGACGAAAGGAGCATTGTTGTAGTGGAAGTAAGCGGGACTATTCTTGTACTGGTTCAGGTATGACAAAACAGAATTAGATCCGGTCGAGGGCCACCTCTGTCACCGTTTTAGCTTTGTCTCCTTTTATAAACATAGGTTTTCTTTGCTATATGGTCTTCTCGGCTTACGCATGAGACTCGCTCAACAAAGTGGAAGACTTTGACTGACCTGTCCACCTCCTAAATAATCAAAAGCAAAGAACAGCTTGAAGTTACTGCCAGCAGCCTCAGCAGCCGCAAACGCGTTCGCGACTTGCCCAGGGATATTACCATCCGGATAAGCTATATTCAAAACAAAAGCATCGATGCCGGTATTCTTCGCTAGCTGGATGTCCTGAGCCCATGTGGCCTGGGAGTGAGCAGCCGTGTTACCAACCACGACATGTGCAAAGACTGCTTTTTGGGCCGAGACAACATATGAATAGAGCCCTAGGGCGATCGAGAGATTGAGAAGTTTCATTGAAAATGATCGATATCTGACTTGGTGCTGAGAATGGAGTTGGGATATGTCTATGATGAGGTAAACCTCAGTCTTATAGTTCCGAAGAGAGGGAAGCGGTTCTTAGTGAAGGTCGATTTGTGATCAGAGCCATCTCAACCCCCAGTCTCGGGAAACACAAGGCTTAGAAATATGCGCAGCCCAACATGGACAATGAGGAGTAAGATCCTTGACTTCCTTCTCACTTCAGCGGCCAGAAACCATCATGAGGAGGAGATTCCGACCCTAAGCGAAATAGCCTAAGAAAGAAGCGCCGAATGATGCACATCGACTTTCCACTCATACCGAGAATGATCTTCATGGAGAAGATCAGAATAAGTTAAAGCAGGAGAGAAGAAGCACCATAAAGGCATGAGGGAAGCGCCCAAGGGAGGTTGCTTGGGGGCCGGTAGGCCTGTAGGTGCATGCGTTTGTCAGGAAGCTGCAGGGGAAGATCTACGACTCAGCCTTGAAATCTGCAGCTTCTTGCAAACGATGTGGTACATATACAGGCCGACTCTGCATCCTCCCCGTTTTCTTCGATATCTCATTCGTCGATGTGTCCGGAAAGTATGCTTTCTGTTAGCCAGGTGCGCCATTGGGAAGGTGGCATCTATCCCCTCGTCATGTTGTTCCATCCCAACGCCGTACCTAAACTTAGACATTTCGGCATGTCTTTTTTTTGAGGCGTACAACTTCATGTTCCTGGAATGCCAGAGTTGAAGCTGAAGGATGAGTGATGACTCTGCAGAAATTCGATAGATGTCGGAGCATCGATTGTCCGTTTCTCCTGTTGTGTCAAGGAAAGGTTGGCCAAGTCAGCCGATTCAAAAATGCAGTTGTCGCTGAAGTCGGCGTATGAATAGCCCCCTCGGGTAAGATCCGTGCCCTTTCGCAGCGATTAAAGTGGATTCTGCAGGGTACGCCCGCCTGGGCAGGGCAGTGGATGCTTCGCCGCCGCGTGCGGGGTCCCATCGAATATTCACCCAGTCAGCAAGACATTGTTGTCAAGGCACTACCTATTGTTTTTGACGTATCTAGAATCCGACGCTCTTCGGCACCAAGGAAACAGGCGGTCACAGTAGGCAGGTGGATCTGTTGCAGACAAAAAGATAATCCAAAGCAGGAATTCATCCTGATTTTGTTTCATTATCCCGTAATGTATAATACCATGCTGCTTCAGACCTTCCGGGAAACTACAATTGCAATCTGAATGTTGCAACCTCGAAAGGCCTGAGAGTAATCTCTATCTTGCCCTTCTCGACCTTGACTTCCTCCTCGTCATCCTCCAAGATGTTGGTTTTCCAGACTTTCTTCACATCCAAAGATGTCTCGATCGTGCCCTTACTTGTTCCCCCCAAACTGTCATAGATACGCAAGATTACACTCTTGCCCTTGCGTTTGGCCAATTCCCCTCTGCTAACATCTTCGTCGTCCTCACCTCTCTTTACACAGTCCAGAATCAGGGATTGGTTACCTGTGAGCTTGATGGGACTGCTGAATGCCGAAGCTTCAAGACTCTTGGAAGATTGTGCAAGTTTCAGTGGGTTGTTGAAGTTGTACGCAGTTCGGACAGTGGTGGAGCCAAGATCACCTTGATGAGGCAAAATAGCCCAGCGGATGTGGTGACGACCCATATCAGCATGTGCATCGGGTGCTTTGGGAGCACGGAGGAGTGAAAGGCGCATCAAGTTTCCGCAGGTGGCGAAACCATATTTACTATCGTTCAAAATGGATACGCCATAGCCGTGCTCGGAAAGATCTGCATACTTGTGGCAGCAGACCTCAAATTTGGCCATGTCCCAGCTATATATGGTTAGCAATACTCTTCTATATGTTAATTCGGACTTACGTAGTGTTGTAATGAGTTGGTCGTCGCACAATACCATATTGAGTCTCGTATGAAGCCTCAGTGTTTCTGACATCGACTGGGAATTCCACCTTCAAGAACTTCATATCCTCTCGCCACTCTACCTCGCTGTGCATCTCAACATAAGACTGCTGGCCCTTGAAAGCTGCGGACAAAGTGATATAGGTCTTTGCCCAACTCTTGTCGCTGATCTTGGTCTCAGTCATGACACTGACTTGGTGAGCATCTTGCTGAACAATCTTAGTAACACCAGACGTTAACTCCTTGCGCGAGTCCAAGTGGTAAACTTCGACATCCCAAGCTTGCCAGTAAAGAGGCTTGTCGTCAAAAATCACCAGCTGGTTGGCTTTCTTTCCCTTGGCAATTACTTCTCGCTCTGCTTTGCGATCGTAGAGCGATGTAATGCAGCCACCATCGACCTGCACGCGAAGCTGGTCATTTTGCAAAACAAAGACGCCACTCTTGATTTCCTCTACGGAAACCTCAGGAGTCTCAGCGATCTTAAAGGTCTTAATGTTCAGCAATTGCCCATCGCCGCATGCTACACCTGCTTTACCATCACCGATCGAGATAATTTCTCGGCGATGCCAGGGCATGGTATTCAGTGCAACCAAATTTTCAGCGGACTTAACAATTTCGGCTTCTTGAACGCCGAGAAGCTCTTCCAGCTCTTTCAGAATCTTCTCACCAGTCTCGAATACTTTCGCGTAGAGCTTCACCAGTGTCAGCATGCATTCGAACGAGCTCCTTGGTTGACTTTACCTCATCACTGTCATCATAACACATCTCGATAGAACTACCAGGTAGACAGTCGTGGAACTGACACAGCAGAACAGCTTCCCACATGTCATCGATCTTTTCCTTGGGATATTTATATCCAGATTTGATGCTTGCAAGAGTCGCTAGCAACTCAACATTGCGGAGCATTATCTCCGATTTGCGGTTGTTCCGCTTGTTGTTTGCTTGAGTCGTGTAGGTACCTCTATGTAACTCAAAGTATAGCTCACCGTACCAAGTCACAAAGTCCAGACCGCCTTCAACCTTCTTCTCAAGGCGGTCGAAAAAGTCTTCAACGGAATCACCCATGTGAACTCTGGGAAGCATTCCAACGGTGTCGCTCATTCCTCGACATCTTCGAAGCTTCTCCAAGTGCTGCCAAGTGGGCCCACCACCTCCGTCACCCTTCCCAAACACAAGAAGTGAGGTCTCATCCTGATCCATAGATTTGTGTTGAGTTACAGATCTCTTCACATCTCCGAAGTTTGCCTCTGCAGTATAGGTCTCAGATGGAGCCATGTGGCAAATGACCTGACTACCATCAAGAGAAACCCAGTTGAATGTTGTGTGAGGAAACTTGTTGATATTGTTCCAGCTTAGCTTTTGGGTAAAGAATCGAGTCATGCCGGCCAATCTGCATAGCTGTGGAAGTTGACTGGAGTATCCAAATGTATCAGGTAGCCAGAAGGTACGGCATCTCTCTCCGAAGTTGCTTTCAAAGAATCTCTGGCCGTAAACGAACTGGCGGACAAGCGATTCACCACTCGGCATGTTTGTGTCATGCTCGACCCAACTTCCTCCAACAGGTTGAAAGCGGCCTTTCTTAACCTTCTCCTTGACACGGTCAAACACATAAGGATAGTACTGCTTGAGCCATTTGTACTGTTGAGCTTGCGATACACTGAACCTATGTTCTGGATAGCGGTCCATCAAGTCACATTGGTTTGACCATGATCTGGCTACTTTTCTCTTGGTCTCTGCCCACGGCCAGAGCCAACAAGTATCAATATGGCAGTGACCAATACCATAGACAATTGGTTGAGTCCCCGTATTGTAAACCTTTGATGAGCTGACATTCTTACCGAGGTACTCTTGTGCAATTTTGCGGCCTTTAATGATAGAATCTTGGTTGCCCAGCTCAAAGGCATCGATGATGGCAGTAGCAACCTTTAAGGCTTTATGTTGCTCCCATGAATCGGCTGGAAACTCTCTTGCAGCATCTCCAATGATCCAGATATCAATCCACAATTGACGAGCCTCACTATTGACAGCCACAATATCAGCTTTGCTGAGCTGGAAGTACTTGTTGGGATCCGGAGGTTGAATTGAGTCTCCACCAGGAGCATTTCCAAACATGCCATTGCAGGCCATTTCGATGTAGATGGTGTGCTCCTTTCCATCTCTGAACTTGTCGGGAAGGATCCATTCTATTCGTTCTCCGCCTCCGGTCAATCCCTGGAGCGGCTTGCCGTCCTCTGTCCACACCATACCCTCATTGTTTGCATCCCAATGTAGTTCAAGTAGCTCTTTCTTGCAAAGCTTAGCTGGCACAGTGAGCTGCACCTTGAACCAATGGGTTGACCAAGATGGACCGAACCATTCCCCAACCGATGTCTTCTTGAAAGTGTGGCTAGTGGCATCTTTGAAAGTCGGTCGAGTGAGGTCAGGAGCATCCCAGACAGAGAGCTTCACATGCGGCGTTCCGGACGCAACGCCCTCGTCCATCATTCTGCGTTTGACGATTAGTTTCTGTCCTGGCGTTCTGTAAGACGAATAGTGGCATACGCTCGCAGGTTGTTGCCCTCATACTGCCCCCCACCATAGAACTGAGAAATACGCTCCTTGTAGATATTTGGAATCCATTGTCCAACTGGATGGTCCGAGAGCTTCGGATAAGTGCTTTTAGGCTTCGCGGTCTCGATGGTTTCTCCGCCCATAGTTGTGTTTCTGATAATTGTTTGCACAGAGTCGAGAGGATGTTGCGGAAGAGAGGAGCTGTGTTGATGTCAGAACGTAACGTAGCTATGGGTCTCACCATGGATGGATGGATGGCAGGGGTCTCGAGCTCCGCTGGGGTGCGGGGACCTGAGGTGGGCCTGAGCCTGAGCTCAGCGTCCGCCGTCCATTACTATTGGTGATATGGGGAAGCTCGGATGCACCCGCCCCCGGCTTCACCAGCTGTAGCTCAAACGGGGGCCATGGAGCAATGGAACACTTACAACATGTTCGAACGATAGCACAATTGTAGCTAGTGTTCCATTGGCGCCGACGAGGAGACTTGTGATAGACGATTTCGAAAGGGAGGAGGTGAGGTGGGATGATGGGGATGATGGGGCAGTGGGGATGGACGATGATGATCCAGGCTGGCAGAAAGTCAGCTGGCGGGTTCGAGACGCAGGTAACTTCCCTTCGGTCAGATGTGCTGACCTGACTGATCCGATAGGTTGCAATGAGCCAAGCTGTGTATAATAATCCTCGAACTCAACTGCTTCGAACGACCTTAGACCCAAGAACCCAAGGCTTCCCCAGTTGCACAACGGGTTTCTTCGCCAACAAGAAAATATCAGTCTTACAGGCTGTGTAAACAAGCAAGTTCTGGAAACCCCCGAGTTCAGAAGCGGTGGTTTATTGAGATTTCTATGGAATCAGCACGGAAAGGAATAACAACACTAACTTCCAGGGTATTTTGCAGCGTCATACCCAGTGCGCCACACTCCAATTGAAGGCAGCAAAACAGCTCAACCCAATCCTCAATTCCATCCCCTACGATCCAAGCGCCACTCAAATCACACTTTTGACCTTCCCGGTCTCGACCTCATATACCCATCCGCTAATGGTAACACTGTCCGGAATCAACTTGCTTGACTTCAAGAATTCCACATCGTCCTTGACAGCAGCCTCCAAATCTGGAAAAGGCTGGAAGTCTCCCTTGAAAGCAGCCAGCTCGGCAGCAGCTCCTTCCCCCAGGTTTTTCTTCACAATGCCAGTGGCATCTTCATTCTGAAATGTGAGCATGCCGCACCCGGTGTGCTTGACGAGAATGATCTCTTGAGTACCAAGAAGTTGCTCGGAAATGACGAGGGAGCGAAGAGCGTCGCGAGCATTTCCTCCTGCGTTCCTGATGACGTGGGCATCACCGAGAGAGATGCCGTATGCTGAAGCGGGGTCGATTCTTGCGTCCATACATGTAACTTTGAATTGTTAGTTTCGGACCTCATTGGGATCTTCGCTGAAGCTCATTGTCGATTTGCCGTATTGGAGATGCATTTGAAATTCGGGACGTAGATTATGGCTGGCGAACGTACCGACAGCATACTTCTTCGCAGGAGGTAACGCAAGGTGGCCTTGCGTGAAGCTGGCAGAGTAAGCCTTGTTGGAGCTTACCAGATTCTCCTGAATTGGTGTCGGAGCCATTGTATTTGGGAATCGTTGGACTTTGAATTTGTGTCGATGGATTCTGCGCAGAACAGTGCCTAGCTTATGCAATGGCAATAACTCTTCGCAGTTAAAAAGTTTCGTACATCAGTAGAGCAGAGCTCTATCTTATATCCAGCTCTTATGGACCTGTATTCTCGAGAGAAGCTGATGAGGGGCAGTACCCCGCAGATCCTATCGTGTTTCATGGGAAATGCTAAGGATTGCGACATTATATACCAATCATTTCGTTCCATTATTGCCATTTGGTTCGTAGTTTGAATGACACCATCTTGAGGCGTTCATGGGAGACAGGACTTCCGACAATCTCCAGTTTCTTAAGAAATGCAGTTGTTGGTAAAGAGCCAGATATTGACAGGGTAGTAAAGCAGTGTTTGTAGCAGGGGAACACGGGAGATTGGGGATAAAGTTGCCGAGGTCTCTTAGGTCGCTTGGATCTCCGACCCATGCTCGCCATGGCCGAAAATAAGAGAGGGGCAGTGGCGACCATTGATGGTGAGAGATCGAGGCCTGATGGATCTCCTCTATACCCCGCACTGGGGCATCCATTATCGCTGGACAGATGGAGGACAAAGCTAAGCCGCTTGAGAGACAAACCACGACATATCTGAATTCCGATATACAATGTCTCTAGAAAGTTTGGACACTGGCTCAGAACCAGCGTCGGAATCAGATATCGAAATCAATGAGAGAGATGTGAAAGAGGTTATCGAGAGTATCAAGGAAGCTCAATATTTTGATGCAAGCAGCATGGCTCCGCTCACTCCCGCGTCACTGGTATGTATTCTTCAACTTGTCGCTTCTGTGCAAATCGGTAACTAAATGGTGTTAGGCAGCTATTGCTCGATTGAGGGCGTACACACCTCCCCCCTTCACAACATGGGACAAGCTTCCGCTAAGCAGGAAAGCTGCAGTGTTGATCTTACTATTTGCAGACCGCCGGGGTGACCTTCGCGTTGTTCTCACTATGCGTGCTTCAACTCTCAGAAATTACTCTGGTATAGGTCACTTAATTTTATGTATGCATTCTGGTCTGACACAACTTAGGACAAGCGGCCTTTCCTGGTGGTAAAGCAGATACGCTTGAGGAGAAGCCATTCGATATAGCTAGACGGGAAGCTTGCGAGGAGATTGGTCTTCCTCGAGACGACTCCAAGATTCCTCGTCCGTTTCGAATTGAGCATTTATGTCAATTACCATTCAGTTTCGCAAAGACTGCACTCGCAGTAAGGCCTTGTGTTGCATTCCTGCACTCAGACGACAATGGCGGGGAAAAGGCTGCCAGTGTAGAGGATAGCATGATACCACGTCTTGATGCAAAGGAAGTTGCAGCGTAGGTGGCTCCCTTGACTGTTACCTTAATCATCTCAGTACACCCAAGTCCTGTCATTTCTTTTGGAAGCACTTACGGCATCATGCTGAGTTTTCATAGTGTTTTCTCAGCTCCATTTCATAACTTTCTTAGAGAACAAGACGAAGTTCAAGAAGGGGACCAGATAGTTGGGAAGAAAGAAGACTGGTACGCAGGTCAATGGCTGGACTTCCACGGCACCCAATGGCGGATGCACAACTTCTATGTTCCAATCAACAATCAGAAGGTTACCAAGCCAAAGATGAGAGAAGGTGGACAGGCAGCTATCGCCGAACAGCTCGACGAGGAGGAAGATGAAGGTATGATGAGGTACAAAGTATGGGGTATGACTGCACGGATGCTTGTCGATGCGGCTCGTTTGGCATATGGGGAAGAACCCGAGTTCGAGGTATGTTTCTCTAGATTTCATACGCGGTGCGGCACTTCGTTCAGGAACATACCTTCCAAGTCCAGGAAGAACAGACTGCCGATTCCAGTCTTTTCCACGGGTTTCCCAATGACATCAATGCTTACGAGTCCAAGCACAATACCCATTTTGGTGACGAACCCATGATTGATAACCTCTACAACATGAATCGACTCGGGGAGAAGATACCCGGCGGGCCAGATTTGACGGATGCGGATATCAAGCAAGCCCGTGAGGCTGCGGGGGTGGCGAAGATTTAGGGATGGGTCCTGATAACGAAAACGACAAGTAGAGTGGGCTTACTAGATTAGAGGGCTGTGCAGCACTGCAAAATTGTAGGATGACGAGGACAAGTTATGGGGCAATGACTTTAGAAATCCGTGGGTCTGGGAAGTTTCCTTAACGTATTGTTGCCTACCATACTACAGTATCATTTCCAGAAGCTACTATCAAAATGTGTGTCTCGAAAGCATTGGACTCTTCCATGTCACTCCTTGCGCTCTGCCAAGTCTGTCAACTTTGTCATCAGGGCCCAGAGCTCGTTTAAGTCCCCTGAAAAGCTCTCGCTTAGGTCATAGAAACCAGGTACCACGCAAAAATTTCCCCATAGTCTGATATATTCCATTTTTACAACCATGTGGCATGACGGTGAAAATTTCGCTTCTGAGATTGGTCTTTAGGTCGGGAAAATTTGTGAGACTATTTGAAAGATTTGCAGCGCGCGGTGGGGGTCCACTTGTTTAAGCTTTGGGCACGAGAAGTCTATTCGATGGGCCAAGACGACGAACTGGGCTGAATACCTGGGCGGTTACGTAGCGGATTTGGAAGCTCATGATGATGATGCTTGCAGAGGTCTGAGTCGCAAAGCTTTCGGCTCAAACGAGGGGTAGCTTCCAAGATGTTACGGTGTATCTGGCAGAACGAGAGCGGCGCTGAAAAGTGGAAGATGTAATGTCTTGTGCTCCAGCAGATCTGTCCATCATGCGCTGTTTTCGAGCGTTTTGGCGCAGCGTGCTTATGAGCCATATTGCATTGCATCGGCGAAGACGCTCTGCTCTGTTTCTTCTTTCAGGGTTGCGAACGCTCGTGGATGAAATGACGCTTCCAGAGCTGTCGCGATTTGTCAGCTCTGGGCCTATGTAGCACAGCGATGCACCACAGTGCAGTGACACGTCGTGAATTTACTCCGTCGGGGCTGGCTCCTGGGCACTACAGGCTGCTGGCTTTCCAGGCAACATGTGAATATCAGCCCGGCCCAGCTCACACTCTCCACAGCACAGTGGATGGAACAGCCGATGAGCCAGCCAGTGAGTGCCAGAGTGGATGCAAGTGCGACTCCATGAGCCAACGGAAGTGAGACGATGTGTTGAAGTACCGTAATCGATTACTGTGCCAAAGCTAGCGAGAAGGGAGTGGGAGGGCTGGAAGCCTGGAACAAACTCACGGTCCAACAGGGCCCTTGCTCGCGCGATGTAGCGCCCCGGCTTGGTATCCATGCCCATGCCCTTCCTAACCGTACGGAGACTACAGCGAGACTAGACTGTTTGTTCCAGTCTTGTGTCCATTCAAATTTATAGAGTCAGTCGCCGTCCGGTCGTCTTTGCTCACACGATAGATAGCCGTACACAGCCACCGCCCTTTTAGTTCTGGCTTCTACGAAAAGTATATTCCCCGACTCCTCTCCCATCACTCGACATCTCTAACGTCCACTCCCCAAGCGTCGCGACATACTTATCATCGACATCAATATCGCATCGTCTTATATCAACTTACAATACCACATACATCAATACAGACATGGCCGACATATTAGCAGCGTTCGACCAGTTAGAAAAGAAGGAGAAAGCTAAGAAGCCCGTTAAGTCCACAAACAAAAAGTTTGTAAACCCGCTGAAATCATCGTATGGCCCCCCAATCTCTTATCAGTTTCATCGCCGCATGTTTTAGCGATCTCCCGATAATTGGTTCCCCTCAGTTCAGATCATCATGTTAATCACGACAACCACAGCAGCGGATCTCAGCGCACAGGACGGACACAAACGCGACCTCAGAGCTCCGGCAACAGTCTCGTGCCTCCCACCTCATCGGGCGGCGAGCGATCCCCCTCAGTCGTCTCCAACCGCCGCATCTCCTTCGTCGCAACGCCCATCCCTCCCTCGACACAGCGCCGTCTTCGAGTCCCCACGAAAACAGCCTCTCTAGCCTCTGGGTTCGCATGGGATCCCAAGCTCACGAAATACGGTGTATCTGAGCGCGAGTGGGAGAAATTCAGCGAAGATGTCGTCAATGCAGCTTCGCTGCCCAAGAGGGCGAAGTACATGTGGTCGCTGGTCAGGCAGGAGGTCATCGATAAGCTGAAGCGGGATCTGGATTTCAATGGCGACGTTAAGACCGAACTAAAGCAGTGGAGTGCGCATTTCAGGCGGAAGGGATTCACAGTTGGGTTGGAGCTGCCGGGCAAAGTCAGGGAGAGGGAGGACGAGACTTTTGAGGAGCGCCAGCTGGCGGAGAGCTATGCGAAGTTCTTCAGGGTGGTGATCACGCCTAATGCGGAGAGGAGCGCCAGTATCTACTCTAGGAACTCGAGTTTGACGAGGAGTATCACGGGCGAAGGGCTGGCTACTAGCAGGAGTACGCCGAGTGCGAGCGAGGATGACGATGATGAAGAGGTGAAAATCAACAGTGGGCAGGATGACCAAGTTAAAAGTACTGATGTCTGACAGGATGGGAGAACGGGAAGGGAACGTGGATAAAGTGTCCATACGCACGGAAACGACTTTACGACTGTATCATATGAGGGCTTCCTTGATAGCCGGTGGAATTCTGAGCGTGGGATTTCTGGAGCAGATGATTTGTGATTAATTTCAGCGTGCGGTCTCAGCACTGAGAGGGTTTGGAATTGCTGTATAGCTACCTCTTATGAGACCCGATAGCCTGATGAAGCAGCTTGGTGTCTTTTATTTCCATACTTATATGGGTTTGCGGTATCAGCTGCATGCAAAGCGAATTTGGATAGTAAGTCGTAGCTCAGCTATGCAACCAAATTGGTAATTTCTTTCACTGGGGAATTGTCCAATGACATCCTCTTCTCCCCACTTACACATTGTGTCCCCAAAATACGCCCGCGTGAATTGTAAACCCATTGCATATGCCATGCCACCTGCTCTTATACCCCACGTTCTCGACATCTCAAATGGTATCATCGCCCTCAATGGCATGCCGAGTCCTTAGTTGCACTCGTATTATTTCCAAATGCCAGATACCCCACAAACGACCCAACGCCAACCGCAAGCATCACCCATCCATTATAAGTCATAAAGAGGAGCCTGTAAATTCTCCTAGTAAGCTATCTCCCGCAGTATACGACCGAGGAATAGGTATGACTCACATCAACATAAACGCATAGAACGTCTGCACCGCATAAATCACCGCCTTGATGATATGTGCCTTTTGGCTAACCTCCACCTGATTACGTCCTGTCCACAGGAAAGGCGTCCTTTCAGTAACAGCTCCAACTTTACACCCGCGGGAAAAGACACAATCTCAGCTTCATTTATTCATTTCGTTTTCCATTCATCCATAGATAGACATGAAAGAAAAGGCATATTTATGAAGTACTTGTGGATCTGGGGGTTGAGAGAGGGGAGGGGAAGGCTTACTGGGTGCGGCTTCGGCCTTCTTGTTAACGTGTTGTTCGTATCTGCGGGATGCTGAGCGGATAGCTTCGTAGGCTGCGGTGAGGGCTACAACGGCGAGGAGGGAGAAGAGGAGGCCGGGTGTGGTTTGGATGTGCCACCATTTGAAGACAATGCAGAGGTTTGTGGTGTCCCAGGTGAATAGCATCTACGATCCAAGTATCAGCTCAGCTTCCACAGGGCGGGTGGACGCCTGGCTTTCAACTCACGTTCATATTGCACATTGGTCCATGGTCCGTACCGCCATGTCCCATATCGCCGTGCCCCATCCCCGAATGATCCATATGCGAGTGATCCATACTGTCTGTAACTTCGTGCTTTGAGCTGGCCAGTGATTCTGTCGTAAGATTCGTAATCGAGATAGCTGGACTGTGGAAAATGTTATTTAGGTCTGGGCTATCTCCAGAGATAGGATGAAGATATATATCGGATCGGTCGGTACAGCGAGTAGCTCTAGCTTTGTGCGAATGACTTCAGTTGTTACACCTGAATCGTGTCGTCTAAATGAACTCTCTCAAACATGCTCGTCTCCAATCGTCGCAGCCCAGCTCGGAGCGGGCCGAGGCTAGATCTGATTGGCTTGATGGATTGCACGTGATGGGAACATCAGTATCGCTCTGTAAATTTCGATGATATTTCTTGCTTGCTGCAAACTCTACATATCTGCTTGGTTGCTATACTTTACTTCTACAGATCATTGACACTCTTGTTTGCCTGGAATACAAGGGTGTGGTTTGCTTAGAATCTGACTCTTGAGATGCTCCCGACATCAATCCCAGCCAGGTTTTCTTACTGCTGTACACTTACTAGATATGCATCCTTTCCCACAAATAGATACTTTGTGTCCAGAATGTGGGTAATAAGAGGCTCGCCTGATAGCCAATTGCAGGCCAAGTTGGCCTCGACAAAGGCAATTTGGAAATACGTCACTTCGGTCAAAACAACTGGTGGATGACAAGGCACAAGGGGCCATTACATGGTTCTTTTCTGACTTGATACTATCGAGAAAATACATCTTGTTTATAAAACCTCTGTGACTCTTGCACCACACTGCCCGCCTTCAAACACCATGTCACGAATGGGATTGGGACATAAAGAACCCAAGATTAGGTTAATCATCGACAATATCTCTCGGCAACCCACTGGGTGATCTCTAATCCACACGAGGTATCAACTTCCTTCCATCGAAGTAGGTGTACTCCATGGCATCCATATCGATATCGGTGAAGTTTCTCACCTAATTGAGGTCCTGATTAGCTCCGGTATACAGAACTTTGCCATATCTAACCATGCCTACACACATCTGGTAGACGAAAGAATGGAGTGAAGCATGAGAGGACGTACATTGATGGCTAAAATGTCATTGTCTGGGTCAGGCTTAGCAGGCGACGTGCCGTGAAAGTCGATCAGAATGCTGGTTCCGCAGTTCGTACAGAACTTGTGGGTTTTAAGCTTGGTATTGAATTTATAGGCTCCCATAGTTTCATATCCTGGCACTAATCAGCTCCTGGACTTAAGAAAGGGGGAGTATTTCAGCAAGATTACCTTGCGTAAATTTGATATCCCGACGTGGTGGGTAAACAAAAACGTAGCCTTTTTGAGTACAGATTGTGCAGTTGCACTTATTTACTTTCTGTAGAGGGAAAGGCTTGTCCAAAGTGACTGTGAACTTCACATTTCCACAGTGGCATGCTGCATTGTGTGTGTTCCGCGGTTTCTGACCTTCCCCAGAAGTGGGATTGATGTCTGACATCTTGCGCAACGGCGGCGGAGTTTCTAGCGCCAAAAAAGGTGTTCAAAGTAAAGTTACAGATACTGTATGAGGGATAAGTAGCGAGAATGATTGAGTATGTATCTGTGAACGCCGACAACAACTCTCGCGAGCGGCGTGTCTAGTGCTTACGGCGTATCTCTGACATTTTGCTGACAAACCAAGGTATTCTCAGTACAAAAACAACCCTCAGGAATCCTCAAACAGCAAACGTTACCAGGGCATGCAACGCAATAGCCTATCGGCGTCAAGGCCAGTGCAAAACCGCCAGATAACTCACACCATCCCCTCCATTGCCTTACCTGAGAATGGATATAGGTGAAAAGTGATCAGCGTAAGGCCGAGCGCAGAGGAAGAATAGTACATCTGATCTCGCCAGACAGATGATAGGCTGTACGGAGGTATGCGGTATAGACCAGGAGGGAAACAAGCCCGATTCCTTCGATGTTTCCCTATCACGACTTACGTAGTCGACGGAAGGGTAGACACGTCCTGGAGCATGGCCGCCTGAACATTCTTTTTGCTGGATCAACCTCATGAATAAATCACCCTTCAACAAAGAACTAAGTAGTTGAACAGCCCAAGAGGTATTTGGACTGTGCACAAGACGTCCATAAGTACAAGTACTTCCAGGTATGGACCGAATGGTTAGGCCAGCTCCCGAGGGTGGCCGGTGGCCGTGAAGGGAAAGCGGGTAGTCCTACGATTTCTCATCTTGGAAAGGGGACCCGGATTCCGAAAGAAATCGTATAATTGGGGCCGTGGAAATATCTTGCACGTATCCTCCCATCCCAGGTCGGTCATCTGCACAAAGAGGTTTGATGTTGATGACACTTGGAGAGTAAGAGGCGGCGGAAGAATTCGCGCCAAAAAGGCGTGGGTTCGGAGGCAGCCGGGATCTCCCTCCACACGCATTCCTGACCTGACCACAAAGAGTCAAAGACAAAGACGGGCACGGGAGTCATCGCCGCAAGGCTGAGCTTTAAAGCTGACAAATGGTGTCCGTGGCATCCTGGTCGCAGGTCTCCATCCAAGTCCTCTATTTCATTTCCATTTCCGTTACTTCCTACTTATGCTGAAACGATATCCAATACAATAGGTGAGAGGGTACATCTTAGATTACGGTTACGATTACCTATTCCTATTCCTATTCCTATACGAGAGACGCCGTTTTTCTAGGAACTTTACGGGCCAAGCACTGGGTAACCTTGGGTGTTGTCGGCCATTCGGGACCCTTTGGCCTTTGCACGCGGCTGCGCCGTATCACCCCTTCCCTGGAACTGACCTCGACCTGACCTCCCTGAGGCACCGATCTGGTTCTTGCTATACAAAATAAAGTCCTGTCCTCGATGCTTGCTCCAGGCAAACGCTAACAACTTCTCGTCCAACTACCAGTTTGTCATTTCATACATTCAGTCTTGACTGCTAATCAACCTCAATGTATGTCGCAAGAGCATCAACAAGACTTCCGATCTCCAAGCAGTCTGCTGCACAGCTCTCGAGAGCAGTGGCCAGCTTTTCTCAGTGTCATCCAGTCTCGAACAGCACAGCAAGTCTTGGTTTGACGACTGGTCTCTACCAACCTCGCCGTCAATTCTCTTCCACGCGCAAAACACAACTCCGAGATATCTTCCCTTCTCCAGACCATGAGCACATCAAGAAGACTGAAGCTGCATGGCCACATCCCCCGTGAGTTCTTCTGTTAATGCTTGGCCCCCATGAGCTCATCCCCTATTCGCAGATATGATGAACAGAAGATGAGAAAGGATATCTACTACGCCCACCGAGAGCCAAAAGACTTCTCCGACAGAATAGCTCTATTCATGGTCCGTCTGCTTCGATTTGGAATGGACACTGCAACCCGATACAAGCATGATGTCGAAGTGCCAAAGAAGGTTGGTGATAGCAATGCGGTCGTAGAGACCAAGCCGTACGGTATGAGCGAACCCAAGTGGCTCGTCAGAATGGTTTTCCTCGAATCAGTTGCGGGTGTCCCAGGAATGGTCGCCGGCATGATCCGCCACCTCCACAGCTTAAGACGACTCAAGAGAGATAATGGATGGATTGAAACACTTTTGGAGGAAGCCTACAATGAGCGAATGCACCTTCTTACATTCCTCAAAATGGCTGAGCCTGGCTGGTTCATGAAATTCATGATTCTTGGAGCTCAGGGTGTCTTCTTCAACTCGATGTTCCTCTCCTACCTCATCTCACCCAGAACATGTCATAGATTTGTCGGATATTTAGAGGAGGAGGCTGTCCTTACATATACGCTTGCTATTCAAGATATTGAAGCCGGCAAACTTCCTGTGAGTTTACTTCCGTGCGTATCTAATGACGAGAATAAGTACTGACCTATATAGAAATGGTCCGACCCCAAGTTCCAGATCCCCGAATTGGCTGTCAATTACTGGAAGATGCCCGAGGGCTCCAGAACTATGAAAGACCTCTTGTTGTACATCAGAGCAGATGAGGCCAAGCACCGGGAGGTCAATCATACTTTAGGCAATCTTGATCAGAAGGAGGATCCCAACCCCTTTGTAAGCGAATACAAGGACACCGACAAGCCGCATCCTGGCAAAGGCATCGAAAACATCAAACCACTCGGATGGGAGCGAAATGATGTTATTTGAACATTTCCAGAACCACACGCGGCGCTGAGCTGAAGGCGAATAACTACCTTACTAGGACTTGGGTAACTCATTGTGGTATCCGGGATTTACCCTAAACCAAAAACGAACACCACTCTCCGCTTGTACATATTTTACCAGGACGAACTTCCTATGTGCTTCACGTCGGCGTTCTGGTAGAAAGATCTCCTATTCTCGAAAAGTTTTAGATACCACTGGCGCAATGCAAATATCCATTACCTCACGGGTTGGATTAGGCGTTTACTTTTGTGTCTTTTGAATTAGCATATCAGGTTAATAATGAAGCGTTATGAAGCAACTTTGCCATTTATGTTTTGCTATTCAGCGTGTTGTTCTCCTATGATTATTTGTTCAAGGGATGCCAAGTATTTAGAATGAATGTTTTGCTGGGGCAATGCGTTTTACTATGCATCAACCCCCAGTTCGACTATCGATATGATGCGTCCTTGTGGCCTTGCAACCATTAAACACTTTCACATCTCTGGGTCATCTGGGCCTTCTTGCGATACTTCCGCACTGTCAACCTCAATTCAAGGTTGTTGATCCCAGAGCACGCGGATTGGCGGGAAAATATTGCGGGGAGAGGGGAGAGGTCGGGGAAGATAAGCGAGAGCAAAGTCTTGGACGACGATCAATTTGCATGTCAGTACGGTACCTTACATTTCGCTTCTACTTTAACCCGAGGCCACGAGTTTCTGAATTCTGCTCTGATCAAGAGTCAGAATCCTTTTCAAACTCCTGCGTACAGCCTTTCCCGCGAGATCTGTGGTATGGTACATCTCTCTCGGCGTCCAGGACTCTTGTACTTAGGCACCCCTGTTGACTGCAAACCCTGACAGATTAAAGCGGATAGTTCGGACGCACTGCCAGGGAAGGCAGCTCGACAGAGCAGCAGCGACCGAACCCCACTGGAAACCAATTTAAAGAGAAGTCATGTTGCCATCTTGGCTAATGTGATGGAATTCTGTGTCGCTTTAGCAATAACCCGAAAACTTTGCGTGCTCAGGGGTGGATCATCCTTTACTTTATGATGAGGGGTACTTTGTTAAAATATATAACCCCCACTATATCTGATGGTGAAGGTAGGTTCGACCACCTCGTCCTTCTCTCGACATTTTCTTCTCCTTGAGGCACTGTTCTCTGAAGCCCGGTTATAAGGCTTCGAGCCACTCGCCCATCATGTCACGACGACTTGTTCTTTCTCTTGCACTCTGTGGTTTGTTTGATTCTGTCACACCTCAGTTGTTTCCCAATTCTACCAATTCCAGTACAACAAACTCTGCTTCAGTACATTGGCTTGGTGAAAAGCCGACGTACAACTATGGCACAACGTTCGGACTTCCCTGGGCCCAAGGACAACATTATCCCGGAAATACCACATTTACTGTGTCAAGTTCATCTAATGAGCAAGTCGAACTTCAGAGCTGGGTCACAGGTCAGTGGGCAGATGGCTCAGTTAAGTGGACTGGCCATGCCATTCCTGCTTCTGATGTTCTAGCCGACAAGTATACCGTCACGGCACAGAAGTTGAAGAATACTACAACTTCTCCCTTCACGAATAAGACTGGGTCAATCACCGTCACAGATTCAGACTCCAAGGTCACTGTCAGCACAGGGAAACTCACAGCGTCATTTCCAAAGACAGGCAACGTTCTCATCGACAGCATCCAAACCAAGAGCGGAAAAGTCATTGGGAAGGACGGACACCTTGTTCTTCAATCCCAATCAGGCGTTGCAGACACATCTGAAGGCCGTGCAAACTCTTCTATCAATTACTTCAATTTCTTGAGCAAGATTGAGGAGGTCACTGTTACTGAGCAGGCTTCTGTTCGGGCTTTGGTCACTGTTCGTGGCAACCACACAGTACAGGATGGTGGAAGTCATGAGGATTGGCTCCCATTCGTCTTGCGATTCTACTTGTACGCCAATTCAGACTCCATCAGATTGGTCCATAGTCTGGTGTTCGATGGAGCTGCAAACGAAGATCTCATCACTGGTGTGGGTATCCGATTCAGTGTCCTGCTGAAGGACGAGGCTCAGTATGACCGACACGTAAGGTTCGCAGGTGTTGACGGGGGCTTGATCAGCGAGGCCGTACAAGGTATCACAGGTTTGAGAAGAGATCCTGGTCAGGTCGTGAGAACGGCACAAGTCGACGGTGATGCTTTACCAGCTACCAGCACATGGGATGTGAGAGTGTCTTCCAGACTCAGATGGATTCCAACTTGGGGCGACTATAGTTTGAATCAACTGTCCTCGGATGGTTTCACTCTGAGGAAACGAACCAAAGCTGGCCAGAGCTGGGTTAATGTTGCTGGAGGAACTCGTTCAGGTGGTTTGGCGTACCTCGGTGGTGCAACAACGGTGAGCTTGGTCTTTCATTTACGTGCTGCCTGAAGTCAATCACTTCATGCCACAATCCCCAAAGACATAGCAAGAATCCAGCACTGACTCATTCTGTAGGGTGGTCTGGCAGTGGGGCTTCGTGACTTCTGGAAACGTTTCCCCAGTGGACTTGACATCTCGAATGCATCGTCAGACCAAGGTGACCTCACAGTCTGGCTCTATGACCCAGCTGCGCAACCTCTCGACCTCCGCCCATACCATGATGGTCTAGGCCAAAATGGCTACAAGGATCAACTCGATGCTCTTGAGATCACTTATGAAGACTGGGAACCCGGGTTCGACACTCCTTACGGCATCGCCAGAACAAGCGAGGTTTACCTTTTCGGTTTCGAAAAGACACCCACGAGAGACACACTCGCAGGGCTAACAGAGTATATCCATAACCCTCCAGTTCTGGCCGCCGAGTCCGCATACCTACAAGAGTCCAAGGCCATTGGCACCTACTGGTCTTTACCAGACACCGACAGTCCCCAAGCAGCTGTAATTGAAGACCATCTTGATTTCCTATTCAAGTTCTACGAGGAGCAAATTGAGCAGCGCAGATGGTACGGCTTCCTTGACTATGGTGATTTCATGCACACCTATGATACGGACCGTCATTCATGGCGCTACGATGTTGGTGGTTATGGCTGGGATAACTCTGAGTTGTCACCAGATCTGTTCTTCTGGTTGTACTTCCTGCGCACTGGCCGACAAGATGTCTACCGCTTTGCAGAGGCATTGACCCGCCACACGGGTGAGGTAGACGTCTACCATATTGGCAAATGGAAAGGTCTCGGGACCCGTCACGGGGTCCAGCATTTCTCAGATAGCGCAAAGCAAGCCCGTATCTCGCAGCCGCAATACCGCAAATACTTCTACTACTTCTCCGGCGGAGACGAGCGAGTTGGCGAGCTTATGGATGAACTCCTCGATACTGTCAACACATACGGAATCCTCGACCCAAACAGAAAAGTCCGCACTGATGGCTGGGTTCCCACACCGGGCTCATCAGTAGCCATCGGTCTTGGTACGGATTGGGGAGCATTGGCAGGTGGATGGTTGATCGCCTGGGAACGTCGCAGTGCCCGATGGGAAGAAGCGAAGACGAAACTCACCAACACGATCAGTGGCATCGCTGCTTTGAAGAACGGTTTCGTGACCGGCACATCACTTTTTAACCTCACATCCAGCACACTTGGTCCTCCTCCAGCGGATCCCAACAATACTGGTTACGTAGCAGTTTCACATCTATCCGCTGTCTTCGGTCTACCAGAAGTGGTATCCGAGGCGATTGAGTACTACGGCTCCGATCTACCTGCTGGGTTCAAGGACGCCTGGCTAGACTACTGCTACTACTTCCGTGCTAGCAGCGCTGAGCAGATTGCGCGATACGGCGTTAGTTTCGGCTCACTGAACTTGTATCAGGGCCATTCGAGACTGATTGCGTACGTGGCGAACGAAAAAAATAATGCTACTATAGCCGCCCGAGCGTGGCAGCAGTTTTACTCATCTGATGGGTTGAAGCCTACTGCGGCGTGGAACAAGACGAATGTGGCTGGTGCCAGGGTCATTCATCCTGTCACCGAAGCCCCCTGGATTCCAGGAACGAACGACGTTGCGCAATATGGTCTTGCTGCTATTCAGAATTTGGCTTTAGTAAGAGATACTCTGGAGAGTTCGTATCCGTAAAGGCATAATGGTACAGTAAGATATATAGTGAGATACAATTGTAGGGTGTATGTAGGTTTCTTTGTACATATATTTACTTCCATGCACGCTAGATTGTACAATGTAAAACACTACTAGGAGAAATGAATGAGATCCTCATGGTGACCAGTCTCTCGTTAATGAGAAGGATTTGCAAATATTCCGATAAGCACAGATTATGGAAGGAGAATAAGAACGTATAACTCGAATTATATTTTTGCTCCTCCTCGAGCGACCCGTCTTCCCAGAGACAATTGTACTTTCGATCCGTCCCAAGTACGATCCCAAGACGCCCACCAGCTCCAACAAGCAGAAGACTACATTCCATAGCGACAGGCTGCTTGTATATGTACAGCCTGGAAGAGAATAAACATTGAAAATATGAAGAGCACTCAAGTGAAACAGAATCTCGCCGCCATTCCATGCAACGCTGCTCGCAAAACCATGCCATGCAATGCTGTCTTTCAGAAACTCAAGTATTAAATGGCCAAGTGGGGAAACGCGGACCCTGCCCACCGAAATCATATGCAGCATACGTGCAAAACTCACTGCCATTGCAAGCGCCAATTACAAATGATTGCAACCATCGTGCATGGACTCCCCATCACCAAGAACCGTCGATAGATCCAGAAGCCCCGCATATATGGACGGGGACATATAAATTAGGTTGTGTATCAAAGACAACAGGAATTGTCTATGCAAAAGTCATCTGAACATCTTTCTCCGTGCCAAAATCATCATCATCATCAGCCCAGGCATTATGCGAAAAATCCATGGGAGCGAGGGTAGCCGGCAGCGTACTACTGCTCTTCAATTCTGGTCTTTGCAATGTCGCAGCTCGATCTGTGGGTTCTGGCGTAGGTGGATTGAGAGGGGATGGTGCGCGAAGAGGAAGGTGATTGCTAGAAGTTCCAGCTGAAGGGGGAGGAGAGCGGTAGGCAGTGTCGAATGTCATCTGAATTTCTTCCTCTTCTGCTGCGTAGACTGGAGGTGATCTGCTTGATGGAATCCACTCGCTACTGGACTGGCGAGGCGAGGCAGCTGGCGAAGGTTTGCTGACTTTGAGCATCGAAGAGCCATCATATGACTGCGTCTCCCTTAAGGAAGTACGGGGATGAGCAGGACTTAAGGAAGGAGAGCTCAAATCGAGCTTCATAGGAGGGAGCGTAGATTTGAGCTCTTTCACCTCCATGTGTTCGCTCGCAAGCTCAGCACGGATGGCGTCAACATCAAAGAGAACACCGTGGTTATTGCCTTGGCCATCTTCGGTTCGGGTAGACACCGGCTCCCCTTTGGATTCTTCATATGTCTCCCATTCTTTACGTTCAACCACATTCTTCTTCTTCCGGCTGAAGAAGCCAAATTTTCCCTTCGACTCCTTTTCTTTCTCTTTCTTTTCAAGTTCTTTTCGAGCCTCTTCGATCTCGTTGATGAGTTCTCGCTGGCGCTGTGCGTGGTTTTCAGGATCTGGATCCTCGATCTCGGTGAACTCATCGCTTTCCACTAGCCAACCAACTTCGCGAAGAAGCTTGGGCATTGCTGTCCGGTATGCCATATGACCTGGCACAAGGTCTGTGACATCGACATTTTCTAGTCCTGGAATCTCTTCTACAGGAGCAAGCCCTGCGACTCGACTGATACCACCACTTGTCAAACGGAATAGGTAGCCCAGAATCCAATCATTCCTGGCGTAACCGTTGACAAATCTTCCAGCAACCACAGATCGAGCCTTCAAGTACTCATCTCTCTTGGCAACGATTGGCGAACCGAAGAGATAGACATTTTGAACAAGACCATAAGCCCCTTTCCTAGCAAGTTCTTTGAGACAGGCAAAAATGACCCTAGACCCAAGAGAATATCCCACGAAGGTGATGGGTCGCGTGCCAAGATTTCGGTCAATAAGCGAATCAGCCAAAATGAGGCCAGCCATATTCGCGCGGTCAAGAGAAACAGTCCAAGGGTTATCGATGAGATAAGCAAGTTTTGTCAAGACAACAGGTAGTGTCAAGGCGGCCATAAGACCAGTCAAAATGGTGCTTCCGAGCACTTGTTGGAGACCTTGGGTCAAAGCCTATTGTATGTTAGATGAGACTTGTGAGTAGTGAATGATGCTGACCTCTGTAGCCAAGATATTGATGGTGTCTCCCATACTTTGCAGCATTTCAGGCTCCCACAGCACTGAATATATGTCGCCCATGATGGGATCAACAGTGCTATAAGGCAATCGTACATCATCTACCTTTCCCGTCATCCATCCCGAAACAGTAACGATCAGATTCACTCGCTTATTGTTGTGCAATGGTCGGTACTCGAACGTTTTAACGGCTCCTGTTCTTCGATTCGCAGCTCGGACGGCGATGATACCACCAGAGGCCGCAGCACTGGATGTAATGATGGCAGCGCCTCCGGCTCCTGCAAGGAAACCACCTGTACCGGCAACACCGATAGTGGTAAATCCTGCTGCCAATCCAGCCCCAATGACAGGTGCTAGTAAGCCGGCAGAGAGACCAATGACCAAACCACCTCCAACAGTAGCGAGACCCATCATCATGTAGCGCTTCTTCAAAGCCAGCTTTCTTCGGCTTTCTTTATGCTCATCTTCGTTCCAATTTTCTTTTTCAGCAGCTTGCTGCATTTCTAGTGCATCTGTCACTCGCTTTTCGAAACGACAAATCTCAAGCCATGATACATCCATATTATCTCCCACTTTCTCCAGTAGGACCCGAGATCTGGAGTCATATACCGAATCAGCGATCAGGGTCAAGAACAGATCGCAAAGAACAGTCCAGCGAAGGTCAATGTCAAGGTTTGCTGTGGTTGGGAGTTGTGACGGAGTACGGACTTCTGGCAGATCATCGCCATCATGCTCTTCATATGGAGGAGGGGCTTGTGCGGGCTCTTCCTCCAGTCTGGAGGAGGATATTGAGGGTCTAGATGATAGTGACAACCGCGAACTCTTATCTGTTGAAGTCATTGACTCGGGTCTGGGCGACGAATTGCCAGGGGCAGGGGGCTCTTTCTCCGCCATAGGATTCTTAACTCGGGCGTTTTGCATGAGTGTGGGGGTCAAGTCTTTAGGGACAACGCCGTGTTGGGCCAATTGCTCAATCATGATCTGTTCCGCTGTGCTGATGTCCATATGTGCATAGAGTCGGACCATCATCTTTTGGCTCCACATCTGCATTGCCTCCGCTGATAATTGGATCTCCTTTTTGCTTCCCCGGGTATGGTTTATTGATTCGGCCGCAGTTACCATATTTGACAGGATTAATCGTGTCATTCCAACATAGGCAATCCTTTGTCCCTCAGTTAAGAGATCTTTCGTAGCTTGCATCTGCGACGTGGCATCCCGTTGCTCTTCGTCTTCTAGCTCGCCAGCGCCGGTTCCTCCATTAAAATCTTTGAATAGGTATTGAGTATTCTCGTCCAGACTCGTTGCTGATTGAGCATCTTCGTCTAGTTGAACTCGTGTATACCCCTTGCCAGCACCTCCCAGACCTTCATACACATCTTCGTCGACATCTGAGTTATGCTCTTTCGCAATGAGCCTATTGTCATCATCGTACATGTCGTATGGCGCAAAGGCTGGCATTGTCTGCCACTCATCCTCTTCCACTACTGTTGTCTTAGCATCTAATTGTGTCGTATGCTGATGTGACCATTCCGATATGCCGCCATTCTGCGAACTTTGCCCTCGAACATGTGTGGCATCCTTTGGCTCTGCGTCCACGCCTTTCTCTCCGTCCTTTCTCTTGTCACTATCCGGTTCCTTTTCTACTGACATCGCTGGCTCCGGGGGCCGACTCGTCTCTGCGGCTTTGGCAGACTCTTCCACAGTTGCATCAATCGTCTTGGGTTCCTCTTTGACAGTATCCGCAACTTTCTGTGGCTCTGTAGTAGCAGCTCTCATTGCCTCTGGGCTTTTACCCTCCCGGTCTTGAGACGTAGGTATCGGTGTTCCAGGAGGCAATGGCGTTGAGCGGGCGTCCTTGAATTCCTCATCCCCACTAGATTCCTCATCTAAACTCTCAATCTTGGGTTTCGCACCACCGATCGATTCCTCAATTTTTTCGATTTTGGAAACTTCCCCCTTCACATACCCATTTACTCCGGGCCTAGATGGTCTCTCCTCGACATCGTCCTTAGTCTCCGGTTCTACTGGCATTGCGACCTTATGCTTGACCACCGGTAGGCCGAAGTCGTCGAGTTCTGCCACAGTTGTACTGGGCACAACATGGCCATTGCTAAGAGCCACTTCTTTGTTCACTGGTTGTCCGCTCCCCGGCATATTGGTTGAGCTTTCCACCGCCTCGTGTCGCAACGGCCGCCGTTCCTCTCATCCAAACCTTCCTATGACGGGGTTGTCTGAAGCTGGAAGCGCTCCTCTGTTCGTGGGATAGGATTCGTCTCCGGCAGACGCATGCTTTCTGAAGCACTGGTTTGTGGTTCGAGGTCGTGCTTAAGGGGATGATTGTTTGAAGTCGTGTACTGCAGGGGGTTTGTTACGCTAAGTAACAAGGAGACTCAAGGTGGGGTGGGGCTTGCTGTCACTGATCGATCATCCCCAGGTGGCTTGCGGAGGTCCAAACGGCTGCTAGTAGTGTCACTGCGGAACTCGGGACATTTTCGTTCGAGCAGGTACTATCTGGAATTTGACTTGATTTGATTCTTCGTTTACTCTCATACTCTCTTCTTTTACTTGCCATAGTTTCTTGGTTGCATTCATAATAGCCAACCCTTGCTATTGAGGAAGAGAAATAGCCCGTTCAGAATCCCCAGAGCTCTTCTTTACGGGGTATTTATTGATTGCTATCAATCTAACAGTCCGAACCACTAGAACGCCCTTCCCGTAACCCCAAACTACCTAATCATCCTCCATATCAGCCACCTCTGCCCCAAGAGCTCCTCCACGCTCAGCCCCAGACTTTGGCTTCCTCTTTCGTTTTCGTTTAGCACCGTGTTCAGGTCCATCTGACTTCTCTGGATTTGACTCTCCAACAACCAATGCTTTGATCTGTTTCTGATCAAAAGGGCTCGATCCTTCTTCCGTTGACTTCTTTGACTTCTTTACAGCCAGAGGATTTGGACCTTTGGGTCCCTTCGCCTTTTTCTTCTTCTTGGGTATATCCATCTCTCCTTCAGCCCCTGCCATCTCTTCTTCGTCCTCACCATCCTCCCTTTTTCTCTTGAGACTGCCACTGCCTCTTTTCAATCCCGCCCTGAACTTTACCCGTTCCTCCTTCTCCCTATTGTCCGTACTCGCCTCAGCCATCGGCTCCATAATCATGACACTTCTATTGATATACACCAGCGGTACACCTAGAATTTCTCTCATCTGTTTCCGTACTTCCAATTCCTGGCTTGCAACAACGTATCGATTCTTATTTGTCTTGCTGCCCTTCGGATCAACTACTGAAGCTAGACATTCCTGCGTGCTCAGCGGTTCGGGGTACTCTTCTGGTCGGTGACCACACCTTCTTCGCTCGTATTTTTTTGCTTTATCAATGAGATAGGAAACGCCTGGTTCTGATGCCGCAGCGTAGAGATGGCGCATCGAGCATTGGGTGATCACTGGCTCGATTAGCAGGTACATTCCACAGCTAGATAGAAGCGCATACTTGGCTTTACTTCGCCGTGGAGCGTCCGTTCCAGTCCTCCTACGAGATCCATCTTGAATTTGTCCGCATCCCTGATCATTTGCGCATCAACTAGAGCACATGGTGAGTGTCGAACTGAAGGATTGGAATTGGAAGGCTTACGAAGAACTTGATATGGTACGCGGAAGCCATAACTGAGTCCATACCGCTGCATAAGCTTCCGGTACTGTTTGGATCTTTTGCCCCTCATTTTTAATGTGTAATGTGATTTGGTCGTCGTTGGGCTCGTTCCCTGCTGCTGTCTGGGAATTTGAAGTTTTATTTTGCGCTACCGCCGATAAGCTTATCAGTTGCCAAGCCCAGGCGCAAGGCTGAAGCTCAAGAATTGCAATGCCTCAACACTTTGTTTGCAGAACGATTCAATGGCAAAATTCAAAGGAATGTGCTTTTATTCCGAGCATACATTGAGTGTCTATGGAGCCGCACGAAGAAAGGAAGAAACACTTAAGAACGATCTGCAATTGCATATGACTTTGGTTCAGCCTTACACTCCCAAACTTCTACTGTTGCAGCAGCAGAATGTCATTCATTACCCTTGCAGTTCACAACGAATATGACAAAGTCATTTGGTCGGATCGATTTTCGTTGTCAGACGTGGCTTTCGCCGGGACACCATTCCCTTAATATGACAGTCTCCTCAGATCACCTTGGCCAGTTCTTGGGGCTGCTCTCATCCCAAGTTTTCCAGATCACACGTGTTACCTCCTCGCCTCAAGATGTCTATGCCAACTTCTCGTGGCGATATGGAACTGGCCACTCCTACGGCTAAAGCCTCATTGTAGCAGGTTGCTGTTTGTTGCCCCTCTACAGCCCATTTTCAACCTTTGCTCCGTCTGCAAAGAGCAGCAACTACACTTATATCGTCTAATTTGCCTAGATCTTGGTTAGACAGACACATGAGTCTCAAGTACAGGGGACTGACCTCCTTCCATTGCCAAGCCCTCCTCGACCGCGTGTTCCATGAATGGACTCTCTGCAAATGGGTCCGTTGCTATGACTTTGGCGGCCTTCATTAACTCCTCTGCCACAAACTTCATTCCTCCACCAGCTCCGCCAGTCCGATCGCCAGCGCTCTCTCCGCCTTTCCCGTTTTCCCACTTTTGTATGCTATCGACCACATTCTGAATGATCTCATGCTCCCATAAATTGTCAATAACTCCGTCCGACATGGCTAGCACGACATCATTTTCTTCAATCTCGACCTTGTCCATCACAGCATTCTCTCGAGGCGTATCTGGACTGTTAGTTCCTAACTGTCTTGGACAGTCGAACCAATGCCACTGTTCTGTTGTCTTGTAAATCCGGTCCCCATCTCGCCCGTCACGCGGCCGAATAACCAGAATTTGAGAGTCTCCCAGATTGGTTACGTAGAGAAGAGGCTTAGCAGGAGCATTCGGATCCGAATCAGGTCTCTGAAAGTGTAATTGCGCTCCAGTAGCCGTGGTTGTTCCTTGCCATTCATTTGGCTGCGAAGTGGCCTCGATGGTTTGTTCGTAGGCCCTTTGGAGGTAATCGATCGGTGTGGGTATGTAGAACTTTCCTGGAGGCCGTGGCCGATTCGCATCAGCCTCTGTTTCTACAGCCCAAAAATGCAGTATCAATCTTGCCCAGAGCCTGTGTGTGTCAGCATGGATTGACGACGAGGGCAGCGCTGTTCGAACCCGGCATGGCCCCCAGGTCTCGTAGACCAAGCACCAACTCCATCATCTGCCGCAATGAACTGATCGCTCGCGTATACTGCATCGTCTCCGTTCGTGTATCCTCTGATCTTCTGCCCATTGACCAAAGGACGCCGGTCGCGACTCCTATCGTGAGTGCTAAGAGGATCTGAGAAGGAGCCTGATGGCGGAGAAAGGAAGGGCGGAGGGAACGGCCTTGGTGCTCTTTTCGCAAACAAAGCAAGGCCGGTTTCGAATCGAAATGGTAGAGGCTCACGTTGCACTACAGTCTGGTCAGTACTGGTTGCTACTGAAGCTGCTGCTTGCTCTAGGCGACATCTTGAAGTGCTTTTCGTGAGAGAACGGCGGTATTGAGGGATTATGGCTCGCGCAACTGGTACTCGTAAAGTCGACCTCCTCATTCCAGCGTCGTTAGTAATTTCAGAAGGAGAAGACTGCGGGAGACAAGCAGATCATCGATGATGTTTGTTTTGAGAAGCGGGAAGGGCCCAACAGATTGTCCGCGATAAGAAATGATTGGAGCGGGCTGCTAAAGCTTGGCAGGATATTTTACTTTGCGGGGGAAAACTCAAACAGTTGGCATTATTTCAGCCTGCCCAAGTCGACCTCTCTCCCCCTGAAGGGAAGTGAAGTACTGGATGTTTTCGATCCGAATTGGCTTGAGGTTACATTAATGCTTCGCAAAGGTTGGGCATGGTCGGTGTAACACTCTGTGCAACCTGCAAGCAGGCGGGTGTCAGGCGAGGTGCGAGGCTACTGTAAGGTATTTTAGGATTTGGCCTACATCCTCGCTGCGAAGTTGCAAGTTGCATCTCATTGACGCATAAACATGCCCTGTACAAGACAGAAAGCCGAAATTTCAGTCTGCATAAGATTTACCACTTTCCTCTATTCTCATCTAATCACGTTAGATAATCTATATATCAATCCATGTACCAATTGGAAGCTTCCAAAGCTACCCGCAATTATCCCAGAGTCTCCAGAACGGAGAATGCAATTGGTTTGTGCATGAGCAATGACGACTCAGTATGACTTTTTGATCATTGGACAGGTGTCATGTTCGCCGCTTAAAGCTTCGATTCAAGGTTCGGGCGGTTGTCAATAAAAGTCAGTTCTATTGCTTTGAGACGCCCAGTTGCGTCTGAACCGAAGACAATTTAAGCACAAGAGCAGTGGTCATAGTCATGCATGATTCGATCATCTGAGAGCCTCAAGAGTCAAGAGCCATATTTGTTGCTCCAGATTCTACAGTCTGGCCGATGGACATGTAGCTATATTTCTATCGTCTTCTTGCTGATCATTCCGAGTGCATTTCCTCGGATCCGAACTGAAAGCGAGACGTCAATGGCAACAACATCGTGGCCGGTGGTGCGGTGCAACATTATCAACGGCTTTTGGAAGCTCGTTCCTGGGGGCTCCGCTCGTATTCCATCCGCCTTCACCAGTATGGTGCCTCACAAGCTTCCAAGCCTGCGGGTCGATTGGCATCCAGGTGATTTGAATTGGAATTCAATGACAAGAGACTGGATTTCTCTACTGTCCTGTCCTGTCCTTCGGCCTTCGGTTCGAGCGATCCAGTAGCTTGAACTTCGCACGCCGCGCCACATAAGTTATTTATTTATATGACGCGTCCAAAGACAGGCCAAGGGAAATGGCTCGTCCTCGTCTTGTCTTTCCGCTCGGAAGTGAAGCGAAAGCGTATCCGGCGATGATTAAGCTAAGGAAGCTAAGGAAGCTACGGAAGAGGAAAAGCGCTCGTGTGCTCGTATGGACGGACTTCCATTCAATTGACGAGACGACTCGATGCTTTTGTGGAGAGAGAAAACACACCTCTACTCTACTCTTACTCTACTGTACTGTACTGTAGAAGATTCGGCTTCACCCTTCTTTTCTTTGTCCCACCAGCCTTCCCTGCCCTGCCCTGCCCTGCCCTGCCTCGCGACCTGCGCCTCTTCCAACCAACACCTCCATCCCATTCCCATTCCCATTCCCATACCGTCCGCCGTTCCTGTCGTCTCCCGACTCTCGGCAAAAGATCTGCTAGCCCAACCCAGCCCTTGCAACCCAGCAGCCCAGCAGCCCAGCAGCCCAGCCCAGCCCAGCTGCCAGTCTCTGTGACGTTTTTGCCCGTTCAGTCGGATCAACCCTGGAGATATCTGCTGCACCAGCTCAGGCCCCGTACAGTACCTCACTCTACTCTCACTCTCACTCTCACTCTCACTCTCACTCTCGCTCTCGCCCTCGCTCTCACTGTATACTGTATACTGCACCAGACGACCACGACCTATCTCATTTTCAACCCAGCCTTCAATCTACCATCCTTTTTCGCCTGCGCTTTGGGGTCCTGCTGTTCTAGGAGATTTTCTTAGGAGCACAATTACTTGATTGTCTCACCGTCGCAGCTGCGAAGCTCAACCACGCCGCCTACGTCTGCATATGTCAATAAACTGAAGATCAACCGGATCGCCGGAAGAGCAACATTTGATATAGGAGGACAATATCGCATTCGTTACCCAGAGAATACTGCAATTCAGCCAAGATGTCAGCCCGAAGTCGAGGTATGCATGGGTTGTGGGAAAGTTGGGGATGCCAGCGTGCTGACTTGCTGTTTGACCAGTACTTTCGTTCATGTCCAACTTCTCGAACAACCACAGAGATTCGCAGAGAAGCCCAACGCCTACAGCGCCCACACAAAAGTATGAAGCTCCAAGGAGCGAGCCTGTTCGACATGCCCCTACGATGCCCGTTGGATCTTCTCAGTACAACATGGACGGGAACGGTGGCCAGCCAAGAGTTCAACGGGAACGCGCTGTGTCAAGTTCCAGGCCTCTGTCTATGATACAGACATATCATCCATCCATGATGGATGTCTCCCAGGATACTTTGCCTGAGCTTCAGCCCATTTTCACATTTCTTAATAGTCATGCAAACAAACTGTACCAGGAGGGGTACTTCCTAAAACTAGACGACCAGAATACGCGTTCGTGCTTCTTATTCTTAGAGAAGTATTGTACTAATCTGAAGCAGATGGTAGACCAAACGCCGACCGCACATGGACCGAATGTTTTGCACAGCTTGTAGGAACAGTATTATCATTGTGGGATGCCGCGGAGCTTGATGCTGCGGGTCAAGATGGAGAAGTCCTCCCGAAATTTATCAATCTTACCGATGCATCGATCAAAATGGTACATAATATCTGGTAAAGAGGAAAGACGCAAATGCTCACATATTACCAGATTGAAGCACTTCCAACTAGAGCCGACAGCGAAGCTCCATTGCAGAACGTTCTCAGCATTTCGACTGCCGGCAAAAATCGATACCTTTTACATTTCAATTCTCACCACTCGTTAATTCAGTGGACAGCGGGCATTCGACTTGCCATGTTTGAACATGCCACCTTGCAAGAGGCCTACACTGGTGCGCTGATTGCCGGCAAAGGGAAAGGGCTGAACAATATCAACATCATCATGGACCGGGCAAGAGTCCCAACTGCTGACTGGGCACGAGTTCGTTTTGGGGCGGGAACACCATGGAGGCGCTGTTGGTGTGTCATCTCACCTCCTGACGAGAAAGAGGTACAGAAGCTTCAAAAGCAGCTCAACAAAAAGAAATCAGCTTACGACCGATCCCGACCTCCAATTTTGAAGGGCGACATCAAGTTCTATGATACGAAAAAAACCAAAAAGGTCCGCCCAATTGCCACTATCAGCGATGCTTACTCGGCTTTTGCCATCTACCCTCAGTCTAAGCCGTTGATTGATGCTTCAACGCTTGTAAAGGTGGAGGGGTCTATCACCATCCATTCAAACCCACCGTCGACTACAGAAGGGTTCGTTTTTGTCATGCCAGAGGTCCATCCCGCGGTTACTGGTTTTGAGATGATGTTGCGTTGGTTGTTCCCCGTTTTTGATACTTTTGGATTGTACGGACGTCCTGGCAGATTGGTTGCCGACACCACGGATCTCAGAAGTCTGATGTTTGCAATGCCGAAACACCGGAGATATGGTTACCTCGAGATTCTTGATGTATCAAGTCTCATTTTGGAGCCTGGAAGTGCTAGTTGGAGGGAGGGGGAATGGCGGAAAAGAATGAAGGAGCTGACGGGCAAACGGATGACAGCTGTTGAAAGCAGCAGCCAGGCCAACAGCAGATATAACAGTAGGAGAAGCACTCGAAACAGTTTTGGGCCCTCTCGCAGCAGGATACATTTCGACGACGGAGCTTCTGTTAGGTCTACCCCTGCGAATGCCTGGGGCCCTGGCGGCCAAACAGATGGAACTTTTGGAATCCCACGAACGGACTCTGCTCCGCCTGGGGTCGGTGCTTTTGCACCTCCTCCTCCTAGATCCCAACCTAGCGCCCACAGTCGGTCTTTCTCTGAGAGCCAAGGACTTGATCGTTTTCGAGATCAGCCACCGTCGAACTACGACGGAATTTATGAGAATGCCCCAACACCTCCACCGCATGCTGTGGGTGTAGCCGAATCCCGCGATATTCCAGACCAGAGGTACCTTCCTGAGATTGGCTCTACGCCTGAGCGTATCAGTTCAGAGGACGAACAGGTCGCTAGATCCACGCCCGTACGAGAGCTGCACGAGCTGCAAGTCGCTACAACGCCAGAGCCAGTCGCGGCTCCCCCAGCTTTCGCCCACGGTCCTGGTGCTATGCCAATAAGCAAGCCATACCACTCACCAGAATTGCGTAGAGCTAATAGCCGCATGTCGAATGCTACACTCTCGCAGTTAGCTGGTGCTGGAGGTGTTGCTGCTTATCATGCACATGGAGATGATGCTAGGACAGATGAGGATCACAGACAGCCGTCGAATGGCGACAGAGGGGTACTGCCAGCTGCCAACCTGAATGGACTTCCTGCTAATCATGACGGTCTGAATGAAGGCTTGGTAACAGCATCAAAACCCCGATTTTCTTTCGAAGATTCCTCCCCGTCCCATTCTACGGAGCTTAATACGCCCACGAACTTTTCACAGCCATCTTCGAATTTCCCATCTACCTCTCGTAATTTGCCTTCCCCGGACGATTCTCGAACTCCACAACCTCCATCATTTGATGAGCAAGCACCGCAAAACCGTATGTATCAGCCACCACAAACGTTTGATTCCCCTTCGTCGAATAGTCCCAGTGGACCCATTGGACATGGCCATTTTCACCAGCAATCGACAGACTCAACATACAGCACCGCATCCCAGCCACGCCTCCAGACCAGTCCGAGTATCGTACGCAAGCCTCTCCCTGTCCGCAGCTCCAGTATCCAGACACCTGCATCCGCTGAAACATCAATAAGCACAGGTAGCTCAGGACAGCATGTTATCGACCAAGCAGCATTTTCTATGATCGGGCGTGACGATCACAGACCTGCTCGGGGTGCCGAAAATCAACTCTATCGCCAAAATACCGATGCCAGCAGTGTCTATGAAGACGATGCATCGAGCGCATCCCCCGATTATGCTAGTACCAGACGTTCTGTTGATACCCGAAAGTCCATCGAAAAGCCACGAGCTGGTGTTATGAAGACTGTCGGCAATACAGAAGATTCACGATATATGAGTAGCCAAGCTACCAGTTCGCCACCAATCCAGATAGATTTTGGGCCCACCTTTAATCTTGCTTCGGGTGCTCAACCAAGAAGTCAAAGTCCTGGCCCAGCCCAAGCATATGCCAGAGCGGCCAGCCCTGGCCCTGGATTAAATGCATATACTGCGGATCGATCCACACAGCATGGAAGTCCAGCAAAAAGACCTGACAGTGCTGGGGATTCAAGGTCACCAGCACGTAAAGCTATCACGCCTGAGAATGCTCATTATCGAAACAACTCCTCGGACAGTCGGACAGTGGCATGGCAACCTGGCATGGCTGCCAGTGGTAATACGGGGAGCAGAATGTCGATTACTCCAGAGCAATTTGTTCAACAGCGAGCTGCTATGTCACCTCCAACACCACTGTACGCACACCAGCGCCAGCCTTCTAGCAATGCTCTACGTGCCAATACACCGACGCCCCCTCTCGCCAATCGATCGAACGACTATATGGCCCACCACTCACGAAACAGCTCTATGGACTTACTCCAACGACCAAGTTCGCGCGGTGCCAATGTGGCTCTTGGGCCATCCGGCACAGGCGATATTCCTGCAGCTCTTTCAGCCCGCGAACAAGAGCATATCGCGAAAATGACTGGAGCCCCATTTATCAGCATCGCCCACAATAACAACCGGCAAGCGCCTGCTGGTGGCCTAGTCGGAGCTATTGAGGTGAGGGAGCGAGAAAAACAGCAAGCAAAGCAAGGCATCAATAGCCAAGCTGTTCAAAATGCTATTACGCAGAGGCAACAGCAGGCTCTATACCAGCAGCAGCAGCATTACCAGGAGCAGATGGTGTCGGAGTACCGTGCACCGCAGCAGTATAACATGGGTCAATATCCGCAGCAATACCCGCAAGCTCAAAGACAGCCGCAACAACAAGGCTGGGGGAATTCGCCGGCAGCGAGGGTATTCGCACAAGGTGGTGGATGGAGCGCGTCCACTCCTTCACCAAGCTATGCGGGGCTTGAGCAGGGCAGACAATCACCATCACAATACCCACCCCGACAACAGCAATACTTTCCGCCACAGCAACCGCAACAAGGCCGAGGCAACGGGTCGTTTCATGGCCATGGGTACTAGATACTAATTAGGGTACTTTTATTTTTCGGCGTTGAAAGAGCCCTGTTGGGGTCGAGGCGTGGCGGGTGAGATCATTTTGTGTTGCCTAGTGATGGTATCAAAAGCAGCGGTTCAGCGCAGAGTTTTTCCTTCTGTGTATTTCCTAATTTTATTACTCGTTACCACCCGGGGCCCCTATTACTATCGGGTGTCTCAGGGACTTTTCTCTTTGTATTCTTGCATTGACGGCGAACAGAAAGTGGCGTTTTCCCCGGATCGCACTCATGGTAGTGGCATTACCTATCTACTTATAGAAACAGAAGAGCACAGGAGAGGAGACTGGTTTATTAGATTGAATGGATGAACGAAAGGAGAGAATGAGCAGAGGCTTCTCTCACGTTCTTGATACTCCGTCTTTGCTCCAAATGAAGATGTCGTCCTTATTTCCACCTTGTTTTTGTCATGCTAGCTGGATCTCCGTCAAGTGAGGGGAAATTGACACAGTCTTTGCTCGATTAACATGGCAGGATATCAGTCCCTCTGTGTGATCGTATACATTCCCATGTCCCAGTACGAGGGAAACCGAAAACCGATATAATTGCTTGACATTGTCTCTGAAACCAGAAAAAGAAGAGTTTTTGTTATCAATCATTTGCTATTCCAAAATCTCAATACCGCTATGATGTATTGGCACTCACTCCTTGTCAAATCATGGTTCTTCAGTCTACCAAGTCATCAAGCCCCTATTTTACGCTCGCTAAAGTCGAAACATGATCAACAACGCTAGGCAACGGTGACAGCCCAGCCAACACTCCAGGCCATGAGAAGATAAGGAAAATCACGCGCTTCCAGATTTGCATTCAGAACAATTACTACTACCGCCGTTCCGCCTCGGCGATGGCAGCATCTATCCTTCTCTCCTCCTCTTCTAACCTCGCCATTTCCTCCGCCGTCATCCCCTCCTCACTCAAGAATGGGGATTGCATGGCCCGCGTGTTCCCCGGGAAAACCTGCGGTAAATGCCTCGCATCCCCATAGATTGGCTCATCGTGGTACTGTTCAAAGCCTTCCCCCGACCGCGGACTCATCGCCCCGCTAGATGACGTCCCAGATGTAGTGCTAAGGCCTCTGGATACCGTGCTCGCCATCGTCGCGGCAGTTGGCTTGCGTCGTGGGATGGCTGCTGCGACTCCTGCATATGGTGCTGAAGGGACAGACTCGTACGATGCAAGCGCGGAGTGTCGTTGGCTTGGGAGGGCAGTTTCGTCGATGGGCGTAGTGGTAGGTGAGGCTGTTGGGTCGTCCTTTTCGGTAATAAGGTTGCGAGAAAAGGAATCGGTCTGCATGCTGTGTGTGAGCATTACTTGTTCGGGTTGGTTACGGCGAGCGTGTTTGCGACGGAGGAAGAGGAGAGCTAGGATGAGGAGGATAAGTGCAAATGCTAGAGCACCAAGGGCTATCCCGACTTTGGCTGCAACTGAAAGTCGGACGTCGCTTTTTGTGGAATCCGTGTCGGTAATTGTGGACTCTGGTGTAATAGTCGCAACATAGTTTGGTGGATTTGTGGCTGTAGTCATATCACTAGTGGTGCTTGGGGGGAGGATCGTGGTTGACTTCGGTGAGGTGGTGAAAGTAACTTGAGGGGTTCCTTGGGGGGGCGCAAGCTCAATGAAGTTGGAGTCTGGGCTGTCGAGCACGCGCATTAGCGTGCCAGGACTGGGCAGAATCAGATCTCGCTTTGCCTTGAGATGCCCACCACCTTGAGACGTTCGTCCTGGTCCGGAAAGTGCTGACGTTGTCGTAGGGGATGTTGAGTTTGTGGTCGTCTGGTCGTCTCCAATAAAGGGTGATATCTTGAATATCGCGCTGTAGTATTTACAATAATCGCCTAATGCAGTATTGCTCGCAAAACAGAAAAATAAGTTTTCAAATGTCCTTTCCCTGGACTCATCTTTCGTCGTGAAAGCGGCATGTTTCAGGGTTTCAATTGCGCTCTTGATGGGCACTGCTGACTCGAAGGGCGTGTCGGTACATTCAGCTTGGATGTTTCGGTATATACAGATGTCTAGTTGTCGATTGTAAGCAAACCCGCCTTCTCTCACATCTGCCATGAGCCTTTGCTTACTAGACTGGATATCAAGCAATTTTGCCGTATTTGAGGCATCTATTTGCCCGTCGGTGGCATTTGTTTCCAGCAGAAATATGGACAAATTGCGGACTGGCCCAGAGACCGGCAATGTCGACAATGCAAGCTGAGGTGTGTAGAAAATTGATATCTGCTCATCCAGTTGGATTTCTGTTTTGTCGAGCCTAAACTCCACAGTGTAATCCTCTGATAACTGCCCTTGGCCCCCAATCGCCATCACAGCCAGCACGAGGCTGAGGGTTGAACATATCATAGCATTTGCCCACATCACCAAATAAAATGACAAAGAACAGTAAGATTCTCTCTAACTCAACGAAATCGTAAAACCATCAAAAGAACCAGAAAGGAAACAAAAGGCTTCAGCTCAACAGTGTGGGGAAGCGTAATATTAACAACGCAGGAAGATCGAAGGATGAAAAAGAAGAGAAGTCAGCACAAACCGGACTGCGCCCCATTGTACGATGGCTCGGATGGGCACATCGCATCCTTTTGATACGGAGGGATGTTGGTGTATCAGGCTGTCCAATACAGAGCAGGCGGCACGATCCATTGGGCTAGAGGCCCTGCAGCTGCGCTGACCTGCAGAGCGAAGGATGCACAATAAGTGCGTCGCACAGGGTGCGCAGAGAGTGCGCATAGGGTATGGCTTGGATAGTTAGTACGTCTTCCTGCTTTAGGATATAGGAGGGGGCGGGGGGGGCTTATTTTTGGGAGCATGGTCGAGTCGTGAGAGGTGCAACTTTCGCCCGATCGAGGCACGATGTGAGTGAGTTCTCGCACTTACAATACTTATAATCATCATAGCCGAACGTGCAGTGAGCTGACATCAAGTACGCAAGTCGATTTCTCCAGGTTTGAATTGGTTGACCCGCTCCAGTTTGTGCTCCCAGTATTGACCGCTTAAAGGCTCGTTCGGATCGTCTTGTTTCATGTCCATCAGGACCACGTATGGTTTTGACGCCGGATTATTGCAATGGTAGCAGAACCGTATCGGTGCTTGAAGCGCTGGCCCTTCAATAATATGCAGCGAATGCCCTGGTAGTGGGTTTTTACAATGGACCTCTGTCTGAGCTGCAATGCTGGTCGTTGCAAAGAGCCTGAGCAAGACTTTCCAGCCCAGCAATGAATAGCCTCAACCTTCATCGCAGCCTTCAGCTCTTACTCCAGGCTTAATCGGCCTTGCCGTGCCACTTTATTGCCCCTCTAACAGCAACACTGAAAATCCAGAAGACAGCTCTGATTCTAAGACGGGCATTTGCCCTAGCTCCAGGAATTCCAGAGCTAGAGGCAATCAAATGCAGCTCTCGAAATGGTCTCCGGATTTAGCTTTGTTGGTGAAATCTGGAGATGAGGCAGAGTGATGTTGGAGGGGGCGGCCTCAGAGGACCGGAATTTGAAGGTTATTCTGGGAAGGAATATCATCTCAGAGCTGGACGACTAGAGAGACGCCCATTAAAGCTGTAACACGGTTCCCATAATTAGCAAATTTTAGCAAGGGCTCATACTGAAGACTGGAAAGTATTGAGACCGAGACTGAGAATGCAGAAAGACCATAGAGATACCCAGTCTGGGCGATGTAGATAATGGGTAGCTTCTTGTGGATATCCACGGTGGTTCCTCGACGCCCAGAAGAGAAGAAAATGCCACAATCAAGGTCTCAAATCTGACAGAAAGTGATTAATAGACGTAGGAAACATTGAATTATACGAAGAGATGGGTTGATCATGGCGAAAAGTAAACAAAGGCACCCGAAGAGCGTCGGCTTTCGAAACCCGCTAACCTCCAGTTGACCTGACCCAGACAGACCCTCCCCTCCTCACATTAGCTCGACCTCCAATGCCCCTCACCTCACACTCCAGGAACACAACTCCAAGCTTCAATCAACCTCATTCCTCAATTTCACAGCCCCTCCAGCAGACCAACAATTAACCACCCAATTAAGAATCGCCAAACCCACAATGGCATCTCTCAAAGGACCTGGAGAAGCTCAACAGCATGACGGCAGCAGTCTCCGCATCGGCATCGTTCACGCACGCTGGAACACCAGTACGTTTGACCCCGCCATGCCGGAGAGCAGGCACCATGGAGGAGACTAACCATGTTTACACATTAAACAGCTATAATCGAGCCGCTTCTCGCAGGCACAAAGGCAAAACTCCTAGCTTCCGGAGTCAAGGAATCGAATATCGTCGTGCAATCCGTGCCGGGATCGTGGGAGCTTCCAATTGCTTGCTCGAAGTACATGCCCCCCTACAACTTCCCTTCCCTACCCGGCAGCACTCCTCTGGGGAATACTCATACCATTATTTTATTCTAACACCAGATCACCAACAGACTCTTCTCCGCCTCCCAAATCCAATCCACAACCTCCTCCACCCTCGGCGCAGGCGACCTCCTCGGCTCAAGCACCACAGACCTCACAACCCTCTCCCTGGAAAACAAGACTTCATCCGGTCCCTTCGATGCCATCATCGCCATCGGGGTGCTCATAAAGGGCGAGACTATGCATTTCGAGTACATTGCCGAGTCAGTTTCGCACGGCCTGATGCGTGTACAGCTCGACACAGGTGTGCCTTTGATCTTTGGCCTGTTGACGGTTCTGGATGAGGAGCAGGCCAAGGCGAGGGCGGGGATTACCAGTGGAAGCCATAACCATGGAGAGGACTGGGGTTTGGCGGCCGTAGAACTGGGAGTTAAGAGGAGAGATTGGGCGGCGGGGAAGATTGCGTGATCGGTTGATGTGTGGTTTATTCTTACAATTGGATTTAGGTGTTTCAGGGTTGGATAGGAGAGAAGGATTGACAATGCATTCAGGTAGAGAAAACAAAACCAAAGGATATCAAGCTGGGTGTCCTGAATTATATTATTACAAGTCCATGACATGCATGACTATTACGCGTGCCAACTTTGCTTTGGCTGGTTTGCAACATCAACATAGCTTGCTTACGTTGATCCAAAACTGCGATCCAATTCTTTGAACGCCATCCAATATGCTCCAATGCAGTATGTATGTGACAGATTTTACTCATCTCGTCCAGAATCTATGCACCCGACACATCATTGTGCGTATCCCATCATTTCCTTGAGTCCGTTATGGTCCTTGTCTTTCTTGGTTCGCCAGAGAGACTTCTTCTTCTCCCTCTTCTTCGCCATTTCCTCCCATCCTTCTTCATCATCTTCGTCCGAGGCGTTGGTTGTTTTCTTCACCATCTTGATGGTAGAGCCATTCTTGCTCTCCCAGCCGAGACCTGACATGGTTGATGCTCTCGCTTTGTTCTCCTGTGCTTGTGGGGGAGCTTGTGACACCGGTCTATACCGGCCCGGCAGTCCAACGTTGCTTCGCTCAGATGGAGCGATAGACGGGGCATAGCCTCCCTGGGCATGGATTGAGGGCGAGTACATGCTCCCGCTCCCACCCTGCATCCATGGCACTGAATTTGGATCCAACATGGTCATTGCTCGTTGATGGGTGCCGAAGTTATGGGAGCTACCTGGACGAAGCTGCTGGGCGCTACCAGGACGCGGAATCTCTGCTACACCTTGTGGAGTCAAATGCCCATTTGGTGGACCCTGGCCGCCAGCAGTCATCATTTGCATGAATTGCATCTGCATCTGCATGAACTGCTGCATTTGTTGTGACATTTGGATCTGTGCTTGATCTCCAGCAGTCATCATCATTGGGTTCATAGGACCCATTGGCCCCATACCATTGTACATGCTACCGCCTCCTTGTGGTTGCATCCCCATGGGGTTAAACCCACTACCCTGGGGTGGCCCGTAGTCGCCTTGGGGATTCGGACTACCTCTCCTCATAGCTCGAGAACGCTCTTCTGTCGCAATTACTCCAACCAAACCTCCAGGAGGCAAACCCCTGGGAGCGGCACCACCATTTACAGAGCCAGCTCCGCCACCAAATGCCAGAGATTCCCTGTGCATTGGGTTCACCAAACCTGCACCAACATACGGATCCTGAGGCAAGTTTCTGGCGAAGACTGGCAGTCTGCTATCCGCACCAACAACACCTCCGGCAGTTGACTGGGCTCCAGACCGAAGGTTGGGGTTGCTGGCCATATTTCTTACGGGCTGCTTGCCCTTATTAGGAAATCCATGTGCTTGCAAGATGGCTAGTGGAACTTCCTCATCCTCTTCCTCGCCGTCCTCAACACCATTGGCCAGGTTTGGACTGCTCTGTGTCGCATACATACTAGGGCGAGCCGGAGGAAGTGATTCTCCAGTAACCTTCATCATTTGCTGCCGATACACCGCCATATGGGCCTCCTGTTTGCGACGTTGCTTGGCGAGCTGTTTGTTCTTCTCGGCCTCGTCTTCATCATCATCATATGGCTCTTCCTCCTCGTCCTCGTCATCCTCCTTGGCCTGACCTCCAAAGCCCCTGAGACGCTCCTGGTCCTGTTTGTACCGTTCAAACTGTGCTGGCGTCATAACCTTATTCTGGGGGGCGGCTTGCCCCATCAACGGCGATGAAGCTTTTTCGTTAAATCGCTGTGCTAAGTTCGCAGAAGCTGCAATGTGAACGTCAAACATATTGTCCTCGGAGACTTTTGCAACAGGTTTCCGTGCTTTTGGCGTTGCATCAACAGAACCAGTACCCCAGCTTGCAATTGTTGCATCGTCCACCTTGTACCCAGAGTCCGAAGGAAGTGCCCAACTATCACGAACCTTCGACTCATAACCAGTATCGTTCATGCGTCGACTTGCACTGATTGACTCCCGCAGAAGCCTGGCGTCTTCATCAACGGCATCTCCATATTCCAGGGTGGATTGTCGTTTTGGTTCCATGATGGCACTACTACGTCGGAGTCCGCTTAGTGGCCCACCTGGTCTTTGTGGTCGACTATAGGATGCTGGGCTGTCATTTGTCGTGCGTGTAGTAGAATTGTGCTGTGGGACTGGGGGAGGTGTATTATGGGGTGCAAAAACAGGGCTTGCACCGGCCATTAAACCTTCATGAGAATGTTGGCTACTCCATGAATACTGCGATGGCTCAATCTGCTTGCTCTTGTCGATGTTCAGCGGGGAAGGTTGGTTGAAACGACTGGCAGTGAGTGAACGATTTGCAGGACCAGAGGGGGCGGTGTCCTAGATACGAAAATTAGAATTTCGGAGATTGAATGTGGACCGGCACACTTACCGGGCTCCGTGACATGGCTCTGTTTGTTTCAGCATCCATGACGGCACTCCTGCGCTTGTCAATACCATTGAACATATCCGAAAAATCCCCTCCGAGGCTCAAACCCAGATCTCTCTCATCTAATTTTGGAGGAGTTGCTGTACTTGCGTAACTCGAGGCTGTCACGGCTCTCTGTCTGCCCGTCTGCTCCTCATCAAGTACAGGCGACTGTGGTTCTTTTGATATCGGAGGAGGTGGAGTTTGCCCTTTACTGTGTCTTCCCCAAGATAGAGTGCGGCCGGCATTCTTCAGTGAGAAAGCAGATGCTGATTTTGGTACTGGAGGCAACGGGATGTCGCTGAATGGTTTGTCATGAGGTGACTTCCAGTCGTCCCGTCGCGGCAGATCCGTAGATGAAGGAGCTGTAGATGCTGCACTCAGTCGAGATGAATTATCAGTGGTTGAGATGGTATTGGTGTTGGAAGCACCACTGTCACTTCACAACAGTCAGTAATCATATGATATAACTAAAGCCATAATTCCCCTGGCACAATTGCGCTTTAATTGCATGCTTACCGATTGTAAATGCTCTCGAACATGTTGTCGTCATCAACTGTCGAGGTCTTTGGTCTCAACGGCACTGTTGCCGATTTCGCGAACTTCTTTCCCCCGTCGAATGAACGACCCGCGCCGTCTTCACGCTCGAACACCTTGAATGATGGTTCAGAGGTTGTCCCTTGAGCCACGTCCAGCTCATTCGCGGTCGATTTGCGCCGCCCGAATCCTTTGGGAAACTTCGGCATGTAGTAAAGATTATGATCGAGAACGACTGTATATCGTTCTCGAACTCATACGACAAGCAGGCCGTGCAGTAATGCAAATATGGAAGATATTATATCGTGGATAGGTTAGAATCAGGGTAGAGTATCTGCCGTATTGTTCAATCACGTCGTATGCTGTGCATCGAAACAAGTGGTACGAAAAGAATCGGGTATGTGGTCGTCAATGAAGCCTCAAGGAGAGAAAGGTCTTCTGGCTGGAAGAACCAGGAGGTTGGAATTAGCAAATGTTCAAGAACTTATGCGGGTAGCCGGTGCCTGGGACTGGTGGGTTGACCAAGTGGAAGCAATCGTGACGGGTTGCATGCAATGCACGACAACTGCCACCGTGATTCGGGCAAGATTTGTTCTAGAGGTAAGGGATACACGCCAGTAGTCGTGTTAGAGTGCGAGCGAAGGCTGAAAAGAGTGTCGATGTGACGACGATGATGATCTAAGACCCGCAGGTAGTCCCACCCTTCACATCGGTATCGGTGATGTCGTTCGCTCGCTGGTGACATGGAGTTTGGGGAGGCGATTCGAGAGGCTGAGTCGTTTGTTGATGTTGCGATGAATCCCTAATTTTAGACCGTCCAATCCAGGCTACGGAATCCAGGGTGGCCAGGGACAAGAAAACAGCAAGGTACTCACAAAACAGAAGGCAGCAGGCGTGCGAGAAACGAAGGGGGTATTTGGCGATAGCGATGGCAAAGGGAGCAGCAATTACAGTGTAGTGCAGTGCAGTGCAGTCAGCACGTCGACGATGAGGCGGGAGAAAAAGAGGAGGTCGGAGAGGAGAGGAGAGGGAGTCGAAAGAGTCGAAAGAGTCGAAAGAGTCGAAAGAGTCGAAGGAGTCGAAAGAGTCGAAGGAGTCGAGTCCTCTGGTGTGGGCCGTGTGGTGGGCAAGGCGAGGCAGGGTACGGAGGTAAGTTAAAAGGTAAAAAGTAAAAGGTAAAAGGTAAAAGGTAAAAGGTAAAATGTAAAAGGTAGAGTAGGTAAATTACCTTAGGCTCGGTAGGGTAGGCAAGGTTGCTGCTGCTCTGTGTTGGGAGCTCGTGTTTTTCGCTGAGGTGGAAAGCGCCTTTAGCTTGGATCCAGCCAGCTGTGGCGTGGACTACCCAGCAGCCGTCCCTGGGCTAGCACAAATGAGGATCGCACTTCGACAATTGGGGCGTGGATTTATGGAATGGCAATAATATTTTCTGTCCAGAAATGCGTCCCTGTGGATATAAAATATCCATGCATATCCAGGGTTCTCTGACTCTGGCTCTGGCTCTGGCTCTGGCTGCTTTCTTCCGGACCTCTCGCTTCGATCATTGCTTTTCAAATCCCAATGCCACCGTTTGATATCATCATGTTTAAAAAAAATAATCTACAGCCTCGGATCGCGTCCCCCGGGACAGAGTAGAGTCTTGCAGCGAATGGCTCCGTTGTACCGTTGTACAGTCAGAGTGCAAACCATGGATCCGGGTTGATCTGCTGTAACTCAGAGAGTCCAGACACTCAGACTCTCTCTCTCATGGAAGTCCACTTGTCCAACACACCCACGTCTGGATCTGGATGCAGCTCCATATGGACCTTCGAAAAGGAGAACCAACGTTGAAAGTATTCCGACCGGTGTCCAAGCACGCACTGTTCATGACATGCCCTTTTGGTCACTTCCAAGGAAACGGCAAGGCAGAGTCAATACAGTCGAGCATGGATCCGCCGGAATGCCGATACTAATGCCCGAAATGTTCATTATGCCCATTGCTTCATCTGATGTCCTGTCTGAAATTGACAGCTGCTTGTCAAAGTTCAAACCAGTTTGACTCGAGAAACTTAATTTTTGAGATCATCTCGCAAGCTTGTTTTAAGCAGTCGCGTCGTTCTCCTCAGATCTATAAATATAAGCATAAACCCGCATTTTCCAACTTGCCCCATCTGTGACTCCCGCTTTCTTTCCTTCATTCATTCTTTCATTCTTTCTTTCTTTCTTCCTTGATCATCCCAACTGCGACGGCCTCTCGTCGATGCCGCGATGAAGGGTCCAGGGCAGTCGACAGATCCGCGTTCCGGTATTGGCAATGCATGGACCTACCATCCGATTCCATTACTCAGGGGTAACTGCGCATATTTGAAGTTTAAGGTTACATAGGTAAATTTTATGATGACGTGCCGAGCAGGCAATAAATATCTTCCACTCCGAGCGAGTACGAGCCTCCAAATCTCCTTTATCCCACCCCTTTTCCGGAGCTTTCAGTATCCTCGTAGTCACCCTTATATTTCTTCACAGCAGCGCAATACTTTATTTACATCAATGGAGAGATTAGGAAAGATAAGGTAGAACTGCAAGAACTGTCCCTGACCCCACGTGCAAGGCAATCCCCTGTTTTCGACCCCTGTGCTTGGTCTCCAATTGAGCAATTGCACATCCTTGTCCTGCTGATCGGGTTCAGATCGGATTATCCACCAGATTCGATCGCCAAACACTCGTTTCCCTCTCCATTCCGTTCCCATCTCGCCCATCTTCTTTCGATGGAATTTACCCAGCCGAAAATCCCGTCCCACGTTCGGTAAAAGAACGAACAAACACCCTACCTTATGTAAACACAACGCCAAAGAGGCATCTAAATACTACCAACGGGAACTAGCTAAATCACAAAACTCACGTACAGCAATCTTCAACCGGATCAATCGAGTTAGTTTCAATCGCCACTTGCATAAGCTCCTGTGTAGTTCTGTCCACAGTGTCCAGTCCCCGCAGCCAAAAAGGCCACGACTTGGCATTTCCAAGACATAAAGTCACCTTGTCGTCCGAGATTGACGCTAATCATGGAGAAGTCTCTCTTCCGAGGAACACATGTCTGTCCTCCCTTGCCCCCATTCGCCCATGTATCGTCATCCTATCCCAAGTGCTCATCCCAGAACAAACCTTGGAAAGCTGCCTGCCTCGCTGCTCACTGGGAATTGGGGGGGTTCGTGAATCGAGGCGTTGAAATATTGAGTAGAATCAACCTCTGTAGATCTCAGTTCATGATCTCATGAACAAGATTACTATGGCTATGCGCTTGCGGGACATTGATGAAATTGCATTTGCTTCATGAGGGGATGGTTCCGCTGGGGAGATGGGAGGCGCCGCCCATGATGCTGGGGCCGCTGGGCGCTCTGAGGTTTTGATCTATCTGGACTCACAGATATTTTATGTATTTGGGAGCTTGGACATTGATGTGTGCTCAATGTCGCACTTCTGTCTGATTTTCAATAAGAGCAGCAACGCCGTCCCAGGCCGAGTGTCTGAAGCGAGGTTGGATAGTGAAGCTTTCTAAGAAAGCCTATCTCATTGACACCAAGAAGACGCGAGTATTCCCGACCACCGATATTTCAGAACCTGTACTAGCCACTGTCCTTCCTCATCTAGTGGTATATACAAAGCATCCATACTTCTCGGAGTGCTTAGATTTCTATCGCGCCGGCATAAGCATATTCCTTGGAGACAAAGGAATGACTCTAAAATACAATTCGACGTGAGAGAAAGTTACCCACTCCAATTAGAGCAACTTATATCCAACCACACTTCCGCAACTTATACCATTGCTGTACCACAGCCATTGTCATACAATTCAGTCGCCAGTCTACTCTCCTTGTTGTTGCATATGTGTTGGAAGATTCCAGGATGCATAATCCTGATGAACGAATGCTCGATCAACAGTCGGTACTGATTCCAGAACATATTGCAGTGACTCTCCCAAGTCATGGCTGTCTCGCAAGCTCATGTTTTCGTCAAGTACAATATCCACCTCCACATTGAGTTTGTCTCCGGCATGATAAGCTTGCAAGCCTTGGATTTGCTTGATGGTTTTAGCGAATCGCATCGTGAGATAGAGGAGAACATTCCGTTCATCGGCTGTTGCAGCTGCACCAGAGAGGTTGCGAATATGGCCAGCTGATGTTCCTGCCCAGTTAAAGATGACATAGAGTGATAGCGCAAGGCCACCTAAGGCGTCCATCCACCATAGCTTTGCGTAAAATCCAACTAGACTCAAGTTAGATATCACAAGACTTCGAAAAGAAACTTGTACTGACCAAGCGGGAATATTATACTGAAAATGTTGAAGACAACATCGGTCATGGCATCCTGTGCTAATGCTTGAACACTCGAATTCTTGATAAGGCGGCAGTAGAGCCAGCACAGGAACTTGATCAAGACAGTACTCGACATTATAATAATAGCGGGAAGTGTGAGCTGAATGATGGAATGATCTCCTGAGTGCAGTCTGCTCACACATTCGAGCCCAACTTGGAAGAACGAAGTAACCATGATGACCGAGAACACCAAGACACCGATAGGTTCCAAACGCCTTCTACCAACAGGGTACTGATACTGATCTTGAGATTCAATCATTCTTGTTGTAGTCCACACGATTGCCGTGCTGAGAAAGTCGAGAGCAGCATCCACCAGGGAGGCCAATACGGACAAAGAGCTGGTGAGCACTATAACGGCAATCTTTCCAGCTAGGAGGATCCCATTGGCTGCTAGATTCACGTATATGGCGATCTGAACGATTCTGTCACCACTTTCAACACTGTCGTCTTCCATTCCAGGGATCTCAGGGCGTGGTCCGTCAAAGTCATCCTCGTCCTCATCGTCTCGTCCAAGTAAAGGTGTGATTTCACTAGCAACTTTGTAGAGGTCCCGGGGGGTTCTCTTGACTTTCTTTGTTGTCGTGCCATTGACAGCGACGAAGTCATCGTCCTCTGGTGTGGGAGGTTCTTCAGATATAGTAGGGGGAACTTCTAAATCTCGCAGGGCTGCAGAACTCTGATGGCCACTTCCTGGTGTATTGTTATACTCATTCAGTAGGTCGTGAGGGAGAGAAGAGTCGAGGAGTCGATCGATGTAGATGTATTGTTGCACCAAGCTGTTGGTCCTTTCGTAGTACTGGCGACTAAGGTATGAGTGTTCAGTTATTGTTCCACAGCATGGCGGGGTTCCCAAAGCTTACATCGGCTTCTTCATGGTCTTCAACTGTTCCTCGGTTTTCCAGTACCTCTCTGCAAGTCACATCAGAATCGCTGACTTGACAATGGAAATTCACCATTGGCAAGTGCTCGGCTGGAAAAGAAACGGCTCAGAAGTTACTCACCCCACTTGTATCGAGGATTGCTATTCCCAATAAGCCTTTGGCTTCGCATCTGAGGTCCATTGAGAATGAGGCTCAAACGTCGTTCGTCAATGCTCTTGAAGTCGTCTCCATCATCGTATTCTCGCGATCGTCTGTCCCCCACCTCTTCATCATCCAGCGATTCCCTACCACGAATAATCGATGATGGTCGCCTCTGCATGGTATGCAGAGATTGACTCGAGCGAGACTTGATAAGGCTAACGAGAGCTCCGGTTCCATGGGTAGCCATCGGATTGACCTCTTCGTTGTTCAAGGGCAGCCATCCTCGAGGTCTCGCTATCCTCCCGTACACTTTGGGGGGCGACGAGCCATATTCGTCCGTCATTTTTAGCAGGAGCTCCTTCCACGGGCTACAGATGCTATGGAGAAAAGTTCGAGGAGAACATGTTGTTGCACAGAGGTTAGGGAACGGAGTGGATATTGTTGATGCCAAGATGTCGAATGTTCCCAAGGTTCTCTTTGTCTCAACATCGGCGGCCACTGCGCTACATTATGGCGGGAGATCAGATGTCACCCCTGCCAGGATCCACATATTTCATGCGGCTAATGAGTCGCATCCATGAAAAGTCCGATGTTCTTACCAAACAGTGAACTCTTTCAAATGGTCTGAAAGAGCTTTACTTCTGACGAAAAGAAATAAGATCTATGCCTTAGGGGGACTTAGCAATAGAGTTCACGAGTGCGGACTTCAGAAAAGTTGCCTATCTAGGAAATCTTGCCAAGGGAGCTCTGTGTCTTTAGAAAACCTAATATATCCCTACCTCTGAAATACACATTTAGGACCCTTGTACTTTGACTTTCAAAAGTCAAGTTGCGAACTCTGAATTATTTACTTCTGTGTAGTTTATAAGACTGAATCAGGTTAAAAGTGGAGTTAAGGTGTGTTTCCTTAAAAGAGATTCATTGTTACAACCTTTTAAGGTTAGAGAGAAACTCAGGTAGAAAATCGGCTGCTAAATGTCCAAATCCGAAGTATACACAGGTTCTGTGCATATCTTAGACAATCAAAGCGGCAAAGTCAAATCACATGAAAGCGCAGTTGCCCAATCCCTCTACTTGTATTAGGCTTACGAGAACGTTTAACGTATACTCTGCTCCATGTGTTCTTACTCATCTCAAGGGCGACAAGTCCACAGGCGGGAAATACCCACTCTTCTCACAAGTCTCGTGAACTTAGCTTTCGATCAGACTCCTTAAAACAGCTTGACAAATGGAAGAATGTCTTGGGGCTTCATTGAGGGGCTTCGTCCTGGAACTTCACGTTCCGATGCCTCCCCTCGAACCGATCGCGTGCTGTACCTATAAGGCACCATCATGTATGATCCATTAATCGTCACAGCCTGGACTTAAATATGCCGCAGTAGAACTCGTAAATTCCAGTGAGAAGAATTATTCTTAGAGCAACAAAAGAAGCGCTTACAAAGATTCCAGCCACATCCCAAACCATCATCACCATATCCGGGTATCATAGTTGTACTTTAACACCGTAACGCCATGCTGATAAGCAAACGGTCACTGAATATGAACCTCTACCGAGTCCATATCCCCAAGCTCCGTGTCCTCGACCTTGTCGTCAGGTTCGAGCTTATCTCCATCGAAATGAAGTGTGATCTCCTTTTCGTCTACAATATCCTTCTCTCTCCGAAACGCATCCATAATTTTCTGGACTGTCGTGTGAGGTTTGACCATGAGCTTGTAGTCCGTATATTCTCGAGATTTCATAATCAGTCTCGTTCTCTGCACCGATGCCGGTTCCGGAACTGGTTCATCTTCACTGTTCTCCCGCTCTCCTCTCTGTTTCGCTTCGTGGCCCTTCTTCCAGGCTGCGAAAGTCTCTTCCGTCCAGGCTTCTAAGTGCACCTTGCCGTCGCCGAGACTGTCCACCGACAATTTCCCTCCTCCTTCCACGCAGCCACTGCAATTTGAAAAGTCATACAGCTTATTGCCTTTCCAAGTAAGGAAGATGGATTCTTTCATCTCTGGTGACATTTTCTGTCCATCAAATACTTGCTTGTCGCACCACGCCCATCGTACCTCCCTTAATTTTCCATATAGCTTTCTCTTAACACCAACAGGCTTTGAGCCACGAATCCTGGACGTAATGAGTATTTCGATGACTGGTTCCAAATCATTAGATGTATTTTCTGTATCAAAAATGTCATCACCCTCCATATCGCCATGAATTTTGCTTGCAGCAGCGGCTTCCGCTTTTGCCTTCAATGCTGCCTGTAGCCTTTGTCGTTCCTTTGCGGCTGCAACTAGTTCTGGAAATTCCTCTTCTGACATACTTGCATCGTCTTCAGCAGGTGGAGGCGGACGCGAGGGCGGTACCACTCGTGGAGCAATCCCAAAATCCTCGTCATCGTCATCCAGAGATATCGGATGGTTCGCTTTCATATCAGGAAACCTACAGGTACCATTCACACTCTCATTTTCGGTGTCACCAGCACCGTCGCCATCGCTATCACTCAAAGATATATACCCTTTCGCTATGTCCTTTTGTGGTTTCGGAGACTCGGATTTGCGTGCACTTAGCTCTTTCGTGTATTTCGCTGAGAGTGTGGTTGGAGAGCCTCGAACTCTGTATCTTTCCTTACCCATTGAAGAATACGCAGAGTCTCTGGGATCTGTTAGAACTCATAGACGTAGACATATGGTCCGATACTCGCCTGCGAATTTCACTCGTCTCAGCAACATCATTGACAGCGTCGTCGTTTGGCGTGTGCGCATCATTCTGCTCAGACACCCGCCTCCTCTTCTCCTCCATCAGACTTCGCTCTGTCACATCTGCACTCATAGAAGACCTCTTTCGTTCAAGCCTAGCCAACTTCCTCTGTCGTCTGCGCTCCTCCTCTGCCTGCTGGAGATGGTATACATCCTTTGCGCGACTGAAGAGGTCGACAGGCTCTTTATTGTCAGGAATCTTTGCCGTAATCTTTTTGCTGAAAAGCGACTTTTTGACTTTTGGGGCGAGCTTTGGGGGAGCTGGCGTTTCCTCAGCGGACAGGTCACCGAAGTCGTCTTCCATTGCTTCAGCAACTGAGTTCTGTGCAGGTGGTTCGCGCGAAGTGGGTGGAGGTAGAGGTGAGCTGAGTTGAAGTGGGGACGGTTGGACGCGACGAGTCCTGCGCTAGTCATTTCACTTCAGCAAGACGTCGAGTTGCACTTCAATAGAAGTTTGTTAATACTTCATGTCAACCTGATTATCTTCAAAACAAAACATTCTCCGGGAATCGCATCATACAGTCAGCCACAGGACTCATTCTATCTTTTCCCCTTCTGCTTTTGCCGACCCAAAAGCTCTTTGTCGCAAGGCAAACAACCCCACCTCGGAACATCGACAGCGCAAATCGACAGCGCAAATCGACATGGAGAATGGTACTCCCACCCAAGGCGAAGGCAAGGACCCTTCAGGATTCTTGAGCGAGATCATCGGTAGCTCAGTTACTGTCAAGCTGAACAGCGGAGTAGTCTACAAGGGTATGGCCAAGCTCCCTGAGCGTAGTCATAAATACTGATGTTTGCGCTAGGAGAGCTACAAAGCATTGATGGCTACATGAACTTAGCGCTGGAGAAGTGCGAGGAGCATGTTGATGGCGTAAAGAGGAGAAGTTACGGTGATGCTTTTGTGCGGGGGAACAATGGTGAGCTATCCAACGCTCTCAAGGAAATGGCTGCTAATTACACAAATAGTCATGTACATCTCCGCAGATTGAGCGGAATTACTTGGGCGAGTTGTCAAACAAGTCAGCATTTAATTGGAGTTCTGGGGGTCATCGAGACAATGACACGGCGTTGGGTTTATCTCTTGAAGAGCTAAAAAGGAATTAAAGCTGTCCATAAGGCAAGGCAATTGGTATTGAGCCACTTGTGTTTCTCTAAACAGTGGACTTCTGACAGCTTCAGATTCTAGAGGTCCAAGCTAAGAAAGTAATGCCATGCGTTGCAACCTCTCCCTTCTCGTTCCTCTCTCCATGCTCCTTCAAAGCAATCAAAACCTCTTGGTGGAAAGACTCCCTCTTCTCTTCTGATAGATTCGCAATTTGCGACAAGGTGCTGAATCGAGCCCATATATTCTCATCGCTGAGCCAGTGGGTCCACTTGACAGATTCCTCTCCAAGTGGAAGGGAGAAAGATGGGAAGTTATGAGTGAAGGTGTCCCTTAATGTCTGCAGTGGGCTTGTGTCTTGCTGCTGTTCAAATACCTCTTTCCACTTCATGTCTCTGAATCTATCATGGCCATCATTCGTTGTATCAACCAAGTCCTTTAACTTCTGCTCCCATTGAGTAGTTGCCGCATGATCTTTGGGAGCATTGTCTGCAAAGGTCAACGTCTCCACATGTATGATGGTCAATCAACTTACAATCGTCAATATTCCAAATCATGCCAAATGCAGCTCCAGGTCTCAAAATTCTATGAATTTCCTTCAAAGAACTCTCAGTAGCGAACCTATTTATGTAAACACCAGCTCGGGCTTCGATTAAAACCACTGAGGAGACTTACCAATGAAAAGCCTGGTCCGACTCATTAGTAAAATTCCCCTTTGATACGCAAGAGACCTGAGACTCACCTGTGCAGCAACACATGCATCTCCCCAATCATCTTTAATGGGCATGTCCCCAGCATTACCATCCTCAACCTTCACCCTTTCCCCAAGTCCCTTCTCAACAAGAATGTCTCTCATCCCGCCATGGGGCTCCACAGCAATGATCTCAAAGTCCTCTGGCCTGGCAGCTAAAAGCTCGGTGAGTTTTACCAGTTCCACAGGCGAGATCGACCAACTTCGCACTGGACACACCTGCAACCCCGAGGTGGGTGAGCAGTTTGTCAACAGCTTCAGGTGGGTAGGAGGGTCGGTTAAGGTCGTAGGCAGCGGCGTTGGAGAACCCTGTTGCTGCTCTACTGTCAAGAATGAAAGAGGCTGGCATTTTCAGAGAGCAATATTCCTTCAGCGTCCTTGTATCGTGCTTTGCCCAGGTAGTCAAGGTTTGGAAATAATTGGAATTGATGATGCGAATACGTCATTCGCGTTACGGAATCGGCAACGCAAATTGCGTAGGCGATGCATTTAGTTACTTTAGCTAGTGATTGTCCAATTTAAGGCCAGAAAATCGAAATTAGACACATCAACTGCTAGTACGCTTGATAATATATTGACATGACCGCTTCTATTTTCAACCCTCCAATTGAGTCACTGCCGAATCTCTTCGAAGGGATATCTCTCTATTACAATCTAATTAATATGGAATTCCGTTGGTCATAAGTTGGAACTGATCGTAAACTATTGCAAAGTTGTTAGTAAGAATTCTCTCGAGACGATACTTTGATGTACGACTTACCTCCAGTAGAGTAACTAGAATAACTCTTCTTGATCAATCCTTTCATGAAATCAGCCGCCTCCCTCTCACTCTTTTCCAACACGAAGCGATCCTTAAAATTCTGAATGGTCTCTGGCTTGAAACATGGCAGACCAGAGTCCATCATCAATAGCACAAGCTGTGATAGCTTCTCCGCGTATGGTCGTGATGCAAGGAAGGCCTTGACAGTCAGCTCCTCAAACCATTTAAAGGCTTGATGATCTGTACGCCCACCCATCACTGCCATCATTTCCGAAGTGAGCTTGAAAGGAGCTCTCTCGAACTTGACTCCACCGGGTGCAATGTCGAAGCAGAAGCCGAAATCTATGTGGAGGATGTGTCCAGCATCGTCAATCATGATGTTGCCATTGTGACGGTCCTTGAATTGAAGCAAAAATGAGATAAGTGAGTAAGCAGCCATGCTCTTGACAAAGTTACTTCGTGCCTCTTGGAAGCGCAGTGAATCCTCGTTGCCGTACTTTGAGACGAAATAATCATAGAGCCCGTTCACAGCTTCTCGTCCAACCATATCACGAGAGATGGAATTTGGCAAGACATCAATGACACCACAGCCCGGAGCAGTGGCAGTGACCCGATACGGAAATACATAAACATCAAGGCCAACATCATGGAAAATTCCTCGGAATGCTGCAATCATTTGAAGAGCAAGGACATCCTGCCGACAGTCGTCTCCAACCTTAAAAATAGCAGATTGCCAGACCTCGATAGTGTTGTCCGTTGGGACTGATGCTGTCTTGTTGGATTCTTCTAGAAGGTCATCGGTGCCTTCCATATCTCCCTTGTTCTTCTTGATCCGAAACGTCGCCATGTAAGGAGCTTTAGCATGGCTCTGAAGAGGCTTTCCAGACTTTCGGTCGATGCCAATCACAACTCCGTCCGGGTTACTTGGCAAGTATACCCCAACTTCGACCTTGATCTTCCGCAACTCTTCCTCAATTTTCTGCTTCTTCTCTGGCTTTGGTCGCTTAATGAATGGCTTGAGCTTGCCTGAGATGCTAGTAACTTCGTCGAAAAATGTAAATTCTCGTTCGTAAAAGACCTTATCGACTCCGGAGAAGCCATCTACCATGCGAGTCATGACCTTGTCAAGAGTTGGCTTTACAGCATCGGGCTGATCGTTATCAGTAAAAGCACTTTCCCAGTTCTTGCTTTGAGACTTACAACTGTCGAGTCCTCGTCCTTGAAGGCATTTGCCTGCATGTTCCAAATGATCTGGTGAGCAAAAAGCTGGGAGAACTTGGCTGTCTCAAGGATGTATCTCTCAACATAACCAAGAGCATCGTAGCGAAGAGCTTGCACAATCTGTGGGACGTAAAAGAACGTCACGTCCACTGAGTGACTTTCCAAAGCTCTCATTGCATACTGCAGAACGAATGGATGGTTTCGGTATGCAGGCAAGAAGTAGGCCGTTGCGCTGATTGGGTTTACTGGTGACCAGTACAGGAGGTGCTATTAAGATTAGTAACAATTTGCAAGCATGAGCTGAAACAAATGGACTGACCTTAAGCTGGAAGGAAACATCACTAGGCAGTGTCTCTCCCAACAAGATTTGCACTGCCTCCGGTTCCGAGATAGCTTTATCAGGGAAGTTGAGCAGGAGCCATCGAACTTCCTTGTGCAGTCTCGCGGAAGGGAATCTAGCTACCAGCTGAAGAGCCAGAGACGCGCTTTCAGCCCACGCAGTTCTTACAAGACCTGTAAGAGTAGCCTGGAAGTATTAGCAAAGACTGTTAACCTCGAGAAAGTGCCATTCACCTCCGTTGGACCTTTTCCAGGCGGTGCTGGAACATGGGCCTCTCGCATCTCATTCAAAGGATGTAGCCACACGGTGAGTCTGAGCAACTCGCTTTCGATCAAAATCTGAAGTAGACTCTCCTTTGCCTGCAGCGACTTCATCAAAGGTGTCGCTTTTTCCCCAATCATCTGCACATTTCGCAATGCCACAATGACATCTGCGAGCAGACGAGTTTCAGCTTTCAGTTGCAACCTGTTGCCTCCGAAAGACCAGCATGGAGCGAAAGTAAACCAGGTCAGAGCTGCTGACAGGATACGATCCTTCAATAAGCATCTTTCACGGAATCCCAGAGCAATGCTGTGTCTCAACACCTTCAAGGCAAACAAGATAATCTGGAATCGAATCTCACGTGCGAGAGGGTGGCCAGTGGCATGTTTGAGACCCTCGAGTGTAACATCCAGAAGTCTCAAGAAGACCTTTTCAGTATTAGGGCTACCTAGACGGGTAGCATTGAAGTGACTGCCGAGGAACTGTAGAAGGCGCATGTGAGGCGCAAGTAAATTATGAGCAACCTGCTGCTTCTTCAACAACGTCGGCCTGTCACTAGGGGCAAATTCTTCCTTAATGTAGAAGGGATCGGGATGTCTTTCGAGGAATTAGTGAAGTCCCGGGAAATCGTCTTGGAGCCAGAACTTACAGAAATCTGGAATTGAAAATTCCCAGACCTTTGTGGACAGTCGATTCCCACTGCTGGGCAATCTCCATGAGAATCCGCGGTTCCATACGCGGATTCTCATTGATTACACCTAGCCATAGCGAAATGCCAAGTTTGATGGACTGCTTAGTGAATATGGCAAATGGAATTCCGACCAAGTGATGTACGATCGCGCACTCGTCCTTTTTTGTCCTGCAAAGTAATGCAGCAGCTCTTCTGAGGATGTCACGAAGCTCACCGACAGGAATAAACTTATGTTGGAGGGTGCGAGCTTCCAAGTGAGCAAGAACAGTGCTTGCATCTTCGAAATCCTTGTCTGTTTTGGAAGCCACTGATTCACGTCTAGTGTCGAGGTGCATGAACTGTAGCCATTCCGCATCATGATCAGGAAGTGCTTCCGCATACCGATATTCTTGTCGAGTAGTGTACTGGGCTATGAAATCCGAGGCGGTGTTGATATTGCAGTCACCATGTCGATCTATCGCACCAAGACGTTGGTCTGAACCCGGTATAAGTCCTCCCATTTCTGCAGCAAATGATCTACCAAGGGATACATGGCCATAAGCACCCTCGTCATCGTACTCAGAGAGATAAGTCTGCAAAAGGCCTTTGACGTCCTGAGGGGCGATATTGATCACTGTGCTAACCCAACCGCGAGCTTTCTTGTACAAGCTATTCAACGTCCGGCGGCGAAGGTCGAAATCATCAGATAATTCAATCGTTACCTTGCCTCTAGTAGACACGAATGATGACTTCCACTCGTACTCATCTGTTTCTGCTTCCAGACAGCTAGTCCACATGAGTGACAGGAGCTCAAGCAGTGCGAACAAAGATGACTTGTGGCAGAGAGCAGATGGAACATCTCGAATAATCCGATCTGCACAAATCATTGCTGCTTGTTGGACTCGTTCGATGCGATAGCAGCAACCAGTGAAGATTGACGCCAATTGCTTCGCAACATAAGGGGCTGAGAAAGTCGGGTTGTGGCCTGTCATGGTCTTCTTCAAATATGTGTCCATCACAGCAGAAGTAATGGATTCCATCGTACTGCTCATCTCACCTTTCCGCATGCTAGGCTCCAAGAAATACGTCAAAGCCTTCGTGCAGTCTCCAGAATCGGCTCGCAAGGTCTCGACCAGATACGCCGCCTGAAGAAATATGACTTTTCGGTAGCTGAGTCCTTTGATATCCGACGCTTTCATCGGGAGGAGAGCAGTGAGTCGCTTTTTCTGCATTGCTTCATGATCAGAGCTCATGCCACGGCGAAGAACAGTATTTAGTTCGATATCACTCTCAACTTGTTCGCCTCTCTGCTCTGCCACGAGAGGCTGGGAATGGATGGCGATAAGTCGCAATTCGTTGATATACTTCTTGCCGCGTTCTGTGTTGGTACTGAAACCATGTACAACAATATTGAACCAAGCGTCTCGAATAAGTGACAGCATCTCCTCGCTTAGAGTCTCATCCGTTGCTAGATCATTACTGGACATTAACAAGGCAAGCGGCTGGAGTAGTTGAGCAATCTCGCGTGCTGCAGCTTCGACATCGGCCTCGCGGGAGTTTTGAGCCTGGTGGACATCTCCTAGGCTGATTATTGACTCCAATAGATGTTCTAGATAGATTTCATAAAGCGGAGACTCCTTCTTTAGGCTGCTTGAAAGGTAGTCTCGGCCTCTCGTGACCTACATGTGTTAAATTGAGACCGTCATAGTTGAAGTTGAACGTACAGCATTTACCAAAGCCTCGTTATTCTGCATCACTCCCTCGTGGCTTATTCTGGCATAGAGCTTGAGCATTGAGCGGAATTCCAGTTGACCTCCGTTTAATGCCAATGCTGTGGTTTCCGTGATGATCTTGGCGTCGACGGATTTGCTAACCTTGTCAATCTTTTGCAAAAGCATAGACTGGGCCAAGGCAGTGATCTTGGGATCATTGCAGCAATCAGCCACACCGCATATCGCTTGCACAACGTTTCCATACACCGCCGATGTATCTTCATCGCCCGTTATCACTAACGATATAGAACTACCCGTAGATTGCTTTCCGTTGTAAAAGGTGGAATTTACACTACCATCAAGGCTCAAATCGCCGTTAATACCACCAGCAAGCGCTCTCTCATTGCTTGCTCCAGAGCTGAGAACATTTCCAAGAGTATAGAGGGTTGTGATGACAGCGTCTTGCGACAGTATCTGCAGCACATACGCCAGGCACGATGAAGCAACAGCAATAGTCTGACCTCGAGCACCACCTTGAACGATGAACCGTGGTAAGAGACGACTGACATTGGGAGCGAATCCGGGGGAAAGTTTGGAGATGAGGGCCATAGACCGAAGAACCACACTAGCAAGGGTCTCATCGGCCATTTGAATTGGGTCTGCAAGGGTATCCTCTAGCCAAGTCATCAAGGTATCAGCATCTGCAGCATCTTCGTTGATCAAAGCGCAGTTAAGATAGCTGGTCAGAGCCCCAGACTTAACAGAAAATGCTAGCCTCTGTTGCCATGTTGACCCAAGTCGTAGGTAATCCGCTCCATCCTCTAGAAGGCTCATCTCGTCAGCAGCGATATCCGCCATGGTCTCAATAGTTGCAAAATCCGGTTCGCCAGCCCCTGGAGAATCAGGTCTGGAAATTCCAGTACCTGACATTAGTAGATCCAAGATATCACTTCCTCTAAGAACGTCGATATCAGCAACTAGCAGCGAAGTACCCGCGACCAAGAGCCACATGAAACTTCGTTGCAGGAGCATAGCTCCAAGAGGTCTTCCAATAGCCGCATAATGTCGAGCATGTCGTTTCCATTCTTTGACATTGCTATGTTGGGAATTTGAATTGCGAATGGTTGAAAATGCTGTCTCAACAGCAACTAAGAAGCCTTCGGACAGGACACATTGTACCCGCTCTATCAGAGCGAGTCTCTCCGAAGGTGTCCAAAAATTTGCATAAGTGGCAGCTGCATCAAGAAATCCTAATATGGAGAGCGTCAGGCCGGCAACATGAATAGCATCCTCAACCTCAGCAGAGTCGCCCGCGACATGGTGAGAAGATGCAGACTCAGCAGCATCTAGGCAATGCCGTAGGTAGTTCCAGAGTCTTTCGGCAACTGCCTCCTGGAGGAACTCGTGGTTTATACCGAGAGAAAGAAGAGCCGTCGTAAGGTTGTAACTTAAAGCTTCAGTAGGAGACGGTTCAATTTCTCGGAAGAAAGGGGACGGGACAAAGGCTTGCGTATGCGCTTCGAGGATGTAAGGAGAGAGCTGTTCTGCCAGTTTTCTCGCACTCTGAGGCGTTTCCAACAGAGGAGCTGCTTTGCAAAGAGCCAGCAAGACATCGAACTCTCTTATGTTCTATAGGCAAATCAACCTTCGTCCTTTAATACACCACCTCACATCCCACAACAACCATTCGTACCATAGGTGACTGTGCCAGTGATCCATAACTCCCCTTTCCAGTCCCATTGGACTTAGCAGTAGGTTTTCCTGGGCAGCCTCTGGAGAGTCGCTCAAGATCTGAATTGTCGAAGGTCGCGGTGGATGACGTCGCGGACAGCGCAGCAATTCTCTGTAATGCCTTACGGCGGATATTCCTCGAGGCACTGTTGTAGCGTTAGCAAATAAATCAAGGATATGTACGAGATAAGCTATCATACGTATCCATGGTGAAGCTACGATTCTGTCCTATCTGGCGCAACTTCGAGGCTGTGGTGGACTCTGCGAATACCACATGAAGGAGCTACCCCTGTCACCTAACAACGCTAAAACTAAGTTGAGGCAGGCACGACAGGCTGCGAGGACGCGTGAACCTCAAAGCTCTTTGAGCAGACAGTTCAACGATACCTCACCAAACCTCAGAAATCCACGACAACAACCTTTACACACCCTTTCTAACCTCACATCTCCACCTCTTAGATTTGGAGTCAAGATGTCTGCCATGTTCAGCCAAAATTCGTTGATGAACGGCCCAAACTACTCCTTCAACCAAGCTCCATCAGCCGCTGCTGGCAACAAACAGCACGGTTTCTATCCGTAAGCTACCAGCTGATCGAAGATTTTTATTTTCGCATTTGTTGATATATTATCTAGTTATACTGACAATGGCGGCTCCACCCTCGCGATCTCCGGCGCAGACTTCACCATCATGGCAGGCGACACTCGATCCACATCCGGCTACAACATCAACACCCGCTACGCCCCGAAAGTCTTCAAGATCGGCGGAACGACCTCATCTCAAGACGATGCCACGCTGGTTCTCTCCGTAGTAGGATTTGCTGCAGATGGGGAGGCTTTGAAGGAGCGCCTGGATGCCATAGTCAAGATGTACAGATACCAACACGGAAAGCCCATGAGTGTCAAGGCCTGCGCACAGAGATTATCCACCATCCTATACGGCAAGCGCTTCTTCCCATACTACGTCACAGCTATTCTGGGTGGTCTAGATGAGGAGGGCAAGGGTGCGGTATACTCATATGATCCGGTTGGCAGTTATGAGCGGGAGCAGTGCAGAGCAGCAGGTGCGGCAGCAAGCTTGATCATGCCATTCTTGGACAATCAGGTCAACTTCAAAAACCAGTACATGCCGGGCAGTGGGGTCGGGCATGCGTTGCAGGAGAGAGAGAAGATCCCATTACCGAGGAGCGAGGTCGAGGACTTGGTCAAAGATGCATTTGATAGTGCTGTAGAGAGACATATCGAGGTTGGCGATGGTCTACAAATGTTGATCATCACAAGCAAAGGTATTGAGGAGATCTACAAGCCGCTCAAGCGGGATTAGATGGGTTGGGCATGGTATGGCGCGTCTGGTTGGTTGTACATTAGCATGGAATTTGAGCAAGCAGCTTTGACCGAGACCACGACCATTGGAACTAAACATGAAGTGCGATAGTGCCGAATCGTTACTCGCTATCGCTACACAGCATGCCACTATCAGAAGCTTTCACATCACAGACGACGGAGCTTACTACAAGAGGCGCATTCTTTAGAGTTGAATTCACAGATACTACCGCTTCGCAAATACCGCTAACCTCGCATCATCCACTCGTACTCTGACCAAGGCCAGGATGTAGTCATAGAAATTTTATGCAAATCCAATCGGCATACTAATATGGAAGGGAGCCACCAAAACTCCCATCTGAAGCTCTCTGGGAAGCTCCAGTTCGCATTTTGAGTCACCTAAACAAACGGTGCGATATTTCCCTTACCGCAACGGCCTTAAAATCCTCGTTTCCCATTTCCAGGTCACTTCCACAAACAGCACCAGCTCAAAGTACAGCAACCCCGTAGTTCTCTCATTAATCAAGTATTCGCCACCATCCGTGTCAACATCTCAGCCACATCACTCCCGTCGCTTAAGACCGAGTGGCGCAGACCTCCCCTTCGTGTTTCTGATCACACATGGGAAAATGCCGTGTCTAGACCCTCTTTCTCTATCCGATTGCGATATACAAACACAACGAGGGTCATACAGGAACGATCTGTGCCCAAAAGTTTCACATAAAGCATCTAGACTCTACGTTCAACTGCCGTGTTCTTGCCACCGGACACGGCGAGCTGATCTGTCTTTCACAAGTTGCAAGTATCTCCCCGTAAACAAAGGCTCACGATTGGTCTTCAGCCAGTGGAGACTCTGTGGAGACTCTGCATATTCGTTAGCAACTTGTCGTTCACAGCTGGTGATTGGTCATGTGCTGCCGCCAGAGGAAAGTCATTAAATTGGATGCAGGTACGAAGGGTATCGAGATTTCAGAATCCCATATTCTTGCACTCCAGCTACCCTGGCTAGACTCCTGTCTCTGTGATTCTAGAGCTCCATGGAATCTTTAGTGTGAGCTTGTTGATGCTGGTCTATGTGTGGAGACAACGGTCGCTAAGTGTTCGGAGAGAAGGGGAAAATGTTACATGGCGTATTTCATGGGAAGTCATTTGTGTGAGAGACCAATGCAGGCTGAAGATTGGTTCCTTTCCGGTAGGTGATTCACCTTTGTAGCCAGGATATCTTTCTGTCCTTATCGAGCCTCTGAATTTTCCCCATGGCTCTACTGTGTTAATGCAGCAATGACCAAAGCGATGACAAATGAACCTACTCAAGTTAATAGAGTGAGGCCGAGTCACAAGCACGTCTACTCGGTGCATTCATGGCTCATTTGAGGGAGGAGAGCATCCCGGGTTGAGTCCCTGACAGTTTTGGAACCAGAACCAGGAGGCTGCCTGGATCGGCGATCGTGTTAGTGAATTCGCATACCGAATGTTGTGTAGCCGGTGGCGCAATCATGGCGCTCTCTATCTCAGATACTCCTTTGACGTGGAGATATCTTCGATCAGTAGCTATCTTCCCTCAGCGGTTGAGATATATTGTGGAGAAGCATTGAGAATGTTCTCGGTACGAATCGATGCTGTTGGGGTCCTGTGGCAGACTGAATGGGTCACTATCGCTAAAACATGTGTCCCGTACCTCCCGTCCGTACTATGGAACTGTAATTTTTACCATATTGTAGTATCTGAAGATGGATTGTAGTAAATACTGCAATTCCAAGAGTGGGCGGGAAAACTGTAGGTTGGAAAAGGTGTCACAACCGTAGTCAAGCACATGCACCTTGGCCGCGAAATCAGATGTCCTGGACAGTCTTGGTCACCGCATGACTGACCAGCTACCTGGAGGGCGAAGACACTGTCAATTTCTGATCAACTAAAATCAAACAGCCTGGACGATGAGATGCGTGTGGGGGCTGGGACGATAAGCACAAGAGTAGCGTTGCGCCATCACTGCATTCATGGCTCTAGACCCTCCCCAGAACGAAATCACTGCTAGGTACCATGTGAAGCTATAAGGTCCTTTCTAATCTGAACCATGCCGACACAACAGTAGGCCAAATGCTCGTTGTGCTCTCTCGATGTCACTTCTCGAGAGTAGTATAAGACTTGTTCAGACAGGTGTGCAGCATGAGACACTTTTCAGGGGTTCCCAAGATCAAAAATGTCCAAGCATTGCCACATTTGAGGCACTAGTAGCACGTTGATAGATTCATAGGAATATTGTCTCAACTTGAAGCGTCAGGAAGAAAGGCCTCTTAGGTTCCCCCGAAAGACCAAGGAGATCTGGACATACTTCTGTTGTTAGATTTAATCTGAACATAGCTTGAGAAGAAGTCCTGCGCTCCTGCTGCCCCATTACTGAGTATTCCTTTGGATTTCTTTACATCACCTCGTCAACGGTCTGTGACCCTGTAAGCCGAGTTCCGGTGTTTAAGCCTGCAAAGTTGCTGCGAACTGAGCAGTGTCGGTCTTATTTCCAGATCAGCACCATGCGTTCCAGCAATGAACGGTGTGAGGACGCTATGATGAATCTAGCTTCAAGCTTCTTTGATATCCAAAATCAATAAGCTAAGCTTAGAGTGGTCCAGGATATCTTTTGCTTCATGATAGCAAGTCTTCTGAATAACTTGGGTGGCTTCACATGTCCTTGAGAGACCGCTTGACGACTCGACATTGATCAGAAGCGAACAACAAGAAGAAGACATACCAATGCCTCATGACCTTAACTTTCTGCTACCAGGTAATCAATATAGAATCATGCTTACGGCGGGCGCTTTACCGAGCAACTCAGGAAGAACAACAGAGTAGCTAGAGCAAATAGAGGCCAAATGGGTCGATGTTTAGGTCGCCAAGCGAGCCGAACTCCACAGCTCGCAGCTTCTACTGTGTGCGGAAGCTCGCTAAAAGCAGCATGCAGTGGCAACCTTGCTCCATGTCCATACCAAAGTTTGCTTTTGACTACTGTGGATAGCATAGGCATCAGAGCCCAGCTGCTTTCCACATCGTAGGGGTTGAAATGGAGAGTTCCGTACGTGGCATGCGGGTGCGATGCTCCGCGAAGCCACCTGTAAGAGGACGCGTCAGATTCATGATGATCGAAAAAGTCTGTCGGCACTCCAAAGGACCTGGACTCTGGAGTAACACGAAGATCTCTGCTCCAGACAGGGCTGAAAGTCCGTTGATCGTTGGCACAGCCCGTGTGTGGCGTGTTGCGAAGTGGACCGATCTGATCCAGGGTTCTATCAAAGGTTTAACGCTGCCGCCATACTTGTATGTCTATTCTTGTAGCTCAGGTTCGTACATTGTCGATCAGTCGCATTCTCGCTGAAACCGAACAATACCATTGCAAGGAGAGGAGAGGAGCATAAGCACAAGAGCCTGCAGCGCTGCATACCTATGAGTGACATATCGATTTGGAACTGCCCTATCGTATTGGGGAAGAAGGATGTTAGTCAATTGGTATTTTTTCTCTCGAGATACAGAACGTATTGACGACTCTGTAAGCTCTTTCGGAAGCCCTGTGGAAGACGTCTCGGAACCTGAAGACATTGCATCATTGTGGCTGGTTGGCTTGTGGCTTGCGGCTTGCGGCTTGTGGCTCACCAGCCGTTTGAACCTTCAACTCAACTCGACTCAAGCAGTCAAGCAGTCAAGCCCCTCGCCCTGTCAGATTCAAGGGTCAAGGGTCAAGGGTCCAAGTTCGCCAAGGCTTATTCCCACTACCTTACCTTACAGTAGGACCTCGACCTTACCCTCCTCACCCTCCTCGCCCTCTTTGCCACTACTGTAAGACGACAGACCTTGTAATTATAAGGTAAGCTTCCAAGAGGAGACTTTTTGAAGACCCTGATCTCCCATCCGATCATCATCGCCGCGTGATATTATGCCCTGCACCAATTACCAAGTATTGGCAGAGGCAGGCTGCGCTGCTCCCCTGACTACCGACCCTGTCTTTTGGGCTTGGACGTGCATTTGCCACTTGTATCGATAGACACCGCCGTGGAGAATGCATGGAGCGTACCGGGTCCCAGGAATCTTGTGGTCTCACAATTTTGTATGCACGGTGTATGCAACTGTATTTACTCATTTCCTCCAACACATCCACGTACTCGTCGTCTAAGAATGACCGGCTTCAGATGAGCATCAAGTCTCTGAAGCGCTAGGAGATAGACCGAAGCACTTTGAAGTCGAGTCAAAGGACTGGAATAGTTCGTACGAGCGTTTCTTTGCGTGTTTGCATATCTCAAGTCGATCATCGATGAAACACTAGACGCAGCCACAGCTAAAATGGAGCATGAGGCAGATCTCTTCTGCAAATGTCCAATGTTGGAACCTCTTTGTGATGCAGCAGCAGAAACAATAGTTGGAAGATGTCCTAAAAGGGCAATATACTTAGACATATTGTAAGTAGAGTACGTAGAAATGTCCAAGAAGACAAGGTAAACTGCCACACATTCATCTGCAACAGTGGCTCATAGGGTGAGCATGTACCATTTTAGCGTTGCCCTGTTTACCGATGGCTTCCGAGTTGATTGACGTCTCGCGGATAACAACTGCCGTTGGGCCCTTGGCTCGCCACTTACTGTTTATCCCGGAGCTGCAGAGCATATGCTTGAGTCAGTGGTAGTGCGACTATGGGGACAGTTGTCTCTTGTACGAGACGCAGAGAGAATTAAGCAGAAGTACTGAGCGGGGAGGATGAAGAGAGTAACGAAGTAACGTCAACCCCATTGTTAAGACTGGAGCAGGAGCAGGATCCAAGCGACTCCTCCTCCTCCCATCGCTAAGCGTAGCGCCCCTGTCTATTTAGCTTTTTCGAGGGCTACATTAGCTCACTACAGGGAGGGACTTTTGCCACTCAAAGCCACCAAGGGAAAGTCATCCCCAGCTGTCTAAGTTAATGCATGTCTAAGAAACGCAACTTCAACAGTTTAATAAGGTCCGGGCCAGTCGAAAGTCCTGTCAATGATCTATTTCTTTACAGCTAGGTAGGTACAGTATTACGAGTGCCAATATTCACATGCTTTGCAGATGAGAATACCGAAAGTACAGTACAGTTCCGTAGGTCGGTAGCGAAACATCGTCAAACTTTGACTGGTAAGGTAGATAGGTAGGTAAGGTAGGTAGAACAGGTGCCTCGCTGCCTCGGTAGGTTTAGCCTGTCTGCCTGCCTGCCTGCCTGCCTGCCTGCCTACAGTACAGGTACTGTACGGAAGGTACCAACTTTTGCAGTGCGCACTACGATCGCCACCAACCCACCACCCCACCCCACCCCACCCCACCGGGAGCGCCTCACCATCCCGACGGTTTCTGGCGTGCCGTTCAGCCAGCCAGTAGATAAGCCAGTAGTCCAAGCCAGGCCCGGCCAGAAGAAACAGAGCAAGAGGGTCACTAAGAAGTACTGTAAGTTACTCTACTGTGAGAATGGAACTCGCTCCAGAGCAACGGCTGATTAAGGATTAAGGATTAGGGATTGAGGATTAAGGATTAAGGGTCGACGGCCGAGTTCAGGGTCGCTGGTGCTGGTGCTGGTGCTGGTGGAGGGTCGGTCGGGCTGCTAATTGATTAGCCGCTGCAGGTGCCTGTATCTGGTCCCTGCTAGTGCCGAAAGTCATGGAGAAGTGAGAAATACCATTCATCAAGATGGCCAATCCGAAAAAGCCGCTTCGCTTTCCCCCCGCAGGCGAGCGTCCCAGCGCTCGCTTTCAAGCCCTTGGTGCTACTCCTGCTCCTGCTCTTGCTCTTGCTCCTGCTCCAGCTCCAGCCTTCTTCCACCGCTGTTGCCGAACTCCACACGGCACAGATAGCCAGAGTCAGGCTTGTCACCTCATCCCACTGACTTTGACTTACGACTTTCCCTTCCCTTCCCTTTCCCTTTCCCTTTCCCTTTCCTGCTGGGAATGCCATCCATATCTGGCAATAATCGACATGCCACATCGGGGTAGGCAGGCAGGCAGGCCAGGCCCAGCTTGCCAATGTCAACGCTCCGCAGGGGCTTGCCAGTCGCGAGCGGCCCTTGGCCCTGGCGTTCACATCGCCCTGGGTGGGTCGGAGGGTTCTGCGCAAGACCCTGCCATGCTGCCATGCTGCCATGCCCTGCCCTGGCTTCTAGGGCTTCGTGGTAGCTAATGTCCTGTACTGTTCAGTAGCTAGGCAAATGGGGGGCCGGTCTCGATTGGCCTGGACAGCCTGCACTGCACTGCACTGCTCTGCTCTGCTCTGCTCTGCTCTTCACTGCACCCTGTCGAGAAGAATGCACCAGGCGATGTCCTGCTCATTCGTTTCCTTGGTTGTGCCCGGGAGCCCGTCTCTTCCTATCTACCCTCGAGCTACCTACTCTTGTTCTTCCTTTTCCCTCCATTTCCATTTCCATTTCCATGTTCCATGTCCCTGTCCCTGTCCCGTGGCCTCTTCTGACTTACATGACTTACATCACACGGGATCTTTCTCATCCATGTGCCTGGCGATCTTTCCTCTGCCCTTCGCGTCTTCCGAGAGGCAAGCTACTCCATCCCCAGAAGCCCTCTTCATAACGTCCCGAGACTCTGGCTCTGAAACTTTGTCTCTTCTTCTGGTTCCTACTTACCTGCGGCTGTGTCTCTCCATCCTTGTCTAGCGGCACTCTTTCTATATACGTCTCTGCTCATTCAACGTCCCTGTCGGACTACTACGGCTCGGTTCGAATCTCTCCGGCGCACACCACCGCATTTGTCCAAGATATTTTATCTCTGAAGTCACTGCTCTCTCACTGGTAAGTCGGCGTCCAATCATCATTCTGAGATGGCATACCGCTAGAGGCAAACTAAAGGCTTAACACTGACACTTTTGCTTCCCTTCTTCAGATCTTCAATACACTTGAACGGCTTCTTGTTCTCCCGTTGTCAACTCATCCAAACTTAGCCACCTGCGCCTCCCCCACATCTACTGCTCTCTCAAAGTCCATTCGACGTCGCATTAGAGAGTGCTATCTTTCAGGAACAGAAAGTTTATTTTCAGTTGTATTCGCCACCCACGCATGACCTATCCCCAGGTATTTTAGAAGATTAATACAGAGTTCGAAGAAACAGAAAAGCAGAAGCTTGAAGAGGTACTCCAATCTCTCTCCCTCATTTTGTACAGGCGTTATATTGTCGTTATCTTGTTCTTCACAGATTATTTCCTTGTTCAGCACGACATGGATCTCTATCTTCTGTGTTTACACTGAGCGCAATGCTAATATGGCCTTTTTCTGGGGACAGTTCTGGGGACAATTGCCGACGATATACGAAGGCTATATGGGAGACATGTCTGGTACATCGCCATCTGGCGACTTTTCGCACAACCCGCAAGGACAGAGACACAATACGACACAGAACTCAAACTCTCAGTACAGTGAAAATGAAGGAGGTCGAGGATTCCAGGGTGCTTCGCATCCCAATGGCACTCAACAATATTCACAAGCTCAATCAGACCCATTCGGCTTGACAGCGCTCGCGAACTCATTACCCGATGCGACATATCAGAACTACAATATTGCAGCAACCCAAAGATATTCATCAGGGCCATCTCCTGCTCCTCTTATGTACACATTTCCAAATGTACCTCAATTCGCCAACCAGCAAGCCATGGGCCAACCTTTCCAAAATATGCAGTATAGTATGGGGTATCAGGGGCAGTATCAGGGAGTGTATGGACCAGGTCAAACACCGCAATCTCACCTACAGCAATCTGCTCCTGGCAATGGTAATCAATTCTACCAAGGCCAGGGCTTCTTGAACCAACAGCAGCAGATGAACCCACCTTTCATGATTCAGTCTAGCCAGTACGGCATTCAAGGTCAGGTTTATCCAATTTCTTCCTCCGGATCATACGGTGCAAGAGGCGGCTTCTTGGGAGAAGCCCGACAACCAGGTCAGCCGCGTGCAAACGAGTATCTCAGTGGTTCTTCGACTGGCGGCACTCCGGGAAGAGCTAGCAGCATAGGTGAGTCCATACGAGGGCAAATTCCATCGGCGTGAAGCCCTGCTTCTAACAATCTCTTTTAGGGTCCAGCTCTGCCCAATCTTCTGTTGTCAGAGGACCTCCTCGAAAGCCTCGTCAAAGCGGTATGTTTATGACTTTTCAGCACAAGGTTTCCAGGGTCGTTCCCGCTAATACTTTGTATTTCAGGCCACGCGATTTGGATAGGGAATCTGCCACCACAGACTGGTTTAATGAGTTTGGTTCTCCATGTGTGCAAAGAAGCAGTTGGGCTCCAGTCCCTGTTCCTCATTTCAAAAAGCAACTGTGCGTTCGCAAATTTCAAGGATGAGGCAGCATGTGCTGCTGCGCAAGTTAAGATACACGATTCTCGGTTCCAGACGGTCAGGCTAGTAAGCCGATTACGACGAAATTCTGTTGGAACGGCGGCTGGTGTGACTGTCCCAACTGGCCCAGCAGCCCTCACTCCGCCCTCAAACCCAACAGTGGCCCGCAGTACCACGCCAGATAGCGACACAAAATCCAAGGAAGGAGAAGAAGAGGCTACTGAGTCTAAGACAACAGATGAGACTAGCGGCTCAAGCGGAGCCAAAGACAAGTACTTCATTGTGAAAAGTTTGACTGTAGAAGATCTGGAGCTGAGTGTACGGAACGGTATTTGGGCTACTCAATCTCACAACGAAGAAGCCTTGAATAAGGCATACCAGGTAAGTAAACATGTAACGAGTTTCGTACCTGTTTGCTGACATATTCTTGCCTAGACCGCGGACAATGTTTACTTGGTCTTTTCTGCCAACAAATCTGGCGAATATTTTGGGTATGCGAAAATGATATCTCCGATCAACGACGACCCAGCGGCAGCCATCGAATTTGCACCGAAAGCTCATACAGTTGAAGACCCGGAATTACCAAAGGCTATACCAACCCCTGCGTCGGAGTATGCACCTAAAGGACGCATCATAGATGATTCAGCACGAGGCACTATATTTTGGGAGGTAGAGCGAGACGAGACTGAAGGCGCAGATGAAGAAGATGAGAGTCAAAGCAATCGAAGCGATGAGGATCCAGACTCGAAAGCATCATCGAAGGCCTGGGGTAAGCCATTCCAAGTAGAGTGGGTATCTACAACCCGCCTGCCATTTTACCGAACGAGAGGACTACGAAATCCTTGGAACTCAAATAGGGAGGTCAAAATTGCACGCGACGGCACTGAATTGGAAGGGGCTGTTGGGCGGAGACTCCTCAGTCTATTCCATCGAATACCGAGCCCAGTTGCACCCAACATGCCTGCAATGGGATCATACCCACAAATGCGCCAGTTCCAGTAATCTACTGGATGTACATGTAGCTCTTCCATTGCTGGTCTTTGCCAGGAGCTTCTACTTTACTTCTTCACGAAGGTGTTTACTGAGAAACGACACTATGGTAACGATTCGCCACGACCTATATTGCAGAGGAAGGCCGTATGAGGAATGTATTTAGGATCAGAATAAGCTTGAAGCTTAACTTGCATTGGATGTATTGTAATTTTTCTGCATACACTTACATACATAGCGCGAGGAACAGTATTTGTAGACTTAGCCGAGGACTTAATACTTGTTGAAACCTGGATTGGACTTGATACTTGCGGCCATGTGCAACTGTGAGCTTCGTCGATTTCTCAAATCATCAGTTCCTCTTCTGCGAACTGATTGGAAGGCGATCGACGAGTTTCACGTACAATATCGACTTTTCTTCTGGTGGGGATTTCAACAAATTCTCCGGATTGCCCCAAATGTTCTGGCAACCGAGGATCCGGTAGGCCGTTCTGTTCCTGGCGCCGGTTGCTTAGAGTTCCTTCTGTTCTATTCAAGTTGTATGTATACACCCTACTTTAGCGTACCGAGATTCTGGCTTTGGGGCCGACCAAATCTCGCAAATGTCGGGAAGCCGCTCACAGCCCGGGGAACTGCTCGGAGATACAATCTTGGAGTGAAGAAGCTATCTATTTGGAATACCACGTCTGGTGCCAATCCTCACTAATTGTCCCTCTTCCTCAGTCTCAGTCACTTGGGGTGGGTGTGGATATCAGGGTCAGTACGAGCCAATCAGATCACGAAACCATATTTTGCCCCTTATGACGAGGATAGTGGCCGACAGAATCTAAAGCAGCGCTACAAACCTGCAAACCTCATGTAAATAATGCATGAATAAGTATTTCCTAATGCCCTTGTAATATATTGTGGAAGAATGATGCGATTGAGAGACACAAAGAGAAAGTCAAGGCTGGTGGAGCCATGACGTGGGGACAGAAAATCAAGAGCAGGGGCGAGGGATCGATGGATCGATTGTGGTGGCGTTGTGGAGATGGAATCGCAGCGAGGGGATAGTCTGTCACAAATTGGAACGCTGCGGTTTTAGTTGTGGCGGTGCGAGTCTTAGCGATTCTCGGTTGTTTTGATTGGAGATGGGAAAAGCGGCGACAGACGAAATTAAGCGAAATTTCTAGAAACACGGAACCGACATTCTAGGAAGCTTCAAAATGTTCATTTTTACCAGGCGATGGAGCAATGATAGGAATGGCCTGATCAAATGAGAAAAATAAATTGTACCCTCAAACTGTCCAGTATTCTAGTCTGCAGACGGAAATGGAGATACTGTGGATTGATAATAGTAGAGACAGCTTCAGGGGTCTGATTGTTGCCACTCCAGAGCTTCTCTCATGTCCTGCAGCCGCAACAACACCCAAACTGAGAGCGATTAACAGAAAACCTTATTCTTTCGTTGTCAGTAATGGTTGGAGTCGAAGTGATTTCCTGATGCAATGTATGTCGGCGAGTAGGATGCAATCTGTGGTGTTTTGCTGCTTTTGGCAATCCGTAGAAACTTCTAGTGGGTTGGAGAAGATACCCGAGCGTGCTGAACATTATGCAACCACAACAACACAGCCAACATGAAGCCTCACGATGATGCCAGAATCATCGACTGGCTTCATTCCGGAAATTTCTAGCACCCAGTAGAAATGCTCCTCTCAGGTATATAATTCCAGATGAGATTCCTCTGACAGCTCTCCCTTCTTTCATCACAACACAACAAAGAACAAACACTTCATGCAATCAGCACGCACAACACTCAGACTCAAACAATCACTCCGACAATCTCTCAAGAGACTCAATACTCACCAATCACGCAAGATGTCTTTCTTCCCAGGCTCATTCTTCGCTTCACCCTCCGCCAACAACACCTCCTTCCACCCACTTTTCCGTCTCCTCGACGACTTCGAGCAACACTCACGCAACACCGGCACCGGCAACAGCACTGAGGGTCGTCACAGCCGCTCAATCATGAAGTCCTTCACACCCAAGTTCGATGTCAAGGAGTTGACCGATGCTTACGAGCTTCACGGCGACCTTCCTGGCATTGAGCAAAAGGACGTTGAGATCGAGTTTACGGATGTCCAAACCATCACCGTACGTGGTCGCACCGAGCGCTCCTACACATCCGGCACTCCCCCATCTGGCTTCATCGAGGGCTCTGCATCCCCAGCCGCCATCGAAAGTTCCGACAGTTCCAAGCCAGCTGCCCATAAGGCCACAGTCGAGGACGAGGACGCTGTTATGGTCACCGATCCAGCTGCAAACAATAGCAATACCAATACTGAGGTCGCTACCACGAGCAAGGAAACTGTCAAGGAGGAGCCAAAGGCCAAATACTGGGTCTCTGAGCGTAGCGTCGGCGAGTTCTCAAGATCTTTCACCTTCCCTGTTCGCGTTGACCAGGAGGCCGTCACTGCCAGTATGAAGAATGGTGTCCTCTCCATCACCGTTCCAAAAGCAAAGAAGCACGAGTCGAAGAAGATATCAATCACAGCCCACTAAACGAATGCAATGCAATGAAGGGATGGTATATGGGTTTTGCTCTGCGTTGTATTCGGAGTTGACGTTTCCTCTAATTGGTGGCAATGACCTGTAGTGGAAGAAGATAGGATGGGTGATTTGGTCTTCCTTTGCTTGTATGGATTTGATAATGGGAAATTGTTCTGGCAGCGTGGAGTTGGGTGCCTTGCACTTGACTTGGTCTTGACTGCTCTGGACGGTATGAAGAGCACTCAAGGAAGGGTTGCTACCTCACAGTCTAGCATAGTTAAATGCAATACCAAACATCAAACAAAATTATGTTCTAATTGCCATATGTAACATGTGTTCGAAAACCTGTCTGCGATACAAGTCTGTAACAAACGTGCAGGCTGATTTTCAGCCAAGACCGTTCGTTGTCACTACGATTCAAAGCGAGTAGGCAAAGGATTGCCTACTCGCTATGATTTATTGAAAGCTGGGTTGATATTTTGTTGGCTGTAGAACATATCTCCATGTAAATTGTAAGTAGCTGTTTTCCAGCATACGAAAATGCCATTGGATAGGTAAGTGACATAGTGCAGTATCTTAGAGTAGCCTGACACACTGTTCATGTCTTCCGGCGTTCTCTCGTTAGCATCTACGAAATTACTGGAGCTTCGCAAGATTCTTGTCGGAGGCTCCTCAGTAATCTTGTTTTCAATAACTCAGAGATACTCCAATCAACATTGAATACTCGTCAAGTTTGCAAGAAACTTTATTCTCTATGATTGGTTGTTTCATGTGGTATCTCACAGCAAAGTACCACCCATAACATCATGCTGACTATGCAATCTACCAATGCCAAACGTATGTCCCAATAGTGAAGTTAATATCATGGCACGTATGATTTTTTGCCAGCCAAAAGAACGCCCCCCGTATGAAGCCTCCAACGCCAAGAATGCCAACTATCCCGGAATCCTTCCATTTAGAATTTAGAATCTCTCCTTCATCCTCGCCGCCACAGTTCTCAGATTCCCATAAACCTTGCCCGGAGGACTACCAAGAATCAAGCTGACCACTGCCGTTTTGGCAATCTGGATATTCTTGAAGCCGCCCAGAAGGTGGATTTTCGAATCTGCAAGTACGATTCTCGTCCTACTGGCATTCTCGATAGCAAATTTGGTCTTCCCGTCCTTGCCTGCAATCCTTCCAATCGCTCTGCCCAAATGCTCTCCCTGCAAAGTCTTAACATCCTGAATCTGGAATGTTTGGATATACAAGTCGTCTAGACGGAGAAGAGCGATCGCATCGTCGATATCGAAGCCGAGAGAGAAAGCCTGCACAAAATCGGCACCTTTCTGTAGCGCTCCTGGGTCTGTGGTATGCTTGGAGGATCGGAGCTCAACGGATTTCGAATGGATGTTCATGCGAACTTGCAGCTTCAGGTGCTCGACAAGTGGTGGGTACATTTTTGGCCAGACTGCTTTGAGGGGCGTCATTCTGTGAGGTGGTATAGGTACTTTTCTGGTTTCAACTCGGTCCACACGATCCTGCCAGGCATTAGCGTCTACTTGCGCTGCATGTTTGAGATGGACCATACAGCGGTCTTAGATGGTGCAAATCTTGGTCTACCCTCCTCATCAATGTGCATCTCGGTATCTCCCTCCACTGGCTGAACTGCATTCAAATCTGTTGGTTCCGCATCTGGCGCATCAAGGAGAAGTTCATCGTCGTCCTCTGCATTCTGTCAGTCCATGCAATCACGGCAAGCGGTAAGTCCACGCACCCTGTGGTAAAGGGACACTGGCAGCCTCCGCCAGTTCCTCTGGCTTTCTTAGCAGGGCGGTGGGTGCGGGCATTGTTGTGTGGACGTGAAAGACGAGGGTTCTTGGTGGGGGAACAAATTTGAATTGTCGATATCAGATAAGGTTGTGAGAAAATTGTCCCGGGCGCTCAGACCAGATTGTGGCACGTGCTAAGGCTAGTGCATCGCGTCCAGCCAAGAAATCCAGACCAAAAGCCTAGTAAAGCGTCATCAAAATTGAGTTCTCCTCTTTCCCTCGCGTGCTTGTCTTCTGCTTCCGATTATTCTGTGGATTTTGCGACTTCAAGAGTTCGCACGTTTTCAGAATGATCTGGAGAGTATGTCTTCAAATATAACGCAGAGGCTGTGGTCCCATTTCCGGGATCCAGCAAGCCATTTCGTGGCCTTCAAGCCATCCGGATTACCTCGAAAATCCGCGTTCCCGTGGTCAAACTCCACACAGAATTCGACAAGAGCCTTCTCGTGGAGCCGACCACGACCTCAAACACCTTCATCGAAGAGATCGGTGTCTAAAAGCTTTGCTTCCTGCGGCTTTCTCTTCATAGATCTTAGCCCTTCGACGACGCCGACACCATCAGCACTTGCCGCATGTGTTGCGACTACAGAAAAATCACTTTGTACTACTACCAGAATTCCCCGAAAAACGATCGCTTCTTTGGCGCAGCAGGCATGGCGTAGGGAAATCCATTCGAACACTCGAAGAAGAGAAAGGGGCAGCGCGAGGAGAAACAAGAGCTCTGCAGCAAGTGAACAGAATACTCTCAAGCAAGTTCAAAATGGAAACAACTCGTTCAAAGCTTCCCCCGTTACGAAAAAAACCGAAACCCCAGTACTGGACTCCAAGCCGAGTACGTACCTTCATCTTCCACATATGCATAGACCTACGAAGGAGGAATTGCTTGCGGCAGCAACAGGGTTTTGGTCGCGATTAAAAGTCCGATTTAAATGGTTTTCTATAAGGAGTTCTCGGCCCTGGAATATCGACGACTGGAGTGCCTTTGTTTCGTGGTTTGTCCTGGGAAATATTGTTTGGGTTTTAGTTGGGACCACAACCTTCTTCTCGCTCGTTATTTTCTCCATTAATACCGTTGTAGCACAAGGTTTGTTCCCAAGTCCTAAGATAAGGTCACGAAACTGATGATTCGGTAGAAACTCTAGCCAGATGGATCGGCGATTACCTTACACATTCCGCAGGAGTGAAGGTAGTTTTTGAGTCCGCAATTGTACCAAAATGGAGGAATGGTGTCATCACTTTCCACAATGTATTTGTGTCCAGAAGGCCGGGCCAAGGAAGGACGAAAGTCAGTAAAGGATCCTCGATGAGTGCTGCAGCTGAGGCAGCGGCGGAGAGACAAGCTGAAGCAGGAGGACGAAAGGACGAAGAGGAGGAAGATACAAACTACACGCAATTCGACTTGACGATCGGGACCGTCAACGTCACCCTATCATTTGTAAAGTGGTGGAATGGGAAAGGCCTTCTCCGTGATGTTGAGGTAAAAGGAGTTAGAGGCGTAGTTGACAGGACTTCTGTTCATTGGGGTGGAGAATATGTCGACCCGAAGACATACCGTCATAAGCACCATCCAGGAGATTTTGAGATTGACTCATTCAAAATGGAGGATCTTTTGGTCACAATATATCAACCGAACGGGTTCAGACCGTTCTCGGTAAGCATTTTCAATTGTGAACTTCCGCAGTTGAGGAAACAATGGCTGTTCTACGACTTCCTCTCGGCGAACAACATGTCAGGAGCATTCGACGGATCACTTTTTACGATCCATCCCAGACAATTGCACGGTTTTGCAAACGTGCATCATGATGACGAACCGAGTGGGGAATCCAGTCCCTGGAAGAAGCAGAGCCGACTTCGTATCGACGGTTTGAAAATAGATCACCTCAATCGTGGTGTTGAAGGACCGTTTGGATGGATCCATGAAGGGAACGTAGACATTGTAGCAGACGTCATGTTTCCAGCAGATACCGATGACAGTATCGCAAAAGTCATGTCCGATTTCTACGACCGCATGGAAGCTACTGTAGCATCAAATCGCTACATCCACATCCTTGAGAATCCGCGGACAGCAGACCTCAACACCCCTGAGGAACGAGCAGCTTATCAAGAGAAGATGAGCAGAGACGACGACAAGCGGTTCCTCGTCATGGATCTCCGAGTTCACCTCAACGACGTCAGAGCCGCAGTACCTCTTTTCACCCGCGACTTGTCTTATATAAATCAGGCGCTCATCCGGCCGATCGTGGCGTACATCAACTCCCAAAAGACATTCATTCCAATAAACTGCCGAATCGTAAAGCGAGCCAGCGAGTTTGACGGTAGCTGGACAATATTCGACAGCGGTTTGATGGAAGACTTGTCAGCTGAGACTTACGAAGCATTTGCCAAAGATGTGGTGGACAGCCAGGCACGATTAAGACGCTTGAAGAAGGTCGGCTTCTGGTCGATCTCGTTAGCCATTCAGGCGCTGTTTATGGGAATGGCGGGAAATGTGGCATGATATCAACGATTCTTCACTCACTTTTAACGAACATGTATAAAAATCTTAGTCATGTTGTAGATTATGGAATCGTCGGTTCTGGTTGGTGTCTGGGACAGCTGATGCTACGGCTAAGCTTGGGATGGCTGCATAAAATGGAGTTCTGGGACCTTGAGATACATAATTGACACATTTTGTAAGCCATATAGAAATAAGGATATATGTTCCCTTGATCGAGTCAAAATTGAGAAAAGTAATCCAAAAATACCAAGTCATAATGATTTCATTTGCTTTGACTTCCCTTTCAAATACCACGATTTTCAACTCCTCCGCGTTCCAATCAAGGATATTAACCGTCGCCAAATCAACCTACAACGACCGACTCCACTTTTTTCCCAACCCTACTGTTGACCTCCCTATCAGTATGTACAAGCAAAGTATTACAAAACATAGAAGCCGTTATTGGTCACAATGTGCAAGAGTGATCAGGCTACGTGTAGTGGAATCAGTTGTCAAGAACAGGCTTAACTCCCTGCTCATCAATCAGAAACTCTTCACTGGCACTTCATTCTTAGAATAAATCGAACCTTCGTTGCCGAATAGTTCGATGTCACCCTTACCACCAAGGTCCATGAACTCATTCGGATCTCTCGCCGCTGAAGGTGTTTCTTCTTGCTTCGGCGCCCCAGGAATTGATTTAGGCGCCCCGTTGGACTCCGTTGAAGGAGCAGAGTTATTAACTTTGTTCTGCAAGTTTTTAGCACTTGGGTTCTTGACATAGACTTTGACTGGATCTTTTGTTGGCTCGATGTCAATGACCCTAGTGATCTTCACGTCGTTGATGCTGCTGAGGAGAGTCCGCTCTCGAGCCAGTTTCCGTTTGCTAAAGTCCAAGTTGGCAAGACCACCAACTAGTCCATCAGTGCTGTCGTTTGGGTTCAGTGGCTTTCTTGTGGTCCATGGATGTTCAAGACAGTCATCTATGGTATATCTCTTCTCCACATCAACTGTTAACATTCGGTCGATCAGATCTAGGGCTGGGTCTCCAACGGAATCCCAGTACGGTGATGGGTAATCAAACCTTCCAGTCTTGATCTGCTGCGTGAGAGTATATGGATTTTCTCTCGTGTTGAGTTCGTCTGAGAATGGAGGAAATCCACAGAGACAGATGTAGAGTACTACACCTAATGACCAGACATCAACGGCTCTAGTGTATCGACGGTGTCTCGAGTCTTCCAGAATTTCGGGAGCAACGTAGCTAGGAGTTCCACATAATGTTGTGGTGAAGGACTCCTCTCCAATTATTTTTGCCAACCCAAAATCGGCTACTTTCACATGCAAGTCTTTGTCTGTGAGAAGGATGTTCTCTGGTTTAATATCTCGATGAACGATTCCCCTCTCATGCTGATAGGTATCAGTGCAAGTACAACAATGAGCGGAGCTTCGGATACAACATACCAAGTACTTAGTTGCCTGGAATAGTTGAATGAAGACCTTTCTAGTCTCCTCTTCAGTCAACTTCTGCTTCATGACGATCCAATTGAACAATTCTCCTTCCGCGGCCAGCTCCAGAACCAGATACACAGCATTGGTTTCATCAAAGGTATCCTTCAAGCAGAGCAGATTAGGATGGCTTACGCCCATCAAGACCGCAATTTCTTGCTGCAGTCCCTCGGTCTTCGAACGTTCTTCCACGCCCGGTTGCTTGGTAAAGATCTTAACGGCGAACCGGGTACCAGTTGCTTTCTCGACACACAGAAACACCTCTGCAAAGTGCCCCTTTCCAAGCTTCTCAAGGAGCGTGTACTGCTGCAAGAAAGCACTTGTTTCGCGGTTCTTTGGGTACCTGAAAACAAATCTTGCCTTATCTAGAACGGTGATCTCGTCTTGATCTTCTAACTCTCGTCGTTTGTTTCGTCCAATAACAGCTTCGTTGACGAATGTCCCGTTACTTGACAGGTCTTCCACCACAGCAACGGTGTCCCCGCCTTTATTCTCGGTGAAGATAAGGCAGTGTCTGTTAGAGACAATAGGATCATCGATAATCAGATCTACCATTGTCAATTTGATGCTTCAGGGAATCACTGTGACAAACTTACCACACTCGGGGTGCCGCCCTATCAGGTAACCTCCAGACGCGATCCCGTTCATCTTTGTATCTTCGTAGACTTCTTCTTCCTTTTTGAAGTCTTTGCCTTTGCCCTTGCCTTTCTTCGACTTCCGGTCCTTGTCTTTGCCAAAGTCCTCCATCTTGCCCGGCAATGGACAAGCATTGCGCTTTTTCAACACCAAAGACTTTCCGTACTTTGCATCAAGAGGGAGGAGATAGCCCCAGACCCCCTCCTCCGTCTCGTCTTGTACTTCTTCCGACAAGGCAGCCGTAGGGTAGACAAATTGAGAGAATGCCTGTGTATCTTGAGGAGGAGATGATATGCCATGACCGTCAATGAAGTTCTGGTCAATGGGTCGATGATGGAGCTGGCTCGGGCGACCTTCGGGAGGGGTTGCTGTTCCTTCCTTGAAGGCTTCAGTCGACGAAATGGAATCTTGCTGGGTTATGGGCGATGGCAAATGTTGTTTTTGCGATACAGGTGTACTTTGGGATTCCGATATTCGAGTTGATCGACGGGGTTTCTTCGAGGAATCACCGGTGCTGTCTTCTGAAGCTCCAGCCTGCGTCAATGACTGTCAGCGCCGCCAGATAAGCCGCGGACGGTACTAGTAATGCAAAACAAGCTTCGACATACCCTATTTCGCTTCAATTGACCCTTCTTCTCCCTTGGAGCCATTTTTCCTCAAGGCAGGTAGGCAGGAGCCTGGCAGGCTGGCAGGCTGGCAGGCTGGTCGGTCGAGATGTCGAGATGTCTGAGGCAAGTGGAAGGAGCAATCGCCCGTGGTTTCTGCTGATGTCGTGAAAAACAACTTTTAAGCTTATGAAATGGAAACCAGGGCCTATTGCGCCTGAGCACGGATAAAGCGAGCAAATAGCACAGCGATTTCACGTCGAACAAATAGTTGGATGTTGTCGGATTTGAAGTTCTTGGCACAGCCGACTGGAAGAATGGGCCACGGGGGGATTTGCTTACCCCGACTTGTCCTCGTCTCAAACCAAACGGCAACTAGCGACAGCAGAACCAGCCGACCCATGTCAATACATACCACGTTGGGTCACCGAGTACCTGTTGGAAAGGAATGACACTTAAAGGGATACAAGTGTTGGCATTCATGCAATAAGTGTTGATATTCTCAAAGGCACACTGGATGGAGGTGGCTTAGCAACTGTTCTTGGTGGATATAGGTACTAACGTCCCACCCCACCATTCCGCCCACCCCCCCATTCCGGCCACCTCGCTTAACTCATCGCCAGTTCTTCCTACCTACTTCAATAATTATTAATTCCATTATTCCTTAATAGATTTCTTTGATATTTGGAATATGAATTGATCTTATTATAAAGCCTCAATATACTGAGTATAACGTCATGTGTGCACTTAGGGACGTGGCAAATAGCAAGTCCTTACGGAAGGCATCGCTTAACTAGGGTGTTCCAAGGTCTACACTTCGTGACCGCAACACAACGACTCTATCACATAAGGAAGCTGCAAGTTACTTGCAAAGACTCCCTACAGTAGTAGAGAATCGTTTGACTAATTAGGTTCTTACTCAAGAGTCTCTTAGCTATAGAGTTACACACGCACAGATTCGGGTTTTTAGAGAGAGGCTTCTAGCTTTACAGGGAGACTACCGACCACTTAGGAAACACTGGATAACTCGATTTCTAGCACGCAACCCTGTTCTAAAGACCAAGAAGCAAATATACGTTGATTCCGTACGTGTCAATTGCGCTTATTCCGAAGTTATACAGCTGTAGTTCCAAAAACTGGAGATTCCGGCTATTAAAGCGATTCCAGCTCACCAACGATAGAATATAGACGAAACAGGTGTTATAGAAGGTTATAGTCTTAATAGACTTATTGTAGGGAGTGCCGAATCTCGTAAGATACAAGGGAAACAGCCAGGTACACGTGTTTAGACGTCAATTATTAAGTGTATATCTGCAACAGGTGGTTCTACACACTCAGCTGTAATATACAAGGGAAAATCAGTTCAACAACAGTGGTTTCCGTCTCAATTAGACCTATTCGATCAGTAGCACTTCACTGCCACTGAAAATAGGTAGACAACTGATGCCACAGCTCTTGAGTAGCTAGAGAAAGTCTTTATCCCTCAAACGCAACCACGTGACGATTCAGCAAGGCTTCTTATTCTAGACGGCCATAGGAGTCACGAAACTACGGAATTCCTTTGGAAATGCCTTGAAAACAATATCTACCTTCTGTTCCTACCTGCACATACGTCACACGTTCTACAACCTCTTGATCTAACGGTTTTCTCTGTTCTCAAACGTTCCTACCGGAAAGAACTTCAAAAGTTGAGTTCTCTAATCGATTCCACTCCAATTGGCAAGCGCAATTTCCTTATATGCTACTATAAGGCACGGTAAGAGAGTTTTACCCTGTCTAATATTAAGGCTAGGTAGAGAACTACAGGGTTATAGCCGGTATCAGTTGTAAAGCCATTAATAAGCCCTTTACTATTAGAAAACAGTAACAAATCGACAGATCCAACTTCTCTAAGGCCTCAAGATACGCTAGTACTACCTATAAAGGTTTCTAGCACGTCAATTGAGATACAGACTCCGAAGGCTGGAAAAGAGATCTACTTACAACTACACTCCTTGACAGCTAGGTCACATGACCAACTTTCAACACGTCATTTGCTTTTTAGGAAGGTTTTAAAAGGATTTAATAAGAAGGACTATAAATTAGGGCAAGCAAATATAAGGATTAAAGAGTTAGAGGCACGATTAGAGCGATTAAGACCAAGGAAAAAGAGGAAGGTTCAAATAAGCCCGAATTCCAAGTTTATCACAACACGTGCTATCAGGGAAGCTCAAATTGCAGCTAGAGAACATCAAATTATACCTATAGAACCGGAATAATAAGGAGAATCATATTCTATAATATCTAATTAAAAAGATGACACAATGTAGAGTTATTAAGTGTTGAATAGGAAATACGGAATGTAAGCGAGGTGGCCGGAATAGGGGGGTGGGCGGAATAGTGGGGTGGGACGTTAAGTAGCTAAGTTCCCTCCAGGCCAGGCCTGCACCAGGCTAGCTCTTCATGCCGATCATGGACTCCTTAATTCCAGCCTAGACTACAGCAATGTTGTGAAGTATCGTTGCGAAATGGATGTCTGGTGGTGAGCAAAAGACTGTGTCTATCGTCCTCGTGTAGGTATTGCCAACATTCCCGTGACCTTGGCCAGGTGGGAGTTCTCCATCAGCTGAAGCTTCCGCCAGAGACAAGAAGGTACCTATGTGTGCCTGACAACCTTGGAGCACCCGTGACTTCTATGATCACTCTGTTCAATGTCCCAAAATCCATCATGGACATGTCTGATCGTTTTGTAACATCCTGGATAAGATAATGCCGCGATTGCCACATCAGACTTTGGGCTGAAAGTGCCATCACTTGTGGTGATTATTATTACCCATAGCTGGTTGCCTCAATTATCGAACCTCGACTTGCGTTTTGTACCTTGTCCTCTATCGAGTCCTGCCATTACTCTTTCTGCAGCGCTCTGAGCTGGCTTCCCTCCGCTAGATGGCGTTCCACTTCGGCTTCCCGGCTCCAGCGGTGAACTTGCGGGTACAAAATCCAAGGACTCCCGTGGGCCTCTGGTCTTTTCGTCCTCCTTCCGTTTTAGGATCCTCTGCTGACTCTTTGCGAGTTCCTCCTTGAAAGCGAACGCAGGAAAGCAGTGAGGATTCCAAAGTTCTTTGGGTAATGTCGTCGCATATTGACCGACTTCATCGATATCAGAGAAGTCCATCAGCTTCTGCATAAGACTTGGGTTCTTCAACGCTGAGGAATTTGCCAGCTTGTCGTTGAAGTGAGCTCCTTGCTTTTTCAATTCAAGAAAATGCTTGAACTTGGCATTTGTACTCTCTAGAGGCGATCCTGGAGGTGATGGTGGAATGTCGTAGTTTGGAAGACTTGGGAGAGTTAGGTCTCTTGACAGAGCCCGACTGGCAGAGTAAGGTGATAATGGAGCCACAGCCAGGTCCTCTTCCTCTTCCTCTAGCGATTGAGCTTCTGGAAGGCTTGCAGAAGGCCCAAGTGTTGGACCGACGATAGGGGCCTCCCGATCGGGGGAACATCCATCTGCTCCATTCTGCTGGACATCTACACAGTCCATTAAAAGGAGCCTCTAGGAATGGGCTAGAAAGACTTACTGAACTGATTACCATTTGTGTTATTTCTTGGATCTGTAGGTCTCGCAGCCTGACCGTCCTATCAGCGTGTCCCATATGTGTGCTTGAACACCGACTTACATTCACTTTGTAAACATTAACTCCCATGTCCTCTTCATCGCTGCTTGTGTAACTGACCAATCCTGCCATATTTGACTTATTTGAGGATAGACGCATGCTAAGAGCTGTGATTTATCTGGAAGAAGCGCTTTTCGGCCTGAGGCATATTACTTTTCATGGTTTCAGCGCAAGCGAGTTGGGCGGCGCCAGGGAGCGGAGCTTCGCGTCACTGGTACCTGGGGAGCTTCAAGCTTCTTGACAACATCAACGCACCCTAGAATCATCCCACACTGACCATCCACGAACATCTGTACACAATAGTCACGCATAGATACCTTCACCATGAATCATCTTCCACAGGCCTGGGGGCGTGTAGGTTATCTTACGGCGAGAATATTTTGTTCGAGTTGCTGACTTCAACATAATAGCCTAGAGACGATGTTTATGGTGCATATGATGCCTCATACCTTCAAAGCAATGGCCCAAGCCAACACACGCAAACTCCTGTCGTCACCGGTACCTCAGTTCTAGCCATAAAGTTCAAGGATGGTGTTGTCATTGCCGCAGATAATCTTGGTTCGTACTTCCAAATCCCAGCTTGACAAGGCGCCCACTGACAACTGGCTCCGAATAGCTTCGTACGGTTCCCTTGCTCGATTTAGCGATGTAAAGCGCCTGCGTATATTCGCGGAGACTACCGTGGTTGGCTTCGGCGGCGATGTTTCAGACATGCAATATCTAGACCGACTTCTCACCTCCCTGGACACTGAAGAAGCTTACGGTACCGCTGGACACACTTTGAATGCAAAAAACCTTCACACATACCTTACCAAAGTCTTCTACAAGCGCCGATCCGACTTCAACCCGTTGTGGAATCAAGTTCTGGTTGCCGGTATGGATGGAGAAGGCAAGCCTTTCCTGGCAAGCACCGATTTGCTGGGTACTGCATTCAGCTCGCCAAGTTTGGCAACAGGTTATGGTGCGCATCTGGCTCAACCACTTATGAGAAAGATCGCACCGGATGAAGACGCTGCATCAAAATTATCCAAGGAGCAGGCAGTAGAGGCAGTCAAGGAGAGCATGAAGGTGTTGTATTACAGAGATGCGAGAAGTTTGGACAAATACTCTATCGCGGTGGTCACGAAGGATGGTATTGAGCTGAAAGAGAATGAGAAACTAGAGAACCAGAGTTGGGCGTTGTAAGTTATCCCCTCTCCACATTTCAAGCCCAAACTAATCAAACTTTAGTGCGGATCAAATCCGGGGGTATGGAACGCAGGTCAACTGAGATGCTTTAGGCATTTGCACTGTACTATTAGCGGATATTTGGCATGAGACATGAATAGAAGGGCTCTCTTGCGATGGTGAAACCCTTTTCTAGATACGCTCTCTTTATGGTGTGGATAATATCATTTCAGTCCCACGTGAGTTTCCGGTTAGTATCCTTTAACCAAAATTCCTTTCGAAACAGGCAAGCTGTTTGCTCCCCCCAAGGGCCGTCCTAGTGCTCTGAAGGGACAGCCTTATCCGTTGGACACTGGGAATCCAGAAACTAGTCGGCTTTGTAATTGTGTCAATTCTGTGATGCTGATGAGAAATGCCTCAAGATATTTACGGATCATCGGATGATTGAATCGTAGCCAAGATGATTTCCATGACGAAAGTACAAGCGCAGTTCTTCAACATCCAGTGACCTGTAGATCAGCATGGAGAAAAGGTAATACTTATGTGCAGTTAATCATTCAATTGTTTTCGCAACCTGTCTAGGGCTAAGGTCAGTAACTACAACCAAATACAATGTCGACAACAAAATTGCTATGAGTAGAAAACAGAGATTTGGGTAGTGCTCCGAAGCTGAACCGTTTTTACCTATTATTGACATCGGCACGAGAACAGACCCCTAAGCCTTAGTCAGCAGCCAAACATGCAGCATCGCTGGATGTACCTGAATCAAGGAGCCCCCTGCACCGCCCAAGCAACTTTGTATCATGATTCGGCTCATCTTTCTGGAATCTTACTGATCTTCACTCCAACACTCTAATTGATTGCCAAGCTCCTATCCCCAAATTCAATGCGCAGACCGAAGCTCTTCTCCAAGGCACTCCCTCACGACTCTAACATCTTCGCAGCAACATTACCCAGAGTTTTCTGTTCACCGACCTGAAGCCGAACAACGTCCAAACCACGACGCCCCCTTGAATGTTCGGGCTCAGAGCCTCCAGCACACACAGAAGTAGGAGGTGTAAAAGGTGACTGGTATGCAGGCGGCAAGGCTCAAGGCTGAATCGCAAGGTCGGAAAGCAAAGGTATGCCCCTCAATTTGGCGCTCAGAAGCTTCCCAATCGTTCTGGCAGAAGCGCAAGCTAACATGATTATCACCAGCTTGCCAACTCATATCATGAGCTACTGGAGTACGTCGCAACTTTTGATCGTGGAGAAGATATATTTGCTGACAGTGTACCCTTCACAGAGAGTTCTCGTCGAAAGACCTCCGATCAGTGGGAAATTACACACTTGGGCGTCTGATCGGGAAGGGATCCTTTGGGAAGGTCTATCTAGCAACGCACAAGCTCACCAATGGTTCCAAAGTACGCTCGAAAAAGAAATACTATAAGAGGTTGGAATAATGATCTGACGGAATCTTGCAGGTTGTTCTCAAATCTGCCAACAAGGATGACTCAAATCTCGCCCGCGAGATCCATCACCACCGACAATTTATCCATCCTCATATTGCGCGGCTTTACGAAGTCATTGTGACGGAGAATCTGGTGTGGCTTGTATTGGAATACTGCCCAGGTATGAATAAGTTGTGGGTTTGAGATCAACTCGTTAATAAATTGGATTACAGGTGACGAGTTATACAATTACCTCTTGAACCATGGAGCTTTACCAGTGGAGAAAGTCCAGAAGATCTTCACTCAGCTGGTTGGCGCAGTGAGTTACGTTCATAACTCGCAGTGCGTTCACCGGGACCTAAAGCTCGAAAACATCCTCCTGGACAAGAACGAGAATGTTAAGCTTTGCGACTTTGGATTCACCCGCGAATATGAAGGAAAGGCCAGCTATTTGCAGACTTTTTGCGGTACGATATGTTACTCTGCACCCGAGATGCTAAAGGCAGAAAAGTATGCAGGTGAGAAAGTTGATGTTTGGAGCCTGGGGGTCATTCTCTATGCCCTTCTCAGCGGCGAGTTACCTTTCGACGAAGACGACGACAACGCTACGAGAACCAAGATTTTGACCACAGAACCCAAGTGGCCAGACCACTTTACACCAGATGCTCGAGCTTTGTTAGGCTCACTACTTTCCAAACGACCTCTACTTCGTCCAGCTTTGCCGGATATTCTGGCACATCCTTTCTTGGCGGACAACGCACCTGCTCAGCAAGTCATCTTGAAGCTTCAGCAACCACCACCTTTCACCACACCTCTGGAAAAAGAGACTTTAGAACGTATGCGCAGCGCGGGGGTGGACATAGATCAAGTAATCGAAAATGTCCTCGCACGGCGGTGTGATCCTCTAGCAGGCTGGTGGACACTTCTCATAGAGAAAGAGCAGCGCAAGGCAGCTCGGCGAGAACGCAAGCGGAAAGAAAGAGACGCAGAAAATCGGGCCTCACGGAGACTTAGTGGTGCAAGCAGTCGTCTTGAGCGGATGGCCCCGATTCTAACAGGTGTTGACGAAGAAGGACAAGAACTCAAGCTTAGTGATCCACCAAGGAGCAGGGGGCGGAAGGAAAGGCGGAGTGCACATTATCCAGAACTCGTTCTTACGGGTCTTCCTGGAGTGCCGGAGACTTCTAAGCTAGATTCCCCAGATGCCCCTCCGCCTATCGAGAAGGATTCCATACGTTCAGCAAGCTCTTCCCGCCATCGTCGTCCAATACCACCACCCAAAGAAGGTGTTCTGAGAAGTGCAAGATCTCGTGGGAGTACGTTACAGCTGGTCACATCAAATCATGATCTTTTAGCCCCACCAGCAAACGGAAATTCACTAAGGCCACCAAGGCGGAAGCATCAACATGCTTTTATAAACCAGCTTGCTAACTGGAAACATTGGCTCCTGGACTCGGCAAAACGTGCCAAGTCACCTGGAAAGAGAATGACGAGATCGACTCCTGATCTTCTCCAAAAGTCAACAAACAGTTCAAGAGCAGGGGCAAAGGACCAAAGCCCACGGCCTGCAACCTCAAAGACACCTCCCGCCGCAAGGCCAGCTTTAGTACCGGGAACCCAATCGCATCCACCGATTGCACGGATATATACAACTCCAAATAACAAGCGCCATTCTCTCTCTCCATCGCCGTTGACGCCTCGTTCCACCTTCCGAAGGTCCAGTACAGGTCTCCGAGGACGCAAATCCACGTCTTCGTCCGTCTCCTCGATTCGCAGCATTCATCACCACCATTACACCCACTCCAAGGCCTCATCTACATCCTCCAATGGCTCTGGCTCTATCTCAATGAGCAAAGGCCCTTTACCAACTCGAAGTCCGCACCACTCTGTTAAAGTTCTCCCGGCAACACCGACCACAGGCAGCTTCCCATCCAACATTCGTGTGGTCCGTCAACCTCCCATATCTAATTTCAACGAAAGCCCCTGGGGCAACTCTAATCATGGATTCGGATCGAACAATACCAGCGGCCTAGTTTTTGCCAAGCGAAAAAAGAATATCTTCAAAGGCCCCATGCTGAACACCTCATCACCAAGTCCAGCGGGAAGTGGCAGTGGCCACGCCAGAACAGGCAGCAATAGTCGCAGTGCTAGCATAGTCGGCAAGCGAAGTGGTGAAATCATCGAAGAAGAAGACGAAGATGAAGTCGAGGAGGTTGAAGCTTTCAGTCCCATCACAGGACCAGGAGAGGTCGAGGAGGTCTTTCCTGCTGGAGAAACGCCGGGGAATAAGGAGCCTTTGAAGTTCAACTAACATGGACAGGGCGAGTGAGGGAGCGAACTTTCCAATTCACTGCAGACTGGTCTACATTGACGTCCGCATGTGTGAGTGTACGTGTGATTAATTATGCTCGTACAAAAGGGTTCAGATGTGAATATGGGTAGGAGCAGAAGGTGTTGTTGAATTTAGCGAGTTGATGTTTTCGTATTATTTACCCTCCCTGTGCATCCTTTCTCACCATCTGGTAGTGGGGAGGATTTGGACTCGGGGTGGTTTCTTTCTACCAGCGTTGCATTGTTTGCCCTTGTCTGGGATTCTTTTCTTCAGTGACCTTGACGATTAGGGATATTTCAAATTACTTTCTTCCATTGGGCTCATTGATCGTATGTATGTATGGCTGGGGTATGCATAGGATGTTGCATATAGGCATGAGAGTATGATATGTTATTTTAGGCATGGATGGAGTGTACATTGTACTGTAGATATCAGAGTATTTAAAACATTCGATTTATGACTATAGGCGTACCGCTTCTTGCAGTTACATGAACATGTTAAATCATGTAGAGAAGATGCAAAATATTGAAATCCAACTAATAAATATCTAAGATAGAAGCCTGAAAATCAGTCTGTCCTGCGCGTGGAACTGCTATATGGTACAAAGGAGAATGCTGCATTAAAAAGTATTAATTGAGGTCAGACCAGCAAAAGAACCTATCCGCTTGCCAGACTATAAATGAAATTAAATCAATACAAGAATGCGATGTCACCCCTGACTACCATGAGCAAGTCCCCATGCACTTACAGAATAATACAGATATCCTCTTCCCACCATTCGCCTCTCCCTACGAGCTAGTTCCAGTCTCTCTCTCAGGCTTATCCCCCTCAGTCTCCCTCTCCTCCCTCTCTTTCTTTCCACGATTCACAGGCATGAGGTCTTTAGCGGCCTTCTTTGGATCCTCAAGAGCATCCAGGGCTCTTGTTCTCTTCGACTTCTTCTCGTGTCTATCCAGCGCCTCCTCATCACTACTGCTGATCTCATCATCACTATTCTGCACCATGTGAATATTCTGTCCCTCCTTCTTCTTCCTCTCCCTCTGCTCCTCTTTCATCTTCGTCAATTCGTCGTCTGTGCATTCTTTTGTGATGATATGGAGACCTGGAAAGTTCCTTTCAAGGAATTCTTTCAGCAGAGGCAGGACGGACCCTTTGGGTCTGTAGGTGCCACTGTCATTATCTATCACTAGCTCGTAGCTTCGAGGATTTTTTGGTGGTGGAGAGTCTGGCGGACCACCAGGGATATCGGAATTAGGATGCGTTTCTTGGTCTGGAGAGGTCGCGGATTTCTCGGGATGCTGAAGACGTCGGACGAAAAATTCACCTGAGCAAGCGATATAGATGTTTACATCGCTGTGCATGGTATGTTTGGATAACAGGTCAATTCCAAACTCTTTGCCAGTTTCCGTGAAGCGAAGCAGGCCATCCAGCGTCAATACGTAGGTGAAGATGCGACCGCCTTCATCAAAATGAACCATTTTCAAAAATTGAAGGGCGGCTTCTTCGGATCTAGGCCGCACGGTCCCATATTCAGTAGTATTACTGAAGTTATAAACAGAGGCATGTTGGTGGTGGAGGGCATGATTCAGAACGCGTCCTCGTAGTCCAGCTTTCGAAAACATGCCTTTCACAAACGGTTTAAACTCGACGAAACGGTGGTATAGGTCTGCTGGTACTGGACCTTCTAGTTGGAACTGATTCGCTTGGAAGCTGCAAGTTATTAGTATGGCGCGCAAAACGATGCCCAAGACTCACTCGTATTTTTCTGTTCTGGGTTTATTTTCTTCGGAGCCTTGAGGCTGTCCTTTTGAACTCCCAGGAGCTTTTGTGCCTGCAATTCTCCCAATCATGGGAGAGTAATGCTTTACCCAGGATGTTAGTCCTACCGTATACATGCGCCCATGTGGCTTGTCTGATTCTCCAAGTAACTCGGCACTGAGCCAAAGGTTCCCGCTCATCTTCACACTGCTGAGCATTACAGCACAACTCCGAATCATGTATGCCCGCTTGCTCGCCATGCGCTTCTTGATATCAAAGCTCTCGTCACTTATCCCTTGCCAATCTGGGCCAATGCGATTGACATAGACCGTGACATTTCCCAAGCGATCGTCGTGATCGGAAGAATCCTCGTCGTACAGCCTGCACTTTAAGCGGAAGCCGCTCGAAGGTATACCTGCCACTATCCATTCCGTATCCCACACTGGATCTGTGTTTTTATGTATGGTCGGTGTCCTTATAACCAAATCAGGGTCTTCCTTGTGCCTCTTCACCAAACTCGAGGTCAAGGTAGCTTGGATGTACGGATCTGACGAGCGGGAGTTCAGATCGGAAACTGGGAGGTTCTTCGCGCGGTGAAAGGTGAACCTGATGGTGTAGCCATCTGGCGCAGAGGGAATCGGGGTTGCATCGAACCCCCCGGGTGGATTGGCCTTCAGTCGCAATTTCTCTTGCTTCCTTGTCATCTTATCTTTCAGCTTGTGTTGATGCTCTGGCTGCTTTTCAGCATCTTTCACTTGCCCTTCACTCTGCTGATTTGCATTTGCCTCATTCGAGTGGCTGTTGAGCGGCGCATCGTCTTTTTCATCCACCATTGTCGTCGTCGTTGTTAGTCTGAATTTGACTTTGGGCGTTCTTGAGAGCCTTAGGAGAAGCTCGGCGTACGCAACTCGAGGGCAGGACCGCCAATTAAGGCAGCGTAAGCACGAGGAAGTCTTAGGCGCGTGAATTTAGATTGTCGTCTCTGGCTCCGCCGTATACTGCTATTCATTCGCCTCGTCAGGTCAAGAGTTGCAGCGAAAATCGATCCACACGGTTATCGCGGCAGTGTTCGAGGCGGGTGGAGGTGGCTGGACGAGGGGAGGGCTCAAAATACAAGCTTTGCTTGGCAAACCAACGTCAAAAAGCTTGGCTGCGAACGGCGGTTTTCTGGGCGAAGCGATTCTGTACTGCACGATGCCGCGACGCCAGCGACGGCTCGACGTAGATCAAGTCAATCGAACTAACAAGGGCAAGTCTTGAGAGGGAGAGGGAGAGGGTACGAGTACTGTACTGCTTCCCTCCTTGGGCCAAATCCCCGCAGCGGCATCCAAAACTTGGAAGACACCCTGGTTGTCGCCCCTCGCCCCATCGACGTCACCGTGCATGAACAGTAAGCTGGCCCGTGATTTCGAAGATATACTTCGAACAGGATCCACTTGTAGAGTATACAGTAGGTAGGTAGAGCACATGCTTCATGTGCCGACATCCGCCGCGCGTGGCATTGGTGCTGTACATGTACTGTAGGGTGGTTGTTTCCGATAAAAGCTTTGATTGCCGACTGCAGGTGGTCTACAGCTTACCGATGGAGTAGAGCCATGCCATGCCATTGGGCATAATCCCTTCATGCAATGGACTGGCATTGGAACAATCCACTACCTGGAGGGAGGATATCTATTGGTCTATCAGAACGGCATGTATTGTAGCGGAGATGAGCAGTTTGTAGAATTTTGAAAGAGAGAATAGTAACGCATCGGAGATGGTACGCCTTTAAGGTGGAAAGCCATCTCTCAAAAGTCATCGTCTAAGCGGAGAGGCTCTTCTCGCACTTTTGATTGGGCCAGAATTTCATACTGGATAGTAGACATTCTGCCTCTGGATAAAGCAGGATCCCTTCCACCTTAGCGAACGCTCCGAAACAAACCGAAGCCAGATGTTCCTAAAGACCTTCCAATGCTAGGAAGAGCTATCTGTACAGTCATTATGAACATTCCGCTTTCCAATATCTAGAGCTAGTGCTGCAACCAAGCGCCTCTTCCTGAAAGCCCTAGCCATTAGTATTACTATCCATTTGCCTTTCCAACCCCTACCCCATAGCCTGATGGTAGGCCCCAACGTCACACCTTTCATGGTCTCCATGCCCTGTCCAAAGCATGCGATCAAATAATCAAACACAACGCCAAACAATGCAAAATCTTGTCCATGGTATCTTCAGATCATCTCGTCATTAAGCCGCCCAAAATGCTCCTCTACCGCTCAGGTATTGGTGCTTTCGCAAGACGTCCTCCAGCACTAACTCGTTTCTGCAGTCGTGCTTCGCGGTCTTTTTGCGCCCTCTCAGCCGAATTGCCAATTGGCAAGGAGCCCAAGGTATCACTACCAGAAGTTCCCCGGCCACTCTTCTGTTCAATGTACAGAGAAGCACTTCGACTCAATGGGAAAGCAGGTAAGGAACTTGGAATCTCCGCTCCATTCTGGACAAGCATTTCAGCAATTGGAAAAGCAACAACTTTCGCGGAGGTGTCAGGTCTCGAAGGCGAGGCTACAGGGGATGGAGAAGCAGGATCTGCAGCTGCGAGAGCCAGAAATACAGAGTGAGTTCCTCTTGACTTATCCAGAACATTAGGATTTGCTCTCAAGGCCAAGGCGTATATGACCTGCTGGATGTCATTCTTCTTGACGGCTGCCAAAAGCGTCTCATCTGCGGTTGCAAATCTTGACAATGTAGATGAGATAGGTTCAATGTAAGCCCTCTCGACATACTTTGCTGTGATGAACCTCAGCCTCTCTTCTCTCGTAGCCTGTGGTGATGGCTTCGTGGACTGGTCCAATTTTGCTTCCCAAACCATATTAGAAACCCGATTACCGACAAGGAGAAGAAGCTCAACAATATCCGTGGTAAAGGAGTTGATGTCGAGAGTGAGAGATCGAACTTTGCTGATGTGTGTACCTAGCGAACGGTGGATTCCACTACACTCGATGCAGAGAATAATCGCAAGGTTGATGGACACCCACTCGGTTTTAATACCAGAGCCACAGTCAGCGCACCAACAATTGCCTTGGTCAGCTTCCCTTAGGACCTGTAGCAACTTGTCGGGGCTTTCGTCATACCCACTGCTACTTTGGCGGTGATACGCAGGTCTTGCACCAACCGTGGTTCGTCTAAAAACGCCATTGTTTGCAGCTGCGGCACTCTGTGTCGTAGGATGGTTGTGACCATAGTTCATAGAAGAACTCTTTCCAGTCAAAATTGAGCCGATATCTCGTCGGATAGAATGTGCCTCTGGCTGCTTGGACGGGGCATCTCGCATGTCTCTGCCTTCTACAGCACTTTGTATGGCATTGTTGACAGCCGAGATCCAGTTGTTCATGTCGTCTTCCGATGTTGCTTGATACACCCGCTTGTATTGCGGAGTAATTACTTCGAAGCAGAATCTTCGTTCGGCATTACGTGCTTCACGGACAGATGCCATGCGAAGATCAATGGGCTCCATATGCAAGTCGAGCTTTTGCTTCCAGTTGCTGTACTCCGAGACCTTACCTGCATCAAGCACAATCCAGAACCTGGTGTTCGGTTAGTTGTGAATAATCCTAGTTCCGGCCAGAAACTCACTTGTGCCATGCTTGTTTGTTCAGGCCTCGCGGGTCAACATGACTGCCAGGCTTGCTCAGAGCCCACAAAAGTCCTTCTTTCCGTTGAGTACCACTGCTGTTAGAGACAAGATTGTGATCTTTTTCCTCCAGATCGCGAATACCTCGGAATTTTGAGTTTGGCCCGGGGCTTCCAACAGAGCCAACAACGGACGAAAGGCTTCCTGGTGATCTTGAGAACTCGGTCGTATGAGATCCATTGAGTGCATGAGACATTGCTGTTCCATTAGTAGGCACTTGTCTCAATGTCGTTGCTGTGCTGTCAGGCCGGCCAAGCTCTTGGTCGGAAATATACGCACTGCCAGTATTGGTAGTAGAGTGGGAGGTCTGCGGAGGAATCATAACTGCAGGCACCGTGTCGGGTTCAACATAGGTGACTGTGCTCTTCTCAAGATTGCGGCGCTTTTCTTCTCGTTCGGTACGTTGATACTGGAATTCCTTGTCGGCATCTTGCACTTCTGCATTCAAAGCATCCAATTGAGGGAGCATTTCTTCGACCTTCTTTGCAGTAGCTAGGTAGCTTGTAGTTTGAGCAGCAGCATACTTTGTCAAATGTGACAATACTTCTTGCTCCTTGCGGCCGCCATGAAGGTCCTGCATAAAAGAAGAGTAGTCAAAACGTTTTAACTCGAAGTTCCGGCGTTTGGTCTGGTACTTGGTATCGCTTTCTGCTCGCTTCTTCTGCTTTAGAGAGTCCTGTCGCTGGCCAAGATACCGAGACACGTAAGCGTAGTAGTCCTTGCTCTCCTCCTCAAAATCTCTCTTTTTGGCTTCGGCCTGCTTGATGTCGATATTATACAACTTTGTCAATGGGTCGATGATGATCCTTTGCAAATTAATCGTGTTTTGCTTCTCATATCCCAGAATTTCACGGGCAATCTTGTCGAAGTAATGCTCCAGTGCTGGCTGAACGGCGTTTGCGTTCGATGACGAGGCTTCCCTAAGAGCTTCCATGAAACCTGCGATGGCATCATTGCAGTCGATTTGTGCCATGTGAGCAGCTTCTGCCTTCTTCAAGACTTTCTTCATGCGTTGTCTCATGCTGCCTGTCTTTTGCTCAAGAGCCTTCATCGTAGCTCTAAACAGAGGACCATCTTCAGTAGCACTCATATCCTCTCCGGGGCGCTGACAAGACACATCGACCTTTACCAAATCTTTTTGTGGGATTGACGTGTTCCCTGTCGAAATTTCAAATGAAGCCAAGTTTGGGGATATGGGTTCATCATATTCGCGAGTATCTGTTCCACTGACTCTCGAGTCCATAGACTGTGAAGAAGGAAGGCGTAATTTGGGTGGAGGTACGAGATGGAATGGGGGTGAGGGAGAATTCGGCTGGCTTAGGAAGCCTTGGTTATCTGCAAAGGCATAAGTATATATAGCGGTTGGCCCTGAGCTTCGAAATGACTTACTTGAGACCCAAAAGGAGAAGCTGGCGAGAGTAACGAGTCGATGTGCACGAGGATCATACTCTACAAACTATGAAGGATTAGCTAGCGTATGAAACAAATATATACTGTGACTTACACTGCAGTTGTTCCTCCAACCACCTCCCCTATCCTCAGCCGGCTTCGGAGGCCGCCACCTCCAAGAAAATTCGAATGATACTGATTGACTCCCACCAGTTGAATAATCCCCTACCAATTGTACATTTGCATTCTTGTGTAAGTTAGGATCAGCATGAAATTCTCGAGTCACCAAAATGTCTACATCTTTGGCGGTCGATGCGGAAACGTAAGTGAGGCCTGTAATGGATGTGTCCAGGCTGCCAGTGTCTTGTGTACTGCCATTTGCCGCAGCTATGACCTGTTGTGTCTGTCGGACAACAAATGTGAATTTGAAGGTAAGCTCGTCGTCATTATTGATCTTGAGTATGAAGCTCGGGGAAGGGGCGGTTAACGTTTCGGGGTCCTGGTGCAGGCAAATAAGTCAGTGTTTGTTTGTTCGTAAAATCGCAGCCCAAAAGCAGGACATTGATATCAGACATGGCCATATTTCACAACACTGTTATCTCCTACTTCAATGGTAAAGTCCCGACGGATAAGAGGAATCTCAAATACCTGAACATATTCTACGGCATTGTTATCTCCAAGGTCTCGGGATGCAGACACCTTAGTTGCTGGGTATGCGTTTGGCACCACGTTGAGGATAGTTCGACGGCGTGAATTTGTAACGTACAAGGACGAGATTGACACTATGCGCACATATGAACACTCTTCAATGAACTCTTCTTACGCATACTTACGTCTAGCCTGATCCCTGAGATAGAGGGCAGCGCCATCGTCAGGCCGGCTACTGACATTCCCCATCTTCGAAGTTTACCCCACCAAGGGGCGCAAACGGTTGGAAAGTGGTGGGTGTATCGTCCTTTCGTTGTCTTGGGTAATGCGATCGCGCGCAGTTGAAGATATAGTTCCGGGCATCTAGGTGAATGCTTCAATGATGCTTATTGAAAGAACAAATGCGGGTTGGAGATGAGTGGAAGGGAGAATGTGTTTTCGAGGGTGTAGGATGCCTCTTTTAGAACCTGAGGTATGTACAACCCTCCACGGCGCTAGAAGGGCTCGCTTAGGGGAGCTCGAAGAATTGAAGTTATTTTTACGTTCACGGAAAAGCACGTTTGCCCCCGCGTGTGAGTGCTAATCACTACTATCAACTGACCGTTTGCTGATTGTCCGTTGACCATTCGGCATCTGGTTTGCATCTGTGGCGATTCCCAAAAACCAATCTCTGCCTTCAAGGGAGGTGATGAAGAGGTCACTTTTACGTTTCAGGCATGGGAACGGGCGGTTAGGATTAGGATTGCAACGGCAAGATGTTTCAGAGCGGGGATAAATTAGTCTTGGGATTTCCGCAGGCGTTTGACAGGTGGATCAACTGCACGGCTTCAGTACTTCGAGAAGACGGGCGCGAGACTCGACCTTGAATGCTCAAGCATGCCATGATCCACCTCAATGCTGACGCATATCTCGTTCTCCATCGCTGACTTCTTTCACCTTTTCTTTTCCAGGCATGACCAGTCGACAAGGGTCGATCATATGCCATGGCGGCTGATTTCGATCATAAGGCTCCAAGATGCCGAGAAGCCCGGTGACATTCTTGCAGATGGTCATTTATCGAAGTACCTGACGACATGCTTCGGCTTCAGTATGGGGTGGCCTTTGAGGTTACAGGTACAGTGCTACATTATTGTTGACAGTGGTGTGCGAGGTGTCTGTCTGGCTTGTGACGTTGGTATCGATAAGGAAGCTCGCTAGCCTCGGCCTCGGCTACTGTAAGGATACCTTCAGCCTTGGCCTCGACGCAGGAGGAACCATTAAGTTCCAGGTGACTTTTGGCTGCTTCAAGAGCATGCACCTTTTAATATCGTCATGACTAGTTCCAACCAAGAGAAGTCTTTCGCGGCCGCAACAGCTGTGAAAGCACTATCCTCGAACCTCTACGAGGCTTTCTTTCCCGATGATTGGGCTATCGGTTCAGGCAAGTTGTGTACTTCGTCTTCTGACACATCTAATCCCTCTGTTCTTTTCTTTGAGGTGGCTTGGGTAGCTGCCCTTTGCCCTGCTTGAAAGTCTAATTCTCTGTCATTGCATGACCGAGAAACTGCTGAAATGACAAGTTTTGCCAATGGTCTGAAGCACACAGCTAACATTCAGAAGTCCCCCATGGAGGCTACGTAACCTCGGTATTCTTACAAGTTGCAAGTGCTCACTTCAATACGACACTTTCCGCTCAAAAACAACCTCATACCATCGCTTTACATCTCGACTTCCTTCGACGTACTCAAGAGGGCCGAGCTCTGTTTACAGTCAAGAACACTAAGCTGGGTCGCCAGACTTCAGTAATCCATATCACGCTCTCCCAGGATGGCCGGGAAGAGGTTGCTGGCTCCCTTACGCAAAGCGATATCAGCTCTGAATCCGGTGTCTCATTTGACACTGGGTTCTCACTCACCCCAGCCCCTCTATCAGTGGACTTGATAAAGTTAAAAGAGGACAACGATGACAACTGGAAGAAATCAGGACCCATGCCGTTTGCCGAGTTCAGAAAAGCAACCAGGAAGACGCAGTTCTACCTCCCTCGCAACGGCCAAGCAACTTGGAGCTGGGCAGATCAGTGGATCAGAATGAGCAACGGAGAGAAATGGACGAACGAATCTATCGGCTACGTGGTGGACATGTTCAGTACGTACCTGGCTTTTTCTTCTGCTTGCCAAAATCTTAGAATTTTCCTGTGGCATCGACACGTGGTCTATTTATCATTAATTCCAAGCGATCGTCGTGTGCATGTCTTATACCTTTCATGGAACATTCCTGAGACGTATTTACTGACTTCCAATGGGTATAGTGATGCCCGTTGAGGCCCATCTCCAGCTCGAGGTTGCTGAGAAAACGGCTGCTGGATCCGGGACTGGCTCACCGAGGAAGTTTTGGTACCCGACTGTGTTGTTGAATTTGGATGTTAAGAAGGCATTGCCGACGGACGGGGTGGAATGGCTATTTAGTAGAACAACAGCGAAGCAGGTGAAGAACGGAAGGATGGATCTAGAGATTATTGTCTTGGATGAGCAAGGCGACATTGTGGCTTTAAGCCATCACATTGCTTTAGCCGTTGACTCCTCGAGGAACCTTGCGAAGCGAATCACTGGAAACAGTAAGATGTGAGCTATCGTAGCTCACGTGGGTGGTGATGGAATACCTTCACTACCAACAACCCACCTATAGCCACTGCAGGCTAACCTTCGCAGATAGCTCTCCTATAGATTTTAGTGCTGTAAGACAATCGCCTCAATTTCCCCCACAACGACCACATACCATAATTCTAGTAATAAAGGAGGGCTGAATAGCAATTTGGTCACTAGACATATTCTCATCTTTTCTGGTGTTACTCCCGAAGGCAGACTGGATACTAGGTGGGCATCGAGTGATAGAAGCAGTAAATATTGAAGAGACTTAGGCACGTACCGATGACATGACGCATAATGGGCAGGTGATGTGGATATGCTCAATAATATTCATTCCCCATGCATCTACCAAACTACATCCTCCGCAAGGGAATCCAAGCAAACCGCAATGCATAAAGCTCCATTAGAGCAAGACAAGAGCACGCGTTCTAATTTCGCGTTTGAATGCATTCTATGATGAAAGGAAAGGCCCTCATTCTTCCATTACCCCCTTGCAAGCCCACCTCCCCAATCATGCCATGCATGTATGCCATCGAGTGGTACCGCGGAAAACCTGGTGGAGATTGACGTCCAGTCTGTGGTCTGTAGGTGCCGCGTACTGTGTGTCCGAGGTGACTCTGGTTTTTTTTGAGGCCAATATGAGGCTTTGCACGTGTTGCTGGCGGGGTATATCTGGGAAGAGGTGCTTAATGCAATACTGCAAATCTTGGACTGCTTCACATGAAATCATCACTGTCACGCATTAGAAAAATTCTAGTTGATCAGATCCCGGTCAAACTTACTCTCCAAAGTCATCATCATAAGCTTGCGTATCAGCAACAGCAGAGACATTTCTACTGGCAACCAATGCAACCTTAGTCTTCTGAGCCTTGCTCTTCTTGCCACCCTTCTCAGCATTCTTCTCCTCCTTCATCTTCTCGTTACTCAAAGCAGTCAAGGTGCTAGCAATCTTCTTTATTTGATCGCTGGGAAGATCCTTGGCGAGTTGCTTGGTGAACTCCTGGAGGAAAATAACATATTGAGCCTTCTTGTTGTTGTTGGAAATGACTGGGACGAGAGTGTCACGAAGTTTCTCGAATTGCAACTTGGTCTTGGGATCGAAGAGAGGGAGCGCGGTCAAGTCGACAGTTGAATTGGGGTCTTTAGAGTCGATCACAACGGCATTTGCGGCGGTGGTAGCCTTGCGGGAGTTGCTGATACCGATATTTCCAAACAGATCCTCAGCGTGCTTCAAATCGGATTCCTGCTCAGTCCGTCGAAGCCGTTCACGTCGCGCAGCCTCATCTTCCTCACTGCTCTCCTCGTCACTCTCTTCAGCAAGTCGTCGTGCCTTCTCGGCCTGCTTTTCAGCAATACGTTGTGCTTTGCTCTTCTTGTTTGCGGCAGCCTCAGCGTCAGCTTTGGCCTTTCGCTCAGCAGCAACCTTTGCCTTCTCACGCTCGACCTCCGAGTCTTCCGCGGCATCCCAACTGTCTAGCACATCGCTATCATCTTCTTCATCGTCGAATTTTCTGCGAGTAGACACGGCGGCTTGTGGTGGCGAGGAGGGAGGCGTGGAACTGTCCACTTCTTCATCTGCTCGATCGTGTAGCGGTCAGTTTACAATACAAGATATACAATATGTCATCATTGTACATGGTCTCCTGCATGGCCGATCTCGAAGTTGCATCACGCTGCTTTGCATCACGATATGAATCGTGTTGTTGTAGAAACCGACGTGGCCGTCGCATCATGACGTGCCCTAGGCATGAGGGGAAAGAAAGGAAATGCTTACCCCACTTCTCAGGCATGATGACGGATTTTAAAATAGATTTTTTGATTTGGAGTGTTTGCGAGAATAGTCAGAACTTAATGTGGTATCGGTTTTGTGCGAATATTCGTGGGTGGAAAGAGAACGGTTTGCGATCGCGGGAGTATTGTGGGAAAGGGAGGGCTTGGGCAAGGAAACTGGTTGCGGCCTGACTTCATTAGACTGCGCTAGTCGCCTCAGCCCGGGTTCAGGTCGTGAGATTCTTCCACGTGCACACACAACCCAAAGAAATTGATGCTTCCTTTGTTTTTGCAATAAATCTTGCTGTGAAATTTCTCGTGATGTTTCCCTTTCAAATTTGTTTACGAAGTAGAAGTCCTGGACGTTTCTCGTAACTTTGCGGCCCTGGATCGAAAAAGGAGACCGCAGCTCCAAACCAGGTTCCAGTCCATGATAATCACGAGAATTCACAGGACTTTTTAGGTTATATATTTTATCACTTGAGTGCTTCATGCAGTTGAAGAGGCAATAAGACATGTAAAGCACAACTTTTCGTTCATTCGTCATAAAGCCATTGGTGCAAGTCATCCCCGGTTCTGCTTCCCGTTCGTTACATTCGATTCACCAGCAGTATTTACAAATTGACTGCGGTTCTGAAGTTCTTTCCAGCAAAGACTGCTTTATCTCCAAGCTCTTCTTCAATTCGGAGGATCTGTACGGAGGGTTAGTATCACATTTGGTGAAAAATATGCGCTATTTCAATTGCTTACCTGGTTCAATTTGGCCAAACGCTCGGATCTAGCTGGTGCACCAGTCTTGATTTGTCCAGCTCTGATACCAACAACGATATCAGCGATGGTAACATCCTCGGTCTCTCCAGAACGGTGGGAGACCATGACACCCCAGCCGGCGGCATAGGAATCCTTTGCGGCTTGGATAGACTCCGTGAGGGTACCGATTTGGTTGACCTTGAGCAGAAGAGCGTTGCAGGACTTGAGCTCAATAGCCTTCTTGATACGGATGGGGTTGGTGACAGTTAAGTCATCTCCAACAATCTGGAAGTCAGAGGTCTTGTAGAAGTAGCTCCAGGCTTCCCAATCATCCTCGGCGAATGGATCCTCAATACTGACGATTGGGTACTTCTTGGCGAGGTCCTGGTATTGCTGTGCGAGTTGCTCGTAGGTAATCCACTTGCTTGGGTCGCTGTCTGGGTTCTTGAAGTCCAAATCGTACTTCTTGACATCCTCCTTGTAGAACTCGCTGGATGCAACATCCATGGCAATGTCGACCTGGCCTGTGTAGCCAGCCTTCTCAATAGCTTCGGTGATGAGCTCAAGAGCTTCCTCAGCTGTCTGAATGTCTGGTGCAACACCACCTTCGTCTCCAACGTTACCAGCGGATTGTCCGTACTTCTTCTTAGCAAGACTCTTGAGAATCTGGTAAACCTCAGCACCCTGACGGAGGGCCTCAGTGAAGGATGGGGCGGAGCTAAGTAAGTTAGTTTCCGCACTGGTTTCTGGTTCCCAGGGGAGATAACCGGGTAAGACTTACGAAGGAACAATCATGAACTCTTGGAATGCGAGACGACCACCAGCATGGGAACTGTACTTCGTCAGCTGGCACTTCGCTTTCTCATCTTTGACAAGCATACCCTCCATTAAGAACGTTCATGAATGGCACAGGGAGAACGTAAGGCTTCTTAGTACCGGCAAGGTCGGAAACGTGGGCGTAGAGTGGGATTTGCTGCACTTTCTTAGAATGAGATTATCTCAAATGACCAGAATTCTCACCTTCTCAGCAGCGGCAGCCTTGGCAACAGCCAAACTGACACCGAGGATGGCATTGGCACCAAGCTTTCCCTTGTTTGGGGTTCCATCGAGATCGATCAAGAACTTGTCAACCTTTTGCTGATCCTTGACATCGATATTCTCCTTGATCAAGGCAGGGCCAATGACCTCGTTAACGTTGGCGACAGCCTTGAGGACACCCTTTCCAGCCCACTTGGCCTTATCTCCGTCACGGAGCTCGACAGCCTCATGTTGGCCTAAGTCACAGCTCAAATCAGCGGGGTCTTGTATAATTCGAATCGAGGCTACGTACCGGTAGAAGCACCGGAAGGGACGATGGCGCGGTGAAGACCAGTCTCGGTGACAACATCAACTTCGACGGTTGGGTTACCGCGAGAGTCGTAGACCGAACGAGCGTGGATCTTGGTAATGGCCATGATTGGATTCTGATGGAGGGATAATTGTTAGTCGTTGAGAAAGAACGGGAGGAACGATGGTAGCTCACCTGCTTTTGTATGCGTGATAGTTTTATCTTCTGCGAAGCACAGATTGTCAGTTGATCGGCAAACAGAGTTGAAGAAGAAATATGCTAGGAGGGGATGTGGGGTGAGGTGACAGCCAAACGCCGTGGGGGATGCTATGCGCCTTTATCGGCGGGCTAATACGCACTCGAGCAGATGAGAGTAGGGTTTATGTATGTGGTAGGTTCAATTGGATGGGGGGGGTATGGTACTGACCTTTGTGGGTGTGGCTTTGGAGGAGGAAGAGGAGGTAGTGAGGAATGTAGAGGGTTGATGTAGTGGCAGTGAGGGGCTTTTTCAGTTGGGAGCTTTGAGGTTGGTGGGGGACAGATCCTGGTCTGGAGGGGTTGAAAATCGCGCCGGTGAGCAACAGGGTTTCGGCTGCACTCGAGGCTGTCCATGCTGGCTGGAGCTGGGCAATGATTCTTGCAGGGAAGAGGAGGGAACCGCCGAACCGCCTGGTACAGTACAGGTGGTCCACTTGTTTTGCAGCCTCGCCTTCGATTGAATTCCATGGTTGATAAAACCGCATGTCATATTCAGAATTTTGAGACTGAGGTCTATCTGTTTAATCTCAACCAGATTGGTTGTTCATACATCCTGCTCTCATCTCTTTGGTATGTCGCTATTGGGTTTAGACTCACAGGTACAGGAGGTTCATCTGATTTTGAATGTATATCCTTGCTGGTTTCTTCATCTTTTCATGTCATCGGACAAGGCCGTTCATATACCTACGTTGGTACAGCCGTACGAAGGCCGTAGAGATAATCGCAATTTGATCTTGCGATTTTCCTCCGATCATAGGATACCTGAAGTGCCCTGGAGCAGACCTGTCCGATATCTCATTGGCCCGTCCCGTGAATCATCCCACCGCCAAAGCAAACACTTCCATCCTCTCCCTACCGACACCACCCCCGAAACCCAGTGAGGAGACTGCATCTGCAAATGCCAGACAAAGAGATTGTTTGACTGATGAAGATCAAAACTCTCAGATGTCACAGAATGTCTTTCTTCGAGAGTCCGAGTGGAACTGCCCACTCTCTGTGTATTGTTGACAATTCAGCGTGTGATCTTGATAGGTGCTCAAGAATTCGCCAGTACGTCTTCAGTCCAGGACATGGTATGATCGTTCTTCAGGGGTGATACGATATTGATGACTCCTGTCCCACTGGACCTAACCTGACTTTGCGATTTCATCTTTCCCACATATCACGCTTCAAAGCCCCCTTCCGCGGCCCTACTCGGCCAAACAGATCCTCGACGCCAAGTTTCTCAATTCGCTGACGGGACCCTTGATATAAGTACAGATAGTCAAACTTCTCAATACGAAAATCACATAAAGTGTTTCTCGAAGCCATAAGTAGACGAATAATGTCATTTTGACAAAACTAACTTCTTGCTGTGGTTGATGACATCACCTTCATGGTAGTCAAGATGACACAACATGTTGACCAAAACTTAACTAGGCACAGGTACATATCTTCGTAGTAGAACACTGCTACTGTAGGTACACTTATCGCTTTGATTGTAACGAATGATCCAAAGGCAGCCGGAGATCAGAACTGAAAGTTAAGCTTCCTAAGTAGCCATACTTTTGTGGAATTGTGTTCGAAGAGAAGAAACGCGAATGCTGAGATCATATGTCTTGATTTCCAGAGAAACTACGTAAGGAGTTGAACCTGGAACAGCAAGTCTTGTCGCAAAGCCCAAAAATATCACATTTCTAATCACGACTGCCTGCTCCAGCTAGATTGTTGACTGGAACAAAATTATCTCAATAATAAGGTGCTGGGAAATGAATCCTTGTCACGTGTGTCTCCGGACGGGTTCATATTGTTCCGCGCCTGCGTTAGGCAATTGCTACTGCGCGTTTACCAGTGAGCTGTAGAGTGTCACAGTCAACAGAACTTCAAACCCAAGTAACTTCGTCCGCCAACATTCTCCTACTCCTACGAACCGCTCGGCCTCCTTTCGACATACTACTGAATCTCTATACAACCACTACTGCACTTCGATATGTCTGACGAGGAGCGTCAACACGCGCTCGCATCGTTCAAGACGAAGCTACTCGAATCCAGAGAATGGGAAGCTAAGCTGAAGGCTTTACGGTTGGAGATCAAGGGCTTACAGAAGGACTTTGACCATACGGAAGATAATATCAAAGCTCTACAAAGTGTTGGGCAGATCATTGGAGAGGTCTTGAAACAGCTTGATGATGAGAGATGTAAGTAGCCTCAAAGTCTCCAACATCTAGCATAGCTAATCATGGACTTTCAGTCATCGTCAAGGCTTCCTCCGGTCCAAGATATGTCGTTGGATGTAGATCGAAGGTCGACAAGGCTGCGCTGAAGCAGGGAACCCGAGTTGCTCTTGATATGACCACCCTCACTATTATGCGAATGCTACCCCGAGAAGTCGACCCTCTCGTGTACAATATGTCCCTGGAGGATCCAGGTCAGGTCAGCTTTGGTGGCATTGGTGGACTGAACGAGCAGATTAGAGAGTTGCGGGAGGTTATTGAGCTTCCTCTGAAGAATCCCGAATTGTTCCTGAGAGTCGGCATCAAGCCTCCGAAGGGTGTGCTACTCTACGGGCCCCCAGGAACCGGAAAAACGCTGTTGGCAAGAGCTGTGGCAAGCAGTTTGGAGACAAATTTCTTGAAAGGTATGCTCCAGGCATTATATTGTCATTGAGCACGGCTGACCGCTTGTAGTTGTTTCCTCTGCAATCGTCGACAAGTATATTGGAGAATCGGCACGTTTGATTAGAGAGATGTTCGGATATGCAAAGGAGCACGAGCCATGCATTATTTTCATGGACGAGATTGATGCTATTGGAGGACGCAGATTCTCGGAGGGTACCTCGGCCGATCGTGAGATTCAGCGGACGCTGATGGAGCTTCTCAATCAACTCGATGGTTTCGACTACCTTGGCAAGACAAAGATCATTATGGCTACGAACCGACCGGATACCCTCGATCCCGCACTTCTCAGAGCTGGAAGATTGGACAGGAAAATCGAAATTCCCCTCCCCAATGAGGTTGGCCGCTTGGAGATTATGAAAATTCATGCAGCTGGTGTGGTTACTGAGGGAGATGTTGATTTCGAGAGTGTCGTAAAGATGAGTGATGGGCTCAATGGTGCTGATTTGAGGAATGTTGTTACAGAGGCGTATGTTTGTCCCAGTATTGTAACGAGAGCAGTTACTAACATTTCACAGTGGTCTATTCGCGATCAAGGACTACAGGGACGCTGTCAATCAAGACGACTTCAACAAAGCGGTACGCAAGGTTGCTGAATCGAAGAAATTGGAGGGCAAGCTGGAATACCAAAAGCTCTAGATAATGATCTGTTTCTTGCGTAGGCGCTCTGGCATAGGTTAAGCTCAAGGCTTTACTCTGTAACAATACCATATCGAATTCATAGATTCTATCTTATGAGCGTGCTTTCTACTGTATACTCCGGTCCCCAATATATCTGCAGCATGATCTGGTGGTTGTTAGGGACCGTATTAGTTGTATGTTCTTCCGATGGTGGATAGCTTTGCTAACAAAGCCGCCAAATTCAAACAGCTACCTTGGTCCTCTTTTGATACTCTGCCTCTGCCTCCATATGAACTCGTGAGAATGCAATGCTCCTCTTACCTGAACTGTTGGAGAGTCAACTTGCAATTGTTTTAGTATGAAGCTTACCTGAACATGTCTTTCCTCAAATCTTGGATGTGATAGCCATGTTCTAGGCTTCTCAATATCTGTTCTCCTTCTGCCAAAAAAACCTCAAGTTGAGGTACTACTGGATCTCTGTACCACTGTAGCTCATCCCTAGTTGAACATTCCATCATGTGCGCATGTCCGGTTCGGCAAGCTACCTTACCTAGAGCAGGCGTCGAGCTGGTAGCTCCATGTGTCTTCACTTGCGATAAGTATCTCCATAGTGTTCACAGCTCTCGAAATACTTCTATTCAAGAAACAGTTATCGAGGAACTTGTAAATATGCTCCTTTTCTGCTTGTCGCGTCTCGAATGTATGCATGAAATATGTCGGAACCAGAATTCAAGCCTAGTGCTTCCTGGCAACATACAGATCTGGAAGTGAAGAAGGGTAGCACCAGTCTTTATTAGATGTGGGAACTAGCACTACGTCCATGGATGAGCAAGACAAATTTTGGTACGATACTTGAGGCTCCCACAGGTCTTGACTTGAGACTTGGTCCAATATTTTTTTTTAATTTAGAGATTATCAAGCCGCTTTGATGTCCGCATCTTTTCCGGACTTGATTTACATCTTTTTAAACTATGAGCAACGATGGGGTCGGACATATCAGGTACTCGTGAGGATCGAGATCGCCCTCCGCCATATCGACCTCGAACAGATGTTCCGGTTCAATCTGAGAGCAATGTTGTTTGTGCTGTCAGGACGCTTTCCCACGAGTTTTCAGGTGGGTGAATCTCTAGAGTTGTCGATCTTCAGCACACCCAACGCTGACTTTAATCAGCAATGATCCAAGTGAAGTTATCAATATCAACCCTTTTGGCAAGACAGAGGTATTCGTTTTCAGCCTGACGACATCATAGACTCGACGTTGTTAAGGACTTCTCGACATCATCAACCAAAGTAGCAGCGATACCACAACACTGGAATAGATCAAAATGGCTCCGAAGAACCAGGTGAATACTAATTCGAAAGCTCCAAGGGCCATGGAACTTCTCAGTCACTGGGTCTAAACGGGCAAACTCGTGCCCATCATTCGACACATATCCGCACCCACATTTCCTCACGTTGCTCTCTACATCGTTACGTGCAACCTAGCCATGGATAAACTTATTACAAGGTTTGCAGAGATCAACGCGACTCCAAGTGTCCATTTCGCTCGATGGACTTTCAAAGTTGGGAGGCGAGAGCGCGCCATCGCAATTAAAAGATGTGGTGCTCCAGTTTATGCTTCATGATACCCGGAGTTTGGAAGATGATATATATTGGAAAAGCAGAGTGACGAGCATTTTGTAGGAAAATGGGATCATGCATTGCTTCTCATGCTGGTACAGAGAGCGGCTGGGAGGGGCTACCTGTTTGTCCAGCCGTCGTGGAAGAAAGGATGTCGCTTTCATATCTATCAGCACACAGAGCCTTGTGGCGATTGATAATTTTTGTGGCTAAGATATGATAAGACTGCACTTGCAAACGTTGTATGTGGGCAGCAATCCCAAGTCTAGGAATTCAAAATCGACAGCCGCAAGAGTTGAACCACCCCTTGATAGGCCGAAACAGACGGCGACTGAACAATTCGCTTCCTGCTTTTGGTCTTATAATAACACTCTTGACGTTTCTCAGAATCCAAGGACTTGTTCCAAGGATGTGGCGAACGATCAAACATGGACTTTGCAGATGCCGTTGACAAATGTGAGCTGCTTGGAGGATTCATGAAAATCGACTTGCCGCCGTCTCTCTCTGATTCAAGTATTCGTCTGCTTTTGTCCATATCATGACTATCCAAGCTTCTCAAGACAGGCAAGAGCTACATATGGGCAGCATCTGCCAGACAGCAACAAAGAAGATAAGCTCGTGCCCAAAATTCCGATGCTAGGTCAGAATCAACTTTGCGAGACTTCGTATAGCGGGCTTGATCTTGACTCTGCTGTAGATAACGTTCTCTTTCATCATCCAAAGTGTCAGGAAAGGCTTGAGACAACCTACTTCAGATAATAAAGAGTCTTCCGTCAACAAACCTCTCGGCTCACCCGGGACGTGGGGCAATATTCAAGTTTCATGCCCGTCCCGCCGTTGAGCCATGATCTCGTGTAGAGGATGGATTCTGTTTGTTGATTCAGAAAGGTTGAGGCAAAGTTTTAGCCACAGGTTTGCCTCCGAGGCAAGTAAAATGGGTTGAAAAATGTGCATCCGTACAGACTTCGTATTCACCTGCTCCCGCGTAGAAACTTCCAGCGGCATGACATGGCGATGAGGAATTGCCGGCACTATTGAATGGAATGGATACTCCGTAAACATCTGATCTATTTTCCAACTCACGCAAGAAATGTACAGTAGAACTCCACTCTCGCGTCATGGGCCCGTGTTGAACACTGCCTTGGCGTCGTTGACATGATGAAAACGATCTTGTCTTGTGTCAACTATGGGGTCCCAAGAAATACCCCTGACTACCGTCCTGTAGATCTCCTAAAAATGGAACGCTGTGTGGCTGTGGCTCGTCGTAAATTTACAGCCCAGCCCAGGCCCCAGTGGCCATCCCTGATGGCTGGAGCCCCGAGGCCGAGGCCCCCTATCCAATTAATGCTGTTGACCCGTGTGCAAGCCGAAGCTTCGTTCCGTACAACCAGCAACGCAGGCGAGAGCGAGCAGCGCAGTGAGACGGGATCCTAAGCCCGTCGCATCAGCCGCACTGCCAGCCCAGGAGCTTGTGCTTGCACCGAAAAGTGCTGGAGAGAGCCCTGGAGCATGTGAACCAGCTAATTTAGATACCTACAGTAGTACTGCACACTGTACTCGTAAATTTACTGTACGTATTCCGCGTTCGGAAAGGCCACAGGCTACAGGCAGAGAGAGGGAGAGACAGGGCCTGGACACTGGACAGGACAGGACTGCACAAGCGTGCGGATGCTTGCGGTAAGCGCAAAGAGCGGGGAGCCAGGAGCGAATAGGTAGTGAATCGCGTCTGAGGACTGAGGGCTGAGGGCTGAGGGCTGAAGGGCCCCTCGAGCGGCCCTGCGCTTGCGCTTGCCCTTGCTTGGCTCAGTTCCAGTGCGATTACAGTTCTGAGTACAGTACAGTACTACGGACTGTATTCGGTTCTGTTCTGGTTGTTGGAGCAATAATAAAGGTGACCGGGGTGGCCAGGGGGCAGAGGGGGCAGGGGGGGCAGGGGGCCCAGCTACCTGAGCTAAGCTAGACGAGTTTCACACCTGCCAGCCCAGCTGCCTGTGTCCGTACCTTACCGTACCTACCTTGCCTTGCCTTGCCTTGCCTTGCCTTGTCTGGCTTGCTGTGCTTCTTCAACGACTATTTACTTCATTCCTCCCATCATCCCATCCCATCCCATCCCATCCTCCCGCTCTCGTACAACTAAGCCATCTATCCTTCCACCCGTTGCATCGCATCGCAAACACAGCGTTGATTCATTGCATTGCCTTGTGTCTTCAATTCTCTTGAGTCCTGCCAGCAAAAACAACCCCTCGCACCCCGCAAATCAGCAACGAAGCGCCCCTTTTGATCTTCCGAGCTCTTGCTGGACAGCAGACTGCAATCATGTGTGGAATCTTCGGTTACATCAAGTAAGTTGAGGAAACGTTGCTTTTGCAGATATTGGACAGTCTTCAGATAATCGAACTCTTCCTTGCCGTTTGTTTGGGCTGGGCTGCTTCTGCTGCTGTTCTTGGGCATTCAATGGCAAGGAGACAATTGCTAACTATGTCAATAGTTACCTTGTTGAGAAGGACAGGAAGACCATCATCGAGACACTCGTAAATGGACTCTCCCGAGTACGTCTTCCAAACTCCCCAAGCTTCGAGATTCGAAATTTCGACCAAAATAGTCTCCTCGAATACAAGCTAATGATTGGGATAGTTGGAGTACAGAGGATATGACAGTGCTGGCTTAGCTGTCGACGGAGACAAGAAGAATGAGGTCTTCGCATACAAGGAGGTTGGAAAAGTTGTCAAGTTGAAGCAACTCATCGAGGAGCAGAAGCCAGATATGACCAAGATCTTCGACTCGCATGCTGGTATTGCACACACCAGATGGGCAACCCACGGCCCTCCCTCTAGACTCAACTGCCATCCTCACAGGTAAGCTTGTGAGAATCCTCATGCCACCTGCACTTTCTGACTTAAAGCCCAGATCCGACCCAACTTGGGAATTTTCTGTCGTTCACAACGGTATTATTACCAACTACAAGGAGCTCAAGACTCTGTTGACGTCGAAGGGCTTCAAATTCGAGACTGAGACTGATACCGAGTGTATTGCCAAGCTGGCGAAATACCTCTATGATCAACACCCAACAATCGGATTTACGGATTTGGCAAAGGCTGTCATCAAGGAGTTGCAGGGAGCTTTCGGTCTTTTGATGAAGTCCGTCCACTACCCACACGAAGTCATCGCGGCCAGAAAGGGTTCCCCATTGGTCATTGGTGTACGCACAGAGAAGCGGATGAAGGTTGACTTCGTTGACGTCGAGTATACCGAAGATGGACCCCTTCCAGCCGAGCAGGCATCCCAAAATGTTGCACTGAAGAAGTCAAATGTCGGCAACTTCCTTGCAGCTGGCAACCTTCTTGCGCCCCCTGACAAGTCTCTTCTGCACAGATCGCAATCGAGAGCATTCATGACTGATGATGGAGCGCCAATGCCTACCGAATTCTTCCTTTCTTCCGATCCTTCAGCTATCGTAGAGCACACCAAGAAGGTCATGTACCTTGAGGATGACGACATTGCACACATCCACGAGGGTTCTCTCAACATCCACAGACTGACCAAGGCCGATGGATCCTCCAATGTCAGAACTATTCAGACTCTCGAGCTGGAACTCCAAGAGATCATGAAGGGCAAATTCGACCATTTCATGCAGAAGGAGATTTTCGAGCAACCTGAGTCAGTTGTCAACACCATGAGAGGTCGTATTGACGTGGAAAACAAAGTGGTCACCCTGGGTGGGTTGAGATCATATATTGCCACCATCCGCCGATGCAGAAGAATCATCTTCATTGCTTGCGGAACCAGTTATCACTCCTGCATGGCTGTCCGAGGTGCATTTGAGGAGCTCACTGAGATCCCAATCGCAGTTGAATTGGCTTCGGATTTCCTTGACAGACAAGCGCCAGTTTTCCGTGATGATACATGCGTCTTTGTATCTCAGTCTGGTGAGACTGCCGACTCCCTGATGGCTCTCCGCTACTGCTTGGAGCGTGGTGCTCTGACTGTCGGTATCGTGAACGTTGTCGGTTCCTCTATCTCCCTCCTCACCCACTGTGGTGTTCACGTTAATGCTGGTCCCGAAATTGGTGTGGCTTCTACCAAGGCCTACACATCTCAATTCATTGCTATGATCATGTTCGCACTATCGTTGAGCGAAGACCGAGCATCCAAGCAGAAGAGACGTGAGGACATCATGGAGGGTCTTGGAAAGATCTCGGAGCAAATCAAGGACATTCTGAAGCTCGACCAGCCGATCAAGGAGCTCTGTGCAAGAACATTCAAGAACCAGAAGAGTCTTTTGCTCTTGGGCAGAGGTAGCCAATTCTCAACAGCTTTGGAAGGTGCTTTGAAGATCAAGGAAATTTCCTACCTCCATTGTGAGGCTGTTATGTCTGGAGAGCTCAAGCACGGTGTCTTGGCTTTGGTTGATGAGAACTTGCCCATTATCATGATTCTCACCCGTGATGACATCTTTGCTAAGTCTCTCAATGCTTACCAACAAGGTATGTTGTTTCGGTGCTCGATTTGAGAAATCTACTAATGAGTCACTAGTCATTGCGCGCAGTGGAAAGCCCATTGTCATCTGCAATCCTAATGACGAGGAGTTCAAGGCCGGTCAAGCCGAGAAGATCGAGATTCCAAAGACCGTCGACTGTCTGCAAGGTCTTCTGAATGTTATTCCACTCCAACTGATGGCCTACTGGCTCGCTGTTGCCGAAGGATTGAACGTCGATTTCCCCCGAAACTTGGCCAAGTCCGTTACCGTGGAGTAGAGGGACAGATAACCAGGGCAAGAAAATTTTGTGTCATTGTAGTACTTGCTTTTAGCGCTTGGGGAATGGAATTGGGAAAGAAAGGAATGGATTCATGGCTATGGCTTGTCCGCTTTTCATCATACTGTAACTCTGTTGCGAGATCGCAATGTAGTCTAGAGAATGGAGTTCTATCATAACGAAGTAAGCGAGCACTTCACGAAAATCGGCTTTGGCCTGGAGATCTACAACACTTTTGGTGGCCCACAGGCATTGAGGCGTCTTGAGTTCCAACCATTCGAATAGGATACCCAACTTGGGAAAGGGCTATGGGTTTCGACTTGCACTAAGGCTTACTTAGAGCACCAATAAATTGTGAGATCTTCTGCCGGACTCATAATTACAAAGAGGGAACAGGGCTGTACAAACTTTATCAATGGCCCGCTTAAGAAGTCTATTGTCTTCTAAAGTTTCTGGCTGCCGTCACATATCGCAATGACGCCTGATTTCCACCAAAGGGTTACCCTTCCTGCGCCTGTGCTGCATACTGCAATGACATATCCACATACCTTTCGCTCAAATTTAAGAATCCTTCCATAATTGACACCCACCAAAACATACCAACACCATGCAATGCTGTGCTAGAAGACCAGAACCAGCAGAATGCTCCCACCAGCCCTAGTTGTCCCTAAAGAAAGAAAGAAAGAAAGTCAAGTTCTACACACGGCGAGAGTACTGTCTGGGGAGACGAGAGTTTCTCTGAGAAGAGGAGATGATTCTAGTGGAAGATGGAGAGCGAGAGCTGCGAAGGGGGTCGATGCGACGATCTGGCATGCTCCGATATGCTGTCATTGAATTTCGGGAGGCGGACCCCATTTGACGACCCTCCTCATGGCCCTCCCAGTCGTCGAATGAAATAGGGTTCTCTTGGCTGCCTCGTGCAGCTGCGGCTTGGTGCTCAGCAAACATCATGCTAATCCGAGGATCGTACTGCTGAACACGGGCAACTGATCGAGGGCGTCTTGAGTTCCTTCCAGGAGGTGGGCATACAGAGCTGTCCGAAGAATCGGCTTCCTGGTAATGCATGTCGTTGGAGTAACCAAGAACTTGAGATACGCGATTGCCATTGCGTATTTCATCGAACTGTGCTTGTAGGCCGCGGTCGATAACCTGATCGCTTTCCCACGTACCCTCATACAGACCGCCCATCTCACTACCTTCTGTGGTCACAGCGCTCACACCTCGGTCTCCTCTTGCTACAGGAGTGAGGTCACCGTCTGGATCTCTACTGTCGCCACGGCCGTTGAAGTATGGACTGGCACTCACGCTGCGGCTCTCTCGTGATCTTGGTGAATTTGGAGTCATATCTGTATCGCCCTCAGAGTCTTCATCTCGTTGTTCGCCAGGACCGCGGTCGTAGAAGTGAGTACCAGCTTGGATGTGAGATTGGTAACGGTCTTCTGAGGAGGTTGGTGTCTGGGAAAGGCCTTCTCGAGAGCGGTCATCTTCGTCAGTGTGACCATTCTCGGTAGCTGTTTCCGTAGTGGTGTCGCTGTTCTCCGAATCATCTTCATCGTCTGTGTGCAAAGTGCCATAACGACCATGTTGATATCCATAGGGTGAGATTGGGCCTTCGGCATCACTATCATTTCCATGATCGAGTGGACTCCAGCCAGATTGTCGGAGAAGCTCGGCGGAAGTCATGTCGCCGGCTTCAGAGAGGTTCGTGTCAGTATCCGTAACGGTCAGAGCTGAGGGACTTCTTGTTCTCGCAGGACTACCTTGTCCATATTGATTGCCATAATGGATATCTGAAGACTCAGAAGGGGTGAAACCTCGATCGGAATTGCTTCCCAAACTGGCTGGACTTCTATTTGATTGGACACGTTGTCGTGGCCGGCGATTTGAAATTGCACCACCCTCATCAGACTCGTCATCTGAGATGAGGTTGATGGCATCATTTGGGCCCGAACTGCCGCTCACACCGGTGCCGGGGCGGTTTTGTGGATGATCGTCCTGTACTACGAAGTCGTCCAGGGAGTTGTCATCGTCCTCGCTATCGCTGTTGCTGTCCAGCCCGCTCATATCCTCTGAATCCGAGGTGGTTTGTGAGCCGGGATGGTGGTGATTGTGATTATGGTTGTGGTTGTGATTGTAGTGACCAACATAGTGATGTCCAACATTTCGAGCTGCGACATCCAAAAATGCATGGGCAAAGTGGCCGTGTGCAAATTGACCGTGATGATGATGATGATCAAACTCGGCGCCGATCTCGACGTCCAAGTCTTGCTCCAAATCGTCTAAATCTTCGAGATCATCTATGTCATCATCATCCATGTCGCTCAATCCATACGGATCCTCCACTCCCAATCCACATACAGTGCAAGCCGGCCCGCCTATATGCTCAGCACCACAGCCCGGGCATCTCAAAATACCGCCGTCTGCTTCGTCCACCATGGGCTCTGCCCGGGGTTTGGGGAACAAGCCCTTGAATACACCATCCGGGCCATTACGATCCTTGTCCACAGTTTCAATCTCTTCTGTTCTACGCTTGGCGTGTTGCTCGATAGACTCATCGGCCGGCATCAGTTCTCGGCGCTTCGTGAAGACTTGATCGACCATCTGCTTGACCTAGATGGGTTGTTACTTTCATGCTTCATCAATAAAGCTGAACTTTACTTACAAGGAAATTCGGAGCAGGAACCATTATAACCTTCGCACGACATTCGGGGCAAGTCTTCTTTCTACGGTTGGTGGTGAACCAGCTACAGAGGCACTTGGAAATGTTAGCTGGAGTCGGGCAGGATATGGAGGTAGGTAGCACGAACAGAGTAACAATAGGTATGACCACATCCCAAAATCCAAGGCTCGTAGAGAAGCTGGTCGCAGATTGTACAAGTAACAAGATTTCGGATATCTGTGAGGTCGGTCTTGAATAACGTAGCAGGCTGTACAAATCGTCAGTCAAAGCCCGCTGAAGGGGACGGCTGTCGAGCTTGCCTGCACGTCATTCTTCGCTTTGGAGGCAAGCGCAGTACCTGCTCGTACCATCGTTGGTGTTGTTTCTCGCCCGTTGCTAGCTACCCACGGTTCTCTTCTGCCAGCCACGGGTTGGCTTGGGGTTGTTATAGAGGGTGCCATGTTGTATCATCGACCTGAGAGGTGGGCTGGTGATGTGGTACTGTAGCGATATGGAAGTTTAAGGGCCTCAGTCGGCTTCCACAAGGGCGGGAATATCTTTCGGATCGGAGATGTAAATCGTAGTGTCAATGGATCTGAGTGTTGTCGTTCCCTCCCGTGGGTGAGGAAGGCAAGAAAGACTTGCCAGGACAATACTGTATGATGTACGAGGTTCTGGAAATGGAGTTGGCGCTTTGGCTGCTCCAAAGCAACCTTGCCAAGACTAATCAATCATCACAACGCACTAGTCCAAGGTCGGCTTGGACCTCACGACCAACCCCTCCATCTGAATGTGGGGTGTCTGGTGTCAACGAGTAGCTGGGGCAGGGCAGGGTGCCTTTACCATTTAACGGCAGGAAGGGCAGGTGGTTTCTGTGTGAATAAAGTCTCATTAAAAAAGCTCTTGGATACTGATGTCTTTAGCTGTTCAATCTTCAGAACGTGATCAACGTCACAACGGGCGTGAAAGCACCACCAGCCAGTTCCTGAATTTGCTCCTTTTCACGGCTTTGCTTGATCATCCAGCCCCAGCCTTGCGAGCCTTGGACATTTGCCTTCAAAAATCTGAGCCCATCCCTACGTCGATACCGGATTCTCACAAGAGGCGCACCCGGCTTTTGAGGTTGAATGTAACTGTGTACGGAGTAAGTTATGAGACCTGAACGGTACATTGCGAAGCGAAGGACGAAGTTCGAGGCGACAACAACAAATCCAGGGCTGCGCCAGCTTCATTGGACGAGCTGCTTGCCACGTTGACAACGTGCAGCCGAGCCCAAGGAGTCTTTGGGTCGCAATATAATGTGAATGCATTCGGTAAATGTATGGTGAGGCGTCATATATCTCCTGCTATTGGCTTAGACTCACATACGCTCAGCCAGAGGAATGAGTGGTAGGTGAAGTCCAATTGCTCCAGGAGGCGGGGGCAAAACGAATCTCATGGAGCGGGATACTGACTACTCTCGATATTTAGCCCAAACACATTGTGCATTATGACTCAAAAGCTAAATTATGTCTCGTATCCAAAATCTATCACAGTCTACTAAAGAATTTGCCGCACGCTTAATTGCTCGACGAGAAACGTCTCCGACCAGGAGAACATACCGCAGAAACATAAGGAAAAGAGGTGAGAAAGCCCACATAGCTGCGGTTAGCGATCGGCCAATTATCCAAAAATCCAAGAAAGACTTCAGCAGTCATGACAAGAAAGGCCGTAGGAGAACGCCGTAAGAGATTCATGATCATGGACCATTATCCATCGCGCTGTTGTCAGGATCCCTCGCTCACGCACCATCATGTTAGGGGTTTTCGATGTAAACCCGAGTTATTGGTAGCGTAGGCGCTCGGATCAAGGCAATCAATCCCGACACCATCCTGATGGTGAGGACGAGAATCCACTTCTCGCTCAACAGCTGTTATATCTGCTTTCCATCCACAGACTTCGTTCTCTCGAAATATTGACTGGTATCAATATATGGTTCTCATTTACCAAGTTCAATGTCCTTAAGATGACTCAGAGCTTTTGACGCTTATCCTTAGCTGCTTCTTCGCACACTTCTGCTAATAAACCTTTCTTAACCAGAGACTCGTCAACGATCTCCTCGTTGAGATGGGTAAGGGTCTTAATCTCGAATTCCAGGAATGACTTAATCGTACGGACATCCGTCGCTCCAGCTTTCATGGAATCGCGTACGTTCTTGAGCATGTGACGGATACGTGACTCGGCATTCTCAAGGTTGTACTCAACCGCCTGGCCGTAAAGGTCTGAGAGATTGGAAATAGGTCGGACGGTGTTCAACACTGTATCATCGGGGATCCTGATAGAGCTAGGCCTGAAGGAAGTGACCATGCTGATACGCTCTTGTCCACCAAATGCCGAGAGTGCTTGGTGGTCGATGTATCTTCCTTGAAGAACAACTGCGCATCCCTGTGTCGTTGTTAGAGACATTGACAGGTGAGGCTGAGGCTCTCTCATACCTTAGTTGGACCTCGGACTTTCTTGATATCCCCAAAACCAGTTCTCAGAGCTGTCTCGCCACCCACCATTCCGGTTGTGTCGCTCATCATTAACACACAAACGAAAGGGTAGCTATCTCTGTGCCAGCCGACGATAGCTCCTCCTTGATCATCATCTTTCAGGTCCTTGTGTTCCTCCTTATTTCCTGGAATTGACAAGTTGACATGGCCGATCTCATAATCCATAACGGGAACAAGGTCCAGACCTGCGATCTTCGAAATGATAGCGAGGGTTTCAGGGTGCTTCCATGCCTCGAAGATGAACTTTCCGTGTCTATATAGATCAGTGACTGAATATCGATTTATAATTAGGGTTGGATTACTTAGGAGCATAGCCGCGAATTTGCCTAGGTGCAATGTCGGATGTGAAGCTGTACTTTTCCAAGACTTCAGGATCGAGTACCTCCTTCCTCATGATGTCGATGGCCTCTTCGCTGAACAAAGGGAATGGATCTGAAACGGCAACAGGTGATACACCGCTATTTGCAGAGAAGCCCAAATCTTCCATAGTGTGAATGTATTTAGGTTCCTCGTACGCCAAATGATCGATGGGCCTGAAGAGTTTCCCAATAGCAGCGGAGCCATTATCTGCTGCAAGGTACTTTTCGAACGATCTTTTGAGGGATGTCTGGGTTTCTCTTGGGGAAGGAAACACCCTCGGTGGACTGGCTATCTTTGAGTAAGACGAATCCGAAGTGCCAGGTTGCACGTAAATATCTGGAGTTGCCATATTGTACGCTTTTGATTCAGCGCCTGTAGTCTGGGAACTTGCCGTTAGAAGTCTCTCGGGTGTGTATTTTCTGACAACGAAATAGGACACAGGAGAAACGAAGGGAATCTCCAAAATGATCTTCAGAATTAAGAGCATGACATGTATCTCTACGAAGAAAAAGAAGGGTTTTTGGACAGAGGTAGAACGGTGCGGCACCCTATCGCGGATCTTACAACATGAGAATCAAATCTACTGACTATGAGAGTTGAGCGACTCTGGACGAGGAATATGATACTGAAGAAGAACAGGGAAGTGTATGACGGAATATATCGTCAGTTCCGTGTGTTCAGTTGATGTTGTTTATGAGGTGTCGTGAGAGTGGCGTCTAAGCCCTCTTATAATTAATGGGTCCCACTGGGAACAATAGTGGCTATCGTTCACTTCCTGCTCGTTTCAGTGCTTGGTTCGTCGACGTAAACAAATCAATATGGTAATGCGCTACCGATGGTCCAGCCGTTATTCTTGCACTTCCCTGACGCTTCGATCCTGCCCTCCCTTGTGCAGGTCCTCCACACTTTTCCCGCAGTAATCTCCCGACGTAACGAGGGATAATCTGTCACTTTGCGGGAAGTTACTCGCGATACCTCGCGCGCATTGCCCTTCAAGACGCCACTCTTATCGTCGTCTAAGTCAGTCGAGGCTTCTGGTCGTGAGACTGGATGCCTTGGCCAGTTTACGGATCAGTCGGAGACGTTGTCTGCAATACTTACTGGAAATACTCTAGGGGTTCGCATGCGATTACAACATGTCTGTATGGAAAGGGTTCCTCGAAATGGATAAGGATCAGAAAGATACGCCTAGACTTGGCCGTGAGAGAAGACAAGTCAGTCCCTGCAGACAATTTCATACCAATCGGCGTAATCGGCAAGGACACAGTTAAGCCACAGAGACGAGAGAGGTATTCTTTTCGCCTCGAGGAGCAGCTGTGACGGCACCTTCCCACATGTCATCAGTTGACTCCAGAACTTTAGGTTCATATTACCAACTTTATCAGTTGGGCGCGGATTGTGGAGACAAGCCAGTTCAAAAATGGAGGAAATTCAATATAGGTGTGGAGGGCTAAGAGGCATCACACGCTGACTAGAGCGGGGAGATATCGAGATCTGGATCGTATGACTCGATTTGGAAGACGAAACGACGGGCATGGCTCCCCCCAATAACCAGCTTGGGAATTGCGTGGGCCGCCGTTAACGGACGCAAGTTGAACCTTAGCCCAAGTCAAATCACTTCCGATACGAAGAATATGAAAGAAACCATTCAAGAGTGCTAGGCAGATCTGCCAGGCAACATACTACTGAAGCAGCAATAACTTTGGCCGACTTGACCATTGGAATATATCTGTCTTTCCAAAGCATGTTGCTTTAGTAGATCTGCTCGCCGACTGACAGGATAGAGACGGAGAGAAAGATCGTCAAGGCTCGCTCATCAACTCCTAAGCTAATAACTCACAAACAAAGTCCAGATAAGGACCTCCCTCGAGCAGGACCCATGTCTATGAATAAGGACGGTACTGATTCTGCCACTGGGCTAGTCCTTATGTTTCACACCTCACATTCAATGCCCTGGGTCAGTTGCTGCACAGTCGCAGCGGGTGGTACTTCTGTGTCAAGTCCGCTCTGGAAAAGGGCGGCGACAGGACAAGGTCATGGGCTGACGTTGAAGTAAGGTCCAGGATGAAAGCGCGTGAAGGGATGCAAAGGAGGAGACACTCTCGACACTCCTGCGAATGTCTGGTCCTTGCCCTTTCTGATATAAGCTATTCTTCAGTTTGGCGTGATTCTCCAGTTAGAACGCCGCGCCTGTTTGATATACTATAACTTTTTATTACTAATCCAAATTTTATAAAAGTTAGCTTAAAAGAAAGCTTAATAATAGCGCATTAATTTGTATAAGTTTTTAAGAAGTTTAGATTATTAGTCCTAAAGATATAATATACTAAAGAAAAACAGTGAAAATTAGAGGTTTTTGAAAATTAAAGATCCTTAAACTTAAAGATTAATTAACTCTATAAGTATTTTACTAAAACACATGAAAATTTATGTAAGTTAAAGCCCTAATCTATCTCTTTTCTCTTATGTTTTTTTTATAAAGTTTACCCTACTTTTAATAAAGTTATAGTAAGTTGAAAAGTGCGGCGTTATTCACCGAAGAATCACGCCAAACTGAAGAATAGCTGTAAGCGATAAGATCCCGCGATGCCAAGCCTCGGCAAGTTCAAGAGTCCTCAGCCAGCACTTCTCATCCTACCCCCGTTCTTCAAGACGACTATTCTTATTGCGGCAAATCACTGCAATTCCGGAGGCTTTTCCTACATCAAAGCACTAATCATGTCCTCCAAAGACGCGAAAGATAATGCGGGTGAGCCGTGGAACTCGAAGACAAGCGAGAAATTCAATAGGTAGGTCGTCTCTCGATGCTCCTTTCCTGCTTGCTACCAAATATAGTACAGCATCCCATAGGGTGCCCATCAAGCTAATCCGATGACTAGCAAACTACCTGGAGAGTATCTCGACCCATGTCAGGAGGCGGCTTCAAGAAGTCTGAAGTGTCTGCATCGAAATGGGGGAGATAGAGAGATGTGCACAGATTATTTCCAGTGGGTGATGTCAAACCTTGCTATGACCCTTCCCAAGGATCTAATTCCAGTCAATGGTCATTGTCAATAGAATTAAGGTATTCACTGATCACTTTAATAGAGCATATCGAGACTGCAAACAGCAATGGGTGAGTTCGCCTTTTGCCATTCTGTGATTTTCCTCCTGTTCGTTCATTTCCGCGTATATCGACCAAATGGTCAAGGATCAAAAATAGGCACTTGTGGACTGAGTACAAAAATGACTTTGGCTAACTAGTACAGCTATCAGCGAGGAAAGAAGCCAAGCTGAAGGATGGGAAATCTTGGTTCTCGTGAGGATTACAAGCAAGATCACAGGAAGGGCTAAAACATGTATTCGGGATGTGCCAAATGAGCCAGGGCTGTACGATATAGGCAAATTTGACCAACAAATAATTCTTCTCTGGATCGCTCGATTCTTGGGCACTTGACAAGTTACATGAAGCGGTTCTCTTGATCCAATCCACCCCATCCTGTCGTCATACTTAAATTGATTACTACGTGCGTGTGACATAAAGTCAGATCTAAAGCTTTCTTCATGCGCTGAAACCTCACGATAGGTATGCCGGGCTAGTCGCGAATGAGACGAATGGTGAAGTGGTGGCGACACTCTTCAGCTTATCAGTCCTGGATACGTAAAGAACATGGCCATAGTGCTTTTGTTGTCGAATTTGTATAGAGCCTTTTCAACCTATCTGCACGAAGTGAATTGTCTGAGTTTTTTAGTAAGGATGTGGTCGTAGTGTAGCTTTAAGTGACCTCGTTATTATCATTGTTGTTCAAGTTCGTTTCGCTTCGGCTAGGAGCAATTCCACGCACCCAAAAATTCGGCCGCGTACCAGATCTCTCCTTTCTGGCTCAACCGCAGACGCTCCCACTTCCACTTACCAACCACCATCTCAGGTTACTTAGGCTTGATCGACGTTAGATCGCAAAAGCCACCCTGAGCTACGATTGACGTTGGATCATTCATTGTCCTGTACACGACATGGACCAACTCCAGGACCGAGCAGATGCCCAAATATGGAATGCAATCGAGTCAAAGAGTCTCAAGCAAGCCTTAAAGCTGGTCGACAAGCGACTAGCAAAGAAACATACTCCCTACCATGAGGTGAGCAGAACAATGTCCAGAGCATCACAGCCCCTGCCCTTTCCTTTGAATGATCCTCCAAACACGTGACTAGGTTGATCTCAGTTTCTTAATACCATATCTAGGCACTCAAAATCTATATTCGGGCCCTCTCACCTCAAGCCACCGAAAAAGCAGCTGTTCTTGTGCATCTGGAAGAGCTGGCTGAAAAGAAGACAGTCCCTTCAGAGCTAGTGGTTGCCGAGCTTTATGACGATGCCTTGAACGAGGTTCTTCCTGTTCCGCGGGAGAATTGGGCACGGATCGTTGGTGAACTACGATGGCAATGTGTCAAAGCATCACCAAAGAATGAAGATGCCAGTCTGAAGTGCTTCCAAGCATGTCTTGCAAGAAACGATTTGGACCATGCTCGACAGGCAAGTCTAACCCTGCATCTTCCAGGCTCTCGGTTTATGCAAACTTGTCGTAATTGTAGTCCTATGCTAAAGTCTACTCAGATTGCTAATAGCCTCGAGAAAACATTCCCCCAAAATCATGCTTACACTTTCTGGAATATATCCACCATGTATCTATATTCAGTAGTCATGTCCGTCCCAGAATTGCTGTAGCCTTGCTAAAAAGTCCAGATGTCGCCCAGTTGTCCTGAAGTACAAAAGAAGATATGGGGAGGCTTAGCGCTAGGCCAAATTGGCAAGCTCGCAACTGCCACTAAGCAAGCTGCTGTAAGTTGGCCCTGCAGATGGGTTAAAGCGTAGCATCGAAGTGACATCTGGCTAGGACCATAAGCAGCTACCTGCCCGATCAATACAATCACCTCAAGAGTTGCTTCTGCTACATAGAATTACCAAGTCTTATGGTAAGAGAGAAGCCAGTTTAGACTACCTTCTAGACCCGCTTCTCGGACCCGAGTCAGCTGTGGCAAAAGGCGAATGGGAACTCTGGCGGATGAAACTGGAACTACTTCAGAGTGTACAGGACTGGAAAACAGTTTTTGAGACAACTGGATCACTGCTGAAAAGAGCCCGTACGACAGACACAACTTCTCGATATTCCGAGGCTCGACTGAGTGATTGGATTGTCTGGGATGCCTACATTGGGTCAGCAAAAGAATTGAACAGTACTGAGTAAGTATTATATGCAATTTATCGCTCGAGACTCTGACAACAATACTAGCCTCAATAGCCAAGTAAGGGAAGAACTTGAGGCGCATTTGGATCCAGCTTGCAAGATTGATAAAAGCTGGAAGAGAAACGCCTCCTTGGCGTTGATTAAGTTTGCTTTTGAGAGTCCTAGCCCTACGATATCTTCGGGAGATATTAATGTGTCATACCGAGGCTCTACCATTTCTAAGTACTTGCAGGATTATGGCAGCGCAAATACCGCGTACAATGATCTCAGACCATTTGTTGGAAGATTAAGCCAGGATGAGCGAAAACAGCTCAGAGGCGCTCTGGACCGTACGGCCGAATCCCGAGACGTAAGTTCTCCAGTGGCAGCCTTCAAAATTATTTGCGATGCCCTAGCATAGTGATTCCCTGACATTGTACGCAGCTTTCAACTATCCGCCAAATAACGGAATCGATAAACTCGGATAAGCTGAGATACCTGCTTGGATCTTGCCTACCAGAATTGGAGCGTATTTACAGTCCAGAAAGAAGAAGCGCAAGTGGCAGCTTCTTCTGCACGTCATGTTCCGAGGCATGTGGCATCAGCTGTAAACACTGTCTTACACTGACTGCAGAAGAATCTATCAAGTCTTATCGAGTGGCCGCTAGAGACGATAAACTTGTGGCAGATCTCCCCTCAACAGATCGTCACCCAGCAGACGATTTCAGCATCCTATCAGCGATGTGCTTGATCAAGCTTGCTCTGGCAGAGTCCGGTAATAGCCGTGTACCTATCAACAGCAGTGGGGCTAGTTATCTTTTGCAAGCTGCAGTTCTGCTCGAAGTTGCTTCGGTGCCTTCCAGATCTAATTTCCAGATATCGTTGATATTGGTCCGCCTATACTGCTATCTTGGTTGTGGATCTTTGGCCATGAGAGCTTTTGAACGCTTATCACTCAAGCAAGTTCAACTCGACACTCTGTCGTACGTTATTCTCGACAGAATATCCACATTCCATCCTCATCCCTTCGGCCAACTTCCAAATGGTTCTGACAACACCCGAACTCCACTAGAACAACTTCAGAAGCAGCGGAGGTTGTACAGAAGCGCTCAAGAACATGTGATCAAGAATGTCTGGCTTTCGTTTAAACACAGTAGCTACAACTCCGTGTTTGAGATCAGTGAAGTCCAGGACAGCCTATCTCGAAGTTTAGCGAGAGTTATGTATGTTGTCGAAAGCAGCAAGGTCGCTCGTTTGTTGGAGCCCAAGAGATCATTGGCTGAGATCATTCAAGAGTACGATATTGTTGGTATGTTTTGCTCTCAATTAAGTAGTTGACGAAGCTGATTTTGAGGAGCACCAAATGCGGAGCTTTCTGAGACTACCTTCGCGGATACCAACGATTATGAAACCTTCCCCAACTACGAAAGTTTTTCTGGCCCTCGATTTGAGGAGCTGAGCAGATTTTTCCCGCGTCCAACTGTGAGTAACCCATCTTCACCACGTATCGAATCACTGACACGTCCCAGGAATACCGGTATCGGCAAAATCTCGTTACCCAAAAACTCCTCATTCTCATTGACCCATCAACTCCGACGAGCGGTGAGGGTCAAATACTTCAGCAGTGGCTGAAACAGTATATTGACTTTCAAAAGAACTGTCAGATCCCGAAAGTGGGATCTGAAGACCTAACTGGGCCAGAAGCACTGGCGAAATCTACCTACGATGCAATGGCTTTTATCATTTACCATGCCTGCGATCGTGCGCTGTGTAGCGAGTCAGATATTATGGATAAGCTTGATAGCTACAACAAGGATCTAGCGGAGAGTCTCGAGAAGCATTTGGCCACTATAGATAAGATGGAAGACCTGGTCCCGGCTTTTGCCAGTACTCTGCATACCTTGTATACTGCTCATGAAGTTGGAACTGCAGTAGTCAACCTCTGTAGTTACATCTCGAGGAGGGGCAAGGATGTCTCTGACAAGCAAGCAGAAGCTAACAAGACAGCCTTGGATTTAGCACAACGTCTTCTACAGGCTACGATTGGCAAGTCTGCCACCGTCAAGAGTGGTCTTGATGAAGGTGGCTGGATTGACAAGGTCCTCGAGTGTGTACTGCCAGATGCGACAGGAGGAGAGCAGAGAGTGTCGCCAGGGCTGGTGGAGGCTTTGAGGGAACATCTGGATGAGGGTTTCTTGGAGCAATGGGCTGGCGAGGTTACTGAGAGTTGGAGAGACTCTGTTGCTGGCTTGTCTCTGCTAAAAGCACCCGGCAAGGCATAGATAGCGAGAATCAGATCTACCAGAGGCGCGGATTCATCCGGGCCACTTCTGGGGCTCCTTTCGCCTTGCATAGCTCATCTATTCATTCAAACATGACTGGAACTTTCCAACGCAGTAAATACTATGATTTCCACCAATGATCTTCTAAGAAAATTACCGTTCTGGCTATTGGTAACTGGCTGAAAGGGACGATCCAGGACCCCCGAGAAGGCTTTTAGTATGCTTTCAAGTTAGCCGGACCTGTACAGAGGTCTTGTGAAGCGCTTGAACGACATCTCACTCACAGATGTCTACCTGGTCATATGATCCCATCCACCTTACACACCGGTCAGTATTGATTTGTCAACAACCCAGGCTTGCCGCCATGCAAATTCATCTCTTTCGGACCACCAACAAGAGCACTAGACGGAGACAGACGATGTGCTAGAAACCGTTATCTTTATTCCGAGTAATCACATCATATCCTCTTCTGCCGCTCTTCTCTGTTGGATCCTCATGGCCATCTCTCTCCTCTCCTCCCGCAATGTCACGAATACCCAAAACCAAGTGATCATCTCAACGAATGCCCAAGTGAAGAGCACTCTGTTCTTCAATCCCTCGCCCCATAAGCTCGGCTGGTAGGTATTCGGGGCGTATAGAGGTGACTTGTTGGAGAATGCGTAGGAGTATAGAGTTATCCCAAAGAACAATACAAGCCGCACCGGCGCTGTTGTGGAGGTTACTTTTCTTCTTCTTTTCAGGTTGGCAATCGGGGGAGCGAACCTTGTGAACCCCAGTGATACTGCGAGATCTCTTCAGGGAGAGAGATGGAGACCAAGTCACTGACTCCTACAACGAAGAGTACGGCCGCGAGGAAAGACAATGGGGCGGACTGGGTCTCGAAAGAGCGCACGTATGGCTGTAAATTCGTTTAGCTGAGATTAGAACCAATAGACAAGTAGGGTTTCTGTACCAGTCCCATAGCCTCCCCTATTATAAACACAAGTGTTTGATCTGCTATGGCGTTCGGATTTGTAAGGAAGAAGAATGCGAGAGTGATATGGAAAAGGGACAAGGACGTTATGATGGTCGCGCCTGAGATGATCGCCATCTTGAGTTTGCGGATGAGACGAAGGGAGGCGAGGTGGGCCGAAGACAGTGATATCTGTCGAGATTTCTGAGATCGGAGAGACGTAGCAAGGTCTTACAACATGGTCATGCTGCCATGTCTGATGTGCAAATGTTCAAGCTGGGTCAAGAGATCAAGACCAGAAGAAATAAGGTTCCAATATTTATCCGAGCCGAGACATTCAGGGGTCCACGTCCACCATGCCTGCATGCTCCATGCTCGATGGTCCACAAGCAGTCAAAATGTCATTCTGTACCATGCCACGGAGCTTAAAAGCTACCCGTCCACAACAAGCTTCGCCTCACCTCCCCTACGCACATAACCAGAACCTCGGACGACTTATGTGCCTGTGAGCAGAGATGACGGAGCGGACTTTGGAAAAAGAGAAGCACATCAAGTATTGGCAGCGATGTCTCAACTCTCTGCTCCCAACCGTCTACACTAGCACAGACTCGTCGCGCATGACACTGGCCTTCTTCATACTGTCTGCGCTGGATCTCCTAGGCGCCGGCTCCTCAACTTTTCCTGAGCAGGATCGCACAAGAATTCGAGAATGGGTTCTCAAGAGCCAGCATCCGAACGGTGGGTTCTGCGGATCTCCCAACCATCGGTTTCCTGACCAGTATTATGTTGATGTTGGCAACGGGATACAGCAGATGGACCCTGCGAATCTGCCAGCAACTTTCTTCGCGTTGTTGTGCTTGAGTTTCGTCGGAGGACTAGATAGAGTGAACAGGGCTATATGTCTCAACTGGCTGAGGACTCTGCAGAGGAAGGATGGTAGTTTTGGAGAACTAATTACACAGGATGGATCTATCGAGGGTGGGAGAGACATGAGGTATTGCCAGACTGGTATGGCGGTCCGATGGATTCTGGGGGGCGATACAGCAGACAAACAAGACGATGTTGACACTGAAAGTTTAGTGGATCATATTCGGGCTGGACAGGTACAATGCATGAGCATAATTGCGAAAATTTGACAGCTGATCTATGTTAGACTTATGATGGTGGATTCTCGGAGTCCTCTGAACATGAAGCGCATGGTACGGTGTCTCCATCCTTTATTGCCACAGATATAGCTGACATATTCTGTAGCCGGGTATACATATTGCGCCATAGCAGCCCTCTCGCTCCTCAATCGACTTCCCAGTTCATCGTGTAAATATGCAAGTACAGATACCGTATCTGTCCTCGCAGACCACACTGCGACTATCGGATGGCTTGTGTCGAGACAGGTGGGCTATTTAGATGAGGAAGAAGATGAAGATGAAGATGAGGAGGAGGAGGGGGACCAAGAACAGGCAAGGCGACCCATTGTGAACCTGGCAGGTGTATACGAAGACGACCCTCAGGCTACAAGCTTTGAGCAGCATGAATTTGTCGGACTTAATGGTCGCTGTAACAAACCGGTTGATACCTGCTATTCTTTTTGGGTTTCTGCATCCCTCAGTGTAAGTTATCAGATTCAATATGTTGGAGCGTTTTAGTAACCGTACTGAGTAATAGATTCTTGGAAGAGACAATACTTCTCTGTTAGATACCAAGGCCATTCGTAGATTTTTGTTTCACAAAACTCAACACGCTATCGGAGGATTTGGCAAAATACCAGGTAATCCGCCAGGTAAGTGCCCTCCAACCCCAGATTAGAGCTCTCTAATTGACATGTCCTGAAGACATTTACCATTCATATTTGGGACTTGCGGCATTGTCAATAATGAAAGAACCGGGTCTCAAACCGTTGGATCCGGTACTCTGTGTTAGTACGGAGCAAAGGGAAACCATCGAAGATTTTCGGAGCAGGGTGAGGGTGTCGACTAGGGCCTACTGGAAACACGGACATTGTTTCTCGATTCGGGAGGACGACCCCGAATTCGAGAAAATCATGGCTTCAAACGAGGTGCCCCCAAACACATGAAAAGATAGGGGACATACCACCCAAAAAGAGTTATGTTGTCCATACGTCCGGACACCTTACTCTCTGTTGCTCGCGACATGCCCAAAGGAGGATTCGTGAACATCTTCGGCTTTTGACGAAAGGGCGGGTACAGACTTGCGATGTAACGTCTGGCAAATCGTGCCAGAACGTCTCGGCAGATGTTGGTTAATATCAGCCATACGAAGAGATCATGGGGGAGAGAATGAAGTTAATGGGCATGATGAGGGTCTTTGGCACATCTGTTCACAACACCCAGTGTTGAGCAATCCTAGAACTTCTAGCCTTATTCATCACTGGAAACTTTTTATCCTGTATATACCATTAAAGTTTTGACAGTGAGCGAGATGCTCGTTCGATGAATCAACTTCCCATTTGTTGTATCTTACTCACCTCGCTAATTTTGTTGACATTGGTTAGCAATGATGGAATTCAGATAAGACCAGGAAGATGATCAAGGATTAGGTCCAATTTTGTATGCTGAGTACATAACATAAGCGGACCCAAATGATCACAGTAACTATCAACAGAACCAGTTCATAGAATTCATCCTACAGATTCAGGGAGCTCTGCTTATTTCCTCTTATCCCACTTTCATGACGCAATTCTGAACAGGGTCGACGTTGGCTTGGCTCCTCTTCCGAGCCGAACTTCGAGAGTTTTTACGTAGCACAACAACATTTCACAGCTCCGCAAGCAACAAATTCTTCTCTCTTTGTTGATCTAATTGTCTATATCCATTTCAGACGCCGCTATGAAGATTCTTGCACATTCAACATTGGCTCTTTTCGCCAATTGGGCCCCGATAGCGCACTCAATTGATCCAGCGCAGGAACCTTTACAACCCCACTTTGAAAGCTCGTCGACCAGCTCCCTCCTCGCCCTCCATAAAGGTCTCATCACACAACAATCGATCTCACTCAACGAAGAGAGTGTGGGCAAATACCTTGCAAAGTACCTCGAAAGTAAGAACTTTACCGTCGAATTGCAAGAAGTGGCACCGCAGACCTCTTCTCACACTGCACGAAACAACATCTATGCCTACACTGGTGAATCACGGAAGACGCGTACGCTCATATCCTCACATATCGATACGGTACCGCCGTTTTGGAAATATGAGAGGAGGGGAGATGAAATTTGGGGAAGAGGGAGCGTAGATGCTAAGGGAAGTGTGGCGTCACAAATCATTGCTGTAGAGGAATTGCTTGCTACGGACAAGATCGGGGAAGGTGATGTAGGTTTGTTATATGTCGTAGGAGAGGAGATCAATGGAGATGGTATGCGTAAAGCTAATGATTTGGGCTTGGAATGGGATACGGTGATCTTTGGGGAGCCGACGGAACTCAAGCTTGCGAGCGGACATAAAGGGATAATTGGCGTGCAGATTAGTGCGAAGGGCAAAGCAGGTCATAGTGGCTACCCTGAGCTGGGAAAGAGTGCCAATGCTATGCTGATACCTGCTCTCAATGCGCTGCTGAACGTTGAGCTGCCTTCAAGTGAGAAGTATGGAAACACCACTCTCAACATTGGGCGAATGGAAGGTGGAGTGGCTGGCAATGTTATTCCAGAGGATGCGAGTGCCCTTCTTGCTATCAGGATCGCAGATGGCTCGCCAGAAGACATTAAAAAGATAATCGCGGATACGGTAGAAAAGTATGGCGAAGAGCTCGATGTCAAGTTCTTGGGTGGCTACGGACCGGTGTACATTGATAGTGATGTCCCAGGTATAGTTTGTTGCTTATCTGACCCGGACTTGGCTAACGAGAATTTAGGCTTTGAGACAATTGTTGTCAACTATGGGACTGACATCCCTAACTTGAAGGGAGACCATAAGAGATATCTATATGGACCTGGGACTATCTTGATGGCTCATAGTGACCATGAACACTTACTAGTATCGGATTTGGAAACTGCAGTCAAAGGCTACAAGGCTTTGATAGAGCATTCATTGAAGTAGATAATACATATATTTGCTAGTGGACACCATCCGTCCTGTGCTGAAAGCGTGATAGTTGTGTCCCATGTCTTGGGTGTCATGCCTGGAGTATAAAATTCAACTTTGATCTCGGGTGGGGCTGCTGAAAAGTGGAAGTGATTGATGCTTCACTAGTCTTTCACTGTCTCCAAACCGAGTAACGGACTTCTGATGATCTCTCCAAAATCCCGTGCCCAGTACAACGAAGAACCCTTACCTTCCTGTTGACTACCAACATGCACGGGCTCGAGACCTACACGCTTGAGCATATCCATCATTACAGTAGCCATCCAATCACCAGGAGTTGGTTCCGCGCGTCTAGAAATGACAATTCCTATGACTCCTTCCGCAGTTAAGCACTCGATATCTGTTCCTGAGTCGCCAATGTACACCACCCTTGGAACCCCTGCCTTGCTCCTCGATTTCCATCTTTGCAAAAGCTCATTCATTGCAGCCAATTTCGCATCCGAAGTTGCCATCACCGGGCCGCGACTTGGACCTCGAAGAGTTCCCTCCTCGTCTGGATCATTTGCAAGCACTTCAAGCTCAGCAGCGCCAGCTTCGAGACTTGCTTCCAGAACTCCACGGATGAACTGGCTCGAGAAGTTGACGGACACCACACCCCAAATCGCGCCAGATTCACAAAGCAGCTGAATAAAATCCCGAAACCCTTTGCGGACATTCACATCACCTGTCTTGATGGCGTCTCTTCCACCTTGCCGCCACTGCTCTTCTCCAATGCCCTGGAAAATACCAGACTTGCTCACAGCCGTAAAACTTCCCACCTCGATGCCTTTTGTTGCTCGCAAGTATGCGATTTCCTCGGCTAAGGTTTTGCGGTCCTCTCTCGCTGTCTTGTAGCCATGTAAACAACGGGCGTAGCTCTCAGCGTATGTATCGGCGTTTATGTCCCAGCTGTCTTGGAAGTCTTCCCCTCTAGCTTTGTGAAATGCAATGGCGAAATTGGCTATAGTGGATATTGTGTCTTTTTGTGTTATTGTACCATCGAAATCGAGGATGAAAGCTACGGGTGACGATGCAATGTCCATTGTATATCTTGATCTTCAGCATAGGAGACAGAGGAGGACTAAGAAGAGTAAGATGGTTAGTGCTTGAGGATGGTTTGACAGATCATCGATATTGAGCTTGGAATTGCTGTGAGATTGTGCAACTACATTGTGTTGTTTACGGAGTAGTCTACACCGAGTAGGTTGCTAGCTAGACGGGTCGGGTAACCGGATCATCATGGCAATTAAGCTTAACCATCCTTCCAAGGGGTCAACGCTTCCAAGTTGTCCACACCGTCTGGGACATGCTCAAGAGTTTTTTGCGCAAGTCTTCGAGCGGAAACAGCTCGAGCAGCCAATTCTACATCAGATTCCACAACCTCCACTGCTAATGAACGTTGATTAAATCCACTGGTGTAGGTAATTTGACACAAAGTGGATCTGTCGTATTACTGCCTCAAAGCTGAGAATGGAGAAGATACGGATCACCTTCATGCCCGAAATTGTTAGCTAGCAAGGTATTTAAGTGCATCCTTCCAATGGGGGATCTGAAATCGAATTCGGATAGGGATGGTTCTCCACTTGACCAAGTTACCCCTGGAGGCCAAATACTGTCGGCCGTTAGAGAATCGGAGTGCACGTTGTAAAAGTTTCCAATGCAAGAAATACAAAGTCTGTGTTTACAGAACGGGTTGTTACTGAAAGTACCTCTGGGAGTACAATATCAGATATCTTAGATGAAAGTTGAGACTCTTCCCACAGCCGGATGTCGAAAATACTGCGTATCCTCGGGAGGCTGGCAAGAAAACTTCGCCAAGAGGGCCCGCACTGTCAGGCTCGACTTATGGATCACAAAGAGAAAGGAAGAAGCGACATGTTGCTAGTTCAATGATGCGCTGGTCTGCACCTGAGTTGGGTTTAGTAGGTAGAGTTCCTTCAAATGCTGCGCGGTGTGTGAAATTAGCTAGAGCTGGGCGTCAACCAATCCCGGGCGTCGTCCGCGCTTCAACAAGCGACCTGCTCTCGCTGCTCAATGCTCAATCTACTGCTCTGTCTGTCAGCAACCATCACACGATAACAAGCCCACCACCGAATACCTTTCTTTTGGGAGCAAGCAGGTTGAGATAATCCGTCGACTCTCCCGTCAACTCTACAGGCAGCGCCATCGATCCACTATCTTTTTGGGCATTCAGCAGATCTGCTGTGAACGCAGCGAGGTAAGGCAGTCAGTCATCCATGCGCCCATCTTCCAACTCGGCGACCAGCTCCATAACCCCACCACCCACCGCAGATTGACATTTACATCCACACTCGCAATCATCCGCTGACATCCTCCTCTTCTGTAGATAACGAGCTTTGCGGCGGCGACGTCTGGATCATATTCTTCGCACTTGGGGGCCATTTAGCAGCCGTCGCATCCCTGCCTGACGCAACAGTTTCCTTTCCAGACTTTGGCGCCAGCGACCACGAAGTCGAGAATAATACCGTGAACAACGCAAAACTGCGACCCGAGCGAATACTCTGTACAAACATCGACTAGGCAGTCGCGATAGAGGGGCAAATATCTCCTCGACATTCTGACGTCTGGTCGATTGCTGTTGAAGCTAGCCCAGGAACTACAACGGAACTGGTCAGGAACAGCAAATCCAGGCAGCGACATCTGAAGTCCTCGAACGGTTTCATAACTTCTGCAGATTCCATACAACGGCATTTGGAAGCATCCGCTGCTACTTGCGACGGCATTTTACTGGACAGTTCGTTGTTTCGCGCTTCCCTGAGCATAGCCTCCTTCAGGCTCAGCCACCCCGCAACGTGAGGCTGACAGCAATTCGAGAAAGCCTGACGGTGTTCTAAGAACAGCAACATCAACGACGCCGGCATGGATCAACAACGTGGAAGATCACCGTCCGCTGGACATCAACAGCATCATATAAATCATGGTCACTCGCCTTCCCCACAGCCTTTCCAAGATAATGCATCACTTGGACTGGGAATCGGCCTCAATAACAGCAACAGCCAGATCCAAAGCGCCGAACAGCAATTCCTGAACGGCAGCTTCAATGCTAATAACGGCTTTCCCAATAACGATTTCATGACTTCAAATACTCAAGCCTTCTCGCAGGGCGGCCTCGGCGATTCCACCTACGTATCTACTGCGGATTTCAACCAGCAATTCAAGCAAGAAGACCAATCATTCCAACAATTCAAGCAAGAGGAGCAATCGTCTCCTTACAATCAGCCACAACTAGGGAGCTTCACACAGGACCTTATGAATGCGGGATTCAATGACGGTGCAGACTTTCCACTGTTTCCTCCAAACCCGGCTGAATACGACCCCTCATTCTTCTCCAACGATCCATCCCAGTCGCACGCGCGAAATCAGTCCGTGAATCCATCACAGCTAGACATATCTTCTCCGCAGAATGCGCCTACCCCGCCTGGGAACCTGTTGCAACCAGATTCCCATTCTCCTGCATCGGCGCATCAGTCACCAAACTTCAATAGCCATCAATTCCAGTCCTCGCCAAACCACTCCAGGCATGCTTCATTGGGACCAGAAAGTGCAGCGTTCCCGCAAGGACAGAATGTTGAGTGGAGCATGATGCCCCCTCAATTCACCGGCCACAGAAGGACTCCCTCGGAATATTCAGATGTGTCTGTTTCCTCTGCCCACCATTCCCCAAATCTTGGTCACCATGATAGCTTCGAGCCAATTGACCAAAACCATTCGCCAATGCAACGACCACAAGATAGCATTTACGAGAATGTTCTTGGTATTGGCAACTTTTCATTGTCAGACAATCAGCATGGAGCAAGCCCGAGACGAGGATTAAGTCCTGCTCATAGTCCCGCTATCTCGCCACGCTTGGGTCCCCAGCAACTGCCGAACATGAATCACCAGACCCCATTGTATTTGATGAACAACAGTGGATTTGGCCAGGGCATCTATGGGCAAAACCAGCAAGAATCGTTTCCCCAAATTCAGAATGAAATGGGCCAGCAGATGGTACCCGATATCAATGTTGAGTTTGCACCCGCCTCAAGGCAAAACAGCTTCGAGCCTCCAAAGCCGTCCATTGACCAAGATGCTTTGACGCCTCCTGACAGAGGTATATATTTCTACCATGTTTTTATGAGTGCCGCTAACCATTCTAGGTCGACGTCGTCGAGCTTTCACAGATCCTAACAATAGCGGCACAGGCATACCTCGAACTAACACCCCTTCAAGTGTATCGCCTTCGCTTGGGAGTGATCTTGGATCTAGATCACCGGATTCTCACCGTTCGCTCTCTCCAAATGATCGTTCTGGTGCCACATCTCCAAGTAGACGTCGACAATCAACATCATCACTACCAAACCGCGACTATATCCTTGGTCTTGCAGATCCTGAATATCAACCTTCAGTCGCGGAAAGCGGAAACGCTAAGCGTGTTCAAAAACACCCTGCCACTTTCCAGTGCACTCTCTGCCCAAAGAGATTCACCAGGGCTTACAATCTGCGATCTCACTTGCGCACACATACCGACGAACGACCGTTCGTATGTACCGTATGTGGAAAAGCGTTCGCTCGTCAGCACGACCGGAAGCGTCACGAGGGCTTGCATTCAGGAGAGAAAAAGTTCGTATGTAAAGGCGAGCTCAAACAAGGTGGTTCCTGGGGCTGTGGGCGCCGGTTCGCTCGCGCTGATGCTTTGGGTCGACATTTTCGCTCCGAAGCTGGTCGGATATGTATTAAGCCTCTTCTAGACGAAGAAGCCATTGAGAGGCAACGCGTGTGGAATGAGCAGCGTATGCAAAACATGCAAAACATGCAGCAACCTCAACCACTTGGCCTCGACCCCAATGGTTTCCCGATCGACTCGAGCGGCAACTACACTCTACCAGCCGCTCTGCTTGCTCAATACCCCGCGCTTGCAGGCTTGACCTGGTCCGATCTACCACAAGGAGATCCTGGCATAGACGACGATCCCAGCGGCCGGAGCAGCTTCGATGCCAGTGGTTCGGAATACTACGACGAAGACAATGAAGGCGGCTATGTATCCAGTGGTCCTGGGCCACAACAAGGCTATGGACAGCCACAAATGCACGATGGGTACAACGGTGGCTACAGCAGTGACATCGGACGCTGACAGAAATGCCAATCTTCCAACATCAGACATGATGATTTCACACATTCGGAGGGTTTTATGATTTGGGAATATTCCACTTGGGGCGCATTAGATACCACACTGCGCTACTTGGATAGCTTTTGCACTGAGTAGCATGACCACCTTCTGGCAAATGTTTTTGTTTGTTTCCCGGTTACTTCTCTACAGACACATGACTTCTGGCCGTAGAAGCCAGTGCAACGAGCTCTTATGAATACCATATTGTTATGTAGCTACATTGGATGTGACGAGCGTTTCAGATCATCATATCATTTTGATACTTCTGGTGTCTCATTTCCACTCAAATATCCTACAATGTAAATACCAGTTTTTCTCCGCTGACGTTGCCCATTTTCATCTCATCCATGCCCTTCAAAATTCCTTCAAAGCCTTTCCCATATTTGTTCATACTCGGCTTATGTACCTTAACCTTTCCTTCCTCTAACAATCCTCTAGCCATCTCCCAGAACAGCTTCCCAAACTCAAAGTCCTCAGGCTTAGCTGGGATCTCATTAGGTCCAAACTTGAACCCCTCTCCCATGACTGTGTATCCCAAGGTGGATTTCATCTCGACCTTATCGTTGATACTCTTCACCTGGTCTGCTGGAACTGGCAATAAAGTGGAATAGACACCACCTAAGAGTGACATAGCGCCTACTGTGATTTTGGGGCTGTCGCCCTCGGAAATGCAGTCGAATGCATGGGAAATCTTGCCCTCGCTCCATTCTTGAATATCCTTTGCACAGGTAGGGGAGTTGTAGTCGAATGCCGCATCTATTGTCACGCCTCGGGTTACTTTTGTGCCTTATAGTTGGGATATAGGAAAATCAGATGTCACATACCAGCTCCAAGACTTTTCACGTAGTCAAAGTTACGTGGGGAACAAGTGACAGCTACCGTCAAACCAGACAATTTGGCGAACTGGATAGCAAGGGAGCCAGTTGCTGTCGAACCTCCGTATATGAGTAGGTAAGTCTTCTCTGTCGCGGGCTTGGTGGGCAATGGGAGTTGAAGACTCTGGTAGAGACCCTGTCCGACTGTTGTAATGCCTACGCCGAGGGTGGAAGCTTCTTCAAAGCTCAAGTTGTCAGGAATCCGGATCTGGACGTCGCCTTTGGCAGTTATTGTAGTACCAAATGCTCCGTCTTCCTTGTGAACCTCATTTCCTGAAATCGACTGTCAATATTGAGGCCTGCGGTGTAGTTGTTCTTCATACCTCCATGAGCGAATCCGGCGACTCGGTCACCCTTCTTGAAGGGCTTTGTGACTTTGCTTCCAACTTCTTCCACAACGCCAGCATAGTCGCAACCGATCTGGACAAGTCGTGTTAGAATGTACCACTGCCAATAACGGACTTGAACCCCATCCGGACCCGCTGCAAGTTTTAACTTACTCTTGCACCCTCAGACGTCAACCAAGCTACATGCTTCCAATCCGTAGGATTCAACGCAACTGCCTTTACTTTAACCAAAATATAATCATCTCGGAGAACTGGCACAGGTGCCTCTACTGCGGCAGCTTCGCCTGGTTTCTGGGTTGCAATGACGGTATTCTTGGACATTGTGCTGGGGTAGTTGTAGATCCTGTGACGTTGAAATGATAAAAAGTATAAATACAGATGGATGTTCAGCAAGATTGGAAAGCAATTAAAGCAGTGAAAATGTGCCAGTACATTTTACTTAACTCCCCTCCCCGATCCCTACACTGTTATTATTAATCCAGCAGTTGAAATCTCAAAAAAATGCTTGCCACGGCAGTTCTTATCCACCCCACTGAGTCGACTACTGATGTCACCAGCTTGGGAGGTCCCCTGGAAAGTTAGCATTACCCCTCCATGCTCGCTCGATCTCGATGCCTCATCAGCAGCCGGCGGTTCTCCTGGCCAGACGCAAACCCACCTTGAACCTGGCAGTGTCGTCTCCATTTTAAGTGACGAGGGCATCTTTCCATTTGCAGACATGACGAAGTGTGGAGAGAGAGATGAAGAACTTTTGCCCGACGAGGAACTACGCTCACGCTGTTATGTCATGTCCGAAGAGCATCCTGAGAAATGGGGGCCTGATTGAGTTTCTTGTGCGAGATGAACTTTCCGAGCTCATCCAGGCGCTCCGTTTGACCTCGATCGGCAAACTGCACGTCTGAAAAGGTGCTGAGAAGCTTCCGAGTATTACGATACTTCATCTTGCCTTGGGCGGCCTTCTGTAAGGCACCGTGTCCTGAAATCCTTCCTGATCCTGCCTCCTCCACTGCGATATTTATATTTTACCCAGCTTCGGCGGGTTGAGGAATGCATGGCTGGCCGAAGGCTGTCAATGCGAACCCGAGTCAAACGAATCATATCTCTTGTTTGCTGGCTCATCACATAAGTCATTCGGGCTGGGAGGCTGGGCTGGGATGGCTGCCACACTTCTTCGCCTTTCTCTGCTGGTGGCCGAGGGCTGCAGACCAACCACAGGTGGGCGACCGGCCTCCTTTTATGCACAATTGAATTGTCGCCCTCCCTATTTGATGCCGGACTTGCGGTGAGGCCCAGAAGAGGAGACTGGCGGAGACTGGCGGAGACTGCTGGAGGCCGTATGCAGAATTATGGGACCTGCGCGGACACCAGCAAATCGCTCGTCTCCCCCCTCGATCGGTGGCCGCTCGCTGGCCTCCAAGGCTCCAAGGCTCCAAGCCCAGTCTGCGAGTGTATGCTGTGCTCCCGTAAATGCCTGTCTGCTGGTACCCGTGGCCTGCACCTGCACCTGCACCTGCACCTGCACCCTCCTTTGTTTTTTCTCCCATAATTTAGCGCCGAATGCATGGCTCCTGTGCACCAAATTCTGTAATATAATAAAATGTAGCGTACTCGTAGCCAGCCTGGGAAAATATCTTCAACAGCTGGAGGACTACAGTACTGTACTCATTCATCTACGCGCCGAACAAGCAAGTAGTGCGCCCGTCCGACACGACTTCCCGCAATTGTTCGTCTGTGTATCGCGCGGGTGGCACAGGCACAGACAGGCACATACCTGGGCAGGGCAGCGAGGGCAGGTAAAGCTCCCTCGCTCCTCCTCGATAAGAGCGATACACAGCAATTTGTCTCAGGTGCCCGTGGCTGCCCCCCCTTGGCGAGAAACAAACGATAATTCTTCCCCATACCTATCCATCCCTTCCCTTATTGCGAAGCAGTTCTTCCGTGTGACCTTCCCATCCCCGAGTTATTACCACTACTATTACTACGCTTTTGTCCTCGCTCGCTCGCTCGCTCGCTGGCTCCGGGACATCTTCATATTCTTTGCATCTCATCTCACGATCGATATCCGAAATCAACAATCCACTCTCTGTTCCTGCGCCTTATCCCGTCGCTGCACTTAGCCCTCGATGAGTCTGACACCAATCCGCGACTTCACCAGCTCGAATATCCACCATGGCTGCCGTCGAGGGTGTGTTGTTTTGCGCGGATCGCCCAAAGAACGAGTATGGGGCCTTGACGACTGGGTTGGGTAGGGGCTGGAATGAGGAGGATACGCGCATAAGGCTGAACCTCATATCGAGGGCATGGGTGCAATTCCGCACTGCGAGGAAGGTTGAAAGTGCATATCGGAAGCATTTGGTACGGACCGCGATGCCTTATATCTCCTTTTCACCGGCTTTTGTCAGGCCAGACCAGGCGCTGTGGTCTTGCAGGAGTGCAGTAGCGGCTGAAGCCTGCCGCAGTTCGGCGGTGTGGACCCTAACAACTCAGATTCTAACGAACGTCGATAGGAACTACATCCGCATTCGGAATCTACGTGGCCGTGCAGGTCGAAGTCGAAACCCCATCCTTTGAAAGTGCCAGAAAGTTTGGGCACATTAGGAAAATGGATTGGCAAGCCATCGCCAAGTGACGACGAACCTGTCCCTCCATACGACACCAATACCGATGCACTTGCCAGAAGGACTGCACACGACTGCTCAGAATCCCGAATTACCCCTCCTTCTTCGGTGGAAAAAGGAGAAGACCGTTCATTGTTCCCCGACCCTACGATGGCCACCTCGGTGGATTTCCAGTCTCAAGATGGCTTCAAGATGGCAGCCAAGAAGAAAAAAGGAAAGGCCGCTGCCAAGTCTGGATGGGATGATGAAGAGGACGAAAAGAAGAAGGACGAGGGTGAGGGTGAGGGTGAGGGTGAGGGAGGGAATGGAGGAGACAAGTCCGGAGACATGGGAGCTGGTGGTGATGGGGACAAGAAGGACGATACAAATGGTACCGCCGATGCCGCTGGTGATAACCCTCCTGAGGATGAATGGGATTCCTTTCTACCCTCGAAGGCTGCCAAAAAGAAGGGTAAAAAAGGAGGTGCAAAGGAAGTTGCACCTGCGGTTCCCGCTGCGGAGAAGTTCGATGCCTTTCATGAAATCAAACTGGATGATACTGGGCCTATGTTGGACTTGAGCTTCGATACTGGAACGAAACCGGCTACAGGTGGATTTGGGTCTTGGGGTAGTAGCTGGAATACTGGGACGACTAAGTAAGTTAGGGTGTGCTTGCTGGGGAGTTAAAGGGCCATATAGCTGATACTACTAAAAGTACCTGGGACTTCTCGGCTACTACAGACACAGCCCCGGCAACCGATGACAAAAAGGAGACAGAAGACAATCCCTGGAGTCTGAATCGCGGGAAACCGACGAAGAAGAAGGACAAAGGGTTCTCATTTGGTTCGCTTGACGAGGAAGGAGAGAAGCCAGCGGAGCCAGATCCCATGCCCGAGAAGAAAGACGACACCTTCGATTTTGGATTTTCCTCTGGAAAGAAGGACAAGAAGAAGAAAAAGGGTGGTGTCTTCGCTTTTGAGGAGGTTGAAGAAACCCCTGAACCAACCCCAGCGGTTGTCGAAGAGACTCCTGCCGAAGATGATTGGGGCGGGGGATGGGGAGCTCCGAAGACCAAGGGCAAAAAAGCGAAAAAAGGCGCGGTCGAACCTGAGCCTCCTAAAGTTGAAACTCCAAAGGTCGAAGAGCCTGCTCCTGTGGAAGATGATTGGGCGTCGTTTGCAACTGCGGGTAAGAAAGGCAAGAAGGCGAAGGGCAAGACTGCTGTTGAGGAGCTGCCAAAGGTATGTTTCTACAAATCATTTCTGGATATCCCTTGCACTCTTGCTGTACATTCTCTATTCTCCATGCCAATGGTTTAGTTCGAGTCGCTTGTATGAGATGCGACACTTGGTGGGCCAATCTCGGGTCGTGCCGCAGTGGAGATACTAGTGCGTTGCCACACTGCTGGTGTATTTGCTTTCTACAAATTACATGGTAGCTCATATCATGTGCCTAATATGTTATACAGGTTGAAGAACCACCCGCGCCAGAGCCTGAGCCTGAAGCAGCAGCTGATGATTTCGGTTGGGGCGCGACGGTCTCAAAAAAGGACAAGAAGAAAAAGGGCAAAAACGCCATCGAGGAAATTTCAAAAGTCGAGGAGGTCAAGCTACCCGACCCTGAACCTGAGCCAGAGCCAGCAGATGACGGGTGGGGCTCATTCGGGACAGCCAAGTCAAAGAAGAAAGGAAAAAAGGGCACTGTTGAGGAATCTGCCAAAGTTGAAGTGAAGACGCCGGATCCTGAACCCGAACCTGAGCCAGTGGCTGATGATTTCGGCTGGGGCGCCACAGTCTCGAAGAAAGATAAGAAGAAAAAGGGCAAAAACGCCATCGAGGAGATTCCAATAGTTGAAGAGAAGGCTCCTGAGCCAGAGCCTGAACCAGAGCCGGCTGTGGATGACTTTGGATGGGGCGCCACGGTCTCGAAGAAGGACAAGAAGAAAAAGGGCAAAAACGCCATCGAGGAGAGTCCAAAAATTGAAGAGAAGGCCCCTGAGCCAGAGCCTGAACCGGAGCCGGCTGCGGTTGCGGATGATTTCGGCTGGGGCGCGACGGTCTCGAAGAAGGAGAAGAAGAAAAAGGGCAAGACTACTGTTGAAGAACCTAAGGTAAGCAAATTTTCGTGTGAGCTTCTGATATCTGGATATTCAAGTGCACACCGTCATTTGACACGCTTCCATACACGTGAGGCGTGATATGCCAGTCTGTGGTTCCGTTGTGTACCTTGTACACACTTGTTTTCTGCCGTTGTGGACATAGATTTCAACAAGCGAAAATTTCCCACCCGAGCTCGCTTCTGACTTCACACTAGGTCGAGCCAACCAAGGAACCTGATCCAATCCCCGAACCTGAACCTGAAGTTGAAGAATCTTCTGGCTGGGGAGCATCGTGGGGGCTGGGCGGGGGCAAGAAAAAGAAGGCGAAGGAAGAGCCGAAGGCCAAGGAACCAACGCCTGAACCCGAACCAGCACCTGTTGTTGATGAGGATAGCGGATGGGGATCTTTCTCGACTGGGAAAAAGGACAAGAAGGGAAAGAAAGCTGCCAAAGCAGTCATTGAAGAGTTGCCAAAGATTGAGGAGCCTACACCAGATCCCGATCCAGTTGTTGATGATGATGCTGGCTGGGGTTCATTTTCTCTTGGTGGAAAGAAAGATAAGAAAAAGAAGGGCAAAGAAGATGCTCCGAAAATTGAGCCAGTTCCTGAACCTGAGCCAGTGGTTGAGGACGATGGATGGGTAAGTTTTTCCACTAGAGCGTGCGAGGTTTTCTCTCGTCGGATACGCCTTGCCTCTGAGTCGGAGCTGACTTGTAGGCCAGGGATTCGGGAGTTCGAAAAAGGACAAGAAGAAAAAGGGCAAGGACGAACCCGCCAAAGTTGACCCAATACCCGAGCCTGAACCTGAGCCCGTTGTGGAAGATAGTGGCTGGGGCTTCGGATTAGGAAAGAAGGCGAAGGGGAAAAAGGGCAAAGAGGAACCCAAAATTGAACCTGTTCCGGACCCTGAGCCCGAGCCTGAGCCCGTGGTGGAAGATAGTGGATGTAAGTTGCCCTGGTGATTTTCGTGCAGGTCGAATAGAAGTAGCATTCAGATTACAACCACCCAAAATGCATGCTGACATACGAGCAGGGGGTTTTGGCTTATCTTCGAAAGACAAGAAAAAGAAGGGTTCCAAGACCAAGGAAGTGTCTCCCCCACCCGCGCCAGTCATTGAAGAAAAAGCGGACGACGATGATTGGACGAACTGGGGCCAGAAGTCAACCACCAAAGCCAAAGGCAAAACCTCCAAAGCACTTGTCGAAACCAAAGTTGAAGAGCCAATGCGAGCACCAACGCCACCGCCTGCTGTTCCTGAAGTTGGAGATGGTGACGATGACTTTGGATGGGGAACCTCGAAAAAGGACAAGAAAAAGAAGGGGAAAACAGCTTCGCCAGAGGCATCCTTTCATGAAGATTCAATCAAACCTGACGCTATCGAGGAGCCCAAGGCTGATGACATATGGGGCACGTCAAGTTCGAGAAAGGACAAGAAGAAGTCTTCCAAGAGCAAGAGTGCCTTTGAGGTCATAGATGAAACGCCACCTGAGCCTATTATTGAAGAGCCCAAAGCTGTCGAGGATGATTGGGGATCTGGATGGGGAGCCACTACTTCCAAGAAGGACAAAAAGGGAAGCAAGAAAAAGGGTATAGAAGTTGAGGCCCCGCCGCCAGCTCCAACACCTCCTGCCATGGACTTGACCGAACCTGAACCCGATTGGGACTTTGGAGCGACTGCCGAGAAGACCAAATCCAAGGAGAAAGAGAAAGAGAAAGAAGTCCCAGCGAAGAAACTCAGCAAGAAGGAACAAAAGGAGGCAGACAAGTTAGCCGAGAAAGCCAAGAAACAAGCCGAAAAAGATGAAGCAGAGGCCAAAAAGAAGGCTGAAAAGGAAGAGGCCGCGGCCAAAGCGGCTGAAGAATTGGCTTTGGCCGAAGCTGAAGCTGAGGTAAGTTCACGAGGTTTTTTTTTCACGATCAGAGTCCATTTTCGACTTTGTTGAGAATTTGCGATGCACGAATACTCTGAAGGGCGATCGCATGTCATTTAAATTTGTCAAGCAGACTTTTGTCACCAACACGGAACCAGAGTATACCGCTAATCTGAAATCAGGCCAAAAAGAAAGAGGAAGAAGATGCCAAAGCCAAGGAAGAAGGTCAGTGTTGAACCATACGCTCCAATGCCCCAATTGCATTGTTGTGCTTAAGCTCGGATCCGTCGTCCAGCTTATGATCTATAATGGCGCAGTCATCTTTACCTGAACTGAAAATACTGACTTCAAATGTTTATATAGCCGATGCCAAAGCCAAAGCAGCGAAAGCGCCTAAACTGAGTAAAAAGGAGCAGAAAAAAGCCGATGACCTCGCCAAGAAACTGAAGCTTGAGGAGGAGGAAGCTGCGGCTGCGGCGGCTGCTGCTGCTGCTGCAGCAAAATTGGCTGAGGAAGACGCTGCCCGGGAGGCTGAGGAACTGGCTGCCAAGGAAGCCGAAGAGAAGGCCGCCCTTGCCGAAGCAAAGTCGTCGAAGAAAGACAGCAAATTGAAGAAGTCCAAAAAGAGCCTGGGCACGGCGGCAGCAGCAGCAGCAGCAGCAGTCAAGGAAGCTGAGCCGGAGCTAGACCTGATCGACCTCAACCCCGTCAAGGAAAAGGTCGAGATCGAGGACAAGTCCGAGCTCTTCAGTTTCTGGGGAGCTAGCAAGAAATTGCCCACCAAGGGTGCGGGAGCGAAGGAGGCGCCATCGTCGCGAGACGAGATTGCGATTGCTGACAAAGCGAAGCTTCTGGAAGCCACCGACTCCAAGGACACGACAACATCATTGAAAGCATCCGCGACTTCGATGAAGGCATCAGCAATTACGAAGAAACCTGTGGGCGGAAAGATCGCGGATAGGTTGAAAGCCTTTGAGTCACCCAAAGAAGTCGCGGCGCCACCTCCCCCTCCCGCGCCGCCCTCGCCGCCACCCCCGGCCAAGGAGGATAAGAAGAAGTCTAAGTCCTCCTCTAAAAAGGAGAAGGAGACCATCGAGGAGCCACCGACACCACCAAAGAAGACCGCGAAGAACAAAGCAGTGCCCGGTAGCTTTCCCACTGACTTGTTGGATGACGACATCGTTGAAGTTGTTGAAATGCCCACTGCCAAAAAGTCGAGCAAGAGTAAATCAGCCACCAAATCCAAGGAACTTCCAAAGGAGGTCCCCAAAGAGGAGCCTGTAGTTGAAGCACCTCCTACTCCCCCGCCAGAGCCTAAATCTTCGAAGAAGGAACGTCCCCGAGTTGTTCGCGATGGAAGTTCATGGGGTGCCTGGGGTGCTGCGCCTAGAGAAGAGAAAAAGAAGTCGTCCAAGGACCGCAAATCTTCCCCCAGCGACGAAAAGAAGTCATCCAAGGAGTCAAAATCGAAACGAATTGACAAAGAAGAGAAGACGTCTTCAAAAGATTCCTCGTCCGATAAGGCCGATAGACCACCTATTTCCAGGGGGTTGACCAGCATGTTTGGAGCCGCTCCACCGCTTCGGCGGTCCAGTACTTCTGGCAAGAGCAGTTCCAGGCGACATTCAGTTGTCGACAGTGGACTCGTCTCTCCACCACCTGAGGTGTCTGCAAAAGCAGCGAAGATGCTTGGAATCACTCCTGGCAAGCTATCGAGAAGCAAATCTGAGAAGCACAGCAAATCACGTGGTAAGTCGCCGATGCTCATTGCCTCTGAATTAAACAAAGCTGACCCTCTCCCAGGCCTTGAAGACGATGAAGATGTTGTGGTTGTTGGAGCTGATGAGGGCTCACCTGAAAAGTCGAGTCGCGATCGCAAACGAAAGTCGAAGGTAATTCAAGACCCAATGGTGTTCAACAGTCCGCCCCCAGCTGTACCAATGCCACCTGGAGACAACGATATGCCCTATCGGAGACACAGGATACCATCTTCGAAGGAACCAATTGCTAACGGACGATCGTCAAAACAGGCTAAACAAGATGAGGATATCGTCATGGTTGATGCTGGTGGCCCATCCGAGAATCTAGGATCGTCTGGATTGAAGAGGTCTGAAAGCACCAAGAAGGCAGCTGGACTTGGTGGAATGCTTGGCGGCTTCCTCTCGAAGCCTCGCCCAGAGACCAAACGCCGTGCTACCGTCGACGAAGATGTTCGTGGTCTGCGCCGTGAAGATCGGAAGATCAAACGTCCCTCCAGAGACCGAACCGAGACAGAGGATGTCGATGTTACAATGACTGGTGGGGCCGCTGAAGAGGATCAAGAGGCTCAAGAGGCCAGACGTGCAGCTAGACGTGCGCGAAGACTCGAGAAGGAAGCTATGGAAAAGGCCGCAGAAGATGCCCGAAGAGCCAAGGATGTCGAACGTAGAGAACGTCGTCGGAAGCAAGAAGAAGAGATGGAAGCTCGCCGGCAGGAAGAGAAAGAATCCAGACGTGCTGCCCGACGTGAACAGAAAGCGGCCGAGGAAGCTGAACGTCAAGCGGCCGAGGCAAAGGCAGCTGAACGAGCAGAGCGGCACCGTGCCAAGAGAGCAGAAAGGGAGGCCAAAGAGGCAACCCATACTGATGGGGAGCCGCTTACTGAAGGTCCAGAGCGCCTGAAGAGATCCGATCGCCGCAAGTCACAAATTGATGGTCCACTCAACGAAGACGAAGAACGTCGTCGCAGACGTGAGGAACGTCGTGCAGCGCGTGAAATCGAAACCCCCAAGACCAGCCGTCGTAAATCAGTCCCGATTGTTGACAGTTATTTCGACTCTCGCAATGGAAGCAAGGCGCGCGAACCGGAGAAAGAGTCGAGACGCAAGAAGGCTGGCTGGCCTCACTCTGGCACGGATTCATGGGTCGCAGATCATTCTGATGCTCCACCACCTCCAGAAACTGCACCTGAAGATGGCCAAGGGGATGAGACGGCTGGTGATGAGAAGGAGAGAAGGCGTATGAGGAAAACGCGCCGCCATTCCAAGTACGATGAGGGAACCGAGGAGGACCTCGAGGAGAGGAGGAAGAGGCGTGATTCCCGACGTCGAGAACGGGAGGCTATCAAGAGCTCGGAAGGAAGTCAAGGCGATGGACGTAGATCGAGCCGGCGCGAATCAGGCTTTGTCGAACCGCGGTCGCGCGCACCCAGTGCTCAAGGAACAGGCGGTGGAATCTTTAGTCGGTGGAAAAAGATGATCTGATTGGTTTCGAATGACGATAATTTGATGGCGTAATTTTACGTGTTCAGTTCGGGTAGTGAGCGATTTATTCGGAGTTTTGTATTGTGAGTTTCGCATGCATGGGATGGGACTGGGTGGATTGGGAAAGGAGCGTACAAGCATTGGGTCGGCATCTGTCACAGGTCACAAAGGTGTACAAGTACTACTATATGCATCAGTGGAACGGAGGGCCAGACCTGGCTTGTAGGATCGGTGTACAGGTGGTGGTTTGATGGTCATATACCCCATTTCGTTTGCACATGTCCATCTGGCATGGACGATAATTTTGTTGGGCGAAAATAGCTCGAGATCGAATTTATCAATTTAGTTTCCCTATTGTCTCTTTCATAAGATGAATATGTGTTGCTCGGCTAAATGGCTTGTCACATTTGCGAGCTTGCGCTTGTAGTTCCGGTGGAAGCCCTACCTACCTGTCGACCAACCTATTGCTGTTTCCTCATACCATATCTTAATTTAAGATTCTTGTACCTTGATGTATATACTTTAGATACCTCTTGTGACTTGAGCCTCAGCTGAATCACGCACGAGTCATTCCGCTCAACCTCCTCCCATCGGCACTTCTCTATATGACGCCCACATACATCCCGTATACGTAATCATTTTTCCCCATCAACTGCCATGCGCAAAAGACTCAGCTCAGGACCACATGGGGATATGGGCATCATGGAATAACTACAAGTAATAAGGAAATTACTCCTTCATCTATCACTTTTGATCTAATATCATAGTACGTTCAAGGTATAGTACCATCAGGTCCGACGTTGACGCCAAGATCGAGACACTCAAACATGCGGAGACGCGGAGGAGGCCGAGGGCAAGAGATGAACGCTTTCATCGAGAAGAACCTTCGTAGATCACAATTGTCCCGCGCTTCACACACACGTACTTGACTAACGACAATGCATTACACCCCATTATCTTGACCGTGTTAAAGTGAGATGATTGCCTTCGACCTGGACTTGGACACTCCCGAATAGGAAGTCAAATGCGGAGATTTCACCTATTCCTGATACGGACTTGTTACCCATGGCCAAACAGATGGCGCATCTCGTCTACCCAGGACATAACCTGGCCATGCACCCCCGCCAGCTTGTTCCGGATTTCTGAGTAACTTAATGGTGTACATTCACGGATCTCTCTGTGTTGGACATCATAGTCGTACCATTTCTCAACATTTGTTCGCCCCCAAGTCCAAGTCGCTGTCAATCAAGCCCCATCTTTTCTCGACTGTGGGCATAAGTCCGGTGGTCCTTGATAAGTAGCTGCGACGGTCGAGATAACACTCTTAGAGCATATCTGCAGTTACATCTGCTCCTTTCCTTTTATGCCAAGGCCTGTGTTCCCAGACATTTTACAGATTTCTTATCGAGCAGCCAGGTCTTCCAAGATCAAAGACGATTGAAAGCTTCACTTCTCACACTTCGCTTCGGGGATATTTAACCACATGAATCCTGACTGATTCGTTCCAAAGTCTACAGGTTCCGTGATGGTGAATTTATCATTTTTACCAGACCAATGGATGGTCGGCCTCGGTACTTTGTTCTTGCTTTCAACAATCGTCATCCTTGTTATAAATAAGAGACAACGAGATGCTGTCCTGGGACGACTTCACTTCCGAAGAAGACGCACTTCAGGGGCATCAACACCACCTCGCTCTATCTCTCCTAGCAAGAAAGCTTCTACAAATAGCGCTCCAGACTATATCAATGCTTTCCCACCTTCGAGGCGGTCGGCTCTTGCAGAACTTGCGAAGACGCTTCCCTCGGCGACTTTGAAGCAATTCATTAGCACCGAACCATCAGGAGAAATCCTCGTGGAGCATGCCTTACCAACCACGCAAACCTACAATCTCGATAACAAAGTTCCCAAATACACACCTACAGGATTCTCCACTGCAGAAATCAAAGCAATTGGTGATTTCCCTGCATACGATATTCTCAGTGGCGTCCCACTTCCACAGCCATATAAGAATTTCGCCATCACCAAAGCTCTTCCAAGACCTTACCGACCTTTGAGATGGAAGTACCACCAGACCATGTGTAAGTCTATGAACAGTAATCTATGTACATAACTGATTTTCTCTAGCTTTCCAGAAGATGGAGACGGACTGGTGGCTGGAAGTCGAAAATACCTACGCAGCAAGAGTTAAAGAACGCCAAGGTTTATTCAAGGAATACGGCAGCAAAGTTCTCGACTACCTGCCCGGCTCTGAGCTCGCCTGCAAGGAACTCATGGAAATGTGTCTTCAGTTCTACTGCGCCAGATACCCTGCCCACTTCTCGCTCTCTGACGACAAGAAAACCTTCCACAACAAACTTCTCGGTACAGAGACTCTTATCAAACGTTTCCACCCACTTCACGTCCTTCTCAATAACGTCCCAGAAGACTTTGCCATCGTTCTCCGCAATGAGCAGGACGGCATGTACTATTTCCGTGCTGGAATTATTTGCAGCTCGCTGGGTTGGAACGTCGGCACAAAGATCGGAATGCAGCTGGAGCAAATCCATGGCAAGATCCCGGACTACAAGGAGAAGATGTCGTTCAGTATGGACCGGTTTTTCAGCAAGATGGCAACAAACTCACCGATCCAGCGAGGAAGCTGGGGTCTTGAGGTCGGCACGCCTCTGTTCATGCCACCGGGACATCCTCACGAGGCGCTTCGGGAAGTCCAGAACCCAGAGCTGAAGATCGAAGAGTGCAACTTGAGAGTCGATTGGCAGACTTTGCGAAGGTTGCCGCTGAGTGGAGGTATCGTCTTCAACTTCAAGGCGCTTTTCACTCCCGTGACTGAGTTTCGCGATGAGCCGTATATCCCTGCCCTACTCCTCAAGATCTTGAAGGAAGGCAAGAAGAACCTGATGGAGTACAAAGGTACATGGCATACTGAGCACGTCTGCATTCCGAAGTTAGAGGAATACGCAGCGGAGCAGGTGGCTAAGGGATGGGTGGTGCCGGAGATGGAGGGAGAGGAGGAGTGGAATGTTGCAACGCTGGCTGAGAGTCCATATTTTCCTGGCTGGGAAGAGAAATGGCATCGTCAGCAGGGGTTCTAGAGCGCGTAGATATGGAGAGGATGTTTGGACTGTGTAGTGTATGCATGGCTAGGGGACGTTCATGATCTATGATTGCATGATACTTGAAACACATGGCTTCATTTGTACTCCCTCTCCTTTAATTCCATGATGGATGCGATCTAAACTTTCCTGTTGCGATTCCTGAATGGACTTCACGCAGCGAGTGGGAAGGAACGTGGTTACCCTTTCGGAGAATCATGACTTTTCAAATATTTCAGATTCTTGGAGACTAGCTCTGACCGAATCTTCGATGATCCGGATGATATTGAAAATTGAAGTGTTGGAGGCGCCTTCTGCACATTAGCATCGATGCTGAAGCAATATGTCTAGTCAAGTGTAGCACCTGTGTCCTACCTATGTAGTCACGCTTCGTCCCAGCTTTATTTTGTTTGCGCCGGTCTAGATGCTGAGATATCTCCCAATGACGACAATTGAGGCCATTTCTGTTCTCCTAGAAGTCGTACCGCATCCTTTCACCTACCCGCAGCAAAAAGGTAACACCTAGGCCTCAATGTGAACGACGCAGACGTATTTGGGTCCGCTATTGATTAAATTGAGTAATAAGTCATATTCTCCAGGTTCCAGCTCTGGTTTCGCTTTCTCCACTCATCTATGGGAGCCGTGGACACCTCGAAAGCGGGCCCTCGAACGCTTTTATATCTACATCTTAGACCACTCACTAGCTCACAATCTCAATCTCAGTAAACGATTCCAGCCGCACAGTGGCTCGATTTGTGCCCGCGACTCCACTACATGCCTCCGTCGACAAAGCTTTAAATTTGTCATGTACAACAACTTATTCGTGCCATGAATCATGGCTCCAAGTTGTAGAGAGGTTGCAGGATCTTGTAGCACCAAAGAGCCAAGGGGTCGACCGCTTTGAGATCACGGATCCAGTCTTGCATGAGAGCCACGCTGATGTCGAAATCAGCCTCGAATCTTGGCCCACAAAGCTGCGCTCGTATATCTCGCAACATTGGATTATGCTGTGTTAGGTGAAAGATGAGGAGTATGGAGAGGAATGTCTGCGACCAACAAAAAAGGTAGGGAATGAGACGCTTATGTCGTGAAGTGGGGGACATTGTCAGCGGCCACTTTAAGCAGGACTTTTTGCCATCAGTATGAAGAACCAATATGTAGACTTTGTGACCTACCCGGAGACATTCAGCAACTCCCTGAGCATCCTCTTGCGTCATTTGCTCAGGGAAATGTAGAGCTTTATAGACGAATGGTCGATACACTACGTATTTGGCATAATAGTACCTCGTCCGTAGTACTGCAACCTGTATATCGTAGACAAATCGATAATGCATAGGCTCGCTTTTGAGATCTGTTGAAAAGAGTTGCGCGCCTGGATGTAATGGCCGTGGTATTGACAAACTCGGATCAAGAGATTCATTGAAAATTCTTGGATTGACGGTCTGCGGTGCAGGAAAAGCGGAGGGATCATCTTCCGGCCATTGAAGATCACGAGGAAGTAAACCCCTCCATTGAGTCAATTGTGCAGCTAGTGATTTCAGTGTATTTGCAGTCGGCCCACCAAATTCATCATTTGAAGACGTATCACTGTTTGACATGGCTGGATGCTGTGAGTCCCTACTTTCGGTGTGAAGCTGGAAAAGACACTTACAATCATAGATCTGTGCGTTCGTACTTGCACATAGGCGGCGAAGGGCAAGTGAGGATGCAAAGTGTGCCTCTGTAGTGTTGCAAGTCAACATACTGTGCCCATAAAGTAGGAAATCAAAGCAAAGTGTTCATATGGGGCGAAACAAAAGTTGGAAAGGTTCCCCACACGTACCAAAATTGGTTGCCTGGTTGCCCACATGATCGGCCTCGCAGAACGGGACGTTGAAGCTGGGCATACCAACTCGATCACCGAGCTCGATAATCCCGGTGAGTGGAAGGTCAAGTTCCAGGTGCAAAGATGTCTCCATTATAATGCAATGCCAGACAGCACGCCTCATCAGATCCCCTTTGGGTGTGTCGAAGTCGAGAACATTACTTGGCCAGTCAGCAAACCGTAGTCAATGGGAAGGTTACACATACCAAGTCACCAAGATGTAACAGGCCTGACATGCATTTACGGTCATCCTCCAAAAGTCCTACATCAAATAAGTCGCATTACCATGGCACCTTTCAGGAAACACTTACCACATGGCGAGAACATGACTGATAATACAACCTAAGAACAAGTTCATGAGCTTCAGGGTCTATCCACATACGTGACTTAGATTCATTTGGAGGTGAGTGGAAGGGGGCCACTTACGCAAATAGAGAGAAAATTTGAACGTTCTCTAACTCGCTATCAGTGATCACAAAGCCCAAGCATTTCCTTGCTTCGTTGAAAAGAGCCAAGCCCGGTGGACGACCAATTGAGCCTCCTCGTACCCCGGACGGGAGCCCTTTGAACTCGCTGACAGGACTTCCGGTTAGGCCTTCTATGGCAACTTCACCTAGACAGAATATCATCAAGGCAATCACCGAGTCAACGTCCCCATCAAAGCCTTCACTGCAAACCTTAGCAAGGGTATCGCCTTCAAAAGTCCTTCGATCCATGAATGGATAGAGGAAATTGAAAGTGTCAAAATACGCCGCCGTGAGCCGATACATTGCATCGCGTGTCAAGGCTGGGAAAATGATCTGTAGCAGATGAGTACTTTTCTTCCACGAACTGTTGATGAGGAAAGATGCGAGCTAAGAATCCATCGAGGAGAGATGAACATACCCGAGGACCACCCGAGTTTCTAGTCGCCTGAGTTTGCCTAATTGACAAATATAGTGTTAGCTACCAATTCAGCAAGTGATAGAGTAGCACAGTGCCGCTTTAAAATAATACAGAAATATGATAAGGGTATGGGAAACATGTATGTATTATACGCACATCCCAACGAAAGGTCGGTCCTGCAGTGGCTCATCCATAGGCAACTTTGATTGCCCATTGTGCATTCGAACAATGAACCCCGTCCCGTCACTTTCAAGAGTTTTAAAATCACCAGCATTTGACGGTAGGACCTGCAGCATAAGCTGTTGCAGAGCAGGCCAGGAAAGTATCTTGTGAGCGGCGGAAGCATGTCGATATGGTTGATTAGGGCTAGGCGGTTGTCGACCAGACGGTGTTGAATAGGTGCTTGGCTCTGTCTCGGGATTGAAAGAGGGCTGAGAAGAAGGGGGATGTTGTGGAGGGCCGAACCCTTGAGGGGTTCTGCCAGTAGGAATTCGGTCAACTTTGCCTTCCAAGCTCTTGAGCCTGTCTAAAATCTCGACGAGGGTCTTATCCTTCCTTTAAAGAAATGATCAGTAAGAACGCTTCTTGCCGAATCGAAAGTCAGATAGGTTCAAAAGACATCGAATGCCATCTGCTGGGGTCTTACTTGGTCGGCTACAGGGAATCAGCACAGGATAAAGTCACTGGAGTGGATATACTGACCTGTGGTTCTCGGTAAACACAGTCCAGATTGATCCTCCTGCATAATCCGCACTTGAACATGTCAGTGACACTTTATGAAGGTCGAGAGTTTGCCGAAAGGATGCGCCAGTACCAAGAACACGGCAGCCACAAATGTGTACAAATGAAATTATACTGACTTTTGGTCGGGCTTCGTCGCATTTTTGTTTCCTTGAACGACAAGTCTCACAGGCCTGGGACGCGATAGCTCCCCGATGTGCTCTGGAGGAAGGCCCGCCAGGACCCGAGCTTGTGCTGCTCGCGGCACTGTCCACGTTCATTATTATACCAGACGGTCCCGATGAAACAAATGTTCCCGGGACCAAGAGGGGTAAGGCAAGAATCGGTGTGGTGATGATAGGGTGGTAGAGTCCCAACTCAATGTTCACTTCAAAGTCGTTGGCAGTTTGGGCCCTTGGATTATCTCAAAGGGGCCACACACACTCCGGGGAAAATATTCGATCGAGCAACGTTCGAACTGCGGGTCATCGGCATGCTTGCTGTACTGTACTTCACTCGCAATTTGTTCGCCACACGTCGTGGAGGGAAGGGAAGGGTTTTCACAGTGTGGTGATCTCTCCACACACGTTGTAGATGCTCCGACAGATTGTAACAGCTTTGCCGTCGCGCATGGCAGAGGGTCGGTGGAGACTCGAGATGTGCGTCAATGAGGTCTGCGGCGTGGTCTCTTGAATACTGGCCCAGCAGGAGCAAAGCCACAAACATTTCGGGAAAGTTTCTGATGATGTTCATAGACTCATCGGGGAAGAGCCCGCCCCCGAGGAAACCATACAAAGGGTTCTGTCGTCGATGCCCTACCAACTTTCGATGTGCAGAAGTATATATTATTGTCAGTGACCGCTCCGATGCTACAACGCCGCCGTGAATGGTAGGCTAGCACCTAGCCAGTCGATAGTGCACCCCGATTGCTGGGCCACACTCCAGACCAGAGTAAGAGGAAAGACGTCGACGTCGCTGGCTGGAAATGCAAAATGCAAGTCGGGTGTCCTTATATACTTCTTCTTCGTAGGTAGGCACTGCTTCTGGAGGCAGCGACAGTCCCTTGACGCCTGCCAGGATTAGCCATGTAAGGTTGCTTGACTGGATCAAGCAACCTGCTCATTCACAATAATACCTTCGACAGGCAAGCCAGCTGGGCACGTTGGCTGCTCCGGATTGTACTGGACGTGATAGCGAACATAAAATGCACCGTTCGTTCCTGCCGTGGACAGCCTCTCGATCAGTCAGTTTCGAAAGTTCCCAGCTAGAAGGAGACATTGAGGTGTTCTGTTGGTAGTTGTAGTTGGTTGACAACAGTTGGAGGATGAATCGCAACAACGAAAAACGAGAGCATTTGATTGAAGGATTTGCCGGAGAACGCTTACTTCGGCCTTGGGAATAGCTTCCTGCCTCTCGTCTCGGTCTTGAGAATTGCATTGGCACGGAAATGGCTTCCGTGCCAATAGGCCGATTCGCAACTTTCCGAGAGATCAGTTGCTTAAGAAATGCCTCGAAGATGACTCGATCATGCCAGATTCATGCTTTGGGGATATTGCCCTGTCCTGCTGCCACGCTGGATGTAAGAGCCTATCCAATACAAGCCTTGAACGGCGATCTAGTCTATGCATCGTACAACCACACCAATATGTTACAAACGTTTCTCTTTACTTCGGGAACTGCTTTGATAAGCTAACGTGGTTGTCAAGAGCTAAGAATCTGCGCTGTGAACAGGAGACCATGATCAGGAGACAGACCATTTGGATCTAATGAGAATGGAAGTGAAATAGTTTTCTTCTCGTACAATTGTCCTGTGTCGTGTAACTTTCAAGGCAGATAAATGGGCCAACAGGGGCCGGCACAGGAGTCCTCTCCACTGAATATACAGAATATAGAAAGGTGAACTGCAAACACCGCACAGCCATGAAAGTAGAGAAGAGTATATTAGATCGATCAACGGCATACAATTTTCATGCCGCTAGGTTACTAAATCGCTAGAAAGTTACAGGAGTGTCAATGGATTAATTGGATTATATCACCATGGTGCCAGTTTTGTCCAACAGAGCTTGGCTTCTTGAATCTATCTACAACTTGGACTTCCTCTCGAAGGTGCCGTCGAGGAGATAGTCTGGATAAGCATTTTTTGCGCCGCCAGGAGCTCCTGGTGAACGCCAATCCCCACCGTCAATTATTAGAACCTCGCCGTTGACATAGTTTCCTGCGTCACTAAAAAGGTATATGGTCCCATCAGCAATCTCCTTCACCAGCCCGTATCTTTGTAATGGAACCTTCTTGTAGGCGCTGCCATCACCCTCGGCTTCCCTACTCCCCAATCGCGCCATTCCCTCTGTACCGGAAATTGGCCCGGGGGTCACAATGTTTGATGTTATTCCTCTGGGTCCATACTCTAGAGCTGTCGTTGCCGAGAGTGCATCAATACCCGCTTTCGCAACCGCTGCATGTGCTTGCAGCGGCATACCCGTGAGATGAAAAGTTGCTGATACAAAGATTATACGCCCGCCAGTCGAGGGGTTTTTCCCGGTATTTGGGTTCTTCTTTGCAGATTTCAGCAGTTCAGGCATGGTGGCCTTGAGGGTATTGAAGGAACCGATGGTATCGATGTCGATGACAGTCTTAAAAGCATTTGAGGAAAGTCCAGATATCGGTGAAATAAAGTTTCCTGCAGCGCCAGCACTGGAGTTTGTCAGTCTTCGCGTTAGATGTCATCGCGAAGAACCCTTACATGACATAATCTATGCCTCCTAACTCTTTGACACATCTAGCCACAGCACCCTCTAAGTCTTGTATCTTCCTCACATCAACCGCGCCGATTCCGATCACCTTGCTGCCCTTACGCGCCGTAGCTATGCTCTTAGCCATAGTCTCTGTCTTCTCTACATTTCGACCTATAATCATGGCATTTGCGCCCAGTCTAACCAGAGCTCTGACCTGCGCAGAGCAAATGGTGCCGGCTCCTATATCTCGAGTTAGCACGGGCGTACACCATTATGTGCGGGAAGCCGCAAAGTATACTGGAAGCGGATTTGCAATGAAGAATATACCGTTCAGAACACGCCTCCCAAGCTGCACGTTCAGGACTTCTAGGGATGTGAAGGAGACAGATACTGACCACCCGTACAGAAAACAACTTTCTTGTCGAAGATTCCGTCTTTCCAGACAGAGGACATATATTCGGATTCGGGGAGGGCGGCCATGTTGACTGACTCTGAAGAAGGGGCAATTGACACGCTGCTTGCTTTTTGGATTAATGAGGACGATGTTTGCTGTAGCAAGAATGTCAAGTGGAAGGGAAACGTGGTACTTGTATCCTGACAGGCATGTTCAGGAAAGCAGATCGAAAGCTACCTTATCTCACGGCCGTAATACGTACTCCGGAGTAAAGCATGTCTGACTGTTGGCGATGTCAGGGACATCCGAACAGCCTCGGCCTAGGTTAAAAGCGAACGGTCCGTATCCGTAGCCACCTTCCACCCACACCCACTTTGTATGCAAGGCAAGGCAAGGCAAGGCAAGAAACTCGCATACGCCTTGGCGGGACAGGGATTGTTCCAAGCGCGGGGAGAGCTCGAGGCTGAAAGACGTCGACGTGGGCGTCGGCGACTACGTGCCAACACCACCGAACCTCAACTTCTTCACCAAATCACATCAAGTCAACACCCACGACGGCTCCTCCGACACAATCCGATTGTTGCGCAAAGCTTTGATCCATTGCGTTGCATCGAATCATCATCCTCGCAGCTATGGCCTCAAGGACGGTCTCGACGTTGAAGTTCGTGGGAACTATCTCACTAGGCCTCCTCACCGTATGCTAGAACGCCTCCCTTAAAGCACTGCAAAGAGCACACTCTCCTTTTACAAGTCCTCGGGATCTTCAACATTTTCTGACAATTAACTTCACAGGGCCTTTCATACTCCTTGACCACCCTCACTCTCCCAACACTTTTGACCCTCCCATCAGCAAGCGCTGCCTCAAAAGCCTTCGCAAACCTCAATACAAGCTCTGTCCTGCACCTGCGGACCCTCGCCGGTGTCTCTAGTACATCATTCCTGCTCGCCTACCTCCTCTCTCCACGAAGCCAGAAACATCCGTATCTGCTATGGACGACGCTCTTCGTAGTCTCATCTGGCTTTGCCGACTATCTCGTCCAGCCGTATATCAGCAAGACAACTACTAGCACGCGATCCGTCAAGCCGAAAGTGAAGAAGGGCAAGGGAAGGCAGATGGACGCTAGCTACGAGGTATTGGGTGTCAGCGATCGAGACAGCGAAGGTACCATCAGCGGAGAGGAGATGGATGAGGATGTCAATGGAGAGGAGATCAGAGAACAAGTCGAGGGTTACATGAAGGTCAACATCGCCAAGACCGTTATTGCAGGTGTCGGCTTTGCCATGAGCACAATTGGTATTTGGGGAGATGGAGCGGCGGATCTAGTTATCATCGAGATGTAAGACAAGATGTAAGAGGGTTATGATACTGAACGAATGAATGGATACTGCGACGAAATGGGAAAGGGCTTGACCAGACGTATGGCAGGGGAACCGGTAGATACTTGACTCTCGACTCTTTCTCTTTGTTCATATTTCGACTCGGGGTTATGGCGTTGTTTGTATTTTTTTTTACCGAGACTACCCACCTTCTACTAAAAGAACGCATGAATTACGTACGAAAAACTTCGGAATGGATATTGCCACTCTATGCCATCAAGGATTGCAGCTGAGTTAACTTCTATTATTCTGTGCTGACCCTCAAGCGATGCCTATTCCTCAAAACTTATGCTACAAGAGCATTTCTCCTTAACCTCGTACACTAATTCACAAGCTGGCAGTCCAAATTTGTACGAGGAGACGCTAATTTCAGAGTCCATATTTTGCTGTGCCATGCTTGAATCAGCTTCGGAGGCGGAACATCAAATTACGGCAATGACATAATGCTAACTCGACTAACCGGTGAGCTGATTTATTGCAAAATAATGAAAACCCTCCTCACCTCCCCCCCCCCCCCCCCCCCCCGCGCAACAACTTTGATGTCCTGTCCTCAGATACGTGTTTATCAAAGTGCATGTCGAAGCCTCCTATGTTCTAAAGTGTAATAAGTGTAAGCATAACAGGCCACGAGGCTATTTCAATACAAGAGGCAGTGAGACTATGTCTCAACTTGGAAGCAGTCTCGCTTAGAAGATATATAGACAAACAAACCACCCAAATCACCTGTCTGCAATGAACAATCCACCACATTGCGCCACTACTCCGTATCCTTTACTAATGACTCCTATACTAGACTCTTTGTCCAGGCCCCCAAGCTCAATATTATGAAAGGCGACCCAGTCATAATTACATTCTCCTCCCAAATCTTACAGCAAACTCATATGGCAAGCTCGAGTCCTGAACGCCACTGAGGTTCCGAAACGGTATAGATTGGCTCTCAGTATCTATTCCAAGTCAGTGAGACTACGTTAATCTTGTTTTCCTTCGGAAGGAGGATGACTGGGTTAGATTTACCATCATGCAAGAGCCTCCTCCTTCTCCGGGAAAGCTTCCAGGTGGACCAGGCTATCATGGCACTTATGGTAGCAACTACTATTGCCAAGACGCCAATGATGACATTGATTTTATTCTCAGTTGAGAGACTGCGAGGGGTGAGGCTGCGGGGGACGATAGTTCCATAGGATGGTAGGGCAGCTTGAGTGGAGAATTCAAATCAGCAAAGCCGGGTGGGACAAGGCTGGCTGTAAGGACACACCTACACATCGTGGACAGTGCATATAGAGACGAACAGAATCGATTTGAGATCAGGAGAAACTTGTACATGGACGTGTTTTCCTGTGCAATTTCTGTCGATGACTGAGCTGGATAATATATTAGGTGATAGTCAATGTTGAGACTACATTCATGAAATGACCTGCCATATTTTCCAAATGCTCCATATTCTCTACATTTGACCATTTGAACTCTTATATACAATTTAGATATGGAGGTACTCGGTTCGAAAAGTTGACGAGGCTACAGCTGATGCAAGGCTCGCTCACCGAGTAGCGGCTCATCTCCAATAATAACACAGGAAGAAAAGATTAGCCAGGTACGCATCATCGGCTCGGTTAGAAGTGGTACTGAGCGCTTTCTTCTAGCTTGTCAGATGCCAGGCGTTCTCATCTTTAGGGCAAACCGGTTGCTCTTTTCTTGGACGGATGATGGGTGGCTGAGTCTGAGAGCCTGACAACATCCATAAACCTGGCTTTAAGTATGTATGATCTAGATGCACAGATGAGCAACGAGAGAAACTGGGACAGAGTAGTCTGGATAATCAACATGCCCGTGGCAATTTGAAATGACTGCCGATGCTGACATTACAAATACGTGGATATCTCCAAGCCATAAACAGTCTCTCGAATCGAAGTAAATAACCCTAAGAGAGTATTGGCACGAATGTATCTCCATGTTATATGATCTCAAAACTTTACTTTCGAAAAGCTGCAAGTGATTTTGAAGTGCTGGCAATTTTGTAGCATCTTATGTTGCAATACAGAACAAATATGCATCATACTGTGGCTCAGCCCCTTTTTGAAGGAGATCCATTGACTTAGGCCCTAAACAATGACAACGCAAGGCCAATCTACAAGAACAAAGTAGCATTACACCGAAGACTATGTTCGGCAGCCAGAGAGGGGCATATCATTTATGGAAATCACGGCAGTCAACAATCTAATAAATGCCTCGCAGTCCAAACAAACCCGAGGCACTTGCAGGTCCTTGAGAACAAGATATTTTCGAACACAGGGTATCACATTCTGGATTAACTTGAACAAGCTCTGCATCTAATCATACACAGATATGGTATCTCTTCTTATCTTATCACTTCCACCGCCTCCACTATCTCTTTTCCCTACTCTCTCACAACAAACAACATCTCGCTTATCCGTGCCCGCACGCATATATCTACAACCTATACACAAAGCCAGATGTTATCTCTCCTTCCGAACCCAGGCGTGCTTAGCAACCCATGCTAAAACACCTCTCCGGACTCTCTTTACTGCGTGTGTTTCTCGCACACGCAAAAAAAAAACAGAGGATTGTTCTTTCATATCGCAAAAACTTCAAAACCCTAGGGATCGCTCAAGAAGAAAAGTTGTTGTAATAAAGCTCAACGAAACGCTTGTAGTTGTAACCATAGAGACTTAGAAATAACGTGAAGTGAAGCGAAGCGCTGAGGTCGACGAGAATCCCCGATCCCTAATCCCAGACAAGTATGCGCCGTGCTTGTAATGGTGGAGCAGAGCACCAACGACTGCCAATTCGCTCTATGGTGAACATTGCAGAAATAAGGTGTCGTAATAGACGTGTTCCAACATCAACACTTGAGTTCCCAACCGAAGAGTAGTTCACACGACCGCACAATCGATAAATTCGATGTTGTTCTAACATGAAGGACGATTTTTCTATCCATCAATATCGGAAACTCCATCCCGGGGCAACGCAAATTCCAACCACAACTAGTAGAATGAGACTAGCCTTAGACGTTCACTTCCAAGGTTTCTTCTCTTTGCCATTGCTATCCTTGCTATTTATACTGCTGGTCCTCATGGCACTTGCAGCGCCGGCAATAGCTTGAGGGGACTCTCTACCAGTGATACCAGAGCTGTTCTTTCCCTTAGGTTGGGGAAGCAGGCTTACACGTCTGTTCGTAGCCAGAGACGATGCGGGTCTCGTGGGCTTCGGCGGAGGACTGCTGAAACCAGTAGGATCGCTAGATTTCGGTTGCATAGATGCTCGTCTATTGGTCCTGTTGCTTAGAGCTGACATAGAAGACTTGGCGGCGAGCAGGCGGGGTCGGGCGGGTGGTAAGCTCTGAGCAAGGACTTGCTGGTTATAAGGACCGGGACTGGTAAGTTTGTCACGGAATCCTGATCTTGAAATGGATTTCCGGGATGGGGTCGTATCGGGGCCTGGAGAACTGGTGTTGTCGCGACTCAGAGGCGATCGCAACGGTATTCTCGAGTCTACGGAGACGTTCGATCTGTTCGAATGCACGGAGGGAGGCTTCGAACGAGCGTGTGGACTTGGAGTGGTGAGACTCAGTGGCTTGAAGTTGTGCCCGATGATCGTGTCTTTGACGTTAACGCTCGAGTTCCATCGCGGTCTTCCATCGGGATTGTGAGTTAGTGAGGGTCGCGGTATTCTGTTGTTGCCCGTCGGGGTTGCGGAGCCTTGTCTAGATAATACTGGTGAAGGCGAAGCCCGGCCAACAGGAGCAGCTACGGTAGAGAGTCGATTCACGAGTCCTTTGCGAGGGAGCTGGGTTTGAGCTGTCGAGTTGCTGCTATTCCTCCTTGCGCCGGGTTGGGGGAGGTTGGTGCCTGAACGAGTCTTGCCATTCTTTATAGGCGTCAAGTCCTGTGTAGCAAGTCCAGTGAGAACAACGGAAGAAGCGGGCGAACTGCCGGGGGTATCATAATGGCTGCCAGTTGTAGATCGATCGTTGGAGAGCATGCTTGAAATCGAATCTCGAAGCTGCTGGTTCTTCTTGTCGGCTTGGATTTCTTCCAGGCTCATATCAAGCTCACTCATCTGCTCCTTGAGGGCTTCCCACTTGCGTTGCATTTCGGAGTGAAGTCGCAAGATCTCGCCATTTACTGTCAATCGATCCTTGACACCTCTTTCAATGATTGACAATACCCGCTCAATAGCCGGACCGTAATGCATTTTCTTTGCCTCGTAACTTTCAATCTTCTTGCCCATCGAAGCTGGGTTCTGAAGATGAGTTCCTGATTCTACGGCCTCCTTGAGCTTGACAACACTGCGATCGACTGACTCGTACATTTTTTGTGCTTGTCGGCCCGCGCCTCTGAACACCAAAACCCAACGGTCTTCGCCTAGCTCTCTCCTGAGAGATTCAGCATCCTTTTCGAGATTCTTCCAGCTGCTCTCAAGACCTGTTCTCCTGGTTTCGAGCTCCTCGCAGGCTGTTGGGAATATCTTCTCGGCTCTGTAATGGAAGGTAGACAATCTCATAGGGAGAAAGTCCAACGAAGCTCGTAGGGGTTGCATTCTAGCGAACAATGCCAGTAAACTTGAATCATCTTGTGCAGCAACAGTCGAAGGGTTTGGCGAGCTCGGGCTCAGAGGAAAGGAGCCCGTGACGCTAAATCGATTGCTGGCGTTGAGTTTCGCTTTCGAAGGAGGCGTGTCGTTCACAATTGTGGCCAATTCATTGAGGTCTAGTCCTCCATCTCCACCAGTTTCTGCCATTAATGATTTGTGCCTCTTTTCCTCCATTTCAAAAACCAGCCGGGCTAGAACATCCATTTCGTTGCCAATGTCTCCCAGAACGGTATTCCAAAGTTCTTCCCATTCCATAGCAATCTCTACCGAGTTCTTGACGTCCTTCAATGTTCTCCGTATCTTCTCCCACTCTGACAAAATCATTTCTACTTGCAGTACAACCTTCCTGAGCTCGTCCGGTGAAACTGTAGATATGTCTGACCGACCCTGGAGCGATTCGATCGCCGACACGTATACATTGATGAGTTCTGTGAACCTGGATATGGCATTGTCGACTTCTTCTAAGCCTTCTCTACCTCCAGCAGCTGCCCACTCGACATCGTCCTCGCCATCTAAGCCAGATACGACTTCAGAAGCCTTTGAGATCCAGCTTCGAATTTGTTCTGCGGCTCCCATCAACGCCTTGGAAGCAGCCTTGGAAGTTGGAATCGCAGAGATCTTCGTAGATAGGGATTCGGCATCTGGAAGTTGTAGCGAAGTTAATTGAGCAAGTTGGTTTGCAAAAGAGACCCTTGAGAGTGTGTATATCGAACCCGTCCGCTGTAGTCCAAATGGATTGAAAAAGGAGGACTCATCTCCTGCGAATTCGCCTGGTGTCGTACCTTCCGGAGGGGTATCCTTAGATATTGGAGGGGGAGGCGTTTCGTCGTCTGGGGGAATATCTCTCTCGATATGTGCCTGCTTTGTATCCGACATTGCCTTTGTTCCATTTCCGTTAGTATGTTCTGGCAACCGGTACTTCTGCGAGTCCATGTCTATCTGTTCCGCATGTGTGCTCATTTCCCGCTCTCTCGAACTCGCAGAGGATGACGGCCGACGTGTTCCACCTTCCAAAACTCTAAGGTCAACAGGTGGGATTTCCACAGAGCTTCCGCCAGTCACCTGCGGTGTGAGAAGCCCGCTGGTGCCACTCCAGGCTCGTCCTCGAGGTTGGAGATTGGGCGACCTCGCAGATTTTACAGAGTTGGCGCGGTGGATGAGGTCGAGCTTCTGGATCTGGTCTTCAGGTATTCGGCCTATTCGATCGTTGGAGGGTGAACGATGTGGGTTGGACTCATTCGAATCTTTCCCAAAGCCTAAAGCTTTAAGACGCGCTGCGAGGCCGGGAGATGGCTTGCGCGCCTGTCGGGGTTTGCGGTGATCGTAGTCGTTACTGGTCGTTAGAGCTGCCGTTGAGGCAGCAGAATTAGTATTATTGTTCGCACGATGTTGATGCAGGTCGACGTGCCAGGATGGAGAGTCTGAGTCTGATCGCGGCGCTGGACGCAGGGAGGTGGTCATTGGGCTCGATTGCCGGTGCTCACGCAGCTAAGCACGAAGGATCCGGGGTTGGAGGCCGTGGATTGGGGCTATCCGACGGTTCGTTGGGCGTGCGGTGCGGTGCGGTGCCTGGTAGATGGCGGAGGGGCGCGGTGAATGCTAGGTAAGTAAGGTATGCTATGCACTGCAGGAGAAAGAGGCAGAGGGAGTAAGTGCAGGTTCAGGCCGGGCAAGTTGGTGCGCACTGTGCAGGTGAAGAAAGATCAGATGCCACGGCTGCGACTCGACACTTTGCAAGTCTCAAATCTCAAGCTTCTCTGGGACGGAGCTGGCGGTCGGGTTGGGAAAGAAAGTGGCTTCTGCCCAGGCAAGGTAGGTAGGTAAGGTAGGTAAGGTACGGTCCAGGGGTGGCAGTCACGACCCTTTCTGGGCTGGGCATGCAGTACGAAGGTAAATATTAATACCTACAGCAGAGCAGGTAGCTGGGTAGGTATTACTGTAGTACCCTTCGTGAGCCAGGTAAGGTAGGGCAGGGCAGGGCAGGGTAGCTAGCCAACCAAGCTGGGAGGTACTGTAGGCAGGCAGGCAGGCCAAAATGCATGATGGATTAAGGTAGATACCTAATTCACGATACGATAGGATACAGTGCAACATCGATGAGGGAGGGAACTTGGGATGCGACATGATCGATCGAAAGAACTATTCATCTAATCACCCTCCCAGCCAGCCAGCCAGCAAAGTAAGGTGTTCAGCACAGCACAGCAAGCACAGTGCAGCTCGCGCAGTATTGGTGTTAGTGTTGAGTGATAGTAAATCGACCCACAGCGTCATTTCATGAAATAACTTAACAGGCAGCCAAAATAAAAGAAGAGTAAACCACATCTGTAAATTACTACGTGGCACTGCAGGCTGCCTCTATCAGGGCTTAGCTGCTTGCTGTCCTCGTCCCGACGCGTTCTTGGTGCCTTCGACGGTGGTGAGCAGCGGCAACGGGTGGCTGAACTTGGGGAACTACTGCATGAGGTGGTGGATCGCTACTGGAGCAGGCGTAGGCTCAGAGGAGTGGGTGGGATCGTGGCAGAGTGCAATAATCTATCGTATCTGGTTTGCCGATGCGAGGACAATGATCGTGAGCTGTGAAGCCTGTGATCCAAACAAGTGATTGGCAGCTGCTGAACAGGATGGGCGTTTGTAAGTCCGGCCCCAGGCTCGATTATATCTGTGAGTAGCACATAACCAAAACTTATTAACACAGCTCCTTAATCCCCCAATGTCGTAAAGCGAATTTTGAGACTTCAAATTTGTCCCCCACGCACTAACCTTACGGGCATCTGGGAACCATGAATGAGCTTCAATGTTCCAGACTGAGCAGCCGGACTGGGTACTCCGTACGGAAGTAGACTAATCACATGAGGACTATGACAGGAGCCTTCCAAGGTTCTCTCCAGTTCTCAACTCCCCCGACTTCTGTATTTAGGAAGCTATCTTTCTCAGACATCCTCTCTTAATGGCAAAACGCATACCTACAGGTAGGTAGTTCTCTTACGAAGTGATCGTCAGTTGCATGCAATCTATCCATGGTCGCATGTGCAGCTCCTGCACTGTTGCAGCAAGGTAAAGCTAAGACCGAGGCTTTACAGTCCTGTACTGTACTGTAAATTTACCAGGGACCAGGCCCAGGCAAGGAAAAGGGGGAGGCCTGGCCTGAAGCGCCAAGTGATGTAAAGTTGCAGGGACCGACCGATTGGAACGCCCCACATCGTGAACTTGATGTGATATCATGATGGTAGTGAGCGACAGGTGAGGTAGAAGCAGAATCCGATATGCACCGGTTCAGAGTAGATGCGTTCAGAAGCAAAGTATGACAATGCTCTTGCGTGAGAATGGTGCCTTCTATACAGGTGGCTACTGAACTCTTAGGTCTGCTGTGAAAGCCGACGTGGCAGTGATATCCTTATGTGCACTGACATAATCAACTGCTGTCATAAAACTAGAGAATTTCTAGGAAAATTTCTCCCTTCATAGTGCTCAAGCTCATGCCCACAATGCTGAACAGAGTAGGAAATAAGCAGATATTACACAAAGTTGGCCTGTCATGAGTCTGGCCTGGTATCAAACACCTTCTTCCCGATTTCCATCATTCAAAAATGCAATATAGCGCCTAATTATTTCCTCGAGGTATCAAACACACCGCTCACCTCGACCGCCAAATTTACAACTGTACTCACGCTCCAGAGCCCGATCAAGCCCCAGCCAATTTTTCTGCTCATCACCCATTTGTTCAGAGGAACGACAATTAGGAGACCAACGAGTGTGATCAACAACGTGACTGCACTGATCATCAAGGTGCCGCTGACCTGAATCCCGTACGGCTTGTATTCAATTTTCTTCCCCGGATGTTTCGCATGTTTATGGTTTGCTCCCTTGATTGTCATGTAGATCCCGCTCAAGCCAATGCCGAGGAGTATGTTGAGCATTGGGCCTCCGAAGCAGGCGGACAACGCCATCACTGGATATCCAAGACGGGCAACTGTAATGTCTGCAACCAGATCACCGAGAGAGTTGCCCACAGCGAAAATAGTCAGTCCCAGGATAGCATCTGATATCCCGAGAATCACTCCGATGGCTTTCAGCACACCGACAACTTCATTTGCAATCGTAGATATCCAAGCGATGGCAACGACAAAGCCTAGGAAGCAAAGGATGAAACGATATTTCGGAGGCGTTGTTGGCGAGGTCGTAAGCACCAGAATAGCAAATGCAATCAAAGAGCCCAGGAGGGAATATAGAACGAGTTGGACGAGAAGGCTCGTGTTGCCCTCGGCGCTATTTGCCCAAACAATAATCACCACGAATAAAGGTGCGGTAAATATTTGGACGGAGACAAGCCATCGATTCCAATCCTGCGAAGACACCAACTCTGCATTACCTGGAGTGTCCTCTATCTGTGAGATGGAGGAGTGTTTCGAAGGCATTGATGCCAAGTGAGAATGATGGTTGAGGTTCTCTGCTGACACAGCAACTGCGGCAGAGCTGTGTCCGCTGTAGCCTCGAAGCTGAGGCGACCTTGGGGTATGGCCATGGGATTCTGTAGCTCGCCGGTAACGAATCCACTCAGGTTCATTCTCTAGTGATGGGCTATCTGGTGTCAACGGGGGAACCGCGCTGCTGTGACGTCTCGGCAACGATGGGGCTCTCTCATCAAGAGTAGCCTCATCCTCTTCCTCATCTTGTGATTCGGACTCAACGACCGGAAGGGTGATCGCCAGAAGAAAAATGCTCGGCGCTGATACAAGCCCGACGAATTTGTCCCAGACAGTTTTCTCCCGCCATGTACATAATGTTGGGAACAGTGTGGTTCCCAACACGAGAGGGCTTGGAAGATACTTGTAGGGCCACCACCAGATAGGTCTTGCCATTTCCTGATATTCTAGGTCATGACTACCGTATACCGATTCGGAGGTCATCTCTGGCTCTGGAAGCATAATACTTGGGGCATTGGAGCTGATGGCAGACATCGGTGCAGGCGAGTCGGTATATGCTGGGAATTGGATAATTGGCGACTGTGTTCGTGAGTGGGAGCTATCCCTCGATGACGAGCCAGGTATGTGGAGTCGAGGGCGCTGGGCAGCTCTAGACCTCATCTTCGGAGAGTCATGTGGAGAGACCCGTTCAGGTTCGTGGTCTCTAAAGTAATCGGCACGGAGATGCCTTGCCCCCGGAAACCCCTCTTCAGGTGGTGCAAGCGTGTCGCGTTTCGGTCGTTCTTGAGAGGGTGCGGGACTCGCATCTCGATTCTCGTGTATAGAAGGAGGAGGAGAGACGGAGAAAGTCGGCGAGGGTGGCGGTCGCCCAGAAAGTGAGGGCGAACTATGTATAGAGTTTGGCCCAGGGACATGGAGGTTTCGGGGAAATGTTGGCGTTGCAGCAACGACCCCAATATGTGGTATGGTTGCCACCGTGAAAGCAGCAGGATCAGTTGCTTTGGAACTAGCTGCATCATTTAGAGATACGGCTCTTGTCCTTGTGGTTGGCGCACCAAGTCTTGACGGATCGTTTCCAGCTGCTCCCGGCGTGTGATCAGTACCCGGAGGGTTATCTGAATAACGCTCTTGTGGTGCTTCTGTGCCATCAATCTGCGCCGCGAGCCCTGTTGTTGGATCATCCGAATATCTGCGTAGATGGATCGGTCGTGCATGGGATCCTCGAGCTTTCTGCAACGATGACAGAACTGATCTGAACTCCAAGGCGCCTACTAAGCTAGGGCGGATAGGGGTTATCGTATTCCTGCGACTTCCAGCAGGCCTGGTGACTCGCATGCTGCTTGCCATCTCAGCCGCAAGATGCATCCCTTCATCTCCATCTTCGTCACTTTCGTCGTGGACATTGGCTGGACTTGCAGCTCGCTCCAACGCCCCGAAGTCTTCAACATCTCTGTATCGTGGGGTTCCTGCTGGCGCATCCTCGTCATCATCATTTTCCTCGGAAACCTCTATCTCCTCATTCGCCATGGCTAGATACTGCCCACGGGCAGCAGCTTCCCTTTCGCGGTGTCTCCGTTTCCGTCCCAGGTACCAGTGCCAAACAACTACTACCACTACGTAGAAAATGTAAAATGCGACCATGACACAGCATTCCCAAAGATGCAAGGCACCATCGGCCAGGAAAACCATACTGAAGCTCGCAGCAACGATGAAGAATCCAACGTCTCTAACGAAGGTCTTCTTTCCAACCTTGAACTCTCGTACCAATGCCATAGACCCTGCTACGACTGCAGTGATAAACCCGGCCGCCCCAATCAACTCTCCAACAGCCAAACTTCCACTATGCGAGCTCATTGCTGCGAACGTCGAAAAGACGTCCGGGCTCCCATTTCCAAATGCCAGAAATGTTACTCCCGCCATGCTCTCGCTCATTCCTAATATAGATGCAATGGTACTCAAATTGATACAAAAGAAGTCCGATGCAGCGATGCCGATTGTAGTAAAGAGTAAGGCGAGCCATAGTGAGAGGACAATAAAGGCTACGGGTTGTGCCTTTGAGAGACCGCAGTAGTAGAATGACAGGTAGGAGAAGAGGCCCGCTTCTTCGTCCGGACAGTTTGCTTTTATAAAAGCACATTTATCTTCGGCATGGTGAACCAGGCGACACTGAGGGGCAGAATTGTCAGCTTGAGATTCAAACGGTAAAGGGATCCTGGAGATATCATGGTCTGACCCACCTCTTCGTCTCTTTTCACGAGTCGGGTGCTGTCCAGCTGCTCCAAAGCTCTTCTTTGCGCCACTCCATATTGAGGGCCGTGTCGATATCTAGCAGACTGGTCTGCCACGAGGCTGATGACTGCCAACAGAGCCAAGCAGAGCACGGTAATGTAGAAGGCGCGGAACCTAAACGTCCTGGGCGATCGCGATGTGCGATTCGGCACCGCCTTTGAAGATGGTTGTCGCATGTTCCACAAGCATTATTACTTCGGACACATTGAGGATAGAATTAGTTGTGCGATGCTGATGCGATTGTCGAAGCCAAAATGAAGTGGTACAAAGAGATTTAGATGCGTAAGTGAAGGTGGAAGTGGAAATGAGCCGGAGGGGGATGGCAATCAAGCATTGTGTCGTGTCGGCTTCTGGGACAATTGGTGCCACTTCCAAGCTCACCCAAGCCACGGCAAATGCAGGGAGCGATGACGCTGCCCTGTATGCGATGCGATCCAGGCCTGCGGGCTACCCAGTGCCCTGCCTCGTCGCAATGGGGAAGCTGCAGAGAATGCCGCTAAGATAGAGAGCGATAAGCCAGGCCAGGCCAGGTACTGTCCTTTACGGAGTTGTGGTGGAGTAGTGAAGTGAGTCCTTGGAAGCCCCTGGAGTGGCAGTGAAGTGGCCAACCAAGAACCTGGAAGGCAGGATATCAAATAGGCTCGCGCAGGCAGGAAATGGACCTACCTAGGGAGGTAGGGCTCAGTAGTGAATCTCCATCTGCTGGCTTTACAGACAATCCGAACTGAACTTGAGAATGGCATAATTAAACCCTCCTCATGAAGAATCTTGCATTTAATAATCCGAGGCGGTCGTGAGAGCTTGCATGTATCACCATTATGGAGGCAGGTAGTGCAGCGTCCGGTACGGAAGTCGAGATATTCAGCCACGCTAGCGGGTTGCTGGGCGTGGTCTGTAAACAAGCGCGTCCTCCGCAAAGTAAACACGAAATTCAAGATTCAGCTTCAACTCTTTTCGCCGGATAACGACAACACCAGAACAGACGCACAATGCCTCGGGTTGCGCAAAATCCTCGTGGAGCCAGCAATGGCCGAGTTGCTTCTGGTTCTATGGCTGCATCGCCTTTCAAATCGCCTGTGAAGTAAGGAGTTTCACCCAGCGTCTATCAACTGTTCTAATATCGCTCAGAATCCCACTCAACGATGATGCGCAAGAGAAGGCCAAACGTCTGCAGTCGCGGCATGCCCTCCATGATATACATATGAATCAGATTAAGGCGGCAGCATCTCCAATGCGGAAATTGAGCAACTTTGAACGAGCTGGCAGTTCCTCTCCATCCTCCAACCCAAAGACACCACGGCGGACACTGGGAAAAGAGAATGACCTGGATGGAGGAGTTATGATGGTTGGTGGAACGGCTGTTACGCCTATGAAGCGCGTACCTCTACTTGCCAATTTCGAGGAATGGATGAAGATGGCCACAGACAACAAGATCAATGCGGCCAATTCATGGAACTTCGCGCTCATCGACTACTTTCACGACATGTCCCTTCTCAAAGAAGGAGATGGCGTCAACTTTCAGAAAGCCAGTTGTACCCTGGACGGCTGCGTCAAGATTTACACCAGCAGAGTCGACAGTGTTGCGACCGAGACCGGAAAGCTTCTGAGCGGATTGGCAGACAGCGGAAATAATAAGAAGAAGAAGGGTGAAAGCGAGGAGGGAGAGGAGAGCGAAGAGGAAGTGGAGGACGAAGATGGAGTGGTTAGGAAGAAGCCAAAGAAACGGGTAAGTAACACCTTTTTGTCATAGTTTGTCGCAGCATGCACTATTGCGCATCATTTGTTTTTCCTGTTATCGCGAGCAAAAAAGGATTGGATTGCAAGCGCAGTCCGTGTCGTAGGACATTGGCATATTTCTAGCGTTGCGTGTTCCCCTTGCAAGGTCAGAGGGCGAAAAATCGGTTATTGTGAGAGACATCGCTTCTTGAACGCTACGTGTAGCTGAATAAAGCGTTGTCTGTCACATACGACCATAGACTGAGGAAAACTGGGCATCCCGTCCGCTCTGCCATACATAAGCCTCAGATCGGCAGATTAGTAGTTGGGTGGGTGACCACCAGCGAATACCTGCTGTTGTATGTTTTTAAATTTGTTTCATTTTTTTTGCCGTTATCAAGGATCAGCAATGTCTTTTTTTTTGTAGTGGAAAAGTGGTTTCTTTATCGTTGTACAGATGGCAATTTTCTTTACTATTGCAGAACAGTATTTTCGGTCCACTGTTACATTTTGTTTCTGGCACCGATACCTTTTGCTCCGCCAGGCTTGACGGAGACCTGCGGCGCCTATCGATTGGACGTTTCGTGGCTCACGCAACTGCCTAGCAACTATGGATTTTACCACTAAACCACAAACTCCCGCTCCTTTCGGCTTGGTCCCCACGTCGACCATTTCATATCCATTTCTTCTTCGTACTGCTATTGTGCTAGATAGGATATGTCCTCTCATCCAACCAAGCAGTCCGGAATGGTGTAGTGGCTAGCATTTCTGCCTCTCATGATCTGTCTAATAGACAGTAATCGTGTTCGCAGGAGACCGGGGTTCAATTCCCCGTTCCGGAATTATTCTTTTGAAATTTCGGGGGCTTGGGCAGGCACAACGGCTGTTGGCATGGCTATGCTAGTGCTAATCTTGCCTGTATCGTGTCGATTTGAATTGTCGAAGTTCCGCCTCGTTTCTGGCTGTGGAGTTTATCACACCTTTTGGCTGCTTTCCTTCCCTTTTTTTTCGGTGCCGGATTGAAGCCGCGACGACACAGAGTTTAGGACATGTGCCAAGTGTCCTCAGTCGTACCAACAGTGGTGTCAAATTGGTATGACACATGTTTTCCTCTAGTCGGTTAGTGGCATATTTGCTGCGCCGCTTCTGTCTCGCAGGCCGGGAAGTCCGGCGCCTAGACAGCAGTACCAAGACACTCGCTCCCATAATTATCCACATAAGCAGATTCTCCCAACAAGCAGCTTCCAAGCTACTCATCTTTGATGGTCTAACGGTCATGATTTCCGCTTGTCAAGTCGACAAGTCGCGGGAGATCGGGGTTCGACTCCCCGTCAGAGAGCTTCTCTAGAGTTCATGTCCCCGAGTCAACTCGGATACACATCTACATTTTTTTTTTTTTTTTGATACCATCTGCATGGTAACAATAGTTGGGTAATTCTGCTCGCATTTTTGTTTTGCTGCCAGGTCCATGACTTTGCTTGGATTTAAGTTTGTTTCTGTACAGATTTTCCTACTAGCGCGCTATTCGTTTTGCCTCGGTTCGCCAGCCTACCGAATATTTACTTACCAGCGGAGCAGGCCCAACGTTCATCAGAGGCAACTTTAGCAAGCTCATTCGCGGCTCTGCAATTGAAGAAATTCGAACTTGAATTCTCGGTCGATCCTTTATTCAAGAAAGCTTCAGCAGACTTTGACGAAGGCGGCGCTAAAGGTTTGCTCCTCAACCATCTTGCAATCGACTCACAGGGTCGTATTGTCTTCGATAGCAGTGATGATGCCGGTGATGTATCTGGCGAGGGCCAGGGCCGACAACGGAAAGGCGAGGTTATCGAGGAGGAAGAAACTGAACCTGATTCCATGATCGATACGACTTCAAAGGACGCTGAAGAGGACGAAGAGGATGTGGAAATTGATGTTGGAGCTCTTGCCGCCAGGTTTTTCCCTAGCCTAGACATTCTGGACGACCAGGACATCTGCCCTTCCCTGAAGAACTTCGACCTTGGAGATCCTTCCGGTACTATGGATATTCCATTCCTAAAGGCGCCCGAGGACTGGAGAGAGAAAGACAAGCCTGTCGAAACTTCTGTTGGCGACAAGTCGGGCATCTTCCTTGATGATGACAACCCAGTGGGCTTTGAAGACGATGACGACGGACTCTTAGGAAACTTCGACATTCCCGCTGACGCTGGCTTTGGAGAGGGTGGTGAGGCGTGGGCTCGAGATGCGGCAATCGAAACGCGTATGCGTGTCCACGATGGCGGTTTCGACAATGACGGCATGGGAGGCGCAGACGGTGAGGATGGCGACGGTGCTGCAGCTGGTGCCTTTGATCCAGAGACTGGAGAGTATGTAGTATCTCTGGACCATGGCGCAAATATCCAAGGTGGCCATGATGACATCCTGAGCTATTTTGACGAGGCATTGCAGAAGAATTGGGCCGGGCCAGAGCATTGGAGAATCCGAAAAATCAAAGATATCAACAAGCCAGCATCAGCTACCAAGGTACGAAAGGAGAAGGAATTATTTGAGATTGACTTTCTGTCTCCTCTCTCCACAACTTTAGCGGAGACCATCTACACGCCGGCGTCATCAAACACTGTGATCTCTCTCCCTAAGAAGGACTGGAAATCAAAAACCAGAAACCTTCTCCCGGACGACAAACACTTCAATTCCAAGCAGCTACTGAGACTCTTCTTGAAGCCCAAGGCTCGCATGGGTAGTCGTAGATCTGGCCTTGGTATGAAGACCAACAACTTTGGTCAACGGAAAGAAGAAGAGGCTCCTGAAGGAGAAATGGACGAAGCTTTCTGGGCACAGAATGAAGGACCTGCTGGCGTTGATGATGCACCTCAAGGAGATTACGATGCAAACTTCTTTCAGGATGACGGATTACCAATGCCAGGTGGACTTGATGACGATGATGACATCGAATTCGCGGATGCCCGTGATCACTTTTCGCCTGGTGCCGAAGAGCGCGGTGAAGGTGTGATGGCAGGTATCAATAGCGTATTGAATGGTGGCATGACCCAGCTTCCTGAAGGAGAAGAAGGTGCTTTTGGCACCCAACTCGTTACTCAGAGCAGAAGGATGAGACCGGAATATGTGCAGTATGCTCGTGTGGCCAAGAAGGTGGATGTCCGGAGATTGAAGGAAGAGCTGTGGAAGGGCATGGGCATTGAGGCGCTCGATCTTGTAAGTGGTATTCTCGATTCCGTTGCTGGATCTGCTCTAATCTTTGGACAGAACTTGCCGACCCAAGCTCCAGGAAGACTACCTACTCCTCAGCCTGAACCCATGAAGGGAGAAGATGGCAGTCTGAAATTCACGTCTGTGATGCAGAATCTGCAAAGCGTCTACCCGAAGCAGGCCATGAACGATATCTCAACGAGTTACTGTTTTATTTGCTTGTTGCATCTGGCCAATGAAAAGGGTTTGGTGATTGAGAAGCAAGAGGGGCTCATGGAGTTAGACATTAGAAAAGACCCCACTGCCGAGATTACTGTGGGTGGATGATGGGCTGTAGGCTGTAGTGCTCTGTATTCTGAGAACTTTGTGTTTACTCACCATCATTAATGAGCTGCATGTCGTGAATGAAGAATAATGCATTAAACACCCCAGTTGTGGAGCCATTTGACTTCTTCAGTGATTGATTATATTGTGCATTGACAGTAGTTTCCAATTTGCGAACAAAGTCTTGTACAGTGATGCATATGGTCAAATGGAAACTCATCACGTCTCTTCCACGTTGCCCTCATTTAGGGCAGCATCGTACCGAGACGAGGCTGAGGTCCCGGCCGCTTTCTTGCCCATCGCCAAGTTCAACGAACACTCCAAATTCTACCAACCAACTACCATACACCAACACAAGATCATCAAACACTCAACAGCTCAGTATGGCAATCAAAGATATTGTCACTGATCCAGGCCTCAAGGCTGCCTTAGAAACATCTGCTCAGGCCCGGGAGCAAGCTGTCGCACTGCTCGACTTCGTCTCGAACCACCCCGCCACATCCACGCCCTCCGAGGACTTTCAGATCCAAGTATCCAGGCAACAGAAGCTTCTCCTTACCTACCTCGCGCAGTTACGGGGCCTTCATCGTGATGCGCACATGGCCGCTCGAGAGACTAAGGCCGTGACGGCTGAAGCACGTCAAGAGGTCGACAAGCTACACCTCCAACTCCAGAACCTCTACTATGAACAACGACATCTTCAGGGAGAGATTGCTGCTTGCGAATCCTTTGAGCAAGTCGACTCCTGTGGTATCATTGTCCTCCGTGCTAATTATTTGCATAGTCACAAATACACACAATTGCCTCTCATTCCAGTCGAACAATTCCTTGCGGAGCACCCAGAGCACACAGACGCAGACGAAAATGCCCTCATGACCGCACGAATTGACCATGAACATGCAGAGCGCGAAGCTTTGGAAAGCCAGAGGCAAGGCCTGTTGAAGAAGAAGTTAGGCCTCGTTGCAGAGAATAAGAAGCGTAAGGACGATTTGGCTGCTTTGGATAAAGACTTGGAGACGTTTATTGACGTATGTATCCGAGATTTGTGGAGTCAAGACTATGCTGATATTATTCCGTAGGCCGCTAAACCAATAATCACCACTTTCGAAAAAGTTATCTGAGAAAGAACCGAGCATCTTCTGCAAAGATGGAAGTTTCAAAGCTGGTACGCTTCTCAACAGGCAATGGACTGATATCCTATTTGGGGTTGTGCCCTTTCAAGGCCTATCATAACCGACAGATGGAGCAAATTCCCTCTAGTCCTTTGAAACACAGAACCTCCATATGGTAGCGAGTGCTGGCTGTCATTCAACAGGAACGCAGTTGTAGGGAACAGCGACGTGGACCTCGGAAGGGCTGCACAGTGCTCCGCAGGAGGTGTGCTGTCACGCTCTATGAGGCGGGCATCTAGCCTACGACTTTGCCTTGATATTCAAGCCGATTCTCAATGTGGAAGGTTCTCTGTCCGCCATGATTTCACCGATTCGCTGTTGTGGGCATGCAATATATCGGCCACTCGGACTCGATGCGCACCCATCCGCATACAATACATCCCATTACAAATACCTACTCTTTGGCTGCTTTCCTCCATATCTCAATCCGTTCTGTGCTATGCTGTATACACTACTTGCTTCACTTTATGTCTCAAGTGTCCTGACCAAGTGCACAGTCAACTTGTAGAGTTAAGCTCATGGAGGCCTTGCGAGATCTATTTCCAGCCATGCATATTTCTGGATGCCGGGCTGTGTGGAGATGGTCGATTTCAGCCCCCAGCGATACGTGAGCAGCGGCTGAACCTTGACCGTAATCGGGCTTGAAGCTCTGGGACCGAGTGGCCTCGCTTAGTCCAACGAGCAAACAAAGATCATCAGCATCCAAACAAAGCATCCTTTGAAAGCCACATAAGGCCAGTTTATAGACAGGGCAAATGTGCCAGCACCCCTCCCAGCGGCCATCTGTAGTCTGTAATCTGCACATTGTCGGAATTGCTTCAGCATATTGCTGCTTGACAATACTTCTTAATCCCCAATCCTGCCAGATTTGCTCAGCCTTTTGAGATTCTGTTCGCAAGTGGTTGTCAATATGTTTCGATTAGCGAATATAGGGGTTTTTCTCTTTGCTGCCCATTTGGGACACGTGCAGACACAATCTGTCGTGCCCTCATCGACCTCGGCTTCTCCTGCAGCAACACATTCGGTTAACGTTGGAGCTGTAAGTTCTGTGTGTTTAATACATTTAGTACCTGCTAATGATTGATAGGCTGGTCTTGTCTTTACTCCGAATTCCATAACGGCAAACGTTGGAGACACTGTCGGTAAGAGGCATTAAGAAGCAGTTGAAGATGTTGGCTGACGAGTCAGAATTTCGCTTCTACCCTCAGAACCACTCTGTGGCAAGAGCTGAATACAAGTATCCCTGCATACCGTACGAGGTTGTCGATGTAGGGAAGCAGGGGTTTTGGAGCGGATTCAAACCCGTCAATGTTGTCTTATCAGATGTGAGTTTTGTAAATGGCTAAGTTTCCACTGCTAACTTCAAAAGCCTCCCAAGTTCAGTGTATTGATCAATGATACCGAGCCGATCTTCTTCTACTGCTCTGCCCCAGGTGCTTGCGAGGAGGATATTATGGTTGGCGTTATCAATCCAAACTCATCCCAGACCCTAGAGGTCCAACAAGCCTTCGCACACAACTCGACTGTTGCTTTCAGTCCAGGCGAGAACTTCCCAGCAGAAGTAGCATCTACTAAGTCTGCTGCTCCATCGTCAAGCTCTACGACGTCTTCTCCTACGACTGCGACCGTAACAACTACACCTACAACATCTGCTACTGCTGCTGCCTCCTCTGGCTCACATTCACCTCTCTCAACTGGGGCAATTGCGGGTATAGCAATCGGTGGAGCCGCGGTATTGATACTCGGAGGAGCACTAATATATCTCTGCGGACGCCAACGTACAATGGGAGAACTGCTTCGACACAATCAACAGCCGCCACCTCCCTCCTATGTCCCCAATGCCGGTCATATGTCTATGGCATCTTCAGCAGCATACACCAAGTCTCCACACGCAGAAGTTGATTCCTACCGATTTCCTAGCCAAGCCGGGTACTACAACGGTGAAGATGAGAGCTATCGCTCGCGAAGTCCACCTGCTGAAGATGCTATGGAGTACACGAATCTAGGTGGAACCGCGAGTCCAAATCGTGCGAGCAGTCCTATGATAAGGCACCCGGTCCCGCAGAGTCCCGGCCGATCAGAATTGACACCAGTGACGTTGACTGATAGGCCAGTGTCAGAAAATGCGGGGACTGGAGATGGGTATGTAGTATCGAATCAGAGACGGCTGCATTCCTTGCTAACGTCCTATGCTAGAGTTCGGAGAAGTCAGTCACAGGTCGGTCCTCATGAATTGGGCGCAGAAAGTAATCAAAAGTACATACCATACTCAAGCCCTCGGGATTGACAGTAGACAAGGGCGGCTGTTCTAAAATCTGACCTCCCGAATTATGTACAGTGGCGTTTCGAATTTGATTTCCAGCGTATTTGGTGTTCTCTGTTGATTGAGGAAGATTTTCTGATGCTGGCTTTGGGAATCATCTATGCGTACAGATTCATCCCAGTGTAGCCAATTGAATCACTCCATGTTCTCCAATAGCACGCTGACTGTTAAAGGGCCCAACTGCCGCATTTTTCACTATTTGTACTCATGTCAGATTTTCAGGCGAGCCTCCCAGGAAATGTGACATTTCCAAAAGTACGTAGCTCATCTCGATCCTGACGCTCGAAAGAAGCCGTCCAGCATATACGCAAGACGAACGTGTCGATAGGGCAGCAAAAATAGAGGCCACGTCCCAAGCTGGCTCCGCTTTTCCTTGTATTCGCTTTTGGTAATAAAGTGAAGTTCTCAAATTAATCTCGTGACATTCTGTTTCCTTCGACTTCTCTTGGACCATATCTATTGCGTCAAAATCACCAGCCATTCTGAGCTTCCTTTCCTCAACAGCACCTCGTACAGGCCCAACTACTCAGCGCCAGTCGGCCGCATAATAATACATTTCAGCAAGAATGTCTTCCTACGGCGAGGACTACTCCGACGAAAAGCGATACTACATGAAGCATGGTGGTGTAAGTCATGGCGAGAGCGACGTTGAAGGTGAAGATACAAGCGAGGGAGACGGAGAGAGCAGCGGTATGAAGGCGTCAGGAAGCGGAGGGGGCTCTACAAATAGCGAGAGAGGTGATTTTGACCATGGACACCCTGCCTCTGGAGCTCATAAAAGTACGAGCAATCACGCCAACTCGAACGCTGGAGGCACGATTAGCTCTGCCGCAGTCAATGGTGGTCAAGCTGAAACCAAAACAACATCTTCTGGATCGCACATTTATCAAGCTTTGGCTGGCAACTGGGGTGAAGGTGGTGCTCAATCAGAGACCTCAACAAGACATGGCAAAGAGCGTGATGGCAAGGAAGGGAACGAGTGAGTACACCTTCCTTCTTTTTGTTCATCAAATGAGATCCATGGCTTATTCCTGTGGTGGATCGCGATGCACCTTGTTTGCCGCAGAAATGCGGTCAATGGCTGATCTTATAGCAGAGGAGTTTTGCGAGTGAGTGAAATAAAATCTTTGAACGTTTCGTGTCTAATGTTCCCTAGGAGGAGGTTGAAGCTTTTTCCAAACCCGAATGTTACGATTCTTGTCGGCCCCAAAGAAGTTGCTTTCACTGTTTCCAAGGATCTTCTCTGTCAAAACTCAAAGTTCTTTGATCATCGAGCTTTCAACGGTGAATTCAAAGAAGCAGCCGAGCGAACTATTCGTCTTCCGGAGGATACTGTGATGGCATCTCAAATGATGCTGCAATGGATTTACACCGGTAAAATTGTTGTTCCACAGGAGTCGGACTTCTGGGATGCTTCGGAAAGGACCACAATTTTCTTGAACTTCTTCAAACTTGCGGACAAGATCGATCTCTTGGGACCTTTTTCCTCCATGTTTCAAAAATTCAGAGAACACTTGGCTTACACCCCACCCTACACTACGCAATAGAAATGTACCGAAACTGCATTCAGGAGGAGAACAAAGCTGGAGCTTTCTGCACGTGTGCTTGACGTGAATGGAGCAGTGGGTGGGGTCAGGGAAATCAACCTGCTCACAGTATCAGTTGCAAAGTCGTATACCACAATTGCCCTTTCAAGGCGACACACTTGGATCCCCTCCGACATAACAAGATTACCTCGGAGAACATACACGAAGCATTCGAGCTCCGTCCAAACCACGAGGCTCGCCAGATGATCGCACAAGCTTGTATCACTTCCTATATGCTGAGTAACAGGTTGAATTATATATTCAGATTTGAGGAGGAGATTGACACTGTCGACGGGTTTTGCCCAGCTCTTCTCAAGGAGTTGGGTTCTTCTCAATCCAGACAATGCAGCATCTTCAAGCCTTTGACCGAAGAGAATATTGAGTGGCGTCCGGGTGGCAGTGCGAGGTGGCCAGACGTGAACCATGGATAGGGGACCCCGAACAATTGATCTGAACCAGACTAGAGATTATTGCTGAAGTGCATTACAAAGGATAGTCGGGGAAGCCGACTGGAAGGATGGCTAGTGGAGGGGTTATTCTTGGGTTGCTAGATCTTGACTGCGGAAGGTTCGACATTGGAGTATCCAAGTATGTGGCTCAGAACTTCGACGTCGCACTAGCACTATGGCACATGACTTGCAAATACAGAACATTGTATGATTTGATCCTCAAAAAATCATGTTCGAGTTTGTAAGAGACCTAAAGAATCTTCTCCTCCTTCATGCGTGTTTACAAGTATGCAAAAGCTGTTGTGTCCGTTGGGTATGCCATTGAGTTTGGTCTTTTAGATACTTCACCTAAAGCCGTGCCAATCAGGACCCCAAGCTGGAGCGGTTCCGGAAGAACTGATCAGCAATGGCCGGAAATGATAAGCTATTGATTGAGAGATCGATCTCTGAATTTGTTTCCTTTTGTACCACATGTACTCCTTGACTTTCTTTATCGTTGTGACGCCAGGATTGTCTTCCTCCTGTTTCTTGCCCAGCAGATTGACCACCGTCACGTAAACCCGTGGGAACAGTTCCTCTTAGTATTTTATGTGGGCGGCTCAATACCCCAAAAATATCAGTCCGGTGCATCTAAGAGTTTTCAGACGGTTGAATCACAGTCATCCAATTGTCTCGTGAAGAAGTCTCGGAGAAAATCTCGCTTAGCATGTTGACGCAAAGTCTGGCCGACCAAACAGGAGAAAAAAGGCTCACAATTGAACACTCTTGAGTCTCCAAGATATCTGTATATATTTATGTATAGTTCTATAGGTTTCTATTTCTTATTGATCCTCTCTGTGGCAGTAATTAAAGTATGGACCCTGTAGTGCCAAGTTCAACAGCAGCAAGCCAAATAAGTCAAACACTATTGTGACCATACCCGACAGATGTTTCACAGAATAATGGTCAGAATCGAAGGTCCAGACAACATCGTTACCAGAAGCAGAGGCAAGAGCAATGCATCTTGCCAGAGAACGAATCTTGCTGCTTCCGGAGTACTTTGCGTCTTGTAGTGGGCATTCTTGTGGAGCCGTCAGGCAGAAATGCGAACTGAGGAGTCCGTAGGTGAAGATATTTAGTGTGCGGATCCAGCAATAGAGACTCACAGTTTCCAGTTCCCGGCTTTAATCGGCAACATGGTGTGTTCGAATGTGTCAAGTTAGCCACTTGGGCGAGTTTTCGCCGGCGAGAGGAGATGAAGGCCACTCGTAATAGGTTTGTTTACAATGCCATTCCTACATTCGCAGATGGGATTCGCGTCATCGATTCTCCGGTCCTTCAATCCTGTGTTCGAGACTATACAGAGACTCATTACTGGACAGAGGAATTACTAGAGCCTATTCGAAATATCGCAGTCGTTCATAACGATGGGTCACGAAGATTGGTTGAGGCTTGCTCTGTGGAGGTTTTTCAGAAGTCGTAGAGGGTTGCAGACCACTTGTTATTGGTAATATGATCATTTTGAAAAGAGGTTCGAGGATTAGAAGAAGATGATGGACCTAGAAATCGTATCAGACCTGGTATATGTCAGTCAGCAGGTGTCGTACTTTTATCTTGTTGACGGGATGGACCTTCTAACATGCTGGCGAAGCTGATCTGACGTACTTCGACATTCTCCGAAATTTGTGCGGGGTAATCTTGTGAAGAGTTTGATCACTGGCAGTATGCATCACGGGTCCATTCATTTGGCAAGTAGACACCATCCTTAGTGGTTTGGTCGACGTTGTAATGGTAAAGGATCATTGAGGATCTAAGACCGAAAGCCAGAGAGGAAGAGCCCTCGGATCCATAGATCGGAACAGAGGCTGGTTTCGAGGCGCGGAAATCAGGAGGAGGCACAATTCTGTGATGGCGAAGTATGCTGGGCTTCCTGCCGCTCTTCTCTAAGCAAAACACACCCCGAAGTGGTCACACCTTCCTCAATTACGTAGACAAGAAGCACACGGTTGCCACTTCACACCACCTTGATCCTTTAGCAAATTATGTACGCCGCTCAAAACGAATATGCCCCAATGGGTGGGAGGGTTTATCACATGGCGAGGGCAAAGCTCACTCATTGTTCGCGCAGTCAAGCGCCTGCAGTAACCGCATCATGTTTCCCCAACATTGTACGAATAGTTGTGCAGAATGCCTACCCGCCAGCCATATGGGGCTTTCTGACGAGATTTGTCATTCGTTCAACCTGGCTGGGATCTTTCCAAAGTCATGAATGACAAGCAGTAGGAAGCTGCTCCAGATTGCTGGGCACTGGGCATCTGTTACTTTTGATCGGGAATGCATGATTTTCCATTCCTCCACTTTTGACAAGTAGTTGAGCCGAAATACTAGACAGAGAGCAAGAACATGGTTCAAGAGGTACAGAGAAGAGCAGTTAAGTGAACGATTTCCAACAAGTCATCTATAATCCAACAAGATGCATCCGAACGAACTCGGCGGTAGCAGAACCTTCCTGTGCCATACCAGCCATCGTCAGTGCACTCTCGAATCTGAAGTAATATTGGGTGGTGGGGACAATCGGGCCGCATAGAAGAGGCCTCCCTCCATAACATGGAATAGCAGAGCTTATATCTTCAACCCAGTCGCGATGCACGGGATGGGCACAGGCGCTGACTGTGCCCCACGGCGTTGAGTTCCCAGTGTCACAGTATGACGGCGGGAAAAGAGTTCTGCGTCCTTCTGCAGGTGCAAGATTCTAACTAAATGCTTGAAGGTATCCAGCTTCTCGTTTGACAACTGAATTAAAATGAGGGGAAGAAGAGGATGCCACGGCAGACTGTCAGGAAGGGTGGTGATTCCACACCTCCCATTCGATGTTATCAACACTTGAACGTACGAAGATGGAAACAGACATACCCGCGCGCTGCTGACACTTGTTTGGCCCACGTCCTGTCAAGGTATCTACCATTGGCTCCTGGAGGCATACTAGCCACTCAGATGAGTTTCTTGAGCCTCTTTCCAACGTCGCTAGATCATGTTATCCTCGTGGCTGGCGGCTGGCATCCTTGTAGATTTCCAAAGCGCGCGGGAGTCCTTGGCCCAACCTGAAGCCCATCTTCACAAGCAGCAAATTGCTCTTGACCATAACTAATGATTCGACCACTGGGAATTCCTCAGACATCGTGGAAGTTGCTGCCGCGCGGGCTATTGTATCAGACGCAAAGACCGGCGTTATGGAGAGAATACATAATGAAGCAGAAATCCTAGAGCAATGTCGCCCATAATTTCTTCCAAGTCCAACACGGTCCAAGTGCTTACATCTATCTTCCTTCATCCAACATCTGTCCTCGCCGCAAACCGTACCCCTTGGATTTGCATCATTCCAAGCTCCTTCATTCGTCGTCCGGTTTCCAGCAACCGTCCTGCCGGAGACCTTTAGAACGCACACCCTGGTCTCATATCATCCTTTGATCAACAATCCCACCTCGAAAGAGCACCAGCGCAACACGGTTCAGTCGGATACTGTACTTCCAACCGTTTGCAACACAGCCCAACCGTTGTAGGAAAGGCAGCGATTTTCACCAGCAGCCCCCATCATCCTCTTCCTCTTGTCACTTTCGCGCTGCCAGCACTCGGTGGCTGCTAAGTATAGCGAATTTACGACTCCTCACGAAGACATCTCCTCCATCCAACACCAATCAGCGAGCAGCATCTCTCAGACGCTGTTTCCATCTGCACTCCCGAGGCGCGAATCACGGCCAATCCCAGCAGCGGGCCAGCCATTACCTCCGTACAGTACAGTATTGTCCTCGCGCTGCCATTGCGAATCACATCCACTCCACGCAGGCCTCGTTTCTGGCCTCCTACTCGCCGCCGCACCCGTCCGCCGCCAGCACAAGTCTACTCGGTCAGCTCTGCACGAATCACACGGCGTAGTGTCAGCTGTGTATCCGACAGGCCACCCCGACCCGCCAAACCTCACATCTTCAGTCATCATCCCACCATCCCATCCCATCCCACCATCCCATCCAACCCCACCACTGCTCGCCGACGAAGACCAGCAGCCAGCAAAAAGGCGGGCAGTCAAGTCGCAATAGTACCTTAGTCTCGGTCTCTTGCTGTCTTTCGCGCTCCCGAGCCCCAAAGGTTCACGTCCCAAGTCCCGCCCGCTCCCCGGTCGCCACGGATCAAAACATCCCAATCAATTGGGCTTAGCGGTTCCTCGCTTGCTCCACACAAGTCCACAGCACCCGTGGACCTCCCCTGCCCTGCACCCGCAGCGCTGCTTTTGACCGCCCTGCGACATCCTTGCTCCAGCATCCTCACCACCTCGCCGCTTCACAAGCGCAAACAGGCAAAGGCCACGGCCACCTCAGAAGAGACGAGGGTAGAACGCAAACAAGCAAGCAAGCACAACAAAGTTGATGCACACTGCAGGACGGTGCAGCAGCCAACGCCAACACCCTCGACGCCGACCGACCTCCCCAATCCCCAGTCGTCCTCGCAAGCGCCTTCATCTGCCAACCCACATAGCACTGGCTGCTATATCGGTCTGACCTGAGCAGCCCTGTCCTGCCATTCCTTCTCCTCTCCTCCCTTCCCTTCCCTCCCCATCCTGCCCCTCGGACGCGCTTTGCTCTGCTCTGCCACCACGGCCACTCTGCCACAGCTGTACTATACCGGAAAAAACAAGGGCGGCCCTTTGAGCAGTCACATTATAATACTTCTTCCATCCGGTCGACCTCACCTCTCTTCCCTTCTCCCATCACGGACTACCCGTCATCGCATCGCAGCTTGCCGGCCACTTGTGCTTCGAGTCACTCTTTGATCTCACAACATTCGTTACTTTGAACGAAGAGACAAGATGCCTCCCTCTACCAAGCCAAAGCTGCCGCAGCTCAAGACTCCCATGACGTCGACCTTCCCCTCTGAACTGTCGGCATTGTCTGCGCGAAGCCCTCTCCCTGGATATGCCGACTTCATAAAACAGGAGGAGTACATCAAGACCCCAATTACTCCTCCCATTGCGTATACGGACTTCCTCAAGACCATGGCGAGCCCTGTTGCTGGAGACAAGTTATCCTCTGGACGAACGACGCCAACTTCAGCTCCTTCCACCGGCTCGAGTGAACACAGTGATTGCTCATGCAATTGCGAAACTCACAAATCACCAACCTCCGCCCTGCCATCCGCTCAATTCGTTTTCCCTTCTTCAGCTCCCTCGATAGGACGGTTAGGACGATTAAGGATACCTCCGTCTCCAGCCTTCACTGGCGCGGAATCTCCTATGAGTGCCACCTCAGCTGTGAGGTCTCCCTTCAGCGCAAAAAGTGCGCGCTCGCCATTCGACTGGGACTTCAAGAGTAAGGGAAGATACTTTGATATCAAATCCCCGAAATCCACACGATCGAGCGTTCGCCAAGTCAGAGAGATTGTTACGCGGACGGTCACATATACACCACGGATGAGCCCTGCGCCGAAAGGCAAGAGGAGGAAGATAGAATAATAATACTTCACAATAATCCACGCAACGTCCGAGCGACTTCATCACTACATTCTTCATGGATATCCTCTCTCTACCAAGGCCCATTTGTCACGACATTTATCTTCGCAAATTCAAACTACTTCACACCAAAACACCTATTACGATTTACATGTCTTTATTTCTTGTTCACGATTATAAAAGCTCAGACGAGAGAGTCTCAGTTAGGGAAGCAGGGAGGAAAACGTCACGCTTCACGTCACTATCTTGCTCGGCGCACCGCCTGGAGCATCGTTGGAGTAAGGTAACCACAAGACTCCGAAAGAGCCAAACCGGGTTTGACTTTTGGGATGTCATGTCGTGGGCCACTTAAAGGATTGGGGGTGGGAACTTTCTCTAGGCAGGCAAGGGAAATGCCTGTCTATTATGGGCGTTCATCGGCGTACTCTGGTTGGGGAAACTGAAATGGAACTGGACAATGGTTTCGGAGAAAGAGGCGTGGGAGGTGATACCAGAATAAGCAATGAATTCAAACCAAACTTGTCTATAACATCTGTTCCGCTTTCCTGACTCAATGACTCCCACCGTATCATGATCATAAACAGAGCCAGATCTGAGACCGTCGAAAACACGACACAGCCATATCACATCAAATCTGATCATAACAATGACCGTTCGGCGGCCATGCCGGCCTTTCTATTCCCGTCCTCACAACAACTGTACCTTGCATCGACTGCAACGCAAATCATAACAAGGCCACGACACGACCAAGATCCCTCCAGCGTGCCCGTTGCCACATGAGGGATCGATCACCATCAGGTAAGCATAAACAGGATAACCATCAATCAATCGTCGAACCCCTCCTTCCACCTCTTCCCCAGAGTGCGCCATCCTCAGTGAACGTCGTCCAAACGACCTGGATCATCCAGCGCATCCAAGCTGTCCAAGCTCCCACAGCCAGGTAGGTAGTTAAGGTCAGTACTGCAAGCGTCGATGGGCCGCCCCATCGCCAACTCGCCGCCCATCATCCATCCATCCATCAGCGGAGGGGACAATTTTCCAACCCCTCCAAAAATTATTGTTATTTTTAACCCGCCCTCAAAGCAGCATCCGCTCTAACGGTATGGAGACTGGAAACAGGCCCGGCATCCTGGACGCTTGCAGCGCACCCCTGCTGCCACCCCATGCCCAAGACGTCTTTTCCGCCCTGTTAAGCGCCGGCTGCGTGCCAGCTGACTGGATGCTGAAGAGGTGTGATACTCTGGCGTGCATGGTGGATGTGATTGGAGGGCGGGAAGCAGGGCTGGGGATGAGTTAAGCGCTGGCTTTGGATATCGTGTCGTGGACTCGTGGGTGCATGCCCTGGCGATGCGCTTTGTTCAGTTTTGTTCGTTTCGTTACGTACGGGCTGGACGCGTGGGTGGATGCGGCTGGAGAGACTGAGTCTGAGTCTGAGTCTGAGTCTGAGTCTGAGAAGGGCATAAGATGGCGGCGGCAAGTCAGTTAGGTCAGGTAAGGTAGTAAGTTGAGAGCCAGTTGCTCTTCTTCAGCTCGACGCATCTGTCGTCCCAAATCCTTCGTTTCTATCCCATCTCCCCCAGTCACTTCCCCCAGTCTGTTTCTTATCCTCCCCGTTACAGACTTACAGTATCCATCTCATCGCCTGAAACAAAGACCACCCCAGATAAGGTTAATTTTAAATTTAGACCTTCCCCCCGTCATGTTTCATTTCCTTCCATCACGGCTTCGTGCTCCCCGTTTGTTTCCTTCCATGTTTGCCCTTCATCTCCGTCCTCCATGTGAATTTACAGTACGGAGGTAGTCCTCGAGCTTTCCAGGGGGGCCTCGGCCAAATTTTGTTTCGAGAGCAATCGGCATGGGTTTCAGATCATGCTCAGACGGCACTCAGCGGCACCTGGCTTTTTTGGTATGGTACCGTCTAACTAGCCAAGCTTGCACGTACAGAATGTGATGCTGCAAGGCAAGGCTTCATGTCACTATCAGTCAAGCAAAGCACACTTACCCTTCACACCGATACTTCCTCGAGATTGAGATACATGAAGCCAGTCTTTTTGAAGGCTGGTACACGCGTGCTACACACTTATCCAAACTGTATTCCGTGGTAGCATTTGCGTGTCACCAGATCAAGACCCAGATCAGTGTGACACCAACGTGCCGAACCGTACAGTAGATCGCTGCACAGTGCAACCACAAAGTAGTTGATCATCACAAAAATCCTGGCACTCCACGAGCGAGACGCTTTTAGACTCGCCCCAGAAAGGTTAAATATATGTTTCCCCGTGCGAGCCAGTTGACGATCAGCAACTGTTGGCGACCGGGTAATGTCGAGATCCCCTCATTTCGAGACATATGCCGCCCCCTTTGGCTGCCCGCATTACCTAATCACCTCTGTTCTTTCTTGTGCCAAAACCCCTTGGACGCAGATGCAGGAGATGTGTCTCATAACTCTCAAGTAATAAACACAGCAGTAAAGGGTCTGAGAGTCGTCTTCTGCGACATGACCAGCCAGTCTTGGCCATCTGATTCGTTGCTGAGAGTCTGAGATTGCAGATGGACCTGCAAACAACATCTACACTCATTCCCTAACTAGTTCTCCCATCCTTCCTCTCCTTCACAACACTCTCAACCCTCTTCTTAAAATCCTCACAGAATCCCTCGCCCATCTTCTGCATTCCAATGGGTCCAGCCAGCAGCTTCAGCAACCTCATTGGGATCTCGCTGCTGATGAAGAGCGTCTTTCCGGGATGGGGAGTGCTGGGCTCGAAGCGGAATGTGTGCTCTCCTGAGAGCACGTAGAAGATATCGCCACGCCAGCGGAACTCGGTAAGTGTGTTTGCCTGTGTATATTGTTAGACGCTTTTGAATTCTCCTTATTTTCTTCTGATATCCTGTATGTCATGCTGTCGTTTTGTTCCTCGCTTCGTCCTATGGACTTCCATACCCTTGCTTCACGAGGGCAACGTACATGTTGCAACAACGACGCGAAATAATCTAGACTAGGACGATTAAGCTTGATGGGATGGGAGGTCTTACAAGTACAGTCGCATTACTCGTAATTCCTCCAAAATTCACCGCCAGCTGCTCATTAACTTCAATCGGACCATCTGGGTGAGAAGGCAACCGAGCGATCGCTTTGATCATGTCGCTCTTGATTTCAGGCCAGTGCTCGAAATCGAAGAACTTTGTATTCGTAATCTTAGTTAGTTCTCCAATCATGCCATTGTACGGCGGAGCTGAGAATCGGGTTTGAACTCACAACATGCCGTACTTCCTCTGGCGAGGCATCGATTTCTATTTGTGCTGAAATAGTCATATTTACCTTTTGTGACAGAGATCTATCATTTGTTTGTTTCCTTACTATCATCGGCGAGATGAGCACACCTTATATCTATGTGCTCATCTGAATTACTAGGCTCGGCGCCGAGGATAGCCAGGACTTGACTGGTCCTCGTACTTCGAGCGCCCAATCACACGATGAAGTCGTCTCGCTTATCATGATTTATGTCAGATCAATATATCTCTCCCAGCTTATCGGGAAATGTTCTTACGATTGGGTTGTCATCATTGGATCTTATGATAAGACAGTGGATCTTAGTCAAGCTTCTGGCTCTAAGCTGACAGGCAGCAAGAATCATGTCATCTTTCAGGATTTCATTTGTTTGCTAGTCTTATTGCTGGGTATGGTGTCACCCTTCGTTCGGTATGAGATGCTCCATCTAAGTGTGAACCTCAATCCACAAATACTTGCCCTCCGCCATTTTGTAAATGCTTTCCTCAGATGTACTGTGCCTTGAACTCTCTCCTCCGAGACGAACCGCCTGAAGTGATGAGTTATATACCTGAGTATTTGTTCATAATCTTCATGCATTAATCTCAATTATCCCGCCAATCCACCACCTCCCTACGTTTCTCCGTTCATGCCAATACCCGTGCTGAAATTGCAGTCTAAATTGTGATGGCAAATCTCGATTCTGTGAAAGGATCCACGAAGGAGAACTCAGGCGCGCCTTTCTTGTTTGCTCCTCTCTTTCTCTCACTTTGTCTATAAGACCGGAGCAAGTCGGAACTGAAAGAGTCCAACTCATTTAGTTCCTTGTCAAACCGAAAGTTCTTAGTTGGGGAGGTCTGGAGTATCAAGTCTTGGACAAACTCTCTAAAGCAAGCATCCGCGAAGAGCTTTCGAATAGGATGAGTAGGGGGAAGCTCTGCAGCAAGTCGAACATGTCCAGGGAGAAGAGCTCTCCTACTTGGAGAAGAGGCGATCACTTGCTTGATGTTGGTAATGACCGAGTCGAAGGGACCGATGAGGTCAATTTTGTCGGCAAGTTTCAAGAACGCAAGCAAGCGAGAGACCTTCTGAGCCTTCTTATTCAATGCAAAGTCTGGGTAGAATTGAATATCAAGGTTCTCGTCGGTGGCCCAAGTTCTCAGGTTTGCGTCAAGATCTGTGGGTACAACAGAGCTTTGACGGGATAGAGATGGTGTGGTCGACTTGGCTTGGGTGGTAGCACAGGTAACCTGGGTGCCAATCTGCGTGTTGTTATCTTTGCCGGCAACTGCGCTTTCCTGGGCAGCTATTTGGTTGACTGGCACGTTGACCTGGGAGAAATAGATCCATTGAACTGCCATCTGAAAGGTGTCGGCAGAGCAATCATGGAAGTCCAGCTTCTGTTCCTGGCCTTCTTTGAATGACCCATTGAAAGCGGAGTTGAAGTACGATGAGTTGTAGCAGAGGAGACCCTTGGGCACCGAAATTTCCGTCCCATGAACCACGATGGTAACAGGAGGACTATTCCAGAGAGCGGCGTGCCTAGATGATCAACTTAGTACAGAAACCACCGAGTAGCTGGAAGATACTGACTTGAGGAACTGGTCGGCAGGAAGATCCTTCAATAAGGTTCTGGACCCTGATAATTTCTGGCGCTTTACTGGTGGCTCACTTGTCGTATCAGATGACGCCATCTCGAGGTTAGTTTATGGTAATTGTGTTGAGGTGAGTAGTGCTGTGTTGGCTAAGATTTTCGAAAGCGGCGAGCCTTGGAAGCTAGCTGCACAGAAGTCAGATTGAATGCTGAGAGAGAACATTGGTCTTCAAGCCCCACCTGAAGGTGAGAGCCTTTCCACTCAGATAGAGAGCTTGAAGATGAGGTTATGCCTACGTTGAAAACAAGGAGCAAGTGTCGGGAGACAAAGTGCTGATCTACCAGAGTGTTTGATGATAGTCCAAGAAGCTGTGTTGAGCTCACAATCGGACGTATGTGTTAATGTAGGTGTTTGAAGAAGACGCTCAAGGTTGAGGATGGAATCCACACTTCAGACCTTGGCTACGCCCGCAAGTAGGATGTTGTGAGTAGGAAAATCTCGCGGGAGAGATGAAGATTTTATACACGATTGTTGACTTCTGAAGTAGATGGAAGGAGTCGCGAGTTGCGTTAGCCGAGGAGTGAATGGAAACCTACAGGTAGTTATAGAACCTCCCAAGCACGCTTGCGTCTTGACAGATGAAAGTAGCTTCGAAACGGAATTCTTCTCCTACTAAGAAAGTCGAGGTAGTCCCCACATGTAGTCGGCGTTTGGAGATATCGAGCCTATGCTACAAATTCTCGAGTTCTTGCCAATCCGAGACTTTGCACATTGGGACAAGACCACCCGCCTCTAAAGAGGTCAGTAACCTGCACAAGCACAAATACTAACAACATTAAGAAGGAGTTATTATTTTCAGAGAAATATCAGAATGTTCCGCTCTCATATGCAACGAAATTGAAAAGTGTACAGCACGATTATCCTACAACCAATCATCCGCAAAAGCGTCCGCACTCATTGCTTCTTCTTGGATGCTGATCTCGTAATATGGCTTCCAGTCTTGGGGCTTTTTGTAGCAGCCTTCTCCTCCTGTTCCTTCTCATACTTGATAGCCTCGTCAAGATCCTTGCGCTCAGCATACCACTGACCAGCTTGAAGCACCAGTACTCCAACTAAGACAAGTGCCAAAATTGTATTGCTAGCAGCCAAAACTCTCAAGCTGTCTTCTCTGCCAATTGCAATCTCTGTGGCTCCTTCTGGCACACCGTAGACACCCAATGTCACAATTCGAAGGCCCTTCACAATGTTGGTGATATAGACGACAACAGCGATAAGATATAGAACCAGAGATGCGCCATCAAAAAGGAGGTTGGCTTCAGAGGGCTTAAAGAGCTTGATGAAAAAGCCGACGAAGCCGACTGTGATTGCGATGTGGAGTATTCGGGCGATTATCGGGGGAGACGCATGGAGGAACCTAAGATGGATTTCCAATTGATCGTAATAGGCCGCAGGTGTAGCCTCGGTGGTCCAGAGAAGAGGATAGTCGTAGGGGAAGGAAGAAAAAAGCATGCCCAAGAAGAAGCATACAGCTGGAGCTTGTCAGCAAATAGCGCATCTAAAGAGCACTTCTGGATGCTCTTACGGCCAATGATCATGAAAGTCGCAAAAGAGTTGGAGCCACCCTCTCCTCTAGGCTTATCGTAGGTCTTGAAAATCGAAACCTTGCTTGGATCCATCTTGAATTATTTTCCTTCTTGTACTGTGTTCAATCGAGATGGGTGGCTATTCGAGTGTCGATGTGTCGCGGAAGGTGGGGGTTCTGTTTGAGAAATTCAAATCGACGGCGGATGTTTTTGCCTTCAAGGCGATACGTCGCAAGATCGCAGAGTAGTGGTGGCAAGACTCAAATGACTGCAATTGTTTTGAAATGTTTGTGCAAGAGATTGTGAGAGGGAACAGCAAGGAAAGGAAGCTTCAAAGCTGACGTTTGCCCAACCTCGCAAGGCCAAGACTATTCCGTCCCATCTCGCTAGCTGTCTTTAGCCTCCTCTCGGCTCTCGCGAGACTTTGGGGTCCAGGCCAAGATAGGCAGGTGGTGGTTTGCTAATTTGGCGGGTCTCAGGTACATCACCAGCATAGGTAGCTTTGGTTGGACGCCTCGTCTCGTCTCTTTTCGTTCTGCTCGCACCGAAGGCTGGAAAGTTTATATCCTCGGAAAGAGCTTGATTTCGTTGATTGATGATGGTACATCGGGCAAATGAATAAGATGATGCTTTTCCATCTAGCCTGCCCAGGTCTAGAAGTGGTTTTAATGACGAAATTTAATCTTCAACCTGTTCATCCAACCTTTCTTGAATTTATTTCCAGTGCTGTCTTTGAACCACCATTGTGTCTTCTGCTTCAAAGCTTATCCGCAATGGCTTGTGATATTGCCTGTTTGGTTGCTGGTGTGACTTTCCTTCTAATCGCATTTCTCTTTCTTATGACGACAAGGAGAAGTTCTCAAGATAGAAGCAACTCAAAACCCATAGGAAGACCTGCTCCTGACAGCAAAGCAGTTGTCAGAACGTTTGCCTCGAGAAAAATTAAGGCGTCACCAGATGAGGTATATTCTGCTATGATAGACTACAAATCGTACCCAAAGTGGTCTTCGTTTGCCATTTACGAGTGGGAGGACACCAGCGAAGCTAGTGTACCACCGGTTGGGAGCAAAGGTAACTTTAAGGTATGCAATATCATCGATGTGTTATCAAGATATCAAGACAGTTTTGTTATCCATGCACGTTGAAGTCTTACTGACAACCTACAGGTGCTCGTTGATGAAGTTACAAGAAACGTTCCCATCAGATTAAACATATTGGACATAAAGAACAGATTGATCACCGAAGAGAGCATATCATACCCAGCTTGGCTTCTGAAATCGGAACGTATTCAGAAGGTTGTTCCACTAGATGGAGAACCGGTATTCTGCGAATATCGTACACAGCACAATTTATTTGGTCTTGCTTCTTATTACCTACTTCTTACTTCTAGAGGGGATCTGGAAGATCTTCAGACGCAATATGCAGGAGAACTCAAGTGCTACATCGAATCACAGAACTTGTTCAAAGATTCCAAGAGATGATATGGTAGAGACATCCACACATGTTATTAAACAGCAAGTCTAATGGAGGCAGTGCCCTTGAGATATTGGTCGACGAAGACAACGAAGCCGTAATCTACTTTCGGAACATTGTCACAAGAAAACATTGTCATCATGACTATTTGTTTCTGCAAGACCTCAAAACAATGACCTGAGCTCCGAAAAGCCATGGACAGTGGGCTATCTATCCGAATGCGGCGAGACCACCATAATCGGCCTACGGAAGCACCTTCTCCATCCGCATTCCAGTTGCACACAATTGCATGAAACCAGCATATTGAATGCACATTTTCATATACATCAATTTGATCATTTCTGAACTCCAATTCTTGGTATGTTTGTCTTTTCCAGACTCAGCACCCCCTACCAATAACATAGATCAGGAACTGACTTTCAAAGGTCACTGTCTCTGTGTATAGGTACAATGGAGCGCGACTACGCCAAATTATCGAACAAGCTTAGAGTCTTGCTGCTATCTCAATTGCTAATGCCAGACAGGAAGCGACAGATGTACGCATCCCAACCCTCAGCTCCTAAGCTTCCAAACCCCTCCTTTTCCGCTCTAAATGGACTACCGAGCGTTGCTTTGTACTGACAAACGACAGCCCTCCACATCAAACTCCATGAGAAAGACCTCACAGTCTCCGGTCCAACAAAGCGCTACAGAGGCACCGGCACCATTGCTTCCAGCACCCAGCACGCCGAGTCCGCCCTCCAAGGCGGAGATAGCGTCTGGCGTCACTTCTGCAGCAATTGCGGCTCTTCGTTCGCCCATGAGGCCGAAGTATACTCGAGAGAACGGAACGGGACGATTTACATGCATGTTGAAACGCTTCATAATGATATGGAGAAGGACATGAGAATGCCGGTATGTAGTTCCAATGGACTACCTATTTCTCCGCTTTGCGCATGGCTTTTTATGAGATAGCTTATGGAGCAGTGGACGAAGTCCCAGTTCAGAGGGTTGTCGGAGACTACTAGTTATCAAACAGAGGGGGCGAGCAAGGAGGAGGCTATAACTGGGTACAAATATGGACGTAGTTGTCGTTGGATTAGAGTGAAAGTTTGGGTGGTCCAGGTTGCGCATCGTTGAAACTTCTCTCGAGGGCACACCCAAAGCATTAGTGGTCAGTGTTCACATTCGAGAGCAGATATCCTGCAGTTTCTGTTCCTACTTGCAATACAGTTCAGGCATCTCGTTGTGGAACCTTCGAAGTTTGCGTTCCCATCTTAAGAGTGCCTTTGCTTCCGTTCTCTCGGTCCATGTGTAGAGGTATTTGTTGGATCTGGGTGTGTGACCTACAGCGACACACATCCAGTATTCTATAGCCAATCGGCGTTCACAAGTACTTCAGTTTGCCATATTCACTGCTGCGACGCGTCAAATGTGTCAATAACTCGTATTGAAGAAGAACGTAAGATGGAAGAAAATAATCCAGATTATTTCCATTAAGAGACGTGAGATAAACTTCATGCATGCCTACCTACTTCCTTCATAGGAGCTTACTAGAAGTAATAAGCCTTTTTGTAGATTCAAGACGTTCTGCCGACCCACTTGCAGTTCATTCAAAAAACAAATCAGATCAAGGCACCCTTAACGCCAGTTATGTGCCATCCCGTACCCGTAATAATCCTTCGCGACAACATGCCACTCGGGAGATCTCAAATATAAGTGATTAGTCGACGAAGTCCGCATCGAACTCCATTCTACCCGCCTTCTGTGGGACATAAACGAGAAGTCTTGAGGCTGGGATTTCATCGTTGCCCACCTCCTTTCGGATCGCTGCCATCTATGGAAGTCAGTAAATGCACAGGTTCACGTGTGCGAGTACCAAAGCACTCCCAAGACATTCGGATAAGCAGGGAGATATGTCACTTCCAGACAACGTACCTCAACAGCCATGATCATCTCCAACAGGCCCATCTGTGAACGACTTAAGGTCATGCCATCAGAGTCCCGTACGACAACGTCACGCCAGTGCTTGAGAGCCATCTTGCTGAAAGGATTGATCTTGTGGTCTCCGGGAACGTAGAAGTCGAGAGTTCGGAGGTTGGGGAAACGACGAACAGTACTTCGGACGTATAGGGAGGAGAGGAATGATCTAGCATTCTTGGTAGCCCATTCAGAGTACTCGTTCAGATTGACGCAGGGTGGCAACGAGATATTCAGGACCAAATTCTCGACCTCCTTGAAAATGGGTGGGAGCTTTCCAGAGCCTGGGAAGGCAGGAAGGACCGCATACTTGCTGAGCATAGCAGAGATCTCTTCCTGGCGCTGCTTTTCCGTCAAGATAAAATTCTTCACACAAGTGACCGAAGATTCCTCAGCAAGACTAAATGTCGGGTAGTTGTACTGGACTACATCGCCAATCTGCAGCCTAGCACTAGTCAGCTGTTGTCCACCAAGATGGAGCTCTCCTGAGTGTATGTTTGGACGCGTAAGAGTACGTACTTGAACTTATCAGCAGATAAATTGGAATAGAAATTGCAGCATCCTGGTTTGCCCGGAAGGACACTTCTTTGAGACTCGACAGGCATAAACGGGTGGGTTGCAGTTGGTTCATTACAGAGACCAACAATGTTACCAGAAATGACTGGAAAGGCACCAATGAGAATGACTGTGTTCTTGTCGGGGATAGATGTTCCTCCGGTATCGTTGACACCTCCAGGAGCAGGTCCAAATCCTGGCAAAGCTGGGGCAGCAGGGTAATACGTGAATGGACCATTGTTTGTGGTTGTATTGTTTCCGGCGGTGCCAAGGACATGTCCAGGTCCAAATTGGCCCATCATCTGAGCTGCCTGATTCATCTGTCCATGAAGACCAACATGCGTTCCATGTATAGCTGCATGTGGTACTAGCCATGGAAAAGTGGGGTTTAGGGTAGCCGGAGGAAGAGCGAAACCATGAATATTGCCTTGACCAGGACCAGCTTGGACAAGAGCAGGGTTTAGAGCTGCGGCTTGAAGGTTCAGACCAGTGTGAAGAGACTCTCGGTGGAAAACATCGAAGCTCGTCAGGACCTCAAAGTATCGGAGGCCGATGCCACGGGCGCCAGAAGTCGCGTGAAGGAGACTGGGGAAATTGGGAAGGGGTCCAACCATCTTGACAGTGGCTGGCTCGACAATGATTGAAATTGTAGCCGGGTCTTGGAAGCAGACGACCTCCCAGATTTCATCTTGAATTTCGGCGGGCAAATTGGCGAAGACGAAGAAGTCGACCAGCGGCTTGCCAGGGACGTTGCGAGATGGTTCAATAGGAGTGCCTGCGGTGGCTTTCTTAGCCTTTGAGAGACTATCGGCCTTTAACTTGTACTTGGACTTGCGCTTCTTCTCATCGCGTTTCTCCTTAGAAGCCTGAGGACCCGTGGTCGAAGGCGATTGACGATTCATGGTTGTTGCTGATTCCCAATGGCGGTGGTGAAGGGATGTGGAATGAAAGGATGGGGAGAAAGGACGGTCAGGGTGAAGTTATCACGATGGGTAACTTCCCCCACTAAGCTTGCATTTGTAGCGGTATTTGCGCAACCGGCGACGCGTGTGAATGACTGTGGTGGTTGTGTCTTGGAATAGCAAACTCGGCGTGCCGTAGGTTCGTTCACCTCTGGAAAGAAAACACCTGGTCCGCCCCGGCCTACCTACCTAGGTAGGTAGGAAGTGTTCCAAAAGCAATCGGGTTACCACCCGACTCTACCCCGACCTCCTTCCTTCCATTCTCAAGTGGGCGACACCTATATGTACCTTTGTGTGGGCGCTCCTCACAAGATTTCAGGTTTGGTTTGAGCGTTGTGGTCAAGTTCACTTCCAACAATGTCCCAAGAGTGTCTGACGTTCAATTTAAGGACAATCCTAGCGTTCAGCCTTTGTCTGCCATTAACCCAACTATTCTTCACTCAGTTTGTTCTTTTATCGCCTTGTGATTTGACCTATTGAAAAGATTATAGCGCACCACCACCCTAGAGAAGACGTACCTACCAGCTGCTACGTGTGTGGAGAAAGGTGAAAGAGTGTCCGTAAATTTAATCACTTCTTTTCACAGGAAAATGTCCCTTTATTCCCAAAGCAAGATTTGGGAAGTAACCGAACCGTTGGATAGCATTCGCTAAGTAGCGATTGCCAGCATATAGAGACTGTATCCACGCGTTACTAGGGTCAGGCCGCGGGACGTGTGTATTCTGCTTGGTGTTAGCTAGCCTGCCTTACACAAACAGGGGAGGGAGCAAATACCTTGACAGCCAGACTCAACGGGTCCCATTTTGGTCCGAGTTACCTTTAAGTTTAGAATATGTCTTTTTGGTTTCCAATCTATAAATTAAACAAAGGAAATGTATACCAGAAGGAACGGGCCAGGGTCATCTGATGCAGCAGCTTGCAGACCGGCAGAAACAACAGCCTAGGCACATTTTTGTGCAGGGCTGCGAGGGCCCGATAGCTTCATGTGGTACATCTTTGAGGTAAGGCTCTGGACTGACCGGTACAGAGCCTTACCGGTATGGATCCCCCAGCAAGGCCATGGTCTTCAATCATGCTTTCGTCCTTTACGGCATTTGAATCGAGCTGGCTTGATCGAAATTTTTGAGCTACCATTGTAATGGGAAGATGGGAAGGTAATGGCAATAATAACACAACAAGTACTCCAAAAGAGATGGAACCAAACAAGACTACTCAAGCGAGCCGGAAGTATACCAGAGTTAAAGAAGAATTATATTTGAAGGGTAGAATGTAAGTGTAACGAACGGAATAATCTCCCAAACACCATGCGAAATGCCAGTAATCCACGATTGGGGTATTTTCAAGACTCCGATGACCATGCCCCAAACGCCTCGCGATATAACACTATGAAAAAAAATACACTCCCTTATTATCTGGGTGGAGTGAAACCAGGCGACTCTCGCTTGTACACGTATGCTACAGTGAATCAGTACAGTTTCGAGTTTGGAAGTTGAGGATACTGCTTACGTTGACCTTTCTGTAGTCCAGCAAGCCCAGATCTCTCCATCATATCGGAAAATGTCGTCTGATGGCTGCCCCTCATATTGACTGCCCCCGGAGGAGCCAAGCCACCCGCGTTCGCGCGTCCGTTACCACGCTCACGCTCCCTCAGCGCGCTGGCTGTATCTCCATCTGCGAATATATTAATGTCTTCATAGCTCGGCTCTCGCTGCAAAGGCGGAGTCACTGCTCTGTTGTTTTGTGCCATGGGCCTCTGCACGTTTAAAGGTGGAGGCGGGGCAAGTCGCGGGCTTTGTCCTGGGGAGCTCGGTGTCTTTCTGAACAAGGATTTCACCCGCTGTACCGTATACCGCCGTTCAGGCGTGCTTGCTACTATTGTGGATGGTGTCTGGGGTGGCTTTCGCAGAAAATCCGTTCTCATGTCGCTACTAGCTTGAGGTTCGGAGATGTTGCCAAACGAAGAGCCGCTACGTCTTCTAGCTGCTTTTCTACGGCGAGAGCCCAGTATGCAGACCCCAGCTATTGAAAGCAGTATCCCTGCTGCCAGACCTGGGAAGAAGCCTGCGAGCACAGCTGTAACTGGAAATTTGTCACAGCTGGGTGTGATGACAACTGGTGTATTGGTAGAAGACGAAGAGGTTGTGGTTGAGCTTGGTGAAGGGTTTCTTGATGTAGCCGGAGCTGATGTTGCAGAGCTGGGTGAAGAGCTTGACGAAGATCTTGCAGAGCTTGGTGCATCTTGTTGATCTTGATTCATAACGCAATTTTTGTCAGAGTTGCAGCTGTAACCAAAAGGACAACATTGCCCGCCGCAAGTTGGTAATGGGATCGTCAGGGCGGTCGTTTTCAGCGTATTAGCATTATTGAGAGTGACGTTCTGCGCGCTGACATCGCAAATGATAGGTTTGATGATATTGCAGTTGTTGCCACTCGGACAGCAGAGGACGGTCGTATTTCCAGCAAGTGGTATGCATGTTGCGGTAGACGGGCAACAAAAATTGTCGGGTAGACCTGGTTGAGCACACTGGCTTTGAGATGTATCCGGGCAAGTCGAGTCTCGTTCGAAGAGAGTATCCGGGGATCGTGCCGTGACAAAGGTGGCGAGGAACATCGCCGCAAGCAGCGCATGTCCGGCGGGCAGAGGTCCCTTCATCGCAGTTCCACGAGAAGAAGCTGTTATTCAGATGAAGTTTGTGATTATGGCACGATCTGAAAGTGTGGAAAGGTGTATAGTAAGACTATACTGCAACACAAGAAATGTGGTGACGGTGATGCAGAAACAGTAAATTGTGAATCAAAAGGTTCGAGTCTGAGTCAATGACAGTAAATGGATATATGTTTGAGTTATTCAACAAAGAAACAAATGAGGAAACAAACGTCACAACGAAGCCCCAGAAACGGTGGCCGGTTCTTAACCATGATAGTGCCCTTTGTCCCTACCTGATCACCACCTGTTTTTCGTCATCGGCCTCGGTGGGGGCGGCAATATCGTCCGGCAGTAGATTCTCCCTGGCTCAAAGGTCTTCGCGCGTTGACCGTGTATCTTCGAATAACTTTGATAGTGCTAGATTAGGTACAGATTAAATGTACCGGCGGTTCGAGGGGCCATGTTGTTCATAGGATAGAGGAAGGCGCCCTGGGAGGCACGACAGAATCGAGGCGGTGCAGTCTCTGTCTTCCTCTGACTCCTGCAATCGAGTGGTGCTCAGCGCTTCAAGATGCGTCGGGAATACATCAGGAGATGAAACAATAGGTCGGTGAGAAATGATTGGATGAGGGGAGAATTGGCGCTGAAATAGGCGCTGGCTTTTCTTCAAGCGCGCAGGTCACCTGAGTCCTAACATTCACCATTTTAAGTACCTGGTGCCTGGCCGTTCAGGTATCAATGATCCGAGATCCAGGTTATAATTCGAGCTCTGGAACGATAATGCCTAATCTGAGGAGTCTGACGAAGAGAGACCTGAGGAGCAAGCGAAATAGCCTGTTCATGTGACCAGAATGCTCTTGTCCAATCATAGGTCAGGCCTTGGGAAAATTACCTACCTATCCAAATGCCAGGAAGAAGGACATGGATAAATATGACTGGAGTAATAACATACGGCACAGTCCGAGATACAGGATTCAATATTTTAAGAGGTAATTTCAATTGCAAGCTGAACTACTGGACGAGAACGTGTGTACTGCAGGATTGGAAGCAATTACTGCCAGGCTAGCCATACAACAGAGCATGTCCAACAAAATATAGCAATCCAAAGCCTGCTTCTAAAAGAGGAAAGGAGACCAGTACACTGTGCGAAACGAACCCCGCCCAGCACACAAGGTACAGCGTCGGAGATCACTTGGTCCAGAACGACTATAATTCGCGAATGAGGAGCGCAAGACAGCAAGTAATGACTGACTGAGTACGTAGACTTCCTCCGCAGCAAGAGATCACATGGAAGGGTACGGGAACAACTTGGAAGCTGGGTACGGAGGTACTTCCCACGAGCGGCGAATTGCTGCCCAACGGAGAGCCGTACAACTCGAGCTGAACGGTGAACTTCCACTAGCTAGCAAGGCATAATGCTCGGGATGAAAAATTGCTCCTCGGGACCGTTCCAAGTTCCATTGTTCCTCGTCCACTCATGCCCGTGCTGGCGGGAGTCACAAGTCACATGCGGGTCAGGCGACACCTAAATGGATCGAAGCTGGCACTAGCTAGGTAAGTTAGTTTCTTCGACACCGCTCATCAGTCGTCCCCCAAGTCCACAACTGCAATGCATCGCAGTGTGCTCAACAGCAAGCAAGAATCCGCTGAGCCACAGGTGCATCACGAAAAGTAAACAGGGAAGAGGAAGCAAGGAAGCCATGGAGGGACGGCACCTGGGCGAGGACAGGTGATCGGTGGATCCCGTCTCCGTCGTAAATTTACTCAAGTTGCGAGGGTCTGGATGTGGCTTGATGTTGCACGCATGTACGAGTACGGGCACCGCCGCCGGGATCCAGTTCCTTGAACATCATGCCAAAAATCGAGCCAGTAGGAAAAACATCACCATAGAATTCAGGAGTCAGCTGTGAAGTGAGCTGCAAATGTGAAATAGAGTATTGCCATTAGTTCCGTTCTGTGCCGATGCGGTGTGCAACAAAGGGAGACTCGATGATTCTTGTTGAATGAATATTGAGAGTTCGGTGCGCCGCGGGTTGTGAACCTCACGAAAGCTCGCCAGACGGTAAGGTACCTACCTACCTACCTACCTACCTACCCTACCTAGGCAGTGTTCCGCTTCTCGATTCGGTTTCACGTGCATTTTAATATCCGGAAACGTTCCCGGAGAGTTATGGATGAGCGGACAAGCGCCACAACGTCTGCTGGACTACCATGGGCGCGCAGATGGCATTGAATCCTTCAGCGTCGAGTCTCACAGGCACATTTGCAGTAGCACAGCATTGAGCAGGTGGCAACCATCCAGTTTTTTCAACTTCTTTGATTTAATCATATTCCCAAGTTACGCAAAAGCGCTGGAAAAGCCCATGCAAAGACGTAACCTAGAATGCTGATCCGATCCCCATTATCCCTAATTGGAGGAGCAGTGCTCAACTCCGTTCCCTCTCCTATGCCTCTCCTCTCAGAATCCTCGAGACATGCTTCCCCTTTTCGCCCTCCCGAAGAACGTAAATCGCAGGTAGCTAGAACCAGCCCTGTGGCCCATCTAGGGTTCCCTCCCATACGTATTGTATGCACCCAACCCGATGAGTACCCAGAGCCCCTACCAGTTCCGATTTCCTTCCGAAAGCAATAGAACAAACAAATAAACATGCCCAACCGAAACGCCGTTGCTGTGGGTATGCCAAAATATGTAAATGCCAGATTGCTTGTGAAGGACGTGAATCAAAATATCGACTGATATAATGATATTGTTGAAGTGTAGGAAAGGTAAATCATCCGAGTCATCATCCTGCCCTGTTCCCTTCCCTTCCCTTCCCTTCCCTTCCCTTCCCAACCCCGATCCCATCCCATCCCAAGCCTCCCAGATCAAGTCCTTGATCTCCGTTCGTTGCCTCATCCCATTCATCATGCGTTCTCGAGCTCATTAAGTCCGGAGGTAATCCAGCGCAGCTCGGACATTCATCGTCGTCAAACCCCAATCCCACGGTGTGAATAAATCGTCTCCGGGACTCTATCATGGGCGCTCGACGTCCGAGGTGAAGTGAAAATGTGATCTGATACACTGTACCAGTCACTGCACAACAGCAGAATGTAAGTTTTTCAGTAGCCTTCAAAACCAGTCGAAGGTCCTAGGCTGAGATTGTCTAGATCAACAAGAAATCCCAACCCTTCATCTGCATTACATCTCTCCAGGAGACGTAATGTGCTTCTCCACCACCTGGACTAAAGCGTCCATCGACATGGCCCCATACCTCTTTGAGTAGGCAGGCAACACGGCCAAAGCTGCCGAAATTGGCAAGTTCGCCGAGAGCAGAAAGACGTTCTTCAAAGAAGGGTCGGAATGGCGAGTCGGCTGTGCTGACTGATCCACCGATTAGATATACCCAGACGAGACTGCGGTCGAAGCCAAGTTGCCCGGAAGGAATAAATTCGAGGACTTGGGTAAGCTTGGAAACGAGGCCAACACAGCTTGCTTGGCTTGGTGTGAAACCGGGAACGAGACTGCACAAGTAAATTCGAGCAGCAATGCGGAACGCAGCTGTCATGTTCTTGCTCAATTGCTTGGGGCTCAGGACACCATTAGCGTTATATGGAATCTTTGGGCCGGTTTCGCCAATTTCAGTAAGGCCGATTTGATCACCAAGTGCATGCACATGCTGGCAGAGTTGAATATCATCCATGCCGTCCTTCTTGAGAGCCTCTAGGCAAGCGATCTCAGAAATCAAGTACATAACTCGGTCTTCGCATCCCATGAGCTCGCGCAGCCCGAGGGAGGAGTTTGTTGATGACAAGTGTTTTTCCCGATATGTGTGCGCAAAGGTTGGTGCGCGGCCCTGAATGGTGGAACCGAGAATATCAATCCAAGCTGTGAGAGTCATGTTAAATTGGATGAGATCATGGGATTCCGAAACCATTCGGTTCAGCTCAAGTTTCTGGACAAGCGAGATCGCCGCTTGGAAGTGTTGGTGCCATGGGATGTCTGGTAGGGAATCATCATATCGGCCAACTGACGTTTGGAAGAAAATCATGCCCAGGGTTGCCTCCAAAATTGACGAGTGGTCTGTGTCTCGGTTGAGTGCCTCGCAAAGCTCGGAAATCGTGGCATATCGGTGGCGCATGATATCGTTGTCGATCTGTTCCCCCTGAATGTTCATGGTGGCTTTGCAATGCTGCGCCGCAATGCTCAAACAACAGTGAAGGTAGCACTTGTTACTCTGGAGAGCAGGAAGGACGTAATCTGTTCGCGCAGACCCATGTTGATTCGTCTCGAGGATTGGGAAGACTGTAGGAAGGACGTCCGCAATAAAGTGGTCGAGAAGTCTTTGATCACCCTCGTCAAGCTCTATGGCAACTTGGCGAACAGTCGAAGGTGGACCATGCGAGAAGTCGAAAAGGTTGGTATTTAAGGTCTCTTCGGCCATGGATTCTCTTCGGTCGCCATATGCTCCTTCCCAGTCATTCTCAACTGGAAAAGATGGGAGCATTGCCTCAGGAGGCGGTGGCGGGTGGTAGGTGCTGAACGTCGATATTGTCGATTCGCGACGAGTTGGAATATCATTGACAAACATTTGCCTTTCGGTTTTGACATCGACTTCATACGGGGAATAATCGGGGTACATTGCGTATTGCGAATGTGATGTATGCATTTGCGCATTGTATGCCGTGTAGTCTGCGATGTGTGGCGGTGCGTTGAAATCAAAGAGAGACAATTGAGAATCGATAGAGGCGGACCGAGTGCGATCAAGTGGATCAGAAAGGGTGGCCGATGTTGGTAGAGAGTGTGATAATCCAGGAGGCGTTTCCGAGCCCGGAGTCATGACTTGATTTGTGGTTGAAGAGGTTGTCTTCTCTGTGAGCTTCTTCCGCTTAATGATCATCTTGATGTTGTCTTTTTGCATCCGCCGTTGATCATTGTTGCTCCACCACATGGGTCTCTTGTATTCGCAGCGGAGTCCGAGATGTTTGCAAGCAGTACAAGCTGGCGACCCTTCATCGCACTTCTTTCTTCGTAATCTGCATGTGTAGCAACCTTCGAGATCAAGTTAGCATTGGCACCACGCAAGTAACAACAGGAAAGATGACCGGAATCAAAGTAAATTCGAACAAACCTGTTCTTGATCTTCGATGCATTTGCATTTTTCCTTTAGGTGTAGAGTTGGCCTTTGGAGCCGGCTTTGGCTTTGGTTGAGCGACCGCCATTGCGACGTTCGATCTGCCCATGAGCTGTGGTTGGGGGGGTTGTGTTGACATTTGTACCTCGCACGCAAATGGTGGGGGCAGGGCCAAGCGGATCGGGTCCAAGTGCTATATTGCAGTGATGGGAGACCAGGATATGCCGAGTTGATAATTGGCGAGACCAGGGACCGATTAAATTATTAATGAGTGACGGTCAAAGCAAGTCCAGCTTAACTTTGATATGGATACAAGTTCGAGGTGGTGAGGACTATTGTGAGGGCGGAGTTGTAGAGGAAGGACGACGAGGGACAGGTACACAATGATGGCCTTCAACTCTCGTAGCGTGAAATGCAGATGAAGCTGTGTGTTGGTTCATATATGAGAGCATTGCAAAATGCAGCTCAAGCCTCGATTATCCAGAGATCTATTTCTGGACATCCAATTGACACGAATTTCTATTCCGGCCCAGCCCACGTCCATCGATGGCTAGGTACTCCAATCCACATGCACACGTGCGGCTAGTTCGAGATGGTGTTCATAAGGAAGTTGGCTAAGGCAGGGGGGCATGAATGGCTCTGTTCAGCAGATGCTGGACAGAAACCGGGTATGGACCAACGAGAAGCCAGTTGCTGCAGGTCGAATATTGGAGGGCAGCACACGCCTTACGCTGGTTGGATCCATTTCGGACAGCACCACACCAAGACAAGAATATTGTGCAGGGCTGGTAGCTCAAAAGGGCGGTGGCTAGCCAGTGGGGGGACAAGCAGGCCATGCAGAGGAGGAGAGGACTGTCATCGTCCTATTTTCGCGAGGCGCCTCATGCAGTCCATGGTTCAACCGACCCCCCCCCCCCCCGACTAGCCATGCATCCTTGCTACAGTATTGGCGTCCCCTGTCTGTACCACAGTAAGTACACACGGGAGAGGCTCTTGATCTGTCAAGGTTGCCTTTAGCGGACGAGTGACTGCAAAGTTAGTAAAGTAGTTTACTGTACAGCAGATTAGCGTCGCCTCACTGAGAAAGGGACGGACGGACGACTCGAGTCTCACGAACCAGATCGGCTGCCGGTGCTCTCTTCCTCGCTCCCGTCCCTGGCCCCGTACTCCTACAGTAGTACCGCACCGTGATGCTCACCCTGTCTTTCATGGTCCATGCTTCCTGCAGGGCAATATGCAGCTCGATAGCTACCCATGTTTCTGTCAATCACTTTGCTCTTACTGTACTACACTTACCTGCATATTCGCCAAAAGCTCTCACGGACCACTTTCGCTATTGCACGAACGATACGGAATATCCGCTGAGGAAGCTTCCTCTGAGCTTCGTCTGCAAAGCACGTCCTGGCTACAGCAGCGAAGCTAACTGCCTGTCGATCTTCCTTCCGATCAGCCGGCAATCTTCTACACTACTGTATGCGGAGCAAGATCAGGGGGCATTAGGCTTCCTCTGAGTCAAACTCAGCGCAACAATGTTAGACTCAGTGGAGATGGAGATGGAGATCTCGAGTCTCGAACAAGGTGCTCCCACCACTTACAACCGTCGACAAGCGAAGTCGGCGGTGAGAAAGCCCCTCACTCGTCAGTTGAACAAAGCCAATGTCCCAAGAGAGAAGGCCATTGATATTCGGAATCTTTGAGTTCGTCGAATGGTGTATTGTATTCGCGTAGTGCAGCGCCAAAAGGCGGTCTGGTCGAGATTGGCCGAGCATTTCGACCAGTGATGCCGGTCTGAACTGTGTTTTTTCCTGCTTTCAACAGGGAGTAGTCGTGGACCAGGGATGGCAGCCCTCATGATGCTACTGCTACTGTCCGCTTGTCCGCTGGGAGGAAGAAGGTGTGGCATCGCGTGATGGCGGATGGTTGGACAGCATGGAAGCGACGTTGGAGAGGAGGATGTGACTTGCGCACAAGCCCGCATTAGCGGCTTTTTCAACGGACGCTCCCGTCCAGTTAATCCGTCCTGACAGGGAAGACAGGGGAGGCCCCAGTTCTTAGTCCTGCCAATCATGCCGCAATGAGGCCTGTGAGCTTTGCGGAGAAACACCTTAGCTGCATCTGCGAGTGAGCAGAGCAGCCTACCCTGGCACTTGCATAATCTGTGATAACAGATCGCGCACCAGCAAATTATCCTATTTAAAGAAACATAAATGATCCCAAAGCAGGCTGTTTGGGAGCATTCAGACTATTGAAAGCTAATTTTGTCGCTTTCTGCCAGCGCCAAATGTATGATCCGGGAGAACCATAACCGCCCAATGCAGTTCTATTTTGGATCATTATCCATCAGTTCCATCATCGAAGCACAGCTAATTAGCCTCACTTCCACTCCTACCCCACTGCCCCCCACATACTGTACCTACCGTCCCCCTCCACATCCGCATACGCATCCGCATAAAAAAACATTTGCTTCTGACAGAAGTGGGTAGGCTCCCTCGGCAGCATGCGAGAGCCTCGCGACCCTGGCCGCCATTATTATCGTGAGGATCTTATTCATCCCATCCTGCCAAGAGTGAAGAAAATTAATGCCTTGAGTTCGTGACGGATGCACGACTGCTCCTCATTTACGCATGTGCGGATCATCAGCAAACAGGATCAAGCCTGGATATGGAGCCGTTATGTCACTGTGGCATCGCGATATCCAGTGCCGGACAAGGGGCTTTCTCGTTTAATGATCCCTCAAACGACATAGTGTAGAAACTAGTGCTGTTTTCAGCAAACTTAAGCTTGACGGGTGGAGAAGCTTGAGGAGCCCGCGTCCCGCCCTGCCCTGCTTATCAAAGCAGTTGGGAATCACCGCTGGTGCTGGTGCTTGACGAGCAGAAATGCGACCTCATCTCCTTCTCGTCAAGGACCTCCCGAACAGTAAATGGCATAAAAACCGCATCTCGAATGCGATTGATTAGGCTGACACTAGTCCTTTGATGTGAAAATTGAGTTGGGTTGCTGGAGCTGCGACCTCCCGTTCATCCATATGTCTTTCCGGGGTGTGTTTCTTGCGTGCTGGAGATTCATGGTTCCAGCGTGGCGATTCGATGCCGTCCTAAGTATCTCAGAACATCGTGACACCCACCATCCTTCCAAAACCAGGCCATTGTTCAATCAAAGCTTCGAGCTCGTAGGCCTCTGGGTCTTCATGAATCTGATCTGTCTCTTCTTGTAGTATTTCGCAAGGAATCTCGCATCAACATTCAGTCACATGAGTGATGTGTGTGTGCTTTCTGCACATCAATTGGCCAGCTCTTGCCTGAGACCTGGAGAAGCTCGACATTATATCTCGGGTCAAACACGTAACGAGACAATTCCCCGTCGTGCCACATGAGGGCCCATCAAAAATTGCGTCGTTGAGAATGGGGGAGGTTTCAACGGTCAGTTTGTATCCAATGCTCCCTATATTCGGCAAAAGGCGGCCCAATGCTTTGTCACGCGGACCTCAGCTCTTGCAATCCTGAGAGATCCTGCCACTGACAGGACAGCTTCGTGACCAGAAAATATTTGCGCAGCTGGCTGGACTTTAATTGTCTGAAGTTTTGACTGAACAATTGGACCTCCCTCATCTCTGATATGGATCCATTGAGGTCTGAGACAATCCTCGCGGCCCAAGTTCAGAATACAAAGAAACTGAAGCGGGGTTGTGATCGCTGCACAATGGATGTGATAGCGATGCGGAAAAGTAAGTCGAAAAGTGGTGCAACATGAACATGGCAGCATGGTACAGTACCTACACCAGGACTCCAGGAGGGCAGGAGGGGGTTGGTCCGGCTTCGCTTCTTCCATATCCAGAACGCCACGGCCAGCCACGGACTGGGATTGGGGGCGGGACGGGACAGTGAAGGCGAGGATCTCGTGCATCTGGCTGATGTGATCCCTGGAATATCAAGTGAACATTCTGTGCAGCACATCACCTCTCGCACTTACAGCCGTTTGAACACGGAACGCAAATCTCAGATGAACTACTCTGCACAATAATCACCCAGCACCTGCAGGATGACCACTCCGTGGTAGAGCTACATGGCATACCTGCAGCAGTAGAAACTTATATGGCACGCACAGCTGTCCTTGTGAAGAGGACTGGAAGGTGACCCCTAGCCCCCAGATCCTCTTGCCAAATCATCCCTCCTAGCCCCCGACTTTTGGTGATCTCCCCATCGGCCTACTACAAGTCTTCCCATTATTAGAGATATGGAAGCAGCCGGTCCCTTCCTCCCTTCCTCCCGCACCTTGTTCTCCACAGGCTGTACGGATGGACTACAAGCTATCGGCCCGCTCCCTCTTCACGACTCGCGAGAAAAGGGGTTCTCAATTCTCAGGCCATCTTCTGAGCGTCATTGGCCGTCAGGTGGTAAACATTAGATTTCTGCTCCCTCTAGCAGACATAGGGTCCTACTTGTCCCGTAGCAACGATGCCACTCTTGGTCGTCGACAAATCTGGATCTTGCTGGATAGACGAATCGCACGAAGCTGCTGGGATTTGACTGAGAGACAGGTGGGCGCGTAAAATCTAATTCCGTACCCAATCACAGTATATCCTGTAGTGACCATGGAAAATCCATGCCTTTTCCCGGCCCCTCATTGGACATCCTGCAGTCTTGTGCCTCGCCTGCAGCAACCTTGTTCTTACTGGCCATTGCTGCATCGTGGGGTCGTTTCTATCTGCACCGACAACCGAACGACCGCTTCTCCAGCCAACGGTGAAGGAAGCCGCTCGCAGCAAGTAAGTCAAGAATAGTCACACAGTCACTCATGCAGAGTACTGAGCACAGGTCACAATGCAGACGGCATACCAGCATTATGCTGGCCATTGGCGCTTTGACGACGAAAGCCCATGATATCGAGGCGGTTGAGCTCGATACATATACTCGACCAAGCGCCAGCATCCTCAGCGTCTTCTTTCTTGATGTTTCGGACTTTTTGCGCTCTACCACTTTTGATTGTTTGCGATTTCCTAACCACTGTCATACTGTAATCATCCTCGGCATATACTAGAAAGTTAACCGGCAACGGCAAAAGCTAGTATTCTAGCAATACCCTCACTGAAGATACCCAACTATAAAGCAGGCACAATGGTATGTTGGCGACCCACTAAGGTAGATTCCGCTGGGGGTACTGACTCTTGAATAGCCTTCCACATCACCAATGACACCCATCGACCCCAGAGTAGAGATGTTCCAAAAGGGACAGCCAAGAGATGCATTTTTTAACATGAAGGCGCTGGCGCCACGGCCAATGTCCGAGGCGACCGAATTCGACACAGACTTCGAGGATGATATGAGCGAAATAGAAGACAACTCTCCACGCCACAGTGTCAACTCGGTACGTTACTGAGACTCTCGTATGTCTTGCGCCAACTGACAAAAACCAGAGTAGCAGAAGAAGTGACAGGACACTGTCCTCCTTTGAAGAGGTTCATACGCCCAGCCCGAATTCCAATGAGTTCGGTGGCTTCCATTTCGATATCTCAGCAAAACCAGCAGTTGAAGGTCCTCGAGGACCGCATCTTTTCCGAGCTTCCGTTGACTCCTCGATCCAAGAAGATGAAGATCAATATACTCTGGCAATGTCACCCTTGACTCCGCGCCCATCGAGTTTCCAAAGAGCGCAAATGTATGCGCCGAAAGTTCCCGAGATCCCATCACGCCACCACCGCCATCTGAGCTCACTAACAGATGCCGTTGAGAACTTGAACTTGAACGAGGTCGCACTATGGACGCCACGCCAAGTTGCGAGATGGATGTACGATGCTGGCTTCGAGCCATCAATCGTTGAGAAGTTCGAAGAAAATGATATATCGGGCGCAATCTTGATAACTCTCAAGTTTGAGGATCTCCGAGAGCTCGACATCCCCTCCTTCGGACAACGGACCAAGGTATGGAACGAAATACATGTGCTCAGAGGTAGTGCACCTGGCACACCGAAGCCCCCAACTCCTATCGATGAGGCAATTTCACCCTGTGTCGACTTCCAACAGAATGGTTTCCAACGACCATTGAGACATACATCCAGAAAGGAGAGGAATGGGGAATGTGGCTCAGATGAAGAACCGAAGCGTCGCAAGAGTTCTCGCAGACGACACCGAGCGCGTGGACCAACAGACATCATCTCGCCTCTCGAATCCGTCTCCATCGTCGGTATAGAGCAACTCATGCCCAAGCCCCACAAGTGCGCCAAAGGAGAGAATTGTTCCAAGTGGAGGAAGCAGCAGCGATTGATCGATAACTTCAAGAAAGATCACCCAGTAAGCCCAGAGGGTGGATCTATCTGGATCGCTGGCGATCCCGGAAATCCACTTACTGCTGGCGCTGTTGCTGAAGCTATTCGACCTGTCTCCGATGCTGTACCATCTGTTGTTGCTTCCTCCGATGTTCTCGGCCCTACTGTCCCTGCTTTCCGTCACTTAGAGGAAGCGAGTCTTCGCAATGTCCAGCTTCGTGATCCACAGGAGAATGTCAAGCAGTTCCTCAGATTCCAGCACATGGACCCACATCATGTGCAATGGTCCTCAGAAGAGCCCCCTTCTCCTCCATACGAGATGTTTCCAACGCTCCAAGCCCCAGCTGGTCCTACCCAAAACAAGCTTCACAACCTTCCCCGGCTTGCAATTCCACCGCCTCGTCCAATGCAACAACAACCACCACCGAGGTCTGCAAGCGCCAATGCCTTCTCTCCATACCGCATGGAGCGTGTCGAGGCGATGTCCCCAGATCTCCGCAATGCAACTCAATCCCCAAACACGGCTGTCTACCGCTTCGGCACTCCATTCTCTGAGATGGATATCCCCGTGACTGCCGTTCCCCTTGGCCCCGTTGCACGAGATGCTTCCCAGTCTGTTCCGCCCAACATGTCATACCGCCATGCTCCCGCTCCTGCAGCCGCACCACCAACCCGCACACAGTCACGAACCTCCGCGCGTCGACCATCGTTCCCCGCCATGCCTCGTGTCGACGAGAACATTTCCACAGCTCCCCCTACCCAGACCAAATTCCACGCCCATCAGATCCAGCCTCCTACCCACCCAGGCCACCAACACTCGAACTCCTACCCATGGTCACCCATCACGCAACCTGCACAGCGCACTGCAGACGACATCTCAGCTCAAGGCTGGATGAAGAAGCGGAAGACTAAGATGCTCCGCCATGAATGGCACGAACACCATTTCACCCTCAAAGGCACTCGTCTTGCCATGCATAAGGATGCCAACGCACTCGAGACTCTCGAGTACATAGATGTTGATGACTATGCAATTGCTTGCTCGTCTCTCGCGTCCGGCTCCAAGCTCAACGCAGCCTTCAAGGCGATGAATATTTCCCGAGGCAGCAAGGACAAAAGAGACGAGTCTGCCTTTGCTTTCCAGCTCATTCCCGCCGCTATCGACAAAGGTGTAAAGTTGAAGAAGAGAGAAAGTGGCATGGGTGCCAGCAGCAGTGAAGGCAAGGACGCCGGTGCGAAGACAAAGACTCACTACTTTGCTGTCAAGAGCCGAGATGAGCGCATCGATTGGATGAGAGAGCTGATGCTTGCCAAAGCATTGAAGCAAAAGGCTGACGGCTATGAAGTTAACTGCAACGGTAACATGATCTAAGATACGAAAATACCAAAAAGAAGAAAGATGACACTCATTGAGGAGGATCCATTATACCAGTTTGATTTTATTCTTAGCGCGGCATTTGTGCATTCTTCACTTCGATTTATGATCGAGAGCTTTGAGAATACTTTCAGCGGGCGGCATTTATTGGGCGTTTGATTTTGAATATGCCCTTTACTTCACTTGAAGTCGAAGATGGTTGGGATTGGATTGGGAAGAGAACACTCCTTTCTGAATAGTAGTTTAATTCGAATGACAACTGATTGAAACCAAATCTGAGCATTGCTACCGTAACTTAATTTGCATAAACGGACAAGCGAACTTGAGAAATTTTGAAAACAGAGGCAACAATGCAAAGAAAAAACAAGTATCCCAGGATGCGAGTCCAAGGGATCAAAACAGAGCTAGGTTATGAGCCTCACTAGAGGAGTTTTCGGCTCGCTTAGCAGATAACGTAGCCATTGAGTAATGGCAGTGCCCAAGGTATCATTGCCGATCATATACAGCCTTCTACCAATTCCTATCGTCTTCGTACAGTATAGTACACGCCGTGGGCCCCTTACCCGAATTTCCGTCTGAATTCTCCCGATATGCTACAATGCAGATCACATCAACAGACTTGGCTTCCTTCCCTGGGACGGCCTCGCCCTATCTTCCACCTTAGACCAGTCGATAGCCTGCCACCAACGCTCAGCATATTCCTTCTTGCCTCCGGCTCCACCAACTCCCATGCCGTAGTCTGCCACGTAAACATGCTCCCACGTGTTGATGCAGAGGACAGGTGTGATGTCAATTCCACCAGGTGCAAGTTTCTTCTCACTATGCTGTCCATGTGCTCCAACAGTGTTCACAGGATCTTCTCTCTGCAACCTCCGTATCGCCTCTGATACAGACTTGTCTTCCGTGTTCATGTCCACCGTCTGTTTTCTATAATGAGCTCCGGGAAACGGCGAGCCAGCCAGGTATGTGCAGAGTAGCGTATATTTTCCCGCCCGATTTTTCATCAGCCAGACAAAACCTGGGCCGAACATCGAGCTTGCTGTGACAATGAACTCGCGCCTTAGAGTCTCAATGGAACCGAAAGATTGCTCCAGTTCGACTTGGAGGGCTTCTGGGATGGCTGTTGGCACGGGTGACAGTGCCTCAAAGAAAAAGTGATTGTTAAATGCCATTGATGCATAGTTGAAAATGGGAGCGGAATTTGGATCGCGAGCGTATTTGATGAGGATATCTTTCGGTGGTTTGGATTCGTAGTCTCCTCCTAGAAAGAGTTAGCCAGCGTCCCTCCCCTCAAATAAGCTTTCTCAAGAAGCTCCAATGCCAGCTCAAAGCATCTTTGCTCGAGGACGACTCTTTGTGGAAGGGTGCAGTCAGCGTACCGGCTATCAGGTTATTGAGCTTCTCAACCATCAGACCTTGATACTGCGTCCATGCAATATCGAAACCGGCTGTCGAGAGCAGCCCAGGGACTCCATTACTGAAATTTGGATTGATCTCTGGAACAGTGACTAGTGACCGACGGAAAGAGTTGAGGCAGAATCGCGCTCGTGGTAATATTGGGCGGAGCATGTTGGATGTGTGATGTGCCGATTAGCATGACCTCGAACCAAAATATTTCCAGCACACTCCAGTCGCGATGTCCGTGGCGGCCTGATTGTAGTTTCCAGGCACGAAATCCGCTAAGAGAGCTCCACGCCAAGCGCGGGCTGGTAGACTGGTAGTTCAAGGGCAAAGGCGAGCTCCGATTGTCGATAAGGTTGGGGAACATCCACCACTTTTCCACGCCTGCACTCTTGCTCGCTGAGCTCCGCGTTGGCGTTGGCGTTGCTTTCTTTGCCATAGACATTCCAGGTCTTTTAGGAAGATGAAAATCCGGCTTTACTTCTTGTTTATGCTATTCTCTCCAGGAGGGCAAAGCATCTTCGAACCTGTTTGACAATCCGAGGAGGATTGGTCACTAGGACAAGCTCTTGCATTGCATGAAGTAGCCATTTCTTTAAAGCTCGAAAGCTCGCCACACTTCCCTTCGCATTGCGAGAAGCTTGGATAATGGCGAATGGATACAACCGCGATGTAGAAGCATTCCGAAACGAGGAGTATCCTATGCTCAAGGGTAAGTGTTGAGCTGCAGGTGGATGAGGTCTACACAGACAGCTGACAGAAGAATGAAGATGCCATCTACCTCGACCATGCCGGCACAACGCTCTATTCGAAGTCACTCATGGAGAAATTCATGTCTGACATGATGTCCAATCTGTACGGCAATCCTCACTCGGCCTCGCCTTCGTCCCAACTATCGACAAACAGAATTGAAGACATACGTCTGAAATTGCTACGGTTCTTCAACGCCGACCCTGCGCTTTTTGATATTGTATTTACGGCAAATGCGACGGCTGCAATAAAGATTGTCATGGATGCCTTCCGGGATTGCGAGGGAGGTTTCAACTACGCTTATCATCAAGATGCACATACGAGTCTTGTTGGCGTTCGAGAGAATGCTAGAACGAGTCGATGTCTTGACGACGATGATGTAGAGCAGTGGCTCTCGGCTGGCGATTCTTTCGCGGAAGACAGCTTACCGTCAACAAAAAACCTCTTCGCCTATCCTGCTCAATCGAACATGGATGGAAGACGGTTGCCACTTTCATGGACTGCAAGAGCCCGGAATAGCCCTATTATTTCGCCGACCTATACACTACTGGACGCGTCTGCTTTTGTGTCGACAGCTCAGTTGGATTTGAGTAATGTCGATACATCTCCAGACTTCACAGTGCTGAGCTTTTACAAGATATTTGGCTTTCCGGATCTCGGCGCTCTGATTATCCGAAAGGAATCTGGGGCTATCTTGAAGGGACGCAAGTATTTTGGTGGCGGAACAGTTGACGTGGTACTGTGCAATAAGGAGCAATGGCATGCCTCAAAAGAAGACTCCCTCCACGAAGCATTGGAAGATGGCTCACTTTCCTTTCACAATATCTTGGCTTTAGATGCCGCTATTGATGTTCACAAGAAATTGTATGGGTCAATGGAGCAAATTGCAAACCATACAGCATTCCTAGCGCAAAGATTATATGACGGCCTGGTGTCACTCCGGCATGCCAATTCGGACCCCGTTTGCGTAATGTATTCCCATGGATTTGCTTCAAAGACAACTGCTGGGAGTCAAGGTCCTATCATCGCTTTCAACTTGCGAAACAGTAAAGGAGCCTGGGTCAGTAACACTGAATTTGAGAAATTGGCAGCTGTCCGCAAATTTCACATCAGGAGTGGCGGGTTATGCAACCCAGGAGGTGTTGCTGCATGTCTGGCACTTGAAGCGTGGGAGATGCGAAAGAATTTTTCAAGTAGGTAACGATTTACTTTAATCTGCACCTCTGAGCTTGAAACGAGATCCTTGTCTATCACAAGTTCAAGGAAGAACAAAGAAAAGAAGAAGAAAACCATTGTTGACATTTGGCAATTTCGAGAAGAGCATTACTAATTGCGAGGATAGCGGGCTTCAGATGTGGTGTCGAAACAGACATATACTCTGGAAAGATCACCGGCGTTATTCGAGCAAGTATCGGCGCTATGTCCACGATGAGTGATATTGACGGATTCATTGCTTTTATCAGCGACTTCTATGTAGAAAGCGTAATTCCGCCTGTTGTTGCCGTGAATCCAGGTATCGAATACTCTGGTAAGAGCTCCTCGCAAACTGCTCATGTCACTGCATATTTCGCGATTACTTTCAAAAAACGCAGACTGATCTCTGGGATAGGCCAGCTTACCGTGGAAAGCTTGACAGTCTACCCGATTAAGAGCTGTGGTGGTCTTGACGTCCCACTCAACACGGACTGGGAAGTGAGACCAGAGGGACTTGCTTGGGACAGGGAATGGTGTCTGGTCCATCAAGGTACCAGGCAAGCATTGAGCCAAAAGCGGCACCCACGTATGGCGTTATTTCGGCCAAAGATTGATTTTGCAGAAGGTGTATTACGCGTGGGTTATCTTGGATCTGCCGAAAATATTTCGGTGCCTCTTTCATCAAATCCGGCCCTTTTCGGATCAGTGACTGCTACACAGCCATCCCGTGTTTGCGGAGACGCTATTGTTGCGCACACATATGCACGGCCAGATATCAATGAGTTTTTCTCCAGGATACTCGGCGTTCCGTGTGCTCTCGCTCGCTTTCCAGCTGGTGGGTCAGGATTCTGCACGAGGCATGCAAAGGCACATATGCAAAAACACCAGGATCCCAAGTTGACCGCACCAAAAGCGAGCCACGATCCAGAAACATTGGCTCCTCCAACTCCCCCCGATTCGGACACTGAAATGAAGAAGAGGCCAATCTTGCTGTCGAATGAAAGCCCAATTCTGGCCATCAATATTGCCAGTCTCAATGCTTTGAACAAGGAAATTTCAAGAGCAGGCGGCAGGCCTGCCTCCGCGTCAGTATTTCGAGCCAACATTGTTTTGGCGTCTCCACATTCCCAGACCCAGGAACCCTATGGTGAAGACCACTGGACATCAATACGTATAGGAGAGCAAACATATAAAATGTTGGGATCTTGTCGAAGGTGCCATATGATCTGCATTGATCAGGATACAGCAGAGAAGAACGACCAGCCGTTCGTAACCTTGGCAAAGACACGCAGATTTGATTCGAAAATATTCTTTGGTACTCATATGTGCCATGTGCCGTCCAAGGGCATCACGAAGACGAGCCAGTTCCCAACAATACGAGTTGGAGATATTGTAAAAATAGCCACCGATGACACTTCTTGAAAAAATTCGAAAAAAAATGAACCCCAATTTGGGCGTTAGATCATGATTGGACAAGGAAGTTGCCCAAAGAAACGTGATAACCTCCAGTGGCATCTTCCACTAACCGAGTCTTATTATTTGCAATGCCGTTTGTCCGTGATTTCAACTCTCCAACAAGGTGTCCGTCTTAGCATTGGCTCTCCCCCCCCCCTCCCCCCAAGCAGATGTTCTAGTCGACCGATAGTAGAGAGAATAACTAATGTCCGATATCATTTGCCACATCCGATTACCCAATAAACGTGAATCTTGTTCCTAGAAATATGCATCACTGAAGTTTAGACTGCGGCAAGCTCACGAGCATCTATATAAACGTCATCGCAGCAACACAGCGGTAGTGAACCCCCACCTTTCCTCAGTCTTTATTCTCTCCCATTGATTTTTGCAGTTGGTTTCGTATTCGAAGTTTTTGAACTGCAATTCTGACAATTACTATCATCTTCTGTGTCGTTGACTGCTCACAATGTCTACTGGTATTGGTATGAGTGATTGTTGCCTGTCGGGCAGAATTCAAAGTGGAGAGCCAAAAGGCTCAGTTGAGATTATCGACAACTTGAAAACGTATATTGCAGCTCCGAAAGATGGCTCAAAAGCTAAGACTATTGTGTTTCTTGTGGACAGTAAGCTTCCTTTAAAACAGTTCGTTTTTCTCCTCAAGTCTTCTCTGACCTTTTCTTTTAGTTTTTGGATGGGAGTTCAAGAACGTTCGTCTCCTTGCGGATAATTACGCGAAAGCTGGGTTTTATTGCTATGTTCCAGGTAAAGCCTCCTCCTCCTAAACTTGTCCATTGTTGTTCTCCACCCCTTGAAATACTAGAGATTTGAAGTTCGCGAATGACACCAACAAATCTTGCCACAAGGAAAGGATTGTAACACAACTGCAACCTGTGCTAATCAAGCGTATAGATATCCACCAGGGGGATTCCCTTCCGCTTGAATTCCTGAACTCTGTCGAGCCTCCTCTCAAGGTGCGCGAGCATCTATCGGTCATTGACAAGACCAAGGCCACTGCTACCGTTGGAACTACCCTTCCGCCATGGCTGCTGAAGCACCGCGAGGGAGTGACAAAGCCTTTGATCGAGTCGTTCATCAACACGGTTCGTCAAATTCGAGGGACGGGAAAGGTTGGAGCAATTGGATTCTGCTGGGGCGGTCGTTATGCAGTTATTGCAGCTCACAGTGTTGTCGATGCTGCCTATGCTTGCCACCCATCACTTGTGGCCGTACCGGGTGACTTCGATGCGGTTTCAAAGCCTCTTTCACTGGCGGTAGGCGATTCGGATTCCCTCCTCAACAATAGCACCGTCGGACAAATCCAAGATGTCATGGCGAAGAAGACCGATATTCCCCACGAACTGAGGATCTACGAATATCAAGTTCACGGATTTGCGCTCAGAGGTGATTGGTCTTCAGAGAAGGATAAGAAGGCTATGGATGATGCTGAGAAACAGGGAGTAGATTGGTTCAACATGTACCTGGCCTAGATGATCTGTAGTTGACATTATCCGCGGATGTCTGAACTGAATACTGAATCTGGACAGCTCTAGGCTCTCGAATCATTCCAAGCACATGTCAAATCGAAGCAGGGTTTCGTTGGATGAAATCATCGCTCACTCTGTTGCGGCCTTCTGTCCTGTGAACCCTGACCTGCCACCTTCTCGGCAATCATTCATGCTGTCCAGTTAATATCTCGGTCGTTGTTCTGGCGCTGCATATGTGGTCAGATCTAGACGGGCGGATCCTTTGTGTTCAGAAACTCGCAGACGCAAACGCAGGGGGTTCATGCTCTCGTCCGATGTTGTCATTAATGTTGAAGGTTTGATCTAGCGCAATCTAGTTCGTCCGGTCACTACACTTAGATTCCCACCCGGTCTGTTACACCAATTTTGGCTAGACCAAGCCAATGAAAGTGCAGCAAGCGGCAGCTAAAATTTGCTTGATATTCCGGAGACGATCTGATCCGCGTGTGCTAAGACAACTCTGCATTCCCTGGGTGTAATAAATGGACGTGCTGCCTCTTTGCCCTGATTGTAAATTCAAAACTGACGTTTTCATTTCGTAGACTTTTTAATTCTTGTTTCTTCGGGGAGCGACGTTTTGATTGAGCTCCTCAAGCGATTTTCCATCTGGCTATTCACTTTTGAAGCTGGGCTCCTCGTTCATTCCTAAATCTTCCTTCTCAGCCTTCCTCCACCATCAGTTCGACAACATTTCAACTCAAGCTATCTCATAGAACAAGATGCGCAAACATATCATGAGTGTTCTTCAGTCTTTATGGAACATTGCTATTCTGTGCAGCTTCCTTCTTAATGGAGTTTGCGCTCAGAGTGGTGCACTGGCCCCAACCAGCAAAGAATCAGCTCCCAATCCAATCGCAGATATCTACCCGAACGGAATTACTGGTACCTTCAACAGTACCATTTTCGTGGGTGATAGCTTGTTTCTATTCTCGTAATGCCTGTCTAATATTGCTTTTTCTAACAGGTCATCCCAATTTCCTATAAGCTTGCTCGGTCTCTCATCCCGAAACAATGGAGAATCAATAAAAAGGCTTATCGTGAGCGTACGTATTATACTGTGAACCCCTCTCTCTCAGCATTATTTGATATCTCATGTCGCGTGGTTATCATTGAATAATCTCAACATGTGATGCTGACTTCAAGTTTGACAGTCCTTCCTGGCTTTCCCAAGGACTCTTATCCTGTGCGCAACACTCAATCTTTTACCTTCTGAGCCTGCTGACGTTGCAGCAGCTCGTGGTTCGTTCTGGGGTTGATCACGATGTTGGACTCAAGGCTATAGGCTTCAAGGTGGACGACTTCCAGGTATTTGACATTCGCAATCTTCAAGGCCAGTCATCTGATGCGAAGAAAGACTGTCCACACCTTCTTTCCATTCGTCGACCTCTTCAATGATGGTTATTCCAGCTACACTTACAACAAATACCTCCTCATCACAGCCACAAACCTTCTAGGTATAGGTGAGCAGTCACCCTGATGATCTTCCCAAGGGATGCCAAGGCGAACGTTACGCTGATGTAACTCCCAGGTGCTCTCCCTGAGTATGGAACAGTTCCAGTCCCTGCCACTTTCAGCCCAGATCTCGAGGCGTATGGTTACTCTGGAGATACTCCCTGCCCGGAAGAAAGATATCTCAATGCTTATAGCGCATTCGAACTAGCACCGAGGCCAACTGTTGCGATGAAGTTCAAGGACATTAACAAAGTTACACCTTGGCACACGAATTTGTAAGTTGCCAGATCATGGAGCATATACAACTATGGAGAGAGCTGACATATGGACTTAGCTACGTTAATGTAACCAATCAGGTTCGTCTTCATTTTTCAAGGAGCTGTCTGGGGTTCCGGTGCCAGGGTGACTTGAATTTCACATCAACATGGGAGGATCAAATGCACAAGGCAGTACTAACTTCATCTATGCAGCCAATTATGACCAATGGTACCTTATGTGACAATCAAATATTCTTCTAGTGAGTTACATCACATCGTCTAACCCTCTCTGGCATATTGGCGTCCTTGAACCCAAAGGCTGATACAGACGATTTTTGCAGCAACACAACTCTGTCGAGCGATATCAATACCCCTCGTGGAGTAAAGGGATCAATCATGTTGAGCGCTCCTCTGCTCCCTGAAGATACTACATTCAAGGACGTCTTCGGGATTCGAGTTGATACTGCATTCCTCGAGATCACCTCGGTGCCATGTGCTGACTTGCAAGGATACCATGGAACTGGACCGGGTGATCGGGGTACTTCCGATGGTAAGTCAGCATGAGCTAGTTTGGTTCTGTAGCCCGCACATACAATGGTCAAGCAAGTCATGACAGGCCCTTGTGGTCGTTGTGCTACCGCGGCACTGTTCCTTTTTGAGACGTGCTAATCAGTATTGTAGTTCACTGATATAAATGTTACTTTGAACCCCATGGTTAATTTTTGATGTTTCTGTGAACATTCCCTATGCCTGCAGCAGTTTATTCATTCCTTGGGTTGCTGCCAAGTGCGAACTGAAAGTGAATCACATTATGATGCAATCTCCGCAGGCAACACATTCTAGCCGGAAGTATAAGAAGAGTCTAACAAGATTGTTAGATATACATGCCTACTTATTAATGCAGAATGAATTTTCCTGTGTACTTGGAAGCCAACCAAAACTTCTGTCAAGAGTATGATCTGTTTGGTCTGGACATCCCCCACGTTTGTTTTGGTCAAGTCTGGAGTCTGTTATCCTCAGAACCAAGGCTCAGGGCGACCTTAGAGTACCAGTATAACCACCAATATAAGCACTAGCGTGTTATTTGCTTCATCCAAGGTCATTAATATCATTGAAATTTTTCACCAGCGTACACCAGGTTGTTTTGCACACCCCGAATTGTCTCAAGCAAAACAAAACTAAGCATTATAGTCCAACAATACTCTCTATTCATTCAAGACAACCACAAGGGTTCAACAATTCATCCACACACCGCGAAGATGACAAACTTGAATCAGACTAATGGGCTCGAGGACCCTTTCACAGGACCTCGAGCTGTTACTGTCCGTTCTTCCCGGTCCACCTCTTTTCGCGCGCGCGGTCAACGAACGATGTCGGCCCTCAGCCAGACTCTGGCTTCACGCTTGAACAGTGCGAAGGCTCAAAGCAGACCTTCTCCAGACCAAAAGTCCTTTTCGGACTCCACTTCTCTTCCTCGATCACCTGTTGCAATTTATTTTCCGCAGCAAAGCAGTATCCCAGTGGCCTCAAACCTCACTTTGGAGCAAGGACGACCTGCAATCAATAGAAGCTTCTCTGCCAATACAACACGTTCGAGCAGTGTCAAGATCAGCGGTTCTCAGGTTGCGCCACGCAAAAGTACTTCAGGTCTTCCATCGTCGTCAGTGTTTGCCAACAACAGCGACTTTAAATCGGGGCCTCAGAGAAGCCTCTCAGGTCCCTATAAGGCGTCAAGTCACCCTGCTCTTCGTTCCAATGTACGAAAGAGCTCACTCGCAGCCAATCTACCTGCCCGCGAAGTTGAAAATAAACCAGTAGCGCGCCGCAGCACGTCAAACAGCACAGTCGCGCACACTCCTTCAAGCTCCCCAACCACTCAACGTGTCCTAGGGACAGCAGTCTCTACAAGTATACTTGTTCAGACGCATAGCTCATCCTCGGTGCCTACTGTCGCTGCAGTCCATCAACTTCCTCCGCTGCTCGCACCCCAAGTCCCGCACTTGAAAGCATTCACCGTCTTCCCCCAGCTCCCTATGGAGTTGCAACAAGAAATTGTAAGTCAACATAACCTTGAGGGTTGCTTTAATGGAGAATGCCCAGTAGCTGGGATACTAACGGTGAGCTCAGTGGTCAATCGCTATCGCTGTCCAGTATCACCAGGAGAAGAGATTCTTACGTGTTGCTCCTGACCCCAAATCCCTCGATCGGACCGATGATGATGCTGAACATAGCCAACTCCGCATCATCTCTGATATTCACCGTCGCCCACGCCTCGTCCCAAGTTTGCTGCACGTCTGCCAGCACACACGCCACGAGGCCATCAAGGGTTACGAGCTTTGGGGTTGTACTGATCCAATCACGTACGATACGAACGATGCCAAGGTGTACGTGAAGGTTGACGTCGATTCTTTCTTCTTCGGTGATGCAGACCTGGTACGCAACACACATGAATTTCTTTCTTATCTCGCATCATTTTTCCTATCTTCTGGATGGCATGCTCTGTTCTGCAATCAAAGTGTGTGTGCTGACGTGGATAGGATGATTTCTGGGTCTTGCACACCTTCTTCAAGGAGAGCGAACCTGAGAATGCAGATGCCGATGACACAGCAAGAGGCAACTTCATTGAGCAGATTGGACTGATCAAGCATTTCACATTTGACTACGAACTGTGGATTCAGTGTACGTCTCCCCAGGTCGCCCAATCGAACTCAATTTCTACCGAGACAAAATCTGTCAGCCCACTACACAGTCAATGCTAACATGCGGCAGTGCTTGAGTACGACGCTCTATGGCTAGCCAATCTCGATTCTGCCAACCAAATCACCGTTGCCATCCGAAATCCAAATCACGAGCAGTTCGACAAGGACTATGCTCTTTCACACGTAAAGACCATCGCCTCCCACACCTTCAGATATGAAGCTGCGCAGATCATTATGGTGAGTTACTCCTCAGATATTAATAACAGCCAAGTCTACAGAAGAGCTCTTGATCTGAAATAGTCACTAAGTCTTACAGCATATGAGTCTGAGTTCCGTCGCAGCATCAAGACAAGAGCTTCGGGGGTTGAATTGGCCAGAGGGTGGACATTTGGACTTGAACGTTCGGACTTTGTCGATGGGCAATACTATTGGGAACACCTCCGAAGATGAATCATATCTCGAGGACGTATTGATGTAAGCTCCCATACTCCCGAGTTTGTATACCAAGCTTACATCTGCAGTGAGGGCAACCGAGCCGGGCTTGTCTCTGACCAGTACCTTGAAGCTCGATTGGCAGTAATCCACGCCAATGCTCCCCAAGCTCCTTCACCTCCAGCGGTAGGTCTTACTCAAAATAACTAATGGATGTAGAGACACTGTAGATGTACATCGAAGGGGGATCTGGGATGGTCCACCGGCACAAACAAATGGCTTATAAGGGGCGTCTGGGGGACAAAGCCAGTCCTTCCGAAGTTTTTCATAGAGAGTAATGATTAATGTGGGGGTAACGTACTGTGTTTGACAGCACATCGACTGCGTGTTGGAATAAGCTTTGATTGAGGGAAGTGTTGATGGTCTTGACAACCTGTTGGGGTGGGATGATTAGTCTTTCATGTACGATTACACAAGGATACAGCACCAAACATGCTTTAGGATGGACGTTAAAATAATTTCCATGTGATATGAAGCTGGAGACCTCGTAAAAATTGCTCTTCAACACTTAGGAGAACCTGCACGTGTGCAACTGGAAGCCGTAAGCGATGATGACCAATCTCTTGATTTCTCAGCAGTCAAGTCATCTCAGCGACTTCACTTCTACACAGACAGAGTTGGTAACATTGGATGTTTAGATAGGAGCACAACTATCTATTGCAATCTAGTAAGGATATAGATATGGATCCATCAATTCCTACACAATGGAGGTCGAAGCGTCAAGACCTAGCCTCCGATCAACAACCACGAAAGAAGTCACGAGGAAGACCATTGAAGAGCTCAGACAACTCGAAAGTGCCAGAGGTATGTTTTTCTTCTAAATTTGAGCATTCGCAAGTCTATTTGGATGAACTTTGCTTTATTTTGATGATGCCAATATCTCTTCTCCATCCACCACTTCCGTTGTACCTCTTAATTAAAGTCAGCAGGAGCGAAGGGCACAAATTCGACGAGCCCAGGAGGCGTTCCGTCTCCGTAAATTGGCTGCAACCAAATCTCTGGAGGGTAGAGTTGAGTCACTCGAAGCATGTATCCAAGATATGAGCACCGTTTTCGTCGACCTAAGCGATTCTTTGATTCGATCAGCTGCATTACAAAAAGACCCAGCAACTACCCATAGTCTGGTCGCGGCAACATCTAAGTTTGTCACATTAGCAAAAGATGTGATGGATGATTCGGATGACGTGATCGACACTGCGCTTTACCCAGGATCTAACTCTTCGTATGGAGGAAAAGCCACACGACCTACAGTTGGGATTACTTCACTACCAAATAACAGACAAACAAAGTCTACAACGGCTCCAGTACCAAGGCTTCTAGTTCCAGAGCACTTTAATCCTGTTCCGGCAACTCTACTGAAGAAAGAGGTCTTTGGAAATGGCTGGTTTGGCCTACAGCCCGAGGTCCTTCGACGACTTTCACCACCTAAAAGCGCCGATTTGGGACAACTGGACGGCTCCTTTGGCGTGAAGCTGCTCCAGACAACTCTCAGTGTTGCGTATGAATACCTCATGGACGTAAGCGGCTCACACTACGATATAATAATGAACATGTACGGGTTCGCTCTCATGTATCATACCAAGGAAGAGTGAGTCGTGCACCATGTTCCAAGGCGCGATGGACTTCGCTAAGTTCATGTTTACAGGCTGATATTTAATCTTCGGTGGTTCCTTGGTCCTGGCTTTCGCGCATTGCGAGCCCTAGGACGAGCAGTGTTTGGATATAGCTCGTCGTTATCTCTACAGTATCTCAGTGCTAACAGTTCGGGATTGGAACCGAAGATTCTCAACCCGTTGATTGATGCACTGGCTCTGGTCGAGGCACAGAAGACATACCCCACGATTCAGTACCTGAATGCTTTTGATGTCGAGGATTACATCATCAGCAAAGGAGCATTTCACATTGACCAGGACACCATTCTCTTAAGGGTGGTGGATGACGAACGTCTTAATCCTGAGTGGTCAGGAACTGTAGCCAGTTCTCTCAAATCGAATGGTACCCCTGCGTTGGAAGAGATGAAAGGATATTTGCCAAGAGATGCAGCGCTCACATTCTCCTCTGCAAACGGACTTTCGTCGACTGGCAATATCCCAATTGAACCTGGCATCTTGATCAACCCATCAAGTAACCATATGGATCATGGTTGGATCGAGACAATGAACTTCGATCATGACGCGCATGATCGACACAACAGCGCATATATCAGCCCAAAGACCATAGAACGGGCCATGCCCAGGCGTAACAAGGTTCGAACACTTAGTGTTCCCCTATTGCTACAGAATCTGGCGCAAAAAAGCCCAGTGAGTCCCCAGGTTGAGCGCATGTTGCTTGGCAGAAACTACTTTTCTACACACTTGCGAGATGCATCGTTTGTCCACTCCAATTAGATCACTATTGCCCCAATCTTTACTGATTTCTTTGCATCCAGGTGTTTGGGAACGGGTCCAGGTTATCCAACTAGCACTGTAGATCTAGCGATCGAGCTTTCTACTGTTGAATACTCAGACTACTGATCAGCCTTTGATTGTGCAGTCTGAGCTATCGATTGATCTATGTTCGAAAATGACTGGGATGGAATAGGAGAGTATCTTTTACTCTGCCCTATGATAGCATTGGCTATCCACAAATGCAGCATTATCTTGGCACGATTGAAGCGCAGGGGTCTCAAATGTACTTGACATTGTACTGCGCATCTAAAATTGGGATCTGTTTACCAGTTTGGCGAACCCCGCGTAGGCGACTTGAGATTTTTGGAGAGCAGTACCAGCAACTTGGTTGCACAATTACATCTTTCCAATGAAATCGAGTACTCTTTTGATTGAGTATATGCTGCTGATACCAGAAAGATTCTGTAGTAAATGTGAATCTCTGATACAATAAATATCAATAGAGTTTATTTTAAGTACATGCTGCTGAACATCGTGACCGCCCCAGCTTCAATAATCAGAGTATGGCCAGTTATATGCCACAAATTAATAAGGTGTTGACGGCATTTGAAGTTTGCCATCGAAGTCAGTTCATTATCCGAGTTCTATCCCAAGCCACAATTCTGCGATATGCAACAGAGTTACAGAACGTGGAGAATAACTGACGTGTAGGTGCGACTGCGCCAGGAAAGTGGAGCATGCGTTTACCCCTTTTCCCTCGCTTAAGGGACGTGTCAAGTCAACAAGGTAGCAGAACATACGTCCGTGCCAAAGCACAAATGCTTGCCTTCATGGACCATCCCCATAATATGTCACACATACGGTTTATCCCAGATCTATTTCGTACACAATTTGCCATCTTGTTCAAGCATGGCGTGTTTGTCGGGAGCGAGTCAGCTGCATGCAGGCCCATCGCATTCGGGCAGCGGCGGTGACGGAGGTGGGTGATAACACGGTATCAGTAAACAAAGCTTAGCAAGCTTTTGAATCTGCGCGAGATAAATACGCCACTGGCTGTTCGTGGTGTCTGTGGACACCAGCATGAGATTGCCATTCTGAGGATTGCTTGTCCCTACCAGAGAGACCCCTGGAACTTGTGAACAAGGGTATCGTATTGGAGATCCAGGTCTCGCTGAATGTTGGCAATGAGCTGCTCTGCAAAGAACCGGAGATTGTAAATGCTGTGTAAATGCCGGTGAAACTTCGAGTGCCATGGAATTGGGTGCGGGATGGCCCGGTGACTAGCAAGGCCAAGAACAGGGATGAAGGCGGGCTCTGCTACAGTAGCCCAAACTCCAACACCCCGCGATCATTGTAGAATCTTACAAGTTCTCAGCATATTCAAATCTGTAGAAACACAATCTCACTCTAAAGGATTAAACTCGGTATTTCCAGCTCGGGCGGCGTTCGGAAAGGAGGATCGGTTTGTTCCACGTGATTTGAAATCATCCGGATGGGTGCTGAATGACGATTTGTTCTGCAACCACGCTAGTGACACATAGCATTCCGGATCCCTTAAACTCTTATATAATAACAACCCCTCTCAGTCCCGTAATTGGCTCAACATGAATTAAAGTCGCGAGGTTCTATTCTGGTTGGCTGGCTCGAGTCGGTAGTTAGGTCACGAAATCCGCAGGAAGCGCTACTTTCTGGCTCTACCCCGGATTCTGGATCACTGGGAGGAGCCACTTTGCCCGAGTTGGCGGTGATGACATGAATTTTTGTTTGTACCTGGCCAGGCTGCCTGTGCCTGGTGCGACCTAGGTCCGGAGATACCCAATCCTTCTGTCATTGTTGCGTCAAGTTGCGTGCGGTACTTCCAAATATTCGGGTTTATGGAGCATCGAAATTTTCCTACTTAGACATGAGTATGGCTACTCTGTTTCATCTACGTCTTGTATTCGCTCTCTGCATTTCCTAACCAGTTTTTGTTCCGTTAAATTGAATTTCCCTCTCGGAATCTATTCATTGAAGTAAAGCAAGTCGCTTCCTCTGGAGATTCGATGAGGGGCATTTCTTCCTATAATTTCGATGTCGACAGGTACATCAACCGCATTGTACCCCGCTCACGACTTCACCTACTCCCAAAACCAATATCATGGTTTCTAGGGCACCGAGAGAAACCCACCAAGAACGTTGGAAACGTGGTGACTTGGTTCTGGGCTTTCATTGGGGCGTTCTGTGGAATTTTGGTCATCGAAGCGGTATTTCAGACCGAGAAGCTGCAGTCTGATGGAGCTCCTATCATAATAGCCAGTTTGGTATGGCACGATTTCTGTGTTTTAGAGGTAATTACTTATCCTGTTCCAGGGCGCTGCTGCCATTTTGGAATACAACACCATCGATTCACCACTTAGCCAACCACGTAATGCCTTGCTCGGCCAGGTATTCTCTTCTGTAATTGGGGTCGGTATTACGAAACTGTTCAAACTGAACTCTGACTTTGAGAACCTTCGCTGGATTGCAGGTGCTCTATCCGTGGGTCTATCTTCTGCGGCGATGGGTATCACGAAAACAATTCACCCTCCAGCTGGAGCAACAGCGTTACTCGCCTCCACCTCACCTGACATCGAGAAGATTGGCTGGATGCTAGTCCCTCTGATCATCCTTGGAAGCGCCTTGATGCTGGCAGTAGCTTGTGTCGTCAATAATATCCAGCGGACTTTTCCTGTCTATTGGTGGACGCCGGTTGATCTCAATAGACCCAAGAAAGGAGATGTTGAGGAGCAGACAGAGAAGGAGGTGAAGGATGAGAATGCCGAGTCGTCGAGTTTCGATGACTATATCCAGGGCAGAGATGGGAAGATTGTGATTGATGGAGAGCGTATTGTGATACCCAGGTGGTTGTCTATGGATGCCGAGGAGAGGGTCATGCTGGAGATTTTAAGACAGAAGTTACGGGAGGGCGAGCTGTTGGAGAATACTACGACGAGAGATACCAGCCAGACTCACGTTAATGTCTCGTCATGATATCAATAAAATCTGCTTCAATTCGAATGTCTGCGCAATGTGCATTGTACTTTCCACGATATGTCTCTCTCCTTACTGCAGAGAAGAGCCTCCCGGAGTACTGGCCGATGTGGAGCTCTCTCAATACTCGTTTTCAAGAGTGAGAGACACCAGTCACAAAGTTGCGCTCAGATGAATTCTTAGTAGTAACATTTCAATATGGATACTTTATTTAGGATCTGAGAAGAGTCTATGTACTGCTAATACTATTACAAGTCTGTTCAAGGACATCGGTACCATGCAGAACAGTCCAGAATCTCAGAATTCATTGACCGAAACCACGCGAAGGGAAGAAAGCAAAATGGAAATATGAAAACATCGCAGTGCAGTCCAATTCTAGCCGCGAAGACCCATATGTCATCGTTAGTAGCGACTCTCCTCTTACCCTACAAGCACATTGTATCGGTTAGTATCCCACTCACAGCCTTCAACTCGCCTTTGACGGTAATCCTGGCAGCTGTGATGTGGTGGACGGAAGTCCATGCGAGAACAATAGTAAGGGCCATCATTTGTCAAGAGAGGAAGATCGTTGGAAGTGCTCAATAGCAGATCACCTTTCCTTCCGTGGATGGCGAGAGGAGTGCTGAGGACTGAGGTGGTGAGGAGTGCCTGCAGCCAATGCAAGCTGACGAAGGAAGTTTAGAGACTTCATATTCAATTTTTTGATACCAAACTTCTCTCGTGAAGTTGGTTGGTATCTATTGGAAGCAATATGATGTGGCGCCTTTTCTTTTCTCGAGAATGGGCTACCATGTTTCTGAAGGAAACAATCTAAATCGATGGCAAAGGGGGCTATAAGTATTTGAAATTACCATACTTTGATACTGTTGGCAGGCTGGAGACTTAGAATTGGCTATATGGGAACCGAACGAGGCAGTGTCTCCGAGTCACCGGTGCAACTCGGAAACTTAAGGCAAATAAATATTTTGAGTGGCCTCGGCAACGAAGATATATCACCAAACTTTTCACCGAAAAAAGCATCCGGTTTCGGACGTGCCAGAAGCATTAACGACACTTGCAAAGTAGCAGTGCGATCTTTGTTGCGCCTGCAACGACTTGTTTAAAAGCGATCTTCTTCATTATCAGGATTGTAGTAGTGAAAGAGCTGATGTTTATAAAGTGAGGGATACAAGCACAGGGTCACATATGAATGTATATTGGAACAATCCGTGAAGAAATAGATTATTTCAATGGTACTACTACGTATGAGATAGCTAGACTGCAGTGACAAGTATACCAAATAAGTCATCTGTAGTCTGGGAATGTAGAAAGTTTAAAATTTCATTGAGTCGACGCAATTGATTGGCCCGAGGCGGAGGACTCTGGCAAACTTCTGGAAAGTCTAGAGATGTTGATACATGTCTCTTCCACCCGGACTAGCCACCATCGGCACGCACTTGCAGCTGCCTCGATGTCAGGTCTGCCCGTCATTCCGCACTCGACATCACCCTCATACTTGAGACCTGGGTCACCTCCCGGCTCTGTAGCCAATTCACAACAAGTTTACCGACGACTAGCCGTCCTCCCATGCACTTGCAACTGCCCTGCGAACAAAATACGCCAGCTTCCGTCCCGCATGTATGTTCCAAATAATCGGCTGTATCTGAGCTGTCGAGCTCTGACTTGACACTTGAACATGTTTATGAGCAGTAGGGTTGGGGGTATGGACAGCCTTGCTAACCAGCGAGCCTCATGGAACGAAGCGTCGAGTCAATTCCCGAATATGGTTTCGAATCAGCGTGTATTCGGAGAATTATCGCCTACGACCTCTCGCCCTCCTCTCAGTATTTCATCGGTACTGCAGTTCCCAGAAACCACACTATCATTAGACTGTAACAGTTAGCTACCACTCTTTGTAAGAACAAAAGTATACGAGCAAAAGTGTGTGAGGAATTTGAATTTCAGAAACCCAGTTTTCTAAGCACCGCTGACCCCACTGGGACTACTGCATGTGACGATGCCACACAGTCCCGTGTTTGTATGTGAGGCCCACCTTATACGGCTCTTCCTGTAAGATATTTATGGTGATAGTCATCATTGTATTCCTTCTCTTGCGTCCTTCATCTCCGTTGCTTCTCATCTTCTTCTGTCCCGCAGAAAATATGCACAAATAGAAGATCTGCGAGGCAAGCAGACGAGTGCAGAAGATGAAAGGGAGGTGAATGGATAGAATTGGAAACTTACTGAGCGGTGATATATGGTTGTCTTGCCTAGGTCGGGGGATGCTGTCTATTTGCTTAGTGGGTTTGAGTTGGAAGACTTTGGTTTGAAGATCCGGAAAGGAAAATTAAGTCGGCCAAATGCCAAGCGATGACACACTAACCCCAAGATAGACTAGCAGGATATCACGTGGGTTAGATCTGGAAGCTTTGTGGATCAAACATTTACGGTTTGACAACCATCCCTTCCCTCCGTCCAAGTAGTTATTGCGAGGAAATCCGGGGATGATGTTTGGTAGATCAGACAAAGAGAGCATGGCAGGCAAGCAGTCCCTAGTCGCGGGGTACAGACAACATGAATTATCGTCAGACCACTGCGGAATTGAGTTATCTCCATGCGCTGGCTGCGCGGAAGGTCCTTCGAGTGCTTCTGCATGGAGAAACACCAGAGAGGCGCACAGCGGAGGAGGTCCATGGTGGCGTACTTTCTCCACACTCTGCGGAGGTGAATATGCCGAAGATGTGTTGCATGTAGATGAACGAGATCCTGGCCCGGTTGCGTTTCTATGAGTAGGTTACGATTCACAGCCATGCAAGTAGCTAAGGAATCTACGGAACAATAATTTACGATTTTTGGTGTCCTATTTGCTTCAATCTGCGGTCCTAAGTGTGTATGATTTACCCCGTTCCGCGGATAGCCCGGTAAAAAACAGCGTTTATGTACAGAAGAATCGTAGAGACCGTGATTGCCAAAAGCGACAAAATGAATGTATGGGAGCCCAAACTCCCCATCAGCCCAATACCGGGATATCTAGCCCTTCCTGTGAACCATATAACTCCTCTCCCCTTTTTTCCGTAAAGCCAGACGAAGAACAAAGTATGTAAACGTGTCGTAAAAGGAGCGTATGAAAGTGGACAATGGTCCAGAAAGTATTATTTACAAGAAGAGGATTGCGTGCTGCCGTGGATCCAGGTGAGAGCCGGTCCCGTTAGATCCACATGGATGACATAGCTGGTCTGGAATCGCCAAAGGTACTCAGGAAAAGTCCTTGGATTTCGCTCATGTAATCTTCTGCGCGGAACTTGAAAAGGCCCCTGGAGGCCAGTTCTTGCTCCTCCTCATCGACGACTGCTAACCTCTCCTTACTAATTCCAAAGTCCTCAGCCAGTTCGGAAACCTGAGCGAGCTCGTTGCCGAATGGGTGCTGGTCGATGACATCTGGGTTTGCGGCAAACATGTTGATAGATGACCGAGCTGTTGACATGCTGCCCTTTCGGGAGGCTGACATCCGAGAGGCTGATCTCTCGACACTGAGCTTCTTGGTATGTGAGGGCGATCTTTTTGGAATCAACGGCGCATCATTGTCTGAAGCAATTGATTTCGAGGTGCCAAAGTAACATGATAGTTGATTAGGCTCTGGAGTAGCTAGGGGAGCACCGAGGTCAGTGACTGCTAAATCGGATGTGATCTCGGTATTCTTACTAGGAGAGGATTCAACCGATGAGGTATCTGGAGAAGTCATGGGTGTCGATCTGTTCGAAGGCGATCTGTCGGACTCATCTCCGGACTGGGAAGACCTCGAGGCGCCACTGCTTGGATACAGATCTGGTGCGTTGTATGAGAGCATGTTCGTCGTAGATAGAAGTTCGACAGGCGCAGAGATCTTTACTTGTCTCAGTGATGATCCAAAGGAGTGCTTGGTGGTGAGGTTTCTCTTGAGCGCAGCGTCTTCCATTTTGGCATTGCGCCTAGTTGTGAAAGCTCTTGAAAGAGACATTTTTGCTGAAGATATCGGAAGTGGATGACAAGGAGTTTTGTTCTTCCACCCAACGAGGTTGCTGGTGTGGGTGGGTTGTGAAGGGTGGGGTTAACCGGATAAAAAGATGGCCTCGTGCAGATGTCGCGAGGGGTCTACCTTTTGTTGCTGTACTCCACACCTGCTCTTTTCGACCGTCCGAATGATGGACGGACTGAATGAGCGCGAGTAGTGATGAGGTCCAGGTGACTGTTCAGATTGATTCCGTTTGGACAAACAGGTGCGTTAGCTGGCAGCAAGGTGGAGAGGAGACCCGGGGATCTTCGTTGTTGAATGGGCGATATGTTTTTAGTGAATATGAGAGGAATATGTACGTCGAGTAGATATGTTGTTCAATCGTCGGCGATGGAAATGTTACGAGAGAGAGAGAATGTGATGACCAGGACGCGGTCCGTTGGGTAACTGTATAAACTTGTTGGTGTGGTGAAAATCTTGGGATCTTGAGGGAGTGTTAATGGATGTCGAAAAGGAGTGTCGAACAACCAGGTTCAGAAGGAGTGAATATGAGTGCTGGCACGCGAATCGACCCGGCGATGCTGATACTGCTGATGATGCTTCGAGGAGCAAGAGAACGAGAACGAGAACGAGAACGTGTTGAGGAGAAGATAAAGAAAGTCTGGGTGAGAGTGAGCAACAGAGGAGAATCCTTCTTGCTGGCGCTGCAGTGGTGCCGGCGGGCTACGGATGCATGGTGCTCGGGAAAACAGCAGGGGGATCAACAGACGGCTGAGGGATGGGGATGGGATCCTCAACCCTACGGAAGGGAGAAGGGAGGGGAGGTAAACTCTACCTAGGTACCCCTGACTTCTTCCAGGCGTTATCCTTTGGATGGCTCAGGATGGCCAGACGAGGCGTGAATAGGCTCAATTGTGCCAAACTTGTGGATAATCCGGGCACGCCAGCAGCCAATAACGGGGGCTCTGTGTCTAGTTGCGCTGTTGGTGGCACGCCGAGCCTGTTTGCAAGATGCTAAGTTTATCTTCTAGGCCCAACGCAGTAATCTAACAGAATCCAAGCGGAAGTGTGTTTTTGGAAGTTTTTGCTCGTGCGTCGCCCGCTCCTCGAGTCCTCGACCTTCCCCAAATTGATTCGTTTCTCCTGAAGTGGTGGGCATCATGGACATGGACATGGACATGGACCCATGGGCTTGGGCAGGGGCTTGTGCAGGGGCATGGGCAAGGTAGGCGTGGGCCTCCAGCTGGCGAATGATAAGCTGTGCCGCCGGGCAAAAGTCGAAACAAATCCGCAGGGGAGGGCGAGATCAAGAGCTGTCATTGGTGCGTCATCCCATGTCTGATGTTTCAAGCAGAAAGGCTGTCAGTGTCAGACCAGTCAATCATCAAAGGCTCAGATCGCCAGGAACGGACGACCAAGGACCCAAGACCCAATGCTTGCGCGCGCGATCGAAGTCCGAGTTGGCCACTGACGTTGATGTTCAGGACCGAGAGAACAGAGAACAAGAGAACATTACCTTATGCAGGGGTTGTCGTCACAAGCGAGCGCCATCAGCTCACCATGTACAGTAATTTACGAAACACGTCAACTACCTAGGTACTGTACAAAGTTGTGGCACCCGCGTCGAGTGTGAAGCTCACAATTGCTACATCCCATACAGTATGGGCCGAATACCCTGAATAGAACAGATAGGAACACAATGTGGAAGCAGTCGCGTCCATCAGATAGGCATTCAAAAGAGTCATCCAGCTCTCGCAGTCTTCTTCATACTCATGCAGCTGGTGCCGAGCCGAGCAACTTGCGGCCCCAAAACTCAAAGTTGCGAGATCCTCAAGCAAAATAAATAGACTGCGCAAGGTAGTCCACACTCGACAAACCCCGCGGGTCAAGCGCAAGAGACTTCCAGCGCCTACATCGCTGACCAAAGACCCACGATTACTGATGTACTCGAGCTCTTCTTCAACTCGGCGTCAAGGATGTGTGTTAGATCTGCACATGCAGTGCGATGAAGGCGGCTTTGCATTGACTGGCAATGAGATGAACTGATTAAGATCCTCATGCATTCGTCAGTGCGTCGGAGGCGTTGAGCAGCATCACACAGCCCCTCCACACCACCATTGTGGAGAAATCGTGACTTCTCTTGATGCACTGGAACATGAACGTCTAAATTAAGACGACCCTCAAATTCGCACATGATATTTGCCTCTTAGTAGCTATAAGAGCAATCCTGCCCCATTACGCAACTCCATGATCGCTGCAGCCGCATCAGGAGAACTCGTGCCCTTGTCTGGATAACATGGCTCTCTCGTGGCAATAGAATTTTGACAGGAGACCATGCCGACCGTTTTACATGTACCGTGCAAACGGATTTTCATTTTCCGTCCATCCAACACCATCAATCCGCAATGCTCAGTCTTCATCCATTGACTCCCAACCTTCACCCTTTCCTTCCCCAGTTTCCTCCGCGCCGTCATCCGATTCCGAGTCACTGCTATCATTCTGTACGCCTACCAATCTTTCCTCAATTTCTCCATCCACCGGCGCCACTTTGTCCGCGAATGCTCGCCTTACTGCTGGATTTGTAGAGGTGTCCTGCATTTTATTGTTAATAATTATTTGCATCGATGGAAAAAGAAGACCTACCCAAATCTGGACGACACCTTTGCTGCCTGCCACTGATAACCTGAAGCCAACTTCTTCATCCGGCGCAAATGTGGTTGAGAAGACTTTGCCGACGTCTAGGTCTCTCGAGACTACCATAGATGGACCGGACGCCTGGATGTTCCACAGTTTTACCTGCTTGTCTGTAGATCCAGTTGCCATGAATCCAGGAATGATAGGATTGATATCAAATGCAGAAACTGATTCGTCATGTGCCTGCAATATCCACACCGGTTTGCTTGCCGCCGGGCTAGATGGAGCTTTTCGTATATCGTGATAATGAATTATACCATTCTCGGTCGAGATGTAAAAGAAGTTTGGATTGTGGGGATCCCATCGTACCGTCTCAACGTCACTCTCCACTCCCCATGTCGGAGCTTTGGCATCTGGGGCTCTCATGTCCGCAGCTACCACTGTACGATCGTAGCTTCCACTCAGCAGAATTGTGGACTCCTTTGGATGCCATGCCAATGAACAGACTTTGTCGGTGTGGTATGTATATGACTTGGCGCACTTAGTGGTGTTAAGATCCCATAACTTTACAGTCTTATCTGCGGACGAAGATGCCAGTAAGTTCCGATGATGTCGGTTGGCAGCAAGAGACAGAACCGAGTCCACATGATACTCCTCATTGGCCTTCTTAGACTTCTTCTTTTTCTTTTTCTTCTTTTCTTCTGTCCCATTATTGTTGCCCTCCCCACCTTGTCCAAGGATTGCATTCGGGTACATGCAATCGATAGTATCTAGGTCCCAAATTTCGATATCAGGGTCAAATGTTCCCACAGCCACAAAATTTGCTCGAGAATCTTTGTCCACATTTGACTTGCCAACTGGTAGGTCAAGCCATTCCACACAAAGAGGTATTGCCGGCAGCATGATGTCGTGGTGTACGTATAAGTTGTCGGCGCCATCCTCATAGACATAGATTTCTAGATGAGCCACCTCATCCTCAATCTTAGCAGCTAACAGCATGTTATCTGTTGCCAATATCTGAAGCTCCTCCCGATCTTCATCGTCTTCTTCATTCTCTTTCATGGTAATATAGGGATCGTCCTCATTCGATTCGTGGTATGCCAAAGACTTTACGTTTCCGAACATTCCCATTCCAATGCCCTCTCCTTGCTTTTGTGGATCATCCTCATCGTCATCGTAGTGATCCAGGTCGTATTCTTTCAAATCGTCGTCCTCGTCTCTAATGATAGACCACGTCAATTACCACGAACATGTAAGGAACAAATAAACATACACTTTCGACTTGATCGACTTGGAAGGAGCTTCGTCATAGGATCCATAATCTTCCTTCATAGCATCGTCACCATTCTCCTCTGCCACTTCCTTACGCGCATCCTCCAAATCCTCATTTGCATCGTCGAGCTGGAGCTTCGCGAGTTCTGCGATACGTTGGAACTCTTCCTCATCAAAGGTGTACTTGGTGGGAAAAGGAGCGGCAAATCCGCGAGGGACCCATGCTGTAGCTGTTATCATCGACATTGTGATTCCTTTGGACTGTCGCTGTATGCCAAAAGCAGAGCAAGTCGCGGTTCAACTCCTTCAATTCTGTTGACTTTTTTTTCTGCGACCCCGCTGGCGATTAGCGATAAGAAGCGGGAGCCAGTCCTATCCAGGGCTAGCTTGAGGACCATACTTTTCAGGCGACTTTATTAATCTTGGGAGTCCTTCAAAGTAAACATCAGCAATTCAACGTCCGCAAAATGGCCAGAGACGACGGAGAGACAAGCCCCAAGCGGCGCAAGTTAGACTTCAACCCCTTGCGCTCTGACGACAGATTCGCTGTTCCTGCCAGACCTGCGACGAATCGCAATGGACCTCCTAGATCAAGTGCATCTCGGTCCCAAAGCCGCACAGGCAATGGCTCGAGATCTTCAACTCCACGCTCGCAGTCGCGATACCCCGCCACGCCTCGTCAACAAGAGTTCGATGGACCTGAGCCATCTGTGAGCGATGAAGCCTCTAAGGCACTCGACAGAGACTGGTACGCCGGAGACGAGTTTGGACACGTTTTTGGGGAGGATGAACACAACCCTTTCGCGAGTTATGATAACTCATGGGCCGACCAGCAGCAGGAGGCAGCCCTGGTAGAGAAAAAGACAGGGAAACGAATGAGTGCTCGCGCAACTCAAAAACAGAAAGATGTTGATGCTTGGGAAACAAATCGAATGCTTACATCGGGAGTGGCACAACGAAGAGACATGGGAGAAGATTTCGAGGATGATGAGGAAGCAACTAGAGTGCACTTACTGGTCCACGATCTCAAGCCTCCGTTCTTGGACGGAAGAACAGTTTTCTCAAAGCAGTTGGAACCAGTCCCAGCAGTGCGCGACAATCAGAGTGACATGGCAGTATTCAGTCGAAAGGGTAGTAAGGTGGTGAAAGAAAAGCGACAACAGAAGGAGAGGCAAAAGCAAGCTCAAGAGGCAACAAAGATGGCTGGTACTGCTTTGGGAAATCTCATGGGTGTCAAGGAGGAGGAAGGCGACAGCGCAGCGCCTGTCCTAGGGGAAGAAGAACATCAGGGAAACAGCAAATTCGGTCAACATATGAAGAAGAACGAAGGAGCAAGTAACTTCAGTCAAAGCAAATCGCTGAAGGAACAGAGAGAGTTTCTGCCTGCGTTTGCTGTGCGAGAAGACCTGCTGAGAGTGATCAGAGATAACCAGGTTGTCATCGTGGTCGGTGAGACTGGTTCGGGAAAAACAACTCAACTTACACAGTTTCTGTACGAAGACGGGTACGCCAGGCTGGGGATGATTGGATGTACCCAGCCCCGAAGAGTGGCAGCTATGAGTGTAGCCAAGCGAGTTAGCGAAGAGATGGAATGCAAACTTGGTGGCACGGTTGGCTATGCAATTCGTTTTGAGGATTGCACAAGCAGGGAAACTGCCATCAAATATATGACTGATGGTGTGCTCTTGAGAGAGTCTCTCAATGAGCCTGATCTTGATCGTTACTCGTGTGTTATCATGGACGAGGCTCACGAAAGAGCCCTGAACACTGATGTTCTTATGGGGCTATTCAAGAAGGTGTTAGCCCGTCGAAGGGACCTCAAGCTTATTGTGACATCTGCAACGATGAACTCAAAACGGTTCTCGGATTTCTATGGTGGAGCTCCCGAGTTTTTTATTCCTGGACGAACCTTTCCGGTCGACATCATGTACCATCGATCGCCAGTCGAAGACTACGTTGACCAAGCAGTCCAACAGGTTCTTGCTATTCATGTGTCACAAGGAGCTGGTGATATCTTGGTCTTCATGACTGGGCAGGAGGATATCGAAGTAACCTGTGAATTGGTTCAAGAGCGTCTCAATGCTCTCAATGACCCACCAAAGCTAAGTATCTTACCAATCTACAGTCAAATGCCTGCGGATCTCCAAGCAAAGATCTTTGACAAAGCTGCCCCAGGTGTCAGAAAGGTCATTGTGGCAACAAATATTGCCGAGACGAGTTTGACTGTGGATGGAATTATGTACGTGGTTGATGCTGGTTACTCTAAACTTAAGGTCTACAACCCGAGAATGGGCATGGACACATTGCAAATCACACCCATTTCGCAAGCCAATGCATCTCAACGAGCTGGTCGGGCTGGTCGTACAGGACCTGGAAAAGCGTATCATCTTTTCACTGAAGCAGCATTCAAAGATGAGATGTATATCCAGACAATCCCTGAGATTCAGCGGACCAATCTCGCCAATACTGTTCTGCTCTTGAAGTCTTTAGGAGTGAAAGACCTGTTAGACTTCGACTTTATGGACCCTCCCCCTCAGGACACGATCACAACATCTCTATTTGATTTATGGGCGCTTGGAGCTCTGGATAACATTGGAGACCTTACCGAAATTGGTTCAAAGATGACAGCTTTTCCTATGGATCCATCGCTCGCCAAGCTTCTAATCACATCAGAGGATTACGGCTGTAGCGAAGAGATGCTGACGATCGTGTCCGTACTTTCAGTTCCCAGTGTGTTTTACAGACCCAAAGAACGCCAAGAAGAATCAGATGCTGCTCGTGAGAAATTCTTCGTTCCGGAGTCCGATCATTTGACGTATCTACACGTTTATTCACAGTGGAAGTCGAACGGGTATTCTGATGCCTGGTGTACTCGTCACTTCTTGCATCCCAAATCGCTTCGCCGTGCAAAAGAAATCAGAGAGCAACTGTTGGATATCATGAAGATGCAGAAAATGGCCATGATCAGCTGTGGTACCGATTGGGATGTCATCAGAAAGTGTATCTGCTCTGGGTACTATCATCAGGCCGCCAAGGTCAAAGGCATTGGGGAATATGTTAACCTAAGAACGAGTGTGACTGTCCAACTGCATCCCACGAGCGCCCTTTATGGCTTGGGGTATCTTCCTGATTATGTTGTCTATCACGAGCTCATCTTGACGTCGAAAGAATACATGTCAACCGTAACATCAGTTGACCCCAAATGGCTTGCTGAACTGGGAGGTGTATTCTATTCAGTCAAGGAGAAGGGGTACTCAGCACGAGAGAAACGAGTTACTGAAACCGAATTCAACAAGAAGATGGAGATTGAGGCAAAGATGGCCGAGGACAAGCTCAGAGAGCAGAAGAGACTGGAGAATGAGACCATGAAAACGGCCAAGAAGCCGATCGGTACAGTTGTGAAGAAGGTTGCCTCACAAGGTGCTGTCAAACGGCCTGTTGGGAAGCGGCCAGGTCGCGGATTTTGAAGTTGCATATATAAAATAGACCTGGCGGTCTCGTTGTTCAAAGGAGACTTGGATGATTTCCTCGCCAATCAACTAGTCAAAATAAATATGCCATGTAAACGTTAATTCGCTTGGAGCGTTTCAGAAGAGACAATGTCTGTGAGATACCTAGCTGCCTGCCCTTCCCCATTCTCAATACGATAACCCTCATGTAGTGTTTCCCCAGTCATTGTGATTCGTATTCCCTGAGCAACCGTTACTTATTAACGACAGCTTTAAATCCGATTCGCATTGCCCGCCCTGTTCAAAATCTATCCTTGCATCGCCGAGTTTCGAAACCATCAGTCTCAAGCAAAGTAACCATCCAAGAAACAAGAAACCCATTAAGCAATATTCCCGTCCAGACTGTCATCATCGATTTTACTAATTCTGCCACCTGCCACCTGCAGCCTCCGTCTCCGTCAAACCCATCAAATCGTGCAGAATATCATCACAGCGATGACAAGCCCATTCATCACCAAGCCACTGGCACAAACTCACAGCTGCATCAGCAACATTGATACCTGTGATAAAATCACGGGTGTTGCCCTCGCCCAAGGTTATGCCATCACGTTCCCTGCACTGAGTCACAGCCACGCTCCACGCGTAGAGTTCTCGCATAGCTTGCACAGCGTCTGCTTCAGCTCTTTGTGGCGCGATAACATTGCTACGTGCCCGGCGCCACATGTATGTTGAGATACTGCAGGTGTTGTCCATCAATGTATCTCTTCTGAAATAGGCTGCTCCACTTCGGAATCGACCACCGCGGTAGGCTGGATAAGGGTGGTGACGAGAGCTGTGGCCACTATGACGAGGGAGTTGGTTGTGTCTGTGACGATTTGAAGGAGGGGGCCTGTTAGTGTAGGTACTGGTTGCTTCCATGCAGATGTGATACAGTGTATCGAGCAAGAGGAAGCGCTCCTCACCAAGGCTGAAGGGAGGGCGGAGAGTGCTGTTCGAACTGATGGAGCTGAGCGAGCTTTTGAGCGAGCGGATGTGCTCTTTGGAGGTGTCACCATGGGATGATCGAAGTCATTGCCTGGACTGGCAGCTGCTGGGCTCTCTCCAGTCTGTACTTGAGTGTCGGTCGTTGGATTATTCAGGAAATCGTTGACCAAAATGCGAGCGTATGCACGGGCGACGCTGTGAGCTGCTGTTCCGAGTTGGTTTGGGAAGTTGATTCGTGTCGATGTCTCGTATCGTTGAAAGAAGACATATGAGGCTGCGAGCCGGCTCTCATTTCGGAAGCTTGCCGCTCGAATTCGCTGGATCCTTGTAAGGGGTCTGGCGACGTGTTGTCCATGGCAGCACCGTTCGAGACCCATTGATTAATCGAAGCATGAAGGTTTGAAGACGCAGGTTCCATGCCCGCTATGGAAGATAGGCGATATTGGTGGCTTACCTCTCAATATGACCAATCAGTGACAGCGAGACAGTTGAATCCACGACGAAAATCGCCGTATTCATCATGGCTGACGTTGCGTTCAAATGGTACGGGTGGTCCGGGCCTGTTTCGAGAGCTTCTTGAGCGGTCTTCACCATTTTTCCACATGCTGTAAGTCATAGATCGCATTTGCGAAGTCTGAAGGAGGAGGCCAGGAATGTGGAAAGGGTGGAGTATCGTTATATCTCTGGGCAAGATAGGCAATATCTTTATGGCAACCTGCTGATCAAAGAATTACTACGAGCTTGAATTTCACAGGAAAGTGTATAAAGATGAGAATAATCCGACCAGTCAAAAGATGGGAAAGAAGGAGAAGGTATGATTGTGAGACGAATAAAACACACTTCTGTATTTTCAATGATCTAATTCTAAGCGTTCCAGATGACAATCCTTCCATCAACGCCACTTGCTGGAAAGTGTTAGTATATTCTCAAACGGACACTCAAGAGAACTTACTGCTGAACTTCCGGACAGCACCTCCGGACCCTTCATAGATACGTATGGTGCTGATAGTGTTCTGATGCACAGTCTTCAGCTGAGTATCATCCTTAGTCTTGCCTTTCAAGTCCATCTGTTTGAACATATTGAAAGCAGACTCTTCTCGCGCATCGCCAAGTCCTGGTCTCCCCTTGGATTCCAAAGATCCAGTAAGTTGCCAACCTCCTTCACTACCTTTAAAGCGGTATGCCTCGCAATCGTATCCAGCAGCAATTATTTCACTCTCTCCGTTCCAGATGAGACTCATGAAAGGCAGCAACTGCGTACTGACACTAACAACAGCCCTTGGAGGCTGATCGGCACCATCTGGATAAACAACAGTAATGCTGCTATCGTGAGCTGCAAACGCAAGAGCATCACCGCTTGGTGAGAACGAGACAGCATGGACCCAGCCAGCTGAGTTGTTCAAGTACTCTCCGCAGACAGTGTTGAATGGTAATCTTTCACCCCAAACTCCGGGCTCCGGTCTGGCATCCACACCCTTGATGAAGCTTGAGAATACCCTTGCGTGAGCATCGGTCGAACCGGCCGCCAGAAGGACTGAATTTGGGTGCCATGCTACTGTTGTGATCGTGCTTCGGATAGGCTTCTTGATATGCTTTGAGACCCACCAGTCGTTCTCCTCCTCGAAGTAGCATATAGCAATAACCCGCGCTCCGGATCCGACGGCAAACTTGGTTTCGGAAGGTGACCAACGAACAAAGGTAGCAGCACGATTAATCCGAAGGAGGACAAGTGTTGGCTTGTATCCAGTCGGCGATGGCTCCCAGACCAAGGCGTTTCTGTCTTCTCGACATTAGCATGGTTGTTGACTTTTAGCAGTCAGACAACAAACCTTGTGAACAAGTGACAATTCGTCCGCTGTTCAAAGCAATGTCGACGCTGGTGACTGTTTTATCGTGACCCTTTAGCTCATCCTTCAGCTTGAATCCACTGCCTGTTCGTCCATAGAGCTCAACACTTGTGTCTCGTGCAACCGCCAAGGTCTGCTTATCAGCGGAGAAGGAGTGGTCGGCTATCGGGTGGTGGAAAAGGTGGTGAACTTCTGGAGCTGCCATGGTGATTAATTTGTTGTGGTTGATAGGAGGAGCTCTCTACTATCAAGGGGTGGGGTTTAGATGTTTGGACGACGAAGCAGTTGACCTGCAGAGTAAGCTGAAGTAATGGTGGGGTAGATTGGTTCCTGAGGCCAATCTAGAAAGGCTGAAGGAGTGGTGGCTGGCGCAGCCAGCGCTAAACCTTAACTGTGATCTTGAAATCGAAATATATTTGGATTCCACTTCAACCCCGCCAAAAGAAGCTTCTCTCCTTGATCACCGCCGGACAATTGCAACAACTTCCTCCGCTTCTGTCACATAAGCCCATCTGCATATTCGCCAACATGTCTCGCGTTGTTGTATGTACCAATTCCTTAGATATCATCACAGACGATGTTGACTGCTAGATCTAGGACGGAAAGGCACCAGGGCAATCGGCCGTTGCGCGCAAGAGAACTGGCAACATCCCTTCATATGCCCCGAATCAGACTCTCTATGTCACGAATATTCCATCCTCGAAAATCCAAAAGTCAGATCTGCGCATCTCTCTCTATATGCTATTCTCTACATACGGTCCTGTCCTCGACGTGGTAGCTCTCAAGACCACGAAGATGCGTGGCCAGGCTCACATCGTGTATCGAGATGTACAAACGGCGACCCAGGCTATGAGAGCTCTGCAAGGATTTGAGTTGTTCGGAATGCAGATTGTGAGTTGGTTCATGACGGGATATCTTAGCGTCGTGGCTAATATTGATCTTTAGCAAATTCAATACGCAAAGTCGAAGTCAGATGTTATTGCAAAGCTGGACGGCACATTCAGAATGCCATCAGCAGCTGCAGGAGAGTTTACGGCTACTGAACTACAAAAGAGCATTTTCGACGCTCCACCATCCGCGGCAACGACTGCTGCAGCATCGGGAGGAACATTGAAGCCACCACCTGGACCAAGTGCTGATCAAACCATGGAGGATGCGAGGAGCCCGACAGATAGTGTGGCTGGTCTGAAGAGGCGGCGAGATGAGGAAAGCGAGCCTGAGGAAGACAGTGAAGGCGACGTTGCTATGGACGAGGACAGTGATGACGACTAGGCTAAGCTCTATGCTTGAGATCATTTTCGGTGTTTGGAGTTGGTGGAAGGATTCATCATGTGGCGTGGCATCAACAAATTGGTCTAATAGCTACATATATCAGCGCGGAATTGAAGACCATTTTATGTATGACCTGAATTGTGGACCAATATTGGAGTTGATTCTTGAAGATGTGTGCTTGCAGGATGGGATGTTTGAGTAATCTCATATGATTGACTGTCTGGATCAAGCTCACCAGGATGCTCGTGGTTACCTAACTAACATTGTCCCCGTGCGCCATTTCAGGAGGCACCCATAGTCCAACACAGCCTCCAACCAATCCTATCCATACCATGAGATATTCCTCCATAGAACACTCGAAGTTCTCCATGGCCTCTTTGGTCTGGCATGGATGGATGAAGAAGGATGGAACATCGGTGATTGGGTGAGGCTACAGGATGTGAGATGCATGCTAGAGGAAGTAGATGTTGAAACTCACCGCGGCCGATATACCCCCTGTGATTCCTGCGGCTCGAAGCTTGCTCTTGAATTCATGAGGTATCAAGTAGCGATAGACAGAGTCCAAATCGAAAGTAGGTTCACCCATAGGAAGGTCGTGTAGCGTGAACCACAGAGTTGGCATACTGTAAGTGGGGTGGAGATGGATCTCATATGTTACGTATGGTTGATGAGAGTACTGGGTATACTGAGGGGGAGGCTCCTTAACAGTTGCTAGATTGGCTGCTGAGGAGGACGGACGAAGAGCTTCCTATATCCAGGTCAGCTCAAATCTACGAGGCTGCTCCAGTTCAGTCACCTGGTCTCCGTCTTCATCCACTGTATCGATCATCATCTCAACATCTTCTTTCTCTTTTCCCTTCCATCTTTCGCCCAACCCACCACTTCCACCAAGCATCTCAAGAGCTTGTGACAAGTCATCTGCATCATCAGGAGGCTGCAGCAGGCGAAGGATCTCAATATACGAGTTCCCTGTAGTTGCTACACGGCGGGAGCGTATCTTGAAGATCTTTCTCGTTGGGCCTAATTTTGCTCTGACATATCTCTGATCGAAGAAAGCACAAGCAAGCTCGAACTCTTCCTGGTTGAGGAACGGCCATTGTCGAAAGTCATCGTGACGACCCATATTTTTTTTGGCTTTAAAAATGGAAGCAAGGATCAATACTATATTTGGAGAGGTTCAGTTCTTGAGATAAAGTACTAAATGTGATATACATAATTACGTTACAGCTGCATGAGAGAATTTACTTTACTTACGAAATTATTCCAGAACTTATGTTAGGAAGGTGCAACCTTACATTATGGGATTGAAAAGGTAAATCTTTTACTTTAAATCTTTCCAAAGATTAATTCTTGTGTTGAGGTCTCATAGTTTCCGCCTCTAGCGGGTTTGATCGTCCTTTGTTTGTATTCAAATAATTATTTATGGACTTCCAATATTCTCGACATAGGTATGGCAAGGCTGACAAAGGCGAGGCTCGCTTCTCCTTGATGCTTGCTTGCCTTTAGGCGGTACGCGGGCTTAGCCTTCCACGTCCTAAGGTATCTGCCAGCCATCATCATACAACGTGTACTGATCGAACAATTTCTTGTCAGTCTTTCCGTGCAGCAGTTGCGCAGCCACTCTTTCCAGACATGCCCCAGGATATTCGATGAACGTACGCGATCCGTTCAATCTGCATCGCTCTCCTGCTTTTAGCATTCTTCGAGGCACAGCGTCGCAAGCAGCAGTAAACGTCTCGCAAAGGGTTAGAGAAGCCGGAGTTCAGGTATTGGAGTCTGGCAGACAGGCTGTCGAAGACATGTCCTTCTCGATACCGAAAAATGTCCCTTCCTTTACGGACCCACAACGGGAATTAGAGAACAGAGTTTGGGGCTCGTCAGGGGTGACTGCAAGGTCGGCGTCACTTTCAAACGGAGGTGTTATGAGTGGCATGCAAGAACGAGTGGGTGGCTTCTTCGACAAGACTAGGGGGGATCTGCCGATGTACAAGGACAAACCATATTCATATGCCTCTTCAAGGCGGCAGCGGCCAGCTTGGAAAAGGAAAAGGACACTTGGTGGAACTGGATTCTTTGTGCTGGCAATCTTGTATTTCTTGGGGGTTTTCAGCAGTGATACCACAGAAGGACCGAAGTCGAAGGATGGCTGGAGTTGGTTGTCAAAAGCAGAGAAACCTGGAGCGAAAGTGGACTGGATGGATCGTAGAGATAAAGTGACAGATGCATTTAAGTTAAGCTGGGATGCTTACAGTCGCTATGCATGGGGTATGTCCCTTATATACTTGCGCACGCTGAGCTGGCACTGACTCCTGTTTCCAATAGGTAAAGATGAATTCCACCCGGTCTCGAAGCGTGGGCGGCAGATGGCACCCCATGGCATGGGTTGGATTATCGTGGATGCGCTGGACACCATGATGTTGATGAATCTGACAAGCAGATTGTCCCACGCAAGAGAATGGCTGGCGACATCTCTAGACTACGATCAAGATCAGGAGGTCAACACGTTCGAAACGACCATTCGAATGCTTGGGGGCTTGCTCTCGGCTCACTACTTGTCAACCGAGTTTCCGGAGATGGCACCACTGACAGATGATGACGAAGGTGCGAAGGGCGAAGACCTTTACTTGGAGAAAGCGACGGATCTAGCAAATCGCCTGATCGGAGCATTTGACTCCCCATCTGGAGTCCCTTTTGCCAGCGTAAATCTGAAGACTAATTTGGGTGTCCCTTCACATGACGATGGAGGAGCTTCTTCAACGGCAGAAGCAGCAACATTGCAGCTGGAGCTCAAATATCTCTCGAAGCTCACCGGGGAAACATTTTACTGGGAAAAGGCAGAAAAGGTCATCAAGGTAATTGATGATAATGGCATGGAAGATGGTCTTCTTCCCATCTACATTTATGCCCACGACGGGCATTTCCGAGGCAACAACATTCGACTGGGTAGCCGCGGAGACTCTTACTATGAATACCTGATCAAACAATACCTCCAAACCTCGAAAGAGGAGCCTATCTACGAGCAGCTATGGGATGAGGCTTTAGCCGGAGTACGCAAGCATCTAATTACATACTCTAAGACGGCCCAGTTCACAGTTCTCGGTGAGCGTCCCAATGGTCTTCAAGGCCAACTGTCACCTAAGATGGACCATCTGGTCTGTTTCATGCCAGGCACGATCGCGCTCGGCGCCACTGGTGGAATCTCTGAAGCAGAAGCGAAGAAACTACCAACATGGAGCAGGAAGAAGGATGAAGAGATGAAGCTTGCAAGAGAATTGACAGAAACCTGTTGGGGAATGTACAAAGCTATGGCAACTGGCCTCGCCGCAGAAATTACCCATTTCAGTATCCACGACCCTCCTCTTCCAGAGTCCGCGCCTCACAAGGTAACTGTTGATTTCAGCAATACCGAGGACACCGAGTGGAAGAAGGACTTTGTCATCAAATCCAACGATGTCCACAATCTTCAACGACCAGAGACTGTTGAAAGCTTGTTTTATATGTGGAGAATCACTGGCGATGTCATGTACAGGGAGTGGGGTTGGGAAATGTTCAAGTCCTTCATGAACTACACGGCTGTGGATGATGGAGGTGGTTTCACTAGCTTGTCGAACGCCGATATTATTCCACCAGTCACCAAAGATAATATGGAGAGCTTCTGGCTGGTACGTTGTAGCCTCTCAAACCCTTTTTTGAACACTACTGACATTAGTACAGGCTGAGACGTTGAAGTATTTCTACCTCCTATTCTCACCTAACGACCTTCTCCCATTAGACAAAGTTGTCATCAATACGGAAGCACATGCCTTCCCACGCTTTAAGCTCGGTCCGTTATTCAAGACTGGCTGGGAGAGGAAACCTCGAGGCCCGGATGGAAAAATCCTACCTGAGCCCCCAAAGACAGAGGAACGTGTCATCGAGACTCGGAGACTTCAAGAAGTAAGGACTACCACGATAGCTCCAGGCATTTAAAGAAACGATTGTATATCTGCATAGGCAATGGGACACGGCCAGGCGGGACATCAGATGTTCTTGTATAATGTACAATATAACCCAGATAGGCCATGAGTCTACTTTCCAACTCTTGCCAGAGCTCGCATGCTCCGACCCAGGATATGTGTCAGATGAGGCTTTCATGCAAGTTAGATCCAGAATCAGACCCATGCCGATAAACTAAACTTAACGGATCGTGCCTCTGGGGCGTGGACCCGCTCATACCTCAGAAGTTCGGCGTCGTCTCACCTTGCAGTTACTCTGCACCAGCTTGGAAAGTATTGACCAAAAATAGGAATCAGTATGAGATAGGATTCAGCCCATTCATCAGATCAGTCTTTGTAGACTCTTCCAAAGATAGGGCACAATCAGACACTTGCAACTGTATTTTGCCTGGACGCGATAGCTGTCTCGACTGTGAAAGCTGCAGCCATGGTGACAGAAAAACCGGGGCTTGGCCGTGCAGGTTGTTGCGACCCGAGAAAGTTTATTTTCATTCGGCTGATTCCATACCCCTGCCCATGCCATGTTGCTGGGATTGTGCCCCACCTGTTCTGCTCTCGTCCTATCACTGACCCCAGCAATGCAATTCTCGATGCGTGAGATAAGGCCCTTCCCAGAAAGGATGGGTGAGTGCTTGGTGGCAGGCTGGGCAACGATCCTTCAGATCGGGGATGAGGAGAAGGTCAGCCCTTCACTCAACGCCGTCCATGTCTTCCATCCTGTCCTCGCTCAGGATCACTTGGACCGGACAGCAGTTGATGCCGTCGTCGGCGCCATCAGAGGCAAAGGTTGGAACACCTCACTGCTGTCGAAGCCTTACCGTCCCGCGTCGAATCCAACAAGCCTGATAGCGAGCCTGCTGCGCCCCCGTACCCTTTTCGCTGTTGGAACGTCCTGCCCTCGAGGCTCTCGAGGACCGCAGAGCATCAGATCTAGGAGAACGAGGTCCGTCGTTACATAGGAGCCTGACATAGGCGCGCTGGAAAGTCACAGCCTAGATCCGCAGCAACCATTGGCTCTGTGGAGAGTGGTGGAGATAGAGAGGGTCAAGAGGGGCCGTATTGATTCAAGGATCTCCAGCTGCTGTCGCGCAGACTGCACGATGAATGACAAGGACGTGGAACAGGGTGGAAATGGCTACCTCAAGAAGCCTGCCACTCCCAGTTACCAGAGTGGAAGCATCCGAGAGCCCAACTATGAAGAGACTACAATCGTACACCAGCCCTATTATCGACGGGTTATTGAGAGCTTCAAGCGAGATCCTCTCTTGAAGATCACCCCGAATGGTGTTATTGGGGCGAATGGTCATGTCTTCCACTCTGAAGCGGCAGCTCAGAATACGGCCAACTCTCCTTTGGCAAGGAAATTGAAGGGAAGGCATTTGCAGATGATTGCAATTGGCGGTTCTATCGGTAGGGTTTGCCGATGCATGAGGTGTTCACGATTGCTAATGGCATACAGGAACCGGTCTTTTTGTCGCTTCAGGTATGTAGCTATCTTTAATTTGAGCATGCCACTTCTTTGACTGGGAGCTGTGTAATAAGCATGTCTTTGAAGTATACAAGAAAGCCTCAATCTCCTAGAGTCATTCGAGTTGAAGCAAAATTGGAGTCTTACATAGCTACAGGAAAGGCCCTTGAAACTGGAGGTCCTGCTTCGCTTCTCGTCAGTTTCTCACTGATTGGTATCATGCTGTACTGTACTATGCACGCCCTTGGAGAAATGGCTGTTCTGTTTCCCGTCGCTGGATCCTTCTCGGCATACTCGACACGTTTTCTGGATCCAGCTTGGGGCTTCGCCATGGGATGGAATTACGCTATGCAATGGCTTTGCGTTCTTCCCCTTGAGATCATCGCTGCATCTATAACGGTTAACTACTGGGACGAACACCAGAGGTATAGCCACTCGATATTCGTCACCATTTTCTTAGTCCTTATCGTCACTATCAATATGTTTGGGGTCAGGGGATATGGAGAAGCCGAATTCATCTTTTCGTTCGTCAAGATTGTCGCTGTGATAGGATACATGTAAGTCATTGCACATACTCTGCTGCCGGAGTAATGTTCTGACTATTGGGCAGCCTACTGGGAATAATTCTGAACTGTGGGGGTGGCCCCGATAGTGGCTATATTGGTGGTAGATATTGGTCCAATCCGGGTGCATTTCACAACGGATTCAAAGGACTTTGCAGTGTGTTCGTTACAGCTGCCTTTGCATTTGCAGGGACAGAATTGGTTGGTCTTGCAGCTGCAGAAACTGCGAATCCTCGCAAATCACTGCCAACTGCTATCAAGCAGGTGTTTTGGCGTATTTCGATATTCTATATCGCAAGTCTGACAGTTGTTGGGCTCCTCGTTCCATATGACGAACCACGGCTGTTGACAGGAGACAACGCGCTCGCAGCGGCATCTCCTTTTGTCATTGTGAGTCCATCTCAATCCCACCTACCTGCATCTCATCTTTGGAAAAGTTATGCTAACTAAAAATTGTCCTTAGTCCATCAATAACGCCGGCATTGAAATTTTACCGTCCTTGATGAATGTCGTTATTCTGATCGCAGTGCTGTCTGTTGGAAATTCGGCAATTTTTGGATCCTCGCGGACTCTCGCTGCACTCGCAGATCAAGGCCAGGCGCCGAAAATATTCAGCTATATCGATCGCAAAGGCCGCCCTCTCTTGGCTATCTGCTTCGCATCGTCTCTTGGCTTAATCGCATACGTTGTGGAGTCGGAATCGCAAGGGACAGTGTTAGATTGGATGCTAGCTCTTTCTGGGCTATCTTCAATATTTACGTGGGGCTCTATTTGCCTTTCGCATATACGATTTCGCCATGGTTGGAAGGCTCAAGGGCACACACTCGATGAGCTAGCATTCAAGTCTCAACCCGGCATTATCGGGTCCTGGATAGGCTTTATCTTCAATTGCCTCGTCTTGGTAACTCAATTCTGGACTGGAGCGTTTCCAGTTGGGTATGAAGATTTGACAGGTGCCGAACAGGTACAGCACTTCTTCCTGGGCTATCTAGCAGCTCCGATTGTCATCACGTTCTACCTTTCCTATAAATTTTGGTTTAAAACGTCGATTATGCGCGCCAAAAATATGGATCTGACAACAGGCAGAAGAGAACTGAATCTCCCGGAGTTGATTGCTGAAGAGAAGGCGGAGCGTGCTGCTTGGCCTCGCTGGAAGAGAGGATACAAAACTCTTTGCTAGAATATGGGCTATTTTGGTGTATCTGGTGTTGTCTTTCTATACCCACGTTGTAAACGACTTCGGAGAGTATCATTAACGGGCTGACGGTTCAGATTTTGAAACTGTATTCCTTATGGCTAGGGGCGCATATGCGGCCATGATGATAGGCAGAAGCGTACTATCCGTAGATTCTGTTGCAGAAGCAAGTAGCTCACATGTCCTTTCAAGCATCCGCCGCCTCCACCATCCGTTAACGATACGATTTATTCTCTTAACACACCTTTGGTAATCAATGGTCAGTGACGGTGAGGCATACTTGCGCGCATAATACCTCAGCCAAGCCAGCTTCTCAAGCAAAGGCACCGCTGTTGCAGAGTTCGACTGACCCTCGGCCGGCTCCGCAGCCAAGCTCGCTTGAGTGGACAAGCTGTCGCAGGGCCAGGATATTATAAGCTTCGTGGCTTTCACCCGACACTTCGTCTTCGTCTCTACTCTAACCTACATTCTTCTCCGCAATCTCATGAGACCTGCGCCGTCAGCGACTATGGACCCGAATCATGAGATGATTCGTGAAGTCCGGGTAGTCCGGGTAGTCCGGATTTGATGAGCTCATCACCTCTATACTTATTATTGGAGGCAAAGCACGGCGCGGAAGCACAGTCCTCGGCGAAAAACAAGCTTGACAAAACAAAGGCTTGCTAGTGAGGGGCGCAAGAACGGCAAGCTTCAAGTGAAAGCTCCTTCAATTGGCTAATGGCATCTTCTAAGAGGGCCGAGGAGGGGTAACTACCCATCAGACGTATCAGACGGCCCAACCAGCTCAGTGTGCGGAGATCAATTCCATGGAAAAGTGTTACCTTAGGACTGGGAGCGGGTGGAGTCCTGTTATTGGCCATACCTCATCGAGTTGACGGGGCCGACTTCTCTTTTCCCCTTATCTGCTGCACGGCGCTCAGCTACCACAAACTATTTATATAATAAGTATGACGGTAGTGGGAGTCTCGCCGAAGCATTTTTTCTCTCGTATCATTCTTTTACTTCTTCTTAGAGAAGTCGAGAAGTCGTGATTGTTTCTCTTGTCTGAGACTCCCTAGCACGTCGAAGCAATAATTGTAGGCACCATGCTCGCCAAAGAGCTCCTCTTCATCTCATCCCTGCTGGCCCTGATCCAGGCAGAGGAGACCGTCCTTGGTGTTTATATTTTCCATCGCCATGGAGATCGCACATCCAAGAGCACTCCTCCAACTTCATTGACAGATCTCGGATACCAACAAGTTTTCCAATCAGGGAACTTTTACCGCAGCCGATATGTGGATTCTAATGCCTCGTCTCGCATCTTCGGTCTTGCTACAGATATTGTCAAGACCTCTCAATTGAGCGTTGAAGCTCCTGTCGATGCCGTGCTTCAGAACTCAGCTGCTGGATTCTTGCAAGGTCTCTACCCGCCAGTTGGAGCTACACTAGGTACCCAGTCTCTTGCCAATGGATCAAGCGTCTCTGCTCCATTGAATGGCTTCCAGCTTATTCCCGTTAATGCTGTCGCTTCTGCTTCAAGCGGTGCCAATTCCGAGAATTCTGCATGGCTTCAAGGCCAGTCGGGATGTAACAAAGCTATTGTTAGCTCTAACAATTACTTTTTCTCCGAGGAGTACTTGAACAAGCTCAGTTCGACCTCTGACTTTTACACGAGCCTACTTCCTGTTGTGAAAGGCATTTTCACTTCAGATACTGATTCCTTTAAGAATGCGTATTCTGGTAAGAAACCCTCTCGTAATCTGCATCCATCTGAGCACTTTTGCTTATGATATCTTTAGTTTTCGATTATGTCAATGTTGCGTTGATCCACAATGCCTCCATTCCATCCGGTGATCTACTTACTGACGAGGCCATCTTTCAATTGAGGACTCTGGCCGATGATCATGAGTTCAACCTGGCTTACAATGCATCTGAATCCATTCGGGCAATTGCAGGTTCCACTCTAGCTGCTCAGATCGTTCAACAGCTGAACAATACCATCGTCGGAAGGTCCAAGGTCCCTGTAGGTATTCAGTTTGGAGCCTATGCTTCTTTCCTCTCGTTCTTCGGTCTCACTCAGCTCCCAGCCGTGACTGAGAACTTCACTGCCGTCGTCGATTACGCCTCCTCAATGACATTCGAGCTGGTCACGAACGCGACTGTTTCCAACACATCCTACCCAGGCGTCGACGACATCTCGGTCCGCTTCCTCTTCTCCAATGGCTCAGCTGCCGCCAATCCACTTACCACATACCCTCTCTTTGGACAAGCCGAGACAGTTCTCCCATGGACGACATTCGTCTCAGAAGTGAACAAGTTTGCTATCGGAGACCAAGATACCTGGTGCACTCAATGCGGAAACACTGATGGACTATGTGCTTCCAGCACTGCGACCACCTCTGCCACGCCTTCCGCAACTCCATCGTCATCTTCCAGTGGTATGTCCAAGGCTGTCGCGGGTGTGATTGGTGCTATGGTTACGCTGGCTGTTATTCTGGGCTTGGAAGCTTTGGTATTGTTGGTTGGTGGGTTCAGATTGGTTAACAGGAAGAGACTTGCTGCTGTGCCGATTGAGTCTGCTTCGCCCGTTGCGAAGGCTTGAGTGTGATTAAGTAGCTAATGCGATGAGATGGGCTTGGGAAGCGACGCACTCCTGTGCCTTTTCTTAGATGAATGATATCATATTTACTCAGAACCAAGTTCGGTTTGAAAGCTCGACAATAGAAAGGATTGACTTGGTATGGATGTTGATTCTCGGTGAGCTTCTGTTCTGGATGCACGTTTGGCTGAAGGAATATGAAAGTCCAAAACAAAGCAGGATATAGGTCTATCTAATAGCCCTTCAGGTATACCAAAACCCCCCGATATTTGCCCTCCAGCGCCTCTGAAGGGTATTTCACGTGATGACACTTGCCAATATCCTGTTGGGGAATATGCGAGGTACGAGAATTAAATTGCAGGAAGCGTCATCTCAACCAGAACCTTATCTCCGAATCTCTCCACAGATCCTAAATTTCAAAAAAGACAGCCAATCTTGTTTCTATATCGGCTGCATCTTACTTGTGAACAACCAGGGTTCAATCGGATTACATACAGAATTAGAAACCCCAGTGCCTCCGTCCGTCATCTCATCCACCCTTGGCGTTTGTTAGAGCGGGCGATCTAGTGTACATAGCGGCGCCGAGTCATCGAAGTACAGTCCACATCCATACATCGACATCGAAGCTGGACTCCATTCTAAATTCCATATCCGTTTCTCGCAAACTTTCTATTGCTTTATCCTCGAATTGTGATCAATTGGACGACTGGGCAAGGTTCATTCAGATATCAGTAACTTTTGAGGTTGTCGCAGTCATGAATGGCCATGCTGTAGAGAGCTTGACTCACCTCACCGACTCCGGCATCGACGCCGCGAAGAAGATGGTGCAGGATGAACCGGCCATCAAGGAGCTCGACGCTTCGAAGTTGACTGTTACCAGAACTTCTAATCCAAGGGATATTCCGGAAGTCAATTCTCATGAGTGCGTAACTTTGATTTCTTTCCTTCAATGGACTCACCACCTCTTTGGGATATCCGATATAACGTCACAGGAAATGTCTCGAAGCGGGAATAGAGCTTTTGGGGATTTAAATTGACTTTGGCTAGAGTATGGGACATGAAGACTTGCACAGACCATAGTAAGTGAATTTTGCACTGAGATATCCATTTGGCCGATTGTGGCAACTCCAACTTGTGTCGTCTCATTGCGTTTGGGTTTCAGCCCAGACTTATTTGATAAACTGCCTTCACTTGAAAGATTCCATACTAAAATATCAAGTGGTCATGGTAACATGGACAACCGGCGCCGGCTGGCACGCACCAGAAATTAAGCAATACGGACCTCTGACCATGTCACCAATCGCTTCATGTCTGCACTATGCAACTCAATGCTTCGAGGGTCTGAAAGTCTACCGTGGTTACGATGGCAAGCTTCGACTCTTCCGTCCTGATAAGAACTGTGCTAGGCTCTTGATGAGCTCGCAAAGGGTTGCTCTCCCGCCGTTTGATCCCGTTGAGTTGGAGAAGCTTATGAAGGCATTCTTGAAAGTGGATGGCCCGAGTAAGTTTTTATACGCGGATTCTAATCCGGGGCGAAAGTAAAGGCGGAAAGACGTAACTGACCGATGTAGAATGGCTCCCAAAGAGCCGGCCAGGAACATTCTTATATATCAGACCAGCTGTTATTGGAAATGGACCAGAAATTGGTGTGACTGCACCAGGTGAAGCTCTTCTCTTCATCGTTGCTGTTGCTTGGCCAGATTTGTCAAGTGCTTCGAGACCTGGAAGTCCGCCAAGGGCACCCGGATTGAAGTTACTTGCGTCAAAGAGTGACGTTAGGGCTTGGCCTGGTGGCTTTGGTTATGCTAAGGTTGGAGCAAATGTGAGTGAAGCCTCTCGACTCTGATGAGGATATTTTGTAGGATAATCATCCAGGCCTTAACTTACATGTCTTAAGATCTATTACTGACTTACACTGATAGTACGGCCCTGCATTCGTAGCTCATATGGAAGGACGAAAATCTGGCTACGATCAAATCTTGTGGCTGCTCGGATCTGATTTCCAAGTGAGTTTGCATGACCCTAAAGCATCAAAATTGGTTGTCTGGAAACATTCGCTTCCAAGAAACAGAGCTGATACCAAGCCCTACTAGGTGACCGAAGCAGGTGCAAGCAACTTCTTCGTAGTCTGGAAGACCAAAGAGGGAAAACAGCAACTCGTAACTGCTCCACTGGATTCTAAGATTATTCTCGATGGCATTACTCGACGAAGTGTCGTCGAGCTGTCTAGAGAAAGACTTGTCGAGGGATCGAAGCACCTCGCTCCAAAGATGGAAGCTTTGGAGGTCGTGGAGAGGACCTACACTATGATTGAGCTAGAAGAGGCGTGGAAAGAGGGCAGACTAGTTGAGGCTTTCGTGTCTGGCACCGCGGTAAGTTCATACTTGGTTTCGTGTTCAGTACATGGGTAAGATAGAGAGTGATTTCTGACACTTGTACTCAGTACTTTATTACGCCGTGCTCAGCGATCAATTTCAGGGACAAAGAGCTGGATATCCCGATGGGTGATGGGACCAGTGGATACTACGCTGCGCTGCTGAAGAAGGTATGTTTACGCTTTTAAGATACGGATCGACCACCTAGGCTAATAGGAGGCACTTTAGTGGTTGAATGACATTAAGTATGGAAACGAATCTCATGAATGGGGTGTTGTAGTGGAGGAAAATTAGATTTCTGGTCAATCCTAGAGTAGCACGTTGGAATCGTTGTTTTCGATGTCAGCAAACATAAAGGGTGAGTGTCCATTCGTTCTTGTTAGACAAAAGTCGATTGCCAGATACGGTTAAAGAACCAGCGAATAAGAACACTCTTAGCCATCTTTGAAGTCCCATGAAAAAGTGGACAAGCAAGGTTACTGGTCGGAACTGTCAAGTCGGGTAACATGTGGGAATGCCGGGACAAGACGCGAGGGACAGCCAAGGAGGGGTCCATGGCGGGGTCCAGTCAGCAGCACAACCCCTCCATCCCGTTTCTGAACTGTCTTACTCTTCTCCCTCCTCAAAGCTCACAGCTTCAAAACTTCACCCAATTCCTCCCATAGCTTGTCAAAATGGCAGCTGCATATCCGGCATTAAAGGATCGCGAAATTGGCCATACAATCTGCCTTTTCGACGTGGATGGAACTCTCACATATCCACGCGGGGTATGTAACGCACAACACCTCACCTCACAAATTCAAATTTCATCGTTCTTGGGATCCTGAACTTTTCCATAGGAAGCCACCCCTGAAATGCTTTCTCTCCTTCATGCCCTCCGCCAAAAAGTAGCAATCGGTTTCGTCGGCGGTTCCGACCTAGTAAAACAACAAGAACAACTCGGCGCTCCAGCCAAAACCAACGTAACCGCGCTCTTCGACTTCTGCTTCTCAGAAAACGGCCTCACGGCTTACAAACTCGGCGAGCCCCTCGCAACACACTCATTCATTTCCTGGCTGGGCGAGTCAAAATTCAAAGAGCTCGTTAATTTCATACTGCATTATATTGCGGATCTGGATATTCCTATAAAGCGCGGCACGTTTGTGGAGTTTCGGAATGGAATGATCAATGTTAGTCCAATTGGGAGGAATGCGAGTACGAAGGAGAGGGATGAGTATCAGGTGTACGATTTGGAACATAAGATCCGCGAGACGTTTGTGGGTGTGCTGAGAGAGAAATTTGGGCATTTGGGGTTGACGTGAGTACAGTAATCCGTCCACATATGTCCCCCATGGCATTCTTACTACAGTATACTGGACAAGCATGTGAAAGAGAAGGAGAAGGAAGAGCAATATTGGCTGACCGAGTTATCCGTTACAGATATTCAATTGGAGGACAAATTTCATTCGATGTCTTCCCTACAGGCTGGGACAAGAGGTACTGTTTACAGCATCTTGAGAAGGAGGCCAAGCAGCCTGGTGGAGTCGAATACACAACTATCCACTTCTTTGGAGATAAGACGGAAGTGGGCGGAAACGACCACGAGATTTACAATGATCCAAGGACGATTGGACATTCAGTGAAGGATTTTGAGGATACGATGAGTCAGGTCAGAAAGCTATTTAATTTATGACCATCAAAGCTCTGAAGTAGAACACGATACTATAATGTAATATTCTGATGCAGAATTTGAAAAGTCTTGTTTTATTTTGTGCTCATGTATATTGGTATCAAGACATCATTTTGTTCTAGACATGTTGTATTGTTTTTGCTATCTTTCTTCTCTTCGATTTATCCTGAGAAAATTACAAGGGAATAGGAGTATCGAAATGGGGAAAACAGGCTTCATCAAAATCCAGGCGCTACCCTACAACTCCATATCCTGTCCCAATGCTGCTTAAATAGCAAGAGTTTTCGCGAGGATATAAGCAGAATCGTCAAATCCAATTCACCCCTTCTGTCTCTACCCTGTCGTTCCATCTCACCCATTAATCAGCGCCCAAATTCAAGACTGGGAATGATGACCGGGCCGTATTTGGTCGGCGCAGCGAACCCACTGTCTCCCTGCACAATGAAGTCGACCGCCAAACTCAACTTTGCCAATCCCGTCTGCCCATTGTGTGAGTTCGCAGAGTACGTTGTGCCGGGCACAGCTTCGGGGTCGTAAGCAACGAAGGCAGCATAGTTTCTCCTACCCATCAACTTCTTCATCTCGCGTGGGCCACCATTGGTATCGGTTTGGAATATCTCCATCATGTCTTCCTTAGTATCGGAGACTTGGTTGGTGGTCTTTTGGCCATTGGCCGGGACGTAGAGCGGTTTGTTGTTGTGAAGCATTTTTAGGACGTAGGATGGTGGAGGAGCAGCTACGACTGCAGATGAGATCACTTGATACATAGTCTTGTGGTCGCTCGGGTGACTTGGGTCATGGACTAGACCAGCACCACAGCAATTGACATCTGTATGTTGTGTTAGTTTGTGTTCCTTCAATCAATGCTAATGGTGTGTTTGCTTACCTCCAGATAAGAAGGTCATTCGAATACCCTTCTGGTTTGCAATCCCTTGCAGCGTTCTGATCAAATACGTCCTTTCCAAGTCTTTCGATTCATGTGTCCACATGTCTCTCAGCTCATCAGCGATGTCAATATCTCCAAAGGTATTCAGGACACCGCCCATCAAGCCGGACTTCCCAACCGCTTTCTTGACCGATGTGAATCCAGACTGGACCGCATCCCTACCGCCAACCACACCAGCAACGGAACTTGTGACTTTCCCGAGTAGGTTGTAAGTTCCAGTTACGCCCTTCTTAGCAGTGGTAATGGTGTGAGCAATGCTTTCGACAGTGTCGAGGCGTGGATAGACAACCGGAACCGAAATCATCCAGATACAGTGCTGAACACTAGGTGGCAGGGTTGCTACTTTCGGGAATATGCCTTGATATGTTGGTCCTGCTAAAACCTGGCGCTGGTTACGTTCGGAGCGGCAATCCGGTCCTACTACCACGACTGCAGGACCAAGATATTTGACAAAGTGCCAGCCTGATCCGGTGATTGTGAAAAGGTCAGTGTCAGAGCTGACATTCCTGAGGATCTCGAGGGTCGTGTGATGTTGGAACAAAAGATACATCTCGATTCCAACTCGTCCAATGTTCTTGAACATATTGGACGATTGCATGTATTCGGGATATGAACCGAAGCCGTCAAAACTATATAGCATTAGTGCTGAATTCGAGTCCTTCTGAGAATTGCCAGCTTACATGTCATGATCATCAATTTGGAGAATGTGGGGAATCTGAGCAAATGCCTCTCTCAGATACGGCTGATCAAAGTGGCTGGTGTAATAATGAAAATACGCGTGTGAGACATCTTCTTCATGTCTCGCTGTCCAAGCTGCAGTCTTACGATTATCCTTCCCACTCATCGCTAGCCATTGCTTCAGCAGCGGGATTTCTTTCCATAATCTGTCCCCATAGATCTGATCACCTAGACCCAACTGCACATGGAAACCGCCACACTCTACGTTCTTTTGCAAGATGTCCTTCCACATAAATCCAATACCGCCGAGTTTGGAGCGCTCGTTGACGCTGGTATTCATGGCGAAGTCGTTCCCAGAATGGGCTATGAACCTCCAATTGGTCTCATGGCGGCCAGCTACTAAGAATTCGTACCGCGTACATCCCAAATGCGAGGTGATTGCGTAAGTCCACTTGTCACTTGGTCCCTCGCCCATTTGCAAGTCGACATCGTATCGGTAAAATGTCCACCGCTGATGTGTGAAAATCGGGCTTGGCTTTAATTGGCGAGGATTTGGAGACAAATCAACACTTTGGTGAATGTGAATGGTCGGTGGTTGCGGAGCATCAGTTACCAACATTATCGTTCCCAGCCAAATGCCTCTCTCCATATCCATGTTCACATAACGCAAATACGGACCAAAGTAGACTCCGTTGGTAGGAGCAATCTTGTACATATCAACTCCGGCACTTGGGGGTGGGCCGGAGAATCCTGCAGCGGTAGGCGTTTGAGATGTCATGCTCATAATACTCTCTGCATAACCTGGCGTGTGAGGTGGGAAGCCAGGTGATCCAAGAGGGGTCTTGCCAAAAGCACTGAATCCTGGCGAGGCGAGAGGGTTTCCGTATGTTGATACAGTGGGAGATAATGGGACTGTATCTGGGTGGTTCAGAGGGGTTGGACCCTTTGGAAACTCCCACTGCGTAGCTTGAGTAGGGAGATGTATATAATAGTACTGTCCAGAATTCTGGTCCAGATGAGCAATCCAACCTTCTGGAAGTGGAGGTGGTGAGCTCGGGCCGGCACCTTGAAAAGGTGACGAGTTCGCAAACTGCTGGACAGGAGCTGCCTGTGCGGCCGCCTGTTGAGTGTTTGATGCTTCTTCTCGCGGGTCGTTGGCAAAGGCAGGATGACCCGGATGTTGCAGAGCTGGAGATGTGAGCGGGGAGGCAATATTTGGCTTGGGCGCCGTGTTGATAGCAGCTGGCACGCTGCCAGCGCGGCCTTTCTCATTTGGGTATGTTTGAGTGGCTCCTGTGCTGCCTGGAGTTACACTAGAATAAGCTGGAGGAGGAGACGGTGACATTTGCATACGCTGGAAGTCTTGCTCCAGTGTGTTTGGCTGACTTCCCGAATTCGGCCTACCTTGTTGCTGCCCCGGAGGCGGGGAACTTGTCACTTGGTTCGGCCCTTGATACACAGTAGGCGGACCATGAGGCTGGTTGTCCGGCGACTCCGTCGGTGTCCAAGGTCTGGGAATGCTCTGATGCTGGACTGGGATAAGACCAGGAGATTGTGGAAGCTGCGGGACGGGTGGAGGTCCATACTGATTCTGCCTTTGCGCGGCTGCCGCATTCTGTGCCTGCAGGCTACTTAAGGTAGCAGTTCCTGATATTCCAGCTGCAGCATATCTTGCTTCGATTCCGCCACCAGCCTGTTCCCCAGGGCCCACGATCGGGGTCTCTGGGGGAGGTGGTGATCCTCTTGTAGCTCGAGTAGTCGAGGTCGAAGCTGTAGAAGCGAATCGGTTCATGGCGCTGGGGGCGATCAGATTTGGGTTTTCTGATGATGCCCCATTAAGCTCAACTGCGCCTGGAACTGGTGGTGGATAATATTGTTGGCGAAATTCGGGATATGAAGGAGTGGTCGATTGAGACGGACGTGATGCGGCGGCAGTAGGCTTAGGATCTCTTTTGGGCTGTTTTGCAAACAGTCCTTCCTTGTCCGGTAGATCTGGACCGGGAGATTCTGGGAGAGGTTTTGGAGCAGTGCCTCGACGCTCTGCGAGACCTGGGCCTCTTTTGTCAAGGGGACTTGTGTTCAGCCTTGATGTGCTATCGTTGGAAGCCGTCCTGCCACTACTGGCTGGTCTACCCTGGCTCCCCGAACCTGATCTGCCCGAAGATGGTTTAGGATCTTCAGGGTATGGAGCTTTGTGCTTTCGTGTTTCCGAAGGTCGAGTATAGATATCGTCGTCATCAGGGTAAGGCAGAGGACTTGCTGAACTCGATGCGCCGGGAGGTAGGGGGAAGCTGTGTTTGCTGGTCGGGGCCGGATAGTTGACTCGTCCTGAAGCAGCTGAGTCTGCTCGAGGTTTGGGGCTGGTTGGCTTGGATATTCTCAGAGGTTCGACAGTTGGGCTGTCCTCTCCGTTTGAAGGCCGAGAGAAGAAGAGCTCCTCATCGGGCTTGCCTTGACGGCCGGCCATCGTCAGGTACGGATGCAAATGTCCAATAAAGATTTGACACTTGATGCACGAAGTGTTATTTATAGGATGCTGGACTCGACGGGTAAGCTATTGTCTTGAGGCACAGAGATCGCTGCCGGCAAGGCGGGGTCTGTAACAAGACGAGGTCGGGCTTGCTGCGACCGCAATAGAGGCCCGCTGACGAGGCAGAGTAAGATGCCAAAACAGATGCAGATACGTGAAAACTGAGAGGTGGAAGGACGATGCAAGACGGAGGAAACGGATCGGAACGAAACGAAACGAAGCGAAACACAGGTAGATGCGGTCTTTCAATAAGGAGCTGGCTATTTCGCGATAGATTCTCGATTGGGCAGACGGGCGTCCAGGACAAACAGACCTCGAGACGCCCACGTCAACGTTGGTGGGCAATTTCTTGGTAGTAACAGTCCGCGCGAGCTGAATGTGATTGGCGGGGTTGAAAGGCGCTGGCACCTTGGCCAGTCATCACCCGCAAACATCCCTGCCGGCGGCTACAGAACATTAAATTGTACGATTCGTACGAGTACTGTCGGAGGCCCATACCCATACTATGTATGATACTAACGAAGCATGGCAGGGCATGGCAGCGCACGAAAGTGGAAGTGGAAGTGGAAGTGGAAGTGGAAGTGGAAGTGGAAGTGGAAGTGGAAGTGCAGCGTGGCCTTCAACTTCAACAAGCGCTGGGCTGCAGGAGAAGACAGAGTTGAGTTGAAAGTTGAGGGAGACGTGCTGATGTCTTGCCGCTGGTGAGGGGAGGGGAAGGGAAGGGATGGAGAAGGATGGAGGAAGACGAAGGATCAAGGAAGCAATCCACTACAGTAGTAAATCTTACTCCCCTTCGTGCATGTAGGTATGGTATGTCTCTTTGTACGGTACGGGACTGTACTGTACTGTACTGTACATGTCTCTTTGCGATGTCTCTCCTGCCGGCCTGGCCTGGCATCCAGATTGCATGGCCGCACAGATCAAAAAGAACACCAAGCTCTTCGGGCCCCCAACCTCCCTCTTTTCCCGCGAACTAAGTAAGGTATCAGCGGGAGTGTGGATCCTAGAATTCCCTACTGTAGACTGGCACCAAGAGAGCTTCTGTCGAGAGTTGAGCGTCGAGAATATCCTGATGTACCGGTATTGAAAGCTAAAAAGCAGCGCCATGCAGAGATATCGGACACAGCTAAGTACGACTTGGCTACGACCTGGCCACAACCCCATTGTTATTCTAAGCACCTAATGCTTGCGACCTGACTTCAAGAAGTACCTAGGTAGGTAAACAGTTTTCTGTCTCGAATAACGGCTGAGTCATCCATCCTCTTCGCCTGGAACATTTCAATCCAGGGCAGGGCAGGGCAGGGGTTCAACGCGAAACCACTTTAGCTTGTCACGTCGCCCATCGCCCGTCGCCCGTCGCCCGTCGCGTGGGCTTGGACCTGTCTCGCGTACCGGACGCGACTGACATTTTTCATATCTTCTCTTCTTCTCTTCTTCTCGGACCCTCGACCCAGACCCGATCATTAACTTTCCTTTCCTCAACAACCAACTTCTCGACCTCGACCTGCACCCCTCTCCACCAAACTATCACAGCAAGAACCACCAGACACGATGGCATCTTCTGTACTAGGAAAGCGGACTCGAAGCTCAACAAACTCTGGTATGTCGTCGACCTCGGCTTTCTCAAGCTCCACTAATCGCAGCTTACAGTATCGAAACGCGTCAAAATCTGCCACCAGCCTGAGATCTTCAACGACGAGAACGACAACCCTTTCGTAACGAAGGTTGCACATAACGAAACACAAGATGGCGAGCCAATGGAGATTGATGAGTCGATACCGGCAAAGCACGGCGCTGCTGGAGGACGAATTGTCTTTTCTGACTCGAAATCAAAGACGCATTTCAACGCGAATCAGAATGGTCAGTATCCGATTTCGAGCGAAAGTGAACTCGACTCACAGGAGGTAGACGGCAACTCAAAGCGCATCCAAAACCCCACGCCTCAGACTCCGCGACATCGAGATGCGCTGTCGAAGCAAGCTCCCGTTACTCCCAGACATCGCGTCATGCTCGCTGGAAAGCCATTGACTCCTGGCACTCCACGTACGCCGATGACACCTGGGGGATCAATCACTACTATCTACAGTAAAGCACGACAACTGTTCACACGCAGCACGGAACCTGGTCGACTCGTTGGAAGGGAGTCTGAGCGAGAGGAATTGTCGAGTTTTGTCAGGGAGTCAATCGCCAAGACGTCAGGGGGTTGTACCTATGTCAGTGGACCACCAGGGACTGGAAAGAGCGCTATGGTCAACGAGGTTACAGAGTCATTCGAATCATCGTCTACAGTCAAGAAGGCATACATCAATTGTATGAGCATGAAGACTTCTAAGGACTTGCAAGGAAATCTGCTGGAGAACCTTTGCGAGGGTATCGAAGTCGTCGAGGTAGATGAGATCCAGACTTTGCAGGGAATGTTTGTTCCGAGAAAGAAATCGAACACGGTCTATATCGTTACTCTTGACGAAATCGACCATATCCTTACGCTGGACCTAGAGATTCTGTACAAGCTTTTTGAGTGGTCCCTCCAGAAATCGTCACGCCTAGTCCTGATCGGAATCGCCAATGCTCTGGACATGACCGACCGATTCCTTCCTCGACTCAAGGCCCGGAACTTGAAGCCCCAACTACTACCATTCCTCCCTTACAGCGCCGCTCAGATTAAGATGGTCATCGTAACTCGACTAAAGTCTCTCATTCCAGCCGACAGTCCAACGCCAGATTACGTCCCTTTCCTTCACCCAGCAGCTATTGAGCTTTGCTCTCGGAAGGTTTCCAGCCAGAGTGGTGATTTGCGCAAGGCTTTCGACATCTGTAGGCGCGCCATTGACCTGATTGAGTCCGAGACCAAGCAGAAGCATGATCAAGCGTTGATTGACCGGGAGTGCCCTTCTAGCCCATCTAAAAAACCACTCGAGGAGAATGCGAATCTTGCTTCTCCAGCGAGACAGCAGACAACCAAACTCGTCCCAGCGAAGGCTCTGGCCAAGTCGCTGGGAGCTCTTACCGTTGAGACCGCGCCGCGAGCATCCATCTCGCACGTCAATAAGATTACCTCTTCCACTTTCGGTAACGGAGCAAATCAGAGACTCAAGACTCTGAATCTCCAGCAAAAGGCAGCTTTATGCGCCTTGGTAGCGGTTGAGAAGAGTAAGCGAGAAGCAGCAGCAAACGTTATGGCCACACCTTCCAAGTCCAAGAATGTGGCGCCTACTATCAAAGCATTGTACGACATATATTGCAAATTGTGCACTCGCGATTCGATTCTCCACCCTCTCACCAGCACGGAATTCAGAGACGTGATCGGAAGCTTGGAGACCCTGTCCCTGATCAGCGCAGTTGATGGCCGGAACGGCTCATTTGTAGCCTTGAACGCCGGACCCAGAAAAGGGCGGGCTCCAAAGTTCGGAGGCGGAATTGGTATAGGAGATGAAAAGCGTGTTGGTAGTTGTGTTGGCGAGAAGGAGGTTGCGCAGGCTGTTGAAGGCTTAGGTGCTGGTATATTGAAGAGTATTTTGCATGGAGAGGGTCTAGACTGGTGACATTCCTTGTGGTCTTGTGTCAGGGAGTTTTTGATATCCGCATAGCGAAATGGTGGTCAATTGCATTAGAGGAGCACAGCACAGCATTGCATGGGACGGCGTTGAATGGTAACATTTGTATAGATTGTACCAGGATAGGTGATAGATTTGGCATGCACTGCTCTCAGGCAGAAAGGAGTAATTATAAATGTATAATTTCCGGACAATGCTTCTCGTTTCTACTCTTTTTGAACCTTTTACGTGTCCCCCTGGCGACTTACCATTTTCCGTTTTTGATTGGTTTTGGCCAATCTGAAATGCTCTTACACTGGAGTTTACATGCTCATATTCATGAAGACGAGATGTTGCTGCAGAGTGATTGTTGGCACGGCTCGCACGGGTAGTGTTTGTTGACTTTCCTTCTCGCTTCCGAAACTGCCAGCAGACGAACTCACAGCAGTAGTACGCGACTCGCTCAATTACGATTTGCACTTTTTGGGGCTTTTTGAGGATCATAGCCATTTACATCAGAAGTTATGATGAGATCTCAAAAGCAAATATCGGAAGTTCTGGAGTGTGATTTGCGAAGCAAGTCTTACCTGGCAATGCGGAGAGGCTTGGTGCTGAACAGGATGGTCACAGAAAAGAGGAGGACGGGGCAGTGCCGGGCGAGCCTCCGTAATCTATGTCACTTACAAGCGCATGCAAGTGCATGAAACCCGAGCTAGCAGCTATGCTCCAGTTGTGAGCTAGGTAGACTGCTTTCTTGTAGGGAATGGTGGGGAAATAGATGGGGGTAGGAAAGTGAAGTGAAACACGACTTCTGCAAGCAGAATTCCGAAATGAAGTGAATGGGGAGTGGAAGATGATTTTTGGTACAAGAGCAGATAGTGTATTGGTAAGTGGTACCTTGATGGGTACTTTGAGGAGGTAACGTTCTTGAAATACTGCCTGCACGGAGGTAGTAAGTGAGCAAAGAAAGAAACGGCATCACTTGAGTTGAAAAGTAATATAAAACATGACACAGGTCAAACAACGTGCGGAAAACAATGGCAGACAGCATGGACACGACGCAAATGGTAACTGATTTCTTGAATTAGGGTTGAGCATTAGTGGAGGGTAGCATAGCTTGCCCGATGCCAACATCGTCAATAGGTCCTCTCGTGTATCTCCAGTCGCCGGTATTTTGGCACCATTGATCGGGATGTAGCGAATCAGTCATCGTAGAGGTTTGCCACATGGTGACCCAATTTGACCGCGGACAGTAAAAGAATCTTCTTCATCCTGGGCTGTCCTCCTCTCAATCACAGCTTACAAATCAAGCCTTCTCCCCCTTTCCATCAATACCACCGACTTCCTTTCCCTGTTTACCATTCGCCTCGTCTACTTTCGCCCGCTCCGACTCCTCAAAACTCGCCAGCAAATCATCAATCTTTTTCTCGAGGCTGGTCAGATTCGACTCCAGAGCCTGCGCCGTTTTCTCGCCCCTAGAGCCAAAAATTGTCAGTATGCATGACTCGTCGTGTTCGAGAACAGAGAGTAGTGAATATAAAGATATGAAGGCGCAGAGGCTAATTGGGTCTGGCCTGGTCTCTTTGCCGGGCGTCGTCGTACTTGAAAATAGCCTGGCGGCTTGGGTGGTATTCTGACAGCTGGAGCGCTGGGCTGGGCCGCACCCTCGCCGCCAAAGCCACCCGTGAGCAAGCCCCGGACAAAAAAAGATCCAATTCCAATTGGCATCATGAAAAGGCATGCATGTGATGAGGAAGCGGTGATGGCTTTCTGGGGCAACACCGAGGTCGAACGTACTTTGCGATTTGCTGGAGAGTCTAGATTGTTCACAGGCGTTAGCTGGTGGTGCAAGGGAGGGCGGTGACCTGTGCCACCAATGCGAATGGCACCGAATGATAAATTGAAGATGGGAATTCTGGACAGAGAATGGAGCCGGGAAATGCAGCCGGAGAATTGCCATATTTCAATAGGCATCCAGGGGAACAGGCACAACATGCCAAACCACTTGCCGGTGTCGCCGCATGGGCTGCCACGGCCCACGGTATTGCCTCCACCAACATCAACGAGGGCAGCGGGGCATTTGAGATCACAGCCAGCGTGGGCAAATAGGATCGCCCACGTTGATCGCAACCAACTGTGCTGTGCTGTGCGCCTGAACTTGGGAAGGCAAAAAACATGGACTACGTTGCAATCAACGAGATAATGTGAGAGGCGTACCTGCGCTAGATCATGTTCGTCCGTTGCCGATGCCGGAACAGCAGAGAAGTCGTTCGATGAGGCCATTACTAGGTACTTGCTAGTCGGCGCGATGCTTGAGAGGAGTGTTTTCTCGGTGGTGGATTATTGAGAGCTTGTCTTCGCGAGGGGTTCAAGAAGAACGACAGGGCCGCCTGCTGACAGATATTGGCAGTGACAAACTCGCCTGCGGAGATCGGTGCGGTTCACGTACCCCCGGAGATGCGTTATTGAGCGATGGATGGATGGAAGTTCAGTGAGACGAGAATGGGGGGATGGGCTTTGGGCAATGGGAAAAGGTAAAGGCGATTTATCTTATAAATCAGACCCTCCTTTGGTGGTAATTCGTGCCACGCCCTACATATCTAGCCTTTAGCGTCTCAGTAAGTAAGTTAGTGTAAATTAGAGTAAATTGAAGTAAATAAGCTAATCAGATACTAGGGATAGGGCGAGCTTACGAATTCCTACCGGAGGGTCTAAGGGAAAATAGTAGTATTTTAGTAGTTTACGCTATACTTTTAGTAAGGAATAGCTAATATTAAACTACCTACTACGATATAGTACTTCTACCTCTTAACTACAACTAATTATAATTATTAAAAGTATATTTAAAAGCTCTTTTTAACCTTTATCGATTATACTAAGCTTTATTTATTATATTTAGCTTAAATCGCGTAATATTCTAACTTAAATATAATACCTGCTTATAGCGCTTCCGGTATAAGTAGCCCTTCCTTACTACTATCTTTACCCCTATTACGTGAAAGATAACTGCCACTTATAAGGCCTTATATCTCTAGCGAGCTTTTAAACCTCTTATTAAGTCTATTTAATATCTCTAGTAAGCTTTTAAACTTTCTATCGATTCCTCTACCTTATATCTCTAGTAAGCTTTTAAATCTCCTATTAAGTCTATTTAATATCTCTAGTAAGCTTTCTTTCCTACTATTAACCCTACTCTGCTTATTCTATTACGATTCTAATAATAGCTTTAGTAGAGACTCTACTAATAGCTCTAATAGAGGTTCTAGTAGCGAATCTAATAGTAACTCTTAGGGAGACTCTAATAGTAACTCTAATTCTACTAATACTATATAAGGAGAATTAGAGAATATATAATATCAGCGAGCTCTAAGTAGGATAAGACTCTTAAAAGGATCTATAGTAGAGTAGGGTTTTAAAGTTCTCAGGTACTATAAATAGTCTCTTAGGAAGTTCCTTACTACTTTTATTATAGAAGATAATTATACTTATAAGATATACTTACGATATATCTATATAGCTAAGTAGCGTCAGAAGATACTTTAATATACCTTAGATAATATTAGGCCGGCGTTTAGTTCTATTTCTCTTAATTTACTATACTCGGAATTTAAGGCCTTACGTTAAACTTAGTACTTTAGGCCTTTTAATATCTAAGGGATAAATAAAGGGATAGATATAGAGTAGGGTTTCTTAAGTATAAACGAAGTAGCGCCTATCTAATCTGCCTTACTTCAGTTATTACTTTAAAATAAGTATACTTCGTGGAACACGTATAATTAAAGCTGAACTACTTTATTAAGATCTTTTTAAGGTACTACTATTATAATAACTAGTATACTCTCCTTTATATAGTCTAAGAAGCAGTCTAACTATATATAGTCCTACTTAGACTTATACTTTCTTAGATCTAGTATGAAACGTCGAGTAGTTAAGGTCTTATTAGGTCTAGGTATATACTATTTATACTAGACTAGAAATACTATAATAAAAGAACTCGCGGCTCTTACTAAAGTATATAATTAAACTCTCTTAACTTTTATATTCTCTTATAATTATAAGTACTTATCTACTATTAGCTTATTTACTTTAATTTACTTTCTAGGCGATAATATAGGCTTACTACGCTCTTTATTCTTAGTTATTTAGTTCTCGTGTCCTGCTATATCCTATCCTCTTATTAGTTTACTTACTTTAATTTACTTTTTAAGTAAGAGTATAGACTCGCTATTCTTATTCTTAGTTACTTAGTTCTTAGTTCCTACTATATCCTATCCTTCTATTAGCTTATTTACTTTAATCTACTTCTTAAGTAAAGATATAGATATACTTCTACTATTTAGCTAATCGATTAGCTATTATATCTTACTTTCTTACTAGCTTACTTACTTCTATTTATTTTAACTTACTTTTTATTTATTAATTCTTTCTACTTAGACTATAAGACTAATATATACTATAGACTTATCTTCCTTCGCTTAGTTATAACTCTTAAAGTATTATTATCTATAATAATATTAACTTTTAAGATAATAAGCAGGATAAGGTCCTTAGTTATATTAAGACTTAAGAGGCTATAACTATAGCTACGATTATTATTTACTTAGAGATACTAATTATAGGTCTAATATAATTAATATATAACCCTACGGTTTCTCTCGCTTAGAAAGATATCGTATTTTCCCTTAGGATTAGTAGTCTTAATTATCCTTTGCCTCTTAATATAGTCTTACTTTTATCGCCTAACTCGGTATATTATTAATCTCTATTATAGTTTATTAGGAAGCGTATTACCTAGTTCTTAATTATAGATACTATCTAAGATCTTTATCTTACTATAGTACAAATAATATTCTAAGATAAGACGAGCTTATTTCCTTCTATACTAGAGCTTAATCTTCTTCTAGTCCGTAGGACGGAATACTACTAGTTTAGAGCTATATTTGAAAATAAGGGGACTCTTACTAGTACTATAGGAGTTTATAATAATATCTTCTAGTAATAGTTATACTTAGATCTAGATAAGGATTTTAAGTCTCGGCTATAGCTACTCTATAGAGATTAGCTTATTATATATTATATTCACTCGGTTAAGGACGAATAATAGTACATAGAGAAGACGTATAATTATTGTAATTAGTATCTCGGTATTAGTATATAGTTCTATATTTAATATAACCTTAGGTTATTATTAATATATATACACTAGATAATAGCGCCTAGAACTAGTAGAGGGGAGTATACTATTCTCGGAGATATAATATCTTAGAGCTATACTATAATAGCTAGGGATAATCTGAAGTACTATATTCTAGATATACTTCTCCCCTATAGTTTTAAAGCTTATATACTAGCTATTCTTTATATATTATTATTAAAAGATTATTATAGTAAATATACTAAGACTAACTTCAGCTATCGCGAGGCTTATAATAATATCCTTTCTAGTCTTACGCCTAATATATTTCTAGCGTATATCGAGTCTATTTAGCTCCAGGCTTTCACTAGATTAGTATAAGATAGTAAATAGCCTAATAGTACTAAGTATAAAGACCTGGGGTTTATAACTATATATTAATACCTTTAGGAAATTAAACTATTCCTTATAGTTAAGTAAAGAGTTAAATATAGTAATATTAGTATACTTTATTGTTATATAGACTCCTTAATTATTAATTTTCTTAGTACTTATTAAACTAACTATATATATAAGATATTCTACTACTAATAGTTACTTAAAGATAGTATTTATATACTAGAGCTTTAGCGTACTATACTTGTATCTAGCCTAGTTAATTAGGAAGGCTATAGAACTAGCTTTAAGCTTACCGACTTCTGCCTCAAGTATCTAAATAGAGTAATTAAGATTAAGATAAAGTATTACTAGAATTCTACTTATAATACTAATATTACTTTTAATCGTATTTATACTACTAATACTACTATTTATTATATACAAGTAATATTAGAGTCTTAATTTAGAGAGAATATACTAAGGGATTATATATCTACTAATACTTCTAATAATATTTTTAATAAAGTAATAAGACTTATAATAGATAATCTCTCTTAACTAAGGGTAAGGACCTTACTAAATAGCTTATTTAAGTTAAAGGATATCTGTATAGTTAGTATAAGTCTATTAGTTAACTGAGTCGAGTATTTTAATCGCGTTTATACTTCTTAGGTATAGAATAAAGTAGTAATATACCTTGATAGTACTACTTATAAAAGGGTAATAGGTACTAATTTAAGTAGAGAATTTAATACTAGCGATCAGAAGGATATTACTAATAATAGATTACTCGCGTATTATTTAACTATAAATAATAAAGTACCTGGGATAGAATAATATATTTATTATAATATATCTAGTAGTAAGTACTTAATTCTAGAGGTTCGAAGTATCAGATATCAGCTAGTTGAAGTAAATAGAAGTAAGTAAGCTAATTAGATCGCATAGTAGCTACGCCTAGCCTATGACTCTAATACTAATAAAGTAATAAGACATAGAATATAGGGCATCCTTAAGTAAGTTAAAGTAAATAAGCTAACTAGATAGCTTTATTTTATATAGCTTAATTAACCCTTAATTAAAACCTCACTCTATTTATAATACTCTCTTATAATAAATAATATAATTCTTACTTATATAGCTAGTTATAATATTCTAGTATTTGAAATCAGGTTTAGTAGTAATTAGGTAAGTAAATTAAAGTAAATTAAAGTAAATAAGCTAATTAATAACGCTTACTTAGAGATTCTAGCTACAGATAGCTAGCGGTCTCTTACTACTATTATAGTATACTAGTAGTAAATAATATAATACTTATCTATAATAGTAAATAATCTTTATCTAAGGTAGCTTAAGTAAGTTAGAGTTAGTTAGAGTAAGTATATCTTTATTCTCTTCTCCTTTCTCTTTCTTTTTTTTTTCTCTAAGTTAAATCCTATATTAAATTATATTATATTATATTATAGTACTAGTACTAGTACTAGTAGTAGTAGTAGTAATAGTAATAATAGTAGTAATAATAATAATAGTAATAATAATAATACCTTCCTAAGCTTAGGTGCTTTCGTACTAAGTTAATTTCCCGGTCTTAGAAGAGACTATTCTATATCTCGCTTACTCTCTCCTTAGAGGGACTACTAGACTTAGTGGTTTTTTATAAGTTAAAGAGCTCTCTTACACTTAAAGTCTATTACTTATATAATATAGTAGTACCCCTGCTACTGCCTTTACCCTAGCTTTAGCTCTTACCTCCGCTGCTACTGCCCTCGCTTCTGCTCCTGCTCTTACTCTAGCTCTTACTACTGCTCCCGCCCCCGCCCCTGCCTTAGCTCTAGCTCTAGCTTTAGCTCTAGCTCCTACTCTTACTCCTACTCCG